TAGCTAGTGTAATGTAGGGCTACTCTTAGTCAAACAATAGTCATTTAAGAACTTTCCCATGCGATATATTCAACAATTCATATCAACTATCTTGTTTGAATGTAGTCATTGTTGGTTTTGTGTGATTGTATTTCAAAAGGTGTGAATTAAGTAAAAGGAAAATCATGACTCAGAGACCAATGAACCCCAACATGAGCTATCGAAGAGTAGGTTGGTTGCCAGTCTATCCCATATTGACCTACATTACACGAATAATTGAGTTCTTAGCTGAGAATGAGATGATATGATTACTTTTCTAGAGGGCCTTTTTAAGTTTTGGTTATTCTTCAAGTAAACAAAACTAGAGGCTGTCAACTCAAATAATAAATCTTCATGAGGTATTACTGTAATTTTTAGATATATTGTTAGATAAAGACAATTTTCTGTTTACTTTCTAGAAGTAGTCTACTATATTAAGTGAAAATAAAAGTCTAGAATATTAACATGTGAGAAGTTAAAAAGTAGCTCATCCAGACAAGGTCTCTCCCTTTAGAATAGCAATATTTTACACAGTAGAATGGGTAATTCATGGTTATCAAGTGATGGTGTAAAACTTCTAATTGCACTTTATCGTCATATTGAGTGTCATAATGTGGAATGTTCAGACGCTGCTCTGGTGACACTATCGAGGGGTAGTGTGTTTGAGAAGTATAAGATGTATATGATACTTTTAGCGATATTTCCTGGAAGTTTTACAAAAGCAATTTGAATATACTAGAACGCAAATATCTATTGATTTGAGAAACCTTTTAATTACTCTTGCTTGCATTCATTGTTAGTTTTATTCTAATACTATACACGAGAACTGTAATCGAGGTCTAATTATGAGGCCGAAACTAACCAAAAAGCAAATAGACCGAAAAGAGCATTGCTCTTTTTTGCCAAATAGAGATTTTTTAACTGTTTATCACTTCGAGTTTTTGTTATTGATCTCTGTAGCAAATATTTAAATTTTATTATTTTGTCTTAATAGCGGTGGTCAATGTTAACATTCAGTTTAAGATTGGTTTGAGTTACGGTTGTGTAGTATCATTAAAGGATAAACCACCATCGCCCGAATCCTTACTTGATACAATAATGTACAAACAACACCAAGAGTTCCGCTGTGACTGTTTCAACTGATATGTGTGAACAGTAGGCTACACAGGTGTCATTCATAGAAGGTGTTATCTGAATTAAAAAAGTGGTGTTTAGGACATGATTTAAGGATTAGAACTCCCGGTTGAAAAGCAATTGAATAATGGTATCAGATTTGCGGAATTAGTCATAGATGTTCTCTTTATTTGTCAGTTTAGCGTATACTTTCAAGTATACAATAATGATGAAATTTTTTCAATTGGGTGCTCATGAAGTCAATGTGTGCAATTTGGTTTGTTATTGATGGTGAATATTAGCCAGGATTTATAATTACGTAACAAACCCGTTGTTATTAGCACAGTTTTTTTCTGTGTTTCTGATTAGCTGGCAGTCACTTAACATTCCCATATTATTGGTATTTCAATATTTGACATTATAACAGGATCGGTATTTATATTTTACTGGGATATTGTATGTGTATTATTCGATCCATTAAACATTTGGTTAGTATTGAGGTTTATTGGCTCAAACTTCTGAAAATTGTGTAGCTCGTGTATAATTTAAGAAGTTTCCCTTCATAAAATATTTAGTATCATGTGCAATGTTTTGATATTGCTATTGCAGTTACTTTTCTTCTCTTTAGGAAGATTATTTTTTTTGAGAACTTGAAAAAATCTCTTGCATCAATTTCGACAATTATTGTAGTAGAATATATGATCATGATTTTTCATGATAACTGCTAACTCAGGTTGTGGGCTTATGGGAAGAACATAATTTTGATAAAGACAACAGTATTTTGTCACCACGAGGAATCAAAGAGGATTAATTTATCGAGGTATTCGGTAGCATGATGTAATAGCGTGTTAGTGTTGATAGTTGTCTGAGGAGATTAATTCCGATGTTATTGATGTCACAGCTAAACTGTTCTTGATGAAAACCCTCAGGCTGTTATTATTAATTAGTCCAATAGATTAGACAAAATGATTATGTAGGAATTTTGATATCAGCAATGATAATGACAAGATCACGATATTTATTTGTTTGCTGAAATTGAATAGAGTTCCATAGCACAATACAGGAATTCTACGCATTAGTAATGATAATAAAAGCAAAGGTGTTCCATAGAGGCAAAAACCGAAATCTGTGAATATTTTTATACATGTAGATTAACCGGTATATGAAGATTTGCGGTTGAAGTGAGACATGCATATGGAAAACGTTTGTCTCAAGTTGAATTATAGATTTTCCTAATGTGGAGCATTTTGTTTTTTTAGTACGTTATAGGTTATGTGTCAGAGGAATGGAGATTTTATCAGTTCACTGTTATGGTAATGCAACTTTAATGCAATAACTGTGGTATAGAAAGAATTTAAAATTTTGCATTTGTAGGATAGAATTCCAGTGCTTTATCATTGTTGTACAAACAAATTTGTGTTTTACTTGGATAGCTTAAATAGTCATATTGGGGTAAAATGTTTCAATACAAGCAATAATAGTGTTGACTTTTGTAAAATCTACCTTGAATTACTAAAAACTTTTATTTTCCACAGATATTAAGTAAGAGCCTGAAGTTAACGTTTTGGTATCGATGTTGCATGATAATAAGAGAGAAATAGATGTATGAACACATTTGACTATTGATGGATCGATATTCCTGATCCCCAGTATCCCAAAAAGTCATTCTTTGACTGGTTACTTAAATCATCAGTTGGTAAATGGAATAAATCGTACGGTAAACGCCTCAAATTCTATAATCAGCATAAACAAGACTTTCTCATTATCCTTGATTCTTTTGACCATATATTCAGTTTTGGGCTCAAATGTGTCTGCATTTGGTCAGTGTGAGACTACAGCGAATAGCAAAAGTGATATATTCTCAATAGGAACCTTAGCATAGAGGGACATGGGTATTGAATTTTTGAAAGATAAAGTGAACCAGCCCAATATAAGAGAATTAATAAATAATGTATTGCATTATGATGTGGATTTAGATTTAGATATGAGAATATTTTTTAATCAATCGACTTATAAAGCATTGATTATAATGTAAATCACATTTCTGTTCGATGACTTTCTAAAAGGCAATGCTATATTCTATATTACGTACTGAGTTTATATAGACGGAATGAACAACCAAATGATTTCAGACATGACATAGTTATTGGACGATTGTTTGATAAGGGTTGGAACGTGTTACATGGTAAAATTATAACACATACAGATGTTGGCTTACCAGATAATTTTAAGAGTAGAGTAGAATTGCGTTATCGAGAATGTAACCTATCAGACCTTTGCTTTTGGAAAGACGATGGCAATCAAATTAACTTGGAGAACGATGTTAATGAATGAGTTTTGAAATTACAAAACTTAGACCCCATGTAGATCTGAAGAACTTGATACATTAATATCAGATGTTTTTATAGCATTTCCGCATATAATCAAGGCTATGTCTTTGTCCTGCTAGGGTAAAAATTACATTGATCAAATGATGTCTTTGATAGCAAAGAAAAGCTGACCCTATCCTGGTTTATAGTGAACGACCTGATTTGGCAAATTCTAACAAGCGCTTTTTTTGGCAATGCCTTTTCACAAGCGTATTACAACTCTCGAATTATTTATTTCTAAAATGTTTGCAAACATAATCGATGACAATTGGAAAATTAAGCTTCATGATATGATAGAGAATGATTTCCAAAATGACTGTCTTCTTAGTACAAATGCCTTCCTCGTTGACATAAATAGTAGGGCTAACCATAAACTTCTTTGCCAAACAGAGCTGGCGTTGTGTAGTATTGATTTACATCTGAATTAGTAAACGGTTCCATCTAACTACGTTACATACGTTACATATTATATATTCCTGTGTACATTTATTGCTGATGTACCCTGGTACCTATCTCAAAGAGCTCCATTTATCAAGGAATATTTGGATTTATTTGGAAGAAGTAATGAATAATATCAAGCTTCCAAATACAAAAAGAACAAAAAGAAACAAGATAGGCTAATTATATGTAAGGTAATGAAGAAACCAACTATTTCCGACTATATGTTAATCACTGGCATAAAGATAATTATAAAACTATAGTTACTCCGACCCACTTTGCGGGGGAAGAATATTCCGTATCTACTAAGGAACTCAATTATGCTCGCAAAGCACCTTCGCTCATATGTGACAAGTAACATTGACAATCGATACGGAATAACATACCAAGAATTCTCTTGCTGATATGCCTCAAATGCAACATAGCAGATAGTCGATTGTCGATCGTCTACCCATTATCCACCCCACTCCTCTTCATACACATTAATCCTCTTTTGTTTTTTTTGGCGATGCTCGATTATCAAGCTCCGAAGAGGAACACTTCTTTTTCTTCTGAAGAAGAAAAAAATTCGTGTTTAGAAAGGAAAACAAACCAGAAAATGGAAGAGGACAGCCTTTTTACATGTTGATCAGTTTATTTATATCTCGAATAAAAGCTGAGATTGGATTCAATTCATATACCGAGACATAGTATCCTGTGTGTAAATCTTTCACGTTACACTGCTATAGTGAATACCAGGTGGTAATTTGTTTATACAAGGACTGTTGACGGCAAAGCTGTTGGTTGCAGATTTTATCTTCTGGATCAAAACTCGCTAATAATAAGGGCCAAATCTCACCTGTTACCATAAATTAGAGAAGACGAGCAAGGGTATATTATTAACTGGCGTTTCGATATACAATTTTAAATTGGCACTCAAGAATCAAGGTATCTAATTGATATCAAACACGGCCCCATTAACTTCTGACCTCTATCATTGAAAAATTAGTAAAACACCGATACCTTATATTGTTGCAAACTTACAAGACCTAAAGTTAGCCATAACTAATATATGACAACCTCATGGTTAAAGGAAATATGCATAGTTCTGTGAATATTGTTAGTACTGGAACCGTTCTGCAGGATAACCATTCTCACATTAATAAAAAGATATGCTCCCATTGTGATAAACCTATTAATATCGATAAGACCAATCGAAAACCGGCACTTAAGGCTCTCGGCAAATATTTCCATGAGGAATGTTTTGTTTGTCACGATTGCTCAAGACCGTTAAGGCCCAAATACTTCCCCTTCGATCATCAACACAATGGTAATGTCGAAACCTTATTGCTTTGTCAGTATGACTATTTTAAGAGAAATGGTCTCCTCTGCCATGTCTGTGATGAGCCTTTGCGAGGACTATATTTTACAGCGTTTGGGAATAGATATGATGAAGAACATTTTTCGTGTACCATCTGTAAGACACCATGCGGAGTAAAAAAGTGTTTTATCCATGATGACCAGCTATATTGTCGATTTCATTTCATGAAGTACTTTTCCAAAAGATGCATAGGTTGTAAATTTCCTATATCAGATCAGTATATTGAATTCCCAAAAGGCGACCAGGTTTTATGTTGGCACCCTGAATGTTACGGTATTCACAAATACTGGCATGTAGATTTATCATCCGATACACTAAACCTACCTGAAATACCAAAATTAGAATTTAATCCTACCATTTCTACCGAAAGCAATTATAGTGAACAGGCTTCTAACCTAGATAAACAGATGCAGGCATTTTCGTTTATCCTAAATAAGACATGGTCGATACTGTATAGATTTGAAGAGGAGGCTGCGTCATGCATATCTGACATGTTCCAATCATTAACAATATCTGATCAAAAGAAGGGTGTAGAAGCGACTGCCTTACTAGTTCTTAAGACAGGGTGCTTATTTAAAGGACTTGATAGTTTAAACATATTCCAAATAGATACTCAACAGAAAGATCTACCCCATACACTGCCCAGTTACAGAGAGTCACCTGATTTTAAACCAAATTACTTGAAACTTCCAAAAAACTTATCAAAGAAGCTTATGATATACTTACAATTTCTCCGTAAACTGAATCAAGATGACAAAAAAAGTTCATTGAATATATCATTATGCATGTCTACAATAACTGGACTTGCGCAATATTTGAAGTTACTGACCAGATATGGTCTCCATATTGCCTTAGAAAGAAATAGATATCTAAAAACTGTTAACCCGTTAATGAAGTTTCTCAAAGAAGTTGAGAAAAATGAAATTTTTGATAGTGATCCATTTCGTTACATTAATATCCCAATTAATACCAATGATAATTGTGTTAGGTGTCAGACGTACATACAGGATGAGTGTATTCAGTTCAATGAATACAGATGGCATCTCAAATGTTTTAGCTGTAATATTTGCTCAGAATCTATCAAACCTAGTGATGTTACAGATGCAACTTTTAACAAGGAAAAAATGTTTATATTATGTTCACGGTGTTCTGTTGATGATGAAGTATCTGTACCAGGATTCAAATATGTCACAAACTTAAGCCAATTGATTTTTCTTCTAAAAATTGCCTTGGTTAAAACAAAGACAGTGATGGATTTACAAAATAAGGATAATAAAGTAGCAAACATATATGAAAATGGTAATGTACCATCGAAATTTTCCATGGAGCAAACCTATATTAGGACATTAAATGATGTAAAAAGGCTGAAATCAAGAAGGGAGAGTATACGTGTTTCCAACGAAAAGAAGGAAGCTCGCAAGTCTGTTGTATTAGAGATACCTGAAACTGAACTAGGTTCAGGAAAACGGGAAGATAAAAATTTAATTATTAAAACTGATACTCCAACTGAAAATAGTGGCCGAGATGAGCAACTATTTGGTAATAATAAAACGTTGACACTAGATGATATTTCAAGAATCGTTGCTGCAGAACAAGCTCGTGAATTGCGTCCAAATGCATTTACTCACTTTAAAACATTGGAAGATGGTAGCGATGAATTTAATTCAAATGAAAGGAAGCGAACAGGTGTATATTACTCGGAACTTGATAAAAGTGCACTTGTGACATTGAAATATATTAGTTTATCATTGCTAATGAGTGATTTAAAAAAATTCAACGATTATAGTTTTGATTTTGAGAAGCTCAGACAGCAGATTAGCAGAGAAGTTCGACCATCTCAAAATGGAAACTTTTGGAATAAAATGTGGAATATAGTAAATAAGGATGGAAAAAAATCAGCACCCAGAAAGGTTTTTGGTACAAATTTGGATGATTTAAGTTTGTATTGCGGGGTTGACTCGGAATTAGGTGTTGGTCCTTCCAAAATCCGCGTGCCTGTGTTAGTAGATGAACTAATATCTTCATTAAAACAACTCGACATGAGTGTTGAAGGTATATTTAGAAAAAATGGTAACATCAGGCGTCTACGTGAACTGACTAATCAAATTGATGCATTCCCATCTCGATCAATTGATTTTAGTAAAGAAAATGCAATTCAACTTTCGGCCCTACTTAAGAAGTTTTTGAGAGAACTTCCTGATCCTCTATTGACATCTGATCTGTACCTATTATGGATAAGTTCTGCAAAAATAAGTGCTACAGTAAGAAAACAAAAGTTGTTCTCTTTGATATTTGCTCTACTTCCCTTGTACAATAGAAATGTATTAGAGGTTTTGCTTTCTTTTCTAAATTGGACATCCTCCTTTTCTTATATTGAAAACGAAATGGGATCAAAAATGGATATTCATAATTTATCTACTGTCATTGCCCCAAATATATTGAGTTCGGGACTGGAAACACCCCATAATGTTGAAATGAAGTCACTTGAAGTGCCAGCAGATACGTTTGCACAAAACAATGGTGAGAATCATTTTTTGGCTATTGAAGTTATTGATTTCCTAATTACGCACAGTGAGGATATCTGTATGGTACCAACATTCTTAATGAAACTGTTAGAAGAAACTAAAAATTTGAAGTTGTCTACATTTGAGGATATTAATGCGTATGTATTGGAAAGCTTGCTTCATAACAAGATTGACTATTCAGAGTTTGAAATTAGAAAATCTCCTATAGTCAAAAATGCGGTAACTAAAATTACTAGGTCGTCGGTTTTGGAAGTAAAGGGTGCTATCGAGATTTCACAATAACCGTTATTAATTAATATTCTTTTTGACATTAATTGCCGTTTTTTTACATTCCAAACTAATCTTAATTCTTAACATGGACAATGAATCTCTCAAAATTTAATTTATTGCATACATAACGGAAATGAGGGAAACTGCTAGGACACATAATATATACTTAATTAAAAGATTCATAACATTCAAACTTTAGGTGCAATTTTATTGAACATTGCTTCCAATATGGGCTTAATAGGATGCTGTACTTCATGTATGTTGCATGTCTTAAGATAATCTGCATATGCCCATCTCCTATAATTTTTTATTGCCAAAGGCTTTCCATACAAATGCATGTGTAATGTGTTGCAAAAGCTCAGTAGCGAAGTGTTTTCGTGATACAAACGAATAGCTAGTAAAGGGATAGTTGTTTGTAATTTTGAAAATGGTATTTCTAACGTTAAAGTTAATACCTTGAGTAAGTTTCGCAGTGAAACTAAATCTTGTCTATCAATACATTCGACATCTAATGTATTGTAGTTTTCAGAAGAAAGAGAAATAAATCTGACCTTCAAAGCCTCTTCTGTTAATGATTCTTCAATGTTTCCTTCAAGATTTTGAAGACTACTCTTAAGATCATTATTATCATTAGCAATGGAAGCAAGTTCATTTTTCAATAAGGTATTTTTATTTTTTTCTTTCAACAGATTTCCTTCCAATTTCCCTTTATCTCTTTTAATTTCGTCCAATTCTTTAGTTAGGCCAACGTTCATAGTTAATAAGCGCTTGTTTTCCTTCTTAAGCTCTTGAATTTCCTTTTCTTGTTTTTGCTTCAATAACTCCATTCTGCCTTTTAATAAGTCATTTTCCTCTTTCAAGTTCTTATTGGTGTCTGTCAATGATTTTTGAGCTTCTTTCACCAGTTTTATGTCCTTGGTCAGACTGTCATTCTCTTTTTGAAGAAGATTTATTTTTTTTGTGCTAGCTGTAGTCAAGAAATTTGTAATTGCTGAGTTCTTCTCTCTAAAGGTCTGTTCAAAAGTGGTGTTACCATTGCATTGTTCTATGTAGTCCAGTATTACCTGTCCCAGTGGAATATCAAATAATATTAAACCTCTTAGTGTGTGCACTAATTTCTTTTTAAAGGCTTGCTGCTTTTCAATAAGAGAGTTACATTTTTCGATCGAACTTTCAGATTTTCGAACTTTATCTACCATATAGGAATACCGTAATTTGTATTGGTCAATATCTCTAAGCAAATTTTCATTAACTTCTAGTAACTCGAAGTAATGATCTAGATATACCGACATTTCAGACACCAAACAATCAGAACGATATATTAGATTTCCAGACCTTAATTCTTCTTTTATTGATGTTAAATTTACCAACAAACTAATCAACTCCTCAAATCCACCATTTATTGTAATTGCTTGGTATTGTTGCTGAAATTCCATCTCTAAGTTTCTAAAGTTATTACCAATTCTTTTCAAATAGTCCCCATAGCAATTACTTATTGCCCTTCCAATGTCAATATTGTAGCAAGATCTCAATTTTGTTATTCTCATCGAGTTGTTATATTTAGTGGGCATGTCCTTTGATTCCACATAAGTATCTATTGGTGTAAAACCATCGAGCTCATCTTCAATATCATTCAAGATCAAGTTGTCATTATCCATTGAAAAGAGTAACTTATCTGTAATTTCAAGAGCGGATAAATTCCTTCCATTTTTGTCAGCTGTACTACTGGATTCTATATCTTTCAGGGAACTAACCTTTCTTTCCTCTAGCAGTGGATTCTTGTTTATTTGTGATGGATTGGTATTATGCCTATAATTTGATGGATGGGAGAGTAAGTTACTTGCGGGACTAGGAGATCTTGGAGAAGAATTGATTCCAACACTATTGTAAATTGGTGTTTTAGTTGGTGACAATAGCGTTTTATTATTTAACTGTAAAATGACAGGACTAAGATTCTGGCTCATGCTTCTGAGATGTCCTTCATTTTCATCTAAAGCATTAGAGTAGAATATATCCTTAACAATACCAAAAAATCCTCTTTTATCCATTTGTCAATAATTTTTGTTATTATTATTATGATGTACAAATGTTCCTTTAAACAACTTACTCAAATATTCAACAAGTCTATTTTGGTATCGGAAATTTATGTGAGTCGTCGAAATAACCAATTCCTAGTCGTTAATAACAGTATTTTAGTGGATGTGTTTATAATGTGTTACTCCATAAGCAGAGAATATTTTGCCTTTATTGTCAGCATTTATTATGTAAAATGCTTCAGCTGGTGTCTTAGCAAATCAGTAATTTTTGTGTTAGTTTCCTTATTTGTGACTCTTCGCGCTTCACCACTAAAAACCACAAAAATATAGATGTACAATTAGACATCATATCAAAACAAAAAACATTTTTTTGCAAATTACACATTAAAGAGTTAGTCATTTCAATCTTAACAGTATAAGATTCTTTTGGCTACAATCGTTTGAACATTCAATTAGCAAATAGTAAATGCTTCTATAAATTAAATAAGTCAAAATCTTAGGAAAAAAGACGCTAAATTGAAAAAAAAAATACAATATAGTCAACATCAAATTGAGATTTCTTAAGCAGATGGTCACTGTTGCTATATATCCTTCGAATGAACCAATTGGCCACTAACCCAGGTATATTTCACATTTCTGTCGTCACCATTGAAAAACCATTTTGCAATTATATCCTCATGGTTTAATAACGGAGGTTGATTCCTAATTCCTTTTATGGCTTTGGTTCCGTTTAGTTTTTGCCAATAAAATAATTGGACATTTGAATTTGGAACGTCTAGTGATATTAATTGGGTGTCAAACTGTTTACCCACATCAAAACTACCTATTTGATCTTGCATGTGTAAGACGCCAGCACCACCCATAGTGGCTAGATACAAACATTCATTGACTGATAACATCACATTTATTTTCTCTTTTTCCTCGTCGGTTTTCATAGCCAAATGGCGTGATACTAGATGAGCATGTCTTGCTGATAATAGGATATCTGCTGAGTATCCACCTGATACATCGGTCCCTAACCCTACTGAGACACCTTTCTGTAACCACCATTTTACTCTACATTCGCCTGAAGCTAAAGCTGAGTTGGATACTGGGCAATGAGAAACTCCAGAGTTAGTCTTCTTGATCAGATCAGCTTCATCTTCTGAGCAATGGATGCAGTGTGCCAGCACAGTACGCTCCCCTAGCAAGCCATGTTGATAATACACGTCAGTATAGCTCTTGCATTCGGGAAAAAGAGACTTCACCCAGCTAATTTCCTTGTTGTTCTCAGAAAGATGTGTTTGAATATGTAGTTCATTCTCCTTTGCCAACGCGCCAAGAGCTGCCAGTAAGTCCTTGGAGCAACTGGGTGCAAATCTTGGAGTTATTATAGCATTCACTCTTGGGTCGTTCAAGTCATTCTTAAAGAATGATATCATCTCTTTGCAGGACTCTATTGAGTCCTTTGCATCCTCTATATAGTAATCTGGGGCATTTTGATCCATACACACTTTACCAATCAGAGCTCTTTGACCCAGCTTGGAACATAGTGTGCCCATTAATTTTGATGATTCTGTGTCAATGGTCGTGTAATAAGTAGCTGTTGTGGTACCTGCGCTCAGTGTTCTCTTTATCACAGATGTGTACACGTCGCTGGCAATATCCAGGTCTGCCAACGATGCCTCCAGTGGGAACGTGTATGTCTCGAGCCAATCAAGTAGAGTAGACTTGCCAAATAACCCGCAGTTCGGGTACTGGGAAGCGTGGATATGTGTGTCGATGAATCCAGGGAAGAAGAACTGGCTTCCACTACCGTCTGTTGCGGCAACTATCTTCACATCACTCTCGTGTACTGTTGGGTCATACTCGCGGACAGCATCCATGGGCTCGCAGTGGTCCCTGATCAGCACAATTGTTCCACATCCATCATCAGTCATATGCACCACAACCGTGCATTCCTCCCTCACGCGCAACTGGCCCAGCACCGGCGTGTCTATAAAAGTGCCATGAAACGCTACCAGCCTATAAAGTTGTTCCCGTAAACTAACCATCGCTAGTCATCTGCAACATGTCCATTGTTCAACGTGTGAGGAATCAGCTAGGACATATATATATGTTATATTAGCCCAATTTTAAGTCATCGGAGGAGTCATCCGGTCGTTGGGATGTCATGGGCCAAGCGATAAGGATCAAACGATAAGATAAAGATAAGATAAGATAAGGGAATAATGCTTACAGCTCGAGAACAATGCCCCCTATTAGTAGGGACCGGGTGAAGCTTCCATTTAGCGACCAAGTGACACCTTTTCTCGAGACAGCTACTCGCAGATGACCACTGCAGTGAGAGCAGAGGGAGGTAACAGCTGGAAATACTTGCTAGAGTTGGTGACTCGCACCCCCCGCACAAAGGATTACGTAGTGTTCTCAGTGACAATATATATGATTACGTATTTGTGGTGTCCCAGTGGGATCTTGGAAATGGATCTGCAATTTAATAGGAGAGGATCGATCTTGTGCTTCTTGTAATGAGCAGCAAGCCTCGTTTCCCTTTGGCACCACAGGATTTGCAAATGAAATAAGAAAAAAGAGAGGCTTTGGATTTAGAAACGTGTGTTGTGGGGACTGGGGGACGTGCTAATCATCGGTCTTCAACTAGCATCTCGTCGATCCACATTGCTGATACATTTCTGCACTGCTATTGATTTCTCTGAGAGCATACCTGTTGCGAGAATTTGCTACAAGATTACATCCTTTGATCTGGAATATATAAGCTGAACTGCTCCTACAATTTGGACACGATGTTGCGGAAGGTGGCCACGAATGATAATGTGGAGAAGGCCCCTACAGGCACTACACACTGGCTTCTCAAGATAATCATGATCCCGTTCACTGCTCAATATTTACTAGTATGCGGCTACGTCATACTCCTTGGAGTTATCTTGCTTGAGAGGAGCGGTTACTCGGCATTTGGCCTGCTAGAGAAACGCCAGGACTACTTCCACAACAGCCATGCTATAATGCTGAGCTCGAGGCAGGACCTCGGTGTCAGCGGGCCAGCCCTCTACGAATTGTTTGAAAAGCACTTGCTAGATGCATACAGAATTCCTGGCAGGTATCCCGGTGGAATATCTACGCTATATGACACATTCAGTGAGTATGTGTTCAAGGGCACCTCCCATGAGAATTGCTCCGTGGAGACCTCGGCTGTCGCTAAGCTTACCAGAGATGTCACTCCACTGCCTATCCACTCCCATAATGACTACTGGCGGGATGTGCCTTTACTAAAGGGCCTTGCTTATGGATCTGTTAGTACCGAGGCTGACGTGTGGGTACACCCACACAAAGATCATCCTTACAATAGTTCTACCGACAAATTGGAAGACTATGTACTTGCAGTGGGACATGATGAGGACTACATAGACCCACTAAGAAAGACTCTGGAAAAGTTGTATACAGACCCGCTTCAAAGCTTGTTGGAAGGTGTAAACTGTGGAAAGAGCAATAACAGTAAAACTCAGAAGAATGGTGTCTTTTATACAGCCAATCACATACCACTATTTTTTTACATTGATTTCAAGTCTGATGACAATATTCTGACATACAAACTATTGCTTGAAAAGTATTTCACTCAGTTAATCCAGGCTGGCTACTTGACTTACTATGATATGGATACTGGTAAGATCATCCAGGGGCAAGTCACTGTAATCATGACTGGTAATTACCCAAATAATACAGATGTCTTAGACAATGGCAAGGCAGATGGTTATTTTGGTGACCGCAAGCGATATTTGTTACAGGATGCCAACCTGCTCGAACTCAACGAAGAGTCAGCTAAAATGGCTGTCACCGCATCCACATCACTCTCAGAAATTTTGAAGATGGTTGGCTCCAGCAACTTAAAAGTAATAATGAGAGGCCATTTGGACAAAGAAGAAATAACAGCAATTAAAAAATACATCGATAATGCTCACTCATTCGACTTGAAAACAAGGATATGGGGGGTTCCAAGTTGGCCTCGTAAGACCATGAAGAGGCTCTGGAAACAACAAATTGAGGACTTAAACTCGGATTTCCTCAACGTAGATGACTTAAAGGCCGCAGCTATGTTTTAAGATATAGCAGGTCGATGACAGTCCGTCCCAGCCTTCATTTATTCTTTCATTACTGATACAGTTACTGTTGTAGATATTATTATAACTGTAGAAATATGGCAAATTATTTAAACAAAAAGTTTACCGACAAGATCTACTGGTCTTCGTGGTCGGACCAGAAATGTAACGATATATAATGATTATTTACTTTGCTCTTTATTAATATTCACTATGATTCTGCTCTTTTATTGTGCAATTTGGCGATGAACCAGAGTTTTTCACGTTCGGGAAATAGGAGGACAATGGGTAATCAAATGACCGTCATTCCAAAGTGAACTTGAGAGTTATAAATCCAGGTGGTTACAGCTCTAGATAGGTTGCTATATTCATTTATAGCATTGACCAAAACATTGCTGGGCAAAGCATACTGAATTTTTTGCAAGATGACTGCTACAGAAGATCCGATCAAGATTACCACTAAGGAACAGGCACAGGAGTTCTTAGACAGCTTCGATACATTTTTGTTTGACTGTGATGGTGTTCTGTGGTTGGGAACCCACTTATTGCCAAACACCAAGGAGATCTTAAAGATGCTCGAGGATGCTGGCAAAAACTTAGTCTTTGTTACCAATAACTCTACAAAGTCCAGGAAACAATATACCAAGAAGTTTGCTGGTTTTGGTATTGAAGTATCCGAGGAAGAAATATTCACCTCTGGTTATGCTGCTGCTGTCTATGTGAGAGATTTCTTGAACTTGCAACCTGGCAAGGATAAGATTTGGGTTTTCGGTGAATCTGGTATTGGTGGTGAGTTGACTGAAATGGGCTTTGAATATTTGGGTGGTGAAGATGCAAGACTTAATGAACCCTTTGACGCCTCTACTTCCCCGTTCCTAGTAGATGGTCTTGACAAAGATGTCAAATGTGTTATTGCTGGTTTGGATACAAAAGTTAACTATCATCGTCTAGCTGTAAGTTTGCAATATCTACAACAGGAAAATGTGGAATTTGTTGGTACCAATTGTGATTCAACTTTCCCCCAAAAGGGTCATATTTTGCCAGGTGCAGGTTCCATGGTCGAATCATTAGCAACCTCATCTGGTAGAAAGCCAGCATATTGTGGCAAGCCTAACATGAATATGTTAAATTCCATTGTGTCAGCTAAAAAGATCAATAAGGACAGGTGCTGTATGGTCGGAGATCGTTTGAATACTGATATGAAGTTTGGTGCCGATGGTAAACTTGGAGGAACTCTGCTAGTTCTAAGTGGTATTGAAACTGAAGAAAGAGCTTTTGAAATATCTCCCGATCATCCAAGACCAAGGTATTATATCGAAAAACTTGGTGATATTTATGAACTACTTAAAAACTAAATGAAATTTTATTAGTTAAACGCGAAATAATTATTGTTAGTTTGTTTATACCAACTTTTAATAAAAGTGAGATAGAAAGGAGTGATGTCTGTTCTCTTTAGATATTAGTCGCCTTAAAATTAGACAACATAGAAGAAGCAATAGAAATTTATTTTATCGAATCTTTTGTCCTTGTGTTTTCTTTCTGTATTATAACTTCCTTGGATAAAAGTGTTTGGAGATGCTCACTGATATAGCTCTGGGTTTTTGGCTCCGTACCTCCTTCAATATCACTCGTATCGTGTCCAGAATTTTCTGGGATAAGTTGTTCTTGACGCCTAGCGAGTAGATCCGCTGTTTTATGGAACTGTATAAACAATAGTTCAGATCTTACCATTAAATCTCTCCAGTTCATCTTACTATTAAGATCATTAAAATACTTTATTACCTGATCAAAAGTTTGTAAATTGTTAACAATTGGTGAACTATTCTTCTGAAGTATAGCAAGCATAAAGAATAATTGGTATTGAGAAGAATAAAAATCGGTGAAAAACACCTCCCAAATATTGAATATATCGTCGTAATTAAATTCTCTTTTGAACCATACCAAAAGCATCCTAAAACAGAAAAACAAATCCGATGAATCACACTTTTGTAAATGTGCACTTAATCTTGGGAGCATCAACTGGCACAAATCAGTCAATGCCAGCATTTGATCTCTTATACCAGATTGATCTCTTAAAAAATTTCTTTCCATTCTTTCCATGAAGTTGGTGAAGCACCAAAAAGTAGTCTCCTCATCACGGATAATGTAGTACAATGGTGATAGTAAATCCGTCATACCCTGTACATAGCCAAGGTTGGGATTAAAGATGTTGTAAGTAGTTAGAATATCTGCTAACTTCTTTAAATTAGGATTTTTTATACTATCATCATCGTCGGTGGTTGGCGCAGTATCTTCAGGGAATGGTAAGTTGTCTGAAGTATTGTATTTATAAATATCGATATTCCGGTCATTCCTCTTGACATCTTTTTCTATCCTGAATAATTGATCCTTCCAGTATTCTTCCTCATCATTATCCAGATTTACTTCTCGGTCAACCCATTTTTGTTTCAACTCCATATATTCATCATGAAGAGCTTTTCTCAGTTGTTTCCTTTCATCCTCTGAAGAATCCCATGGGTAAACACCCAATAAAAATGGCCAGACTTCTTTTCTAGTAGCGTCGTCAGCCAAACCACCGTGGAAGATATAATCCTTTACCTCGTTAACTGTAACGGTAAGTCGTCCCTCACTATCGAATAAGGAATTCCATTTCTGCTTTGTCATTGGGTGATTTCTTTCCATTGCCCTGTTCAGTTCTTCCTCAGTGAACGAAACATCTTCATTTCCGGTCAGTCCAAACTCGCTTACCAATATTCTCCTGTAGGGATTGTCATACGATCCTTCTTGGTATCTCTCAGCTTCTTCCTTAACACTTAATGCCCATTTAGCTAAATAAATCTTAGCAGAGTCAAAATCATCTTGAATCTCAACTACTTTGGGGTTCTTCAACATTTTCTGTACGTAATAATTATTTTTATTCCGTTCTACCAATTGAACTACTGGATGCTTTTTTATGAGACTCCCTACAAATGAGCCTGTCTTAGCAGTGATGTCAGCAAACTGCGACATGAGCGACCATTTAGTGGACTCCCATTTCTGCCAAGCATCTTCCTTCAATTTAGTAACACCATCATCTTTCGAACTTGAAGGCTTCTCTTCACTGGATTTCAAATTCGCAGACGAAAAGTTTCTCAAATCTTCCAGAGTAGCATTAACTAGCCAAAATGTTGGTTCGGATTCCACCCTCTTCAACTCGACTATTGAGCCTAATGCATCCTTAAAGTCTTGTCCACCCCAGTACATTTCATTAGAGTTGTTGAATGGGTCAAATGACCTGTTGAGTTCTTTTTGCTTCGAGATGGTAGATGGGCATAGATCATCATGGAAGTACAAGACTGGGATGGATTCAGTCTCTCTTGGTGATTTTGAGTACAATATACACGACCCGTACCACCATGTGTTTGGTAATTTGAATTGAACTGAGTATAAAGATAATACAGGTATAGTAAATTGCCAATTTGAACTCAGGAAAGACCCGCTTCCCAGAAGTGTGTTTAGTTTTCTGCTGCTAACTGGTAATCGTAATATTTTCTCATTGATATTTCTCGTTTCGGCGTTGTTTAGGAAATTTATGTCTTCCTCATTAAGGCTGTTCTCTGGTATCCAAGAGATCGTTGAACTTGTTATAGTTTCGCTATTACTCTGATGGGTAATTAAAAGATAACCGGAGACATTGTCTTGCAAATTCTTTGTCGGATGAATATACACTTGAGACTTGCAAAATAGTAGCTCAATAGACATTTTGTTTATCAGTTGCAACGTTTATAATGTTTCTTCCACTTGTAGAGGTAATCTATAGCAATATGTTAGTACTGCCTTGATACTCGAACTTAATGCTATTCTTTCGATGATTATTCACAAATGAGGCGGACAAATCGTGTTATGATTCCAACAAAGCTCACTAGTAATAGACCTGCAAAACACTCTTTTCTGTTAGATAATGAGATTTTCGATATCCACTAAGTTGTAGTGGCCATCAATTAGACAAGACTAACACTAGATAGTCTATATAAAAACTCCTCTAATTATTATTAAGGGTTTTTATCTCGTAGGGTCTCTAAATTGTTATGGCACTGGTGCGAAGTGATGTCGCGATGAGATGAGCCCGGTAATGTAAATATCTGTTCAACATCCATTAATGTAGAAAGAGTCAGCCAGATCAACCGATATACATGATTAGTTCGCCAGATATTACTCATTTCTGAGATTGCTAGAAATCATGGTTAATTTTATACTAGGATCTGCTACTAAAAATAGTGGTAGAAGTATATTAAGTTCCTCATTGCGGGGTACAATAAAACAGTGAATCGTATAATTATAAAGATTTTACTAATTTCCCCATACCAATACAAATAAAACTCAGCACATTATTAATAGATTTAGATAATCATTTGTGTATGTATTTTGCTAGCACTAAATGAAGAGAACAGCCCCAAGTCTATTATTGATAAAGACTGGAAATAATAATTCAGAAAGAGTCAAAACAAGATATAATAATATTTACACTACATATATTTCAGAAATGTATTTTCCATTTAGACGAGATCATCAAGTATCATTATTGGGTGGAGAGTAGAGTAATTTTTCTCGACCTATGTGGAATGAGCGTATGATCTAACTGGAAAAGGAGGAGAAGATGCCAACATGTTCATTTTCTAGTAGGTAAAATTTATCAAGTTGTCCGAGTTTGTGGAATTCCTGGCTCTCAATGTATGACAAATTAGAGATGAGAAATCCAGTATCTCGGAATTTATAAATTTGTTTTTGAAGGAAATGCGTTACTAATCCTAAGTATTTCATGGCAATTGAGAGGATCAGCTTGAAAACATTATACTACTTTATTTTCTTTCTTTTTCTTATATGAGAAAGCCATAGTCATGTGAAACAGCTAACTTTATAATTCCTTTTTTTCACTTTGGATTATAATATGAGCGTTCCTCATTTTATTCCATATTTCATAATAAAATAACTACACTACAACTTAGTACGATATTAGTAAAGTGAATAAACTCGAAGTTTATTTTCTTTATTGCCCCAATGAGAGAAACCATCGTCTTTTAGAAATGGGTGTTTTATTGGGCTTCTTAAAATAAAAGTAATTATCAAAGCAGATTAATTATCTTCGAAGAGAAGGGTCTCCTAATTTAATTCAACAAAGAAATTTTCAAGAATCTATCGTGTAGCTCATTCAAGTTAATTAAACCGAGTAACAGTTATCCTCTAAGATTTGCTCCCCTTACTGACAGTAAACTAGTATGGAGTTGTTTCACGGTGTTAAAATTCCTCTCCAAATGATGGAAAGGGGAGTGCGAACAAAACACATCGTGTACTATATACGTAATTTCAGAAATTCTTCTGGGAAGTAAGTGTCCTATATTCGGGAATATAGGGTAAACCTATCATGGAAGGAATTCTACAAATTCAATTGCGAATCATAACACGACCCCAGCCCAAGAGACTTGCGTAGCTATAACTTCCACTGAAAACTTAATATCGAATTAGAAACAGAACGAGATTTTTTGAAAAACAATTCCGAGAAATTTTATTCATTTTGTTCTTGTTTCTTTTATTAAGTCCTGTCAGTATGAAAAATATCGCATTTAGTGCCACAAGAGTGGGATGGGGCAACTTGTTAACAGGCCATGCCCTATATCCTGAACTTTATTATGGCCCGGTATTTACGGAATATCTGAGCTTGATACCCGAGCTTGTGGAGAATATAACTACATAGATGGCACTACACACAGAGTATCGGCTCATAAGTGTATTAACTATTATTGTGCCGTTACAGACACATAACACTATATCGGAGTTCTTTTGCAAGCATTTGTGATAGTTCTTGCAAGTACAACTTCGGCTCCAACTACAGCACTCCAATCCACTTAATCACTGGTCCCACAAGAGCCAAGCATTGACGGTCTGCTCCCCTCCACTATTACAGACCCTACCAGGTAGCATCGAAGCTATAGTAATTATTCCCTTGCCCGTAGTATTACACTGTTTCTCTATCGTAATTATCGAAAGTATTCGTCTAAATGTAAAAATCTTCTTTTTTTAGATTCTTTTTTCGTCTCTTCCCCTCTCTTCGCTACCCTACGCGATATCTTAGCGCCGCTCTTCTGCATCCCAGATGTTAATATATTTTGGCTTCTATGTTTGCCGAAGTAACCTGCTCGGGTTGTGGGTGAATACAAGTCGCTCGTGCGGGTGTGTCTGTGCTATTTGTGCTGATTTTTGTTCACCAACAGAAAATAGAAGCTAATTTTGCTCTCTTCATGGAAGCCGAGATTTTCGCGGTTGTTCAGGGGTTTGTGTGTGATCAACGAAAAAGAAAAATAATCTACGAAGAAGCTGGCATCGAAGAAGCTCATTCGCTTTCGATCTAGAGAAACGGCCGTGCAGATTGCAAAGTTTACCTAATTTTAAAATGTCTCGGAAAGGGACGGAGGGAAACGAACACACGATAATTCGGGCTTGTGCGGCTACTCTGAGTGCCAATCACAGGGAAAGAGGGGGGGGGGGGCAAAAACATATATTCTTCTTCTGTTGAACAGAGGGATCACGTAGAGCAAAAGATAGACGCTTTCCTCCTTCCTCCCCCCTTCCACACAGTAACCACGCAGGTGAGCTCCACTGTCATACCCTATAGTGTGGATGGAGTAAAGAAAACAGTTCTCTGCGCGGGTTCGCATGCTGGTTTCCCCTCGGATAACGAAGAAATTGATTTGTTTAGGAAAAAAGTTGATCCACAGACTCTATCGCAGAACATAGGAGCTATTACTGATTTCTTACACAGAACTGATGTTACTTTCCATTTACCATCACTTGTGAGTGTTAGCGAATATGGCAATTGCTAACAGTTTTCGGATAATAAGGAATATTTCCAGTTGAGCTGGCAAATTGCATACATTTTAGTGGTGAATACTGACACTAGCAAAAAATATACTGCTGTGTGAGTGTGCAAAGTTGATAGTGCCACATATGGGTGTAAGTCGCAAGACACAATTTGTAAAATCGTTTTTTTTTTTCGCCCACTCTAGTTTCTGTTTTTATTTATTTTAGTATTAATTGGGAAAATATTCTATACTTTCAATCCATGGCAGACCCCTAGGCTGGATCATGATCGATATTATTTCTAATGACTTGCGATTTTTATTGTTCTTTACAATTTTTTTTTAGATCAGGATCGTGATTATGTGTATTTTACACAGAACCAGAACTGAATATTACATTTTTTTTTCCTTATCTGAATCATTTTACATAAGCTGATGCTGTGTACAATCTACTCTTCGTTGGGGGAATTGGCTCAAGGAACCTGTACTTACTGTATGTGTTCGACTGCCAAAATCTGTCTTATGTAAATATTTTTATTATGGGCGATAAATTTTTCATTTCTGCGCTGTGATCCCCTCCCACCTTCCCCATATGGCTCTTAAAAAAGGATCAGAATAAGAAAAGGAACGAAAATTTTTTTATCCTTCTTAGCTACACTGTAAGTAGGTATAATGTCTGTACAGTGCTGATTAGGTTCTTTGACTCTATTTGCGTTCTCTTGCCCCTTCCATAGAAGAAAAGCATCGGATCAGCATTACCAAGGTGATGTTGCAGATGGGAAAGGAGTAATAGCGTAAAGAGGTAGTTGACCTTCGGTGCATGTGTATTTGCAGTTGTGATTCTTCTAACCCCTCCTTCTTAAGGACAGACACACAGACATACAGATATACACAGAGAGACACATTTCATCCATGTGTATGTAGTCTTTGCTCAAAGCTTTGCACTAATATGCCACTAGGTACAGTGACAGACATAATGTGGTACATAAAGAATTGCTCACCTACATAAGCCCACAGTTCAACTTTTGGAATACCAAACAGCGACCAAGGAAAGAGCCTTCGGTTATAAGGATACCGTAGTCAATTTAAGATGAAGGTTTAAATAAAATTCTCTCGATCCTGTTTTTTGCAGCATTTATTCAGTTCATATAAATATAATATATAATACTGTAGGAATAATTGATTGATCAGTTGACTACCATTTTCAGAGATATATATTATTCTGGATACCTACTTTTTACGTTATATTTGTATATTTGCCTATAGTCAATAAAAAAATAAAAAACGACAGCGAAGAAATTGAAGTAATAGCAGACCTATTGGTTCAGTATCTCTTCCAATATCAGAAATCATCAATTGCAAAAATATCTTAGCAATACATAGTCTTCTTTTGTGAAATTACTGCAAATAAAGAAGTCAGAAACTACACTTCATTTTTTCATCCGTTCAAAATCTGTTGCTATTGTGGTTGATATAATTCTGATCCACATATCATCAATTGTATTTCCAGCTGCTGGCTAAAATAAAAATCTGCTTCATTACTGCTACATATTTGCGAAGAGAAAGAAAAGCTGTATACTTCAGCACTTATCAACTCATTTTAATTTTTTGCCCTCTGTATTATATTAGGTTTTACACATCTGCAAAGGCATTGTACTATATTCCTCTATTACCAAAGAGAAAAATTAATTTGCTACAAAAATACTCAAGCTATCTCAAATTGGATATTTTGTTTAATCAGTTTGAATAGCAACAAACACTTTACTAACAAGCTTATATTATACTTCTATGACGGGTATTATTTCTCTTATATTGAAATTAGAGCTTTGAAGTAGATGTATAATCAAAGCGCAAAGGAAACTAGCCAAGACCAACATAACAACAGTGATGAAACATATACTGATAGTTTCTCTGATACCGAGCATAAAAATAAAAGCTTTCATTTATTTGATAGATATGTATCAAATATGGCAGCGCTAAAGCTCTACAGAATAACAGACATGTTCAATGAGACCGCTGGACAAATGGATCATCCACAACATTGGTTTCATTTTTCATCGATCACATTTATACCCAATGCTAAGATTAAATACTCTAAAGTTGGTGGACCAGATGATGGAAGTGTTTATTTTGAGCCATCGTTATTGCCTATGATAGGAAAGACGTTGGCTACTAATAACGTTATTAGAATTCAAATTACGGTAAAGAATATAGAAAGTAGACTTTTACGAGACTTTTACGTTTACACAGAAATGATTGTATCAATCGAAAGTACATATTCTGATTCCAGTAGCATTACAGTAATTGCTAACATGAGATTATTCATGAACAAATACTTCAAGATTGAATGGGCTGATATAAAACCGCAAGCATTTATTCCCAACGTTGGTTGGCAAGCTATAGAGGAGGTTCTTTATAAGAATCCTAGTATGATAAATACTTTTAGATCATTGAGTAGAGATGATAATAGTAATGCAAACTTTAACAGCATTGGTGCCAATATGATGAATGATTATAGTAGCCAAAATAACGCGGAAAAGTTTGAGGCAATCACAAAGTTTAGATCAAACTTCGAGGTATTCCGAAATGTTTCCATATATGGTACACATGATGACATTATTAGAGTGATGCAAATAGGTAATGTAGTCTCTGCAATGAAGAATATTCAAGAATATCAGAGGCTCCATAATATTGTAAGCCCAATTGAAGCTTTTATGAAAACAGCAAAAGAGTTTAAGGAACGTCAGAAAGAAGAGGACAAGTGTACCTTCAAAGAGATGAGTGGATTAAAAACGCCAGATAGAAAAAGAGCCAGGAATACTAATGAAGATCATGACACGATATATGTCGATAGTTCTACTCCAAGCCCTGAGTCAGCTCCACAAACTTCTAGTGAATACTGTAAACAAGAACCTGGAACCAAAAGAAGAAAAACAAAATAATATATCACACGTCAAGAAAAATACATGCATAGCAGATTATAGATTTATTCTTTTCCTCAATTATCCATTCATTCGATTGCTTTTGTTCATTTTTTCACTTTTTCATTTATTCAATTATCAATTTATCAAATTATTCATTTACTCATCCATCATGTTTTTTTCTGGATTGCAACCATCTTATAGAGCAGCAGGAAATGTAACCATTACGTAAATCGGGCATGTTAAAATTTACTGATGAATTTGCTTTTAGTTGATTAAACTTTACTTGCAGTACATTATTATTTATTCCTATTTTAAATTTGAAGACTTTTTTTTAAACAGTTCTCAGCTTTTTTCCAATAAAATATTCTATAAAATAATATAAATAGAATAGTTTGTATTTATTTGATAATAAGCAAATAAGTTCAATCTGTTGAGCGGATATAATGTATCCATGCTATTCATTTTATGACGTTCGTCAATAATGTCATGATCTGAGTATTAGTCATATGATGTATTCGTATATCTTGAGTTTTAATCTTACTTTCAAGAAGATCATTGGGATGCAGCAAAACGTTAGTGACAGCAAGGAAAGATACTATCATGGAATAGTCATCGAGGGGACCTACATTAATCTTGGATGGTTAAGCATAATAAGTGAAGTAGTTTGGAGTCAATTCGATCCGCCACACCTTAGGAGTTTGTTTGGAGTCACTGTAAAGAAAATTCTGAAACTATAAAGCAACAATGATTAACGAAGGTCAATTGCAAACTTTGGTTATAGGTTTTGGTCTAGCGATGGTAGTTCTGGTCGTTGTTTACCACGCAGTTGCATCAACTATGGCTGTAAAAAGAGACTAAGCGGATTATAGCAATTATTTCATGTATGGATAAAACACAGCATCTTGCATATTTTGATTTCGGAATCTTTTGAAGGCCAGTATTGATACTCAGTGTATCAAAGTCTGAATAATTATTTTTGTGTTTTGGAGGTTTCTTAAGGTTTTACTTATCAGTTTATTTGAATTCATCTGGTATGTTGAGAATAAAATGCTAAACAGGTAATATTGAGAGCTGCCCGAAATAATATCGTTGGCAATGCAGATTGTTCATTTTTATCTTTTCTATCGCTATTATTGTGTATGCCATATCATATTATTCCAACTTTGTTACAAATCTGATACAATATACTACTATATGTACTTTAAATCATTACTATTGTTTATATTATTTCGTTAAATTTTATGCTATATACCGACAATCAGCCGTGACGGATGCCCAGGAGGATAACTAGTGTAATGTAATAAGAATAGCATTTATCATAGTTAGAATATGCTCTCTTCATAACATCAACAACATGTTTAATAAAATTCTTCGCCCAAAATGTCTTTACAACGCTTGACTACGTCATGTACGGCTTCAGCGACATCAGTGTATGCTCTAGCAAAAGCTATTCCATGCACTTCAGTCCAATGATATTGTTCATAATCAATGTATTGGTTTGAAGAGTTTGCAGAACTATCTACCTGAAGATGTTTTTTGAACATCATTTTCTCCAACGTGTCGTCATTATAATTGATACCCTTAGCTTGGTTAAATTTGTTTTCTCCTGTGGCCTTCATTTTGCCGATTGCTTCAAATTTAGCAATCATGTCATATAGTTTCTTCCTAGATAGTATTGGATTTGGTAAATAACGTGGGATTTTGTTCTTTGATCTGAAACAGTTAGAAAGGATGTAAAAGACAAAAACTACAGAAGCAACACTATCCCTTCTTAAAGACATAAGTGCTCTGCTGACTTCCTTATCATTATCTTGTTCCCAAATTTCAAAGTATGTACCCGATATTCTTGCCTCAATGATTTTCTCCAAAAGAAATGAACAAGAATTAATTAGAGAATTATATTTCACTGTAGAAAAGTTGGAGATAAACTTTGGTTCCACCGAAGCTTTGTCCAATAATTCTCTGATTGCGGTTATACTTTGAGTCAATCTGACTTCTCTTATATGTGCTAACGCCAAAGCCAAATCAGTAGGTTCATCATTTGCATCTCTGTATAAATATCTATCAGAAACTGTCTGATACGATTGGCTTAAATGGGCTAAGAGTGAAGACATTGAAATTCTTAGTTCGACCCTAGCTTTGAATGACCAGACCACCCAGTTAATAGGAATCGACAAAGAGATACCGATTAGCAATGCTAAGCCAGTAATCCAAGTATTCTTCCAGATCTTCGAGGTATTGTGATTGTCATCACCTTTACTGTAGGGTTCTAGGCATATTACTGCAAAGCAAAGTAAAGAAGTCATACTTGATTTAGTATTTTTGTAAACCAAAAAGTTCAAAGAAATTGGTACAACTAGTATTGCCGCAAAAGTACAAATAACATACGGACTACTAAAGTGCCTGGCTTGGTTTGCTGCCCATCCCCAAAATATACCCAGAAGGGCATATCCTACTCTTCTCACTGGAGAGCTCCACGAGCCAGAATATCTTCTGTGTACCAGCAGATAAAATATCATCGGACACCACCAGCATTGAAACTCTTGATACCAATGATAAGATTCGGGAAGCCACGCGGGAATGCAAAGAAAAACCATAATGAAGACGACTTTAATAGACCACTTCATTTCAGTGCCAGATAAAATAGTTGTAAATCTCCATAAATTATAACGCCATTTATTCTTAGTTGAATGAAAGTTAAAGTCAGTATGGTCCATTGCTCGAATAGTTGCGCCTAATTTTTCATTCTTCTCGTCTTTGTTATACTTATGGCGCGATGTGTATGCATTGTACAGTCGTTCGAATATCTCATCAACATCCTTTTTAGTTTCAAAATAATGTAAAACATTTCCAGCACCTTCATCTAGTTCACACTGTTTGGAAAGTCTCGTGAGAGCTCTGTCTAAAGGATAATTAGGTAATAGCAATCTCCAATGAACGTCTTCAAGGAGTTTTTCGCAATCATCAATGACTGTTACTAGACCTTTTGCGGAATTTCTGATATATCTCAAAAATAAGAAGCAATCCACACATGCCGTATCCTTCAAAATATCTGGCCCAAAATAACTTGATGACGTAAAATTACGATAACACATATCGAGTTTGTATATTCTGTGTTTTAACCTGGCGTTCAGTTCGGTCAACGTCTTCTCTATGTTTTCATTTTTGTTTCGGTTAACCATATCTAAAATATTAGCTAAACTCTCTAACACTGTTATCATTTCAATAAGTAATGAGAATATGTCTTTGGAGAAAGATGACCTCAAAATTGATAGATAAATATCCTTCTGGCTGAAATCTCCCTTCAGGATCCGGTTACTCAATTTAGTCATAGACCCAGATGCAAAATGTTTTCCTAAGGGAGTAGATGCGCCTGTGTTGGCTTGCGAGTTGGCCAAGGATTGACCTTTAGAAAGAGCTGATTTTTCTAAGGCGTCATACAATTTTGTCAAATAGGCTTCATCCAATAATTCACTATTTACCGGAATCACTCTGAGGGGACTTACTAAAGCAGTTAAAGAGTTTCTCAAAGTTTTCAGTTTGATTCTATCATACTTGGAAAATGATATCTGTGCTGATATCTCTCTATATTCTTGGGCTAGACCGACATTCAATTGTTGAATCATGTTCTTTTGGTGTTTATCCTTCCTATCAACATTAGCCACATTTTCTTTATCGATCAAAGAAACTAAGAAATCTCTACATGCGAATAATGACTTTCTATATTCTCTCACTAAGCTGCTGTTTCCCGTTTGTGGGAAGACGACAGCGCAAATAAAGCATGATAATAATATGCCAAAAAGATAAGAAAGACCAAAATCCCAATAAAGTTTCCAGTGTAAGTCATGTTTATTGTTAACCAATTGTACAGTATGCGTGAAAATAATTGCGACTGAGAAGGAGTTAAAGAAGTAGTTTAATCTTCTGTACAGCTCACGCACAAACGTTGAAAAGAGCAATGCCATAAATAAACTTTGGAATAAAATAGCACCCTGATGTGAAGCTACTGGATGTGTAGCAGTGGATACATACCAGGCTAGTGAGGCCCAACCAAGTCCAAATGCAGCACCACTGATGGATAATATTGAGATTTCTAACTGTATTCCTACATTTCTCACTGGATGGTGTATCACAGCAGCAATGGGTAAGAAATACCTATACCTATGACCTAACCAACTCCCAGAAGGATGTATAGCGCAAATTATGAAGGCAACAAAGAATGTGATGCTGAATTTTAGTATTGATATCACATTATGGCTTGCATCTTCTAGAAATCTAGTGGACAATACATGTATATCGTTCTTGACAGTGGTGTGAATTTGCGATGTCAACCGTTTCGGTACATTTGTGTTATTTTCTGTAATACGATTATCTTCATTTGTTGGGTCACTTCTAAAATCGGGTTCCGGTTTTGCAAACATTGCATCAAAGTAGCCATCTCGCAGCTCTTCAAGCAAGAAATCTTCGATCTCGTCCCATTGTTTCTCCTTGACCAAGTTATCGAGTCGCACTTGAGAGAAAGAGCTCAGTGACCTTTGTGGTGAAGAAGCCAGTGATCTCGGACCGAGAGGTGATGTGTACTTGTTGGCTTGCTCCTTCAAATTGACCGTAGAGCTCTGGTAAAAAGGACTCGCTTGAGACAAGTCATTTAGGTGTAGGAAACTGGATTTCTCCTTCTGTCTTTGAAATCCAGACATAGTTTACCGGAGAATTATAGAGAGTTTGTAAGTTTCCAGGGTATGACTCCTTCTTTAAATATGCAAATCAATGTCTATACAGTCTCTTTAATAGCAATAAATTATGGTGTTTAGCTAACAACGTCAAAAGAACCAAAAGCTAAATAGTCCAGCTAAAATACTGAGTCCCTAGCAGTCCAGATGGCCTGTGTTGCGATGCGATGACTATTGATATATATTGATATAATGAATTTTAATTTTTTCACAATGCGTTCTCAGCTGAAATTTTAAGTTGGACCCTTCCCCATTGTTCAGACGACGGGCCTCACCGAGCAGAGCACAGGACTTCAGAGGCCTCGAGGCAGAGCTTCAAGACGGGTCCGTAAATCACTCAGGTATTGGTATGGGCTAATTAGAGTTGGTTAATTTGTTGAACTGTTATTATCATTAAAGAATAGCGCAGTGCTGGAGCAGGAGCATACTTGGAGAGATGAGGCCGTGGTATATCGATCAACCGGATGTCGAACTGCTACGAAAGTTCAAATTTATTCAGAACCAGGAGGATGAGAGGTTACGTGAGGCGACTATAGTCACTGCTGATGTTGAAGTTGAGAAGCGATGGTCGCTTGGGGTCAGTATACTGGAAAAGAATGACGCCAGGAACAGGTATGTTAATATTATGCCTTATGAGCGGAATAGGGTTAAGCTTAAAGTTGTCAATCCGCGAATAAATAACGACTATATCAACGCGTCCTATGTTAAAGTTGACGTGCCCGAGCAGAGCATGAATCCAGGTTACTATATTGCCACTCAGGGGCCCACTAAGAATACATGGCAGCAATTTTGGCAGATGTGCTACAACGAGTGCAACCATGGAGATATCGTGATAGTAATGGTGACTCCGCTGGTGGAATACAACCGCGAGAAATGTTACAAGTACTGGCCATCCTCTCCGAAAGAAGGCATCTTCGTTTCACCCAAATTGCAGAACCCAAGTGGTCTTGATGGTGACGTATCCGAGTTTCGCGATGAACTAAGCATAGAGTATATAGACAGTGAGCGCATTGATGATACGTATACATACACAAAGTTGAAGATCGTAAGTCAGGGTGGGTCTGAGAAGAATGTTCATCACTTCTATTTTGACCAGTGGCGCGATATGAGTAAGCCTGAGGAGATTGTTCCTATAATGAAACTATGTGAGCATTCACATGGCTTGAATCCTCGTGGAAACCCCATAATTGTACACTGTTCTGCGGGTGTTGGGAGGTCAGGTACCTTTATCGCTTTAGACCATTTAGTACATGATACTCACGACTTCAAGAATGTTTCAGAATTTCCCACTATTCAACAGTTGAGGAAACCACTTGCTGATTACAAAAGGGACCTTATTGAGCAGATAGTGTTGCAACTTCGATCTCAACGCATGAAAATGGTTCAGATGAAAGACCAGTACATATTTATCTATCATGCAGCAAAGTACCTGTATGATATGATAGCTTGATTTATGTTGCAATACAAAATTGATTCACTTCAAAAAAAAATGATATAATAATGAATCCATTTGAGCAACTAATGTCACAGATCTTTGATATTATTCACTGCACTAGAATATTATAATAAGATATCTACTGTTACTTATTAAATGGGAATGGATGAGTTGAATCGGGGATGAAGGCATACCTTGATCATATATACAACTACCTGAACAGAGTTACAACCATATTCTTGTCTTTAATAGAGATTTTATTAGTAGTAATATTTCCTAGAGGTCAATATTATTTTGATACCCGGTTGCTTCTTGTTTTTATCCGGGAATTTGAAATTAATTTATACATTTTAAATCTAGAGCTCTAAGGACTGATGCTAAGCATTAAGTCAAGAAAGCGAATAACTTCTTATATAGATAGATTTGCGATATAAATGAATTTTTAGATGCTCTCCGTGTTTGACTTTTATTTTCTTACTTTCTTAGGAATGAAACTTATATTAAAGAGTATGGTGGCAGACATTTAAAAGGTTAAGCATTAAACAAGTTGTCAATATTCTCTTGATATATTATTTTCCGTAGCATAAATAAGCGCAAAAACAATGGTCGTATAGTAGTCTTGCTAAATAGGCTTACAGCTAAGTCATATTGAAAACCGCCTGTGAATGGCATTATAGTTTTCCATCTAATTTTTGGTACATATTCCTCAATGGCTCTCAAATGGAAATAATGAATTTGGGAGCCATCTGTGATTAGTTGAATGTTAACAGCAGTTAAAAGTAGTTTTGACAGCATATTATTCTTCTTGGTTTGGACTGTGTATATGTGGCGACAGAGGCGTACTTTACCGGAGCATATTCAGAGATCCGTTACGATGGATATGTATTCAATTGTGAGGTTAATAATAAGGAAATTCAATACTGAAAATCAAGGCAAGTGAATTAACGAACGGAATTTTCAGGTTACCAACTTGTTCCATAATCATATTATGAGCCAGTATAATTATTTATTAATAAACAATGTAATGGAGAAAGGTAGCGGGCCGAGGATGATGGGCATTAAACAGGACAGAACAGACTTTAAACTTAATTATAACATGAAACTTAACTAAATAATATGGTTATGAAGTGATATGTCAAGGCTTATTGAACGTGAAATGCGGAGATAGATAGTAGCGTGTATATTTTACACATTGTACGTGCGATAAAATTAAATACTGCGTTCCATGAACAGATAGAGTATAGCAAGGCCATTTTGGTAATTGAAAAAAATCAAAAGTACATGCAAATACGTGTGTTTGTATTCCAGCATGTCAGGGGAAGAATAGTGGCTCAGTCCAGGTAAGAGTGTAAAATGTAAAATCAGACGCCAACAGAAGACGCCAACAGAAGACGCCAACAGAAGACGCCAACAGAAGACGCCAACAGAAGACGCCAACAGAGAGCAGATATAAGTAGTGTATGCCCATAATTAGTACTAGTTGTACCGTGTAATACGGTTGCTAGCTGTGGCATTAAGTACCTGTGTCGTGGGGGGCGGTACCTTGCATAGACCACTCGTGAACACCGCAATACAATACAATACAATAAATTACAATATAATATAACATAATATAATATAATATAATATAATATAACATAATATAATATAATATAATATAATATAATATAATATAACATAATATAATATAATATAATATAATATAATATAATATAATATAATATAATATAATATAATATAATGCAATACAGTGCAATACAATACAAGAAACCTAGTAGAAGCTATATCATGTGACTTTCCGTACAAGACACGTATAATGCGTACACTATGATAATTCCTTGTTTTGTCGTACTCAACGATTTTGCGCAAAAAGTTGAAAAATTTTCTGCAAAAAAAAAAAATTTTTTTTTTCAAATTTTTTTTCAAATTTTCAGTTTTCCTGTTTTTCAGGTGAATTTTCCTTAGAAAGGGCCGTACGAACGGGGTGAAATTTTCCATCCTTTTTGCATTTCCAATGCGATGAGCTTTGGGAATCGATGAGCACCCAATAGTGAGAGTTGTCAGAAACAATAGTTTTAGTTTGGGCTTGACATTGGTGCTGGTGTGTGAATTGGTTGATGGCAATTGTTATTCTTTGAGTAAATGAGCAAATGCAGGAGAGGGAAGGAAAAAAAATTTTCCTGGGTTTCTTAGTTTTAAAGCTGTTTGGTAATTGAATGTACTTGAATATAATTTTGGGTATAGTGTAAATTTTGTAGTTATCCGAATTACAGGAACACAACGATAAATACATTTTACAATGGCTGACGGTGTTTTCCAAGGTGCTATTGGTATCGATTTGGGTACTACTTACTCATGTGTTGCTACATATGAATCCTCTGTTGAAATTATTGCCAACGAGCAAGGTAACCGTGTTACCCCATCTTTCGTTGCCTTCACTCCAGAAGAGAGATTGATCGGTGATGCCGCTAAGAACCAGGCTGCTTTGAACCCAAAGAACACCGTCTTCGACGCCAAGAGATTGATCGGTCGTCGTTTCGACGAGGAGTCTGTCCAGAACGACATGAAGACCTGGCCTTTCAAGGTTGTCGATGTCGATGGTGCTCCAGTTATCGAAGTCGAATACTTGGGTGAGAACAAGCAATTCTCCCCACAAGAAATCTCCTCCATGGTCTTGACCAAGATGAAGGAAATCGCTGAGGCTAAGATCGGTAAGAAGGTCGAAAAGGCTGTCATCACCGTCCCAGCTTATTTCAATGACGCTCAAAGACAAGCTACCAAGGATGCTGGTGCCATCTCTGGTCTAAACGTCTTGCGTATCATCAACGAACCTACCGCCGCTGCCATCGCTTACGGTCTAGGTGCCGGTAAGTCTGACAAGGAAAGACACGTCCTGATCTTCGATTTGGGTGGTGGTACTTTCGATGTCTCTTTGTTGCACATTGCTGGCGGTGTCTACACTGTCAAGTCCACCTCCGGTAACACTCACTTGGGTGGTCAAGATTTCGACACCAACTTGTTGGAACACTTCAAGGGTGAATTCAAGAAGAAGACTGGTTTGGACATCTCCAACGATGCCAGAGCTTTGAGAAGACTAAGAACTGCTGCTGAAAGAGCTAAGAGAACTTTGTCCTCCGTCACCCAAACCACCGTCGAAGTCGACTCCTTGTTCGAAGGTGAAGACTTCGAAGCCTCTTTGACCAGAGCTAGATTCGAAGACTTGAACGCCGCTTTGTTCAAGTCCACTTTGGAACCAGTTGAACAAGTCTTGAAGGATGCTAAGATCTCTAAGTCTCAAATCGACGAAGTCGTTTTGGTCGGTGGTTCTACCAGAATTCCAAAGGTCCAAAAGCTATTGTCTGACTACTTCGACGGTAAGCAATTGGAAAAGTCTATCAACCCAGATGAAGCCGTCGCTTACGGTGCCGCTGTTCAAGGTGCTATCTTGACCGGTCAATCCACCTCCGACGAAACCAAGGACCTATTGTTGTTGGATGTCGCTCCATTGTCTTTGGGTGTTGGTATGCAAGGTGACATCTTCGGTGTCGTTGTCCCAAGAAACACCACTGTCCCAACCATCAAGAGAAGAACTTTCACCACTGTCGGTGACAACCAAACCACCGTTCAATTCCCAGTTTACCAAGGTGAACGTGTTAACTGTAAGGAAAACACTTTGTTGGGTGAATTCGACTTGAAGAACATCCCACCAATGCCAGCTGGTGAGCCAGTCTTGGAAGCTATCTTCGAAGTCGATGCCAACGGTATCTTGAAGGTCACTGCCGTTGAAAAGTCCACTGGTAAGTCCGCTAACATTACCATCTCCAACGCTGTTGGTAGATTGTCTTCTGAAGACATTGAAAAGATGGTTAACCAAGCCGAAGAATTCAAGGCTGCTGACGAAGCTTTCGCCAAGAGACACGAAGCTAAGCAAAGATTGGAATCTTACGTTGCTTCCATCGAACAAACCGTCACTGACCCAGTCTTGTCTTCCAAGTTGAAGAGAGGTTCTAAGACTAAGATTGAAGCTGCTTTGGCTGACGCTTTGAGTGCTCTACAAATCGAAGATGGTAGCGCTGAAGAATACAGAAAGGCTGAAGTTGGTTTGAAGAGAGTTGTCACCAAGGCTATGTCTTCCCGTTAAGGTTGAATGAATAAATATATTTCATATAAGTAATTTCATGTTCATTTTGTTTAATATCCTTTTGAAACATTTGTACCTTATTTATCATTTAAAGGAAAAATTATAACGCTCTAGAATAATGGTTTCAGCTGAACTTACAATGTGGTAATGTATGGCGACCAGATCATTGTAGCTAGTTAAATTAATTTGTTTAATCAAATTTAAAATGCACTTCACTGAATTAATGTATAATATAGAACGGTTATACAATATCTATTATAAAAACAAATGAGCGGTTCATTCAGGAGAACCAGCCTCTATATTAAAAACTCCGCGCTCAATCTCGTTAACATCAAATCTCTTCTTTTTTAGTTTACCTTCCCAATCTTTATGTGGAATATCCCATTCACATTTCTGTGCAACAACCGTAGCAACGTCATCACAGAATCCAAGTAACTCTATATCAAATTCGGCATGTTTTACTGGATCCTTGTTTATTAATACTTGTGGAACATATGCAGGTATCATATTCACAATTTCGCTGACTGGGGCAACTTTCAAACTGGTACCTATACAGATAAGCAGATCACATTTCATTATATCTTCTCTGATGGTCTTATGAAACTTCGAAGGTAATGCTTCACCAAAGAATGTAATGTCAGGTTTTAGAACTCCGTAAGATTTCAATGCAAAATTGTTATTTTGTATGCCGGATTCCAAGTTACCTTTCAATGTATCGTACTCCTCGTCACCAGTATTTGGAAAGTATTCTCTTCTTTTTTGATAACAATAAGGACATAGCGGCAATTCCATCGATCTGATGTTACTGAAAATCTTTTCTCCTGGTATTTGCCAGTGACAGGTAACACAGGATGCAGTGGCAAAAGAGCCATGACATTGAACTAGTTTTTCAGGATCTATTCCTGCGTAAGATTCCAAATTATCAATATTCTGTGTATAGTTTCTTAATAGCTTACCCTTGTCCTGTAGCATTTTTATAAAGCTATGCAAAGGTGAGTACATATTCTCCGGGGGTAAAATCATGTGGGCGATGTTGTAAAAAACGGATGGATCTTGCATGAAAATATCATAGTTGAAAACATCCTGAGGGTCGTCCAAACCTAAATGTTGAATCTTGGAGTAAAAACCTTCTGAAGATCTGAAATCCGGAATACCCAAGGATGTTGATACACCAGCACCTGTGAGCACCAATATTCGTTCAGCTTTTTTTATTTTGGAGACAAAATGGTCTATGGTATAAAAGTTGGATAATCGAATTCTTGTTGCTAGTACTCTATTGATAGCCTTCTGTAAATCTTTGATTAGTTTAACAGCCTCTTTTTTTTCCAAAGGATCAGTGAAATCTTCATATTCGAGCTTGAACTGGTCACTACTTTTCACTGGATGGAAAAATCTATAAAGACTCGATAAAAGTTCTTTGTCTCTAATCTCAAAGCCCAATAATTTGATCAACGAATAGATATAGAGTGAGTTCAGCTCTTCCGGTAGGTAAGTGTCCAAAAACTTACGAAGACCGTAGTATTTCAGAAACTTTCTCGCGTTCAAGGATTCGTCTTTCGAATAGTTAGGTAAGACATACTTTCCATTTTCTGGGTTCATACCGATACTTACGGGTGATTTTTTCGGTATCTTGGGTAGTAACGCGGCTTTTTCAGGCTCATCCATCTCCTCTGTTGTATAAGGGGCTCTAATCTCCTCGGTGTTCAGCCCATCATCCGTTGTGTCATCTGTCATCTCACCTACAGATATCCGTGGCTTCTTCGCCACGGGCTCTTCATCCACATGAGAACCTCTAGATATGATCATTCCTAATTTCTTGGTCACCGGTACTTTTTCTTATATCGTAGCTCCACAACTTGAACCGGTATGGCCACCTATACACCCCTTCTATCACAACGAAAAGGGCTGATCGATCAGTACTCCCACTTCAGATCAAGTAAAATACCGTAAATCGGATTAGAACCAAAATAAACCCAACACTGCTTCCAGGTTTGTTTATTCCCAAAGTTGAGAATGTTCGCCGTCGCAGCCAGGTAACGTGGTGTGGTGTCTTCCTTCGCAACCGTATCAGTTGGTCCTCCTTGCTCTTGCTACAGCTAGTCCCACCCCCACCGCTATGTTCACTGCACAGTTGATAGTTGCGCATCGATCGGTTTGTTTGGCTTCGGCAGAAACTTTTTCACTTTTGAGCTCGAACTCTCCCGACGGGAAATTGTGGCCATTCTTTGACCATCAATTTTCACTCAGAAACACTCGCAGAGAAGACTTCTTTCCTCTGCAGAAAATTCGTCATTTTTGTGTATCCAAGCGTGCAATACGGTAAGAGTCATGTGATCTAACGTACTACAGTATGATAATAAACTGCGCCAGAAGCGTTGCTCTTTCCTGGCCAATCCATCTTAGATGAGCGTGTTTGACAACCGACAGGTACATTAGTACAACGAGACTCAGCTTGCATATTCTGCGTATCCTCCGTACTCGAATTTGCTCATCTGAGCCTTCTTTGGCGTACCTCTGGAGTTTTCCTCGTCTGCAACAGACGAGGAGACGCTGCTGTTGGGTTTGGACTCACTGTTCTGGTCCTGCGTTTCGTCTCCGGCGGATGCAGCTGCTAGCGGACCCACACCGATGTTAGCAAGGGCGATCTCAGCGCTTGTGTTCTCTAGGTTGATGTCGTTCACGATTGTGCCTGTCTCCTTCGCTAGCTCGGTGACTTTCACCATCAGCTCGATCTCTTCTCGGTTATATGTGTCTACTTGGTTCTGTAAATGGGAAATGTACTCCACTGCCTGTGTCAAGATTTGACCTTTGTTGGGTCTGCCGTCTTTTGTACCCGTACCTTTCAGTTTTGGCGCGCCAGATGCAGGCCCTGGTGTCTCGCCATTGGCCCCAGATTCGTTCCCACTACCATAGGATTCTTGGAAAAACTCAGCTGGGATTAACCGTAGCAGCTCCTGTATCTTGTCCGTCATGTTGTCGTTCCTCTTGCGTGCCGCCTTCATCTGCCCTGAGCTAGATGGCACAGACTGCGAAATAGGTGTTGACATTTTGTGTTTTTACTATAGTTTTCTTCCTTTTCACTTCAGTCAATTGGATTCCTCTTCTAAATGGCAAAATCTGTCTTCCGTCAAAATGCTGGCCAACGATTAACCTTGCCTTCTCTAATTACTGATAATTGAGTATTAAATGTATTGAATATGAAGTAGTCTTCTCAGGATGACTCTCTTGCAATACCTCTCAACCTTAACTCATCTTGAACCGAGCTTTCCTGTAAGGTCAGGCCTTCGGGCCACTTTTTCGGGAGTTTTAGCTCAACAGACAACCTTTAAGTATGTCGTACATAGTTATGTATATACGGATTTAGTCATTTGCTATAGATTATCTACATCTATCTTTTGGCTATTTAAAACTGCGAGAATCTAGTCTTAGTGTATTAAATTTTATTCAACATTTGTATGTATGGTTTATGTATGGAACAAAGTTATCTTTAGAGAGTGTAACGGATGACCTTTGATTGTTCGTATGGCTCTTCGTTGGACAGTTGATCAATGATCAAGGTTTTCAAAGTTTCTTTGTCACCGATGTGATGCTTGTACAGGAACAGGTAGGCCACTAGGTTTCCAGTGTATTTGTTCTTCAAAAACTCAATCCAATCGAATTCTTCATTGTCCCTATCACCTTGGTTGAAGTGCTCTATGTTTTCAAATGCCTTTTCAACGACTTTCTTGGCAATTTCATCATGGTCAGTTACCTTTTTGGTTTGTAGGAACAATGTTATTGCCATAGCGCCGTACAATGCAGATTTTTCACCGTAAATTGATCCCAGTTTTGATAGATCAGAGAGACATAGAGCCAGCTTCTTATTTCTCAAATTGTAATCAAAGTCTAGACAGTAATCCTTTTCTTCCTGTGACACTTGATTTAAGTAGCCGTTATAGAAATTCTCTGCAAAATCTTCCAAAAAGTTCTTTGATTCGAGTAATTGCAGACCGAAGACATCCTTCTCTTGCTCCTTTGGATAAGCAAGAACTTTTGCTTCCTCTTCTTCTCTACGTTTACGAGCAGCAGCACTCTCTTTCTTTGGTTTCTTGTTCTTTGAGCCATTTTCGATACCAGAGTCATCACTAGATCTCTTGGTTCTTATATCATGTAACTCAAAGTAGGTAGACGAAGCTCTCTTCATTGCTCTCACATACATTGGCATGGTGTACAGTTTCTTACCCCATTCTAGCATTTCAAGGTATGCTCTTGGGGTACCCTTTCTCATACAATATGAGTGGAAATCAAGTTGGTCATCTTCAAATTGCTTGTAAAATTTCGAAATCGCCAAGAATCTCTTTAGGGACAGACCTTGGAATTTATCGCAATTACCTTCAGCATCCTTTAATTCTTGGTTTTTGACTTCTTTTTCCTCTGATTCTTCCAGTATTTCGATCTCCTTTTTCAATTCTTTCAACTTATTAGAGGAGTCTAAGTATAGTCTCTGATAAGCCTCACCAAGCTCAACAATGAACCACGATGCTTCCACTAAGTGCAAGTCCTTCAAACCATTGACTGAGTCCTCATTCTTTGTGAAAAGAGAGGCAACTTCAACTGCCTCATCGATTTTATTAGCTCTCAACAGATACTTCACTGACTTACAGTTAATGAATCTGTCTTGTAAGTCCAGTTTTCTCGCTTCTTCTAGGATATCAGATGCGGAATCTAGCAATCCCAGATGCTTCAAAATACGAGCTTTCTGAATGTAAAATTCAACCATAGTTGGAGTATGGTCCATGGCTTTATCGATATATGACTGGGCTTGAGTAAAGTCCTTCAAATACAAATAGTGCTGGGAAAGAAAGTAGCACGTCCAAATGTAAGGAATCTGTTCCTTTCTTTCATCAATATTTTTCAAATATTCAAGAGCAATTTTTTCAATTGGGACAATAACCTTGTCTCCTCTAGATCTGTACAGATTTTTTAAGCTCCCAAAAGTTGCTGGAACACCCCTCTTCAACATTGGATGAATGTATTGTTCTAGCTTCTTGCTCAATTCTGTCTCATCTTGTATGAAAGTCAATGGAATGTATCTTGGTGGATCACAATTTGGATAGAATTTTTCTAGCTTTTCATATAGTGCCTTTCTAAGTCTATTGTCACCTCTGATACCTAGTGAAACTTCCAGAAGATTATAGTATTTAAAGTTGTCTGGGTTTCTTTTAATCAGCGTTCTATACATGATAGAAGCGTCCTTCATGTTACCCATTTTCATGTAAATGGAAGCCTTTCTCTCAAGGACAGCATACTTGTCAAAGATGTCCTTTTCAACATCGGTCAAATGGTTCAAGACTTTTTGTAGTTTATCAGCATTGCTTCCAGCATTACGATACATAATATCGTTCTTATACATCAAACATTCATTGTGTTCGTACTTTTCAGCTTCACTGATCTTTCCACTTGCAATCTTCTCGAACTGAGAAAGGGTGTTGATGGCTTGTTGTCTCTCGCCATTTATATCTTGGCTGACAGCCAAAGCAGTCCAGTTAGCTCTATAGCCCATATAAGTCTCCCAGTAGGCCTTTCTGGCAATTAAAGCCTTCTTGTGATCGTTGACTTGCGAGTATAGTGTGGCAAGGTCTCTGTAAATTTGATAGTTGTTGGAACCATTCTCTAAAGAAGCTTGGAACCATAATATACTTTTATGGTAATCTTTGATGTTACGCATGTATATACCGAGGATGTGGCAACACATAGCAGACGCAGTAGTACCGTTGATCTTGCTTACTGCATTCTCGATGTACTGTGTGGCCTCGTCCTTCTCACCAATTGAGTAAAGATCAAGACCTTTCAAGGCCAAGCAGTCAACATTAGAGCTCTCCTTCTTCAGCACACCATCCAAAATCTTTATAGATTTCTTGTAGTTCTTACCTTCGTAGAGTTTTAAAGCCTCTAGAAATTGAGTAGTATCTTTTGTGCCTAGCCTGGACACCGGCTTGGCCTTCACACCACCTCTTCTCCTGGACATATTCTGAGCGGTTAGTTCGTTATATAGCTTCTTTGCAATTGAATCAAAGGAGCAAGATCAATTGGCCAACTACAAAAGGTCAATTGATATCTTGTTCAGCAGTTGTGAAATATTTCAGAAGTTGACAAAAGTCTCGATGAGATGGGACTCTTCGTCAACTTTTACCGTTGAACGTGAATATTTTCGTTACGAGGCTATATAGATATTGAGAAGTATAAATATTAAATATTTCTAATTTGAATGATTATCTGGTTCTTGAAGTTGATCATGAATTCTATACTTTGTTGATCTATTTTTTTCTATTCGTCATGTCCCTTGAAGGCAATGATTTTACATTGCTCTTCATAGCCAGGTATCTGGATATAATTGATATTGTTGTTTTCCAAGTCAGTTAGACTGGTATTGTTCTTTACAAAAGTATCAGGTTCCATGACTCCAACAAACACTGTTGAAATGTTACCATCTTGTGCCATTATTCTTTGTAAGCAAGGTAGGTTACCACTCAGCCTGAAAGAGCAAGGCTCCATTGTCGTGAAAATTACTGTACCAGGCGGAACTTTGTCTGTGTTGTGGGTCTCAAAATACTTCTCCAATGCACATTGTTCTGCGTGTGTATTTCCGGGAAGTTCTCTTGAATGGCCTACAGAGAGCACTTCGGTTCCATTGACTAAGACAGCACCAACGCTGAAAGCCGTCTTTGTTGGACCACATTTGTCAGCTTCTTCGATGGCCTGTACCATGTACTTTCTATTTGGAGCTAGAGCCCATTCTGGTAACTCTGTTCTATAGCTCCATTTCTTCTTACCAGTATCTGGGTCGATTTCAGTTGATTCATACTTATATGCATGTAGCCATAAATCCAAGTCGTTTGGACCTGGATCAGTATATAGTGGGATATCGCATACTTCGCATCTATATGAACTCATGACTTCACCTTGAGCGTCTGGATGATACCAACTCTCTGCACATTTCGTCTTTCCGAAAGCATCCAGTTTAAGGACAATTTCTTCATATTTTTTTGAATCAAAATTTGGTCCCCAAACTTCAGTATTGGAATATATGGGGTCATTCGCTATAGGGTGGCCAAGAAATTGAAGATGGACTCGGATCTGATGTGTTCTACCAGTTAATGGTTTGCATTTAACTATACTAGTCTGGCCGTCAAAACTTATCCTCTGAAAGACAGTCTTTGCTGGTTTTGCATCATCTTCATTGGTGTCATCACATATGATATTAAGAGACACTTTCGGATCGTATGACTTTAGAGGTTTCTCTACAGTTATTTCACCGGTAGGAAATTCACCTACAACTCTGGCAATATACTCCTTTGTAACTTCTCTAGTTTTCATTTGGTCTGCCATTTGGTCTGCACCTTCTGGAGTCTTGGCCAAGAACATCAATCCACTTGTTAATCTATCTAATCTATTGCATGGATGTACGCTTCTCTTCATTTGCTTCTCTAGAATCTTAGTAATTGTGTTATAACGATATCTCCCTGTAGGGTGAACCGGTATTCCACCAGGTTTGTCTATGACAAGGATATCGTCATTTTCAAATACAATTTTTATTGGTCTAGAAGTGACTGGAGGTTCATGTCTGTGCATCTTATGGGTGATCATCTCACCATTTCTGAGTATAGTTTCTAAGTTAGCTGGTTTACCATTCACAGAAACGGCTCCTTTAGCAATTGTTTTCCTGTAGTGGTCGGGCTCCTGGTCCCTGAACTCTTGAGTAAATATATCAATAATTTTTCTATCTCTCCATCTTTCCTTGCAGAAAGTCTTGTATTCAAACTCATATGGTTCAACTCTGCGTAATGGGCCATCAATGACAACTGTGTACTCGGGATCAGTAACTTTTTTTCCTTCAGCGCCAGCCTCAGCAACTCGTATCTTAAATCCATTGTCGTCTCTCATCTGATTAGTAGCATCAAATTTCCGTTTCTGTTTTCTAGAATTCTTCAACTTCTGTTCCTCCTTAGCAATCTTGATCTCCCTTTCTAGATGTTGCTCAAATGCACTCGGAGACCGGGATGGGTCAGAACCTTCAATCATAGTTTCACCAATTAACCTTGCTAATACTACAAACTTTAATACTTGTCGACTGCTTCTCGTTGTTTTCACTTTTAATCAGGTCTTTATGAATAATCTTGTCAAATATATTATTTTGCATATTTTTTGCAAAATTTAAGTGATGATTTGTGAGTTTTGCTCTGATGTACTGTTGAAACTAATATAACAAACAATTGGAAGTCATAGATAATGGACAAATCATATTTACTATACGTAGAAACTAGAAAACAGTTATTAGAAGATATGTTTTGATTTCTTCAGTAAGTGTTTTTTGAATTGTGTTGATTTTAAAGTAAATTATAGAAGAAATAAAATAAAATGAGTGCAGCTAAAATGTATACCGGAGTACTACGGCGTAGCCACTCGTATGCCAATAAAGTGTCCGCAAAATACCCTAGCGTCTCATTCAGTGGCTCGAGGAGGCGTATCAGTTCGAGCTCATGCTTATTATCCTTTGTAAGATCAGGCACTTGTATGGCCAGACCCACGGCTTGATGATCTGTGAATTGCATGTGGCGTACTCTTTCTAGAGATTCATAACGAGCCTTGCCCATTGGTAATCCCGATGGGTATTTCTTGTATAGTATTCTGTCACACCATGATGGTATTCTCTTGTTATTGTAGCTGATCATGTCGCCAACTTTGTATTTATAAGTAGGGGGGAATGTTACTGGCTGTTCGTCAAACCCACGGAATATGACATGCTTAGCTCTTAAATGGTTTAACTCCTCATGCTTGCGAAGAGTGGGTTCCCATTCACTAGCTATATGAGCTTTGAAATTTGGGTCATTAACCCTGAAGTTTAAATCACCAAAGACAAATATATGCCCTTTTCTGAATTCTAGATCACTGAAATCACGGTTGCATTGTGTCATAATCCTGTCATAGTCATTGATTCTTGAGGTCATATTATCTTCACCCTCGTTGGCATTCAAATGGCAGCTAATAAATGTGAATGTCTGCAATACTGTACTCTCATTCTTCTTCAATCTGAAACTGTAAGCAGTACCACCTTTCAATGTAGAACCAAACTTCCCACAGTTTGATGTGGTAGAGGCAGAGTCATGGCACTCGATCGTCTCCTTCCCTACAACTAGTACCGCAGTTGCACCTACATAGCTATAGCCCAGTTTCTTATAATTGTTCTGTGGGAACAGCTCATCGAGAATGTCCAGGATATCCTTCAGGATGTCAATCAGAGCGGCCTCCATCCGTATCTTACCGGCACCTTCCCATATTCTGACAAGCTCTTGGAACCCAAATGCATATATATCCTGCGCATTGTTGCTGTTGAATGTTATCAGCTCTTTTAGGATTGCTAATTTCTCCTGTTGATCTCGGAATGGGAAGTCCCTGGCACAGTTCAATGTCACAACAGACACATCCCAGAGTCCATTACTGTCACTATTAGTAGTACTCATGCTAATTGGAGTGCTATTTATAATGGTAAAGACTGAAGATGTGCTCTAATTGTTACAATTGAAGGATGAACTCTTAAAATTATAATTTAAGGGAAACTTTAGTTTGCGATGACCTTGATTAATCGAATTAAGCATGGACCTTTGATGCTGTGTGTGAAAAGTTACAATTAAACTCGGAATCTATAAAGTATCTATAGTATTACTTAAGACTAAATTACATGCATCCATTATCCTCTGGAGTTGATGACATCGGCTGATGTTTTCACTATCAAGTCGTGCAAATCTTTGGGTCCACTAGAGGCAATGACACCCTTGGTCTGCAAAGTACGACCCTTACCGAAATCTAGTGGCAAATTTTCCATAGAGTCAGTGTGGTATCCACCAGCTTCCAATACTATAGTATTTCCGGCAGCGTGGTCCCAGATTTTCTCTCTATAAGACAGTTTAATTGGTAAACGTAGGTAAACGTCAGCTAGACCCAATGCCAAGAGGCAGTATTTGACTTGGGAATCCAAGTGCAGGGAGTTGTTTATGCCCAACTTGGCCTTTATTTGAGATTGTTCGTCATGGGAAGAATGAGATTTCTCAACACCTTCTAAAGAGATCATTTCACTGGTGTCCTTCAATTGTCTTACCTTGATAGGTTTCCAGTCTGGTACTTTGGTAGAACAGGTAGCATAGAACGCACCTTGAGTCTTAATAGCACTGAACAAGTAGCCAAACTCCTTATAACCCGGTAGATCAGAACCACCATACTTTTCCAGGGACAGATTTGGGCAGCCAATGCATCCAACTTGGACAATTCCGTCTATGATCAGTCCTAAACACACGGCAAATTGGTCTCCTCTTAAAAACCCCTTGGTCCCATCGATAGGATCCAAACACCAGAAACGGCCCTTGTTACCACCTTCGTAGTTGCCGCAGTCAATGACTTTACGGACATCATCTAGGGAGCTCAGTGGGTGCTCGTTGCTGGTGAACTGAATTGAGCTGTCGTTGTATTGCTTGTCAAATATCTTGTCGTTCTCCTTAATTTGATGTAGAATCTCAGAGACAAACTCATCGGAAAGACCATCAGATGACTCCTCACCTACAATTTTGTCATCTGGGAAATTAGACTTGATCGCATTGATAATTATAGTCTGCGCAGCAAAATCACCTACCGTTACAGGAGAACTATCACTCTTGGTAATAGTGGTGCTATCCCTGTGGGCAATTACATCAGCCTGAATCCTCCTGGTCAGCAGAGAAGCCTTGCGCACCGCTTGCGTAGCCACTAGTAATTCCCTTTCAAACGCCATTTCTTTTTGATGCCAAATTAAGTGCCGTCTAGACCTGCTCCTCGTAATACAATCCGTATATCTTCCTGTATCAGTCGATGCCTGAGATTGGGCAAAGGAATATGAAGAGACCGTGAGAACTCCTTCCTGCTATTTATATATGACTACTTCTGGCGAGTCCGCAGTTCATCCACACAATTTATGTGTGCATATACTGATTCACGTAGTGTATATCATGTGACATGATTAACTATGCACTATGAAGTAGTAATAGCTATATTTTGAATAGCGTAAGTTTGGTGTATATTCGATTAGAGTCTCTTGATGGTCGTAAAATGCTCAGAAGCCCCTCTATCTTTTAAATATTTGTATATATTTATATGAAATCATTGGGTGTGTAACAACGGATTTTGTTTTGAAAGTAACTGTTTGTTACCTAAACGTATACTGCCAGGGGAATGAGCACGTAGTTGAAAATATGCTTACGATAATAAACATTAGGTAAACACTATATACATAATCTAAACTATACTTGAGTCCTATCTATTTTGAATTTAGCTATGTCACTGCCAAAAGATACGATCAAATAGGCGTATTCGGCTACACCTTTGACGTCGTCTCTGGGACAATAGATGTAATCCATACCGTTGATCTCAAGGAACGGGAAGTCTATATCGTCAATGCCACAGTAAACATTCGTGCTGCCATGCAGTTTCGAGTATATGCATTGGAATTCGTCGTCGTTCTCGGGACCCAATGTATTCCACCCCAAAATGTATTCCTGTCTAAAGGAATGTATGCCTTTATACTTGGTCAATCTTAGCAAGGATATTAGACCTACTTGCGAGGCTACAGCTATACAATTCATCTCTTTGATATGACAGACAAAGTTGATCCTATTGAGAGCCATAATTGTGCCTTTAAAAGAACATAGAGTTATCGACTCTAATGGGAATATTTCATCAGAGGTGTATGACAAAATTAGCATAGGGTGTGTCTTCACTAGATACACCTTCTGTGCAGTAGTCACAAGGAGAAAACCAGAATGGAATTCCTTAAGCTTGTAGCCCATTGGATAATTTCTTGTGTTTGGCTCAATGCAGTTTAATAAGTCATGTACTTTCTTTACGTGATTGTGTATACCCCATTTTCTTTGATTCCCTTCCTGCGCCGATGCCAGTGACAGCGATGGATGCAAAAATTTGTGGTCTTCTGGTATCTCTTCATTTTCTGTGCTGGTTATTTCATTGATATTATAAGGAGCAATATCCTTCCAGGAGCCGCGATATCCAGAATGGAAAACACTCGACGCACATAACACAACATAATCGTTCGAAACTTGAGAAAATGGCTGCGAGAGTTCTTCCAAATCATGCGAGTTATATATGGTTGTCAGATAGTTCCTATTATATTGATATTTTAGCCCATTCTTCTCTCCCCATATTTGACTTTTTTGTCTTACTTTGAACAATTGTGAGAATCCGTCATTTTGTCTCGAGTTCAAGTTATTATCTAAAGTAGTAGAATCCAATACTTTTTCAATCCTTCTTTCTATATCCTCATACAGTGTTTCACTAGACAGCGCAGGAAATGCATAATTAAATCTGACTTTTTCTTTTTGAGCTGACTGAACATCGACCTTATACTGGACTTCGGTGTTGTTATGCAAAAAAAACTCTATGGTACCCCCCGGTGGTATACCCGATATATAATTTGGCAATAAACGAGCTTCTTGGATGAATCCCTCATTATCAAATGTTGTAAATCGCAGCTTCACTGGTAAATTTACCATGCCATATCTACAACTTAACTCTAACTGAGATACTGGCACTTTTACTTGTGTAGTCAGTGCCCCGATACCAAATGATTTCGTCTTATAACAATTAGAAGGGGAATTTCCTAGGATTTGACTATCTTGGCACATTGAAGATAAAGTCGATACCTTTGAAACTTTCTGATAATTCAGATTTAAAAATTCATAAGCGCTAACTTCCATAAAGTCCGCTGAAGTTAACGGTGTTACTGTCCAACAAAACTCGCCAAAAAATTGGGTGTCTTTCATACTGACGTCTATATCATTGTTTGTTTGATCGAATTTTATAGCTAGAGATGTCAAATTACCAAATATAGATGCATATACCAGCAGAAGACTACCATCTGTATTTGTTTCACCAGGAATAAATGAAAGACAAGGCACATTGTGCACTGTTATTACTTCCTTACAATGTACGGGTCCTACTACCACATTATCTTCATCATACGAAATTACAAATAAGCTTATACCTGGACCGTTATGCCCAAGAGCTATGTAGGTTCTACCATCATAATCGATTGAATCTGCACTCCAACAGCTTACCGGTGTTCGTAGTACCATATACGGAGCTATTTCAATCCTACTTGTACCATGTTTGTTATCCTCAATGAACATAACTATTGTTGCCAGTGAGTAGAATAGAACTATCCCAGAATCACAGCACAGACATAGATAAAAACCACCTTTGATTTCCAATATTTTCATATAATTGATAGTCACATCCATCAAATTTGTGGATATGAAAGCATCTGGAATTTTTAATTGCTCAGTCATTGTAGTCTCATCGATATGCGCACTCCAATCGCTCAATTTCAGATAAAATAGCTTTGAGGCTGCTGTTAAACATGCTCTATTATGTATTTCAACTGTTGAGGATCTACCGATAATGATATAGTCTCCAAATATCTGCATCAAGTTATTCTTAAAACCGAAACCTTCCACAGATTTCCTTGACACGTATTTTCTAACAGTAAAGTTCACGCATAGTTTCATATCCGACGGCAGCAAGTTATCTGCTGGCTGGTGGGACTTCCAATTCGACCATACTGGCTCCCTTGTATCTCTATCACGCTTGACATTGGCAATGAACTCATCCTGCGAGTCGGTAAGCTCGTTATCTGCCTCAATTTCAGACACTTTCTTTGCCAAATAAGGCTCTATATGGGGAAGCAGATCAGACCCTTGGTTATTGTAGCATTGATAATACCGATCTATTGACACTATATCCTCAGTTAATGGAGTACCAATGCTTTGAAAGACCTCGTAGTCATAACACTCGCTTGGTGTGTCAAGCTTCTTTCGTATTCGCCTAGAGAGTAGCCATATTTGATAGGCTTGCTCATCCATCCTGCATCTAGAGCAATTTAGTTATAATAGTCCTGCTATGACATTAGTTATAGGCAACCGGGTCGTATTTATGAAATGGCACCTCTATATGCCTCATCACAATCTCATACTATTTTGCTGTGCTTTCGGATCGTGAGTACCTTAATTCACCAGAGATAAGTCAGAAGTGATGTGCGATGGGTCCATCGATAACCCCAGACAATAGTTTGTGGTATAATATAGTACTAAATACTGTATTCAGTTTTATTTAACTTTGTATCAATGCTATTATACTTAGGAGATAACTGCAAACGCTCGCGGTGGGTGTATCAGATAATGCAGTTTATAACTGATTGTACCTGAGCATTTTCAATAACGTATTTCGTAGGAACCAGATTTTGATACGTAACGGATCCATTTGACAGTTTTGTATCTCTCAGACTCCTTGATAGTAAAGTACCGCACCACCAATCCTGAGTTGCTAAACATCATGATCTCGAAATCCAGTGATATTGGTGGTTTTTGCCATTGTTGGATGTTCAATCTTGGTGCATCTTTAGATGTGATGGTCACCGCACTCAAAGTATTCTCTGTCAGACCATTGTATTTATTGAATGTCCACAACATTGCCTTCTCTTCTGGAGCAAATTTGCAGGAGCCATTGGATACGTCAATCTTACAGTCCAGCGTTTCCGGTGGGACAGGAATTTTCATGGTTACGTTCTTTGCGGTAAGCTTGCTTGGGAATAAAGACTTCAAAGTGATTCTATACTCGACTGCAGTTCCAGAGGAAGAATATGTAACTATGGGGCTGACTTTGAATGGCAAGTTAATATTACTTCTCACATGGTACTTCATTAACTCCATTGATCCATCCGGTGGAACAAATTTTATTATTCTATCCTTATCGAACTTCTCCAAAGAGACACATTGGTGGAATTTGCAATCCTCTAGTAAAACCGATCCAGCAGCTGCCTTTGGAATTGCCTTCTTGTTCTTAATATAGTCAAACGAATCACCGTAGTCATCGTTCTTCACACTCAAAGAATCGTTTAACCCAAATTGACACACGGGTGTACCGCTAAGATGTGTCACCAGATCAATTGTTCCATCCACGTAGGACTTTAGGATAGACCCCTCCTTTGATACCAAGATACTGATCTTCTCATTGACATAGAGGAAAATCTCATTCTTCTTATGTGATATGCCCTTAGGTCTCCAGGGTAATTCTCCTGCCATATTGAACGCCCCACTGCTATTGTTGCTGGATTCTTGATTTAAGAAGCTACTGGTACGTCGTAGGAATTTCGGGATCTTAGGCAAAGTAGAGTTCTTGTTCTGCACAGAAATGGCAAAATTCTCTATTGTCTCCTTTGAAGGTTTCACAGACATCTTCTTGATCACCGTGGCAGGATCAGTATCCATTGGCGTGCCGTTTTCACCCAACATAACGTCCAAGAGCTCATAGCACACCATAAACTCTTCCTTCAAAAACTCCTCGTTGTTCAGCCCGTACAGCTCCAGCATGTGGTCAAACTTGTACAAAAACTCCCACACTGCACCGCAATTGATGTTGCTCCGAGTCACAGACACAAGCCACAAATCATCGCCGTGAACATTGGACCGTATATGCTGGAAAGTGGTAGACCCCAGCGTTAGAATCGGAGACCGCACATCCAGATTATTAATCACTTGAATGCGGAATATGTCAGAGATGGACCGCTTCAAGTTGTTCTTGAAGAACTTCGACACTATCAACTCCCCTCTGCTGGAAAAAACAAGCACTGCACTGATCATCGGCGGCTACCTCTCGTTACAGGCTTACGAATTGACCCTATCCACCACCGATCTCCAGGAACTGAGCGTGTTTGATATAGCTACTGTCTATTGTCTATTTGCCATTTGCATGCGTATTGGTGTTCTGATCCGGTTTGATATGACACGTGATTTTTCACTTGCCAAAAAAAAAATTTGCGATGAGCTTGACGAATAGGCATCGATGGTTTTGGGATATTAGGTAGCCTGGAGTGTTGGTAATAGTTGTTAAAGCGTTATTATCTGTTTTATTTGTGAGTAGTTGGTAGTCTCTTTACTGGCCTCGAGTTTTGGCGTTTGTCTCTACAGAAATTTGAAGCAGTATCAGAGGTTAACGGGAGCATACGTTGCTTTTCAGTCTACTAATCACACAATAATTTTGCTATAGTGCCTAATCCCCGAACCAGCGATGAGTAATATTGTTATATTTGGTGGTGACTCTCACCCAGATCTTGTGAAAAGGATATGTGAGAATCTGGACATTGAGCCCGCTAAGGTGACTCTGGGAAAGTTTTCCAACGGTGAGACCAGTGTTCAATTGGGATCATCTGTGCGTGAGAAGGATGTATACGTCATTCAGAGTGGCTGTGGTCATGTTAACGATACATTTCTACAACTTCTGATCCTAATCAGTGCTTGTAAATCGTCCTCTGCATCTAGAGTTACTGCTGTGATGCCTTACTTCTGTTACTCCAGACAACCGGATATTCCTTACACTGTCAAAGGTGCTCCAATTATATCTAACCCAAAGGAGAGTAATCCAACTGACTCTCGTCCAGGTACCCCTGGCTTCAAGCTAATGACTCAAAAACCAGGTTCTGAGTCTCCTTTCAAATCATTGGACACCGCCATACGATCCACTATTCATATGGAGAATCCACAACCTATGAGGAAACCAGCTCCACCAACTCCTCAAATGTCTCAATCACGTATTCCAGTTATTCCAGGTGGTAAAGCTCAACCACCATCTGGCTCTTCCAATGATGCGGGTGAGATGTTCAACGCTCAAAATGCTGGTTATAAACTTTGGGTGGTCCAAGCCGGTACCTTAATCGCCAACCTGCTCACTGCTGCTGGTGCAGACCACGTTATTACAATGGATTTACATGACCCACAATTTCCAGGCTTTTTTGACATCCCAGTCGACAATCTTTATTGTAAACCAATTGTGCAAGGTTATATCAAGCATGAAATACCCGACTACAAGGACGCCGTTATTGTTTCCCCCGATGCCGGTGGTGCTAAAAGAGCCACAGCTATTGCTGATGCTCTAGAGCTATCATTTGCCCTAATCCACAAAGAAAGAAGATCACAATTATTGAAGGGCCCACCGGATGCTTCTTTGTCGTCTGGTGGTGGTGTACCATTATCACCAAAGCCATTGGTTGCTAACCTGAACAACGCTTCAATTGCTGGACCAAGTTCTACTGAAATGAGACGTTCTTCATCCAGTGCATCTATACATTCTAATGCTTCTCAGTCTTCCGCCTCTAAATACATTCAAACTACCATGCTTGTTGGTGACGTTAGAGATAAGGTATGTATTATCATTGATGACTTGGTAGATACATCATACACTATTAATCGTGCCGCTAAACTACTGAAAGATCAAGGTGCGAAGAAAGTTTATGCAATTATTACACATGGTATATTTTCCGGTGACGCACTAACAAGAATCCGCTCAAGTAAGATTGACAAGCTTGTAATTTCTAACTCTGTTCCACAAGATAGAACAGTGAGCATATTAGGTAAAGACCGTGTTGATGTTATCGATGTATCCAAGGTATTTGGTGAGGCCATCAGAAGAATCCATAATGGTGAATCCATCTCGATGTTATTCGAACACGGATGGTAAAGTATCGCTTCATATCATGTAAAATAGAAACGAAAAATTAATTAATAATATTAAAGTTACTGCTATAGTATTAACTTTCAAATTATTATTTTAAATGTATGCTGAAACACAATTAAGGATATTTTCTAAGAGCAAGTTATATATTTATATGTAGGTTTGTATTTAAGTTTTAGTATGCATATATGATTCTTATGAAATGTAATGATCCACCATGATAACAGTAAGGTGGTTAGGATTATTTCTTAATTTAGAGTTGTCCTTCATCGAATCACTTCTTGCTTCTTCTTTTCTTTTTCTTGCTCTTCTTCTTCTTCTTACCATTATCACTGACAGGAGTAGATGATCTAGACTTCTCATCATGGTCAGCTAGGAGTAAATCAGTCGAAGAATTCATCTTTGATATGTCATGCTGTATTTCATGATTATCGTGGTAAACACTTTGATCATCCTCGATAATAGTTTTTGCAACACCTTTAACAGTGATGACACTTTCGACAATACCATTGGCAGTTGATTGATAAGAAGATGAAATAAGAACATTCTTTGCAGAGTCTTCTGTGCCATTCTCATTAGGATCATGAGTAGTGGTTGAAGATGTGATCCTTATCGGTTTACCACTAGATTGTGTATAATCTATTGCCTTATGAGATAAGTTGGCATGCTCCTGTAATAACTGCTGTTCACCTTGTGAAAGCCGTCTATTTTCACCTTGTTGTTCATTTAATCTCAAATGTTCGTTGCTGTAATCTTTATTACTAGGAGATATTAATTCCCCTGGTGGTAGCTTCTTGATAGTAACAAAAGATTTCTTGATATCCAATGGGTTTGATGCTAGGTTTGAAGGAGCTAACTGAAGTTGCGAACCATTTGGCAGATTTGGTGGGTGAGAGTGATTTACTGGCTTATGCTCATTAATGGAAGAGTAATTGTTTAATTTTGAATTGAGTAAAGGCACACACGAGTCCTTACTAGATGTAGTGTATAAGTGATGTAGGTAGGACGTAACATGTCTTTTACTCAATGGACCAGGTTGTTCTCTCATGATATGCTGGTGTATGTCTACAAAGACATCCGATTCATCCACTATTTCTTCACCGATCAACTCTTCAATTACATCTTCTAAAGTAACTACACCAATAGAACCATTAGACGATCCTGGGCGTTCGCTAACAATACACATATGCGACTTACCCTCCTGGAAGTAGTTTAAAATATTCAGGCATGAAGTGTTTGGAGATGTTTCAGGTAATGTAGCTAGGGGGAAACTTGAAATTGGCAATGCATCTTCTGGGTCATAAGAGATCAAAATTCTTACGATTAGCATACCGATGAAATTCATGGGTTCGTTTGGTAAGTGGATGGGGATACGTGAGAAACCTGAGTTGAAGATCTCCTCTATAGTTTTCTCATCTAGAATCTTGTCTGCACTTAGTGTGAAGACATTCTCAATTGGTGTCATGATCTCTTTGACTTTCTTATCTTTCAAGTCCAAGACTGCGGAGATGATGGTGACTTCATCTGTAGTTAATCTTTCTACACCCATGGTCTGGTGTAGTGTGACCAGTGTCTTTAGGCCCGATTTCTTGTATACCGTGCCATGGTCTTCACCAAGAATGTAGTCTAGCAAAAGAGCAATTGGGTATGCTACTGGGTACATCAGGTACATGAGGACGAGCACAAAAGGTGCAAAGAATGCGCCGACTTCGAGCCCGTACTTGACACATATGCTCTGGGGAATGATTTCGCCGAAGACCACGATGAGGATAGTGGAGGATATGACGGCCTGCCACCCGCCGTTCAGGCACCTATCGAGGACAATTGGCAAAGTTTCATTAGTGATGACATTTGAGAGCAGCAGTGTCACCAGCACCCAGTGCTTACCTCTGGAGATTAAGCGGAGGACCTTTCCAGAGAGTTGTTTCTCCTTCTGGGTACCGGAAGTGTTGATGACCGTCAGGTATATCTCGTCCTGGCCCATGAGACCCAGGGTCAGACCTGCGAAGACACCGCCGAGGACAACCAGGAACATGGAGACAACACCGTAGTAGACCAGATCGGACTCAGACTCGTGGTGCTCTTGCTCTAGGGCGTGCGGGTTATTCAGCAACGGGAGAGCCCTCCCATACCGCAGCAGCAATGGCAAGTACCTTATACTGGAGTAAGCCACCGAGTTCATTGAAAGTATGATTGAGGTTTTGACAGGTTGTGAGGTTCTTGTGAAGTGGATGTGAAGTGCGAATTGACAAGCTCTAATATATTGATATATAATTTGGCAAGGATCCGGCCGTAGTACTGGGTGATGCGCACCTCGTGGGATCGTCGTGGGGGGAACTTAAGACCACAGCTCATACCAAGTGCCATGGCAGTACATGCTAGGCCCTACCAGTATTAGCCTATAGTTTTAATAGTATAGTATTTGCAGGTTGTCGTTTGTATTAATGATGCGACAGGTGTGCAGAGCTGGACTGGTACTATGAGCTGGTATACATATTACTACAAACGAATAAAATCACATGGTTACACCATATAAAGCAATTGCTTATAGCGCCGGTGTGCCATAACACTGGTCACACTGGCATAGATTTACCACAAATAATCAGATCAAAAGATAAGATCACCCCAGATGAGGTAAACTTGATGCCAAGCTGCACTAGGTTTTGAACTACTGTCAGATGAGAAGTATGTGCACCTGAAATGGAAGGTTGAAATTAGGAAACAGTGACTTGGCAGAACACAATGTACTGATTTAGTCCGAAGGATTGACAACTTTCACAGAGATGGTTTAATACCATGTATTTATAGCAGAATTTAGACTTGTAAGATTCTGTCTGGCTGTATTGTACCGGATTGACAACAGCGTATACAGGAAATACTACAATACACACCAACAGAGTTCATTAAATAGTTATAAAATTGGTACCTCGTGAGGGAGCACCAGTAAGTGCCGTCTGTCCTGGCTGGAATGTAGTCACTGGACTATGAATTTGGGATAAAGTGACTGGACTATGAAATCACCATGTATTGTACTAACAACTTCACGGTTCTTTCGCTTGGGACAACTAAGGTTTGGTTACCCAATAGCAGTTACAAGCCAGTATATTTGATAGTATATATAGATGTGATAGTGTGACGTAAGCTCAGTACTGGTGATTATATGTAAGAGAGATGCAGGTGGAGTTTGCGCCATTGCATCTGCGCACAAGTATATTAGATTGTACCAGATTGTACTTTGAGAAGTGCATAGCCATATACAGCATGCAAACGCCAATTGATATACAATTTTTTTACTATCAAAAAGGGGACACTGTTGATGATTGCCGTGCGGTTTGCCCAGGGCCACATATGTGTATGTGATTGTTGGGACTGAGCCTTGCTAATAAAGCGTGTGTCACATTGAGCACCAGCTATAAGTGTCGTGGTCTATAGTGTTTCCAGACCCAGGCGAAATTGTATACAAAAATAAATACAGATGTAATTATAAAATACGGATGTAAAATACGGATGTAAAATATGGATGTAAAATAGGGATGTTAAACATGGATGTTAAACATGGATGTTAAATATGGATATTAAATATAATATAAAATATAAAAAGATGTAAAATATAGATGTAAATTACAGATAATAAAAATTTGAATGAGTAAAAATATAAAATATGGATATGAAATAAGTACAGATGTAAATATAAAAATAAAATACAGATGTAAAATATAGAAATACAAAAAGAAATATAGGTATAAAATATGGATGTAATATATGGATGTAAAATATAGATGTAAAATAAAGATGTAAAATAAAGATGCAAAATATAGATATAAAATATAACAAAATATGTAAAATATAAAATGTAGAGGTGAAATATAGATGTGCAATGTAATATAAAATATAATATATAAAATACAAAAAAGAGGTAAAGTACAAATATAAAATAAAGATGTTAAATATAAAACATAATATAAAATATAATATAGAAATCTAAAATCTAAAATCTAGATGTAAAATAAAAAAAAATGTAAAATATAATATTAAAACATAAATGAAAATGTAAAATATAAAATATAGATGTAGAATCAGATGTAAAATATAATATAAATTACAGATGTAAAATATAATATAAAATATAATATAAAATACAGATGTAGAATCAGATGTAAATACAGATGTAAATTACAAATATATAAAAATATAAAATTAGGTGTAAAATATAAATACAAATGTAAAATACTAATATAAAATATTATATAAAATACAAAAAAGAGGTAAAGTACAAATAAAAAATAAAGATGTTTAATATAAAATATAATAAAAGTAATATATAAAATACAAAATATGATATAGAATATAATATTAAAACATAAATGAAAATGTAAAATATAAAATATAGATGTAGAATCAGATGTAAAATATAATATATAAAACATAAATGAAAACGTAAAATAAAACAGAAAATATAGATTTAGAATACAGATGTAAATACAGATGTAAATTACAAATATAAAATATAATAAAAATAATATATAAAAATAAAAAAAAAAATGTAAAATATAATATTTAAAACATAAATGAAAATGTAAAATACGGATGCAAAATACGGATGCAAAATACAGATATAAAATAAAGATGTAAATTACAAATATAGATATAATATAAAATGTAAAATACAAAATAAAATATAATATAAAATATGATATAAAATACAAATGTGTGTGCGGATAACATTGGACGAGACCTTACAACGTGCTTCGCACGTTGTAAGGTAGAGTGTACGTGGTTGGGGTGGTGTACCCCGTGAGAAACCGGAGTTTCCTACGGCACCCAAAACCGGAGATACAAACGTGATGTGCTGCCACACGGAAAGCGAGAACCCGAGTTCCCGGCTTTTCAGTGCTGGGCGAGAGCATTGAGGTAACGGCATACGTCATTCTCCCAAAGACGCAAAGACCCAAGAAAGCAAAGACCCAAAGACCCAAAAAAAAAGAAAGAAAAAATCCACAGGATCACACGTACAACCGAAAAAAAAGAAACGAGAAAATTGAGTAAAAACGTAGACCACGCCGCAGGAAAGGGAAAATAAAGACAATGTAGATGTAGGGATGTACGTATTTTGGCTCCACTGGACAACTGTGGGCCAAACTCGAGAAGGCCCCCCCAGGCGGAGTCGCAGGCGCAGGGATAGGGGTCCTCCCCTCCATTATCCTGTGAATAATTTATTGTTGAAAATTGGGTCAATTTTATTACCAAACTATACCCAACGGACGAGGACTAGGACTGGGACCAAGACCAAGACCAGTACCAGTACCAGTACTACGACCACTACCACAACCATTATAGCAATGAGTACCCAAATAGCAATGGGACTATACCAAGGACAAAGGGTCAAAAAAAGAAATATGAAATATGATGAGGATGGTCGAAGGGATGGATGGAAGGGGGGGAAAGGGAAGAGGGAAGTAGGGAAGAGGGAAGGGATTAGGAAAATTTTATAATAGAGGACAATTGAAAATTTTATAGCTCAGTGAAGAGAGGAGGGGGGAAAAAAAAAAGTATATAAGTATTGTGTATATTTTGTTTGCATCGATGTTTGTTCGGTTAGCCAGGATACCCAGGATCACACGCCACTATCGCTTAGGATTATTTTCGACACAGCCGAAACCTAAACCTAACGAGTATCTGTACTATCGAAACAAACACAAGTCTAAAATGGAAGCTCCAATCAAGAGATCAAGCTCTGCTGTCTCCCTAGTTGAACTAGAGAGAGAGCCATTCAAGGTCACTGTTATCGGTTCTGGTAACTGGGGTACCACCATCGCCAAGGTTGTCGCTGAGAACACCAAGGCCAACCCTCAGGTCTTCCAGGAAAGAGTCGACATGTGGGTCTTCGACGAGAACATCGACGGCACCATGCTGACCGAGATCATCAACACCAAGCACCAGAACGTCAAGTACTTGCCAAACATTGACCTGCCAGAGAACCTGGTCGCCAATCCAGACTTGCTGAAGTCTGTCGAGGGCGCCGACATCCTGGTCTTCAACATCCCACATCAGTTCTTGCCTAAGATCGTCGACCAACTGCGTGGTCACGTCGAACCTCACGTCAGAGCCATCTCCTGTCTAAAGGGTTTCGAGGTCGGCAAGAAGGGTGTCCAATTGCTAAGCACATACATCACCGAAGAGCTAGGCATCGAGTGTGGTGCCCTATCGGGTGCTAACCTGGCCCCAGAGGTCGCCAAGGAGCACTGGTCCGAAACCACCGTCGCTTACCACATTCCAAAGGACTACCAAGGTGACGGTATGGACGTCGACCACAAGGTCCTAAAGCTGCTGTTCCACAGACCATACTTCCACGTCAGTGTCATCGACGATGTCGCCGGTATCTCCATCGCCGGTGCCCTAAAGAACGTCGTCGCCCTAGGTTGTGGTTTCGTCGAGGGTCTAGGCTGGGGTAACAACGCCGCCGCCGCCATCCAAAGAGTCGGTCTAGGTGAGATCATCAAGTTCGGTCAAATGTTCTTCCCTGAATCCAGAGTCGAAACCTACTACCAAGAGTCCGCCGGTGTCGCCGACTTGATCACCACCTGTTCCGGTGGTAGAAACGTTAGAGTCGCCACCCACATGGCCAAGACCGGTAAGTCTGCCGAGGACTCCGAAAAGGAATTGCTAAACGGCCAATCCGCTCAAGGTGTCATCACATGTAAGGAAGTCCACGAATGGTTGTCCACTTGTGAAATGATTGAAGAGTTCCCATTGTTCGAAGCCGTCTACAAGATTGTTTACGAGGATGTCCCAATGCACAAGCTACCAGAAATGATCGAAGAATTGGATGACATTGTTGTTGCTGGCCAATAAGTACATCTACCAATAAGTTAAACAATTTTAACTGATTTAGCTTTATTATTTCTTTTTTTGTCTCTTTTTTTTTTTATTACAAACTACCAAAAAAAAAAAAAGAATGCATATTAACAGTACAATAAATTAGAAAATAGTTTTCTTTTGCTAGAAACAATTATTTCTTTAGTTGCTTAAAAATTATTAAAGAATATTTTTATTATTTTCTCACTCTTTGTTTTTATTATCTATTATTAGTAACCACACACAAAGCGCATATGGAACGCATTAAGGGAAAATTATCACTCTTTTTAGTCAAACTCCGCAAATACCCTTGCCATTGGCTGATTTTCTTTTCTCCTACTACATACATGTATACTTTCTTCAAAAATTATATTATTACATTTTTCCTTTATTACAAAACGTTTTTCCTAATTTTTTTTTCTTCTATAACTTTGATATTTGGCACTCAATTCAGATCGACTATTGTCCGGAATTCTTAATACATGTTAGAGATGACTAACTTTATTAAGCAAAGTTGTTACGTAAATATTGGTACTACAATATTGATAAATCGCCATTGGTTACAATTTTTTTATCTGTCCATTTTGGGAAAGATAACGTCCTTGACTTTATGGTTTATTACAAAATAAGGCAATGAGAGCCGAGATACACTTGGATATTTACAGCCTGTAGCGCCTCGGATTGAGCGTACACTTCTACTATCTCGGTAGATACTGGCCTCTTCACCTATATTATCCCCAGGTTTGAAGGTTCCTAACACTTAACTCTGGACAATCCGCTATCTGTTTCCGTCTTCTTAAAGTTCTTGCTTTACTACTATAATAGCTCAAAAAGAAAGAAGTGCACACTCATTTGCTATCATACCTCGCTGTGAGCATCCTTTTACTCTCATCAGTCCCACGCATTGTTGAGCGATATTCAAGTCCTGTCTGTTAGGACTCCTTCGCGTCACCAGCCTTTTGGTTCCAACACCGGGAGCTCGCTTCTAGCTACCATATTTACTGTTGTACTTCCCTTAAAATATCACTGGGTCGGGTTCTTGGTTTGCCGTGGGCATCGCTAATCGTTTCCGTAAGATGCTGCTGGGCACGAATAAGAACGGCTTATCTTTGTCCTGTGCCCCCACGTCAGTGTACTCTGGAATATACACATATACGGCAACCAGAAGCGATATACTAAAAAATCTGGATGTAGGCAGTTGTCACTGTCGCTTCTAGATTCCTTTATTAGGCACTGAGCTTCCGTTAATGGCAGGTGATGGAGCCCATATTTTGATTTTTTTTTTGGCAGGATTTAGTCACTTACACTTGTAAGTGCTTGTCTGGGGGTGGGAAGCTCTTTCTGTGGATGGCTCTAATCAGCTCGTTTTCATTGGGTGATCGTTAATGGCATCAGCCAGCGAGTGCTGGTGCAGACTCATCGAGGATAATAGTCTCGAGAAGCCTGTCTTCAAAAAGTATAAATAGACACATGAATACCATTCAATTGCAACAATTAATCCATCTCTTACATTTATTTAGTATAAAGAATAAAAAAAAACCATCAATAACAAGAACAAATAAAGGAACTAACAGTCTCCATTACTGTCTTACTTTATTACGCTGACTATATCAAAAACCAATTTTTGAACTGTACACTTTCAACACTCACAAACTACAAAACTAAATATTATTACCAAAATGTCTAAAGGAAAAGTTTGTTTGGCATACTCTGGTGGTCTAGATACCTCCATCATCCTAGCTTGGTTGCTAGAACAAGGCTACGAAGTTGTTGCTTTCATGGCCGATGTCGGTCAGGAAGAAGACTTCGAAGCCGCTAGAGCTAAGGCTTTGAAGATTGGTGCTACCAAGGTTGTTATCAGTGACGTCCGTGAACAATTTGTTAAGGATATCATCTTCCCTGCCGTCCAAGTCAACGCTGTCTACGAAGATGTCTATTTGCTAGGTACTTCTTTGGCTAGACCAGTTATTGCTAAGGCTCAAATCGATGTTGCTGAACAAGAAGGTTGTTTCGCCGTTTCTCACGGTTGTACCGGTAAGGGTAACGATCAAATCAGATTCGAACTATCTTTCTACGCTTTGAAGCCAGACGTCCAAGTGATCGCTCCATGGAGATTGCCAGAATTCTTCAACAGATTTGCCGGTAGAAAGGATCTATTGGACTACGCCGCAGAAAAGGGTATCCCAGTCGCACAAACCAAGGCCAAGCCATGGTCCACCGATGAAAACATGGCGCACATCTCTTACGAGGCTGGTATCCTAGAAGACCCAAATACTACCCCACCAAAGGATATGTGGAAGTTGATTACCGACCCAATGGATGCTCCAAACACTCCACAAGATATCACGCTAGATTTCGAAAAGGGTATCCCTGTTAAGCTAACATACAAGGACAACGCTACTGGTAAGGAACATGTAGTCACTGACGCCTTGGAGTTGGCCCTTCACGTCTCTAACTTGGGTAGAGCCAACGGTGTCGGCAGAATCGACATTGTTGAAAACCGTTACATTAACTTGAAGTCCAGAGGTTGTTACGAGCAAGCCTTGCTAACTATTTTGAGAAAGGCCCACGTCGATCTTGAAGGTCTGGTGCTAGACAAGGAAGTCCGTCAATTGAGAGACCAATTTGTCACTACCACTTACTCCAAGCTGCTGTACAACGGTTCTTACTTCACCCCAGAATGTGAATTCATCAGAGCCATGATCGAGCCATCTCAAAAGACCGTCAACGGTACAGTCAGACTTTCTCTATACAAGGGTAACGTGATAGTACTAGGAAGATACTCTAACACTGAATCCCTGTATGACGCCACTGAATCCTCAATGGATGAGCTAACAGGTTTCCTACCTACCGATACCACCGGTTTCATCGCCATCCAAGCCATCAGAGTCAAGAAGTTCGGTGAAGCCAAGAAGGCCAGCGGTGAGAAGATCACTTTATAGATTTCATTCTCAGGTTCCACAGACCCTCAGTAGTGGTGTTCAACGCTTTCACCTCATATTTTGCATTTTCTAATTCTATCCCCCCTTTTTTTCTTTTATATATTTAATTTTTTGTATCTTAACTACGTAAATACATTTTTCTAACTATATCTATTAATCAAATCACTTTTCTAGAAACTCAATAGCCTCCCAAGCCATTATTATGCGGTCCATAGTTATATTTCTGGGCATCCGAATGCTGGGATCGATGGAGTTTTTCCGAGATCCGCAATGCATGTACGGCAGTTTCACTGCAAAAAGGAACGGAGCTGGCAAAAATTCAATAAAATAAGATTTGCCATTGTGACAAAAAAGGCAAAAAAAAGAAAAGAAAAGTTGGCCCAAAACAGTAAATTATTAATAAATTGGAAAGTGCCCATGAAAAAATTAATTTGTTGAAATAAGGGTCCTAATAGTATAAGGCTTTCCTAATCCAGTTGATACTTTGTAATTGGTTTTATAAGAAAAGTCATACTTGTCCCAATTTTGTGTTTCCTAGTTCAGGTGAAAGGCACACAAAAGGATATCGCACTCTTTTATATATAACAGAATAACTTCTTTCAAGAACATACTGTTGTTTGTGCGACAGTGTGATATTGCCACATCAGTTAGAAAACAAAACCGTTACGACTAACAAATGTCTTATCTAGCCGATCATGACGCTCCTGTCACTATGCTGTCTGTGAAGGAGAAATTCTTTCCGCAGCTAAGTGACAAAGAGGCTCTTTATGCGCATTTCATGTCGAAGGCCTCGCATGCCGGTACAAGAGTGGTTCTGAGACAGGTCTCTAGCGAGAGTGAGCCTATCTTCGACCTAGTAATGACTATCCATCAGAAACTGGGAGGCAGCTATGATGGAATTGAGCTGGCTCCAAACGAAATACAGTTTTACCTCGAGTATGTGTCTCAGTTCTTGACCAACCTGGGTAACTTCAAGTCCTTCGGTGACGTTAAATTCATCCCCCGTTGTAGAATCGAATCTTTCAAGAGCATTGTACAAGCTGCATCCATTGACTTGGGACAACATTTGCGCACCGTTTGTGGTAACCAATATAGCCATGTCTCTTTGCCTTACACTAGCGTGAATGACCTCATCGAGCAAGGGATCTATTACGTTGACGACAAAGTTTCTCTTCTGGGATATACAGCAGATGGCTACACATCTTCTTATTACATGGGTCAAGGCATAAGCCTCGAGGATATGAAGTTGCTGAAGGAGGAATTATTCGGAAAATACAACATCTTGCCCGAAAATACAAGAATCTACAAGAGAGCAAACGATGAGTTTTATATATTTGTTGCGTCTGGAGCAGTCGAAAACGAACTAGAACAATACCCCAAGGGCGTCATTACCCTAAGCAATGGAACTAAAGTAAGCTTTAAGTTCGGTGACCACACAAGAGAAATGCAGTTGATCAGCAAGTACTTGGCAGAGGCCAAAAAATACGCAGCCAATGAATACCAGATTAAGATGCTGGATGAATACATTCGTCATTTTGAGACAGGCTCCTCTCATGCTCATAAGGAGGCACAGAAGTACTGGGTTAAGGATATTTCGCCCGTTGTTGAAACTAACATAGGCTTCATTGAAACTTATAGAGAACCATCGGGTATCATCGGAGAGTATGAATCCCTAGTAGCAATTCAGAATAAGGAAAGAACCAAGAAATTTGGCGCAATGGTCTCAAGAGCAGAGGAATTTATTTCTGAACTGCCATGGTCAGCAGATTTCGAAAAACCAAAATTTAATCCACCTGATTTCACTTCATTAGAGGTTTTAACTTTTACTGGCTCCGGTATACCGGCTGGTATTAACATTCCAAATTATGACGACGTAAGATTGAACATTGGTTTCAAGAATGTCTCTTTAGGTAATATCTTAAGTGCCTCCGCTAAGGCGTCAGCAAAACATCCACCAACTTTTATTAAATCTGAAGACCGTGGTATATTTGAGAAATACCAAAGCGATTCATTTGAAGTTCAAGTAGGTATCCATGAACTATTAGGCCATGGTTCCGGAAAGTTGCTGTGCCAGATAGAAGATGGATTCAATTTTGATATTGAAAATCCACCAACTGGCCTAGATGGTAAACCAGTAAGCACATATTATAAACTGGGTGAAACATGGGGTTCTAAATTTGGCCAACTTGCCGGTGCATTTGAAGAATGCCGTGCAGAGGTTATTGCCATGTATCTGATTACAAATAGAGAATTATTGTCAATTTTTGGATTTACTGAAAAGACAGACCAAGATTCTATCATTTATGCTGGTTACTTACAAATGGCTCGTGCTGGTTTAATGGCGTTGGAATTCTGGGATCCAAAAACTAGAAAATGGGGTCAGCCTCATATGCAAGCAAGATTCTCAATAATGAAAACTTTCTTAAAACATTCTTCTGACCCAAACTTCCTGAGAATTAACTTTGATGAAACTAAACCAAACGACCTTCATATCGATTTGAACCCAGACTTGATCGAAAGTGTAGGCCACGCATGTGTCAAAGATTATCTTCATCATTTACACATCTATAAATGCTCAGGTGATGTCGAACAAGGTAGCGCTTACTTTATTGACAGATCGACTGTAACTGAAGATTTGGCTAAGATGAGAGATACCGTTATATCAAAGAGATTGCCAAGACGCCAATTCATCCAGGCAAACTCGGAGATAGTCGACGGTAAAGTACTGCTCCATGAATATGAAGAAACTGCCATCGGTATGATTCAGTCATTTGCTGAAAGGGAGTTCTAGTATTCCAGAGCGAAAAAAATTGATTAATCTTTTCCTCTAATTTAAGGGAATTTTTAAATATCAATCAAAATTTTCATTTTGTGCTATTACGATTTATTCTCAAACATTTAGAAGGTTTTTTCATACATGTAGGTATATAATGTGTGTGAGAAGGTATACATACTTAGGGATAAAAAACCTCGGTTCTCGAGTTGTGATTATATAAACAATATTAAATGTTTTATTTATTAGGTCACCATGATCGTTAATCTATGTATCTCTTTATAGCACTGTATCAAAACTACTCTATCTATGTCTATAAGTGTAAAGGAATTTAATTTCCCTTCATTCTGAATACTCCAATGCAGCAGTCCAGAAATCAGTTTCCAATTTACAAACGTCAGCGTAGATTTTCACCAAAGTATCAATTTGGTCTGGTGGATACGATCTACCAATGTTGTTCAACAAGATAACACCTTGATCCATGGCGCCCTTGTATTTATCAGATAGATATGTATCACACCAATTTCTACATACTGTTCCTTCTTTGCATGTTATCTTGTCTTGAACATTCTTTAGTGCCCAACCATAACCCATTAAACATGGAGAGATAGCTAATATAAGTTCTTCCCAGTTACCATGCTTAGCAACATCATTGAAGTATCTGGAATACGCCCTTAAAGCTGGTCCTCTCTTAATGTTATGGAAATGTTCATCAGAAGTGACTCCAAATACCTCCCTCAAACGAGTCTCGTGCTCTGACATTTCATGACGAACTGAACCAACAATCACCAAAGCACTTTCAATATCTTCCATAGATGGAGCTTTGCTTGCACCAATACATTGGATTCTTGCATAGTCAATCAAGTAAGAATAGTCTTGTTCCAGGAAAAATTGCATTTTCTTCAAATCGATGGTGCCCTTGGCCACTTCCTCAACAAACTTATGTTTGGTATAGGATTCCCAATGAGGTTTCACAGTTGGGTGGTTAATTAAGTATGAAAAAAAATCTTCACCAATTGGATTATCGACTGCTGGCTTCTTGATGTTATCCAATACTGAATAAGCGGTAAAACAATCATCGGATATCATTCTGTCCAAAGGAACTTCGATAGCATAAACGTGGTTGATTGGACCATTCTGTTTAACATGCTTTTGAGCTACTGAGCAACCAATGCCAACAGCATTCTGAACATATTCGATACCACCATAAATAGCTTGCTTCAAAGAATAGCCATGAGCCAAGTTAGAAGCGATTGAAGAAGCTAATGTACATCCTGTTCCGTGTGTGTTAGAAGTGGAGACACAGTTACCTTTGTAGACGAAATATTGCGAGTCATTCTGCATATACAAGACATCAGTAATGTACTTCTTAGTTTCATCATCCCATGGAGTATGTCCACCTTTAACTAAGACATTCTTACAACCAGTAGCCTGACTGATCTCCATGGCAATTTGAAGCATGTCCTGGTGTGATTTCACGGGCAATTCTTTACCTAGTAACTCAAATGCCTCTTGGATATTTGGAGTAATCAGATCCGCTAATGGTGCCAATTCCTTCTTAATTACATCTACAATACCTAGTGATGCTAGGGAAGAACCTGATGTAGCCACTAGAACAGGATCGACAACGAGTTTTGGCCTTGCACTACCCAGTTCTTTAAGTTTGGCACTCAGCATCTGAGCTGTCTCGACAGTCAACATACCAGTCTTGATTACATCGCATCTCATATCTGCCAAATTAGCATCTAAGATCTGTTTAACCACCTCTTGTGGTGTTGGAAAGACATCATACACCTTTTGTGGTGTTTGAACAGTTAAGGCATTGATACATGTCATTGCATAGCACTTGTGTGCCGTAATTGTCTTGATATCAGCTTCGATACCTGCACCACCACTTGAGTCTGAACCCGCTATGGTCATGACCACTGGCAATTGCTTGTCATTGGCAAGACGCAAGTATGGTGGGGGTGTGTTCATAAGAACAGGCTCCTTAACAGAATCAACCATTATTGTAAGTTCTCCGAGCTATGGTGTGCAATTGATTGAAGATATGTGTTCAATATCAGCGCACAATGGTTCGATATTCAAGACCAGATATTACAACAAGACACTATCCTGGCAATTCATCTGCCCATAATGCATGATATCCATGCCCTTTTTATATCTAAGAGCCTTGCCCTTCTCATCCCACCCAATCCAGTTGTTGCAACCAGTGCCCTTAGAACAATCGAATTTATAATTATTTATCATAGGGTATCACAAAATTATTCAAATTAGAGTGAAATTTAGTTGATTTTGATGATATTTGACAGGAACAATGCGATACAAAGGGTCCGAGATGTATCTACTTGATGACAAAACGTCAATGACGAGGTTTCGCAGCAGCGTTGTTCGACCTTCGTTCAGTTGATCGTTGCTGAACTTTGAAAGGCCGAACCTCGACAGATGAGTTAGTTATGCAACAGATGGGAAATGCTGATTATGCATGGACTATTTACGTTCTAAAAATAAAAAGACGGAAAAAAATATAAAGTAAGATTACGAACAGTTATAAGACGTTTTATCTTGTCTGGGTTTCTTCAGAGTAGGCATCGATGCACTATATAGCAATTGCTCCAATTGACCTTAATTTGGTCTATTTAAAAGCACGGGTGTGAGTACGATGTTCTTAGAAGATATCCGGAACATTAGTCCAGGTATGTTTCTTTCTTTGTTCCCAGTATTCTCCATTGAATTTCCAATACTGCTTACCGTTGACTGGGTGAGTCTCCAAGGAGAACCATCTTGGACGATACTCTATGTTTGCCTCTTCCCTTTGCTTGCGGACTGCTCTTTGCTTCTCTTCTAGACGATGTTTTTCATCAGAAGCATCATCGTAACGGCCTTCTTCCATGGCACGTTGGTCTGGTCTCAGACGGCTATCAGTTGGAGGAAGCCATTCTTTCAGGCCCGGTTGCAGATCATTTAATGTCACAGCGAAGGATGTTAAGTTGAATGGAATATCGGGTCTGTCGTTGGCACGCCATATCAAAAACTTACTACCATCGAATTTTGGTTCGTCGATTGATTTGCCTACACTACTCTTAGTCTTATCAATGGTCATATCCTCATCGTTTTTCTTAGTAACTTTCTTGGCATATAGGGCTTCATTCCAATGACCACCTAGAATCCACAACTTCTCGTTATCCTTGTTATAAACTTCACCTTTAACCTCGTATGCACCTGCAGAAGTCCAACCACGAGCTTTGTAGTGTAGCACACAGTAATCCCCAGTAGTGTGATTGGTGATCACTGAGTCACCGTTGTTATCCACTTGTGGGTTGCCTACTAAAATACCAATCACAGCCATATCTGGTTTTTTCCAACTATATATTTCTTCCTCAGGGTTGTTACTATCGGGACGTAATCTAATCCACCAGGTACCAAGATTCTCCACTGCAAATGTTCTTCCAGTGAAGTTCGAATCCACTTTACATTCACCCCAATAATTCCATTTTGGAGCTTCACCCCATGTCGCAGATATAGCAGGATGGTGAGAAACCTGCTCAGTAAGGAACCTATATTGTCCGTCAGGGCTAACATATTCGAAAGTCTCCCCCAACAGTGGGTTAAAGGGCTTGGCAACTCTCTTTACGGTAGAAGCATACATAGAGGCAGAATAAGCTGCAACAAATAAAGTTCTCAAACTTGAATCCTCAAACGTGGCCGCCGTATCCATAATGTCAGAATACTCCAGATCTTCTGTAACTCTTTGTAAAAGTGAAGATGGTTCATTAAATGAAACCGGTAGAGGAATCCTGGTTAGATCTTTACCAACCATAGATTTCAAAACAGACCATAAACTTATTTTCGGTCTATCGTCCTTATCAAGACCTAAGTTTGTTCTCTTTGGATGCTCATAACCGGCAAAAGACTTTTGTTCCAGTAGCATTTGCTTGTATTCCTTTTGCTTCTCAGTTACAATCTCTTTTTCAAAGCCAGCGTGGTGTGTAACTTCTTTGTTTTCATTGATGTCCTCTGCTTTTATAGTTGCTTCCTTTTCTGTGTCTGACTCTTCTTCATCAACATTCTCAGAGGAATCCATTAATTCTTCGGCATCAAAGAACTCATCAGCATCTGTATCTTCACCATCTTCTTTAGTAGCATCGATATATTTTGCTATTTCCTCCAAAGCTTCATGAGTATCCTTGACAGGACCATCGAAATCATCATCTTCGGTTGTCCCATTCGGAGATTGGAATTTTCTTTGAAGGAGTTTTTTCAAGTTCCTTCTCTCTTTATCCAAAGAGGCCAGCCTTTCATCCTTATCCTTTAACTCAAATTCTAACTCTTTTACAGCTTTGATCCAAACGTTATTAACATCCCTTTGCTTTGTTAGTTTAGAAATCATCAATTTGTCACTTTGTGATGTAATCTCGTTCAATCTGTCAAAACTTTCTGTAATAGTTTTCAGCGAATTTCCTAATGTATTAAATATATCGTTTGGGTTTGAGGGACGATCATTCAAAAGTTCGGTTAGGGAACTTAGCTCCATTGTTATTGAGCGTTGTAGAATATGCATCTCTTGTGAATGAGGACTACATAGAGTTTGTAAGTCTTCATCACTTCCACCATCCATAGCTAAAAACAAGTCTTCCACTTCCTCATTTTCATCTTCTGAGTCTTTTTCAATCATTGATGAATCAAAAGTTTTGACATTAGTAGATTCAAAGGCCTGAGGATTAGTATCTTGAATCGGAGAGGAGGATACAGGAGATCTTTGAGACTCTGATTCAAATGTCGAAGGGTTTTCAAAAATAGAACTAGACATGCCATTAGGCCCAACTGATATGCTAGGAGATGTAGGAGGCATGTGGAAAGCTGATTCTATTTTATCTTCTGGTCTATTGATAACCAATCCCAATCCTGAGCTCGATCTTCTAGATTCTTGCACCGATACTAGCGTTTGTCTAGATTTGTTTCTCATATGGGTAGGTTGTTTTGGTGAATCTAAAACACGATCAGTATTATTCAATCCATAGTTTATCGCTAAAGATGGAGGAATTGTTCCAGTAGTTAAAAGCATTTCTTTATCTTTGGCAAATCTGATGGCACCTTGAATTGCCCATACCCATCTGTTAGTTTCAATTGGATGATTACCTTTGAGATGCCATCTGATAGCACCATTTCCTCCAATAACCTCAAATTTCAACTTTTCGGAGGAATCTAAATGTAGATTGCATGTTGACATATTCAGTGATCCACGGCATGCGTTTTTGGTATCATTTTGATCAATATAATACGACAACTTACCATCCGCACTTAGTATAAACCATCTCAGCTTATAACCTTGGGCAAAGTTTGTCCACTTTTGAAGGTACCCCCTATAAGTTGGTGGTTTGTGTAAACTGCCAGTTACGTCAATAACACTTTGTTCACTTGTGGCTTTATCTAGAAGTTTCTTCAGTTCCACATCAGTGAGCAACTTAGGGTTAGATGCAGCTTCAGATTCACTAACTTTTTTCACTAAATCAGCAGGTAGTACACCTGTAGAGTCTCTTTTAAAAGGATCGGCTCCATGCTCTAATAACCATTTACACATCTCGACATCTCTCTTTTTAATAAACTCGTGTAGTACAGTATCTCCGGTTTCTGGATCCAAACCGTTGATATCAAGTAGTTCCGAATTCCTAGAATTTGTAAGTATGGACTCTAAGTGCTCAAAATCTCGATTATTAAATGCTGTTCTTAACTCTTGAGCGGTTTCTGCAACGTATTTCGATCTCTTTATCTGCATTCCTTGGGCTACATTCAGATCTCTACATATTTCAATTGGCTGCATGTGTGAATTATTAGAAACACAATCATTTATTGTTGGTTGGTCCATTAAATACATTACTACATCACCTCTAGCTTGATATGCAGCAATATGCAGTGGAGTATTTCCATTTTGATCCTGATGGTTTATATTCAAAAAGGTTTCACTATTCATATGGGTAGAAACGTGAGTATTTACCCACTTAGTAACAATCTGTTTAATCAAGGATAAAGGTGCAACCTGAACAGCATAGTGTAATACAAGCTGACTGACTTCAACCACATTAGGGTCATCTTTAGGCAAAAATCGAGTGTCGATCACTTTCTGTAACTCCTGGAATGAGCCCGACCTTAGCGCATCTAAAAGCTTCAGCTTCAACAAAGGCTTGCTTGTAAAGTGCGTACCGTCATCAGCCATTTTGAATGTGGCCTTTCTTATGATTCTGTTTGCAATTGACTCCTAAAATAATGTTTACAATAGCAGCGAAAGCAGAGTTCGGTACTCCGTATTATAGAACTTCAAATAGAACTTGGACACGCAACGACAGTAAAGTCAAAGTAAAATGATTCAATGCAAGTACCGTAATGAATTTTTTGGCCAGTTAATACTTATTTCTCCGCCCTTTTATGCTTATGAATTACTATAAAATGTTGAAACACTGATCCAAGTTTGTGTTACTTTGGGCTTCTTCATGATCCCAAAAATAGTGATCGATGTGCCATTGTAGGACTCCCCTGACAAATGCCCGGAGCATGTGGAGACATTTGATGAAAACACACTTAAAAGAAGGTTTGTTAGTATATCGTGTTTAGTGAGCAATCAAGACTACCACTATAGGCATCTCCTGTTCCAGGTCCGTTCTTAGATGCTCCTAAGTATTTAATATTGCAATGTTATTTTGAATGACGATAAATAATGACAGGAATATATAATTTAAAGATACAATAAAATAAATAATGCCTTAGTTTTTTGGCTTTGTGTGAACTCAACCAGAAACACTGATGTCAAAGTAGTCGTAACCGGAAAGTAAGAATTGTAAGTCGTCTGATTTAGTATTCTGGGACATAGAACCCGCTCTCTTTCTGAGCTCCCTGAGGTAGTTTTCTCTTTCTTCTTTTTTATCCTTGTCGTCCTGTGGTGTGTAACTTGGTACTTTTGCTAATGCCTCTTGTCTCTCATGTTCTCTTCTGAATATTCTATCTATTTCCAAGAACGATTTCTCCAAAAGTGACACAAATCTTTCAGTTTGTCTGTGTCTTGAAGACACGACAATAGAGATAGAATCTTCACGGATTACATACCCAATACCAAACCCATTGGCGGTGACTGGCCCAAACCCAAAGTTTTTCAGACATGGGTTACCACAATTGGAAGTACTCAAGACATTGTTATTTATGACACTCCATGAATGATCCTGAAATAAGGGTGGCATTGGCAAGGAATCTCTATACCACTCGTTCCAGACACAGTACAGAGCATAAAGATGACGATCCTGGCCCAAACCCATAGAGCACTCTTTCGTAATCCGAGAGTGCTCCTTGGCAGCCTTTTGCAAGTAGTCAATTCTCTGAGCGTTCGTTGCCTTACTGTCAAACATTGACTTGACAAATTTCTTAGATTGATTGGTAACTGATCTGATGGCTTCTGTTCTACCATTTTGGAAAGTTTTCGTCATAGCTGGCTCATACACGGCTTCAAATTTACCATAAAGAGCATAGTAGGCTATTTGGAAGACTTGCTGTGTAAAAGCGTCTGGAGAACATTTGAACATTGCCTTGATGTGGGCTGCACCATAAGTTTCAAAATCTAATGAGACAAATTCATATTGAGATATCAAGTCAGAGATCCTTGTTTCTGCAAAATGCAAAGATGATAACAGGAAGGAATCTGGTCTCCATTCAAGTTTTCTGGGAATAGTAATCAAGTTAGCCCTGGATTGTTTCTTCATCAAACTAGCTTCCATTTCCTTTTCTGCAAAGATATCAGGAACATTTTTGGTCACACCCCTTGCAAAGCTCAGTATAGAATCGGTATAGATGTCAGTTGCAAATCTTAAAACAGTGTGTCCATCTACACCGGTATGCTCAAAGTTGATACCAGCCTTACCATCTCTAGTAACAATTAGTTGCAATTTCTCAAACCAACGGTTCATGCATGTACCATGCTGAATATTAAGAGGCACTTTAGAGTTTTCATCTTCACCTAGGTTAATGTTTGATGTACCACATAGCATGGACTGTACTAATTGACTACTTGTCTTGGGATCCTTGCTGTCAAACTGAAGATCGTCAAGACAAATGACAAATAACGCACTATCGATCAACTTCAAGTTTTTCCAATTTGTTGAATCTGAGTCATGGTATATGTAGTCACGAATATTTGACCACACTCTTCTTGATTCAGTAGTAAAGACTCCCATAGGTACAAGATAACGGATAAATTCGTCCCTACTTTGTAAGTGATCACCGATATGTCTTTCAGTATCCATAATAATTGAGTACAGATTCCATTCGAGTTCTTCAGGCGCTTGGAAAATCGGGAAGTTATTGATATCTAAAACATCAAACCAGTAAAATTGGGATTTGTACATCACCATAATATGGTGCGAGGTTGGGTCGGTTTGTAAATGGCACGATTCCTCACCTGGTCCAGGTGGAATTCTACTAGAGCCAAATAATTTTTTGTACTGATCCATTGATAATGGAGTAGTTCTAATTTTATCCTCAGCTAATGTACCGTGTCTTACTTGTTTGATAAACTTCAGGATAGAGGTGACAAGTTTTGCACATCTCTTTATTTGTAGTGTGTATTTACCGTAGGGACCTGAGTATTGAGAGTCCCTTTGTACATCTTTCAATATAGTTGGATCGTCCTCCAGTTGGAAGTAAGGATTAACGTTCAGGACCACACTCTGGTCATATAGTAAGTACGAATCGTACCAAAATTGCTCAATGTATGACGATTCTGGGGTTTCGTTGGCCAACTCCTGGTCATATTGCAAAAGTTTCTCTTGCAAAGTCCTCATGACATCGAGATTCTCTGCTGACATCACAGTCCTCTTTGTCCGTTTGAACTGTTTTTCATCCTGCAAAGGCTGCACACGGTCCAAGTACCTCTTCAAAGTATCCTCCAGCGGCGGGATAGGCAGCCTCTTCAGCAACTTGCTCTCCTTTGTGGCTTCCAGCGCTGGATCGCTCCGACTCTTCACAGCGGTAAGTTCGCTCATTTCTTCTGATTCGCGCACTAATTGTATCCTATTTAATTCAACACCTAGCACTGTTGTCCCTGCATAGCCAAAAGTCCGAGATCCCCCTCCAAGCGACCCCCGCCCACTGAAGTAAACACCCTCGGCTTATATACGTTGGCGAGGACGAGGTCCCTGGCCGGCGTGGATCCATCAGAGCAGTTGGGAGTTATAAGGCTCTGCGGGAACTTCTGGCTCCGTCACAAAGCGCAAACTGAGAAAGCGGAGTGGTCAGTGCCAGTTAATAGAACCACAGTGGCTTGTGGTAGGGGGAGTGACCCTCCTTGTCACGCTACGAGTCACCAACAGCCCAAGTACCTCAGAAACTGCTGTACAGCAAATGCCGAAAGCTGGATCTGTCCTAGCTTCTTCTGCTTCTGCTTCTTCTGCCTCTTCCTCCCGAGTTTCTTTGATAGTTTTTACCCGCCTAGCGGTGGGAAGAGAAGGGGGGGAGCTGCGTGCGTGACTGTGTGTGTGAGGGAAGCATAGGCGATGACCCTGGCTTGACTCAGCGCAGGTAGCACAATTAAGAATTTTGAGAATCTGGCAGTCTGGCAGAACTGGTTTAGCAGTCTAGGGCGAAGAAAGCCGCGTAGGTCTCTAGGTCTCTAGGTCTCTAGGTCTCTAGGTCTCTAGGTCTCTGGGATCTCTGACTGGAAGATCGGAGCGGGGGAGAGGGGAAGGGAAGGATTGGGCGATGACTTTCAATATCATTTCTGCTCCCCTTTTTTTTCCTTGTTGTCCTTCTTCAAGGTCAAGTGTCTAGGTGCTCTGCATGATTTTCTGGGTGGGGATTAGAACCCAAATAGTTAGTACAGGACTCTCGGTCTTTTTTCTTCATATCCATTGGTCCGAGTCTGAACAGGGTAAGGTTTTGTGTATTCCCTCTTTAGGAAATCAAATTGGTTTCTCGAGGTTGGTATTAGTGACAATTCTCACGTGGTTACTTTTTATTGTCACGCTTTTCTATTTTTAGTTACATATTAGCTTTACGGTGTGGAGGAGCGAAGGGGGGGATCAGAACGGATCAAGAGACAAAGATCGCAACTGACGCACGAAACACGAAAGACACAAACCAAAAACAAAAACAAATACTACAGGGAAATCTCGAAAACGATCATTGCGGGAAAGTGCCATAACAGTTGCAACATGATTAATATAGAATGTGCTAGCTAGTGTTACTCTCGGCGGTTAGAGGTGCTGGCAGTAACATAGAAACTGAAGCACAGTTGGCCAGATCTGACTTACCCCGCATTTAGCATTTCGCTTTTCGCATTTTGCATTTTGCATTTTATTTCTACGCTTTTTTCTTAGTTTGGGTTTCCAGTTTGTGTGAACGGCTTTGTACTCTAACTGCGTCGAGCAATTTCATCTTAAGAAGAACGCTTGCACTAGAGAGACAGCAGAGGTAGTGTTTCATTGCGGGCGATATAACGTGCTGTTTGGCAAGAAGCAAAGAGGACACTTGCCGTTGCGTTTAGTTTCTCAGGCACCAAAACATTCTCTGTGTCAAAAAAGAAAACTGTGGAGCTTACCCCCCTGCTCCCACGACGGCGTCTAGCAAATATTTCGTTTTGCGCTTTAGGTTTTTTTATTCCCTATTCTGGTAACTGACACAAAAACAGTTTATACATTTGCACTGCGCCTATCCTAAGCGGGTAGCATACGAAAGGGAAAATAGAAAAAGAAAAGAAAGTACCAAAAAAAAAAATAGGTGCCGCACGCAGCAGTTGCCTCCACTTCACCCCCCTCGGATCTGGCAATTATTGTGGTTGTCCTGCGGGAAGTTAAAAGAGAAACTCATTAGGTAATTGGTATTTTTAGCCGCTGAAGTTGTCTGTCACTGTTGTCAATTTTTGTTTGTCTGTGCATTGATTTCTAACGGAATTTCTTTTTATTGTACCAGCAAAAAGACTTCAGCTACTGGATCTTTCTTAGTTCGGCGGCAATATTCAGGGGTTTTCCTTTCTTCTCTCCCCTTAAAATAGTGTTTTTGGAGAAATCTATCCTGGCAAAAAAAAAGTATAAATACCCCTCAAGTTTCCCCCCTCCCCCTTCCCCCAAATACCTGGCGTTGTAAACTGGTCTTTCACTCCTTACCCCAGTTTCTCATTTATTTTTATAGGCGCTTGCAACTTTTGTTTTATTTTATTTTTTTGCTATTTGTTTTTTTTCGAATATTTTTTTACTTTGGGATAAAAGAGAGAAGGATAGATAAAAGGGAGAATGGCTGATCGTATAAGTGTGACTCCCGCGCAGCAATTCAGGAAAGAACATAAGTCCGTGCAGTACCAACTGCGACAGATTATAGGTAGAGGGTCGTATGGTGTTGTCTACAAAGCCACCAATAAGAAAACTGCGCAGGAAGTAGCCATAAAAGAGGTGAACTACCAGGATGACGATGAATTGGTGGATATTATGTCGGAGATTGACCTCTTGAAGAATCTGAATCACATAAACATTGTCAAATACCACGGTTTCATTCAAAAACAACATAACCTATACATCATTCTTGAGTACTGCGCAAAGGGTTCCTTGAAGAACTTGATCTCACGAAACAGGCCCATGAGTGAACACGAGGCCAAGCCTTACGTAAGACAAACTTTAAACGGGCTAAACTATTTACATGAACAAGGTGTTATCCATAGAGATATCAAAGCAGCAAATATATTACTGGATTCCGAAAATGTTGTTAAGTTGGCAGATTTTGGTGTCTCCACTAAAGTTAACAACACTGCTATGACCTTAGCAGGTTCCCTAAATTGGATGGCTCCCGAGATTATTGGTAATCGTGGTGCATCAACTTTGAGTGATATATGGTCTCTTGGAGCAACAGTTGTGGAGTTATTAACAGGCAATCCACCCTTTCATAACCTGATAGATATGAATATTTACTATGCCATTGAAAATGATTCTTATTTCCCTCCAAGTAGCTTGTCCTCAGGTGCTAAGGATTTCTTACAGCAGTGTTTTGCTAAAAACATGTACAAGAGACCCACAGCAGTTCAATTGTTACAACATAATTGGTTAGAAAACGATAACTCCAAAGACTCTACCATGGATAAACAAGTGATACCAAGTGTTGAAAAATTAAATCTTTATCAGGAGAAATTTGAAGATTCCGACCTTTGTTGGGATGATGATTTTGAAGAAAAGGATTTAAATTTATCATCACCATCTAAAAAGGATTTAGTTAAAACTAAAATTCCTTCTGATGAATTTATTCCTGATGTTTTTAACATATCAGAGGTTAATCAAGGAAATCAAGGAAATCAAGGAAATCAAGGAAATCAAGGAAATCAAGGAAATCAAGGAAATCAAGGAAATGATCCCATTAAGAACGAACAAGCGAGAAGTAATAATAATATTGTTATTCAAAGTCAATTGGAGAGAAGTTCTACTCCATTTACAATGGATAGAAATAAGGGTAATGCAGATTTTCTACAAAACTCATCTTTAGATGAGGACAATCTTTTACAGATCGTTAAATCTGGGAAATCTATTGAAAATGTGGATTATTTTTTCCAAAAATGTTCTATAGATATGTTGGCGTTGACATTGATTGAACTGACTATGAATAAGAAAGATATGATTAGGGAGCATCTAGCACCATCAAATCATGAATTAAATTTGTATAAGTTTTTCGAATACGATGAAAAAAAAAACAAAAGTAAGTTGAAAAGAAAGTTCATTCAACTAGGTGGGTTACCTAGTCTATTTCATTATGAAAAATTACTGAGCATTTTCTTTGTCGATGATTTTGTTGATGATTTGATAAGAGCAGGTATCATCCCATATGTTAGGGACTACAAAAATGGAAGTCTGGTACTTTCAATTATAAACAAGCATATGGAACTTATGAGTATTCAAAGTTGGTGTAAATGGTGTAATTTTAATTTGCCAATTGATATCATTCTAGAAAACTTGATAGCTCGAAAAGCACAATCTATCTTACTTAAAATTTCCACTTATGGAAGTAAAGAATTTAAACTGGAAATCTTAAAGAATATTGTGAACTATAATTATAATAGTTCAAATCAGAAAATCTTATTGGATTCGCAAGTGATGTATGTTATATTCAAGTCGGTGTTTTATATCTTGAGATCTCTTCACTTGAACTCTGGAACTTCAAATAATTCAGCCATGTTATTAAATTTTCACTCACATCACATTTCTACAACGGGTTCCAATACTGGGAATACACCTTCTCTAAGTTCTTCACCTACTAAATCACCCGTAAGTTCATGGAAAACCCAATCACCACCACTATCCCCAACGAGAACGTTGAGTGGGAAATCTCAAGGTTATCCATCTGGTGTATCTAATCCTCCAAACGCTTTGTCAAGTAATAATAACGGGTTTATTGTTCCTGAGAATGTATTTTTATGGATGGAAGAGTTTTTAAGGAGCAAATATTTTTGCTCATTGATGGATATTCATGTTTGGAAATATTTCAATAGAGCATTTTATTACACCACCTATAATAATAAGCCACGATTACTGAAATTATTGGCCGATGATTGTTATACCAGATTTTGCATAAGAGTTGCAGACACGGTTTCTGACAAAAATGGCAGACAGGTCATGGGTCAGGCATCTCTGGTTTTGATGAGGATGTCCAACGAGCTATTATCATCGTTGCATAATAATCAAATATTATCTGGTAACAAAAAAATCAGTATCTCACCTTCGCTGATCACAATTGCTACAAAATTCCTTGGTAAACGAGAGTTCATTTATGAAGGTATTGAGATAGTTTTAAATTGTATACAGTTTATTTCTCATCAAAACGAGGATACAGGAAACGTCAATACCTTCAATAGGCGTGGCAATCAAAGAAATAGGAATGGTGAAAGACTTATGGTCTTGCATTCTGATAAATTATTGTTCTCAGAGGAGAACGTTCTGGTAGATATGAATGATATCGTTGACTGTTTCTTTATATTCCCTGAAAATGATAGCAATTTCGGTAATTACGTGGTAAAATTTATGAAGCTTTGCATGGTCCAACAGCTTGAGTATGTCTGTCAACGGATAGTTTTGAAAGAACAATTCTATGAACGAATTGTGGCGTTCTTTGGTTTTTATTGTAACAGTTTATTGATTCAAATTGATTTACTAAAATTAGTCAAGACACTATTCACAAGGGCACTTCACTCCAATAATGAAAGAAGCAATATATTGGATAGCTTAAAGACTCTCTTGGCATTCCTCTCTGAAAATTGGGATCCACTGAAAGGAAATAATAAAGGCCAGGTCGGATATAATTCTGTCTTGATCAAGCAATTATGTAGCGATATCGCAGCGCTGCTATCCTATAGACCAAATACAAAACGGAGTAATGGTCTTGATCATTTGGGGGTTTCACAATTTGCATTAGATAAGAACATTACATCCTCGGGTCCTGTTGTTGATAGAGGTAGATTACCAGTACCAAGACCTGAGTTTAATACGTGATAGAATAAGTTATCTTGGGCATTTTTCAGTTCCCCCTTTTGGCCTGTACTTAAAAAAAAAATAAGACCACTTAATTTATTACGATGAAAGTTAGCCGGTTTTGAGCGTTTTATCACAGAGCTCTCTAATAAATTAATTCTAGGACAATTTTTCGGTAGTTAAAGTCTGAATTTCTACATCAAATATAAAGCATATCACATCGGATTTTCATATATATTAGCATTTAATCTTTAATTTAATTTTATTTTTGGGCATTTTATTACTATTACTATTATATCCGCTTGGCGTTATAATTTCATTCCAATGCTGCTTCTATTCCAACAACAAGAGGAAAAACTGTTCTGAAATTGACGATCCGGTGCAGCAAAGTTATCTGTAAGGCTAACTATAATAGTGCAAGCGGATAGCAGGGTTTGTATTTAATAGAGGGCTCTAAAAATATAATCCCGAAGGACATGACCATGATACAAGACTAAGTAACCGTAATTGTCTTTTGATAATGACAGTAAAGTAAAATGATGTGTGGAGAAACGAAAAGATGAAAAATTTGGTTGAAAAAAAACAAAAAAAAAGTAAGTTGAACTCATGGTAATGGCATTGAATCGTTCCTCGAGAATATCACCCACAGTTTTAGTGCATTTTTTTTCAGCAAGAGAAACCGATACAATGGTGTGCCGGGAAATCCGATGTCCATATTCCGGGTTGAGTATTGCTCTGTAACTAGTTGCAATCAAATTCTGGTAATAGTCTTGGACAGTTATGTATCTTCATTTGATGTTGGTGAATCTCATTGCTAGATATAAGATTTTGATCTTTTTGTCTCTTATATATTTCTTAACTTTCAGTCAATGATAAGAACATCCATTGCAAGATACTCAACTAAGCTTTTGAACATGTCTCCATCTCTAATTTGCCTTTGTAACCCATTGCTTGATATTCAAGCCACTGTCAATGATGACTACTTGAAGAAGTACAACTTGAACGCCAATGACGCTGTTCTGTTGGAGACTGGTTCCACTGACCCAAGATTTGCCATTTACGAAGAACTACCAACTTTCCCAGATGTCAAGTACGTTGCTGGTGGTGCTGGTCAAAACACCGCTAGAGGTTCAGCTTATGTGCTAGGTAAAGGCCAAGTAGGTTACTTTGGCTCTGTTGGTGAGGACAAATACTCCAAGAAGCTTTTGGAAGAAAACGAAGCAGCTGGTGTAATTTCATTGTACCAAGTTCAAAAGGACATCAGCACCGGTAAGTGTGCTGCTTTGATTACTGGTCACAACAGATCTTTGGTTACCGACTTGGGTGCTGCTAACCATTTCAAGCCAGAGCATTTGGACAAGCACTGGGACCAAGTTACTGGTGCTAAGATGTTCTACATCGGTGGTTTCCATCTGACTGTTTCCCCAGATGCCATTGTTAAGATCGGTCAGCACGCCAAGGAAACTGGTAAGCCAGTTGTTTTGAACTTGAGTGCCCCATTCATTCCACAATTCTTCAAGGACGCTCTTGTCAAGGTTCTACCATACGTTACCATTGTTGTTGCTAATGAATCTGAAGCTGCCTCTTACGCTGAAGCCTTTGGTCTAACTTGTGACAAGACTGATTTGGTTGCCATTGCAAAGGAAATCATTGGTGACTCTTCTGAAAAGAAGGTTGTCTTTACCCATGGTCTTGAGCCAACCGTTCTAGTCACCAAGGACTCTGACAAGTCATTCCCAGTCAAGCCACTTGACAGCAGTAAGATCGTTGACACCAACGGTGCTGGTGATGCTTTTGCTGGTGGTTTCATGGCCGGTTTGGTTCAAGGTAAGTCTCTAGAGCAATCCATTGACATGGGTCAATGGTTGGCTGCTCTATCCATCCAAGAGGTCGGTCCATCTTACCCAAAGGAAAAGATTGAATACGCTTAATTCTACAACTTCACTTCAGATTCTCTAACTTAAATATTTAATTTGAAAACGTCTGTATATTACCATACAAATTTAATACATCTCTTGTATCATTTATAGAACAATGGCAATAGTCTCGCATTCGTGGCTACTACTCTATGATGGCGCACTTCAAATCGTCAAAAACCGTGAGATCGACATATTGTTAAATATGACCAAAACCTTAAAAATCGCAGCTGATACGCACACCTGCACAATATAAATAAAACTAAGATGCCTTCCCCCCTCCATGGCTATCAAAGATAATAGTTGCCGGTAAGTTGTATTATTTACTGATTAAGCACTGAGTTAGCTCTAGTTATATCCTTGATACATTTCTCTTTTTGTGTTTGCTACATACCTGAGGCTGAGCGATCGATGCACCATCGATGCACCATCGAAACTCTAATATAACAAGCCTCAAGGTTTAAATCAAACCCGAAGAAAGAGTTTTGGTATTTCAATTTGGAAGACTTGGATTTATTAAGTGAATTGATAAAATATAGTTGATTCTGGTGTTACCACTGGGGAGTTTTTAATACATTAGAGTCCTCATCACCAATTATAACAGCAATTCGATTACTATTACAGAACTATGGGACTTTCATCTCTGATACATCCACATGAACTCTATGGAGATGGTGGCCTTTCGATAGGATTGATGTTTTGTAGCGTTCTACACATTTTACTATGCTTCGTGCTTCTTGGTGTGTGTGCATCCGATTTCCTCTGCCCGAATGTTGCAAAGATTACAGATTCAAGTGGTAATTTGAGGTCAAATAGTACCAGAACAGGTATGCTGATGGCTATTATTTTATCCTGGTGTAATTCTTCCCCAGACCTTTTCTCTAATTTAATGAGTTGGACAAGCAGCTCCGATGAATCATTCAATGTGGCTGCCAATCTATCAGTGGGGGAAGTATTAGGTGCGTGTGGGATCATATTATGTGTTGTTGTGGGCTCTATATTCTTCTTAATGGGTGATGTTACAATTGAAATTACCACACCCCAGAGAATCAATATACTGTATGATTTATTCTACACCTGGTTGGCTCTAACAATGATGCTTTATGTCACATTGAGAGATTCTATTACAATATGGAATTGTTTCTCTATGCTTTCAATATACGTGGGTTATATTTTACATAAGATTAAATTCTCTAGGTGGAACTCTCATGATTCAGAATCTAGTGATGTGAACCAGTTAGAAGAAGGGGCTGTCGATGGCATTCAAAGGGAATATCAGACATTTGGTGGTCTAGAATCCACATTAAAACCAAATGTTCTGGCACCAATGGATTTTAACAGTCTCTTGTCCATGTTAGAAAACTCAACGTCCCCCGATGCCGAATTGCAAAGTATAAGAAACGAGCTCCAAAGCTCTACAAGTCACAGTGATTCTCATGAGAGACCATTTTCAGATCCTAATCCTCAAGTTAACAGTCAGATGATGGGAGAAAGACAAACACAGAGCTCGCCAATTGAATTTGGTCGCTACTATGATAATCCAGAAGATCATCGCAGTGATGCACAGAATATAATACAAAGGGAGCTAAGTACAGCACAGTCAATTATAGATGCTGCTGATGAGAGAAGATTTTTAAAAATAGCCGAAAAATACTTTTTGAAGGTAGTACCTCACATGAAATCATATTCTAAGAAAACGGTTCCTGATCAAATCATATCTACTTTGATCGTCCCGTTCGTTTTATTGTTCAGGCTAACTTGCCCTCAGCCTGATGATATACTTGAATATAGTGAAAAAACGGGGACTTTTAAATACAAAAAATCCACTTTGTCGGTATTGCTGTTACAATTAGTGTTCTCCCCCGTGTTGACATATTTATTAATATCAAGTTTATTAGAGAGGTCAATGTGGTCCCCCTTTCTTATTTTACCGGGATTATTTTCTTTCACATGTGCTGTACTCGTGATTCAATTTAGTCGAAGTTTATCTCAGTTCAATAGATTTTCTTTAGTGCTAACTGAGTCACTAGGAAGTAACAATGACGAAGAGTTAAGGAAAAGAAGAGAATTGATCTCGTATAGCGATCTTCTCAAATTTATTCTGCTAACTTTTGGTATAGTCAATTCGATTTTGTGGATATCTTCTACTGCTAATTCAGTGATAGAAATTCTTGAACTATATCAAAAGCAATCGGGTATCTCTCCTGCTATCCTTGGTTTAACTGTGTTTGCATGGGGAAATTCCATCAGTGATCTGATCTCCAATATTGCTATGTGCAAGCTTTATAAGAAAATGCCGCATGGTGACAGTGATATAACTCTCGTTGCAACCAAGTTTTTTATGATAGCATGCACTTCTTGTATTGGTGGTGTGTTACTAAATTCAATGGTAGGTATTGGGTTTAGTGGTTTAATCTCTATGCTATTTGTACACAAAGGTCAAGGAAATTGGTGGTTCCAGAGACAGGCAAACCTAGATACAACAAAAACTAACAATCTAAAGTTTTTGGTGTGCAGTTTGGTATTGGAGTTCCAATGTGCATTTCTGGTTTGCATTTTTGCTTCTAAGGGTCGGCTACGAGAAGTTCTTTCTAAAAACATGAAATATTTAGGAATTACTATGTGTTCATTGTGGGCTCTGGCTACTTTAATGATAACTATCTTGGAAATTGCGTGAATTATTATTACAGTGCAGGGTCACGACTTAATATCATCACTATATTTACTATATTATTGTACATATTTAATCATTGATAGACGGTATGCTCTTTTGTTTTTAATTTTGTGACACATTTCAAAAAATGCCTAAGGCTTTGGCGGTGAAAAATATCTAAATGAAAACTTACGACTAACTTCATACCGGCACACACATTTTACTTACAACATGGTAATTGATTGCAATGTTTCTACAGTTTTCTATGCATTTAATCCTAGTTGATATCAGTATAGTTGAAGAATAAATACGTTGACGATAATCTGATAGAAAGATAATGAAAACAGTCTTGTTGTGGCACATATTGACATTGGCTCAACGTTTGTGGTTTGGCACTTGGATCATAGTTGAAGCTTCATCATTGAATGATTACAACTCACCCATAGAAGTTGCTACAAAAACAGCAGCGTTAGAGAATGAGGCTGAACAGATTCACATTGGCGAAGAAGTGTATGAACGCTTTGTATATTTCAGTAAAGCATGTGGGCTTTGTAACTGTATAGACAAAAAGTTACTTCGAGAAAACAAGACTCTTGATGATGAAGGATGTCCAAGTTATTTGAACTTTTGCTCTGATCCTTCGCAAAATCCAACCTATAACCAAACTAGGATTGTTTTGGTGTTGGAGGCAGAAGAAAATGAACTTGGAACAGGATACTTGGCTGTTGATCATGAAAAGAAAGTAATAATCTTAGCATTTAGAGCATCCACTACAGCTCAGGATTGGCAAAGTGATTTTGAAACTTATCCTAAAGAATACTATCCTGTTAGTAGTAATGAGTATTGGGACTTAGTTCGTCACGGAGTTATTAAAGAATGTACAAATTGTAAAGTACACAAAGGCTTTTCAAGGTTTTTGGAGACCTTGGGTAAGCATTTCCTTGCTAAGGTGCAAAAAATCATTACTAACTACCCTGATTATCATATAGTTAGTGTGGGGCATTCGCTAGGTGCCGCGTTAGCAGCATTGGCTGGTATTGAGTTGAAGCTGAGAGGATATCGGGTCTCGGTTATCACATACGCACAACCAAAGATCTTTAATAGGGATTTGAAGGAATGGGTTGATGACCTTTTCAATACCAGATTGTTGAATGCTATTGCAGAGTACGGATCATGCTTAAGTAGTGCCACTGGTTATATTAGGGTTGTACACGAAAATGACTATGTTCCTATGATACCTCCTTTCTTCCATCATGCAGGACTGGAGGTTGTGATCAGCACTAGGGAATTACCACACAATATTCAACACTTAACATACATTGGATACAACAACCTTGTTACCACTGAGAAAGCTGAAAGATTAGGTATGAACAGCAATCTTGAAGAACTTCTGCATATGTATGAACATAGAAATTACTTCATAACTCTTACAGGTTGTACAGGATTCTAGAGGTATATGGCATTTATCACCTCAATGATTCATGGTTTTGCAAATTGATTAGGTAATAATTAATCTCATATAAAATAGAGCTGGCGTGTGGATCATGTACTTGATATTTATGGTCTTTTTCTTTTCATGTCTTCACTGGCATCAGATGCATTTGAACGTTTACCATTGAGAGCATTAGGATTCTTCGCAATCGGTGCCAAGACAGGATATTTCTCTGGTTGTAGGCTTCTCTCATAGATAAGGCTCGCATGGTCCTCACAAACCGTATTGGCAGTAGGTTGGTTTTCTTGTTGGTCTAAGTAGAACGTCTCATATGGGTCATCATTACAGTAATCATTGGTTGCAGTCATCACAGGCTAGTATAAGAATTGGTACCAATAATTACTTTTGTATTTGGGATGGTCTTGTGCCATACAACTCTTTGTTCCGTCACTAAATTTATGATATACATTGGCTTCTATTGGTACTATTACCTTTCTACTGGATCAATAGTGCAATTTGTTTTTCCGAGAATTTGATGCAGCGAAACTAAATACATGTAAATCAGTTGGATACAAAGAAATTCAGTAGGAAAATTGGAATCTAATAGAATGCAAATGTTTTGTTGTTAATGGTTCTATAAATTAGGAATTATATTATTATTTTTTATTTTATATATATATTAATGCAGTTATGTCTGTTTGTTATTGTTTTTGTTTCCATGATCAGGTATTGTAGTGTACATCCACAGTTCCTCAGGGATAAAGTAGGCACGTATTTGTATGGCTAACGTAAAACTATTCACATGACTTTGAATCCAACAAATTCATCCCAGGATTGTACCTCAGTTGGGATAGCAATATCCTTGGAAGTTAAAGTTGTTATTTTTTCAGATAATTTGGCAGATAAGGCTTTAGCGAACAAAGCAGATGTATTTGGTTCGTTAAATAGAGGAATGCCAAAATCGATTGCATTCCTTCTCATAATGTAATCCTCATCGTCTGTGTTGTCAGCTCTCTTAGCTGCAAGATTAACAACGGTCTTGATTTTATATTTTTGGAACAACTCTCCTAATCTTTTCTTATCATTCTTTGGGAATTCGATGATGGCAGTGTCAACATTAAACTTCTTGAAGTAGATTTGTGACTCTTTGTGTGTGCAGTAGAGATTATAGCCTAATGGAGCAATAACTTTTGCAACATTACCTAGTTTGTCATTTGATAGATCACCACCAAGAAGAATACCACATGGTGGTAGTGGTACTTGGAAATTCATGGTACTTTGAATAGCAGTCCAATAACTTTCAAGCTCATTTCTTCCGAAGGAGGCAACTTCACCAGTGGACGCCATCTCTACTCCTAAATATGGGTCTGCGCCAGCTAATCTTGTAAAAGAAAACTGTGGAGCTTTTGTTGCAACATAATCATAGTGCTTTGCCATCAGATCTACAGGCTCAGGAACATGTTCACCCCCTAAGTATGATTTGACAGCAACTTCGATAAAGTTAACGCCCAAAACCTTAGATACAAATGGGAAAGATCTTGATGCCCTAATGTTACATTCAATAACCTTCAGATCATTTTCGCCAGCTTTGATAACTTGCATGTTGAAAGGACCTGTGATGTTCCATGCCTTTGCAACCTTTTTAGCAATGGTCTTCAATTGACTCTTTACGTTCTCAGAAAGATGTTGAGGAGGTAGAATTAATGTGGCGTCACCAGAGTGAACACCTGCATCTTCTACATGTTCAGAAATAGCGTGAACTAGTAGTTCACCATTACATGCAACAGCATCTACATCAATTTCTTGAGCACCCTGAATAAATTTGGACATCACGACTGGATGATCGGGTGAGACATCTGAAGCTAATGTTAGTTTATCTTCTAGTTCATGTTCATTGTTGACAACACTCATAGCAGCACCAGATAGCACGTACGAAGGTCTGATTAACACTGGATAGCTCACCTTGTTGGCAAATGTCTTGGCCTCTTCCACTGAAGTTAATTCTTTCCATTCTGGCTGTCCGACATTGATAGAGTCTAGAATAGAAGAAAATTTGTGTCTATTTTCAGCATTATCAATATCTTTGGGACTTGTACCCAATATTTTACATCCATACTCATATAATGATAAAGCAATATTTTGAGGCAATTGACCACCCATTGAGACAATACACCCTTCAGATTGTTCCAACTCGTAAATATCCAATACTCTTTCGTAGGATAGTTCCTCAAAATACAATCTATCCACTTCATCAAAGTCTGTTGAAACTGTTTCGGGGTTGTAGTTAATCATAATAGTTTTGTAATTTTGTTCTCTCAGAGCTTTGGCTGTATTCACCGCACACCAATCAAACTCGACTGAAGAACCGATACGATAAACCCCAGAGCCGAGAACAAGCATACCATGGTCATCAAATGTTATGTCATGTTTTGTTGCGTTATAAGTAGTGTATAAGTAGTTTGTCTGAGCTGGGAATTCAGCGGCTAGTGTGTCGATACGTTTAACATATGGGGTAATATTGTGAGCCTTTCTCAAAGTTCTAATATCTAGCTCTTTGGATGAAATACCTGCATACTTGGTCAATGTAATAGCAATTTGCTTGTCTGAGAAACCTAATTTTTTAGCACGCAATAATAAGCTGTTCTCTAACAATTGACTTATGTCAACTAACTTCATCAACTCTTTGTATATGTTGACAATATTCATACACTTATATAAGAACCACTTATCTATCTTAGATAGATCGTGAACTTTATCCACCGAGTAGTTCTCAAAAATTAACGCTTGGCCCACAGCGAAAATTCTTCTATCGGTTGGATTGGCCAAAACGTCGTCTAATTGATCGCCAAACTCGTCAGAGCCTTGGAATCCTATTATAGATGGGTCAACTTGTCTTAATGCCTTTTGGAAAGCTTCCTCATAATTTCTACCGATGGCCATCACCTCACCGACTGACTTCATTGCAGATCCAATCGATCTATTAACATATTGGAATTTACTTAGATCCCATTTTGGAATCTTGGCAACAATGTAATCAAGAGATGGTTCAAAATTAGCGACTGTAGTCTTTGTGATAGGGTTTGGTAGTTCAGGTAAAGTGTAACCTAGTGCTATTTTTGCGGCCGTATAGGCTAGTGGGTAACCAGTAGCCTTGGATGCCAATGCTGATGAACGAGATAGACGAGCATTCACTTCAATTACTCTGTAATCCAAACTGTTAGGGGAAAGTGCATATTGCACATTACATTCACCTACAACGCCCAAATGTCTAATAATCTTAATAGCGGCCGATCTCAACATGTGGAACTCCTCATCGGAAAGAGTCTGCGATGGTGCAAATACGATAGAATCACCGGTATGAACGCCCAACGGATCAAAATTCTCCATATTACAAACAGTGATACAGTTATTTTCGCGATCTCTGACAACTTCGTATTCGACTTCTTTCCATCCTCTCAAGGACTTTTCGACAAGAACTTGAGGAGCTAGAGAGAGAGACTGGGATGCCAGTTCCTTAAGCTCCTCTGGGTTGTTAGCAAAACCGGAACCCAAACCACCCAGAGCATAAGCAGATCTGATAATAACAGGGTAGCCGATTGTGCTGGCAGCCGATAGCACATCGTCAATATTTTCACATGCTATGGACTCGGCAATAGGAATGTCAATTTCTTTCAAAGCTGATGCAAATAAGTCTCTGTCTTCAGAGGTGATTAATGTTTTAATTGGAGTACCCAGCACTTTGACGTTAAACTTGGCCAAAATACCAGTTTCATCAAGATGAATACCACAGTTTAGAGCCGTTTGTCCACCGAAAGTCAGCAGGATAGCGTCTGGTCTATCCTTTTCGATAATATAGGTAATATATTCGGGTGTTACTGGTAAATAATAGATTTTGTCAGCCAAAGAGTGCGATGTCTGGTTTGTAGCGATGTTTGGGTTTATCAGTATAGTTTCTATCTTGGATTCCTTGAGAGCCTTGATTGCCTGAGAACCACTGTAGTCAAACTCACCCGCTTGGCCAATGGACAAACCACCAGAACCGACTATGAGAACTTTATTCACGCCTTGTACCAGTTGTGGGTTGTACTTGTCCTTCAGCGTAAACGCCGAGATGCTATTTTCTTGCGCAGTTATAGTCATTTTATTATTTGCAATGATAGTCTTTTGCAAGTTTTGATCTGTATTTCCTTTAGGAAAAGTTGTTGTGAGAGGATTGCAATATAGTGAGGTTTGTAGCAATCCATGAAATACTCTAGCATCCTATGACCCCGTTTATATACTTTTCCAAAGTTGCCAATTGGAACAATGGCTCACTGGTTCGATGTGCTCGATGAGCTCATTATGACTGATGTCGCGTTCACATGCCGTTAACTGACACCGATAAGAAAGCTCGGGATCGCGGTGCGCGCAGAATATTTTTCACCTTCCGTTAACAGTCAGGTTTTGGTTAGGACCATCCGTTTTCTTATCGCTTGTACCTGCCCCAATGCCATTAAGTGCCAGGACTGCCTTCTCGCGTGGACACGCACCTTTGTAGTTGCCGTTTTCGGTTACATTCTGCACTAATGGCCTTTTCATCATTTTTAGGCTAAACGGGCGCACAGTCCGTGCTGAGAGTCCTAACGTAGCGGGAAAGTGTAGAAATGTTTGCCCAAAAAGTGGAAGCATATAGCGAGCACCCTCCCCCCATTGTGGACTAATGTTCACAGTTCTCCTCAGAGAATACTGGAGGACTTAAACTGTTATATCTGTAGTTGGCAGTTGCAGGCGATCAACTGCCTTTAACTCTCATGTTTATGTCACTGATACGCATATCAGTCGTAATCGGTCCAAACTGACCTTTAATGGGTACCAGAAGCGAGGAAGTCCTTTATCGCTAGGGTCCTATGCTTCTTGTGAAGTCTCTGCGGGTATTTCTTAGCCTCATCGGGCCCATCCTCAAGGCAAAGCTATAATGAGTTATACATAACTAGTTGTAACCGAATGCTATCCAGATTGTAGTCATAATGATCTCTCAGTTCGCAATGCTCCTGGGACAGTAGACAATCTGTGTTGTTTCTACTTAAGAAATCAGTAGAATCATCAGGATCATCAGTCTCGGTTCTGTGTCTCCTCTTGAAAGGTTGCGATAGCGAGACGAATGTGTCAAAGAATAACCGTGACGAGAGGGGCTCACTAGGTCCCTACTCAATTGTCGAATGGAAACTTAGAAAGAAATCCATTCTTGTAGATCAGGTCTATAGTTAAGTATTATTATCGGTCTCGATTACAGCTAGGTGTAGGTGATGGAGTACATCAAAATAAGTAAAGTCGATGACGTTACGTTGCATAGACGAGGGAAGTCAGCTGTTGGGACACTGCACCTGACTACGCACCACCTGATCTTCGAGTCGCCTAGTTTGAAGACAGAGTTCTGGTTTGCGCACCACCTAATTGGTTCTGTATTTAAAAACTACGGGAGTGCATTGCTCTCGGTGCCAGGGTATGACATCAATGCCACAGTGGGCGACAAGGACCTGTGGTCCATGACCAATGTCAAAATCATCGGTAAGGACTTCACCGTGTTCTCCTTGGACTTTCTCATGGAGCTAGAAGCCAATGAGTTCTACGACTCCTTGATAAACTTGACTGTGCTGGAGGACCCACACAAGCTGTATGCTTACATCTACAAACCTAACGAGTTGGAAACCAAGCTAACTCGAAAAGGCTGGGATATCTATGACCTGAAGAGTGAGTTCCTGCGACAAGGACTCGATCTAGATGGCTCGAAAGAGGGGCAGCCTACTTGGAGAGTGAGCAACATCAATGCCAATCACGAGGCTATACCGACATATCCCGCTCAATTTGTAGTTCCTGCATTAGCTTCAGACCCTTTGCTTCTGCACGCAATGAAGTTCCGGTCTCAAAATAGACTACCAGTACTGGCCTACTACTACAAGAAATCCCAATGTTGCTTACTGAGGTCTTCGCAGCCGTTGACTGGTGTGACTAAACAGAGATCATTGCAGGATGAGAAACTTATACAGACGTTCTTCAAAGCGTCAAATAAGTGTAAGAAGAACCTTATAGTGGATGCAAGACCTACTGCCAATGCGCTGGCACAGATGGCTTTAGGTGGAGGGACAGAAAGTATGGATAACTACAATTTCAACAAGACTGTACAAAGACTGTTTTTAGGTATTGACAACATCCACGTAATGTCAGATACACTAAACTCACTTGTGGATAATGTCCTAGCAGATGGTGATATTTATTTGCCAATCAGTGATGCGTATTTGTCGACCGGCAAATCGGCTAATTGGTTGAAATATGTCAAGCTCTTACTTTCATCAACTGATATGATGGTCAAATCGATGGTTTTTAACCAATCAAATATTCTGCTTCATTGTTCAGACGGTTGGGATAGGACAACCCAAGTGGCTTCTCTAGTACAGATTTGTCTAGATCCATATTTCAGGACACTCGAAGGTTTTATGGTGTTAATAGAAAAGGATTGGGTTTCATTTGGTCATAAGTTTAAAGAAAGGTTAGGTCATCTGAGCTCTACAGCAGTATTTCATGATAATACCTCGGGTTTGAAAACTAATGTAACATTAAGTTATAAGAAACTAACCGGAAAGAGTAAAGCTGCCACAGGAACCACGGAACAAGAGCCGGATCGAACTTTGGAAGATTCGACGTCATTGTTTGGAAATGGATCAGCTAAGGATAACTTAAATAAAAGTGTGATGATGCTTTCAAACTCCGCAACGGACTTCTTTAACAAAACAATCAAGACAAGTATACCATATGGTGATTCTTCAGCTGAAGTTGATACTTCAGGGACAGCGGCAAATGCTAAAACTAAGAAGAAAGCAAGCACGAAATTTGTATCACCTGTTTTTATGCAATTCCTTGATTGTGTATACCAGTTGTTGCTCCAAAACCCAGAAAAGTTTGAATATAATGAGAGGTTTCTAAGAAGATTACTATATCATGCTTATTCTTGTCAATATGGTACATTCTTATACAATAATGAAAAAGAACGTATGGAGGATACTCAAAGGAATAATACTAATAGCGTTTGGGACTACTTCAATTCTAGAAAGTTGGAATTCACAAATGTTTCATACCAAGGCATACCTGAAGGATCAGATGATTGGATTTTACCAGATCTAGGTAAAGTTAGGTGGTGGTGGCAGCTATTTGGCAGAAGAAACAGTGAGATGAATGGCTATCTTGATAAGGTACAAGTAGAATCTAAAGTAACCGTTGATGAGAACTCAAATGAAGACACTAATGAAAGTACCGATAATGTGAAGACATTAGGAGAGAAAATTGCAGCCTTCAGCTTCGACTTCTTTGGCAAAAAGTAGAATTGCATTGTTAATCTATAACGATAAATATATTGGTCTTTTATCCACTTCTATATATAAATACTTAATGCCTAAATTATATCCGATGACAGTATCTTGGATTGTATTATTATCATAGTTTAACAATATCTGCATGCCAAGTTACACCACACCATTTAGCAACCAGGATGGCTAAGCTTCTTGCAGCTTCAATTGCTTCTCTATCGCAGCCAATATTCAAAGCACCTCTGAGATGGCCTTTCAATTGGGGGTTAACATCCTGAGGAACCAACGCTGCAATCACAATGAAACTGGTTTCCTGAGCAGACAATACTTCATCATTAGAAAGTAGAGGTCCATAGACGTGCACCAAAGTGTAGTACCATAGGTCAGGGTATGACGAGTTCATGTTATTTATGATACGTTGGGACACTTTGTTGTAGATAGAGTTCCAATGTTTCAGACCTCGTTGCATGGCGACCTCTCTGTCCTCAAAGTCCTCTTCAACACGACCAGTTCCCGTTTTAGATTCTTCATTGGACATGTACGGTCTGCAGTTATTCACTGACGCATGCCATGGGTCGATCTCCCTGGAAACACTCGGAAGTAAACTCAAAGGAGTGTATTCTTTCAAGCTATGCAGACCATTGATGGCTTTCGGAAGTCCAGCTAAGGGACCAGATTTCAGAATGGACTCGCGAAACTTGCGGGTGATGGTACTGTGCAGGATCGAGGGCTGCTGGAATCCCTCATTGATAATGGATTCTCGGAGGTCAGGTCTCCGCATGCAGTTGTCAACCATATCGTTGCACTTCCCAGCCAATGTGATGCGATGTATGTCGGCATTCTCATTGCTCAACGCCAACGCGTAGTGGTACAACTTGGGCAGCTCCTGAGGGTGGTTGCACACGCTGAAGGTCACTGCGGCGACCAAGTACCATATGTTCTGCAGCTTCGGATGGAACTGCGAGAGCTGGATCAGCCTCTGCGCATTAAGTACACTCTTCATAGACATCGCTGGGCTCTGTTACAGTTATAAAGTCCTAAAATGGTTCGCAGTCGTCCCACCCAATATATAACACTTGTGAAACACCCATGTGAAATATGTGAAATATTATCAGTTGATCAATGGGGGCATTGCCAAAAAATACGTCATCTCAACCAAAATTTTTCACTTCCTCAGCCCCAGCTCAGAGGGTGACTCATCAAACTCAAACAAGCTACATACACTGCAATTATACAAGAACGCACATTGCTCGGCGTTGACCGCCAAGCACATACAATGATAACTGCACTAAGGGCAAGACATTACAGCATTTGCATCCAGCCTCTATTATACTGCTCCCAGAGGTGGATAGCCCACACAACAAGCATCTGTGGGATGCGCCGTCCAGCTCATGAAAGTCGATTTTTGTTTTTCTCGCGTTTCCGTTTCGCGCCGTCTTCGTATGTAGGGATCTTATTTTTGCAATCGCATAAACAAATGCTGCGAGCTCATCTCATCCTCGAGGCTATAAACTTGGCAGTGTATAGGTTGTGGTGTGGCTGGTGGCTGGATTTCTAACCTTGAGCGGTTGAGAAGACGGTGATTTATCAAAAAGGGGGAGATATTAAATGGTTTCTGCGGAGAGAGTACGGTACCAGCGATTGAACCAGGTGTTTGACCGGGCGTTGGCCCAGACGGTGCACAAGCTGGAGAGCAAAGAGCGGGTGGTGTCCTGTTTCCCGCGGTACTCGAGCACGCTGGAAGGGTCCTCGCACCTGGAGAACTGCCAGGCGCAACTGATTGAGTTTATGGTGCGGTACTGCGAGCGGGAGTTCCAGGCCATCCTAGAAGAGCGGAACGTGAAGGTGAAATTGGATGAACTGGATGATCTGATCTCCCTAGCGCAGAGCCGTCTGGAAGAAAGGAAACGCCAGGCATTGGTAACTGCCAAGAGGAAAGAAGGCAATGCAAGGCCTATAAACAGGGACCTTGAGCAGGGTCTATCAGCTGTGGATCAGTTGAGCAGTAAAAAACTGCTGGCAGCACATCTATATACCTTGAGGAAAGACACAGTGGCAAAAATTGACAATAGGCTACAAAAGGTTAATGCCTTAAATAATAAGATTAAGGATGAGATCACGGAACTCGAAGAAGAGATTGAAAAGAGCAAGAGTAACATTAATAGTCTACTGGATGACACAATGGGGTCCACAGCTTTACGCGATCAGGATGAAACTTTAGTGCAAGGTTTGCATGACATGGTACTAGAACTGAAAGAGAATCTGATATAATCTGATTTTTATGCATTTGCAGATGTTCCGCTCTTTTCCTGACGACTTCATGCACCTTAATGACCTTCATATTCTGAATTATCCTCCTCTCTCAAATATCCTGTTTGAGAAGTTGTAATATTACATAAAGCTCACCCTTATTGAAAGATGTTGAGTACAATATATACCTTTGTTCATTATTGCTTGTCACTTTAAGTACCTTATTGTTTTTTAAACATGAGCATTTTATAATTGTTTGAATGATTAAGTTAACCTTTTGGTCGCGATGACCTTCAAAAATCTAAACAAAAATATGATATATAAAACATTAATGTATAAACCTACTATTCGATTAATATATCTTCAATTCAACCAGAACAGATCTAACAACAATATAATGCTAGGAATTAGAATACGAAAGAATTATTTTCTGGCTCTGCTTATGTGTACATCCATTTTCCTATTTCTTAGGCCTGACTACAGATGAGAGGTTTACATTCTTAACTAGGAATCATGATAAGATAACTCACTTCGTTGCGTTTGCCGTTGAGTCGTGGCTAGTTGTGATGATGGTTGCATCGAAGTATATTCATCTCCCGCGATTTAGAACAATACAATCTCCAAATGACGATATTGAAATGGTAACGAACCGTATCCCTTTAGAAAATGGAACAACTAATGCTGAATCCACAACTTACTATCAGGTAAACAAGTACATCATTGCCACCGTTATATGCTGTGGGTTTGCTGGTATAGCAAGTGAATTGTTTCAAAAGATAGCTTCACATAACAAGAGAAGTTTCGATGTCTATGACATCTATTTTGATATGATGGGAAGCGGATGTGGAATAATTGCGGCTTACCTCCATGAAAGTTATAGCAACAGAATTTCTATCGAGGGATGATTTCATCTCAAGTGCTTTGCTTACCAAATAATGGGGTTCACGAATTCCAAAAAATTTATGATGAATTTTAATTACACGTTATTATATACAAGTATATGAATAATACATAAACGTAACGTAGTTTATATATCTGTTTTCATCTCAATTGAATGTATGATCTATGTGCAATTGCAGTCTTGTGCATTTGATCTCTCTTTTCGAAGCCGCTACTCTTCCCTTCATAGACGGCCACAAGTTCTTCACCCAACCTTACTGCAAAATCGTTGGACACACGCTTATTTGCACCTTCGACTATCCATTTCCAAGCAATTCTATTTCTTTGTCTTTGGCTTAATGGGACTGGAATCACAGCGGCCTTAGCAACACCTGTGTTGAAAGTTTTAACCATCATTAATGGTGCCATGTCGTCAAGGGCTTTCTTCAATAGCTCAACGGGGTCCTTTCTTGTCTTACAATGTAGGAAATATAAGGCCCTAGAGATTATCTTCTGCGCCCTGTCCTTCTTACCATGTCTCATGATCATATTTGTGACGTGTTGTACAGTAGGATCTTTCAATTGCGGCATAGGTTGATCTTTTAAGGCCTCCCATTCTTCCAGCTGTTCTTGTGATGGTTCGAATTCCTGAGATGACTTGATGGCTTCTTCGACTAAGTCTATTCTGGCTTGACCTGGGGGTGCCAATGACACTTCGGGCAGAAACTCACGCTCAGAGAATTCTGTCTTTAATTCCTCTATGTCTTTTAACCATTCATCCACTTCTTCATCAGTGAAACTTAAGTTTTCATCTACAACAGCACTAGTGCTCTTATCCTGTTTTTGCTCTTGTAATAGCACTCTGTTGGTCGTCAGCTTTCTCATTGCCACAAGCCTGTGCTGCGAAGCCATTGGCAGTACTGGCCTAGCACTTACGGCCCTCGATCTCAGCACCGCCAGAGCGTTCCCTCTAACTCTAGTCAACATGTTTTCCAAACGGGATCAAGTGTCTATACCGTCAGTTACAGCGTCGTTGCAGGAGTATTTAACACAGTACAGTTTCGAGAGATAATCTATTCAATATATGTGGGGCACCTTGCTTGATAAATAGTATAGCTGTCCGCACTTACTAGTTGGGTTGCGCTATACAACTGCCATTACCAGCGTAGTACTTCTCTCTGGCCGAATGGGCCGTTCCGGTATTCGCTGGAAGATGGAGGTACTTTGCGACGAACACTGAGACTTCGGGATTGTTATACGTTCATTCAAATCATGTGACAGTGTAGTACTGGCATATGCACTCAAGAGTAAAGCCATGTGCAATAGATCAATACGTAAAAATAAACTCATGTTATAATGCAAGAGGACTCCCAGTGTTCTTGAATTTTGATAGTGTTTGTTAAAATGTCTGGGCGGAGTCACAAGATAGCCTCTAATAATCGGGGTATTACTGTGAGGGTTATACTTTTGGATGCACGGTGGCTATGTGTGTAATTACTGGGATATTCTCAATAAGAGTATGGTGGTGCAAAAGAACAGTTGGTCCGTTAACAGCACAGCCATTGCTTAAGTGTACTGTAGGGTATTGTTTATAATCTATTGTATGTACAATGTACTAATATAGTTGTGGGTTAGAGAAGACATTCCCGGTCTCAACAATGTTCTAGAAGGTATGATGGTACTGTGATTCAACAAATTCTTAAATGTCGGGGTCGGTAACTGGGACAATGGAAGGTAGATACAGTATAGGCTTCTCCGATGCGACTCAGCATGGCGGAGCACAGGATGGCAACTCAAATTGAAGAAGTGGACCCATTCGAGATAGATGATTTACATCGCTAGTGGGTTTCGTAAGAAAGATTTGCTAAATAAGCGAGGGCTGTGCGTCCGAGGCATTTAAGTTGGAGATATGAGAGGTTTCCCTAAGCCAAGGATATCTTTCCAAAAACGTGGCTTTCTATATATGAAACCAAAGGCCAAGGATCGGGAGGATGGAAGGGGGCCGGGAATTGAAGATTGAGAGTTTGGGGGGGGGGGTTGAACTCATGGAGTCATAGAGTCATAGAAAGGTAGTCTTAATGACTCGAAGGGTTTAGTGAGTTTTACGATTAATGTGTATACGAAGCCACAATAAGCTTTAGTATACCGATTCGGGCATTGGCCAGCATTACTAATTGTCAGATAAGAAGTCCCGACGAGCACTAGAACATGTCATACCTCGGAACGTTAGCGATAGCCAAATTGGGACAAGTATTACGTGTTACTCACGCAATGTGTGGTCAGAGAATCCATCTCCCCGGAGAAACCAGAACCCCGGGGGAAGGTCATATTTTGAATCTTCCAATTGTAGTAGTACTTGTTGTAGTCGTTGTTCTTGCAACTTGGTCTTGCAACTTGGTCTTGCAATTGTCCTTGTACTTGTTACTGTACTTGTTCTGTACTTGTTACTGTACTGTGCTCTGTGCTGGGAGTTGTTCCGGGAGGTGCCCCACACAATGGGATGCAGAGAATGTTCCATGTTCTTATCAATTGGCTTATGCAATTCGCTGCTCCGTGGGAGGGAAGTTCATGACTGTCTGCGGAAGTTTCTAGCTGGAGGACATTAAAGACTAGGGAGAGCTTCCAGAATACTTCCCAATTCGGAAATTGGAAGCTTCCCTTATTTCACTTCCGCTTGCCTGCTCCAATGGGCAGAGTTTGTCCCACTCGAGTGGATTACTTAAATTGGCAAAGAGACGTTAGCGTGCTGCACACCGCAACGTCAGCGCAGATGAAATCAGAAAGCTTCGATTGAGAAAGTGAAAAATCCGACTTCCCCAGAGAAGCGCGAGGAGGACCCCTATTATAATTCTTTTAGAAGGAGATGGGGGATGGGGGGGACCTCGCTTTACGGCGTGTTCTGGGGGATCTGAGGTCTGGAAAAACTTTTCCCGAGCTGGACCCCCACAAGCGCACAGAAGAGTTGCTAAATTAGCTTATGTAAAGAAAACCGAAGAAAGTAGCGCACAACGCATATAATAGCGTGCTACCGGAGGGGTGGTGGTGGTGGGTGGGGCTCTAGCGCTGCGTGATGTTCTGTGGTGTAGCTTCCTTGCGTTGTACAATGTCCCATTCTTGGACGGTGGACGATACGGTTCTGAGGACGGTTGCTGTGAATCAGCAGGGCATCGAAGGGTCCATTGGGCGAGTCGATTTACCTTCCCAAAGGCATATATATTGGCGAGGTATTTCGCCAACGCTTTCGAAATGGGAGTGCTCGAGGATGGCCGACAAGAGAACACTATATAACCAGGCATCTCACGATGCAGTACGTATCAATTCCACAACAGATATTGCTGGCCAATCGGGCCAGGACCAAGCTCATGGACTGTGCGATGGTCAAGGAGCACAACAAGGACTACGACCTGCGACGCATGGTCGCACACGCCAACATGCTCGACAGCTTGCTGCGAGATGTTCCGACCTCCGCACAGCCACAACAGACACAACGGCCAGAACCGCAGGCCCAAGTATACCGTGCGCAGGCGCACGAGTACGACGAGGAGCTGATGTTCGACATGGACGACAAGGAGTACCACACGTCGACGGAGTGCTCGAACATGATCAGTCAATGCAGGCGGTACGAGGACTCGCTGAGCGATCAGTCTCAGTACGACCAGTACAGTGATCAGTACCACGAGCAGTACAGCGATCAGTTTGGCACTCTGCGCGGCTCTCTGCGCGGTTCTGTGCGCGACTCGCTGGGAGACTCGCTGGACTGCGACAACGCCGTCGAAGAGAACAAAGATGATGTGACGACGACGACGATGACGACCACTATCGACGAGAACGGCGAGTTGCACACGTGCAACCGCGTACCACTCCTCTACCAGACCCTGCGCGACGAAAATACTCCACGTGATCTACGTGACCACATCATTGACAACGAAAGAGAAGATGATTACGGAGATGATCCACGTGACGACGAAGAGAACCTGCTCGAATCCGGGGAGTCGCCGGACGAGATGGACGGCTGCGGGCTGCTGGCGGAGGTCGTGTACACTAACCCCGTGTCGATGCGCTACAACAAGTGGCAGCACCCCGCAGACACCAGCACCGAACTGTACAAGCCAAGATACATAGACGCCTACATACGACCACTCAATTAATAGTAATAATATAGAAATACAATGCAAGTATAAATATAATACAATTCACTCACATGCCATATCACTCCATACACCCATGCAACAAGTAAGTCTTTGAGCTCTCATATAAGGGTCACAGTCGTGATAACTTGTGTCCAGGTGTATATGAAGCAGCAAAAAACGATAAGACGACAGCGTTGAAAGTAATAACGGTGCAACGTACAATTATCGCCCTCTTTTTGTGCATAATAAAATATGGGAGCTTAGAATCAACTTCATAGGTAATGAACTAGTGCAAATACGCCTGTATGGGTTGTGAAGCCTGGTGTTCCGTTTTAAGGCCCATACTTGTGATAAGGCATACACAACTGACCTACTTCGTTTTGAGTAACATGTAGTTTGAAGCCCTTCGCACCACACGGCTTTATAGGGCGAATTGCCATAGCAACAGAGCTGTAACAGCTAAGCTATATAACAACGGAGTGATTAAAGACCAGTAACACTGGCATAGATGTACTTGAAACGATAGGATCAAAACCAGATGAGAAGCACTAGATGGCCAACTTAACTAGATTTCGTATCGTCAGGTGATAAGTATGCGCACCTGAAATGGAAGCAATATAGTGAAATTAGGACACAGTGTACTGACTGGGCATAATACCATGAACTGAAATAGATCAGAGAACTGAAACATATTCATAGAGGAAGAGGTTGATGTTATTTTTTGATAGCAGAACTTGATATGAGATGCTGTTAGTAGAATTATGATATGAAAGATTCTGTCTGACTATAGTGTGCAGAATTGACAACAACAAGTGCAGGAACTAACACTACAATACAATCCCAACATATTTCGTTAAGTACTTATAAACTGGTACCTCGTGAGGAGCTTCAGTAAGTGCGCACAGTTTTGGTGGAGTATAAGCACTGACTGGAGTATACGCACTGAATCATATAATCACCATGTACGCTGTAGTGTTAGGCATGCCTATAAACTTCACAAGCCTCCATTCTCTTGGGCAATGCTGGAGTTACTTCTGAGTACTGCACTTGTAAGCCAGACTATTCTGTAGTATAAGTTTAAATATGGCGGTTTCAGATCAGCCGAGTACTGAAGGGATGGCAGATTGGCTGTACACTGGAGGATTACAAGATTGAACCTGGTGAAATGTTGTCTTTGAAGCCGGGCGCTACACTTGTCCAAAAGTATAAAAATTTATACCAATTATGCTTGGACAAGTGTACAGCATATACGAAAGTGAGATGGGTGGCAGAGCTAAGCTTGGTAGTGCTGTTTTTAAACCGTTTTGTGCCTTTGCTGGATTGTTACGTTTATGATAGTAAATTATTTGACGACCTATTAATAATTTTTTCGTGTTTCACATGGGGATTTCTATATGATAAGCTTTTACAACAAGAGGAAGGAAACTTGGACGTTGGCGAGAAGCTTGATGATATCCATCCAATTTTGAGTAGGCCACCTGAGTTCAGAATCTGGTACTATTGTATCGGAACCACTGTATATTACATACTCTGGGAATTACTCATACCTCCACTTCCAAATTGGGTAGGGTCTCTCGCTTTTTTTTTACACAGCACATATTGCTTGGCTTATATGTTTAAGGTAATTTTGCAGGGTGAGAACCCTACACACCAATTTTACTTGGACGTATGCAAGCGACATACCATGGCGAGGTGGATATCAGGGATAGTCTTGTTGTTCTTTGTTGCATTTCTTTATAGGTGTCATTACGCATGGGAATTGTGTTACTATGCACTTGGAATCTCCATTTTGGATGCGTTCATTAAGTATCTGAGAAGAATGCGCGATATGTATTTACAACAATGCAAAGACAAGAGTGATCAGGAAGCGAATGAAGCGTTCAGGGAATTCCGTCCATATCTAAGGAATTCACCCGAGTTTATATTGTGGTGCAGTTGCATCAAGTACACTGTGTGGTTTCTAGTTCTATCATTATTTAATTGCTTGCATGATCCAGACCTTTTCGGTCTCTACGTATTGATTTACGACATATGTTGGACTGTAATATGTGTGATAAAAGCTATCCTGCTTATGATCAGCTACAGTACATACCAACATCGGCATGTGGATTAGATGCGATGGATACAAGATAAAATGGCTTTGGATGGCGTTATGGAGTGCCATCCTTGCCTGTAGTTGAATTCTATAGTTATGAAAGTACTGTTACTGTACTGTATTGAAATAGTGTGATACGTACCCGCAGTGTGAGCAAACCCGATATATCCATATCACGTGAACCCTCAAACCCACTACACGATCCCCCCCCTTAAAGGGCGGGAAAAAGGGGGTGTGTTGCGAGTCCTTCTCACTGCGAACAGCTGCCACAACAACTGAAGAAACAGCTGCAAGACACACCCCTTACAGGTCGCTGTGTACGTAGCCGGAGTCTATATTCCATACAGGTGGAAAATTGAAAAAAAAAATATTTTATTGTTGGGTAAAACCCATACACTACAGCGAGTTTTACACCAGACATCCCTGCACCACACTTGGATTACAAATAACTCAAAACATAGGGTCTCATGATGCCTCTGCAACAAGTCTACACTCTACAACAAGTCTACAACAAGTCTACCCACCCAAGAATGGACGTTCCAAACTGCACACAGTATGGCAGGTCACCTCCCATCACACCTCACACCTCACACCTCACAGCGATACCGACTGGGGTTCGCAAGGATGGCACGGATGGCAATTACTAATATAAATAGGTTCCAATGGTGGGACACTACTCTACATCGCCAAGGCTCTCAGAGTTATACAAAACCCTTTACTAACATACCAAATAAAAAGACTACTACAATAGAAAATGGTTAAAGCTGTTGCTGTTTTGAGAGGAAGTGCCGGTGTCTCCGGTGTGGTTACTTTGGAGCAAGCCTCCGAACAGGACCCTACCACTATCACCTACGAGATTGCAGGCAACGACCCTAACGCTGAGCGTGGTTTCCACATCCACGAGTTCGGTGACGTTACCAACGGCTGTGTCTCCGCTGGCCCTCACTTCAACCCTTTCAAGAAGACCCACGGTGCGCCACAGGACGAGAACAGACACGTCGGTGACTTGGGAAACATCAAGACCGACGCCCAGGGTGTCGCCAAGGGTGTCATCACCGACAGCCTCGTCAAGCTGATCGGCCCTACCTCCGTCGTCGGCAGATCCGTCGTCGTCCACGCCGGTACTGACGACCTCGGCAAGGGCGGTAACGAGGAGTCCCTGAAGACTGGTAACGCTGGCCCAAGACCAGCCTGCGGTGTCATCGGCCTAACCAACTAACTACCACCAGCTGCCAGCGCAAGTGCCAGCGCAAGTGCCACCGCAAGTGCAAGTGCCACTGTGACTCTCAGCCCAAGACTTTGACGAACAATCTAAAGACGCCATATATTCTACATAAAGTACATAAAGTTTTAGTAACGAACTATACTGCAAACCCTTTATCCCTTTTATACTCTACCAACCCAGGCCCACAAGTTGCCCACCCGCAAGCTCCCCTGCCGAGAGGCCTATTTTTGCTCACTTTTTTGAGCACATTTTAACCTCTACAGTAGAAGCACACTCACCCTCACGTAACCTGCATAACCTGCACCCTATATCAAGTGCACATAAGCTCCGATACTCGCATACCACTACACACAGCCTTGCCAACACATCGCCTTTTCACCACCCCTAGACACAGCCCTCACATCACGGATGCCCTCGATATACGCCTTCCCGCCGCTATACACCCGGCAGCCCAACTCGCTGGTCCGCAAGCAGCAGATAGACACCTGGATAGACATCCTCACCGAGTGGTGCAAGTCCCACCGGGTCTTCGAGCTCGGCAAGGACGGTGTACCCGTCAGGGAGAGCGACGCCAGCGATGCCGATGACGGTGCCGATGGTGGCACTACTACCGGCAACGAAGCTGGCCGCAGCCTGTTCAAGAACGAGGAGATCAACAGGGCAGTGCCGCCGCTGTTTATCGATGAGATATGGTCGGTGATGGCCACCAGAGGCGTGGCCCTGGTCACAGAGGGCCGCGCCAGCTACTACGTGCTGTGGCGGACGCTGGACTCCTGGGCCTCTTTGATCCTGCAATGGTTCGAAACCGTCGGAAAGCTGAACCAGGTTGTGACTCTTTATGAGCTGACGGAGAGCGACGAGACCGCGGACTGGGAGTTCCACTCTATGCCCTTGCCCCTGCTGCACCGTTGCTTGAAACCGCTGTGTAACCGGAACAGAGCGACACTGATGAAAGATGAGCACGGAACACCAGTGGCATTGAAAGTTGTATGACCATACTACTGTCAGCTGGTTCTCAAATTACCATAGACAGAGTAAAGATAATGATTTCTCTATATTACGCTTTTTTTATTGTTTTGAAATGTACTTAATACTATATATACACGCTGTTTTGTTATTTACATGTGTTAGGCTTTCAATCAGCTTCTATGCAACTGGGTCAGTGAACAGTCTGTTGTTGACCACAGACCAGTTCAAGTTGTCCAACACATTTCTGACATACTTGGCTCTGTTCTGTACCCCGTAGTCTGCCAAATAGGCGTGATCCCAAAGGTTCACACAGATCAGAGGCATGGTCCAATCGTCAACCTTCTTGCCAAGCTCAGAGGCCTTGTCTACAAGCTCTTTCACGCTCTTAGTATGCTGGTACTCCTCTGGTCTTATGGCGCTGTTCATGTCAAACAGCTGGTTCCTAGGAAAGTAGTAAGGGGTACCATTGTTTTGTATCGTGAGTATGTGCAGCTCCTTGTTGCTGTTCTCAACCAAGAACAGCCAACCTTCGCCAATGACGTTGTCAGTAGCACTCTTGACCATCTCTTCCTTCACTTGGTCCCACCCGTGCCCGAACGAATCCACTAGCCTGGCCTCCAGAAGCCTCGAGGGCTTATTGGTCTCGCTCAGCGCACTACCTTCCTCCGTCACAGGCAGTATGTTCTCTATAAACAAGTGGTTATTATGCGCCGCAGAGGCGAGGTTGAAGATGTGGCTCTGGTGCTGGTTCTTCGCCGTCTTCAACAGTATATGAAACGGCAAGTACGACTCCAGACTCGTGCCCGCGGTGGCAAGCGTCAGCTTGTCACACACATACCCTTGCTGCTGACTCCAAACTAGATCAAACCCGTCTTTGCTCAGCACCTTGGGAATACCTCGCCGACTCAACTCCTGCCCATTGGGCAGCTTGGGAACCACATGGATACCACGAACGCCCTTCCAGATCAGCCTCTTTCCAACTCTTAACATCTAGTGCTCCTGCTTACAACTCTACCCAGCTGTTATATCCAGCTCAAGCCAAAAATATATAGGATTACCAAGACACTTGCTGAAATATCAGGTTCTTCGCAGGATTGGACTTATCCTGTGAAGAAGTCGTCGTTGGCACTGAGAAGGGAGCCAAAAAAAAAATTAATGAGAGATAAGGGATTCGAACCCTTGCATCCGAAGATATCAGAGAATTTAAGCTTTAAGTGTTTCAACTCACCTAAATCTGACGCCTTAAACCACTCGGCCAACCTCCCATATTGTGATCTTGATGTCTGTGTTCCAGGCTGGGTCGCTATATAGTTCATGTTACATATTTGACTTGTGAGCGTTGTATGATACAAGAATTGATGTGTATGGGCCTCTAGCACGTTACAAGAAGCCTAGAAACATCGAGCACTTAGTGTTCCTGATCGTGGCTGCTATCTTGTCCTCTGGAAGAATATGGGATTTGCCCCACCCCCACATAGAGGCCATTCGGGCCTTCTGCAGAAGGCCCGATGAGCTTGCCACAACGTTAATAAGTCAAGACATAACTTTTGTAGATCAATACCGAATCTTCCAATTGAAAACAACATAACTATCCACACAGTCCAACTAACTATACACATGCTGCCACTGAGACTGAGACTAATACCAAGAGTGAGAGCTGCTAGGCTGTTTAGCACCTCAGCAGCCACAAGACAAGTAATACGTAATGGATCCTTTAGGAGACACGCCAGGAGAAACCAGGTTGCTGGTCAGGGCTATGACTACAATGACACTATGAGCTTAAACCGCGGTTCCAGCATAATCACTATAAACCACCCGATCGCTACTACTATTCTAAATGAACCTACTATTATCGTTGAGAGGCAACTTGAACTGATGAATGTGTTTCTAGGGTATGAGCAGGCAAATAAGTACGCCATCATGGATGCAATGGGGAACAAGATCGGATATATGATGGAACGTGATTTTTCAATTGGTAAGGCCATAATGAGACAATTTTACCGGTTACACAGACCTTTTATAGTAGATGTCTTTGACAACTGGGGGAACATACTGATGAGTATTAGAAGACCTTTCTCCTTTATCAACTCACATATCAAAGCTATCATACCCTCGCAAGTGACCCAGGTGATACGGAATGGGAAGGATGTCACACAGGATCTTAATGTGCTCGAGGATAATGGTACCATGGTAGGTGAAACAATACAGAGGTGGCATGTCTGGAGACGTAAATATGACCTCTTCCAAAAAGATCCAAATACCTCAGATGATGAAGTTTTAAATCAATTTGGAGAGATCAATGCACCTTTTCTGTCTTTCGAATTCCCTGTTTTAGACCAGTCCGGTAAGATTATGGGCGGTGTTGATCGTAATTGGGTCGGGCTAGGCAGAGAGTTCTTCACTGACACAGGTGTCTACATAATCAGATTTGATGCACAACGCAGTTACATGAACAATGATGGAACTATGATATACCCTCCTGAAATTATGAGCAACGAAATAATGAATTTTGATCAAAGAGCTGTCCTGTTAGCTAACGCTGTCTCTATCGATTTTGATTATTTCTCGAGACATTCCAACCATGGTGGATTTGTCAGTTTCGGTAGCTACGAATGAGCAATTGTAACACAAAAATTCCTCTGTTACTATATTAGTCCAACTATACATTTATTTATTACTTGTGTAAATACGAGAATTATGAATTGACTGACCTAGTCCCAGGCTTCCGTTAAACCCAGAATGGAAAAGTTCAAGCTATCCTGTGAGTTCTGTGCTGCGCTCATTAGTTCCTGGATTCTAGATTTTAGGAGTGGTTGCGCAAGTATATCTGAAGCGCTGTCGTCCGCTGTCCCTAAGTCCAAGGGTCCAGCCCTGCGACCATCCAGCTCGTATACGTGCCCGTTCTGTACTACGTAAGTCACAAAATGCAAATTGACCTCGATCTGTGATGGATCCACATCTTGTGGGTAACTGGTGGACCCCATGGTGAACGTTTCACGATATTTGTCCGCGGCATCCAGAACAAACTTGTTCGTCTGTTCGTCATCAAACCTCATCGCACTGTGAGACTCGAGGAAGTTACCTAACACTGAAGTGGGCTCTAGTATTTCCTTGTTGTTGCTCAATGCGTGCAGCACGGCGTACAGCCCGCAGGCATTCTTGATCGATTGTCTAAACCAGGAGACACCCGAACCATTGCCAGCCTCGCTACCGTTGTCGCTACCGTTGTCGCGGCCCTTGCCAGCGTCCCCTGACGCAATTGGCTCCCTAAGTCCTTCAGTCAATGGGAACAGAAGAACAATGGCACTCACGGGCCGAGGCACCATAGCCAGCAGGTCAGGGTCGTCCAGCGAGTACACATCCACAAACGCATGCGCATTGTCTAGCCCCAGCAGGTGCGCCACATGGTTGAACACCTCGGGACTCGACTCCATTGGAACTACAGCAGCCATCTTTCTATTCTTCACACGCAATGGCTAGAGATATCCGTTTCTCCCAGTTGCTGTAAAACCAATCTGATACAGACACTTTCAAGTCGCAATACCCGATGCCCCTCTGTTATACCCTTAAAGAATAAGGTGGGGCAAGAGCCAACGCTTTTGAACGGAAAAACTCACATGTAAAGGCACGAGAAACGGAATTACCCCCCATCCCGTCTGTGCACAGAAAGCGCCGCACAACAGAGTACACTTTCGGTGAGAAACCAAATTTACGTAAATCATGAGAATCTCTGAGGTTTTTCCGGGTGAGGATCTACGTAGAACTCAGTGTTCCATGCTTCTACAAGTAATCATAGTTTCAAAAATCCTGGGGATAGAATCATGAATCGAGGAAGGAACCCCATAAATGTATAGTGATAATATCTGTGATGTTTTCGTTTGAACTGGGTTTTGGTCTTTGGAAGATAGGGGGGGATGTTGGTGTTGAAATTCTTGAAAGGGGGGTTATTGGTCCCAACGGGGTTTTCCTTTATGTCAGTTGCCAGTTATGTAACAGACAATATGTGTGGGGAATAGAGTTTTCCTTCTCCCCAGGTTTAAGGACTGTATCCCGCAGCAGGCTAGCCAGCTTTCCAAGTCAACAAAACGGTTCCCACTGTCAGCTGCAAGTTCAGGTGTTGGCTGGGAAGTGTACATATGCGTAGGGGGGGAAATAGTAAATAATCACTGAGAGGGGGGGAAAGCAGGCTAGCCCCCCGAAGTGTGTGCTGATGCAGAAGGAAGGAGTTTACAGTAGAAACTATATAAGCATTGCATAAATTCTCTTTCTCCTGAAAATAAAATGTCTTTCTGCGCTTGGCAGCTTCTACTTGCATAACGTTTCAGATTCGGAGTAATTGGAAGGACAGTAAACAAAACCATCTAATATATCACACCATGGGTATCGAGGATAAGATTTCCGGATTCTTCAAGGGGAAACAAGACAAGAAGATTTCCCCAACTAGTAAGACTACCACCACTAAGGCTCAAGCTCAGCAAGAGAAGAAAGCATCCCAGCAATATGCTCCAGCTTCTACTGGTTTGACCAGTGAAGCTATGGAAAAGGCTAACTTGGAGAAGCAGAAAAGGGACCAGGAGCTAGCGGCACAAAGGGCCAAGTACCCTGCTGAGAGCTTAGTCAGACAGGACAGTAACACTTCCATGCCATCTCTAGACTCGCTTGACAGAGATGACAGCAACTATGTGTACCAAGGTGTCGAAACCGACTGGGATTTCGACATTATGGAAGCCGACGCGTTGATTGGTGGTAACAACATTGCTGACACTGAGCTTTCTGACCAATTGTCTCCAGAAGAAAAAGAGAGGGTCTTGGAATCTCAAAAAGAATACGCTGCCAAGCGTGTTATTTCCTTCGACAACGACGATGAGGAAATTGACAAAGTCAAGGAGTATGGTCAAGCTCACCATTACAACAGTTCACAGAAGGTTTTTGCTTTCTCTCTGCCATTAGGTGCCAACACTAACGCTGCCCCAATGACTGTGGTTAATTCAGTTAGTGAAGAGCGCAAGAATGAATTAAGAGAGAAGCTAAAGAGAAACGAATCTATTACCTCTTTGGAAGAGTATGAACTATACAAGGACGAAAAGGGTATGACCAACACAAGAACTGAAGCCGTCATGAAGTCATTCCAAGTTGATGGTTTGAAAACCTCTTTTGCCAAGATGACCATGGATGGAGACAAGAAGACACACGACGGTTACTCCTACTCTCGTCTTCTAAGTATCTATGACGAATTGGAGGGTGATATTGTTATTCTTGGTGGTTACCGTGGTAGTAACTTACGTGATGCCAAGACTGGTAAGCGTGTCTGGGTCCCATTGAAGGCAGGTCTAAATATGACCAAGGCAAGTCTTGTTATTGGACCAAAGGATGAAGATGAAATTGAAGCTCAGAAGGTCCTAAAGCCTGATGGTATGTTGACCCATGTTGGTCCAGTTGATATTTCCAAGAAACTGATCCAGAAGTTTGCCCAAAATCCAAAGGTTAGAATCAGAGATTTTGGTTACGACTGGAGATTATCCCACGATATCACATCAGAGCATCTTGCTAAATTCCTACAAAAGATATATGACAGACAAAAGGAAAAGAAGGGTATCTATGTTATTGCACACTCTATGGGTGGTCTTGTTGCCCATAGAGTCCTACAACAACACACTCATTTGATTAGAGGTCTTGTTTATGTGGGCTCGCCAAGTCAATGTGCTAACATTTTGGGTCCAATTCGTTACGGTGACGAGTTAATGTGGAATAAGACCTTATTAAGTAAGGAGGCTAACTTCTTTATGAGATCTTCTATGCATTTCTTGCCTTTTGACGGTAGATGTTTTGTTGACAAGAACACGTTGGAGAGATATGATTTGGATTTCTTCGATGTTAACACATGGAAGGAATACGGTTTGTCTCCGTTAGTTAACGAAAAGAGACGTAAGCTTGCAGAAGCTGTCCAAAAAGAAAAGGAATCCTCCTTTACTAATAATGCAGTTGTTGGTGCAGTTACTGGAACTGTAGGAGGTACTGCTAAATTCTTGGTTAACACCATTCCAGGTGTCAACACAAAGAAGAAGGTTATTTCAGAAAGAGATGAAATCCCAGATGAAGTTTTCCAAACTTCTTATGAAGATTCCTTGGATTACTTGGAGAGAACTTTGAAGAGAACCAAGAAGAACTTGGAATCTCTTGAATACATTCCAGGCAAGGAATACCCACCATTAGTCATCGTTTATGGTAATAGAGTTCCAACTATTCGTGGTGCTAAGGTTAATGGTTTGCAAGGTATCAAGGATGGTGAATTTGGTGAATTCTACTATGGCCCAGGTGATGGTGTCGTTCATCATAAATGGCTGCTTCCAGAAAAGAGAGGTTTCCCAGTTGTAGCTAAGGTCGCTACCGATTGTGGTCATGTTGCGCTAATGACTGATTTCAAAGCTATGGCAAAGGCATTCGTCTCATTGGTTGACGCTGAGAAAGAGAGAGCTAGTGCAAAGGGTAAGACCACTGCGTAATCTTGGAACTAGATGCAATCTAATGTTATACAAGTACTGTAATATTATAATGGTATCTCCTTATCTGGGTTGTTGTGGATCTCGCTAGGTCAGATGTTTTAATCTTGTATTTCCAAGTGTTCCTTTACAATTATTTTTCTATGATATAATAATCTAAAATATATAATGCAATTGTATCGCTTAACTGTTTAATTAATTAATAATAATGTTCTAAAGATGCCGTTAATAGAAGTAGTTCATGAATTGAGTGGTATATTCTTATGTTCATGGGAGTTGGCACAAATTTTGGCAAACTACATGTAATGAAGCATTTTTTAATAAATGTTCCGTGATGATGATTTCATGTCATCAAATTTATTCTTCTTCATCGTTTATGAAAAAGTTGACCTTTAACCAAAGGCTACAAGCTGTACACTGTGTTAAAACTTGGTAACCTTGCTCTTCTGATTCCGTCAGACCGTCCTCGATGCATTCTTCAAGCATATCTTCTGACAGAACAAAACCACCACCGGACTGGCAACGAGGGCAAGTCATGACGTATTCCAGCTTCTCTTCATTAAATTCGAACTCGTCAAGATTGAATTCATCTAGCCCATCGCCGAAATTATTAAAACCAGCCAATTTATTTGAATCATTTAACGCTCTATTGTATGCAGCTCTCAGTTGATCATTTGAAAGAACTCTGTACGCCTCCTGAATTTGGTTGATTGACACTCCGCTTCGTATCTTAATGGTAGAGTCTATAGGCACTGTCTTGCTCTTGTCAGGATGTAGAGTTAACAGCATTTTCCTGTATGTCAGCTTAATTTCATCGGTCGAGGCATCTACGGGTACGCCGAGCACTTCGTAATGCGAAATTCTGGATTTTGATTTCACAGTCATGATCACAGTTAGTTATTTGTATGTATGACTAGTGAGCCGGGGGTATATGCGATTAGACGTTGCGTAGTGGATCTATTTTAAAACACATGCTATGTCTAGGCATCATGCTTACTATTGCAAAAATATCAGCGATGAGATGAAATTTTTCAATTCGCAGGGACAAATATTTGTGATGGTGCGCTACTTTCTGTGAAATACTTTTAAAGTTTAATCCAATTGTGCTCATCGCAATGGAAATGGCAAAGCAATGATTACTAAAGTTCTATATGCTACTCCGATATCTGAATCGCTTAAGTATTTTGATTAACAGTACTTAACCTATAATTTCTATAAAGCAGTTGTCACCTCTGAGATAAGGTGTTTCAAGGAAGACTATGGAGCATCAGTGCATTCCCAGTCGGTAGGATCGTAGGCTTCTGGATGGTCCATTCTCTTGACCTGATCCAAAGTCAATTTGTGGTTGTATACATCGAGGTTGCTGGCCAGTCTTGCAACTGTCTTGGTTTTAGGCAATGGCAAATAGCCATGTTGTAAAGACCACCTGATCAGCAACTGGCCCGGGTTCATCCCCGTTTCCTTGGAAATCTCTCTTAAACCGGGGTCATTCATCTTATACCCATGGGCCATTGGGGCATACGCCTCGACCACAAGGTTGACAGATTTGCAATAATCAGCAAGCTCTTGTCTCATGACCCAGGGGGATATCTCAATTTGGTTTACGACGGGCTTGTATTTCAACTCGTCCCAACCCAGCAATTCCTCGATGTGGTGCTTCCCATAGTTGGAAACACCGATGCTCTTCACAATGCCTTCGTCGACAGCCTCCTGCATTGCTTTCCACGTCTCCAGCCTGCGTCTTTGGCCTGAGAGGGGCGAGTGAATCAGCAGCATATCAATGTAGCCGAGGCCCGAGACCTTCTGCATGCACTCCTTGATGGCCCTCTTGGCCTCGTTGTACCCATTTTGGGAGTTCCACAACTTGGTAGTGTAGAACACATCCTCCCTCTTGTTGTGCGCCTTATCCTCGTTGATCCAGTTCACAATACCTTGGCCAACTTCACGCTCATTCCCGTACAGCACCGCGGTATCGAAGTGCCTATACCCACACTTCAATGCCTCGGTGACCACTTTGGCAGTGACACTGTTGGGGATGTCATAGGTCCCCAGAGCCAAGCTGGGAATCTTGCGGCCGTCTTGCAGCTCGTAGTATTTTGGCACATCTACAGTTACAGACATGTTTGTTGCAGTTGTTGGTATTTCTTTACAGATAATCTACACAAATTATATAAAGTGTGTTGCCTTCCTCCCTCCCCCCCAGTTCAATCCAATTTATAACTGTAGGTCACACCGGCCACATAGATCATATGAGACCATAGTATCCAGCTACCTTAGGACTGAACTTATTGCTTGCTGGCCCCCCAGCTATTTCAAGCTTGTGGGTGACTATGGTGCTGGTGTCTGCTGCTATTGCCTTCTGGGCCACAGAAGTGGTGAAACGGACAGGGATGAAAAAGGTATCACGTGATGACCTGAACTATTATAACGCTCACGGTTGAGTGCCTACCGCTCCAGATTCACCATACAATTACAATGGCAACTTGGCCGAGTGGTTAAGGCGAAAGATTAGAAATCTTTTGGGCTCTGCCCGCGCAGGTTCGAATCCTGCAGTTGTCGTTTATTTATTTTTTTGGGTTTTTTAATTAGAAAAATTTCATAAAAAGAGGTGATCATCGAGAAGTTGCACAGAAAGTGCCGTAGAACTTGTAGTTTCTTTATTTTTAAAAACCGTGCTCTCTGCGGGCCTTTCTGTGGAGTGTGAAAGCTTGGCATTCTCTCTGAGCTTTCGCCGTCGGAAAAACCGTTCTGGCAACTTTCCTCCATAATGAGCACAAGCAACTATAACAACCCATAAGAAGTCTGGTGGCTGCGTTTGGGTCCTTCAGGGATTCTCGAGGCTAAGCGGTGGCAAAGTTGTGGGTATTGTGGGAGATACAGTGCTTTGTTTTGGTTGTTTTTTTACCTGCGATTTCATAGCTTTCAGAGTTGAAATTTGTATTGGAACCTGGAAAATACGGGCTGGCGTTTCGAGGGTCTGGATAAAGATAGCTGGGGTTGTCTTGTAGGGTTATCAAAAGCATGGAGGAAGCAGCTGCGGATGCGTACAAGCTGAGTTACAAAGTTGGTGTTGCGGAGAATAAGAATGCCAAGTTCAGGCGGACCATGGAGGATGTGCACACGTATGTCAAGAACTTTGCGTCCCGGCTAGACTGGGGCTATTTCGCGATATTCGACGGGCATGCGGGGATCCAGGCGTCTAAGTGGTGCGGCTCCAACCTGCACACGATCATAGAGAACAAGCTGATGGCGGACGAGACCAAGGACGTCCGGGACGTGCTCAACGAGTCCTTTGTTATGATAGACAAGCAGATTAACAAGGACCTGCAAGGAAATAGTGGCTGTACAGCGGCAGTATGCGTGCTGCGCTGGGAACTCCCGGACGGCTGCACAGAGCAGGAGGAGATGGACCTCACGAAACACAAAAGGAAACTATACACAGCCAACGTGGGAGACTCGAGAATAGTGCTCTTCAGAAACGGACAGAGTATACGGCTGACCTACGACCACAAGGCCTCGGACCCCTTGGAAATGCAAAGAGTCGAGAAAGCAGGCGGGCTTATCATGAAGAGCAGAGTAAACGGCATGCTCGCGGTTACTAGATCGCTGGGAGATAAGTTTTTTGACAGCCTAGTAGTGGGGAGCCCTTTCACAACCAGTGTAGAGATTACACCAGCAGATCAATTTCTGATTATAGCATGTGATGGGTTATGGGATGTCATAGACGATCAAGAAGCATGTGAGATGATCCAAGATATAGAAGATCCACACGAAGCAGCCCGAGCTCTGGTAAGAAATGCTTTAGAAAGAGGGACGACTGATAATGTCACTGTGATGGTAGTTACATTATGAGGTTGAAAAAATGCCAGGTGGGTCACATATTATTGTCATTGATTGGCTAATATCAAAGATTCACGTTAGCTTCATTCTTGAAATGCCTCGTTACAAGAGTCTTTGTACTTTTCACACTGCGTTTTCTTGAATTGGCCTTTCAGAATTATCTATGAAGCTCTGAAGGGTCGCCATTTTTTGCATCACGAATACTTGGTTACATTGTACTTTTAATATGTCAATAACATGTATAGATAATAATATAAAGCTGGTACTTACCACATACTAACTAACCGGAAATGGGATAACAAGCAGTGACATATGCGTGTCATCATTTTTCCCAAACTAACCATCACAAGGTAAAACACTTTCAAACTTTATACCTGTTAAATTCTATAGAAAAAATATTATTACAATTACATTGGCATTTAGATATTAAAGCCATTTAGGTCTAGGTCACCGCCTTCACCTGCTGCGGACCAGTCGATGTTTAGGTCGTTGAAGTCATTCAATGTTAAATAGTCCTCGCCGTTATCCCCCATGTTTATGTCATTACCTAGCATGGCAGATGGATTAGATTGGTCAAATTCTAGTTTTTCGCCTTGTCCCAAAGTCTCGTTGTTGCCAGCAGCTGTGCCATCGAATGCATTTATGGCTGCTGTAGGATCGTTGTTCATATTGCTATCATTTGTTGCTGGGTTATTATTGTTGGGTACAGAGTTGGTGGTAGCGTTGGCATTCGATGTATTTGCGGTGTCGAACCCTGACGCGTCGAATCCCCCACCATCAAGCTCTGAAAACATGGACAAGTCCATGGTATTGAGGTCGTTATATAGTCCACCAGATTGTGAGTCGCCCAGGCCAAACGCTGCGATTGGTGGGTTCGTTTTGTCGGGGCCATCGGCGGTGTTAGGCTTATCAGTACCAGCGGTCTGTGGGCCAGCACCCATCGTTGGTGATTTGATATCGTTCTGGCCGCTGGTTCCTGGCTGACTTGTATCGAGGTCGGCGTTAGTGAAGTCGAGGCCGTCGAACATCGACTGCTGTTTGTCGCCGTCCTGCTCCTGTTGTCGCCTCCTCTTCTCCTCTTCCTCCTGTTCTTTCTTCTTTCGCTCTTGCTCTTCCAGCTCTTTCTTGCGCTTCTCCTCTTCCTCCTTCTGCTTCTTCTTCTTCTCTTCCTCTTCCTCTTGCTCTTTCTTCTTCCGCTCAAGCTCCAGCAGCTTCTGCTTCTTCTCCTCTTCCTCCTGCTCCCGCTGCTTCTCGAGCTCCAGCTCCTTCTGCCGCTTGCTCTCCTTCCCTAGGTTCGCCAAGGTGTCCACATAGTACGTGCTCTTGCTCAGCATGTTCTCCAGGTCGTCCAGAATCCCGTGAAACATGTGTATCTTCTCCTTCAGCGTATTCTGCTGCTGCGCACTGAACCCATTGACCATGTACGGATCCAGCTGCACATTCTTCAACTGCTGCTGCATCATCATCTCCGCCGACACCTTCAGAATATCATCAAAACACGCCGTAAGCCTGTTCTTGTAACTCATCGCGCAAAAAAAGACCCAGTGTTCGCAGTGGCCTCTGTCTCTAGTGTCTCTAGTGTCTCAACCTCCTGGTCCCTGACTTCCTTTATAGCAAGGCTCCCAAAATACCCGCTCTGCCCGTCAAAGTACTACATACTACTATTACTATAAAGAGCTTCCCCCCTCCACATCCACCGAGCCTGTTGAGTTAGCGGATGGCTTTCGCAGAGCGAGTTTGGGTCCCGTCTACCACGATATATCACCACCATTATCATTATTTCTCAAATGTGCACGTGATCATGAGTCTTGGTGTACGTATTCACGTGATACATCATACGTCTAATATGATAGTGGAGGTCATGTGATTCTACGTGCATATGGATGTTTAGTCATGTGATATTTCGTGTTTTGTGTATTATCATGTGATGCGTTTACGTATATAGGTATGTTATATGCATGTCATACGGGTCAAGTCATATGACATATCACCTTAACACCCCACCTTCCTGCATTGTCACAACCCCCGATGATACTACGCTCCAGCTACAAACACAATATTTCGTAACCAACCGCCATCTTATACCCGTAGCCTCCGGTTCTCCTTCCTCTTCCAGCTCCCCGCCCTCCCCCCAGGCTTGATCCCAAACACAGCGATGCACTCGTCCACCATCCCACCAATCAGACCGGAGAAAACATCGAAATATGGGTACCCGGGTATCACAATGTACGTGAATACCAAGCGACCGGGTCTCGCCTCATCCTTTCCCTCCTCCCCCATAGAGCTAGCCTGGTATTTCACCAAGAATAGTTATAAGATTGAAGGCACATTGTGCATGTGTCTTGAACAACAGAGTACCCACAAAAGCCAAGAAATAGTAGAGCTAAAGATGTTCAGATTGGTGACTAGATCGGTTATTGCCAGACGTTGTTACGCGGACGCTGCGAAGAGCGCGGCCTCCGGGCTGAAATTGCGCTTTGCGCTGCCACACGAGACCCTGTTCAACGGGGAAGAGGTCGTCCAGGTCAACTTGCCCGCCAAGTCGGGCTCCATCGGTATTCTTGCCAACCACGTACCCACAGTCGAGCAATTGACACCCGGTGTTGTCGAGGTCGTCAAGGCCAACGAGACCAAGAAGTACTTCGTTTCCGGGGGATTCGCCGCCGTCCAGCCAGACTCCACGCTGTGTGTCACCGCCGTCGAGGCCTTCCCACTGGACTCCTTCTCCCAGGACAGCGTCAGATCGCTGCTGGCCGAGGCTGAGAAGAACAGCAAGTCCCAGGACGAAAAGACCGCCGGTGTCGCTTCCATCCAACTGGAAGTCCTAGAGAAACTGCAAGCCGCATTGAAATAGAGTTCCCACATTATACTTTCCTCCCTATCTGATTGACTCGTGTTAATACAACTTTAGAACCGAACCAAAAAAGAAAGATAAAAATAAAATCCCTTGTACAATTTCTCTGCCTACAGAACGATGACAATATTCCATTTTACCATTCTAATGATGTTAAGATAGTAAGTCCGGTGGTAAGAAGAACAAACAATTTATCTGCATACTCTCCAAAGCACTACAATTCCACCTTTCAACTGAGGATTTGAAGCTGTAGGCAATGCACATCCACAGCAGCCTGCTTACACTTTCCAGCACCATACGATTGGGCCACAGACACTCCTATTTGTTTTAACCTTCGACAGCACAGACGCACAGAATCATTATTTTCTTTTTTTTTAACTTAAACCGTATATATTACCTCCTAAGGATCATTACTAAATATTCAAACGCTATAATAAATAGTACCATAAAGAACCCCCAGCTCGGGGACATCTGGCAGATGCGTCTGGGGACCGATATCTGCCACTGCCGCTGCGTCAGAGTGCCCCAGAAGCTTCAAAACCGGCTGCTGCTGCTTATACTTGTCACTTAATACAATCCAAGTCACATGTTACATCAGGGTAACCCAGCAGTACGCGAAAAGGAAGGGCAGAAAATTTCGATTTTTTGCTTAGAAAGTGGCGTACAACATGCAAATATAATGGCTAGTGGAAAACGCGAAAAAATGCTGAATTTGCTGCCCTGCAGCTTCTCGAGGACTATATAAACAAATGGGCTGTTCAAAGTTACTCAGTTGGACTTCCAGACCTCCCCGGGTATAGCGCTAACCACTGACACTCGCACCAGTACGTGACAGCTGATACGGTATAGGAGAAAGCAGAGTTTTGTTGCCGCAGAGGAATACAAAAAAGGAGTCTAGAGCTGAGCATGGAGCAGAGGCAGAATTTGAACGCGGTCCTGGGGTTGTCGACCAAGAACGGCCCGCTGGCGCAGATATGGCTGGCGTCCAACATGGGGAATCTGACCAGAAACACAGTTTTGCAGACCAATATCGCGGACACCGCCGAGGAAGTCGCTAAAGTCACTGGGTGTGCCGAAGACGGTTCGCAGTACCCAGTGGAGCATATTACACTGAGGACGTCGGGTGAGCTGCTGCACGGTATAGTGAGGGTCTACTCTAAGCAAGCGGCGTTCTTGCTTACCGACATTAAGGACACACTGACGAAGATCAGCTCTTTGTTCAGGACAAACCAGAGGCTGGGTGCCACCATCTCCAAGTACAGCACGATCACAAGACTCGAGTTTCTGGTGCTGGATGACACAGTTACCGAGAGGGATGTGCTATCTGTGCCTAGCTTAGATTTTCTAAATGAAACCAGCAGCCTCAGAAATCACTCAATAATGAACGACTCCATGGACAGGAGGATGACAGGCGCAAAGAGTTACGACTTATCGATAGAAGTTGGTAGAAGATTTGCTGGAGATGAAGAACTGCAATATAATGAGGACTCTACCCTTAACTTGGATTTCGATCTAGGGCATCCTAATGATTCCAAGGCTCCACTCTCTAGCTCGAAGAGTTGGGACGAGGGCACGAGACAAAGTGGCGATGTTACTGCTCAATCAAACTACATAAATATGGAGGACGACGAGTTCCTAGCCGAAGGTGAACCAGAAGAACTTCACCTTGACCTGGGACTTGACACAGCAGATGCTGACAGATCGATTGAATTGGGTAGAAGAGCTGAACCAGTTGAAGATGCGCATGAAACCACTGATTTTGGATTCGATCTTGACATTGGCAAGGATCCAATTAATATGGAAGAAGACAACGAATCAGCAGAAGAATTAGAACTTGAAGGACTTCAGGCAGACAATGAGCCTTTGAGAAAGGCTGCCTCAAGTAAGAACCCTTCATTAGTAAACACTCATCCACTGCAAACCGACAGGGAAACTGAACTATCTGATGAAGTCATTAAATCCAATCCTGATAGAAACCTTGTTGAGACAGGTAATCTCCAGACTAGGTCAAATGAAGAGAAGCTAACGGCAAAGAGATTGTGGTCCGAAATGGCGCAATCCATGGCTTATCTACCTCATTCAATCTTTAATGATTTTATGAAACTACAACCTTCCAAGAAGCAGAGAACCGAGGATGACAATCAGGGTGATGTCACGCCCGAGATGGACATTTCACTCGGTATGAATGACGACTTGATTAGCGACAATGATGCTGAAGTGCCTATGGACCACGAAATTAATGAGCCTGATCTTGAGATTGCTGGTAATATTGGGGAGCTTCCAGAACAAACATCAACACAAAATGCTGAAGGTACGCTGGATGTTATGCAAACACAGACTAGTAGCAGTTACAGTAGCGTATCATCCGTGGAAAGTGTGACTCAGAAGTTGGCTTCCATTGCCACAGCTACAACAGCCAAAATTCTTAAAGAGACGGTTACGGACGGTCAATCAGATTTTTCCACTCTTCTCCAAGAATATCACAAGCATGAAGAAGGTGATCAGGAACCAGTCACAAGAAAAGATGCAAGCGCGGTATTCTTCAGTATGTTGTCTTTGGCATCTGCGGACTGTGTAGATCTACAACAAGAGGAAGCATACGGTGAGATTAATATCATTACTAAGGACAATCTATTCCAAGACGGAATCACTGCATAAATGTTAATAAGGGACAATTTTTTTTTCTATTCTATAATAACTTCTTTTTCTATAATCGCTTTAGGTATAATTAATGTATGAACAATATTGGCATTTAGTCATATATAAGCCATCTGGAATTGTATGTGGAATATGTATTAAGACAGTAATTTAAGCGAGCTAAGTTCTGTCGAAATAATAGACTAGAGGGTAATATAACATAGCCAATGACTAAACTAGATAAGTTTGCGGTTAATATAAGTTAAAAATCGTGTGAATTATTGTATTAAAATTACAATTATTGAAACTAACTGAATCAATATATATTTATATGTTGTTAATCTTTAAATTTTGAAAATAAAATTCCCAATTCCCAGAATTGTATGAATATACAATGCAATAAACAAAAAGAGGTAGAAATAAAAAGAAAAAAATAGACGGCCATTAGAACAGTTTGTTCATCCAAATGATCATATTATTTTTTTGTGGAAGTTAAAAAGAAATCCGTTAATCTCTTTATAATTCTTGAGAAGCAGAAGGCTTGGCAGACTTCTTTGGCAACAAGTTTTGGTGAATGTTTGGCAAGACACCACCTTGAGCGATGGTGACGTTACCCAACAACTTGTTCAATTCGTCATCGTTTCTGATGGCCAATTGCAAATGTCTTGGGATGATTCTGCTCTTCTTGTTGTCTCTGGCAGCGTTACCAGCCAATTCCAAGATTTCAGCAGCTAGATATTCTAGAACAGCGGTCAAGTAGACTGGAGCACCAGAACCAATTCTTTGAGCGTAGTTACCACGTCTCAAAAGTCTGTGAACTCTACCGACTGGGAATGTTAGACCAGCCTTAGCAGATCTAGTTTGAGAAGCCTTAGCAGCTGAACCAGCTTTACCACCTTTACCACCGGACATTATGTGTTATGTTATGTATGTTATGTTTTTTATTGTGTATATGATCTTGAGAAACCAGCACAAAAGGATGCCAGTGACAAGCAAATACAAGAACTAGTTTACATGGCTAGTTTATATATGGCGAGCAAGAGTAGGAGGTAGAAGGATAGTGCGACACGTCAGTACGTTTACTTCAAAACACCAAACATCAAATAGTTGGATCAACAAGCAGAATGGATCGCGTATCCACTGAGAGAACACAAGTTCCAGCATGTGAGTGTATGTGTATGTGTGTCTGTGTGTGTTGGTGGTTGGGTATTAGTACTAGGAAAGGCACTGGGTAGGGCTTGGAGGGGAGTAATAACTGGAACGCTTAACCATACAAAACGGGCTCTACCCGTACCACGATTTTCACACTTGACAACGACCCGCTCGTAACTGAAACAGCACCGATGACACGGTACCCCTCGGTGCACCAGAGTGCCCGACACTTACTATGACCAGACGTGCTGAGAGTTTCGCCTCCTCCTTGTCCCCCACCCAACTGCCCGCGTCGCCTTGATGAGAGAGGCCAGCAGAGAATACTCGCAGGCAACCACCGCCTCTCCGGGTAGTTCGCCCGTTCCAGGAACTTCGCTTGCCAGTTTCCTTCACTCCAGTCTGAGTGACCCAAAAGAACTGAAAGGCGAAGGGAAAGACAGCCAGTTCTGACGTGTACAGTGACGATAATAACGCGAAAAGACAAATTTCAGAAACAAAAAAAACTTTTCGTGACTTTCCTGGATTCAGGCTGGGTGCGCTCGTTTCTCTGCGGGATTTGTTACTGGTGTTGATGGGGCGGTCACCAGGTGCCAACTAGGGAGTCTGCAAACACCACTTGCGAGCAGGTTGACGCGATGCATGGCCAGTACAACATGCAAGACTGTGCACTCATGGGTGGTCCTATAGCTGCTGAACCGTTCTGAACCGTTCTGACTGTTCTGGCACGTAGTATTGTTCCAAAGCTTGTGCTCTCGGAAAACATATATAAACTGGAGACTGGTTTGGGAAGGTTTTCCTTTTAGTTCTTGGAAAGTTTCTTGTTAGGTTTCAGGAACAAAACCGTAAACATCAAATAAAAACACAAATCAATATACATAATGTCTGCTGAAAAGAAGCCTGCCTCCAAAGCCCCAGCTGAGAAGAAGCCAGCTGCCAAGAAGACCGCTCCATCTGCTGACGGTAAGAAGAGAACCAAGGCCAGAAAGGAGACTTACTCCTCATACATCTACAAGGTCTTGAAGCAAACTCACCCAGACACCGGTATTTCTCAAAAGTCCATGTCTATTCTAAACTCTTTCGTCAACGATATCTTCGAAAGAATCGCTTCTGAAGCTTCCAAGTTGGCTGCTTACAACAAGAAGTCTACCATCTCCGCTAGAGAAATCCAAACCGCCGTCAGATTGATTTTGCCAGGTGAGTTGGCTAAGCACGCCGTCTCTGAAGGTACTAGAGCTGTCACCAAGTACTCTTCTTCCACTCAAGCTTAGATCTTGCTGAATCGATGAACTTAAAACTGTATTAAGTTTTTTTTTATCCACGCAAATCTATTCTTTTTTAACAATGACCAAAAAAATACAATTTGGGAGTTGATTTATATCGAGAAACTGCTCTCTTAATTGGATTATGGACCGGGCGTTTATAGTCTAGTTTCTGAAAGCACGTCTCTTCATGATCACTCGGAAAAAATATCAAGTTTACGGTTCGTCAGTGCAATATGGTACCATCGCTTCAGGAGTTCCCGCTCTAGGTGGTTGCTATACGATATTGATGGCTTGAAATCTTTGATTATTCAACAATAAAAAAAATCCTCCATATATACTAGAAATTTTTATTTACTTCGGGTATTTTTCTTTATATTTGTTTGTAACATTAGGGCATCTTATTTAATTCTAAGATATAATTTTAATCATTATCAAAAAAAAAATCAATCAAGAGATATGAATAATAACATGATATTTCTTTGGGTAGATTAAATATTTATAGAGTGGATCGATATTTAGTTGTCGTTGCCCATTTTCTTCAATACAACATCGACTTTGTCCTGAGCAGTCTGGTGCTTGTCAGTTCTGGTACCAACTCTCATGGTAGTTTGCAAACGGACATAGCCCAGTTCATGGGCATACTCGTGGATCTCACCGATCAAACCCATAACTTCATCCCATGGGCCCTCGATGGTAGTACCTGCACTGTGCAAAGTAGACTTCAAGTGGCTCTCCCTGATTTTGGACTCAATGGCAGCAACGAAGTCAGAGATACTGGCAGAACCAGTACCAATTGGAACCATGCAGACATCAGCTAGACAGAAAACCTTTGGCATCTTGGAATAGTATCTTCTTCTTTGGCTTCTTCCGCTAAATTATATAGCTACATTGACATGCAATTCTTTAACTTGACCTTTTCTATTTGCAAGTTTCCCCCACAATGATTTTCCAGCTAAAAAGTGATCTTTCCATTATTTGTCCCTGCAACTGGAAGTGAAAGTTAACTTAGCCAGCATGTGCATGTTAAATAGAGATAACAAATTAATTGAATATAAGATAAACATTGTGGGCTGCCATACTAAATTACTTCTTAAAAACTTATTTATTGCATTGGATAACTTTGATTGATTTTATAAAATTGTTTTAGTAATTGCTATATATATCACAATTTTTATGTTTTGGTACTTTAAAATAGGAAGTGAAAGAACCACTGCAACATAAAAATAATCAACACACATGCTAAAACCAATACTTACATCTAGTATTCCAATGTTATTTGCATTGTAACTATTGGAATATCCTTATTTTATATGACATACTATAAAAATGTCTCAACTCATAAGCAGTATGCGAAACTTTGCATGTAGCTAAAGCAATTTGTTCATTATGAATAGAATAATTTGCACACTATATCATTAAAGCATTAAAATGACTTTATATATTGTCTCTTCTTCTAGACATTACTTTCCAAATCATTATCTTTCTACCTTTTCCAAGGTCCTTATATTTTAAACTACTAGACTGTTAGATCTCTCAATTGTCATGTCTGTCTAATAGCTCGAATTATTTTCTAGCTACTAGTGGCAATGTGTTCCTCTTTCACTAAGGTATTTAACATAAATAATAGTACCACCTTCAACAAATGGACGTCTTATTTTCAAATGCTTTCAATACGGATATGTTCTTAGCAGAGGAATATGGAACACTGCTAATTCCAATTGATACTAGATAACTGATTGAATATTGAAAAAAGTAAAATTAGGCTTTCACCTGGGTGCCGCGGTTCAGGTGTCAATAAATAAATTAACTATCAATCAACCAGTACCCAATATTCCGATTTCAGTCACACATAGTCAGAAGCAAAATGATCGAAGAACACCAATACAAACTAAAGATATGGTAATTCCTATCTTATTTATTGTCTTTAATCTTTAAGTATCAAGTACTACAATTTCTTCTTGGTGTTATTAAGATTGTCAGTTGATTCTTCAAGATCGTCATTCTTATTCCTTTCTCGATTAGCTAGTTATATTCCTAGTATCAAAACAGATAAATAATCTGTGGTGAGGTCCGACAGTTCACTTTACATATCATAAATATTTACTTAAAAGGCATACAAACATTATTTGACCCTATCTACAACAAAGATACAATTCATACATACTATTTCTTAATACACAGCATGAAAGTGTGAAACGCTATAGACGAAGATCTAACCCATTTTTACAGAATAATCAGAACGCATTACCTCTACATAAAAAGCCGTATGTTTAAAAGTTTGATTAAAATGATATTTTACAACAGCACATCCTGGTTCGGAAATCATAACCATAAAGTATTTTTAATATAGTAGAACACGACAATAAATGAAAAATAAAATTAAATAAATATAATATGTTTATTATAGTCATGTGATAAAATGAATTGCTTTGTGTTATTGTTTCTCCCTTGATATGATGAATCAGTAAATAATCAGGATATATTTGATTTGCCTTCAATCGAATCTAATATCTACTACACATTTGTTGAACATTGAGCTTTTCAAATATTTGCTTATAATTTATATGAAATACTATTGCTACCTTTAATGCATACTTCACTCAGTTCAAGGTACAATGGAGTTGTTTTGCATCAAATAAGGAAATATGTTGATGTTAAAATTGTATTTGTATTTATCATTATATTTTATGAAATATCTAAACTTATGCAAATTTACTTTTGGTGTAACTTTTTAATTGAGTTCAATTTTTTTCAGTGAACTAATGCAAATCTAATGTACAATATCGTGTCTAGTATACAATGCTCATTATGGTAATTGCAGTTATTCTCATGATCACAAATTGATAGGCTGTGCTATATGCAAATCCTTAGAGATCATTTATTGCTTTAGATGTTAAAAATCGAACAGTCCGTAGAGTCATCTTTAAATATGTAATTGACGTGCCAAAAATTTCAAATGCCTTACGAGATGATTAATATCTAAAAACGTCGAGCAATTTATAGGCCATAACGTGCTTTTTCTTTCGCACGTAATCCGTTCAAGAAAGGTTTTGGAGGTATACAGGCACCTAGAGCTCTTATGGCATGGTTATCCAGATATTGCAGACCAAGTAAAAAGGATGAGTTCACCCAACCAAATCCTTCTCTGGCATATCCTTTGAAATCAACTCCTTGATTTCCATATTCAGCTGTAATTTTATGAGGATCAGTGACTTTGGTAACATCATATTTCTCTACCACAATCCCATTATAGTCAACAAACGCTTTAGTCATCATGTAAAGCCACCTGTACACTAAGCGTCTAGCAATGTTGTCGTACCCATAGTTCGAAAATCCTTTCCAGGCCAATATTTGATGAGGAGCCCAACCAAATGGATAATCCCATTGTCTATATGGCCTATCAATTGCTATAGGCCCTCTCGAGCTTTCTGTACAAGCAACAATACCACCTAACGTTTCTAGTTTTGGAACGGCCTTCTTGACCATAATTTCAGCCTCCTGAGGGCTTGCAACGCCTGCCCACATAGCCCAAAATGTGGTTGCGGACTCATAAGACGTACGCTTTTCAGTCTTCACGTTATAGTCAAAGAAAAAGCCGGCCTCTTCATCCCACATATAAAACTTTATCCTTTCTTTGCGCTTGTTAGCCAAATTCATCCAATCTTCAGAGGTAGTTACACTTTTATCATATGGATCGACATACTTGTCATTGCAAAATTCTTTAATGAAGTTTGCAATATCAACCTCATATTTGTATAATAAAGAATTTAGATCTATTGTAGCAAGGTAGGCGCAGACTCCTTCTAGTCGATATGTCGTATCGTGACCGGATTCACGCACACCTCGGTCATGAAGGAAGAATTCATCTAATTCTGGTTCATGAACCTCTTTGGCATTGTACATTCTTCTAAATTCTGGAATTGTCACATTGTATTTTTTTGCGTATGGCCTTAGTTTTGTATCGAAGTGCTCTGGTTCAGTCTCGGGTGGTATACCAACACCATCAGGGTGGTAACACGATAGCCCTGTCTTTTCGTCTAATCTTGGTTTTGCCATCCATACCGTTTTATACTCCTTAATTGCGGCTCTAAAGGCCCTCCTTAGTAAATCTACTGCAATTGGATTCTTATTGCCGCCCATTCCATTAAATGTAACATTAGCCATATCAGTAAGGAAAGGCGGTTGAGAGCGGCACAGATAGTAGGTCCTGTTTGCATTCAAAATCTTGCCATAATGTTCTATTTCGAATATGAAATGCTCTACCATTCCTCTGGCTAAATCGGTGCGCTTACTAGCGAGAAGTCCCAAGGTTATCAAGTAAGAATCCCAACCGTAAAGTTCATTAAATCTGCCACCTGGGAAGACATATGGGAATCCAACTAATGAAGTTTCACCTGTGGTTGGGTTCACATGCTTATCCATAGCGATTGCGAGTAAGCCTGGGGTTTCGTTCAGTGATTGTACGTATTCGGGTGTAATGTCTTTTGGCAAATATTCTACTTCTAGCTTTACTGAGGGATTCATTTGGGAAGCCTGAATGAAGTATTCATACATCTCGGGACAGTCATATGGTACATAAACTCTTGGATTCTTAGCCTCTGGAGTATCAATTTTTTTCTCCTGGGCGGCCTCACCAATGGTGTTTAAATCGAGCCGCCTGGTGAGCCCATCCCAGAAGTGAGTCTCTATTACCCTTTTCAGGCGGTGTACTGGGTTTTCGTTTAGCCTTGATTCTGGCAAGTACAGTTGCCTCTGTCCGAAGTTATGGGCGATGGTCAACTCCTGTAGCAAATTAGACAACATATACGTCCCTCGTATGTCGATGTGGTTATAACCCGCAGAGTTGGCAGTACCCAGTTTGATAACTTTAGGACCTGTGTCCTCTACTGTAATCTGGAAATTCTGGTCTGTGTCCTCGTTTTGCAGCAACTCTTTCAAAGTCCAGTCGACATCCTTCACAAATAGTCTTCTGGTACCTTTGCTGCTGATGTAAGTGTCATCCTCTGAGGCCCTTCTCTTGAGTTTGTGCTTCCTTATCTCTTCGTCATCCTTGAAGTCAGCCACGTTGTAGAACACACTCATAGTTCTGGTTCTATTGAGCTTCTTCTTCTCCTTTGCGTCCACAGGCTCCGGCTCAGGTGACTGTACCTTGACGTTCTTATGGAAGGGGTCGCTGAAGGCCATGCTTTTGCTCTTCACCCCGCCATCCACAGCGTCATCCGCACCTAAATAAAATGTAAGCGTAGGCATCGCGAGTGTAATGTGTAATGTGTACTTTTGTTATTATGTTATTTTGATGTAAGTTAAATTATTTAATTTAGTTTCGGTTATTATTTTCAAGTTTTGCCTGTACTCACAAGTATTTTGAAATACCAGGTATTTATATCCCATAGCTTGGCTTTGGACTTGCCAGTATATGCCGATCCAGAGGATCAGCATTTTTATTCTGAAGTAATGCGGACCCGATGAGCTTGCGGGCAATAAACGTCATAGTTTCCCTTATAAGCAGGGTTAGGCCCCCATTCACCCGGTGGGAGTGGGGGAAGTTGTTGCCGTTGGACAACGATTAGATGACTACTATAATTATCTTCCCAGCCCAGCCGGGAGAAAAGCAATTTCCGGAATGATCGGCGGTGAGGGAATTGCTTCGCGTGTGCTACGCAAGTTTTGCTGCGGCTAATAAGAAAAGTTTAATTTCTTGGAGAGAGAGGGACCCTTAATTATGCATCTGCGGGTGTTTCTGTTGTAAACCAGACAAATATCCGTAGAGAGCAACATTCTCAAAGGCACTTTGTATCTTGTACGGGCCATTATCTCTAGAATGAGGCAGCAGTTTGGGCGATGCGGGAAGTGCTTGCTGTGTACAAGTCGAACTCAGAATGAGCCAGCCTAGTTGCGCTAAACCGGTTGGGTTACCAGTTCGGTTACCGATTCGGTTACCAGTTGGTTTACCTCGGCTGGCATGGCGAGGTATTTTGTGCAATGAGGGAAAGCGAATGCCAGCAGATTGAGTTAATTCTTTTCATCGATGCGGCTGTAAATCCCTCTAGGACCACGGGTCGTTTCGAGGAATTTACCAAGGACACCGTGGACCCAGAGGACTGCAGATCCCCCAAGGGGGATCTGCATACCTATTGGGTCTCTAGAAAAAGTATAGATACGAGATAGTTCAAGCCACCACATGGCAGCTTTTTTATCTTTGTTGGTGTTATCTTTAACATCGGAGAGAATTGCTATAAATAGTATATACGATCTGCTTTGCTGATGTAGTAGACAACGTAGGGAACGGGAGACGTAAGTACCTCTGAGATATGCATATGCCGAGCGACAGCAGTGTTCACTGCCACGAGCAAATCATATGACCAAGGTGGCTCCCGTACTTAGAACCTCTTACAGGTTAGTCCGGGTAAACTTCTATTCCCTCATCGAAACTCTGCTATTCCATAGCCGGGTAAACAATAGGATCTCAGCAAAGAGGATCGCTCACTGCCAAAAATTTTTTGGTCGCGCGATGAGGTTGGCGAGAGCACCGGCCAGCAGAAGGAAGAAAAAAAAATAATATAAAACTGTAAGGCCCTGGTATTAGCTTGTAATTGGTAGTCTGTTGCATTTGTTGGAACAGGGATCATAACCACAAACGCATTTTTATAGAGCAATGTCTGACAAGAGCGCCACTGAGCAAAAGCCACCTTCTTCCTCTGTTTTCTCCATGTTTGGAGGTAAGAAAGCTGAAGAGCCAAAGAAGGAAGAAGCAGTAGAGAAGAAAGAGGAGGAGGAGAAGAAAGAGGAGAAGAAAGATGACGAGGAGGAGCCAGAATCCCCAGAAGTCCACTTCGAACCTATTGTCCACTTGGAAAAAGTTGATGTGAAGACCAACGAGGAGAACGAAGATGTCTTGTTCAAAGTTAGAGCCAAGCTTTTCAGATTCGATGCTGATGCCAAGGAATGGAAAGAAAGAGGTACTGGTGACTGTAAATTCCTGCAAAACAAGGAGACCAAGAAGGTCAGACTATTAATGAGAAGAGACAAAACCTTGAAGGTCTGTGCAAACCACTTGATTGCTCCAGAATACGTCCTAAAGCCAAATGTTGGTTCTGATAGATCTTGGGTTTACGCTTGTACAGCAGACATTGCTGAGGGTGAAGCCGAAGCTTTCACTTTTGCTATCAGATTCGGTAACAAAGAAAATGCTGACAAGTTCAAGGAAGAATTCGAAAAGGCTCAAGAAATCAACAAGAAATAATCCGTTCTTTTATCCACTATGTAATAATTAAATAGCACATCAAAATACTATAAAATAAAACGAATAAAAAATTAAAATTCCAAAGAAATATCATGAGAACCACAATTATCATTAAAAGCCCATTACATAGGTCACAGTAACGCCTCTATTTGATTGTAGAAAAAATAATAACAAGCAAATCCATGTGTAGTATAAATAAATGTGATTAAAAGTGTTGCTCATTAGAGTTCAACCCAATATCAGTGATAACAATTAATCTACAAATAATAATGCCTAAGGTTAATCTTTTTAATGCATCAAGCATTAGTCTATAAATATCACGAGATCTGTTTAACTAATTATATACTAATCCGCTTTCTTATTCTTATTCTCGAACTCATCATCTTCAGAAGGTTTCCTTCCACTAGAAAAGTTTTTATGGAAAGCAAACTTCAAAAGGATCCACGCCATCCTAAAAGGGCCAAATTCTGGCCATAGACAATCGATAAACTCGATCATCACATCATTACTGCATGTTTGCCATAGCATAAAGTCACTTAGCCTAGTTACACCACTAGTTCTAATTAGTAAGTCCAATGGAGGCTGGCCAGCAGTATACAGATGTTCATCAATAATTTCTTCAGATATGTTTTTGCTAGAATACGAATCATCATCCAAAACTGTCTTCATAGAGTGATAAATTTCTTCACGCCCTGTGTATGGCATACATATATTTAGTGTAGCACGGGTATTGTTTCTAGTTAGTTCCATTGTATTTTTGATTTCCTTCAACAGATCTTTATCCAGTAACGATATATCGCCAATAACTCTGATCCTGACACCATACTTTTGTGCCAGTTCACCATGCTCTCTTATTTGTCGTATCCGTTCCCGTGCAAGGCTCATAATGGCGTCAACTTCGTATGCACTTCTTTTGAAGTTTTCAATCGAGAACGCAAATACTGTTGCTGTATCTACTCCAGCCTCGTAACATAGCTCCAGGATCTTACTCATACTTCTGAAACCTGCTTCGTGACCCTCTTTACTTTCCATTTGCTTTTTCTTGGCATATCTTCTGTTACCATCCATGATAAAACCAATGTGTCGCGGAACACAATTGGACACACTCAGTGTTCTCGAGATTAAGTTTTTGGCTAGCACTGCCATATAGTTATAGCCATCTTCCGCCATGTCGATCTGTATTCTTTACTGTGTGCTATATTCTTGATTAAAATACCCAGCGTAATATTTCCCATGGGACTTCTGCTTTATTAGCCATGCTACTGTGCAACTCTATGTTGCTATTACTGGCGTATGCTGAGATGACTTCGATGACCTGCCAATTTTTCAGAATTTGAATTTTTTTTTCACTGCCAAACTGGAAAAAAATCCTCGAGGATCAGTACGGTGAATGGCCAAGGATGATAATACTGAGTCCGATGATTTCCAATTCGATTTAAAAGTTGGAAGACACGGTTTTGACAATTGTGCCATGGTTATATCTGTAGAAAACACATCCCGGGATATTTGCATAACTTACATTCATTTTAAAGTTCCAAGAAGAGCTTGTAGTGGACGAAAGAGGTAGTAGACAAGGCTTAATTTCCACGTTATTTAATATCAGGGGGGTTACGATATCTAACCGACCCAACGATTACTACCAATATTTATACAGCATACCATAATATATGTTTGCAAGTACTACAAGATGTGTGACGTTGAAGTGTCGCACCGTGAGATATAAGTCCTCATTTGCGGTTGCGCTAGAGACTGCAAGTAAGCTTGTATCGCCGAGACTATTATGGAACAATCCTATCTCTTTGGTATCTAATGAGATGAACACACTAGCTAAGAACATTATGGCCTTAATAGGTTCTGGCCACCCAACCCTTAATCGTGTTACTAGTTACTATTTCGAAACTGAAGGCAAGAAAGTAAGACCCTTGCTTGTTCTTCTTCTGTCTCGTGCTTTATCAGAGATACCACTTAAAGAAAGAGATAATATACCAATAGATACCACAGATGTCCCAGAAGATCCAATGTATTCCAAGCTCTCATCTAATTCGTCCCTCTTTGATGTCCCCGTTAAAAGTATCTCTCCGTTACATATACTTCATGGAATTAAACCTTTGAATCCATTAACTAAAGGACCTGAACCGATAACACAACCTGAATTTGATCAGGAAAGAGGAATTTTACCTAAGCAAAGGAGATTGGCAGAAATTGTAGAAATGATTCACACGGCATCTTTACTACACGATGATGTTATAGACTACTCAGATACTAGAAGAGGAAGACCTAGTGGTAACGTCGCTTTCTCAAACAAGATGGCTGTTTTAGCTGGTGATTTCCTTTTGGGTAGAGCTACGGTGGCTATCTCAAGGCTTAAAAATCCTGAAGTTGTTGAACTAATGTCAAACAGTATCGCAAACTTGGTAGAGGGTGAATTTATGCAACTGAAGAATATGGCAGTTGAAGACCAACCTTTAGTGGGTAGTAAAAATGATAAGATCCTGCCTCCACCTAGTAAAAAACTCGAACTGAAAGAGCATGATTATAGGGTAGCAACACCAGAAGCAACTGGTTCTTTTTCACATGAGGAAGTGATTAATATTGCTTTTGAGTACTACCTACACAAAACCTACTTGAAAACAGCTGCACTAATATCTAAATCCTCTCGTGCAGCAGCGATATTATCTGGAGCCAGAGATCCAGTGATAGAAGAATGTTACAGTTTTGGAAGAAATATTGGTATTTGCTTTCAACTTGTTGATGATTTATTAGATTTTTCTGTTTCTGCAAAAGACTTGGGTAAACCAGCAGGTGCAGACCTAAAGTTAGGAATTGCAACTGCTCCAGTGCTATTTGCTTGGAAAGAAGACCCATCACTTGGACCACTCATTAAGAGAAATTTTTCTGAACCTGGTGATGTAGAAAAGACTGTTAAGTCGGTTCAAGATCACGATGGTGTAGGTAAAACCATGGAATTTGCCAAAGAATACAGAAATAAGGCTCTCCAGAATTTGAAGAATGCCCTTCCAGAATCAGATTGTAGGTCAGCATTGGAATTTTTGACCAACAGTATTGTGACAAGAAAGAAATAGGCCTATTTATTATTGACTTTTATTCTATTATTTTATCGTTTCATGACTCTACATTTTTATGTCATTTCGTTGCATTTGTTCACGCAATAAAGTGAATTTATTGTCTTTATATTAACGTATTTACTTGTATATAAAAGTTACATTACGAATAAAACTAATACACAATTTTTTTGTAATATGCTAGAATTTATGCTGGGGGTAAAAAAAATACGAAGAGAGATGTTTGAATGGGTACCCAAAAAATTAGCCAATATATATAGCCCTTGACAATCCAGTCATCACCTGTCATTTTTTTGTTTGCTTCAAATTTGACAAATCTGTCAGATATATACCACAGGTGTAAAGGTATAAATGTTGAAATACGGTTAATAATCTGAACATGTGCAAACAGCAATATTATAATTGTAAAAGCCCTCGTGATAAAGATAAGTGGTTTTAATTTATAGTTTGGATATACTCTAGAGAAGTAGAATGTTGAGGAGAAAAGAATCACGAAGGTTGGCAAACCAAATAGGAAATTAGGTATGTTGTTTGGAGTCCAGTAGTTGAACAACCCTAAGTTCCAGTGCTCACTTTGAATATAAGAGTACAAACTCTTTCTCGTCAAGAAATGTAAAGGTTTAAAATTGATCAACGATTCATTGCACCATTCGCCTCTCAATTCGCAGAAGTTTTTGTATGGGATATAAAATTGCTGTCTGACAAAAAAGAGGGCTACTATACAACCAGCTAGAACAGGAAATAACAGCGCTTTTTTGTATTTCTGCCTTCTAATTAGGTAAATGGAATCAAAAACGTAATAAAATCCCAACAAGATACAGTTTGATCTGTTTAACGTTGCAATTGTAAAGCAAAACGATGAAACTATAGTATAGTAAAAGATTTTTGAGCTTTTAAATTCTAACCCATATGGAATTATTGGTGTCACTGAAAATTCCCTTGCCAGTATACCTAAAAAGCTGAATAGAAAGGATAATGGTTCCGAATAGGGACCAGTAAAGAAACCAGATCCACTATTGCAAGAGAATAAAATTGCTGTAAATGTTGCAAGCTTGTCACTTAAATGCGTCTTGGATTTGTCTAGCTTTCCAAATGTGATTCTGGTTAAATAAAACAGTGTAATCATCGCCATGAAATAAATCAGGTTCTCCAGTATCACTGCCGTCTTTAGAACTGTATAAAAATTGTTTGATGGGCTGACGGATCTAATAAGGCTGGACCATATTACTGAAAAAGCCCACTCATGTTCATATTCGGGATATCCATCCATAGTCATAGCTGTTTTAATGAAAAATACAGAATCCCATGATAGTAACTTGTTAAATAGATGCCTGTGCCAGAATTGTTGTGTCTCCTGCTCCGAACAATATTTAGCAAGTAGCAGATTAGTGGAGAGATCAAATTGCTTGTTGGGGGATAACGAGATTATTGCATATTGAACAATTCGCACAACAACAAAAAATAGCACAGGTTTCACTAATGAGTGCATACTTTTTATCTCGTTGCCAATTGATCTATTTGCGATTTTATTCTTATATTATTAACCGTTCTTTTAAGTATTTTAGCAACTATTTTTGTCAATTTTATTGAGCTCATCGCAAAAGCTATCTTGCAAAATCAATTATCTGTGAAAATTGCCTACAGAGTGACATTTATAAACTGTAGTATTGCAAGGCAAGTCATGCTGGAGGTAACAAGATAGGGTGCGATATTAGCTTTCGGTATACCTTTCAATGTCATCCACTTAGAATGTGGTTCTTTCCTTGAGGTATTTGATTTTGGCTTTGCTCCTACTTAATGTTATGTTTGAGAGATAGCAATCCGAGATTTTTAGCAAGATAGTAATAAGATCATTTGAATATTAACCTCGTCTTCTTATAACAAAAAATTGAATATATCTTGTGGAGTATATAAGCACTAATATTGAGATTATTTTGTCCTTAATGTTTGCGATCTCCTAATTATTTTGAATAGCTGTAAATTAAGGCTAAGTCATCTCTAGTCAGCTAAATTACTATAGCAAATTAGTTATCAAGGATCGTGTTATTACCACCAGTTATTAATTATCAATTGTGTACTTTTATGCTTATTAAAAGGGGGCATCAACAATTGTGTGATGCTCTTTTCGGTGCAGAGTCCAAAGGCTTAGGCGGTAATAGTAGCGATATGAGTAATATAACTCTCGCTGAAGAAAACATAATAGTAGCACAGGAGCCCGAGAAATTAATAATTTCTAATAGTGGTCTCATGTTTCTTAATGCAAGCACAGATTGTTACCAATTAGGTACTTGTGAGGACAGAAAATATCCAAAACAAAATATTGAGCTGAGTAAACCAATTACATGGGTCAAAATTTCAGGTACTTTTGCGGGAATATTATTATTAGGGTTCATTATTGCTCTAGCCATAAAATTAAATATGGAAAGGCAGAGAATAAAGCATTTCAGAGGGTCAGGTGATATATCTATTATTACTAGAGATGATCCTGAAAGCTTACCTCTAAGAGAAAGATACAGAGAATCTATGGAAAACCAACCTGTTCCTCAATACACCAGAACTGCCGGCGAAAACTCCAACGATTTGGGGTACTATGACAGTAATGGTATGTTCCACTTTAAGCAAGGTAGACAAAATAGGCCTGACGATAGCATACCAGGTATTCTCAGAAGGAACATAGCCATACCAAATTACGGTCCACTGAATGACAATGAAGTGGAAGTATATCTACATGCACCGCCACCAACTTATCAACCAACTTATCAGTTAAGTAGCGTTTAGTTTAGTTTCAAATGCTTATTTGAACTATTTTTTTCAATTAATAGTTCAAGCAATTACAATACAGTCTCGATAATAATAAATGGTAATCAATTAGAGTCCATTTAACAAATACAGTTCCTAAGCTTTAAATTCATATACGTTATTAATAGACAATAATTGCTAATATTGCTGTCATCGTTAGTCATGTGATATATCATGGTCCATTTTAAGGGAAGCCAATAGGGCTCAATAGTCACAGCTCATCGCAAATTAATTAATACAACGGTAAACTGGTCAGGGGGGTATTCGGTCTGATATAAAATAGATATTTACTTTACTGAAGAGAAGCCCATTATGTTATTTACTTAAAATAATCTAAGCAGGACTAAGCATTTCAAGTAAGCACCAAAATGAAACCAGAATTGAAAAATCCAGACCTAATCAAAGGCCTCGGTTACATTAACGGTGAATGGGTAAAGGATAGTAATGAATTCTTTGAAGTTGATGATCCATCCACTGGTGAGATCATTGCTAAATTGCCAGAACATGATATTGCAGTTGTAGATAGAGCTGTCGATGCCGCATATGATGCCTTTCAGAAGTACAAGAACACTCTACCCAGACAGCGTGCTACTTGGCTAAGAAACTTATTCAATTTAATGACTGAAAATGCTGAGGATCTAGCTAAGATTATTACTTGGGAAAACGGTAAGTCACTTCCTGATTCCCGCGCTGAAATTAAGTACGCTGCTTCTTATTACGAGTGGTACGCAGAAGAGGCTCCTAGAATATATGGGGCAACTATTCAACCTTCAATCCCAAATAATAGAGTTATTACCAAAAGGCAACCAGTTGGAGTTTGTGGTATAATTTGTCCTTGGAATTTCCCAAGTGCCATGATTACGAGAAAAGTTGGTGCTGCTCTAGCTGCTGGCTGTACTGTTGTTGTTAAACCTGATTCACACACACCACTTTCCGCTCTTGCAATGACAGTATTGGTTGAAAAGGCCGGATTCCCTAAAGGAGTATTCAATGTTGTTTTATCTCAACACAATACCCCAAAATTGGGGAAAAGATTATGTGAGCATCCTAAGGTTAAAAAGGTGACCTTTACTGGTTCGACTAGAATCGGTAAAACATTAATGGAGCAAGCCTCTTCAACCTTGAAAAAGTGCTCCTTTGAGCTAGGGGGTAACGCACCTTTTATAGTTTTTGATGATGCTGACCTCGACTTGGCGGTTGATCAAGCAATTGCATCAAAGTTCAGGGGTATGGGTCAAACTTGTGTTTGTACTAACAGGTTTTATGTTCAGGATACAATAGCTGACGAATTTGCCGAGAAGTTGGTTACTAAAGTTAAACAGTTTAAGATAGGAGATGGTATGAAGGAAGGTGTTACTCATGGCTGTTTAACTAATGCAAAGCAAGCTGATAAAGTCGACGAACACAAAAAGGATGCAATTGAAAAAGGAGCTAAGGTTTTGCTCGAGGGAGGTCGTATGCCAGATTTAGGTAAGAACTTCTACGCTCCCGTGGTGTTAAAGAATGTCCCACAATCAGCTATGGTGGCTAAGGAAGAAACTTTTGGTCCTTTGTGTCCAATCTTTACATTTAAAACCGTTGAAGAAGTTCTTGGTTATGCTAACGATACTGAATTAGGACTTGCTTCATACGTTTTTACTAAGAATGTCAATACGTTATTCACCGTTAGTGAAGCTCTTGAAGCAGGTATGGTTTCATGTAATACAGGATTGTTTTCTGACAGCTCAGTTCCATTCGGTGGTGTTAAAGAATCAGGGTTTGGTAGAGAGGGTTCACTTTATGGTATTGACGATTATACTACGGTTAAAAGTATAATAATTGGAAATTTACCAGATAGTTTATAGTCATATAGATGGGATATTATTTTTTTATGCAAGATACATATCATTTTTCATTATATGGTTTTTTAGATTACAAAATAGATCTTTACGGTCTTCAATTAAAATTAGGTTCAATTTATTTTATCAAAAGAATTTTTACACGCTCATCTTAAAATGGAGCCTCATAGTACAACGTCTAACAACACCGTTTCTTTTAGCAGATCCTACATTTGATAATCTTGTTTATGTATCCATTCTGAACCGATAAGGTTGGCACCTCTCTTTTCAGCAATCCTAAACCAGCTAGCAGCTCTAATGACATCTTCCGGGCTCTTATCTTTATTTTTTGATAAAATTATGCCACTTAAGCACATAGCATCTACGTGTCCCAAAGAGCCTGCATATTCTAGATATTTTAAACCTAAAGGACTGTTAGCAGACGGTACGCCATAACCTTTCAAATATGATAGACCGCATTCATATAATGCTGGGGCTAGGGGTTGTGGAGGGATGATAGGTATAGATCCACTTTTCTCTAAGGTTAGTGGATCAATATTGCAACGCATTACGAATTCATTACAATTATGAATTCCTGTTGCTCTATTTAAATATCGTAATGATTCCGTATAATTACATTTGACCCCTTCACCTTTTCTCAATGCTATGCCATATAATAAATAAGCAGTCTTACTACCTTCAATACAAGCTTGTTGAAGTTTTTTGGATGCTTCATAATACTTCTCTTGTGATCTTAGTGAGAGAGCCTCGTTAATCAACGCTGAAGCTTGATCCAAGTTGTGTGAGCTGGTTAACCTGTCATATTGAGCATAACTAGAAGCATAAGTGTGCAAATTTTCGTTAACAGTACTGTCTGAATGACTTGTAATGGATAAAAAATCATCTGATTTAGCTCTTCTGTGAGTCAACTGTCTCATTGGTGGTTTCCCTAATAAGTTTTGCAATCTTAATGTTTTTAAACTATTATCTGCATCAGTCATTCCTTTTTGTAAAGATTTGATTGTGCTATAATCTGAATATGATCGGTTATGTGAAGGTTTCCTAATTGGGGTGCTAATGTAGTCCTTTTGAGTCTTATTTGGATACGTATATTCCTCTTTCTTCGAAGGTCTTGATGAAGGATAAATTTTGAAGCTTTTTGTGAGACTATCATTGGAAGACATGTGGCTAAACTTTTTACTTTTTGGATTTGTTGATGTGGCATCCAGTTTATCTTCTGAACGATTTTTGCTCTTATACGATTTGGGAGACTTGAAGAAACTCTTTAATGAGGATAGTGAAGATTTTTTCTGGTGGTCCTTGTATGAAGGTGTTGGAGGTTGACTCAACTCAGTATCCATTGACAAATCTAGAGTGGAGTTCGAACTAGACTTCTTGGGCGTAGGAGGGTACTTGTCTCTTCTGTCAGATAACATGCTCTCACCGGATGACGAAGTCTTTGGTTTGTACAGGTTCGACGAATCCTGATGTTTTCCCTCAATTGATTGCTGACTGTCATTACTCTTCTGTCTGTCCTTATCATTCCTGACACCATTCTGGGGTTTAGCTAACAGTTCATGGTAATAGTGTAGTTTTCGTTGTTTATTCGCGAGATGTGGGAAGTCGGTCATTAATGTTGAGTTATCTATCCTGTATCTTTCGAAATTGAGCGCATTCTTCTCTTTCTCTCTCGCGTTAGACCTTACATTGTTCGATTCGGTTCTCAGTGCAGTTTCTTTTCTTGGGAAATGGTACTTAGTGTCGTTTGTCTTAGCCATCAAGTTGTGAAAATGATGTCTATTCTTCTGTTGCTCCGTAGAAGTATTCTCTGTGGTACTCATGCTCAATAGAGACTCGATATCCGTATCTTCTTCCACAATGTAGGAGTACCTATAGTGTTCTGGGATATGTCTTTCCACAGCAGTCGCGCAGGTATTTCCACGCAGCGGTTCACCCACCGATGCAGACATGGATGCCTTTTCGAGCCCCAGAGTATCTCTCATTGTGCTCTCGCTGCCGTGCCGCTGGTGTATCCGGCTGCTGCGCAGCGAGGGAAACGCGTTAGCAGGCAGACACACCACGGGACCACTCTGCGTATTCTCCACACGCACCTTATCATCTGCCTCCATCGCCTGCTTGATCAACTGCTCGTCGCCATCGCTCAGCTCCAGCCTGTCAAGCAACCGCTCAGCAGTCTGCGTAGACTCCAGCGACAACGCGCTATGATTAGACAACCGAAATGACTCCTTGAAATAGTCTCCGCCAACCCGTTCCAGCGGGGACGGCTTCCCTGATAACAAAGGCATAGCTTGCTTTCCTGTTCCAGCTCTTGATTCCTCTCTGCCTGAACCAAAGAAGTACTTAACCAGCTGGTAATATGCATTGTTTATTGCTGGATCAAATTTTTTTTATTTTTGATTTTTCACGTTTCGATGAAAATGACGTCATTTTCATTTTCCGTGCCCCCCCCCCCCTTCTGATGTTGCGCATTGCGGAAGTGGTCTTAGCACCTGCAAGGGTCCTTCCGAGGGCCTCTCCTACGGGCCTGTCTCTGGCCTGTCTCTGCCTCGAGGACCCAGGTTGCATGGCATCTTGCTCTGTTTCCAGGCAGCAATCGGCGAGGCCGTGCGGCGTGTTCTGCGCGGAGAGTGCTGTTTTTTTCTGAGTGTAACAACGAAGCTTCGAATTTCCCGATTAGGAATCTTCGAGAAGGGCAAGTTGGTGGGGGATGGAGTAGAGTCATGTGATGAATACATATTGGGTATGGTAGTAGCAACAAGGTGAAGGTATAAGGTAACTTTGCGCAAGCGCCAAACAAGTGTTGGTATATGTTAACACTCCTATTTTGTCTATAGATTTTCCATATAAAAGTATCGTTCTTGAGTTTTGTTTATGTCGATATTGTGTGTCTATCGTTGTAGCATACTGTCCAGTATACTACCAAAACATAAATTGGTATGTGAAATAATAAATAAACCAATAATTTATAGATCAATAATTAACAGATTAACAAATCAATAGATTAACAAATCAATAGATCAATAGATCAATAGATCAATAGATCAATAAATTATATTGAAGATAGCAAAAAGAAAATTGATTGAAGTCAAAAGCTTCTATATCCCTCATTAAAAATTAAATAATAATATACAACCCTTTCTATAAGGGGGGAGAAAAAAAAAGTAAAATAATATAATGTATGAACTGAAGAATGTGAAAGAAATTTGTAAATAGTGCAGCGATGCTTAACCACCGAAACCGTACAAGGTTCTACCTTGTCTCTTCAAAGCGTAGACGACATCTAGAGAAGTGACGGTCTTTCTCTTGGCGTGTTCAGTGTATGTGACGGCGTCTCTGATAACAGATTCCAAGAAAGACTTTAGAACGGCTCTGACTTCTTCGTAGATCAGACCGGAGATACGCTTGACACCACCTCTTCTGGCTAATCTTCTGATAGCTGGCTTGGTGATACCTTGAATGTTATCTCTAAGAATCTTTCTGTGACGCTTAGCACCACCTTTACCCAAACCTTTACCACCTTTACCTCTACCGGACATTGTTATTGATTATTTATTTATTTGTTGTTATTTTATTGTATTTTTTTTTAAAAAGCTACTAATACACAACAAAATGTAAACCACAAACTCTCCCAAACAGAACGAACACCCTGGCTTTATATACAAAATTTCTTATCCCGAAATGATTGTCAACAAGATAAACAAAAAGAAGCCACCACAGGAACCCTACCCCCCCTCTCTCCCACCCCCATCGTGTCTTCCCTTCCACCTTCCACCCTTCACCTGGCCATAGTAACTTGAGGTGTGCACACTCCAGAACGGTCGACCCACTACGGATCTGAATTCCAGTGCGAAGTTGCGGGAACGGATTTATTATGACCAGGCGGCTACTAAGAAGCTCAAACCATCAAAAACGCGCGAAGAAACTGGTCTACCCGTAGCAAGTTACTATTCTCCAAATTAGTGTTTGTCGTGTGCCGTGCGTCGTGGGTAGACCGAGATTTTCGCGCGCCTCAGGTGGTTCGAGGGCAAATAACCATAGTTAAGCCGTTCCCATTCTTTCTCACATGTACGTGCCGGACGCTTCGATGAAATTTTTGTGAATTGTTTCGTTGCTTCTGTGACCACAAAACAGCCTGGAGAGGAGGCGTTGCGTAAGGGGGGGGGGCCTGATGAGAAACAGATGACACAACGCAGAACTGGCTGCAGTGCAAAGGCATTTCCTTTGCCACACACACTACCATAACTAGTCTCGGTATTAACTGGCTCAACAAACGATAAGAGCCAAAGAGGAAGAAAAAAAAGGTATTTAAAGGATGTATTTCTTTATCTCCTGATTAGATTTCTTACTTGTACAGAAACTGTAACTAAAAAAAACAACAACAAAACACAACACATACATAATGGCTAGAACCAAGCAAACCGCAAGAAAGTCTACTGGTGGTAAGGCCCCAAGAAAGCAACTAGCTTCTAAGGCTGCCAGAAAATCCGCTCCATCTACCGGTGGTGTCAAGAAGCCTCACAGATATAAGCCAGGTACCGTCGCTTTGAGAGAAATCAGAAGATTCCAAAAGTCTACTGAACTTTTGATCAGAAAGTTGCCTTTCCAAAGACTAGTCAGAGAAATCGCCCAAGATTTCAAGACCGATCTAAGATTCCAATCCTCTGCCATCGGTGCTCTACAGGAATCCGTTGAAGCTTACTTGGTCTCTTTGTTCGAAGACACCAACTTGGCCGCTATCCACGCTAAGCGTGTTACCATCCAAAAGAAGGATATCAAGTTGGCTAGAAGATTGAGAGGTGAAAGATCCTAAGCACACAGGGATTGTTGTACAATTACTTTTTATGATTTTAGATACACACAAATCTTTTCTACGATTACCTTTCATTTATTTTCGTTTCATGTTTTATTAATCATTCTTTTTGTATATTTCACATCGGGTGGGGTTTTTATATTAAATTTTAATAACATAATCTTTTAAAGTTTCTACTTTCTATCCTGTATATTATTTCCATATCTATATCTATATTTTCAAGCTTGTTCACATCCTTATCGGAATTGTTCCAGCGTTTTTGTACAGAAAATGATGTTATGGTAACGAGCTATATCAGACCTACTAGTCTTATAGAGCTGTACAGAGTCTTGGAAACATAACCAACACACCAACAAGATGTCATTTGATTCGTTACTCGACAAGAATGATAAGCTGGTAAAAGTTTGCGGGATTCAAACCGTCGAGGCTGCCGAAACTGCGCTTCAAGCAGGCGCTGATTTGATAGGGATCATATGTGTCCCCAACAGGAAGCGGACTATCGAGAGCGCTGTGGCTCGTGAAATATCCAAATTGATTCACAAATCAGGTACTACAAAGCTGGTGGGGGTGTTCAGGAATCAATCTGTTGAGGACGTACATCGGCTTTCTGAGGAATATGACCTTGACATAATCCAATTACATGGTGATGAATCATGGCCAGAGTACTATAACGTCATTAAGAAACCAATAATCAAAAGAGTCATATTCCCTAGAGATGTCGATGTTGTAACACAAGTGTGTCAAAGAAAACCCTTGGTATGTCTACCATTGTTCGACTCCGAGGCAGGCGGTACAGGTGAAAAGCTGGACTGGTCCAGTATTTCCTCCTGGGCAAGCGAACAGAATAACGTATTTTATATACTAGCGGGTGGACTAACTGCAGAAAACGTCATGGAGGCGGTGGGGTTGCCTGGTGTAATTGGTGTTGACGTCTCAGGTGGTGTAGAGACTGACGGCGTCAAAGACAATGACAAGATAATTAAATATGTACAAAATGCAAAGAAACAATGAATTACGAAGAGAAGTCTCAATGAGGTTTTACAAACAATCCTATAATACATATATGCCACTTAGATATACTTTGAATACTGAATATACTGACTCATTATATTCTTTAATTGTAGTTTCTCAAAAATATTCATACAGGTTAGCTATGAATTCATGCTATAATTTCCATTTTGTTCATGTAAGATACACATAGGGATAAAATGTGATAACTAATCAGCCAACTTCCGGGTACCGTTTATATTATGCGTACTTGTTATCATGCGTTGCGTTATTCACCCTCTTTTTAAATCGTCAGTCGAATTCGTAAACTTCTTATATAATATCAATATTGATAACATCTGTTTATTAATCAAAACATTCGATAAGTCGGAATTCATTCAATGCATAAAAATCTGTCAATACTGAGGAACAATTGGAGTTTCAGTAAAAAGTCTTGCAAAGCATGCCAAGTTCAGTGACTGTCTTACACATATTACCACAGAAGTATCTTCACCAAATTTAGTCAATTAATATAAGTGGATGTAATTGTTAAATAGTATTTCAGGAGCAACATATGCGATTCGAATCTTCACATCCAAATAGCCTCTCATTCACGGCAGTAAGAAAATGTGCTATTTGCCTCAGTAGAGATGTATAGTCTACATAAACCGAATACTTGATATAGACCGACATCCAGATATTCTATTCTTTGGCATTAGCTGGTTAATTTGATACTGCTGTCTAAATATTTTATTAATGAGGAAATTAGGTATGCTCTAGTCTTGATTTTCTGAAGCGGTATAAGTGCTACTAAGATATCGATTCAACAATAGAGATTCTCATACAAAATTTAGTCCCAACCAATATTACTTTCATCAATTGGGATATTGGGAAAATCATGGCTACCAAGCAAGTGCTACAGCGAGACGAGTCACCATCTGCTTCTCTGTCATCGTCATCTATTGAATTGCTCTCTTAAGTTATCCTTGTTAATTTCAAGTGTACTAATATGGGTTTTATTGGCACTAAACAAAGAACTCAATCTCAAAGTAAGATATATATTTTCAGTTATTCTTCTTTTCATTTTTCTACTATATACATTTGTCTAACTCTTCAAGTATTATTCCATACATTAATTTCAATCGGGAGGTTATTGATTTTGGACCATTATTCTACGATCCCCAAGAACATGTAACTGCTTCCCTTTTCATTATTATTTCAGTTATTTGACCTTTGCAGGAACTATTTACCAAGTTCTTGTTAATTATATAAAGATGGTACTGTAGAAATGCCAATGGGGAGGGGGCTTACAGTTTTAACCCATTTCATCAATTTGACAACCTTAACTGTCGAATATCGCGCTTTATAAATGGGATCAAACCGTCCCACTCCATCTAGCGGCTTTAAAGTACTACTGGCACTGTACTCAGCCATTATTATCCCACTTCTAGTTGAGCACTGCAGGTTTATCAAGCACAACCTTCATGCTTATACAACTGCTCTGAGCAATGCCATGAGACGCCAAACTTGAAAGTGAGCCATCGTTAAATTATTAAGCTTCTATGGCCAAGTTGGTAAGGCGCCACACTAGTAATGTGGAGATCATCAGTTCAAATCTGGTTGGAAGCATTTATTCTTTTTCCATTCTTTGTGCCGTTTCCCTGCATTTCTTTTTCCCAGATAATGGAAGGCCCCCTACGGTCCTCATAATATTATACACATGCCAAAGCAACACAAGACAACATGGGATTTCTACACTTGATGCAAGGAGCACAAAAAAGGTTCTCCCTGTTATTGCCCACTCCAATCCCATGTTTACTCTCCTATTTGGGAGTTTGATGTACAGTTGATGAACCCATTCACGGTAATCTGGAATCACGAAGGAGTTTCAACCAATTTTCTGTTCAAATTAATCTGCGAAGCAAGCTGCACCAGCCTGCATTCCCTAGCACTACATGTTTTGAAAAGTTTTTCCTAGTCATCCCTGTTGCTCATTAATTTTTTTTATTTCGTGTTGCAGCGTACCATCCGGAAAGCACAGAAGTTAATTAAAATAATATAAAAACATCTGCCATTATTCACTACCTCTGCTAATTATCTTTTATGTCCTGGGCAAGTACAAGGGCCCAACGAAACACATTAACGACCATTTAGGCATGAATCGCAGGACTAAGAGTCTGCTGAGAAGGTACATTTTAGCGATTATAGTGATCTTGTCACTGACGTTTGTCTTCTACAGCAATACTCTCACAACTGTTGTAAGTACTGTGAATGTGGCCGATACCCAAGATTACACTTCCGGATTGAAGCACGCTTCTCCAGTTTCGCCTTTCAGCTATGTGAACAACTATCTTCTGAACTCAGAGAAGACCCGTTCTAGCACCGTGAAGAAACTGCTGCCATTTCTGAATAAGCCAAAGGATGGTCTTGTCGATTGGAACAGCAGTTCCAAGTATCAAAAGTGTCTACTGTTGGTGAAGAGCATGTATAAGGCACACCCTCATTGGAGTAACCGTGATATCATGACTGCATATGATAACGAAAGTGTAGAAGATCTGAATCTACAACTAGCGGGAGAAAGGATAAAAATCTACAAGCAGTGCTTCCTGGATAACGACATTGAACCTATAGAATTTTTCAAAAGACTGAGTATACCTGACGTTGACGCATATGATTTTCAAAAGAGGATGTTCTATTTCTTCAGAGATATCACTGCTAGCAACACCGACTACTTCCACCCAGCCATAAAGAACGTGAAAAGTGGTGAGGTTGTCTCCAAACCTAAGACCAAGCTAACACCTCAAGAATATAACGCAAACATCATTGGGAATTGGCGTAAGCTATCCCGCGGGAAAGGTATCGTTTTAACTGTAAGCCAATCGGATGTCCCTCTTTTACGTCAACAGTTCAGAGTTTGGAAGGAACTCGGTAACAAATTGCCTATTCAGGTTGTGCACAAAGGTACAGAAATTAATGCCGAGTTGGAGCAAAAGATCAAAGAATATGCTATAGAGATGGAGCAAGATGTTTATGTGGTTGATTTGAGCCCAGTTATCGATCCAGATTTTGCTGAAAACTCTATCCAGAACTTTCATAACAAGTGGTACGCTGCCATCTTCAATACTTTCGAAGAATTAATTCTGATAGATGCCGATGCTATCCCATACGTGCCTGCTGAAGATTTCCTGAAATCAAAGTCATACAAAAAGACGGGTTTGAGATTATGGAGAGACAGGGATATTACACATGAACGTACGTTACACTTCTGTGTAGAGATGGCACCATACTTTGAACCAACTCTTGAAGAACACAATCTCATAGGCACAACCTTGAGCTACAGACTAACAGATTCGGGGCTCAAGGATGCTAAGGATTCTGAAGGGAGAGCCCTGTATGAGTTTTTCCAGAAGATGTATCTGCACCATGTTGACAGTGGTCTGGTGGTTATTGACAAGAAAGACAAGATACACAGTTTAATCATGTCCGAGATCTTGCATAGTCATACCAGGTTCGGAAGATGCACTTACGGTGATAAAGAGCTTTTCATGCTTGGTGCATATATGGTTGGCGAGAGTTACACGTTAGAAGCTCAGAGTGCAGCGATTATAGGTACCGTTGGCTACGAGAAGGAGTTCTCTAGGCATTACATATGCGCAACACAAATGGGACACAGTGACGAAGACAATAGACTTCTGTGGTCTAATGGTGGTCTAAGAACTTGTAAATTTGACTGTGCAGAGGAAGATTTTAATAAGGATGAAGAATACTACAAAAAAAGATATCAGAACGTAGACAATCTAAAGGCCGTCTACTCTTCTAGGTTAAACATAGATGGTTTCATTATTCCTGATACAACAGTAAACAAGTGGCTACAACTAAGTGAATGTAGGCAGTATATGTATTGCGCCCACGTTGACGATAATAGAGAGAAAGATAAGGGGACTCTTGTCAGATTGACCGACGAGGAAAAGCAAAAAGTGAACAGAATCTCTGAATTTTGGAACTCAGCAAAAATTTGAAAACCCCATCCATTTGCACTCAGCATCATTGTATTTTTCTTTGTATCATCCATCAATACCCATAACTTAATTTATATATACTTTTAAATCACGCTTTCTAACAGTAAAGCCACCTATACAACTAATAGTAACTTAATATACGAAACTAAATCACAACTATGATCTTGCTAAAATTCAAATACTTGCAATAGAAACACAGTGTGCTTAGCACTGAAAGCATCTTTATCCATATGTCATTGCATTTTCTGAGACATTTTGAAGATGGTCCATAGGAACGTTTTGTCTCTACACAGAAGTTCCCGTACACTTCACATTCTATTGTTGCAAAAATCGAAAATCTCTCGAGGCATGGAACCTTTCGCTGCATAGGATTTACCTCAAACGATGTTTCAGCGATCGTTGCAAGAAATCATGAAGGGTGGTTTGGAAAGGAATAGTCCCGTATTTGTCACATATTTCATACAAGACTCTGAGTATTAGACGCTTTTGTATCAGCATAAGGTAAAACACGGCATGCACCATGGAAAAGCTGTATATGAAGAAGAGCCTGCTTGTGTACAGGACTAAGAAGGTCTTGAGGCAACATTGCGTGACTATTTCTCTTTGCGTTTCGTTGCTGTTCATTATATTTACTGTTTTTGGTGGTTCTTCTGTCGATGATAGACAAGGATACGACTTGCTGAACTTGAGTCTGGAGCAAGGGTCCACATTTGCTTCTAAATACTCAGTCTTCAAATATGTCTCTTCCAGGATATATGAAAATGAGAAGAAGCCAGGCAGATTGATGTTCTTGAAGAAACTATTCCCATTCGGTAACAATGGGAGAGATTTACATGAGCGTTCCGTGCTCTCCAACTGGGATAAAGCTAGTAAGGCTGACCAATGTGCGTTGCTTCTACAAGGGTTTTATTTGGATCCCAAGTGGGACAACGCTGACATTTTGACTGAGAGAGAAGAAAAAGAAGATTACAGAAATATGCAATTGGCCATTGAACGTATGAGAACATACAAGTACTGCTTCATGGACGAAGATATTGACATCTTGGATACTTTCAAGGCGGCAGGGTTCTCCCCCAATGAAGCATATGTCTTCCAAAAAAAACTGTTTATGTTTTTGAAGCAGACTGACGGGAGTACCACAGAATACTTGTATCCAAGAATTGAAAACTTACGTACAGGTGTTATTACAGAAGAACCAACCACTGATTTATCTGTAAGTGAGTATAATGCAAAGTTCATTCCTACTTGGAGGAATATGGCAAAGGGTAAAGGTATCGCGGTATCAGTTTCCCCAAAGGAAATTAGAATGTTACATTCTTTATTTGCTGTGTTGAATCAACAAGGTAACAAACTACCTATTCAGATTATTGATAAGGGCGAAACATTAACTTTGGCAGACAAAGAACTGATAAAGTCTTACGCAGTAAAAACTAACCAGGATGTTTCAGTTGTTGATCTCAGCCCTATAATTGATGCTGAATATGCAGATGAAAATATTATAGGAATGCATAATAAATGGTTTGCTGCAATGTTTAATACCTTTGAAGAAGTTCTATTGCTAGATGTAGATGTAATACCATTTGTTGGAACAGAAAAGTTTTTTCAACTTGAACCTTACACTTCAAGACATATCTTGTTCTGGAGGAACAGAGATATCAAGAAAAAGAATCCAAAATACTGTCCTGAAGCAGCTATTTTCTTGGAACCAACTACTGAAGAGCACCAGGTGTTGAAAACTGATCTACATCACAAACTATTTACAAAACAAGTGAGAAACCCTGCCACTTCTGAAGACAAAGCTCTTTCCGAGTTCTGCTTTCAAAGGAAGTCAAATCATGTTGATCCTGGCTTAATTGTGTTCAATAAGAAGCTCAGATTCCAGACATTTGCTATCACAGAGTTATTGCACCAACACGATACATTTAGGGCATGCGTCGGTACCGGTGCTGATGCGCTCATATTAGGTGCTTTTGCTGCTGGCGAAACATTTAGACTAGACCCAAGAGACGCTGGTATCGTTGGTTCTATAAGTTACTCGGAAGCAGACAAGATGAACTTTGTCTGTGGTACTCAAATCGCACACAATGATGACAAGGACAATTTGCTATGGATATCTGGTGGAGGCAGGACGTGCAAAAACCCAGATCTGCTGGTGGAAGATTTTGCAGCTGATGAAGAGTATTACGAGGTGCGTTATGGTAACTACGGTAATGCTGAAACTATTTACAAATCCAAGATACGGATCGATGGCTACTTAGCACCGAAGGTCAGCCAGAAGGAATGGGTCGTCATCCCGGACTGTGGCAACACTATGAGATGTGCCTTTGTGGATTCCAACGTCAAGGACTTTAGTGGTAGATCCATTAAGTATAACGACGAGACCAAATCGAGAGTCACCAATCTAATAGATATTTGGTACAATGCCGAGTAAGACACCTCTTCATACTAATACTATATTTCCCACTTCTTTAGGCCTCAATGTAAATAATTAAAATAATATAAGATTGTAATTTTACCTTCAGTTGACATAAAAGGGCGATAGTCGACTAGTACAAATATTATTCCTCTACTCTACAGCAAATAGTGGACAGACTTTTGACAGTTATCGAGATTATGTAAATAAATGGCTCAGAAATGTCGTTAGGGGTTCTCAATGACGAATGTCCAACATACTTTCTTGCAGCCAGTTTCTCGAGGCATTTTTGTGCAAATCATCAGATTGGTCAGACCAAGAAACCTCTCGCAGGGCTAATAGTGACTTACACTAAATGCTTACTGAAAGCTGACAATCCTTAACTTTATTCACCAGGGTCTCTTGTATTGCCAAGGCAAAATCTTGGGGTTTGCTATGGCAGTGCAGCCACTTGTCATCCTATGCTGCCTTTACTGTGTACAATTCGTAGTAGTGTCTCGATAGAATTTCTCTTTGGTATGTCTATTCGGTATGTTTCTTTGGAATGTCCCTAAGGAATTGGAATGTCTTTGTAGAATATCTCAAAGACAGATGAAAGTCTTGAGTGGGATTCTTCAAAAGAACTTTACATCCTTTATATAAAGAGTGGCTGATTTAAATAATCAGTGGCAGCTAGATTTTTACTCTACTTTGCGTGCTCTATATATAAGCAGCACTTCACGACGTGGAAATTCTACCGAGAGCTTATAATCTGCTAGCAAAAGTACAGGGCCAAATTTTGTGCTTTAATTACTGCTGAGGGTTAGATATGCAACCTATTATGAAGTTTAGGTTGAGAAGACAGTCAAGAAAATACGTCCTGATTTTCTTGGCTGCTTGTACTCTTATTTTCATATTGTATCCCACAAAGCAGACATTTCAAGAACAACATTCTACTTCTGATTCCAGGAAAAAAAGCACTTCAAGTGATTATAGCTTGAAGTTGAAGCAAGTTTTCGATAAATCACCATTTAGTGATCTTTCGAAGAGAATTGAGATAGCAGAAGAAGAAGCTAACTCGTTCTCATTACTGAAGCTAATACCTTTCTTGGGAAACGGTAAGGATGCTAGGGAAAGAAAAGTGCTTGCACACTGGGCGCAAGCTAATAGGAAAGACCAATGCCCTCAATTAATCAAGGGTCTTTACGCAACGCCTGATTGGTCGAACAATGAAATTGTGGCCGCGCACAAGAAAGTTAGGGTTGATGAAATTAATATGCAAGTTTCAGTTGAGAGAATTAGAATCTACAATTACTGTTTCCTAGAGGGTGGTCTTGACGTAACCGAAGTCTTAAAGGATGCTGGACTATCTTCATATGATGCTTTTGACTTCCAAAGTAGGATGTTCATCTTCTTAAAGCAAGTAACAAAAACTGACGCCAAATATTTGTATCCAATAATACAGAATTTGAACACAGAAGAAATAATCAGTGAACCAACTACAACTAAGTCACCACAAGATTTCAATGCAAACTTTATGGCTAATTGGAGGCAATTAGCTAATGGTAAAGGTATAGCGATCACTGTCAACCCTGATGATGTGGAGTTTATGATTCGTCTATTTAGAGTGTTAAAAGAACTTGGAAACACATACCCTATTCAAGTCATACAAAAGGGGGGAGAGCTGACTTCACCACTAATTGAGCAAATTAAGAAAACTGCTATTGAAACAAACCAAGCAGTGTCTATTGTTGATTTGAGTCCTATACTTGATGAGAAGTTTGCAAGGGAACAAATTACATCATTCCACAATAAATTTTTTGCTGCAATGTTTAATACTTTTGAAGAAGTCCTGTTGCTCGATGCTGACGTAGTACCTTATGTGTCTTTGGATGAATTTTTCAATCTCAAGGGATATAAGGATACAGGGCTCCAATTCTGGAGAGATAGAAATAGAGGTTCTGATACACATAAGTTCTGCTCAAATTTAGGTGTTTATCTTGAACCATCTTTGGAAGAGCATAATTTATTAGGCACTGAGTTGAAATTCAGAATCAATAGTCTGGCCAAGAAGAAGGTGAGATCATCAGAAGAAAGAGCTTTCCATCGTTTTTTCAATGAACTGAAGGTTCACAACATCGATAGTGGTATAATAGTGTTGAACAAGAAACAGAAGTTGCACAGCCTAATTATGGGTGAGATTTTCTATACTAACGGTAGATTTGGTAGATGCGCTTACGGAGATAAGGAGATGTTTATGATGGGAGCATTTGCTACTGGCGCAGATTTTATAATTGATCCACGTGATGCCGGTATTATTGGACCAATAGGATATAATATAGATCAAAGAGTGAACTTTATTTGTTCAGCCCAAATGGGTCACTTGGATGAAAATAACAGGGTACTATGGTCTAATGGTGGTTTAAGATTCTGCAAATTCCCTGATTTTGCTAAAAAGGACTACACTCCAAAAAACCAAGACTACTTCATTCAAAAATACCAATCATATGATAATATGGCTAGAATATACAAGACTAAAGTGGAGATAACAGGATTTATTATACCTGAAGTCGAGAAAAATGAATGGATGCAAATACCTGATTGTCAATCATACATGTACTGCGGTCTTGCTAAGAAAGTTGACACTAAAGCTCTGATCTTAAAGTTTGAAGGTGAGGAAAAGGAGAGGTTGAACAGAATATCAGATGTATGGAACAATCCAATCTAGAATATATAGAGGCAATGCCAACATCATATCATATCTTATGAGCATTTCCTTAACATTTTTAGGGAATGAATAACAGTAAATAACATCAGACTGGCTATTGAGTCATTATAAACCAATGAAATAAACTTACTCTATTATTAATGACACACCTGCTAAAAAAGCAAACAAGGTGCTTTTATGTGATGGAATAGTTTCTATCGCGAGAAATATATATTTGAGGTATTCCATCATGCAAAAAGTCGATTACTCAATAATTAAAGCTCCACCACTTATCAGGAGCTATGCTGAGACATAATGTCTAGAATCTTAGACTATATTATGATCACGATTAATACGTAATTTCGATCAAAAAAATATCAAGAATGATATTGCACATCCTGTTTATTACACACCAAGAGACAAGACAGAAAAAAATTATATACTTTGATAAAAACAGTCCCATAGAACACTAGTGTTTTGCTATAATTATTTTATGAAGACTTGTTGATGGGAACATCCAGGACAGCTTTATCTCACATCACCAGTCGACGGGAGTCCTCGAGGTTGCCAGAGAAACAGCGCAGACCCTGGTGAAAAAGTTAGTTTACAAAGGATTTACCGAAAGCGATCTGCCAGCGTGAGTCTCGAGGGAACAATGGGAAGGGTGTTGTGGTAGTGAGAGATTGCTGGCGGGAAAGTGTTATGAGAGCATTTCTGAAGTGAGATAAGTGGTTGTGGAAGTATTGCTGTAGTCATTGTATCTGTGGGGGTTAGGAATGCACAGTAACCGAGCGGGGACGTTGACAGAAGCGATCGGGTACTAGGTGTATAAGAGTATGTCGCTACTAGCACGGTACTTGCTTCAAAGGCGAGTAAAACGATATAGTATTCTATTTGTGCTATTTTTGGGTTTGTTTATGTTCATTGCCAGGCACACACAAAGAAGAAATGACACAAGCATATCTGTTTTTGCAGAAGAAAAGTTTCCCTATAATGAAGGGCTTTTACATTCTGAAGGCAATTCAGCTTATACATTTATGAGCCAAAAGCTCCAAAGAGTTAGTGAAAACTGGGATAAAGATCCGATCTACAAAAGAATATTTTCAAGCGTTGATTATGATTATAAAATTTTAATGCACTGGAATACAAGCTCAAGACAAGATAAGTGTAAGTGGCTAATTAGTTCACTATATTCAGATCCCAACTGGGACAATCGTGATATATTCGAATACTCAAAAAATGGGCAATATAACAATACGTTTAAAGTAGCAGCTGAGAATTTAAGAATATATAATTATTGTTTTCTAAATGGAAACATTAATCCTTTACAGTTTTTTGATGACTTGAGTATACCATTCACAGATGCCTACGATTTCCAAAAAAGGATGGTAATATTTTTAAGGAAGACTTCTTCTGATGATGAGGCATATTTATATCCATTGATCAAAAACGTCCGTAATGGTGAAATAATTGCCAAACCGCCAACAAAACTATCTCCAAGAGAGTACAATTCAAACTTCATGGGCCATTGGAAGCGAGAATCAAAGGGAAAGGGTATCACACTAACCATAGCACCCGGTGATATTAAACTTCTGCGATCTTTATTTAAAGTTCTCCAAAGGCAAGGGAATGAATATCCTGTGCAAATAATTCAAAAGGGGGGTGAAATGACACCTAAAATGGAATCGCTTATAAAAAAATACGCGTTAGAAACAGAGCAAGATGTATATATAATTGACCTAGCTCCAATCCTAGATCCCGCTTTTGCTATCCAGAGAATTACAAAATTTCAAAATAAATGGTTTGCATCTATGTTTAATACTTTTGAAGAAGCTTTACTACTAGATGCCGATGTTGTTCTTTACACTGAACCGGAACACTTTTTTAAAATGAAAGGCTATCAAGATACAGGGCTCTTGTTATGGAGAGATAGAGAGTTGACTGCACTAGAGACACCAGATAGATGTGCAGCGCTAGCTCCCCATTTAGAACCCTCTGTAGAGGAATATAGCTTGCTAGGCACTAGACAGAAATATAGACTAACAGAATCATCCTTAAAGATTCACAATGAACCAGAAGCAAGAACGCTTTATGAATATTTCCATAAAAAGATTGTAACGATCATTGATAGTGGCGTTGTAGTGTATAACAAAAGGCAAAAGCTACATGCTCTCATGACTGCCGAATACTTCCATATCAGTCGTAAGTTTGCAGGCTGTGTCTACGGTGACAAGGAATATTTTGAATTTGGTGCTTTTGCTGCAGGAGAAGATTACCACATAGAAAAAGATAAGGCTTCTGCGATTGGATCAATAGAATATCATTCCGCTAAAGATAAGTATTACATATGTTCCGCACAGATGGGACATGCTGATGAAAATAATAATTTGTTGTGGTCAAATGGAGGATTAATGAACTGTAAAGCAAATTCTGCAGCTGATGATTTTAATGAAAATCCGAAGTACTTCAAAGCTAAGTATGGAGATGTTAAGACACTCGAAGCCCATTATAGCAAGCCAATAGATATTCAAGGTTTTATTATACCAGATATAAGCAAGCATAATTGGATTCAATATCCAGAGTGTAAACGCTATGTTTATTGTGCTTTCGTTGCCGATCCTCCAGTAGATAGCAATACCGGAAAGCTTGTCAGATTCAGCAGAAAGAACAGGCAAATATATAAGGATATTGCCAGTGTGTGGTTTGAAGGCACTTCATATTCATAAAAATCAAAACCCACATCCTGTTTATAGTAGCAATATAGATTAATTTTTTTTTGAAAGCTGTAACATATTGATAAAAGGTTAGGTCGTAAAGTAATAATAGATACTAGTCTATATAAAGGATCTGAGTTGCTGATTCTATACTAAATATCATGCTTCATCAATAAATCATTAACCCCATGAATAGCCAATAATACCTCATTCCAAAATTAAGTTTTTTACAATATTAATGAATGAAAACAGGCACAGCACTACTTAATTAAGATGCAGAGTATTGCATGATTTTGGGCATGAGATAAATCAAGCCCACCTTAGTGTTCATCCAGTAGCATGTCCTTTAAATTATGATTGAGATGAACACGCCATATTTCCGTCATAGGACAATGTCTAAAAAACTTATGTCCAAATTTCGAAGCCCAATTTCTTGAATTCATAATGTAATCATTCTGGAATGACAAGTGGTCAGCCAAGTTGCAACGTAGTTAGTAATTTTGAACATTGAAGTCGTATTTATAATCATAAGTACTTTCTACTAAAATTACGCAGGAAGGAATTTACAATGTCAAAGATTTACAAAAATCTAGGATTCATGTAAATCCCTGAACAGAAAAGAGTAATGAATCTTTCTTGGCTCTCACCCAAGAAAGGCGTTAGAAATCTATAAAACCTGATGCCTCCAATGTAACAAAGTTATAAAAGAGTGACCACTGAAGGTAATAAATCCCCGGTTACTTCTTAGCCTCTATATCGGTCCAAGAAATCTAATCTTGTCTTATTTTTATTAACCAAAATGCATTTATTCCATCTACAAAACAATAAGCGACTACGTTATAGCATTATTTTCCTAGCCTTCACATCTTTATTACTGTTACTTTATAGATCAAATTCGATAGAGCCGTTACCAAAGTCAATATATGTCGATGATCAATACCCATATGCTGAAGGTTTATTACGGTCGGGTCATAATTCAGCATTTACATTAATATCTAATGAGATGAACAAGAATCAATCAAGGGATAAACAATCTCTATCGGATGGGCTTACCCGTTTCTTCGATCGGGATTCCAAAGTTCTTAAAAATTGGGACAATAGTTCGAGAAAAGACAAATGCAAGTGGCTTATAAGAGGCATTTATACGGACTCCAATTGGACTAACATAGATATTTTGGAATGGACAAATGACGCAACTGATAAGAACAAATTCCAAGTATGCTCTGAACGTGTAAGAATCTACAATTACTGTTTCATGAATGGCAATATCGACCCCGTTGAGGTATTTGATGAGTTGAACATACCGTTTGCAGACCCATATGACTTCCAAAGTCGGATGTTCATGTTCTTGAAGAAGGTGAATAGGAATGACAAAGCGTACATGTACCCACTAATCAAGAATGTGCGTAATGGAGATATTATAGCGAAGCCACGGACTAAGATGAGTGCTAAGGAGTACAATGCTAATTTCATGGGGCACTGGAAAGCTGAGGCCCGCGGGCGAGGTATTACGTTGACAGTAGCACCTGATGATATAAAGCTATTGCGGTCATTATTTAAAGTTTTGGAGAAGTTAGGGAATGAATATCCTGTGGAGGTTGTCCATAAAGGTGGTGAGATGACACCCAAGATGGAAGATCTGATCAGACAATATGCTGAGGAGACAAACCAGGAAGTATATGTCATCAACCTCTCACCAATACTTGATCCGGACTTTGCAGAAGAGAATATCAAAAGATTTAGTAACAAGTGGCTGGCAGCCATGTTTAATACTTTTGAAGAAGTAATGCTTCTAGATGCTGATGTAGTTCTATACAACCATCCCGATCATTTTTTTGAGCTGAAAGGCTATCAAGATACAGGACTTATGCTATGGAAAGATAGGGAAATCACTGACACTGATGTTTATGATAAATGCACTGCAATGGCGCCTTTTTTTGAGCCATCATTAGAAGAGCATAAACTATTAGGAACTACCCAAAAATACAGATTAACGGGTCCTTCACTGGAAGCACATAATGAATCAGAAGCGACCACATTGATAGATTACTTTCGCAAAAAACGTCTTAACGTTATTGATAGTGGTGTTGTTATCTTCAACAAAAAGCAAAAGCTTCATGCTTTAGTGCTCTCGAATTATTATCATATCAATCGAAAATTTTTAGGATGTGTCCACGGTGATAAGGAGTTTTTTGAATTTGGTGTATTGGCTGCAGGTGAAGATTACCACATTGCCCCACAGAGGGCAGCCGCCCTTGGTCCAATTGGTTTTCATCCTGGCCGGCAAAAATATTACGTGTGTTCCACTCAAATGGGGCATCCAGATGAAAATAATAACATTTTGTGGTCCAATGGGGGGCTAAAGAATTGTAAGCTAGATAAAGCAGAAGCTGATTTTAAAAGGCACCCAGAATATTTCAAGGCCAAATACGGAAATGTAGCTACTGCGAAAGTATATTATACTTACCGAGTTGAGATTCAAGGCTTTATTATCCCCGATGTAAAAAAACAGGAATGGTTTCAATATCCCGATTGCGCGCACTATTGGTATTGCGCCTTCTTAGAGGATACACCAGATTCACTCTCGACAGGCAAGCTAGTAAAATTCACTGAAAAAGAGATAGAGAGGTATAATGACATCGGCAAAGCTTGGTATCATGGTACTAAGTAATAAAAGGCTCAACGAAAGTCCTCATTGACAATTGTATATACTAATAGTTCACAACATCCCAACATATATATATATATTCACAGAACATGGTTCTTACTTTATTCATAATGATGGTATATCTATCCAAAAATTGAAACACTACTCATAAACCGGCATATTTAGTATCAATCAAACCGAATGTTATCCAGCACTAAAATTATTGTTCATGATGAAGGTTAGATGAAATTTGGAAACCATCTTAAAATCGTGGTAGAGACTTTGACACCGCTATTGAAATCTATCAGGCCCTATCTATACCACCTAATTTATGTACATTCAAATTCAAACATCAGGAGAGCATCGAATTACATCTCTACTGCTGAAGAAGACAGGTGGCTATTTGAGTTGCAACGTCAATATCCAAGTTTTCATAACGGCTTCGCAAATCATGTTACGGAGATAACTACACAGAAACTGCGTAGGAAAGTTTTTAAACTGCTAACGATTTACAGAAATTGAGACATTCTCGTAAATTAGTCTTCTCGAAGGAACAGACAGTGGCCTTAATAGAGACACTAATTTCTCTCGACTGGATAAGCCTTTTCTTTATATATAACAGTAGACCGACAGGTGAGATCTAATAGCATTGATAGTTTCCTCCTTCTTTAATATTGACATTTCAATATGCCGTTAAAACTTCGGTTTATATCGATGATATTGCAACTGAGAAGGCTCGTTGGTGCAAAAGTGAATACACGACATAGACTATATCTAATTCCGCTGGTAGCAGTTTTGTTATTTTTTGTTAACTGGCCTCGTTCTACCACGCCCCCTGTGGTCTCTATATATGAAGGCGAGTATCCATTTAATGAGGATTTGCTACATTCAAGTGCTGAGTCAGCCTTTACAGTTATTTCAGATAAAATCAATAACCTTAAAGATGAGTACGCAAACAGATCGCTAAAACAAAAGTTATTTTCATTCTTTGATAAAGATGAGAAGATTCTTAAGAATTGGGAAAGTAGTTCTTTGAATGATAAATGCAGATGGTTAGTCAGAGGTATATACTCCAGCTCAGCATGGAATAATTTTGATATAACAAAAAATTATAAATTTGAAACTGCCTATGAAAAATTTCAAGCAGTTACTGAGCGTGTAAGAATCTACAATTACTGTTTCATGAATGGCAATATCGACCCCGTTGAGGTATTTGATGAGTTGAACATACCGTTTGCAGACCCATATGACTTCCAAAGTCGGATGTTCATGTTCTTGAAGAAGGTGAATAGGAATGACAAAGCGTACATGTACCCACTAATCAAGAATGTGCGTAATGGAGATATTATAGCGAAGCCACGGACTAAGATGAGTGCTAAGGAGTACAATGCTAATTTCATGGGGCACTGGAAAGCTGAGGCCCGCGGGCGAGGTATTACGTTGACAGTAGCACCTGATGATATAAAGCTATTGCGGTCATTATTTAAAGTTTTGGAGAAGTTAGGGAATGAATATCCTGTGGAGGTTGTCCATAAAGGTGGTGAGATGACACCCAAGATGGAAGATCTGATCAGACAATATGCTGAGGAGACAAACCAGGAAGTATATGTCATCAACCTCTCACCAATACTTGATCCAGATTTTGCTAGTCAGAATATCAAGTCATTCAAAAATAAATGGTTTGCAGCTATGTTCAATACCTTTGAAGAAGCTATTTTGCTAGACGTAGATGTTGTTCTTTACGCATCTCCAGAGTATTTCTTCGAACTGGATGGTTATAAAAAAACAGGACTCATGCTATGGAAGGATAGAGAATATACTGAGGTTGAAACTAGTGATCGCTGCGCTTCAATGGCTCCATATTTTGAACCTTCAGAAGAAGAACATGAATTGTTGGGTACAATACAAAAGTATAGACTAACTGGACCTGATTTAGAAACACATAATGAATCCGAAGCCACTACACTTAATGACTTTTTTAACAATAAATTAGCCACTATAATTGATAGCGGAGTTGTCCTTATTAATAAGAAACAAAAATTAAATGCTCTCTTACTTGCTGCATATTATCATATGAGCAAATACTTTGGAGGCTGCACATACGGTGACAAAGAATTATTTGAAATTGCAGCATTGGCTGCTGGCGAAGATTATTATGTTGATCCAAACAAAGCAGGAGCAATAGGGCCAATTGGATACCATCCACCAAGAGAGAAATATTATGTTTGTTCCGCCCAAATGGGACATCCGGATGAAAACAACAACTTACTTTGGTCTAATGGTGGGCTAAAGAATTGTAAGTTAGATAGTGCAGAAGCCGACTTCAAAAAATTACCAAAATATTTTAAGGCCAAATACGGCAGTCTGGATACTGTCAAACTATATTACAAAGGTCGGTCAGAAATTCAGGGCTTTATTGTTCCTGATATCGTTAAACAAAAGTGGATACAATACCCAGACTGTCAACATTACTTATATTGTGCATTTATTACAGATCCACCAGAGGATGATAATACTGGAAAACTTGTAAGATTTAGTGAGGAGGAGATGGAGAAGTATAACGAGATAGGAAGAGCTTGGTATGCGGGTACTATATATTAGTACCGCTAATTGCTACATTGCAAAGATCTAAAATTAATTATAGAGCTGTAGTATTTGTTTATTTGATCAATTACCCAGGTTAAAATTTTTAGTCCAGAAGTTAGTTTTTAATAAGCACCAGGTATTATATTACAAGCTGTCAGGCACAGTGCGTAAATTTGTGTCTTTTTTATTTTCAGCTATGTTAGAGTGTGTTTCAATCCGGTTAACAAACCTATGATTGTCAGCAGATTTGATTTATATTCAGTGAAATGCAGACAATATATATTCAATTATTTAGTTAACTAATTCAATGCTTAATTCATTGCTAAGGATATTTGACTTGCAACTTTTAGTTTGGATAACTCAACATGAGTATGAAAACATGTAACGTCTGATTTTTATATATGAAACGATATAAGACTATTGTTAATTCTTGAAAAGCTTCACAAAATTACTGCAGGTCACTGAGTTGGTATTTGATCAACTGACGAAGTAATCAGGGCAGCTTTATCGCACATCACCAGTCGACGGGAGTCCTCGAGGTTGCCAGAGAAACAGCGCAGACCCTGGTGAAAAAGTTAGTTTACAAAGGATTTACCGAAAGCGATCTGCCAGCGTGAGTCTCGAGGGAACAATGGGAAGGGTGTTGTGGTAGTGAGAGATTGCTGGCGGGAAAGTGTTATGAGAGCATTTCTGAAGTGAGATAAGTGGTTGTGGAAGTATTGCTGTAGTCATTGTATCTGTGGGGGTTAGGAATGCACAGTAACCGAGCGGGGACGTTGACAGAAGCGATCGGGTACTAGGTGTATAAGAGTATGTCGCTACTAGCACGGTACTTGCTTCAAAGGCGAGTGAAACGATATAGTGTTCTATTTGTGCTATTTGTGGGTCTGTTTATATTCATTGCCAGACATCTTACAAATGAAGAAGAATCCGACAATGGTATATACAAAGATGATAAATTCCCATACGAAGATGGATTATTGCACTCTAGTAGCAATTCAGCGTACACATTCATAACAGATGCAATGAACAAATTAACTAAAAAGAAGAAAAATAGCTTTTTATCACCCAAAGGTCTGTCCTATTTCAAAGATGATGAGAGAATATTAAAGAATTGGAATACTAGCTCTAGAGTGGACAAATGCAAATGGCTCATAAGAGGTATCTATGCCGATCCAAATTGGAATAACAGGGACATTTTGATAGGTTCAGATGAGACAAATGATAAAAATAAATTCCATTTATCTTCCGAACGTATTCGAATTCATAACTACTGCTTCATGAAGGAACGTATTGACCCGGTGCAAATGTTCAATGAATTGAACATATCATCAACTGATGCATATGATTTCCAAGGTAGAATGTTTATGTTTTTAAGAAATGTGACCTCTACTGATGAAGCATATATCTATCCCATAATTAAAAATGTGCGTAATGGCCAAGTGACCACTAAACCACATACTAAGTTGTCACCAATGCAATACAATTCAAATTTCATGGCTTACTGGAAACAGGAATCAAAAGGAAGAGGCATAGCATTAACAGCGGCCCCTAAAGATGTAAAGCTCTTAAGGTCACTATTTAAGGTATTCGAGAAGTTAGGAAATACTTATCCAATACAAATAGTTCAGAAAGGAGGAGAGATGTCACCGACAATGGAAAGCCTGATCAAAGATTACGCGATTGAAACTAATCAAAATGTGTTTATTGTAGATTTGTCTCCAGTTCTTGACCCTGATTTTGCTACTGATCACATAAGGAAATTCCAAAACAAATGGTTTGCTTCTATATTCAATACTTTCGAAGAGGTAATGTTGATTGACGCAGACGTGGTAATATATACGGAGCCAGAGAGCTTCTTCAACCTTGACGGGTACAAAAATACAGGATTATTACTTTGGAGAGATAGGGAGATTGTAGATGCTAAGACACATGAAAGGTGCACTGATATGGCACCATACTTTGAGCCGGCGCTGGAGGAGCATAGGTTACTAGGAACTGTACAAAAATACCGGCTCACTGGTCCCTCTTTAGAGACACATGATGAACCTGAAGCGGAGACACTATTCGATTTTTTCCATAGACGCATCGTGACTATTATCGATAGTGGTGTTGTCATATACAATAAGAAGCAAAAATTACATGGTTTGATTTTAGCAGAGTATTTTCATAATAGTAAGCAATTTGCCGGTTGTGTGTATGGTGATAAAGAATATTTTGAGTTTGGTGCTTTAGTCGCTGGGGAGGATTATCATGTAGAGGCAGAAAAGGCTGTTGCCATTGGAGCAGTTGGATATCACCCTCCAAGAGAGAAATATTACGTATGTTCGGGTCAAATGGGTCATGTTGACAGAAATAACAATTTGTTGTGGTCTAATGGTGGGCTAAAGAACTGTAAATCCGATTGTGCTGAAGCAGATTTCGAGAAAATGCCTAAGTATTTCAAAGCTAAATATGGGACACTAAAGGCTGTTAAAGAGTACTATAACGGTTTGATGGACATTCAGGGGTTTGTGTTACCAGATGTACAGAAGCAGAAATGGGTACAGTACCCTGATTGTCAGCAATTCTTGTATTGCGCATTTATTACTGATCCACCTGAACCTGACAATAAGGGAAAATTAGTTAGGTTCAGTGATGAAGAAAAGATGAGATACAATGAGATTGGTAAAGCCTGGTATTCCGGAGCAAATGATTAAAGTCTTGTAAGTATATCCTTTAAATGATCACTAATGTAATTTTTATCTTTTGACGCACTTGTAATTAGACAAACTATAGTTAATCTCTAAGAATATTGTAATACTATACTTCACATTCCATATATACTGCAATATCGGAAAGGCACACCAAGAAAATAATACACTAGGCCCTAAAAGAACTTCAGTATACCTCTGGAATTCCAAGATGATATTTCATTAATTAGCTATATGATTTATGAATATTTGCTATATTTAACTACATTCCATTAATATATTGAGCAAATTTTGAAATGATCTTCTACGGCAATTTTAGTGGAGAGAGGGCACTTATGCTTTTGGAGGAAAAATAATCACGGGCTCAAGAACACAAACGTCATAATCAATGGGATCAAGCTTGAGTAGGATACACACGCCAGGGTCTTTCTACTCAGAATGAATACATTCTGGATAGGCGCATGCTGAATATAATCAGTTAAAGTTCTAACGATTTAATATCTGGAATAGATTTCTATGAGTGACCGGAAAGTATCCTCATACTGTTTAAGATAAAACTAATAAAGTGGAGGATAATTTGATAGCTTGCTTTTCGAAATGTTATCCAAACTATCAATGATACAGGGCAGGTTACCTGTTAGTCGGAGACCAATAGTTTTAGTTTTGACACTTCTTGGAGCTATATTTCTGTTGACACAGTTTAACAAGGATGATGAAATAGTCTTACAGCCAGAACAATTGGGCCTTGGCAAATATAAAGGAGCGAGGAAGGCTTTACCAAACTCAGTGTATAAGAAGACTGCTACTATATTAAAGAGGAATAGAGGAAATGATCAGAATACGAAATCTCAGTATGAAATAGATTGGGAAGAAGGAAGAATTTCACGAGTTGAGATGTGCAGGACCATGATTCATGAAATCTATAATATTGGCATAAATAATAAGCCCCATGTGCTGTCCTCACCCATGAAGAATTTTGCTAGTGTAGCGGCCATGGCAGAATCCATAAGACTGTACAATTTTTGTTTTATTGATGGAAATATCAATAGTTTTGAACTTTATGGTCAAGAAAACAATGCAGGTGCTACTGTTCTATTGAATGACTTCTTTCCTTTTTTGAAGGCGCATACGGATGGTGAGCATATGTGGCCAGAAGTTACACATTTGAATAAGGATAAAATAATACTGCCAAACTTTGATCTGGAAGCAGTAGATACTTTTAACGCAAATTTTTGGATTAACTGGAAGAAGCATGCACGAGGAAGAGGTATAGTTGTTACATTCAAGGAGGAGGAAGCAAATATGATGATGAAATTAATTGCTGTGTTAGGCCATCTAAAAAATAGATTACCTATTCAGATCGTGATTCAAGGTAATAAATTTGGTAGCAGAACAATTGAGATGTTGAAGGAAAAGGCGATTGAAAAGAAACAGCAGATATACATTGTAGATGCCACAAAGCTGCTGATGGAGAAATATGCAGAAGTTCATATACAGGGCTATACCAACAAATGGATTGCTTCTATATTTAATACTTTTGAAGAGTTCATTCTTCTGGATGTTGACACTGTACCGTTCATAAATCCCAAGAAGTTTTTTGAAAAGAAAGGATACAGGACAACAGGATTTTATATGTATCAGGATAGAAACTTGGTGAATGAGAAACTTGGCAGAAAGTGTGTCGACATAATATCTGGGGCACAACTTTCTGGATATGAGGCTCGTGTCCTGAACACAGGCTTTTTGTACAGCCCTTATTTTGCAAGGGAGGATGATTACACCACTGCTTCTGCTCGCGCGTATTACAAACTGTTCAATAACTGGACATTACACCAAGCTGAAAGTGTTCTAGTGGTGATAAACAAGAAGCAGAAGCTAGGTGGGTTGTTGATGTCATTTATGTTAAACACGCAGATAGCTCTGAAGCAATGCTTTTTGGGTGACAAGGAATTCTTCTGGATAGGTCAGTTGATGAACAACAGTCCTTACTATATAGATGAAAGACCGGCTACTATCGTCGGACCTTTGTCCTCACCTACTGATGAGCAAAGCAATTACTACAAGATTTGCTCCGCACAACTGGGCCATCTTGGGGAAGACGGTAAACTCGATTGGGTTAACGGAGGCATGCAGGTCTGCAAGTTCAAAAACGCAGCTATGAAGGACTTTACCGACGACCCCGAGTTTTTCAAATCTAGACATAAGGACGCGGCGGTTCTTCAGAATTTTTACGACTCGACTGTGACGCTCGACGGTTACATGACAGCGGATCCGCCAAGTTGCCAATGGATGAACATCAGGGAGTGCCAGAAGTACATGTACTGCATTATCTGCGACAAGAAGCCCAGCCTGGGGACAGCCGCGCCCGGAGACATGACCCCCTCAGTGCAGTTTACTGATAAGTACCACGCGCAAGTTAACGACATCGCCCGCATATGGTCCGAAGAGTCCACAAGCGACACAAACGCTTTCGGTGTCTAGGTGTATTTGTTTATTTTTTTGGGCACAGCCAGCTTTGGATGGCGTTGTAGTGGCCAGTCCCATACACGGTAGATATATAACTTTAAGCTCTGTGCTTACACAACGCACAACACGAAATAATATGTATATGCGTAAAGAAGCAATAGGTGGCTATGATCAATCATTCTCCTATACGATTGTGATCACCGTACAATGTAAGCATCCGAATGTTACGTGTGATGGAATCCCAACCACTGTACGTAGGTTTTACTGAGAATTGTCTTCCCAACAGAACCCCTCGTACTAATAAAAAGACAAGAAACGCACAAGACCCAAAGAGGAAAGATTCTCGAAGGTGTCTGTTGCCGTTCAGTCGCACGGCAATATCTAGGCGAGAGGGGAGCAAGGAGTCGTTTAAATTAAGTTCCTGTATTTTCCCGTAGGGGGCTTCCCCCCCTCCCCTTAAGCGAGAGGGTCCCCCCCATTGTTCCATTGTCTCTCTCACACGCAGAGGCTCGTATTAGTTCCAGTTGCCTAGACAAAGTCGCACAGAATTGACACCTTCCTCTGAAATTATTATGGAGAACGCTAGGTCCGTTTAAGGGCCCAGCATGAGACAGAGAGTGCCGTAGCGGCCTTGGCTGCGAGATCCGCCAGATGTGCAGAGAATATTCGTTGCTTTTTTTTTCGCACGTACTGTAGTCTCGAGCCACCGCTTGAGGAGAGGTCGAATGGAAATTAGTGAGGAGTATACGAAATAGCCCATTGTTTGAGGAGCTTGAAGGGTTTCATTTTAATTCGTTTGGTTGCAATTTAATTGCATATGGACGCTTGGGACTGAGGAGTTATTTCGTTTACTTCGAAGGAATGACTTTTTTTGTTCTTTAAACGTAATTTAAACTAAAAAGGGATTCTGTTTTGGCAATAATAAAATTCTCCATTTGACCGTTTTAGGTGGGCGTGTCTCTGCGGGTTGTACTGTTGTTCTTCAAATTTGGAATTAACCTCCCCTTTGCCATATGCAAATTGTATCTTAATAATGTGAATAATCAGAGGGATCGATAATAAATGAAAAAAATTATTAATTGAATGAAAAAAAAAATGAAAAAAAAATCTCGATTCATTGACTTGGTAATAATTCGGATCTCCCTATATAAGATTGACACCTCATCTTTGTTTTAGTTTGGTTATAACTCTTTCCCCTTCAATTGTGCTTTTTCTTCGAATATTGAAACCAATCCTAACATCACACATATATTTTTAAAAATGGCTTACAACAAGGTTGCTCTAATTCTATCTGCTGCTATCGCTGCCACCAAGGTCGCTGCTATCAGTAACAATGAAATCTCTGAATTCAACGTTATTTTGAGTGATGTTATGGGTCACTTGACTGATTACATTTCCTACGCTGAAAACGATCCAAACTTCACCCTACCAGACCACGTTTTGGATCTATACATGGCTATGACCACCGCCACTGACGACTCCTACACTACCATGTACGACCAAATCAACTTCTCTCAAGTCACTGACGCTATGACTAGATTGCCATGGTACTCCAGCAGAATCTTGCCAAACGTCTCCCCATTCTTGGAAGACAACGCCGCTTCTGCCGCTGCCTCCTCCGCTGCTTCTTCTGCTTCCTCTTCTGCTGCTTCCTCCGTTTCTTCTGAAGCTTCTGAAGCCTCCTCTTCCGTTTCTTCTGCCTCCTCTGCTTCCGTTTCTTCTTCATCTGCTGCTTCTTCTTCTGCTTCCTCCGCATCTTCCGCTGCCTCTTCTGAAGCCTCTTCCGCTTCCTCTGAAGCTTCTTCCAGAGCCTCTTCTGTCTCTTCTGCTGCTTCTTCTGCTGCTTCTTCCATCTCTGCCTCTGCTTCCAGAGCCGCCTCTTCTGCCTCTTCCTCCGCTTCTTCCGCTTCTGCCGCTAGAAACGGTACCTCCACTTCTTCTCACAAGAACGCTGCTGGTAAGGAATACGGTTCTGCCGCTGCCGGTATGGGTGCTATGTTCGTTGGTGCCGCTGCTTTGTTGTTGTAAGTATGATATTCAATCATTAAATATTCTACATCAAATGAACTAAAACTATGCCAATAGCTTATATTATAGAGGATAGATACCTCAGCTTTTGTAACTAATTTTTCAATACATTTTACTGGGTCAAGATAATTACTAAACAAACTTACCTTAACGACTTCATAGCACTATATAGCTTATGTAATGATAAAAAAAATCTAATGAGCAACTCACAAATATGACATTCTTGAACAAAAGCTTGTGACTGAGCACCCCCCAGACTAATATCAAGCATCCCGACTGCTTACTAAAAATTGGCTAGTCCACTTATATTTTGATTCTAATACTAGGAGCTTCGCTCTAAAGCACCCTTTATTCAGTTGAGTAATAATATCAAGAAAAACGATAGTCAGCATGTGACTTATATAGGTGCTGTTCTGGCTAGAGGTTTTGTACAGCCCAAGTAGTATTAAGGCACCATTTAATAGATATTATCAATTGTGCTGATATCTAGCCCGGAAACAATTTGGGGCTGGCTCAATCGTACATCCTAGAGATAGAATGTCGTTCCACCTAGTCGTAACTGGTACTTACCTAAGTATGTTATCACTTTATTATTATGTTTAGGAACTGGATTGTTGAATGTTCTTCTCCGTTTGAACCTAGTGGGGGAGACCTGCCTCCGTGGGCCATCTCCTTCTGCTTGATCCGATTGATTTACTCCCCTTTCACCCGTTTGAACAAGATGAGATATCGAGGTGATATCATCGCTATCTGGTGGATTGGGCATCCTCAGTGCCCAGAGAGGTTACCTCAACGATTATCCTAATATATTCTATCAGGGTTTGTAACAATGTCGAAAGTATATAAATAGTTAAATAAGAAAAACATTAATATCTTCCACTAGTAGTATACTCAAATAGATAACACTACTCAGGATGGAGCTACGTAGATCAACTAGATTATCTGCCAAACATGGCAATGAGGTCAAAGACGAAGGCCCAATTAAAAAGAAAGCTAAGTCTGTTTTGAAGGAGAAAGTAAACACCAAGGAACCTGTTAAAAAGCCAAACACTAAGGAGGAGAAGGTCTCCAGTGATGAAGCTATTTTGGAAGTTGGTGACGATATTCCAGATATTACCTTACAAAACCAAGATGGTAAGGATGTCTCATTGAAGGCATTGGCTAAGGAGAATAAAGTAATAATAATATTTCTTTACCCTAAGGCCAGCACCCCAGGTTGTACCAGACAGGCTTGTGGCTTCAGGGACAATTTTGATGACTTAAAGGAGCATGGCCTTGTACTTGGTCTTAGTCATGATACCCCTGCTGCTCAATTGAAATTCAAGGAGAAGTATTCATTGCCTTATGATCTACTTTGTGACCCTACTAGAGAGTTTATCGGGATGCTTGGTGCAAAGAAAACACCTGCCTCGGGTTCCATTAGATCTCACTTTGTTTTTGCAGATGGTAAGCTTAAGTTTAAGAGATTAAAGATATCACCAGAGATAAGTGTTGCTGATGGTAAAAAAGAAGTCTTGGAACTAGCTAAGCAGTACAGTAACTAAGTGAATTACAGTCTTCCATTTCGAAGCATTTCCATTATAACAGCCAACTTAGTATTCATAACAGATCAATTATTGTCGAAGTAACACCGATACCAGTCTCGGAATGCTTCTCAGAAGAGACTATTCTTGAAGTTTTTAATTTAATTTGTAATATGTTGTCCTTTCCATTTATGTAGAGAAAAACATCTTAATTTTGAAATATAGCACTTTGAACACTAGCTGATTCATAATGACGGAATTTAAGTTGACTTAAATGTATTGATAGACAAAAGGTGTCATTTTAAAGGCTTCAACTTGGTCATAGTCCAATATAAAAGCCTGATTAATGATTAGATATGGAATATAGGGCATATCTAACCCATTGAATAAAGATACGATCTTTTCACCAAAGTAATGCCTTAGTTCATCAACAACCATAATACCCAACTTTGCATCACCTATCATAAACAATGTGTTTACAGTATCAGAAGTTATTCTTGATCTATTCCTACTTTCAAATTCAGAAACGCATTTGGGAGTGAATTGAACTAAGTATCTGGTGTTGTGAATCCTTTACCGATGCATAGACCGAATAATTATGTACTTGAAAGAATTTAGTTATTTTAACAAAATGACGCCTGTTAGCGTAGATTCTTCTGCTGAGTAAAGGTATAGAGGCTTCATCAGGGTCGACTCTTGGTATTACTGCAATGTTTTGAGAGGTCTTTGACTCTAGCAACATGTCTCGGACCCATCCATGCAAATATACAGATTCGACGGCATTGCTGCGTGATTTGGGTATAAATGGGGGCATTTATTATTGATTAGTTATTATGTGAATAGTTATAGCTTAACTTGACCCACTTGCCAAAACAGACAAAAAAACAGAACTTAAACTGTAATAGTTTTAAGATTTGAATGTAACTACTTTCTTTTAGACTTCAAATATTGGTGAATAAAAGTATAAAAAAAAGCACTCACGATGGGGGTCGAACCCATAATCTTCTGATTAGAAGTCAGACGCGTTGCCATTACGCCACGCGAGCTTACTATTTGTTGTAAGCTTCTCATAAAAACTGTGAACATATCCTTAATATGTATGTCACATGCCTTACGTATTATACAACATTGATGTATGGAGATAATAGTCAATCAGCGAAATTGCATATTAAGATCGAAGAGTTTAACTGAACAAAAAATTTGCAAGTATGCTAATAAACCTCAACAAATTGAATACAAATAGATATACCAATATGAATTAAAATTAAGACATTTTTATCAAAGTATTTGCTATTTTGAAATCCTTGTTAATCGCTTACATGCTTTATTTGAGGACATGTCAGCAAAAACCTCTATTTAGATAACTTGTCTAAGCCCACCAATACGTAATATCTTGTTTTAATATGACATTCGTAATTTTTTTGTAATGCGTTATTATTTCGATTCGAATTGGAGCATGGAATGTTGTTTTTTTCTTTTTTTTTGATCTCTGTATCTCTTCGATATAATATATTTCATTATATGTCCTTGATAAATTCTTCATATCTTTTTTGCCCTCTGACTGAATACCGACCGATTGAGTCTTGGATCAAAAAAGTTCAAATTTATAACGCCGATCTCAATCTCACATAATCTACAAGGAGTTCTCAGACGTGCAGACACAGATTTGTCTTTTTTCGCCGTCCTATAGCAAATACCCCCAGCCAGGGATGAAACACCTCCCTATTTACAAAATAGTAGTATATCATAATTCGGCTATCATTATTACATCATCGTTAACTCTATGCAGAAGGAACAAAAAAACACTGAATACATGTAACAACTGATCGTATACATCAGAATGAAGCCCCTCTATCGGTTGTTAAACAAAGAATTAAATTAAAATTGTGTCAAAATCTTTCACATTTTATGCACGGCACAGAAAATCACGTATATCGTTTCCCGGGATAATTACCGAAAAAAGTCATCCCACCGCATTATCTAATACATAAATAAATTTCTTGGCAAAAAGTAAAAAAATTTGCTGCCTTGTAATACTTATGTCGAAGATAATAACCCAGTGCTTCGATCCCTGAGATCAAACGCAGAACTATTAGTATCCCTATCATGCAGCCATTTTCGAAGAATTACCTAGTATAGGCGAATTTTGTTTATTTTGCCTTGCCATATCGTACAAGCCCATAGCACAAGACGTTGTATTTCTTGTAAATTAAGAAGCATTCTAAACTCCAGTTTCTTATCGTTTTTTAGTTCATTATTCTCATATATCCCTCACACAAGTACATACCAATAAATGCCCTCTCACTGATTTTACGTTTGTTCATTAACTAAACACACACTAACGCCGACACTGGGTGAAATGTCCACCCACTTGTGTTCCATAGAGCCCGTAGGAGAGGGGGAGGCAGTACATGCAAGATTCAAACTGCCCTCTTGTTGCTATGACTTTCAGGGACATTTCATTTGTCCCAGTATATATCACAAGCGCATCATGTGAGTGTTTGTAGCTGGTGAGCAACGGGCCTAGGGCTTGACAAAATCTGTTGAACTTGGAAAGTTTGGAAATTTCATATTGCGATGCGATGAGCTTCTGGGATTCCTGCTTTAATTAATAAGCTGTGCAAATTACCACATAAACTTTGAAGGGAACAGGGTTTTATTGGCGGTTAAAGGGTATTTATAATTCGAAGCTGGTCAAAGGGGCATTGTGTTATATATAAAAGTTAGTATGGTCAAAGTGAGAGTCGAATTTTTGGGTGGACTTGATGTTATTGTGAACAAGCAACGTGTCTACGATCTAGATGTTCCAAGTCAAGTAGAAAACGTTGGGGATCTGATTGATTACATTATAGAAAACCTTATAACAAACAAGAAAGATGTCGAAGTATTCATCGAGAATGACTCTATCAGGCCTGGTATCATTACCTTGATTAATGATACTGACTGGGAATTGGAGAACGAGAAAGAGTACGTCATTGAAGATGGAGATGTCATCTCATTCACTTCTACATTGCATGGTGGTTGAGCTAAGAACTGTTATTACAATTATATGTATACATATCTAGAACAAAATTTTATACGTTTAGCAAAACATATTTCATTACAAGTGCAATTGCATATTACTTTGTTTAAGAAGTGAGTCAGTGAAACATTGGTTTTATATTTCTTGTAGCCTACAGCCTAATAAGCCTTGGCCCGGCCAGTTGCGTGAAGGTCTCAACGTTACGTTATGCAACTGTTGAGCTTCCCCACGTTTCAACGTGATTTTTACATCGGAATTTTCACATGACGCTATTAGTCCTGGAATGGCCTTTAGACTGTTGTGATTAGTTGCGTCAATGGTGCCAATTGTACACAAAAGGTCACCAACATTTATGCCAGCCACACTTACAGGGCTCTCCGGTGTCACCTCGGTAACACGAGCAAACGGTACCGCTCTTGCTGCTGCATCTATATTTCCATTGCCCTGATCCGGCGTTCTTCCGTCATTACCATCCATGGTCATCGCATTAAGCTTTGAATCAATGGAGCGTGATACAAAATGGCTTGACAGCGCAGTGTGCAACTGATCCATCACCTTAACTAGATCATTTCGCAGCATGTTAACCTTCTGTCTTACATACCGCACTTGATACACATCAATGTCGTTGCGAGGGAACCCATCCCCAGTGAGTAACGGAGAAGTCATATCACTATTCAGATCATTTGCTAATACAGTTAGGAACTTCTCGATCTCGGCCTCGATCGAGTCCTTGCACTGCATCAACTGGGGTAAGGGCAACTGTTGGTAGTCATCAATCTGCTTCTGCAGCAAAGGGTCTATTGCTATGCGTGAGACATCATTGATGTCACTCATGTTTTTTTGGAGTGTATTTGTAGATTTGTGTAGCAAGTTCGGTCGATAAGGAAAAACTTTACTAAAGTAATAAGCTCTGACCTGAAGTGCTACTTCCACAATTTTTTTTTAAATTTTATGCTATGAAGTTGGAAAACCTAGAACTCAGGTTCTAACGACTATCAATATTCCTATGGCTTGCGAAGCAGAGCTGTCACACGCTGACCTGAATTCAGTCTCGTTCACAACTTAGTTCGAGGTACAATGTCCACTCTATAGTGCTCCCCTGTTACTGTTGAACCTTATCAATATGTCAAAAACTAATGTAGAGCTTCTGTGAACAACGATCGAAAAAGCTTCGATGCAAAGAAAAACCTTGCGTAATCACACAGATAAACGCGTACAAAAACTATGAAAGAAGGAATTATAGCTCGTTTTAAAGAAGAATACAAAAATCTTCTTCGACCAAACCTGAGGCAAAGAACCAGATAAGGTGCTTGTCCCAGCAGTCTAGATGTACCCTGCAAGGATTTGTATATCCATCACATAGAACTGTTAGCAAGAGGAAACTGGGATTTGAAGACACTTGCGGAAATAAGTGAGGAGGGCCCTGTTGTGCCTGTGCACACTGCAACGATAGAATTATTTCCCCTTTCCGAAGGTGATAATGAGAGAGTCTTTTCTTTTCATCTGAGAAATAGATGGCTGCTTTCCACTGAAATGTATACGGAGTTGCTACAATGTCGGTGTGAAACAGTTGTTACTGTAATTGTAATTGCGATCGTAATCGCAGAAAACCCAATTATTGTACGTGGGGAGGGAACTGGAAGAGGGGGGCACAGTGAGGAGATACAGAGAATTATGACGACAACTTGTTTTGAACAGTTCCCGCAAGTAACAAATTCAGTAGAGGTATTTTTTTTTGTGTTTCTTACATCAATATACTATTTTTTATTTTTTTCGTGAGCACTAATATCTTCCATTGGTTGGGACTAAGATATACCGGAATAACTTCCAATAAATGAAAAAAAATCACTGATTGTTCTGCAAGGTTAATTTTCTTTATTGACATTTCTATTGCTTTTATTCCATTATGAGTGAATTTTCTCACAACTACTTTGGTTAATTAGCAATTTAATAACAGCTCCACCCCACTTCCCAAATGGCTATTGTATATCCTTGGCATTTCTTTTTCTTCTTCATCTTAAAACCTATTTTATTTTATCATAAACAAAAAAAAATACGTAATTTTATGCCAGCTATAATCATGCTGTCACATTCAGAACCTAGAAGCAAAATAAGAGGGGGGAGGAAAGAGGATGGGAGGAGCATGTAATAGTAGTATGGTATGAGTTGGCAGAAAGAGGCGGATAACATTTAGTACAGACAATTGTAGAGGAAAAAATTGACTCAAATCTTGATGTAGAAGTTAACACCGACCGTTTCAGACATTGTGTTCATTTGTCTAAAAGGTACAGTATTTCTCTTTTATGTGATGAGGGCCTAGGTCCCTTGTGTTATTATTTCTAAAGACACAAAAACCACTGTGCGATAGTATAATATTTTGGTAGGTGAGAATTCCTGAAATGTCTTCATCCAGATCGACTTTATGATGAGAGAATTAACATTTTTAGTTTTTTTAGAGCTACTAAACTCAAAGAAAAATAAAATACAAAAATATATAAAGTAATCAAGTTCACCTCCCATTCGAAGCATCTCTTTAACGTTCGACTTTAATTCTTATTACATTTTATTCTTTTTAAGATGTATAATATACAAAAACAACAAAATTAAATAATTTAAACGATATTTGACTTTGGCGGATTAATTTTCTCAGATGGGAATATAGATTTAGTTGGATAATCACCACTATTAAATAGAACCTAGATCAGAGAATATCATTACATCTAGGAAACGCATTACAAGAACTCAGGTACGTTGATAAATATATCGAGTACCATATCTGGAGTAATAATTGGGTAGGTAACAATTAATTCTTTCATTGATAAGAAGACGAAAATGCACATTGCACCAACTTTTAAAGGCTACTTAGAGTCTGAGATGGATGCACTTATCGTGCTTCAGGGCTGCTTGGATGGGAAGTTAAAGTTTGTGAACAGAAGGCCCTCAGATATTGAGAGACCATATTTGATTGCACCAGGCAACATATTTGTTTTCAGGGAAACACAGTCTGGGATCAAAAGATGGACAGATGGTATCACTTGGTCTCCTTCAAGAATATCCGGTAGATTCTTGATATATAAGGAGTTGAATAAGAGAGCGCCCAGACTGTCTATGGGTATGGGCGCTGATCCGTCGATGATGTCTGGTGCAATGCCAGGTAGATTTGACGAGAAGGCAATCTTACCAGTGGTATACACTGGTTTTGTCAAGAAGACGTTCTCTTTCAAGATGAAGATTGAGAAACTAGACAAGGAGACGGACTCCTCTGTCTCAGGAAATGAGAAGAATAAGAAAGCCAATAATGGTACAGAAACATTTCACATTGTTTCTTATTATTTTGAGAATGATGTCAAAGATAAATTAATGGTAAGACCAACCCAAACGGCGTTGAATGATGAAGTAACTGTTGATGAAGAAATATTAAAAGTAGTTGACAGTTTGCCACAAAACAATGGTAAAAGTGGCCACTCCAATTCCCCACACACATCTAACATATCATCTCCAAATGTTACGAATAACTCATCAGCTTTATCGTCTGGTATGGGATCTCCAATTACTACCAACTCATCCATTTCGCATTTGAAGAGGAAGAGTAGATCAGAGGAAAATGGCAACGGAATGCCAGATGGATATGACTATTCAAAAAGATTTAAGTATGAACCCAATGCTTTGTCACAGCCTCTGACCACAGCTACTACCGTTGCTACGACACCTGTTTACAACCATTTACAAGCACCCATGATCAAGAGGTCGCCATATTTTGTAGATGTTGGTAACAACAACGTCCCAAGCGCAGGTGTGTTAGAGAAGAGTTACTCTGATAGTAACATAATTTACTTACCTAAACCTATCAGTAGTAACCAACATGAAAATAACCAGAATAGAGTCCTGTTGCTACCATGCTATGAATCAATAATCCCTCCTCAAATGAAGAAGGCTCCTCATCCTGAGCAACTTTACATGCCCTTCAATGGGCACGAGAGGGTTATTAACATGACGCAACAATATGAACCATTGGAAAAATGTTACGACTCCCAATACAGAAATATTACGGATTCTGTTAATTTGGCCATTCCAAAGGATGTCGTCACTCAAGGTACGGACTTGTGTTTACCAAGGTTCATCCCTCCTCTCTCGGTTGCTAGAGGCAAAGGAGACCAAAACTCTCAGTTATTCATGCAATCTCAATCATCGTAAAATATGAAGGTAACGTAACAATGTATCAGTAATTTTTCAAATAGCAGAGTTACAAGAAGGTGTTTAACGGGTTTTCTTGACAACTCTCATTTTATCTCTCAAGTGAATCATAACTCATCGGCTTAATATATGGATGTTGTACTTGAGGAAAAATAATAATTTGCTATCGATTACCGGAATCGATATAACAAAATAATCCCCTCCCCTCAAACTGCCGCTTTGTACCCATCCATTTTCTTCCAATTAATATATGCTACATAAAATATTATATTTCCAATTTAGATGTATAAAACAAATTATTGTTAGAGTTAAAAAAAAATTAGTAAATCTGTAAAGATAGATGATGTTATCTTTATTTATAATCAAGTAACTTGTACTGTTACTTGGACTAATCAAGTATTTATTGCTATTAGATACTGTCTGCAAGAATTAAAAAAAAAGAAAATCTCCGCGACGGGGAATTGAACCCCGATCTGGCACGCGACAAGCGCCCATTCTGACCATTAAACTATCGCGGATTAGTGATTTTGTTGTATGTTAGTGAAAAAGTGCTGACCATCATTAATCCATTAATAAGCACGTGACTCTTCTATTTTAATTTTTTTTCTGTGTATTCGGTTTTTTCCTGCTACTTTGTTATTCATTTCAGAACAATTCCTTACAATCCACCGTAGAAGTTCCGAAATTCCGAAATTCCTTCTCTTGTACATAACCCCTTCGCTGGGTGCCTTCCCGAAGGCCGTTTCTCTCGAAATGCATACCAACAATATAACCTCGAAGATAATAATTAGGTGCACCAAAAGTTCTTTCAGAGACCTCTATAAGTATTCAATGACTTCTTCCTGATCTAACTTTGATTGGTTATTTCAACTAAGTTCTTTGTAAAAACTGCGGTAACGAGAGAAAGCTCGAAAAAGGTACTAACAAACTTTGGATACGGGTGTATTTCGATATAACCTTCATTATCATTGGGTTGACACTTGTATATTTAATAACTTTGGATAGATTGATTTACCATTTCTGAAAGTGGCCTTCACTGCCCCACCCCTTGACGATTTTTGAACTTTTGGCTTCAACATCAGCAATAAACCGCAGAGGTGGCTCAAAAGTAAAAGACCAGGTTCAGGTAGGATGAAATTTGGCAGCCAGATATTGGACAAATCAGTGCCTGACTGGAAGCTGAACAACATTGACTATGAGGAGTTGAAGAAGATAATAAAACAGGTAACTTCGAAGAAGACGGCGCCCAACTCAAATGACTTCGAAGGCCTTGAAGTGAGTTTTAAGCAGAACATTGTGCAGATAAACCTATTTGTGTCTTTGAAATTGAAAGAGATATCTAGCAAGTTGGTTTCGATTGAACATTCAATAACAAAACTGCTGGATAATGAAATCAATGACAACAGGAAGGTCTTGAGAAGGATAAAAACCATTAAGAACTATTTGGAGACTTGCAATGATCTTTTGCAAAAATTATCCAGATTTGTAATTGTGCAAAGAATAGCGCTAAGGAAACTTTTCAAGAAAATCACTAAACATTATGGAGACAAAAAAATTGCACAACAGTTTATCAGCTCCATCCAGAACTGCAACGAGCTGCGTGATGGATATGAAGGTGTTTCTTTTAAGAACCTTGATCTCCAGTCTTATCTAGTAGAGGTCTCACTTATTATGGATATCCTAACAGATATGACGAACGCAATTAAAAGCACTGGTAACTTTAAAGATCTTCCGAGCGAGTTGTTCGAGAAATCGAAACTAATAACGAATGCGACAGATAACAAAAAGCCCTTGGTGTCCTTTACAACAAACCAGCAATTTGACCAGGTATTATGGGATAAAGGTGAATTAATCCAGTCATTACTGGTCAGATCAGACAACAATGAGCAATTGAAGTTTTTATTAATCACTTTGGGCTTTCAGGTTTTCGACCAAAACCTGCAGGGTATTTCGAGGGACATTATTGCATCAGAACCCAATTCAGAAGTAAGATCTTTAAGATCAAAAAAATCCTTCTATGAGAGTGATAGGCCAGCTTTGAAGAGACTGCACACTAGTTCAACTGAATACCTTAACAATGCAGAAGAAATGGAGCAAAGTAAATGTAAGGCTGTTATGTTAACACCATCGGGGAAAGTTGACTCAAGCATATATGACTCAAAGAAAATTACAAGCTATCCGTCAGTTTTATTAGAATATGAGAAGAATAATGTAATTGCTAATGAATGCATTGTAATTTGTCATGTTGGTGGTTTGAGAGGAAAAGTAGTTACCGATAAATTACATATTAACGAAATCTCGGAATATTTAAAAAACAGTAATAAACAGGCTATTAGTGATCCACTAGCTAAAATAGCGCTTGATTGGATATGCGATCATGGCATGAAGGAATGTGGTATAGAGATAGGTTTCAAAAGAACACGCTATTTTTGCAATAAACATAGCAACTTATATATGATCACAATAGATGAAGAATTTACTCTTTCCGATTCTAATGGTCAAACAGAAAAACTAATGGATCATTCTATTATTGACCTAAGAGTAGTCACTACTAACTTCTCTTCAGATAACAAATCTTTGGCAAAAAAATCACAGGAAATATATGAAAAAATAATCAGCTCAAAGATACAATGCTTCCCATTCCAGCCTGACTTCCATCCAGTGAAACTATTACTCTCTATCCATGAAAACAATGGTAGCAAGGATGTGATTCATAGACTCATGCTGGAGAACATATACGAACTTAATGAGAATAATAAAATTACTGAAGATGAATTCTTTGGTATAGGATTTGACTTGTTGTTAGATATATGCTCTTCTGAGTTTAAAGACAACTATTACCAAAAAGTTGAGTCTCCGACAAGAACACCTAATGACTGGAAAAAAAATAATCTTCTATCAAAGAACAAAAATACTGAGAATAACAAACCTGCAATCAGGTATTGGAATGAATTTGATGATTTAGAAGAAGAAAATGGTGGAGGTGGTTTTTATATTCAAGATAGAACTGACGATTTAGAATCCAATGAGCTCCAACAAGAAAGAGACTACGGGTTCATCCATTTTAGCAAAGATTTCATTGAATCCACCTATTCCTCGTTACAGTCATTTAGGGACTTCTTAGGCTTTAAAGATAATAACCGCACAGCGATAGATCCAGCTTTGCTTGACCTTTCAGAACGTTTTGGTAACTCAAATTATGGATCGATTAGTTCTAAAGGAAGCATATTGTCTAATTCTGTGGAAGATATACGTAAATTGATCGAACATCAAATGAAAGAAATTGAAAACTCAGAGTCGGTATATGTTTACAAACACGACCAAGTTCTCTCCCTCATGTACCTATTTGCATTACTTATGGCTTGTGCCACTTCAGGAATATGTATGGGAATTGTTCTTTCAGTGTTCAATGGGGACAATTCGGATATAGAAATCGACGTTGGCAAAACTCTAATAATAACAGTTATATTATCTCTTGGCATTTCTTTGGGTCTGATTACATTATGCCTTTTGCTGTTATTCAGCCGTTACACTTACGCACCCATTTGGCACTATGCTTTAAGTTTTGCAATATTCATAATGATAATGAGTACAGTATGCTACGGGCTCGTTGAAATTTTCTTGTAGATAAAAAACATGACATTATAAAACATATATTCATACATTATACATAATACATAATACATTTTGCACCTATGATCTTTTTAATAACTATATTCAACTATTTTATCTGTAGGACAGAAATCATATATCACGTGATGACCACAACCCTAGGACAATATAAACTGGCTTGGCTAATACCTATACAAACACTAGCAGTCTCAAGCTGATCAAACGCAAGTCTAAGTTACATCCACATCATTAGTCTTAACTCATACCCTCGGGAGAATATTTCACCAATGGCAAAGGTCTCTTTTTCTAAGTTAATAGCATCACTGGTGTCCAAGGGAAGGCCCGAGGTAATTTACTCATATAAGACTTCACCGTTAGTCAAATACGGATCTAAGGGGCTGTCGCTAGTATTCTTCCTCTATGGTGTCTCATTCACAGATTTTACTGTGAGTTCATCAACTAAAATATTGAATTCTGCGTCAGAGGAGCAAAAATCAGATGCCTGGTTCATGTTCAAGACGGTAGGTCCTATAGGGCTGTGTGTTTTACCATTTGCGCTATCAGCTGCCTCATTATATGTCACCTCCAGAGTTGTTAACAAAGTAATTTACATTCCAAAGCATAATGCGACCCCATCTTGTCAGTTGATTCGGAAGTCGATGTTTCTGGGACGTGAGATAAAGTTGACCAGGTCCTTAAAGTACATAAATAGGCCCAAGAAGCCCAGAGTATTCACTGGTAAAGGTATTCAAGGAATAGATGACAACGGGTCATTTGTATTTTACCTGACTGACAACCACCCAGATGTGAGAACTAGATTGCAGAAATTCTATTTGCTTCCAAGATCAGGCCATGTTTGGGGCTCTGATGGTAGGATAATAGATGCTATGTTCGGAGGTGAATCTATAAAGGAACTCGATCTTCTGGACTTTGAGAATTCCGATAAAGAAGGGAACACTTCAGGAGACTTAAGTAAACAGCGTAATATTGAACTTGAAAAGGACTCGAGTATACTGGATGAGTTGATAAGAGTGAATGCTGAGAAAGTGAAATTTCATTCCGATGACATAAAGATGAGTAGTTCAAAGATTATAGACATAGTAAACTCCAAGAACACACACAAGAATAATCATAAAATTACCAAATCTAACTAATATTCCTTCATTCAGGTAAGGATGTGGTTTTATTTTATCATGTAAATATGTTATTGGCCAACAATCTTCAAGATTCATAAAAGTCATTGGACCTTATACCACATCTTGTAACTATAATAAATTTTCTATACACACCTAAATCATTAAAGCTATTTACAGCAGTTAAATATTGTCTTTAGTATCGTATTCGTTATCAATGTATGCCATTATAACCATCCCATCAATCTCAACAAGTAATCAAAGAATAAAGCATAGGAGAAATACAAACCTGTGTTGATATTACTGATGAAATGCTTCCAGCAATCCTTTGGGTTATTCAAGTCAACTGTCCTAATCATTTTGAAGACTCTGTAAGCAAACAATGAGAGCCCACCTATGAAGCCTGGTCCCCAAAACAGGCCACTATTAATACCTGCCAAAGCGTAAAGTGAGAACTGTGCGACTGACATTGTATTACAGATTGCCTTTGTCTTATCACCCCAAGCTAAAGCTGTTGACTTAATACCTGCCTTAATATCAAACATTTTATCCTGGTGGGCATAGATAGTATCATAGGTCATGCACCAAAGGAAACTACCAACATATAGAGGAATCATCGCTGACCAGTTAGTCAGACCCATCGCTGGATAGCCCAGAAGGGCACCCCACGTAAAGCAAGCACTTAGGGCAGCTTGCGGATAGTAAGTAAATCTCTTAAACAATGGGTATGTAAAGACGATTGGCAAGGATGCCAGTCCCAGCCACCAACATTGAGCAGGGAGTTGTGTCAGTATTCCCATACCAACGGCAGTTTGGGCTCCTAAAAATAGCACTGCATTTTTAGGAGAAACCCTACCAGCAGCAATTGGCCTCTCCACGGATCTTATTACTTTGTTATCCAGGTTTCTATCTAGTAGGTCGTTGATTGTACAACCAGCACCTCTCATTATGAGCGAGCCCACCCCGAATAGCCCTAACATCCATGCTGTGCTCCCCAGAGATGCAGAGGTTTCCATAGCGGCCATGATAATCGCCCAGGATCCAGGCAAGTATAGCAGCCACGTACCCACTGGTTTCTCTAATCTCATCAACTCAGCATAAGGTATCCACTTGGTAGGCAACTTTGAAACGTAAGGACCAAGTCCCTTCAACCTATCCTCACGAGCCTGTTTCAACTCTTGCTCAGTAAAAGGCTTACCCATATTCAGTAAACGGGTTGTACGGAGATTCCTGGAAATACTACTGGACACTGCAAGCTGTAGCCGGCGTTGCATCAGGTTCCGCACACCTTGGTTACCAATATTCAGCAGCAAACTCATTATTATAGCGTGTTTTTCCCAGTAACTGGTATGTCTAGAAAGCTAGAGAGTCCGAAAGCTATACTAGTTCAAGTCACTAACGTAAATATCCAAAAATTGAGACACCAATGGCTGATTTATCAAGTCCCATTGTTCCCAATATTAGGCACTTATCGGTGTTTATTTCGCTAAGTTCGAGAAAGTGAAAAATTCTTGCGATGAGGTGCTTCGGAAAGTGGAAAAAGTATATAAAGGCAGTCACCATCAAGTGCGTTTCGTAGCTGTTTCATCACCTTACTGGGCCCAATTGGAATCGTTTCAGTAAAGTCTAATTGCTACTAATTAATTCGATAACTATGACATACGTTGCTTCTACCACTGCTCCTGTGAACATCGCAACTTTGAAATACTGGGGGAAGCGTGATGCTAAGCTGAACCTGCCAACCAACTCATCCATCTCTGTTACTTTAGCTCAAGAGGATTTGAGGACATTGACCTCTGCTGCAACCTCTAGCGAGTTCAAGGAGGACAAGTTGTGGCTGAATGGTAAAGAAGAGTCCCTATCCAGTGAGCGGACTCAAAACTGTCTTGCGGACCTTAGAGCTTTGAGACGTCAGTTGGAGGAGAAGGACAGTAGTCTGCCACCAATGTCTCAGTGGAAGCTTCACATTGTCTCTGAGAACAACTTTCCAACTGCTGCAGGTCTAGCTTCTTCAGCTGCAGGCTTTGCTGCCTTAGTCATGGCTATCGCTAAGCTATACGAGCTACCTCAATCTGCATCCGATATATCCAAGATTGCGAGAAAGGGTTCTGGATCCGCCTGTAGGTCTCTATTTGGTGGCTATGTTGCTTGGGAAATGGGTGAGAAGGCTGATGGTTCTGACTCTAAGGCAGTTGAAGTTGCACCTTTGGAACATTGGCCAAACATGAAGGCCGCTGTACTTGTGGTAAGTGCTGACAAGAAGGATACACCATCCACCAGTGGTATGCAATTGACCGTTAACACATCTGATCTATTCAAGGAGAGAATTACCAACGTGGTACCAAAGAGATTTGAGGCCATGAAGAAAGCCATTCTTGATAAGGACTTCCCAACTTTCGCTGAATTGACTATGAAGGACTCTAACTCATTCCATGCTACTTGCTTAGACTCATTCCCACCAATTTTCTACATTAACGATACATCAAAGAAGATCATAAAACTTTGCCATTTGATCAATGAATTTTACGGTGAGACCATCGTTGCTTACACTTACGATGCTGGTCCAAACAGTGTCCTATACTATCTAGAAGAGAACGAAGAGAAGCTGTTTGCTTTCATTTATACTCTATTCTCTAAAGTAGACGGATGGCAATCAAAATACAACAGCGAAGAATTGTCCAAATTTACTTCAACTTTCAATAACCAAGTCAAAGGCAAATTCCAGTTTGATCTGGACGACACCATTCAAGAAAATGTTTCCAGAGTTATTCTAACAAGAGTTGGTCCTGGCCCACAGGATACCAAGGAATGTTTGATTAATGAGGAGACTGGATTGCCTAAATAAACTGAAACATGTGAACTTTGACAGTAAAACAGGTTGTGACTCTATAATATAAACATCTTATCAGCTATTCCATTCCAGAGAAAATATTCACGCCACCAGCATACAAGAAAATATTAACCGGAAACGTTCTATTTTACCTTATAATGTTAGTTTAATATAAAATTTAGTATGTATATAATAATATATCGCCTGAGCTATTAAAAAAGTAGTAAAATAGGGTAGGCATAATGTTTAAAATAAGAAATATCACAGTACTTGAATGGGTATTTCCAGCATTCAATAAAAGTAGTTGAAATGAAATTGTAGAAAATAAAAAACAATTAAGATAAAGCGTCATTAGATGGCGTTTTAGTGTACACGTTTTGCGACTATGGTATCTCAAAATTTTGTTTTGTACAGTGTTTGAGGCTTACACCAACAATTGTTGAATAATACATCTGAGTCCATATAGAGTCATTTTATCCAAGTGGAAATTCAATAACATAAGAAAAGAAAGAGAAACAAAGTAGATGATATAGCTATCATCATGATATTAGCATTATCATGGTTATGACACGAATTATTTTCTAATTGTTTGGAATTTCCAAATTTTTGCCTTGCAATCACCACTACCAGTTGCGAAAACATTGTAATTAGCACCTAGAGGCTTACCATTTGCAACAGCTACAGAGATTACAGAGTTTCTGTGACCTTGCAACATCAACAATGGGACACCCGAGACCTTATCCCAGAATATAACACCACGATCCTTGGAACCCGATAAAATGTATTGGTCATTTTCTGTGGTTGTCACAGAAAGTACGAAGTCCTTGTGGCCAATATATGTCATTTCACAGTTGCCTTCTGTCTTTGGCTGTGGACTAGTAGAAGCTCCGTTGATGTTGCGCAAATTCCACAACTTCACAGATCTGTCCAAGGAACCGGAGACGATATTTTTACCATCTCTGGTGAAGACAACACTGTATACCGAGTCCTTGTGGCCCACGCCGGTTTCACCTTCTGAGTCCAGTCTTTCGACCAAGAAACCAGAGTTAGAGTCCCAGACACGTACTGTTCTGTCTAGAGAACCTGCGGCGACATAGTTACCGTTACCTGGAGAAACTGCGACGGTGGTAACACCATCCTCGATCGACAAAGTCAAAGAGCATTGACCAGTGTGCAAGTCCCAGATACGAATAGTTCTATCACCAGAACCAGAGACCAATTTGTTACCGGATTGGAAGTAATCCAAAGAGTAGATATCTTGTTCATGGCCTCTTAGCACCATCACGATCTTACGTTGAGCGATATCCCAGATACGGATTAACTTATCTTCAGCGCCAGTAGCCAAAAACTTGCCATCTGGAGAGAAACACACGGAACGAATGTACAGGTCCGCAGAGCTGGCGCTGTTAGCGTCCTCAGTGCCGGTCTTGGTGTCGTCAACCAGTTCTGTGACCAAGTTACCTGTAGCGACCTCGAAAATTTTCGTGGTCTTGTTGCAACCGGTAGCCAAGTACTCACCATTGTTGCTGAACTTCACACAGCAGACCACAGAGTCGTGCAACAGAGTTCTGTGCAGTTCGATGTCGATGTCCTTTGGTTGAGTAGGGTTGTACAGCACGTAGTAGTCCTCGGTCTGCTTCTTGAACTCAGCAGAGGTGTTTTCAGCGTCGAGATCTAGCAAGAAAGGTGGGATAGGCTTTGCCTGGTTAGCCCACTGGTTGTATGCTGTTTCTTGTTTTTCAGCTGTTGCGGTGGTGGTAGCCACCTGGGTCTCTGGTTTCTTATCAACTGGCTCGGTCTTCGCCTGCTGTGGAGACATGGAGTTCAATTGGTACCCTTGCTGGTACTGCTGAGGTTGCTGCATTGGTGGTAGTGTCATCTGGTACTGTGCTGCAGGTGTCTGTTGTGCGACCTGAGCCGCGTGTACAGCTTGGGCCTGAGCCTGAGCCTGAGCCTGTGCTTGGGCCTGAGCTTGGGCCTGAGCCTGTGCCTGTGCCTGAGCCTGTGCCTGGGCTTGAGCCTGAGCCTGAGCCTGTGCCTGGGCTTGAGCTTGAGCTTGGGCCTGTGCTTGGGCCTGGGCCTGTGCCTGGTTCTGGCTAGACAACACGCTCACCAGAGGCGTCAACCCGGCCTTGCTGTCCTGCAAGTGGGTGCCCTCCGCAGTGATCTGTGGAGCCGGCAACGCCGGCTGTGGTGGCGCCGCGGAGTGCGCGCCGAACTCGCTCAGCTGCTGGTCGCGCTTCTCTATCTCGGCCTTCAACCGCCCGATCTCCTCCTCGTACACGTCCTTCATCTTCCGGTGCGTCAGCTCCAGCTCATACACCGTGTTCCGGATCTGCTGCATCTCCGCAAGCTGCTGGTTGATCTTGAAGTCGTAGTTCTTCTGGTTCTGCTGCTGGTAGCTGCTCACCTCCTGCGAAACAGCCTCAAACTCCCGCCGAACTGCCCCCAGCAGCTCCTCCAGCTTCGCAGCATGCCCGCCTATAACATCCTTCTCCTTAGCCATAGCGCCTTGCCCCCCATCCAGGCCATCCCAACTACTACACTTGCAACTTGGACTACTTTTATTTGTTTTCCTCGAGCTGCCAACGTCCAGGGCTCTTGTCGTCGCACGCGATATCAAATTCCAGCAGTATAAAAGGGATGAGTGAAGCACCAAGCAGCATCTGGCACTGAGCTGGTGGGGGGAAGAGGGCCAACAACTAAGTGACAGATGGCTTTGGAACCGGTTAAGTACGGTGCGTTTGGTAGTGAGATTGAGAGTGCGTGGCAGGGTGTTGTGCGCGGCGGCGAGGAGTGGGTGGTGCTGAGTGCGCGCGGTGACGGGGAGCTGGAGCCCCGTGTTGGCGACGGGTTCGGTGCGTTCCTCGGGGAGTTCGGGGACCAGGTTGCGTACGGGCTGGCGCGAGTGACGCCGCCGGGCTCTGACGTGGAGAAGCTGCTGCTGGTCGGGTGGTGTCCCGACACCGCGCCGATGAAGGCGCGGGCGTCGTTCGCTGCCAACTTCGGCACGGTTGCGAACAATGTGCTGAAGGGCTACCATGTGCAGGTCACCGCCAGGGACGAGGACGACCTCGACGAGCAGGAGCTGCTGATGAAGATCAGCAACGCCGCGGGCGCGCGCTACTCCATCCAGGCGCAGCCCTCGGCGACCCCTAAAGCCGCACCTCCAAAGGCAGCTCCAAAGGCGGCACCTAAGGCAACTCCAAAGGCAGCTCCAAAGGCAATTGCTACTCCGGCAAAGACGTCGGCTACACCAGCTACACCAGCAACACCAGCTGCAAGTGCGAACGCCAAGAATGGCGGCGACGACGACGACTGGAGCGAGCCTGAGTTAAAGGAGCGCGACTTCGATAGCGAGCCCCTGAAGCCCAACCAGTCCACTTTCAAGCCAATTGGCAAAGTGGACCTGCAGAAGCATATCGCCGAGGAGGCAGCCAAGGAGGACCCTCGCCTGGTGAACAAGATAGACCCTGCAAGCGACATCAAGCACCTCAAGGAGCAGTCCAAGATGCAGAGAGACTCTGAGATGAACAAGTTTATCGGCGGCACCAAGCCACCAATGGGCTCTACCCAGTTCAAGGACGACGACAAGGTCATCAAGGGTTTCAAAAACGAGAAGACCCCAGCTCAATTGTGGGCCGAGAAGAAGGCAAAGCAACAAGGCAATGCCCCAGCCGAGAAACCTGCCGCTGAAGTTTCAAAGAGCAACGCGGAAGACGAAGACGACGAAGACGACAAACAAGAAGACATCAAAGACATAAAGTCTAAGTTCGAGAGCTTGTCCACCAACTCTGAACCTCCTATCATTCAACCAAGAAAAATTGTGCAGAGAACAACCGAGCCAGAAATTGAAGCTCCATCGATGAAGAAAGACCCAAAGAAGTTCGGTAATCCATTGCCAGGTATGCACAGCGAAGAGCCAGAACCAGAAGCTGATGAAGACAACGATGACGACTGGGATGATGACGAAGAAGAGTCCAAGCCAGCTCAAAGAAGTCTACCACCATTGCCTTCTAGAGACCAAGAGAAGGACGCTTCTCCTGCACCTATCCTACCTTCCAGAAGTGTGGATAAGGAGGACTCTCCAGCTCCACCATCGTTGCCTTCCAGGGCTAAGGAAGAAGAACAAGAACAAGAAGAGGAAGAGGAAGAGCCAGAACAAGAGCAAGAAGAGGAAGAAGAAGCTCCAGCACCATCTCTACCAACCAGAGAAACCAATGCTGTGCCACCTCCACCTCCAAGAAGAGCCACCGAAGAAAAGAAGGAAGAAAAGCCATGGGCCACTGCTGAATATGATTATGAAGCAGCTGAGGACAATGAGCTAACTTTTGAAGAGAATGATAAGATCATCAACATCGAGTTTGTTGACGACGACTGGTGGCTAGGTGAACTAGAGAAGACTGGTGAAAAGGGTTTATTCCCAAGCAACTACGTCTCCTTGGGAAACCAGTAAACATATATATTTCCCTCTTTTTATGACTTGTTTGATAGTAATACACTCCCATGAGTAAATTATGTACACTTCTCCTTTGTATAGAAGAAACTATCTAGTAAACCTCGATGATAAATGTATCAAACACAAAGTAATACACACCAGTTTTGGAGCTAAAACAGCATAACAGAATTGCTCAAATGCTCTACATCATCTGACATAAGACACTCATGAAACAATTTCTGAAACTCATTACTATGCCTCCGCGTTTCAAGTAGAATATCATTGCGATAAAGTATAGTAGTATATGGTTTCAAGTTATGATCTAAAATGTACTATTAGAAACAATCTGAATCAGATAAAGATACAATTCAATTCCTTTTCTAGAAATTGTATATAAGGCCAGCGCTTCATTAATTACACGCATTATATGTATTTATAGAATGATTAGTTTTTAACTATGGAATTCTTGACTAATACCAGCTAATACCTATAGAAACTAGTCATAAACATTGTTCACACGCCATTAATCTGTAAAAGTCATGAAGGCAATTGCGCTCGCTTATTATCTGGTCGCTGTTATGACCTTAGTAGCCGCTCAGTATACCAATTCCTCAGCAAAACTAGAAGCTCCAACGATACAGACTGAGAATACGATTCTGCAAGCGTTAGGTATTGAACTCACCTCAATTGTAGCTGGTACTGAAAGACCATTTCCATCTATAACATCGGAAGGTAAGCCCAGCCTAACTGAATCCAACACCATTGATTTACCACATATTCCTATAGCTAACAGCTCTCAGGGCGAAATGTCAGATTCGACAAGCTCAACCACAACAATTACTCTTACTACTACAGTTACACACCCATGGAGGTCTTCAAAAGTGTCTGAAACAACTATTTTGTACACAACTTCTTTGGCTCCAGAGGAGTCGCTAATTATTGATACTAGTGTCCCTGATACACATTTTAATGAGGAATATGATGATATTGAGCTGATACAATTGGCTGACGAGAATCATACAATTGTGACTCCCACATCAACCAGGATTGCTAGTTCACAACCAAATATCCGTGAAGCTTACATCACCACAGTCGATATTACCACAAAAGACCTTCAAGGAAACCTGGTACCTTCAAGAACATCCTACTTGATATCTTATACTACTGAAACAAGAGGAAATATAGTCACTGTCTACACAACTTGGTGTCCAATTGAGACTACTATTACACCACCGCTCTCGTTGTCTGTATCGGCATCAAGTACTCTTGTTCTCTCTACAGTGACTACCACAACAAGAGGTGTAATTACAATATATACTACATGGTGCCCATATACTGATACCAAGTCCATAACGACAAGTTCCAAGACAACAACTTATTCCACTTCGTCGCCAAGTTCAGTATTATCGACTGTTACCACGACAACGAATGGTAAAACAACGGTATATACTACCTGGTGCCCTCCAACTAGTAATTTGCCAACCAGCTCATTGCCAACCACAACTAAAAAGATTACCACAGTATTTACATCAAAAGTTTGTTTGCTTTGCTCCACAACTACTACCACTTCTCAAAAGAGCTCTACAGTTTCAATATCCAGCTCAATACACACCCCTACAACTTCGATAAGCAGTGTAACCTCATCGAAATCTTCCTCCTCAAAGTCAAGTATCAGCAGTTCATCAAGTTCAAGGCCTTCCACCGTTACAACCACGATAATATGCTCTACATGCCACAGGAATAGCGTTTCCAGCAGTACCATATCCAGTTCTTCTACATCTATTAGGCCTCAGATTAGTAGTTCACATACTAGTTCACATAGCAGTTCACGTAGCAGTTCTAACAGTAGTGCTCCAACGACTACTATAAGATCCACCTCAACACAAACAATATCAATATGCCACAGTTGCCTAATACCTACCACAACCACATATTTCACATTATCGACTGTCACCACAACAACCCAAGGTATCGTTACCATCTATACCACGTACTGTCCAATTACATCTACAATGATAACATGGAATACCTCAATTACTACTGTGCCTCCAGCAATCGAGCATACACAGTCAACGGCCCATAATTCATCATACAGTTCTTCAATAGAATCACGCAATATTCCGTCAACTGCCCTTACGCCAACACTTACAACAGTAGTGGCAACGACACTTACCACAACACCAGCCCAATCAAATGAACCGCCTCTATCAACCATTCCTTCATTAACGATGTCTTCCGGAACTACTTCTCCGTACCCATCACCCGCTTCTATGCCTCAGCCTCCGACGGTAGCCACTACACCAGTCATATTACAACCGCTGTCCAGTGCAATCACAACAACCATTCAGCCCAGTTCATCTCTTAAAGCTGTCGAGGCCTGTGCAACATGTAGTCCTATACCTTCCCAAGACAGCACAAGCTACACCACGGTCACTTCGAGAGTAACCTCATATCTGCCATCCCATACAATGCCACATTACACAGCAGCAGCAAACACATTGACCAATTCGAGACTGTTGCTAGCAGTCCTTCTAGTCCTTTTATAAAGTATCCATGGATGACTTGTTGTGCTTATTATCGACGAGCTCATCGCGGGCCAATCCGCTGCGAGCGAATCCTTAGAAGGGCATAACATATAAGGAAGCTTGAAACTAATGCTAGTAAAACCAACTATTTGGAGGATAGTACATAAGGACAGCAATAGCTGGCACTGATGAAGAAGTATAATATCTGCAAGTTTTGGACGCGGTTCTACTCGAGTCCGCAGTTCTTCAATGCCCGAGTGCGTGCGGGAGGGCTGCTAAACGAGAGTCAGCCTCGAGGGAACCTATGGAGCTTCTTTCGGACCCCCGGGAACATAACGTTTGTTACCACCAATATAGTTACCTTTGTCGGGATAGTTACGTATGACACATTTGTCTCAGCTAATGAGGAGCGAATATTTGAGGAGCGGTTGGCAGTTGCCCGCTTGAGTGTTGAGAAGAGCGGGAGAGAAGGTATAATACTGGAAGACACAGTGCCGATGCTGCCCCAGCGGAGGCCCAGCGGGGAGGAATACATGGACAAGCAAGCACAGGACAAAGAGCTGGCGAAGCTGGACGACCAGATCGAAATACTGCGGAAAGAGCTCGAGGAGAGGAAGAAGCTTGACTTGCAACTGAGGCAGATGGAGGCCAATATCAAGGAAGAGGCTGTGGATAGCCCATTGCAGACATACACGGCGAGCGAGGTGACGCTGCGGGACAAAGGCAAGGTCAAGAACCTGGTGTCGCAGCGGGTGAAGATGTCGCTGTTCCAGATGGTGTATTCATTTTACTCCTACAAGTCAGCGCTGCTGTCTCAGAACAAGGATATAGAGCCTGAGATGGACGAGTTTTACCACTTTTGGAGCGAGAAGTACGGGCAAGTGAACTGCGACATGGAGAAGGTCAAGGAGTTCAAGCTGCCGGACTGGCAGAAGTACCCCAACCTGATGAAGAAGTTCTGCTACCAGCTCTACGACCGGGAGATCCGCCGGCTCTCGGACTTCGAACATATATACTACTCTGCGGACTCGCGAGAGCTCAAGCAGTTGCTGCGCCTGTGGCTCTATGACAACTGGTACCTCCTGAAGCCCACCTTGCGGTCAGACGAGGTGCTGCAGAGGCGCGACGGCAGGTTCTTCAAGGACCTGGTGAGGGACTCGCGCGGCGACCACGCCTTGTTCAGCAAGTACATGTCTATTGTGACCCAGGACAATCCGCGCAGCGTGCTGTTCTTCCAGCAGGACAAGTTCAACCTGCCGAGCATCTCCCTGGCCACATACGTCTCCTTACTGGAGACCAGCGAGCGCACACACCACAACCTGACCACGGTGCGGCTCATACAGCTCCTCAAGACCAACTGCTACCTGGACAAGAACCAGCACGTCCGCATCCTCCTCGCACCGCCAGACGGACTACAGACGCCGCAGATGGCCAAGAGCAGAAGGATATGCTACAGATACCTCAGCAAGGACCGCAGGCTCACAGCACTGCTGGACACCATCAGCAAGTAGCAATTATATATTCAAAATGCCTAAATACTATTTATTCTTTTAAAATTGAGCACCCGCACAGCCAAACTGAAAAAAAAAATTTTTGAAAAATTCTGCGATGAGCTGTATATAAGAAGGAAGTATTGATTTGGACTATTGATACACAGGGCAAAGCAGTTCGATAACTGGACGATGAAGTTTTTGACTACCAATTTTCTAAAGTGTTCTGTGAAGGGTTGCGACACCAGCAATGACAACTTCCCGCTGGCGTACGGTGAGTGCCAGCTGGTGCAGGACGAGAGCATAGAGTTCAACCCAGAGTTTCTGATCAACATCCTGGACCGTGTGGACTGGCCTGCTGTGGTGCGTGTGGCGCATGACCTGGGCAACGACGCGCTTCCGATGGAGAAGCCCGAGTTCCAGGTGAACAGCGAAGGGGAGTTCGATGCGGACCAGGTAGCTGTGCTAAGGGACCTGCACACGCTGCTGCTGCAAACCTCGATAGTGGAGGGCCAGATGTCCTGCAGAAACTGCGGCCACATATACTACATCAAGAATAGCATCCCAAACCTGCTGCTGCCACCACACCTGGCTTGAGTCCGCGAAAGCAGGTTTGAGGCACAATGCATCACAATAAAATAGTACTCAACCTCAGTTTAACAAACAACGACTTGCATTTGGAAGATTGCACAATAGCACAATACACAGCACAAGACACAGCACAAGACACAGCACAGGAGCACAGGAGCACATTAGCGTATTGTGCAATATAACTAGCAAAAGTCCCAGAGCTCAGAGTTTCGAGCCCAAGGAGGGGCTCAGAATAGTAGGCTAACGATCAACTCTATATACATGTAGAATACGTATCTATAACACCTATTAGCCAATATAATCCCAAAATATGTACGACATGTGACTCCAGTCGGGGGACGTCATCCATTATGTGAATCGTTTATCACTTCGTTGCTCATCTCCTTGATCCTCTCCTCTTAAAAGAGTATGAGAAGGCTTTGCTGGGCTGGGGAACGTGTATAGTTGTGGGATGCTGTTCTAACCAGGACTAAACTAGACGCCGTCGGATATAGCTGTAGCCAGTGGGCAGACTTAGAGAGTTTTAGAGGGAAGCAGACAGAGGAGATTGAGACAGAGAGAGAAGGACCATTTGGGAAGGAGATACACGTATTGCATAGTCAGGATAGGATGGAGCAGCAGGGAGTATTGGCACCGCCTAGTATCAATGAGAGGAACAGGAGTCTATCGTTTTCGAAGCTGCTGTCCCGCTCCTGGAGGAAGAACAGCACAAGTGCGGTCGCCAGCGATAACAGCACTGACACCGAGAACAATGCGGCCAACCCTAACATGATAGCGTTGCAGAAGAAGATTTTGAGTTCTAAGACTGATAGTTGGAGCGAGGCTGTCGATGATGAGCCAGTACCCAGCGGTGGCAGTCAATCTCGTTTCACAAAACTGAAGAATATCTTCAACAACAATAATAGTAACCACAACACAAGTAACTCTACGAGGTCAGGCTCCTCATGTGCCTCAACTGTGAGTGGGAAGAGTAGCTTTGAGAAGTTACCCAAGGATATAAGCCAAGTGAGGTCGAACAGTATTCCAAGTCCCCAAAAGTCACCATACTCCGATAAAAAGGGGCATAATGCCACCAGCGATGTAGAGATCGGTTTGGTGAGTCCTGTCTCAGATAAAATGAACATTGATCTCCCGCAGGTACCCACATCTGTTCACGCTAGTACACTTACAGGTGAACACTTGAAGGAACTGCATGAGTATGAAATAGCTAAACCAAAACAGGAAGCATATGCGCTGAATTCAGGAAAAAATGCGAATAGACGGAGATCACCATCAACACCTATTAAGCCAAGTCCCAGTTTAGTGTCCTCACAGAGTGCCAATGGCCAGTTCTCATCTACAAATCCATTCAACACAGGCACAGGCTATGCTAACTATAAGGAAAGAGGCACTGTGCAGACTACAAATAGCTATTTCAACTACCAAGGGCTACCGCCGCATGCCAGAAATGAAAATGACTCTAACTTAAACGCATTCCAAAATGGATCTAAATATGCAGCTGTCCAAGAGATGCTATCATTGCCAACCACACCGTCTTCGATGAACACCTCATTGACAACTCACAACAAAGAAGGAAGAAATTTAAGCAATGTATCTTTAAATGAAATCAAGGAGAATGAAGAAGTGAGTGAGTTCTATGGTATGGATGAGGTTCCTAACCTCGATTCCATGGGAAATAAGAAAATGGCATCATCTTCTCCATTGAGAGCTAGATCCGGTAGTCCCAAGGCATCAAATGTAATGGATAGTGCACAACCATTTCCCTCTATTGTAGTTGGCTATGATGACGCAGATGCAGAAACAGATGAGCAGTCTGCAAACCCTTCGCGTGGATCGCACATTTCTTCTGAGCAGAAGGGTAAGCCAGAATTGAACCCGCCAAAAAATGCTAAGTTTCCATTACGTAGAGCCGCATCAGAGACTGATGCAATAGACCTGAATATTTTGAAATCTGTAAAGGCAGCTAGTGGAGACCTGTCTGATACAACAGATCAGCATACCAAACTGGAAGAAATTAAAGAACCAAGACGCTCAAGCAGACTGAGAAATAAATCTTTTAGTAACAAGTTCCAAGATATCACTGTTGGACCACAATCATTTGAAAAGATTAGACTGCTTGGACAAGGTGATGTTGGCAAGGTTTATTTAGTGAAAGAAAAGAGGACGAACAGACTGTATGCGTTGAAGATTTTCAGTAAATCAGAAATGATCAAGAGGAAGAAGATCAAGAGGATCCTGGCCGAGCAAGAAATTCTTGCTACTAGCAACCACCCATTTGTTGTAACATTATATCATTCGTTTCAATCGGAAGATTACTTGTATCTGTGTATGGAATACTGTATGGGTGGTGAGTTTTTTAGAGCGTTGCAAACTCGTAAAAGTAAATGTATCTCAGAAGAAGATGCCAAATTTTATGCTAGTGAAGTCACAGCTGCATTAGAATATTTACATCTGCTTGGGTTCATATACAGAGACTTGAAGCCGGAAAATATTCTATTGCACCAATCGGGCCACATTATGTTGTCAGATTTTGATCTATCTATCCAGGCGAAGGACGCAAAAGTGCCAGTAGTTAAAGGTAATGCCCAGTCCACGGTGGTCGATACTAAAATTTGTTCCGATGGCTTCAGAACCAACTCATTTGTTGGGACCGAGGAGTATATTGCGCCCGAGGTGATAAGAGGCAACGGCCACACGGCAGCGGTTGATTGGTGGACACTAGGTATTCTTATTTATGAGATGTTGTTTGGCTTCACACCTTTCAAGGGAGAGAACACAAATGAGACATTTAGCAATATACTGAAAAAGGATGTCACATTCCCAAACAACAATGAGGTCTCCAGAAATTGTAAAGACCTGATTAAGAAGCTACTGATAAAGAACGAGTCCAAGCGTCTAGGATCTAAGATGGGTGCGGCAGATATCAAGAAACATCCATTCTTCAAAAAGGTTAATTGGACTCTGTTGAGAAATCAAGAGCCACCGTTAATCCCAGTTTTGACTGAGAATGGTTATGATTTCACAAAATTGTCATCCAACAAGAACAAAAACCGTGCTAATGGTACCGAGAAGGACTCCATAGATGAACAAGAGCGCATCATGTTTGAAGAACGCGTTGAGTATGACGATGAGGTTTCAGAGGACGACCCATTCCATGACTTTAACTCAATGAGTCTCATGAAGCAGGATAACAACTCCCTGATATACGGTGACAACAACTCCTATGGTAAAATTGCATATACTCCAAACGCTAATAGATCAAGAAGTAATAGCCACAGAGCATTCTTCAAAAGATGAGGGACTGCCTCACCCATGTGGGCCACCTGCAAAGGCACTGGACCACAGTTCGACATCTATACTCTTTTCCCAACGATTATATTCTCAGATAAGAGTAAAAACTTTAACGATTTTCATGATTACTTGGGGGATTATGGTTTTCCCAAACTTTTATATACACTATATTATACTTATTCTACACTGTTTTTTTTTTCAATTATTATTAACTTTATATTATTAGTTGTTACTACTTGTGTACAATCATATTTAAAGCTCTTTTGACTACTTTTATCAGCACTTATGATATATCGGTCTTTAGTAGCCTGCAATCGTATGTTACGTTTCTTAAAGTGGCTCCCATTGTTCCCCCAGAATTTCCTCATCGCAATGGATCACCGGTATATAAGAGGAATAATCGGTTGTCCAGACTAGTTCTTGACTTACAACGGGACCAGGGAATAATAATCCCAGCAAACTACGTATGGTGCTTTGGTGGAGACGGATAAAGAAGGTGAGTGAGTCCAAGAAGACTTCTCGCAAGCCCAAGAACACTGCGTTCAGGCAGCAGAGACTGAAGGCATGGCAGCCAATACTGTCACCGCAGAGTGTGCTCCCGTTACTTATCATGGTTGCGTGCATATTTGCCCCTATCGGTGTGGGTCTGCTTGTGAGTGCGTTCAATGTGCAGAAGTTAGAGATAGACTACACTGATTGCGATCAATTGGTAGCTGGCAATGACTACACGTTCATTCCTCATGACAAAGTAAAGCACCAATTCAAGAGGAAGCTGTCCGTTTATCCTCAATGGAAGCTGGAAAGTGGGACCGATGGCGACGTTTGCAAGTTGCAGTTCGAAGTGCCGCATCAGATGAAGAAATCCATATACATGTACTATAAGATGACTAGATATCACCAGAATCATAGGAAGATGGTTGAAGCGTTTGATAAGAAACAGCTGAAGGGCAAAGCAATCTCAGGGTCGAAACTGGACAAGAAATGTGATCCACTGAGAACCATTGGTGATAAGATAGTATATCCATGTGGACTTACAGCTAATGCCTTGTTTAATGACACTTTCTCAGAAACTCTCGCCGGCGTTAAAGGCTCCTCAGACTATGAAATGACCAAGAACGGTACTGCTTGGGGTACAGATAGACACCGTTACGGTAAGACTGAATACGACGCTTCTGAAATAGTACCACCTCCAAATTGGGCGCACATGTTTCCCAATGGATATACCAATGACAACATTCCTAATCTTGGTCAATGGCCAGAGTTTCAAATATGGATGAGAACTGCGGCGCTGCCAAGTTTTTACAAGTTATACATGAAGAATGACGATGATAACCTGCCTAGAGGCACTTACGAGATTAGTATTGGTATGAATTACCTGGTCAGATCTTTTGGTGGTACCAAGTCAATTTTACTGACAGACAATAGTATAATTGGTGCCACAAACATTGCTTTGGGGATCATATACCTAGTAGTAGCAGTAATTGCGACATTGTTTGCAGTGATATTCTTGCTGAAAGTACTGATCCAGCCAACAAATGTTAAGGGCCACATGTATTTAGACTTTGACTCAATTGATCAGTCATCCTTTTACTCAAGAAACTCTGCTAATACTCCATTGAGAGAGATTCTGTAAAGCATTCTCTTGATTGCCCAGTCCAGGACTTAGAACACATATTCTTAAGGTTGAGACGAAAACAAACTAACACTGCATCTAAAATACAACTATACGTTTTCATAATTATTGTACATATTTATATTTGTAATTTTATAATATTTTGCATTTACACCTCAGCTCATCTTTTCCCAGTTGCAGCACTATATCATATATTGTTCAATGGCCTGGTATTTCTACGTAACAGCCTAGCTCTCATCATATTTTGAGGGTCCATAGCGCTGCCGTTATTGGATTCAGCAGTACTGTTAGTGCCAGCACTACTTATCTTGGCACTATCAGCTTCTGAACTCCAAGTGCTTCTTGCTCTCAGTGGACTCCTAACGCTTGGTGAGGCCATGGAGGATAAGTCAGTAGAAGAGGTTGGTTTATCGTAGATACTGTGGAAGGACATACCTGCTGTCGTTCTTTGGCTAGCAGCATCAGGCCTTTCCTCTCTTTTCTCGCTGAAGCCACCACGAAGACTATCAAATTTGGATGTTATAGAGTCGCCTGTTCTGCTAGACTTGGATTGATGGTTTTGCTGTTTCTTGAGGATCTTTTGCTCATCAGGCAGGTCCTCCTTGTGACCCAACCAGCCAGGAAACCCTTGGAATGGCTCCTGATGCTTGTAAAACTTCACCAATGCCTTGTGAACTACCGTAGAGGTAGGCGTACTCCCATCGGTCTCAGGTTTTATCGATAATTGCGACAAGGAGCTCGATAGAGACTTGGTGGACGTCTTGAACTTGTCCCACATCCTCGTGGACCCATGCTCAGAACTTGCACTCATCTTGTTTCACCTATGTTTGAGATTTGGTGTTCTAAGTACGCTATTGCTCTGGTTTGTTCAGTCGTTTAGCTAATATATGCCAGGCTTTTTCTTTGGCTAATTGTATAGGGACCTGGACAAGAGCAATGTGAATTCGCAATACATACACTTCCAGTGACCAGAAGTTGGCAAGATTGACTTATCTTGTTAGGGATTCGATTCTAGTTTATGGTTAGATGTGTTATATACATTATTATGTACTAATACTCATTCCGAGTTTTTGACGTAAATCAGAGTTTATTCCTTAAAATTTAATGTTTTGGCCATGAATTGCACATTCCCACAATCCCATGATGATAATCCTGACCATCGAAAGCAATATTGACTAGTTGTAATAAGTATTGTGTATTTCTATGCTTAAATAACTCTATATCATTGCCATGGGTTAAATAATTGTGGACATACGAGTGGATCTACAGGATTTTATTTATGTTGATTAAGAAGCCAGTTCTTGTGTAAAATTAATCTTCAACAGTTCAAAACTAAAAATCTATCTCAAGCGATGGTCTTTTCTTTCAGGTACAGACCGTATTTATCCTTTAGTTCCTTCATGATAGGGTCGTTAATCTCTGGGGAGTATGGAGCCAATAGACCAGGTCCCTTTATTGTCCCGTTTAGGACAAACTTGGTAGCGATGGCTACTGGGTACCCCACGGTGGCAGCCATGGAGCTGTAACCACCGACCTTACCGTAATCGATCATGGTGGAGGTTCTGACTTCGGTGGTACCATCTGCCCATTCAATACCGAACTTGTGCTGTAGGGCGACCATATCACGCTCGCCGTCTTCATATTGCATCAATTCTTCAAGACGTGCACATAGAGTATCCAGAGCGTTACCTCTTGGTGTAATCTTAGTGTCGCTGAAGAGACCCAACCATGCGAAACCAGACAGGATTCTATCTCTGTCCTCTTGTGATTTCCAGTTGGTTTTAGAGTCTATGGAGGCCACTAGATCTTCTCTTGATGTGGACTTGGCACCCAAGTATTGCTTTAGAGCGTCATTCCATGGAATAGCGCTGCTGAAGATGGCATTCTCGTCATCCTTTAGCATACCCATATCCACTAGGGCTTTTACGAACTCTGGGAAACCTTGGTATCTCAAAGTACCTCTGATAACAGTGTCAGCTTCTGGGATGTGGTATAGCTCCTTAAACAAAGTAGAGTCTCTGTTAGGGTAGCACACGAAGGCGTAACCTGGGTAGATGAAGTATGGCTTGGCGGAGGCCATCAAGTCTTCAGAAGAGATGGTCTCGATCTTACCGTCCTTCCAGTACTTGGCAGAGTTTCTTAGTGCCAATAGGACACCACGGGAGGACCAGGAGAACTTGTAACCCAATGGATTATCGGAGTCTTCTGGGGCTGGCAGACCACCACAGTATGACAAGAAGGACTTGATCTTACCGCCCGCTCTGTGGACCTCATCGATGGTCTTCACGGCGTACAAGTGGTCGATACCTGGGTCCAAACCGATCTCATTCATAACAGTGATACCTGCTTTGTTGATCTCAGGCTCCAACTCCCTCAATGCTGGGGAAATGTAAGAGGAAGTGACGACGTCTTTCTTCAACCTGATGGCACTTCTGACCACATTTGGGTGGAAAGTGTATGGGATCAACGAGATAACTAGGTCGTGCTGGCCCAAAGCTGCGTCCAGCGCGCTGTCATCGGTAACATCCAAGGAGATGGCATCCGAACCAGAGGCACTAGCCAACTGCTTGGCGTTAGCCAACGTTCTACAAGCAACAGTAACTTCAATGCCTTCAGTGGCAGCCAAGGTGTCAATAACCGGCTGCGCAACAAAACCAGAACCCAGCAACAATACACGTTTAGTCATTTTCTATCTTTCCCACTATATTTAATTCTTATCTTAGTGCTATTGGTATAGGGCTACAGTGGCATTGGACTGCCTTGTACATGCTCCTAAAGTGCTTGCTTTATATATTGATTTTACTAAGAAGAGTCATTATCAAAGGGTCATTGACCACAGCTCATCGAGGTCCTAGCACCACCATCTCTAAGGGAAAGATTGCAACGCCTGCGCTTCTCGAATACCTGAGGAATTTCCTTCCACCGTTTCGCAATGGCACTTTGCTAATAACAGCTCCAAGCTTGGCTATTATATCCAGTCTCGATTACTCACTGGTAATCCCATCGGAATTTCCCACCAAAACTATTTCGCGGTGGAAGAATTCCCGACGGAATTTCGATACGCATATTCCCAAAGCACCGGAGATCGAGTCCCACAAGTATTACAACTTCTACATACGCCCAAGGAGCATACCTTTAGCCTATTCACCAGTTTGCAATGTGCTTTTAATGGGCATCGAGAAACGGTCCACATTTATATCCCAATTTCAGCTGTTATGCCCTAACTGCGCTGTTCCGTATGAGGGCAGTGAAAAATTGTTGTTGCGGAATTGGAAAAAGTATAAAAGGGCATCGAGTTTTGCTACTCTGGCAGTGTTTTCCCACTTGAGAAGGACCAATTTTGGGACTTTATCTCCATGGCTATGCCGGAAGTGTATGCTTCCAAACAGGTAGTCTTGGTAAACGAATCCCGCATACTAAAACTATGGTCCTAAGAGGAGAGGTGTGGCCTTCTCTCTGGTTTTGTGCTTTCGGGTGCTTTGCCAGTGGGGGGAGGTTGTGCTTCTTCTCTTAATCTGAGTGGAATGAACAGCCCGTAACTTCATGCCATTTTGAAGCCATATGACATCTCTTATGCCTTATCTTATCTTAATCTGATACGATATTACTAAAAAATGCTGTGAATTTATTATATACATACTTAAAAGTCATTAAAAAAGGAGGGTACGGTCGTAGGTGTAGGAATTGCTTTATGTTGCGCCATTGGAATGGGCGCTGGATATCTTCTATCAGGGGGAGTGCTGCAGTGCCTTCTCGCTCAAAAAGTCATTACTGTTGCAAAGCTTCCTGAGTTCTATGTTTTTATTTTTTTCGTTTTATGATTTTTTTTTCATATATTAAAGTTTTTGTTTCCTTGATGGGTATATTTTGGACTAATCATCTCTTTTACAAGCAAAATTTTTAATTCTTTAGTCCTTCTTCTTTACTGCATGCTTCTTGTATACTTTGGAGACATTGGTGAATCCCTGCGATGATGATGACGAAGACGCCGTGGAAGTTGGACTCTTCTTGATGGTCTTTCTCTCCATATATATCTCAATACCATCAATGGTGATCTTTTTAGTCTCTATGGCTTCGGTTTGACTCTTTTGTAACTCAAAATCAACCACAGAGAAGTTCTCCGCCATGGTAATCTTTTTGACTGGTCCGTAATTGGTCTCCAAGGTGTTCCTTAATCTGTCCTCTTTTAAACCGGCAGTTCCTCTGATGTAGATTGGGAAAAAACCATCCTCATTAACAGTACAGAAGATTGGCTTTTTCTTAGTCTTAGTACTGCTACTATTCTCTCTTCTGCCAGCAAGCTCGAACTTGCGGTCGCCATTGCTAGACTTCTTTGAACTAGATGGTTCTTGTTCTTCGCTTGGTTCAATCTTGACAGTCTGAATTGGCTCGTTTTTAACAAACCCAGCCTTTGTGTTAACCGCAGTATCTTGAGATAGCTTACTAGCCCATGTCATTTTGACTGGTCCAGACGATTGCTCTTGATTTGGAGTTTGAGATGGTGTGGTAGATGAACTAGAAGGACGGGAACTCACCGAGTTGTTTTCCTGCACAGGCTTTGGCTCAGTTACCTCCTTGACTGCCTTATTATTTTCTTTAACAGTTTCCTTGGTTGTAGCCGATTCCTTCTTAGTAGCATCAATTTCTTCCTTTTCTGGTGATGCCTGAGTCTGAGCTTCCTTTGTTACATTGTTGGTGACAGGGTGCGTGGTTTCCTTTTTCAATACCGGCGTGACTGGCTTAGGGACACTTGGTTCTGATGCTGATGTGGGTGCTGGTGCTGGTGCTGGTGCCTCCTTAGCCGCCTTGGGAGATACTGGTGCTATCTTTTCTTGTTCCTTTGGCTCCTCCTTTGGCTTCTCTTCTACCTTCTTCTCCTTGGCTGGCTGACTCTCCTTTGATTTCTCAACAGACTTATTCTCTTCTTTCTTGTGACCACTGTTTTGTCTGGCCGCCTTAATGGATTGGAAGTTGTCACCCAAGAATCTGATGATATCATTGGTAATATCATATGAGTCACTGCTTGGCGATGTTGGTGTTAGAATAAAACTTTGACAGAATCTATAAGTGGGAGTACCAGTCCAAAACAGTTCACCAGTGACCACAATAAATATACTCTTGTGATTGACACCCGTGGTCTGAAAATCACAACTGTCCAACTTGACTTTCAAATCGTTGACCTTGGCCTCATTTCTGACAAAGAACTTGCTGATATTCTCCTTACCGGTCAACTTCACTGTGGCCAGAACATCGGAGTTCTCATCGACCTTCTGTTGATAGCCTATGTGCGTCAACTCGGCGGTGTTCGAGTACAGATTAGACATCTTGGAAGGATTGTTGTTCATCCTCTCATAATATGTACGCACAAATGCGTAACTGATCTCCTGAATGGTAGGTGTGCCCATGCTTGTACAATGAATAATTCAACAACAAATAACCAAAAAATAAAACAAAACCTTACAAGTCTAGTATACAGGATTAAAATGCAACAATCTTAACTGAAAAACAAATTTAAAGTAAACGAATTTCTAAATTCTAATGATATTACTCCCAATAATGTGCTGTGTATGTGACTATGCCTTGCCTCGCTCCTTCCCGTTACAGTTATATGTTCCAGCTGTAAAATCACAATAAATCAACGTCCGCTCCGCGGTTTTAAATCGTTCCTTCTTGTACGTACTGTATTCCAAAAACTTAGGTCCACGCAACCAAAGTTCAATACCTACCTGTCCATTAACAGCCGCAATTACTACTCAAATAATGAACACTATTCCTCGCAATCCATGAGAAGCTCTATCTTCGAAAGTTTTCCAGTTTCGGTGGGAATTTGTTCTCGGAAAGGAACAATACGTATAGAGTGATAATAATAATCTATCTTATCTGAGAAAGTGGCAAGTGACTCATTGATGTAGGTTATAGAGATTGTAAAGATATCAGTGTTTATAGTATTAACGTTACATGAAGTCTTGTCCATTGTGGCAAGAGTTAGGTGCTATTTTTTTGAGTTTCAGGAATGTGAGTGGAAAGCTACTCTCCATCGATGCCGTAGATTATGTTACGGTAGGATATCAAATCAGCGCCATTTGGTAGTTTGTTGAGTGAGACTTTTGCCAATTGGCAGAAAGATAGAAGCATCAGCAAGCTCTGACCACCTGTAGTTGTAAAAATGGAGAACCTTGGAATACCTAGGTCGTCTGCCAGTGAGGTAAGTGTATACTGTTGTTGCTGGTTTGGTTGCTTGAAGTCCTGAATGGCTTTGTAGACTAGATTCAAGTCGTAGAAGTTTGGCAGATACTTATGCACCCACCACTCGAAATCATCCTTGTTATTTGGCATCGAGTTGTTCATTAGGATGTTGATTAGGAAGCCGAGGTCGTAGGCAGCATGGTATGTGACCCAAGTAACTTCAGGGTCCAAGACCAATCCTGAATCCATTAGTAACTGACCAAACTCTAGTTGATCTATACCCATGGTTTGATGCTGTTCGAAATTAATGCCAGACTTTGTAAGAAGCTCAAGAGAGTCCTTTGACACCATTTCTTTCTCTGGATTAAACTCGAAGTTGAATTGCCATGTAGATGGACCGTTATCTGGCTTATTACCATTTTCGTCACTTAGGGATAAACCTAGTTGAATTGGATTCAGGAAATCCACATTTGCTCTCATAGTCTGATAGTGATAATCTGCCTTCGATCTAAAGTTACCAATAGGACGTGCAGTGGTGCCGACAAATTCTGTACTTATTGAAATATGGTTGTATTGTTGAACAAGGCGTCTAATAGAAGCAAATTCACGGTATAAATTGCCCTTCCATACATCTCTGACGAACAAGTGGTTTGGCGGTGGGAGGATCATAGGTGGCAGTGCGGATGCAGCTCCTGGCAGAGCGTTTGCTGCCGCACCCATTTGCTTTGGCACATTGGTCAATGCAGGATTGACACCAATAGAGCCTTGATTCTGAGATTGTTGTGGGATTTGTTGTTGACCAAGTTGTTGCTGTTGTTGCTGCTGCTGATTCTGCTGATTCTGCTGACCCTGACCTTGACCTTGTCGTTGCTGTTGCTGTTGCTGCTGTTGTTGCTGTTGCTGCTGTTGTTGCTGTTGTTGCTGTTGTTGCTGTTGCTGTTGGTATAGATTTAGACCAGGTGGCATGGAAGCGTTCACAGGAGTACTAATATTGAAATTCTGATTCTGGTGTTGCATCTGTAGCTGTGGCTGTATATTCATAGGCATATTCTGCTGCATCTGTCTCTTGTTCATATCCTGCTCCTGCGCATTCAAATATGGATTCCCAACATCCTGCATCATACTTTGCATAGGAAAGTTAGGCTGCTGTACATTCATGCGCGCCCTGCCCATGTGTGGCGAGTAGTTCTGCATCATATTCATGTTCTGAGGATCTCTCTGCGGCATCATCTGCTCATGGCCAGGCATAACCTGATGCTGTACATTCATTGATTGCATCATAGCCAAGCGTACTCTTTTATAACTATTCGAATTGCAATATGCGTCTAGCGAAAGCTCGGATCAAGCAAAAGGGAATTCGATTGCGCCTATTAAAAGTAGTCCTCAAAATGATTAGCTCTGCTGGATGTCTGTATCCTAACTCCCAGTCTAACCCAGAAGCAATGCTCTTATTAACATCGCTACAGCTGTGATTGAAAGGCCCAAATTGGCCTCCAAAGGAAGATTGTTCGTTAGAAGAAATTTCAGAGGGAAGAAATTAAAGAAGCCGGGTAAAGGTTTCTTTGGGTCCATAATAGAGAGCTTGATGGTCCTATGGCTCAAGAACGCATATATGGTAGGAGAGCTAGTTCTTATTGATTGAGGTTTCTATCGGGGGGTTCTTTAATTTAGTAATATACAGTTTTAAATGGTAAGTTTATAAAATGCAAAAAAATAGTAAATTGAAAGTAATAATATAACTATGTCGAAAATGAGCGAGAACTATAACACCGGGTCTTAAAAAAATTGAATATTGAAAGAGGAAGCGTGTAGGAGTGAAGTCTTATTATTCAGTCCTTGACCTTTTGCATCTTGGCACTTTTCACTTCTTCTTCATCTAGCTTTCTTTTTTTGTCCTCTTCCTTTTCTGGCGGTATAACAAACCATGGAATCTTACCTCTGTTGAAATCGTTCAGGATTTGCTTGGAGACACCGGATTCGTCTGGCTCACCACCTTTCAGCAATCTACCTTGCTTTCTCGCAAGCATCTCTATGAAGTCGGTGGCATCCTTCCATCCAGAGATCTCGTAGGTTCTCTCCAGATGCTTGGTCTGACAACGCTTCAGGACACCAGGTATATATTGCTCAGGGTGAGACACATGCTCGACTCTGACAACACCACGGAATAGAATATCCTCTTCGCTATCTTTGGTGGATGGGGGAACGATACCAGGACAGTCGATCAAAAATATTCTCTTCATCAAAGTAATGTATTGCCACACCTTAGTTTCACCAGGAATAGGTGCCACTTGACAGACTTTCTTCTTTCTCAACGTGTTAATAATGGATGACTTACCGGTGTTTGGGTAACCGATGAAACCAACAGAAATTTGCTTTCTGTCGGTATGCAATTGGGAGAATTGACGCAGTAATTGAATCAACGAACCCTTACCAAAAGAATTTGTAATAGAAGCGTGGAACGCCAAAGTTGGACGGTCCTTGGATAGATGCTTAACCCATGCAGCCTGAATAAATAGTATAATTCGACAACTAAAATCACTGAAGTCGAGTTCATAATAAAAGATGTTAGTATTATTGGTCTTTCATATGGTGTTTTCTTCCACATATAACAACTTTCATGAAACCCCAAGGGCCCAATTTGCCAGATAATAATGGAAACAATATAAGAAAATAGTAATAAAAATGTGAGTTCTCCAACTACGAAAAGATGGTAGATTTATTCAACAACTACGTTGTTGAAAAAAGTCATCTCTTCAACTCATAGAGTCCTCGCTATTCAAAAAAGGCGAAGGTACACCATCAGAACGATGGCCATGCTTCTAGTTTTATCCCCGAACGACTTCAGAACGAAGCCAAGAGATAGGAATAGTATTAATTTCCCAAAACTGTAACAGGCATCATTGTATAATCAGTAAACAAACCAAAATCAAAAAAAGATAAAAGTGAAGTTCAGCAATGACACCCTGACAAAGAGTTTTGGAATTCCCATAGTTTTATCTGGCAGAATTGGATCTCATATTCATGTCCATGAAAATTGTTAGTAAAATTTAGAAAATAAAAATTAAAGTTTAACATACAGCAACCCAAGTAGGTACTAAATCACACTTGTTCAAAACGTAAATAAGATGCTTGTGAGGAGTTTCTTTTTTCATGTATTCTTCAACAGACTTACAACGTGTTCCGAGAGGGTCTCTGGCATCCAAGACATGTATCACCACATCAGAGGAATCGATGACTTTATAAAGTTCATTCCATATACGCTTGGATTGACCTTTGCTGAAAATGGCTTCCTTAGTGACCTGAGTCCAACCATTTTCTTCATCTTCTTGCTTACCCATCAGACCTAAAGTGGCCTTGAGCTCCTCCTTCTCTTCATAGGTCTTGTTTTCTTCCTCGGTAGCTTGCACTAGTTCTTCCAAACTGGAGGCAGCAACACGAGGCTTCTTTCTCTGAGCCTTTGGACCAAATGTCTGATCGAAGCTCTCAGTTTCCAGGATACGTGCTCTTGGGGACTCCGTGGAGTCCTTCTCATCCAACAGGGACATAGGCAGCTTGTTCCTCCTCAGAAGCACTTGGTAAGTATCCTTCTGTGTCTCACCCAGAGCGTCTCTGAAATGTTGCAGAGCATCCTGGGAGATCACACGAGTGTTACCAAACCAACGCCTGTCAGGCTGAACCCTGGCATCAGGAATAGTGGTGTCCTGATAATCCGCAGCACGGATCACATCACCATGCTTGTTCTTGATAGCCTTACCACTCTTGTACATGTTCAGAAACTGAACACGCTTGGAGTCCCTGTAGAAATTCTCACCTTTCACTCTGATGTTACCATCCTTGGTGGTACCCTCACGGATACGTCTCTGCTTCTCCTTCTTACCAGTACCCATTTGCTATATCAATACGTCGCTGTCTCACTTACAAGAGTCTCCCACACTACATATACAAACACTACTCCTTCTTATACTTCTCCATGCTATACTCCCATACTGAAGGAAATTTTTCATCGATGCTCATCGCATTGGAGCTCATCGCAAAATTTTTGGCAAAAAAAAAATTTTACTTCACAACGTAGAATGCGATCTTTCACGTTCAGGGTATAGTGCCATAGGTAGCAAATGGTACTTATGTGATGGTTGGGCCCTGGATTGGGGGCCCAATGTTGCCTGCGGATGAGCTTTGATCATAGCAGTGATGATAGGACGTCCTTGACTGAGGTTTCGGACTTGTTCTTGATGCTGGACGGAGCGTCGGCTCTGTTGGTTGAGACCTTGTGCTGCTTGAACTGTCTTCTTGCGTCTTGGTCGCGGTCCTCGTGGTCCTTCCGTTTCCTCATGTTCTGCAGCATCTTGCTCTGCTCCACGTTGCGGATGTACTCGGCGTTCAGCTTGTTCGATTGCGAAATTTCCAACTCAAGCTTGGCTTGTCTGACATCGTTTTCTCTGGCGATCTGCTCTGTTAAGTCGGCCCACTTGAATCCCGGAAGATACTTCACGTTGAGAATATCGTCGTGGTAAAACGAACCTTTCTTACCACCAATAATGTTACCATTTAAGGTCTCTGCACATAATTTGGCGTCTCTTTTACGGATAAACTCCGCCCAGCCCTCTTCATACATGATCTTCTTGTTACCACCACCACGCGTTCTCTGCTTGTGCTTGGCCTCATCTTCACGTTTCAAGAACAACCTGTCTATTTCACCAAACCTGCTCAAAATCTGCCTCATCTTGGCCGGCTTCATGTATGGTGGTATCCTAGACAAATACACCACACCTGTCTTATGCTTAAGTTTTTGGCCTGCTTTTCTTTGAATGATCTTGTCAATCTTAGATTGCTTCCTCTTCTCTTCGGACACTGGCTCAGCAACACCAGCTTGTTGTTCATTCGTTTGTTCCGCTTTGTTTTGTTCCAATTGAGCCTCAGCGGACTCTTCCTTATCCTCACTGTGTGGCTGCTCTGCCACATCAGCTTCCTCATCGGAAATTCCTTCTTCAACATCACTGTCCTCCTTGGAGAAAGCATCTCTTACTACTTTCTTCTTTTGTAACAGGATCCCATCTTCCTGGTCACTGAAGTCATCCTCAGAAAAATCGTCGTGCTTGTTAGATACCATTCTCGATTCACTGTCCCAGTACGCTCTAATTGACTTGGAAAAAGTCCCACAGTATTATTGGGCATAGAATACCAATTGGAACTAGTCAGATTAACTTTATAGATGCTAATAGTAGCTCATAACTTCATGGATCAACTGGCTCATCTCATCGCAAAAATTTTCTGCCGTGACACGGTTAGCCGTTATGTGCGATGATAATACAGTCAGGGCAAGACTGTCGCTCCCCAACATATCACTTAGTTGTATCACAGTACTAATTATCTATCTGTACATAATTATTAGACAAATTTTGAATGCAAACACAATGATCAGGAATATCAATTATTAGAAAAAACGTTAAATGCAAATTTATAAAAACTAATTTCAATTACCAGCATTGAAACTCTTCGAAGTAGCCAATGGTAGTTTCAGAATTGGCCATTCTTTCAGCACAATGGCTGCGGATATTGTCAACCAAAACGGGTGGTCCACAAGTGACCACAGCAAGAGATCTTGTCTTTTCCTTGCAATGGCCATCTATAATCTTAGCTATGTTGGGCCGACCGTAATGTATAGGAATGAAAGACAACAACTCTACAAGCATCGAGGAAGATTCCTGTAGCAAAGGTGTAGATGAATCTGGCACATCAAATTTCTGTATCCTGTGGTTATTGTACTTTGTTGTTAGATACAAAGTTACGGTAACCGGTGAATTTTTCAACTTCAGAAGGTCCTTAGCGTATGCCTTTAAAATGTTAGTATCTCTAGCAATAATAACAAGCTCTACGAATTTGGAAGCAGATGTCTTCACCATTGGTAAGCACTCTATCGCATGAGCCAATGGACCCGGTATACCACTTCCTCCTGATACCAAAATGACATCATCATAGTGCTTTAGAGGTAAAGAACAGCCATATGGACCTTCGATGGATAGCCAAACAGACATCTCACCATCCACACCGTTCTTCAGAACATAGTTGACAAGTTTGTTAGTCAATCCGTCCTTGGGTCTAATCACGATTCTGAGGTAATCACCATCATCCTCAATAGTGAATGGGTGAGATTGCCAGAAGAATCTGGGTATTAAGAAGTAAACGAAGCCGTATTGTCCTGCCTTTGCGTTCCAATTCTTGAGCTTCTCGCCTTTGTAAATAGTGACTTGAACATATTCTGGTGCACCTACATCATCGAAGAATAGTTTGAGTTTAGCGGTACGTACTCCGAAAGTGCACAATTTGTAGACCCTAGTCAATTTCTCGACTACCCAGAAAAATATAGCAAAGCAGAGCCATTGGCCCCAGCCTATTTTTTCTACATGCTTCCAACAGCAGATAAATAGGAGAACCGCTAATATAATATGCAAGATTAAAAATGTCTCGTAATAATGAATTCTCATATAAGCCAAAGAGAATATGCAGATGCTAATGAGTGCGACAATTGCGAAAGTACCGAATTGCCAGTATGCTTGTTTTCTTGAATTTTCGAACGTGTGATAACACAGGGAATAAATGACGTAAAATACTGAGTGCAGAATAGCATCTAATGTCATGAATCTGCCCAACCATTTATGAAATGCTATGAATGAACTGTAGTGCAACCCTGTTAGCGATTCAAAGATATTGTTTCTAGTAGAGAAGATGATAATTATGGGGAAATGAGCAAACGCCAGGATACCTGTTCTATCAGCGAAGTATCGTACCAACTGTAAATTTTTTGACTTAAACAAGACGTTGTTCGGGTCGATTATGTAATCGTAGGAGAGTAAAACTGTATGCAATATCGCATAACCCAACAGAATGATGAACTCTATTCTTGATGGTAACAGTGCACAGTAGCTAACGCAAAACTTCTTACCCCTTAGGTACTGGGCATGCTTACCTTTGAAGATAGCTGGTACCAGGTATGATCCCTTGATCTTATTGAAGAATTTGAAAAAGAGGTTTCTCCTTTGATCCAGCCCAATATGGTTGAAAAAATTCCCAATTGCCAACAATGCCATGACAATCAAGAAGTAATAATTTATCACTGCACCAAAAGTGTTTGATCTATCCAAATTATAGCTGTGCGCGTGGTATGCGAACAAGTTCTTGGTCCTTATCGATTCATCGATTGTTATCGGGTAAGTCAGCCTGTCAATGCTGCCCACAGGCCTATCACTTCTGTTATTGTTCAGGAAGAGTGAAGCGTTGGTCAGTGTTTGATAAAACTCAGTGATGTTAGTGAACTTGTCTGCGATCATGGGGAATTGACTCGTGGTGTTAGTGAAACTCACCAGTTTGCAAATCTTTTGCACAGCATTGAAACTTCTTTCGAATGCTCTCGCGTCCATCTTCCTGTCTTCAAATATTACATCGTGTATGCAACCAACCCACGTACCCATTGCTGGCTCGTAGTTGCATATGGGCTCGTAGAAAGAGGGCCCCATACTGGTATACTCCCAACCGAGCCTCGTCACATAAGTACCACACGACATCACAGCATTGACCTCCCAGACATCACGCTTCTGAAACCCTCCCTGCAGTGCCAAAGTCAGTCCCATACAGAACGGCACAATAAGCACAGCGATCATCATTTTCCAGTATTGCGTTTTCGTATTCTATCGTTTATTTTTTTGTAGTTTCTTCCTTGTAATTCGTAGTAAAACAGTATCTTATTTCTTGTTGTAGTCAATACATTGCAGTATGTTGTTGCCGTCGCCACGCTACCGAGAAATGCTTAGAAAGAAAATAGAAAGAAAAGGGAACTAATGCACAACCGCCGAACCGAAGCTTCGAATATTCCACGCCAAACCGCCCAGGAAAGAGTACTACCAACAAGAAAGGGTGCTGTTAAGGCGGCTATTTCTATGATCTCGCACTCGGGACTGGAAGCCAAAGGAAAGTTTCTCAGTTTACCGATGACTATTTATACTTTATTTATGCTTTCATGGATTCTCCGGGTGGGTTGATACCCTCTTCCTGCGGACCTGTCTAAGTAAACGAATGCTACATAAACTGGGCGCTCCCTTCTGATGTTTAACTGCACCCGTTTTTTTTCCTCTGCCTACGCTAGTTTCTTAGAAGAGACAGAGAGGAAGAAGGCGAGTCGCAGCTCTTCCCGCCTATTCCCAAAAGAGGAAACTGTTATTCTCTGCGTGTTTTACCCGGATGGAATACCCAGAAAAGAAAACATAAAAAAGCCGGGTAAATCTACTTGCAATTGCACACTTTGTACGTACGGCATCTGACACGCCGTGCAACCACACTATATATATGGTTGTACGACAAAGGGTAACGTGACCTTTCTCTGTGTGATCAATAAATGCTCGTTAGCTTCTCTCTCTTGTGCAACTCTCTGTGTATACCATACTACCTTGGCCATCTAGAGAGCTGCACTATGGGTCCAGGTCTATTGTGCTTTCAACACGTACGCCTTCCAACAAGATGGCTGCACTCCTGTGTTTGGCATTTCAACCGGGTCCACAAGTACTTGACTATCTCTCCCTCACAACACAAACCTTGATGCTACACACCCGCGAAAGCCCGGAGGACGTCTCGCTCGGGGCACGGCTAGCTCACCTCGAGAGCTTGATAGGCACCGAGGCAATTGATCTGGATAAATTCAGCCACAGCAATACCACATTATCGGCTATCCTAGATGCAGTTACATTAAAACTCAATAGCTGGATCAATACCGCGACCGTGGAGTCACGGCTACTGATGGAGTTACTGATGAACCATCAGGAATCGGCTCTCTTAGCAAAACAACAGCAAGACGAAGGTGATAACCCATACGAGATAGTGGTCATCGAAAGATTAGAAGTCATGGCCAGATCGCTCATACAACTAGAGACTCTTTATAGAGACTCACTACGATTGGATACAACTGAATCTCTTGCATTGGACACCGATATAATCTCCCAAATAAATCAATTGTTTACAAACTGTAACGTATGCATCAAACGCACAATAGTACTAGCTTATAGATTGAAACTGCGACATAGGAAACACCAACAATACGTAAAATATCTTGAAGACAGACTAATGATCAGAGATGATCAGAGATGATCAGAGATGATCAGAGATGATTAACGACAAATGAATGACATAAACCAATGACAACTTGAAAAAAAGAAAAGATATGTGTATTATAATGAAAATATTAATGAATATAATAATAATGCAATTTAAATAAATACAAATGAAATAGGATAATGATCTTATTTCTTGGAATCAGAGTTCAATCTCGAAATGAACGACTTCTTGGCCAGGTCTATCAGAACATCCAACTCTCCACTATCCTCACACATATTGTAGAAAATACTTTTCTTTTCTAATAGTAAGGAATAGGGATGGTCAAATTCTTTCACTTCACCTGCATCCATAACAAGAATCTTGTCATAGTCGACAATAGAACGCAAACGGTGAGCAATTGTCAAAACCGTACTGTTGTTAAACTCCTGTCTAATCGTTTCTTGAATCTTAGCATCAGAGTTGTAATCAATTGATGCAGTAGCTTCATCTAATAAAATAACCTTAGGCATACGAAGTAATGATCTCGCTAAACACATCAATTGCCTTTGACCTTGTGAAAAGTTACTACCACCTTCGGCAATTTCACTTTCCAGGTTCAAAAACTTATTAACATTCTTAGAAGAGTTGCTTTGAATTTCACTTGTACTGGCTTCCATCTCTTCAGTACTAACCAAATTGACACGCTTTAGTGCAGTAAATATCTCTTCATCAGAGTATTCGTCATATGGATCTAAGTTGCTCCGAATGCTACCCGCAAACAAAGTAGGATCCTGAGGAATTATAGTAATCGAACGACGTAACCTTTTCAAATCAATATTGGCAATATTAACACCATCAAGCTTGATTGAACCTGTGTCAGCTTCCAAGAATCTAAACAAGGCAGTAATAATAGTAGATTTACCTGCACCAGTACGTCCTACAATACCGACCTTTTCTAATGGCTCAATGGTAAATGTCACATCTTTTATCACATAAGGCAAATGTGGTGCATATTTCAATGATAGATTATTAACTTCCACCTTACCACTGTCAGGCCATTGCGGTGGCGGTGTCACTGCATTGGCAGGATCAGCAATAAGTGGTTCTTGTTCAATATTCATGTACTCAAGGACACGCTCTACTGAGTTCATATTCATTTCAAGTTCTGAGTATTGACGGACTAACCACAATGCAGCCTCAGTGAACGAGATAGCATAGGTTAAAGAAATACCCGCCAAACCAGCATCAATGTTGTTAATGTTTAAAAGAATGAAAACACCAGAAGAAAATATAACCAAAGCACCTATCAAATCAATTCTGAAAGACAGCCATCTATTGACTACCCACAAGTAAAAAAATGGCATACTATTTTGATCTATCATGGATAAGTTCTCCTTAATAAATCTTTGCTCGTCACCAAAAGCACGAATTGTGGTTACCCCAACAAGGGTCTCAGAGAAATGCTGGAAAATAGGCGATTTACTAATTGAATCTAACCGTTTCAGTTCCCTTGATGTAGTCAAATAAAAGAATCCAACAATTGAGTAGCCTAGAACAATAATAATCGCAACTGGGAAAAATGCAGGTGTAATGTAAGATATCAACAACAAAGTTGCAAAAACTTCAATGGCTGAGTAGAACACACTTTGGATGTTAGGTGGAATTTCTTGATCAATGGATTCAATGTCCTTTGAAAATCTATTCATAATTCTACCGATTGGAGTTGAATCAAAAAATCTAACCCTAGCATGTAAAACTCTATCTAACAAAGAATCAAAAATCAGTTTAGAGGCTCTAATACCGAATAAAGAGTTCACGAATGTCTTAATGGATCCAATAATAGAAGACATAACACCTATTAAACAGTAAACTACCAGAAATTTGGCTATTCCTGCATTCTGATTTTCTGATTCTTTCTTACCAGCTTCATTAGTTAAAAGCACTCTATTTCTGCTTTCTACAATAAATGTACTTGCTGGTAGATTATAATTGCTCTCATCGACGTCTGAAAACCTCTTCACAGTCCAGTTACGTATCCACCAGGCCTGTGTAATTTGCAAACACAAAATTGCAGTAAAGACGGATGCTAAGGCAACAATTGTATACCAACCACCATACATCTTTATGTACCATTTGTAAATTTCCTTTCCAACAAATCCCATTGCTTTACCTTCTTCTTCAATCAATTTACCATCATCATTAACAGGCGTACTGTCTTGTACAATTTCAACAGGAGCTGGTGTAGTACCCAGAGACCTCTCTGATTTACCCTTTAATGAGGCGGAAGAAGCACTTCTTGAGATAATTGATTTCTTCATATTTTCATCCTCACCTAGTAGTCCTTTGGCAAGAAGCTCAATGGGTGTACCCTTTTCTTTAACCTTACCATCTTCAATCATGACAACGAAATCTGCATTCTTCATTGTCAATGCAATATTATGTGTTACTAAGATACAGGTTCTACCCTCCATCAATGGACCACTGATGCATTTATCATAAATCCATAACGCAGTATGTGAATCAACAGCACTTAGACAATCATCTAGAAGCAAATGACCTGCACTGGAGTAAAGAGCTCTGGCTAAGGATACTCTTTGCTTTTGACCACCTGACAAGGTAATACCCTTTTCACCAATTTCAGTACTGTCTCCAGCTTTTAATATCTGGAAATCTCTTTTCAAACTGCATGCTTCTACGACAGCATCATAACGGGCTTGATCGAATGGAGCGTTGAACAAAATATTATTACGGACAGTGTCGTTTAATAACCAGGCAGCTTGTGAACAATAGGCAATAGAATCATTAATCACACCCGCTTGTGATTGATATTCGTGTCTAGGAGACAAACTTGGAACAATTATTTTACCCTCAGACAATTGCATTTCACCCAATAAACCCATAAGTATCGAAGTTTTACCAGAGCCTGTAGCACCAACAATAACATTAAGCTTACCAGTCATAAACTCAATATCCAAGTTTCTCAATACAAACGAATCCTTATCGCTGTCCCATCTCAATGTTACATTTTCAAATGCCAACCGCTTACCGTTTTTATCTACGGTAAGTTGATCGTACTTATCAGTCTCTTCTGTTTCCAAGAAACGTTGAACTCTGTCCAAAGATATTTTTGATTGAATCAGATAACTTAACATATCGGAAATTCTATCCAATGGATCTCTCAATAAAGTAAATAAAGAAAGTGCAGTGAAAGCGACAGGTGTTGTTAGTTGCTTTTTCTCAATTAAAATAGAATAAGCAAAGGTACAACCAGTAATTAATGTTGGAGTGATAAACCATGAGAATGCGAGTACACACCAGACCATACATCTTTTCAACAGCAAAGCCAATTCCTTTTCTCTAACAAGCATGATACCTTCCTTGAACTTGTCTTCCCAAGAGAAGTATTTGATGATTCTAATGGCTTGGAAAGATTCATTCAATTTTTCGACTCTTTTATCTGTGCATGCTAAGTTACCTGCTTGCAATGTGCCTACAACGGCATACAACTTGGAATTAATAGGAATGATAATAATAGTGATTAAAATACCAACAAAAGCAGCTGTACCAATAACCTTGTACAGCAAAATCAAGGAAACCGTCAACATAATAGCTGTTTCCAAAAAATAATGTAAGTAAGCACACAATTCTGATATCTTGAAGGCGTCAACTGACATTAGGTTAATAATGGATCCTAAATTGGAAGAGTAGGATTCCTCATCTGCATTAACATGAGTGGTGTCATTTACCTCCTGGGGTGACACTTCGTCATGCTTTATCATATCATTCTCATTATTTTCGTCAGCTGGTTTTGATTGTTTAGTAATCTTTCTTTTCAAAGCTTTACTGTAGATTTCTGAAATAATGATACTTTTCATTCGAACACAGACTCTTCTCCCCAAGAACAAGTTACAATGGTCACAAATTGCAACAATGAACCTTGAAATAAACATTCCAAAGACATAGAACCATGCAAGGTTCATAGAACCTTTATCCTTATGCTCAATGAAATCTAGCAATTTCTTCAGCAAGATAGTTGGCACAAAGATTGAAAATGCAGATATAGTTGTGAAGCACCATTGAAACATAAATAAGTTTAAGAAATATCTTAGTAAAGAAATACCAAATCTTGAACTTCTCATTGAAGGTCTGTTACGGAATTCGAGAAAACTTTTCATCACATTAATTGAGTAGTCCTCCAATTTCAAAGACCACAGATCAGAATGTGACAAACTGTTATTCTTGTAAGCCTTGTTTATGAAAGGTTGAACCCAATGGAAACTGAAAAACGTCAGTAAAGAGACGTATGGTTCTGGGGAAGGTGCTCTATCCTGTTGTGGTTGGTAAAGCACTGGCAGATTGTTTCCAATTGGAGATGTCAATAACAGTGCCATTAAAACCAGGTTCAACCAGAATTGAGATTTGTAATATTGTGAGCTACCGTAGTCATTTACATGCCCAATAAGCGCCGATCTAAAAGGTAAAATGTGAGCTAAGAAGATCACCGTGTAGTTAGCGAATGACACTAACCAAATATTACCCGAGTATTTATTAACAAACTTGTTATTTTGATTCAAGTTCAATACCCGTAACGTTGCTAGCGTGAACAAGATTGTCCACAACAACACGTGTGGCTTAAAATGGAATTTCTGTAAGTCTCCATTTAAGTTAGATTTTTCAATAGAGAGGTAGCAATGCAGTAGTAATTGGAATGCTACAATTACAAATTCTATTACCACTCTGAATTTTTCAAACATATTACGTTTGATAAGATGGTATTTAGTTGGGTCATTAACCTCACCTGAATCAATGTTATTTATGGAGAAATGTCTATCATACAATGCTGAGCTATCGGTATTCAGTTCACTTGGTGAAGGGTGACTACCGTAATTGTGTTGTGCGTGCATTGTCAAAGGCATCTCTTCATCAGATTCTGATAAGTTTAATGAGCTCAGTTTCAATGACAGGCTCGGTGTAGGTGTTTCTTTCTTTATATCATATTTGTAAAACCGGATGAAAAAATTATGCAAAAGTATCAGTATTGATATAGTCACCAGCGTTGTCGGTACGTAATTGTTTAGTACTTCAATTCTACCATACTTTGTGATATCATCGAAATACCAAAATTGGCAGGAACTCATCGCCTCCACAACCATACTGAATTGTTTTATTGGTAGTGTCTATGTTTGTTTGAGGTTTGTGAGTAAATCAAACTAAATATCAAAATACTCAGGGATAACAATGGCAAAATTGGGGGAGTTTATATAAGGTTTTTATATTTCCAACCTCATCGCGCTGTAGAACATTACATTGTAGGGATTACATGCATCTGAACAAAAAAATAAAAAAAAAAAAATTTTCTTGCTTTCCGAGAAAAAAAAGAGAGAACGATTTCACATTTCTTTTTTTCCTTTTTTTTTGACAGATATGTAGAACAATGCACAGCTGATTGTTCCGTGGGTTGTACTCAAGTTTGTTAAGTGCAGCAACAAACCCACTTCACTCGTTCGTGATTCCCCGGAAGGGAAGCGTGAATCACACAATTGGTCTGCTATGACACATACTTTTCAATATTTTTTTCTTTCTTTCATAATAGATCCCGTGGAAGGGGGAAAGCTTGTGTCGTATGGGACGTAAGAAGATCAGTCATAGACTTGTACCGGGGATATGTGTATATAGTATGACACATTTTCCAAGTATCAGTGCAGCATAATAAAAAAAAACACAACATCTGTTGTTGCAGTAAATTTGGGATGGGTCTAGCTAAATAATTGCTAGAAGATTCCAAAAAATTTTGAACGGTATCTGTTAGTGACTCATCTGTTGCAGATGCATGCAAAATTTAAATATACATACAGTAATTACACACAATTGGGGGTGGATCCCATTACGTTCTGTTTCATCGGCGGGAATGTAGAGAAAAATAATTTCTCAAGGATTTCCGGGCCCTTTATATAAGGTTTTTTTTTTGGGAAAGGCGGCTAGGAAAACAAAGCTCCTTGATTCCCCAATCGGGAAAGGCGGCTAGAAGAATAGATCTAATAGCTCCTTGATTTCCCAATCGGGAAAGGCGGCTAAAAAAAGTTCCTTGATATCCCAATTGAGAAAGGCGGCTAAAAAAAGCTCCTTGATTTCCCTATCGGGAAAGGCGGCTACAAGAATAAGATATAAAAGCTCTCGGATTTCTCAGGGAGACACGGCTAGTCTACTGAGAATCCCTAAATATCATTTCCCTATTTGGAGCAAAAGAAGGCCGGGTAACAACGTACCTTGAAGTAAAATCGTACACTACTATAACTCTGAAACAGCCGCACTTCTTGTGTACGCGTGCATGTGCTTTCTTTGTTCTTTTTTCTTAAATTAGAGTTGCAATCACCATAAACGATGAATCTGTGCTGGCCTGCAGGTGGTCCTGCAGTGCTATTACTGCGAAGCCTCGAGAACACAGGTTCCAAACTTTTTTAAAAAATTTTCTTTTGACACAATACGGAGACAACGCTGTTACATCCGAGAACAACAGAACCAGCCGTACGGAGGCGGTGTATGTTGTTGCTTGGAAAATCCAGGACAAAATGTGTTCAACGTGAATTGTACGCTTTTGTGAATCATACCTGAACCAGTACCAGTACCAGTACTTGTGGTCTGTGTCTGTGTCTGTGTCTGTACGCTACTTTGTGTGGACAAGGAATAGTTCTGCAACAGAAAAAAAATGCGGGGGCGGGGTAGGATCTGGGGTAAATTAATTGATAGATCTCCCGGAAGAGGAAATCCTGGGGAGGAACAGACACAGAGAGAAAACTAAAAAACCACAGAGAGGGATACGCACAATGGTCTAATTTCTCGTTATCCCGATACCCGAGAATACGGAATGGCGGTGGAGAGAAGTTAGAAATGCGCAGTACCCGCGAAACCAAAAATGCACATTACTTTCACAAGAGACGATCCCCCGCAGAACCCTTCTCCTAACTTCCTGCGTGCGGCATACTCCACCCCCTACCCCCCCCCACCGCCCAGAATTGGTGTCAACCGTTAAAGTTCAATGATTGTGTGGACAAAGGGTCTTCTCAAATTTTATATCTACAAATCTAACTGTGCCCAGATCCTTAGAAGACGCTGCACGCCCGGCCCATTATATTTGACACAAACGTTTATCATAAACCCAGTTCCCATTTTTTCTGATAAGGGCACCACAAATTGGGAAGCGGCTGTGTCTTCTATCTGAGGTAAGGCCCCCCTATTAGCACTGGCTAAAACAAAAATGTAGATCGCTTCTGTGGCATTATCGGCGGTGGCAGTACTGAACCCGGTGGGGGAGGGGGGGAGAGGCAGGGAAGGGCATATTGATTACTTTTTCTATACCCTTAACTAAGCAAGACGTATGAATGTGGGGAAGAGTTCTTCTGATAAGGACAATACAATTGCGAGAGCACTGGTTGGACAAGGCTTTACACGGCTAAATTTTTTGAAATGTCTTCTCAAAGGAGGATGGTAGGAGGGTTAAGACTGCTAAATAACTAGGGGAATGGACCAAGGATGAATAACACCTCTTTAACCTAACATGGGACATAGAGCTATCGAAGCTAACTCATTTCAACGTTAAGTGCCGTTAAGAGTAGATTGGTCCTTACCATTTTCATTATACGTATATCGGATTACTTGTGCGCTATTTTTCTGAATCACAAAATGACGCGGTGCTCTTTTTTTTCAAGAAAAATTGGAAGAAAAAAAAGAAAGAAAGTAAGCAAAAAATGGCAGAGCCCCCTCACTTTCACATCAAAAATGCTGAGAGAAAACTAATTAAAAAAAAAAAAATTGGATCATATTATTTAACATAGTCAGAACAACAGTGTTCAAAATAATACCGAGCATTAAATCTCAAGGACATTTCCAAAGTGTTGGAGTTTTAAGAAGGACTTACAACTGTTCTCCTTTATTTTAGATTTTATCAACTTTAAGTAGCTTTTTCCATCACCAAAGAGACAAACTTAACTGGCACCGAGGCTGAACATCATTTCTAATCATACTTAAAGGCGATACATTTCTTACAAATTATTCAAAACACTTCCGTCTAGCATTTTCTGGATATACATTATAAAAATACAATCAAAAATCAATAAAAAACAATCTAGACTGATACTATTCTGATACTAAAGTATAACAAAAAATGTCTCATCAGCAAGGGGGATCCAAAAATCCCAATGCTATGAGTGATTTGAACGAATACTTATCCAACGAGGATCGCAATAGCCAAGAACGTAATGACCGTGATGATTTTGATGTTGAGATGCAGGAGTACACTCCTCAGCCATTCAAGAGACCAACTGCATCTTACATCCCTGAATATATAGGCACATCTAACCAGTTTCCTATCCAGGAGGTTGTGCCAAACACTAATATCCCAATTCATCAATTGATGGAGAACCACAGTGCTGCTCAGAGTCCCAACAGACCTAGTTCACCTGTCAACAACAGCAACATGAACAACCTCAGTGGTGACATGTCTACCGCTGCTGCTACAAGTGTTAATGTCAACACTACATCTAATACTGACCATCTACGAGCCAGAGATCACACTACAGTATCAGCTAACGTGTTGAACCTAGGCCACTTATACAAAAATAACTACGGTAATAACAACGATGACGGTGATCACATTTCTGTCCAGGAAGGTGTAACCAATGACAGTGAGAGTAAACAATATGGTACTAGAAGAGATCGTGCTACCTCTTTCATCTCTAGGCTAGCAGGTGGTGGTGATGATGGTTCACCAAATGATCCAAACCCTGGTAATGCATCTGTTCCAATTATCGTTAAGCCAAAGACACTATATCAAAATCCTCAAACCCCTACGGTTTTGCCATCCACATACCATCCTATTAACAGATGGTCTCTGGTGAAAAGTGGTGTTCTGAAAGAATTTTTGGCAGAATTTATGGGTACAATGGTCATGATTATTTTTGGTTCTGCTGTTGTCATTCAGGTCTTGTCTGGTGGTAAAGCACAACAGGACTCTTATTTAGCAGCCATGGATGCATTAAGCCAATCTGATCTAAGTGCTGGTGAGAAAATGGCTTTTGAAAACTTGACTAAATTGGTTTCATCTGTCAGTGCAGGTACATTCGATGATATTGCTCTTGGTTGGGCAGCAGCCGTTGTTATGGGTTACTTCTGTGCGGGTGGTAGTGCAATTTCTGGTGGTCACTTAAACCCAATTATTACACTTGCTAACTTCGTTTACAGAGGTTTCCCAGCTAAGAAGATTCCCTTTTATTTCTTTGGTCAATTATTTGGTGCCTATGTTGGTGGTCTAATTGCCTACGGTTATTACAAGAAGGTTATCTCTGAGACGTTTCCAGACCATTTCAACAGTGAGACTGTTGTGTCTATGTTCTGTGTTGTTCCAAAACCATATCTATCATCTGCCAGACAGTTTGTTTCCGAATTCTTGTGTGGTGCCATGCTGGTCGCATGTACGTTTGCACTAACAGATCCATACACCTCTCTATCTGGTGATGTGTTCCCTCTAATGTTGTTCCTATTGATCTTCATGTGTAACTCTGGTTTGGGTTACCAAACAGGTACTGCCATGAACATGGCTCGTGACTTAGGTCCTAGAATGGCGCTATACACAGTTGGTTTCAGCAGAAAGCTGCTATGGACCTCGCATCACCACTTCTTCTGGGTGCCTATCTGTGCTCCATTCATTGGTGCGCTAACTGGTGGTCTAGTGTACGATATCTTCATCTACCAAGGTCACGAATCGCCTGTCAACTGGCCATTCTCGTTATACAAGGAGACATTCCAAAGATGGTGGTTTAAGAGACCAGGCTGGCAAAGAAGAAACAAGGCCAGGAGAATGTCTGACCTCAGTGAGATCTCCTACGCTGAGGACGAGGACCTGGACAACACATACACTGGCACGCGGTTCCCTCGTGTCACCAAGACCAAGTCGTACCACTCCAGCCACAACACTGACGAGAAGAAAGTGCAATTCAAGTCTGTGCAAAGAGACAAGCCACATAACCAGAACATGGCTGCTGTGCTGGATGACGAGTCATCGTTGGAGACTGCTTCGCTAGGTGACTCATACATAGAACAGTACAGTTCCAAGAACAGTAACTGAATAAACGGAACGAATCGTCATGCCCATGGATAGTATACCTCAATGTGCTTCTGTTCCCAGGAAGGAAGAGATAGAGCACGTCCCATTTTCTAGCATTATTAAGAAAACCTAATATCTATTAAGATTCAAGTTTAGGTGTTTTGGCAATCCAGTTTCTGTTTTTTTTTATACTTCTATAAGTTCCTATACTTTATCTACAATCAATACTAATATTCCATTAATAGCAAATAAAAAAAAGAAATAAACAGCACGCTATTGCTTGCATCGGTCACTAGGGGAGTTAGCGGCACACCCACAGCAGGAACACACTCACCCACCGGTCGAGGTATGTGTCGCGCACAGTCACATCATCGCCCACTATATCACGTGTATCACAAGGATGTACAGAGTACCAAGCGCCTTGCAATGCGTGTGGGTACTGGGCGTCGAGGATGGTGTCCAGTCCGAGCGTCAAGTAGCTCGGTATGCGGAGTGTAGCCATTGTCTCTGCGCTGTGAGCCAGCTGTGATGTTTCTATGCCGTCAAGGGCTGTAGTTGCCCACACTCTGATCAGCAGCAGAGGCTCCCTGTACACACGAGAGAAGGTTATGAGCAGCTCTATATGTCCGCCTGTGTTACGTGTGCTGTTTGGGACAGTTAAGTGCAGACAGCAAGGCGAGTGCACAAGGTCGTGCCGCAGGAGTGGCAGCTTTTTGTACAGCTCGCGTGACTCTGCGAGCCTAGTCAACTGCTGCACAAACTGTTCATACTCCAGTGTCATATAGTTTGTTTCATATGGGTGCAAGTGTCAATGATGTCCAGATGAAACCATGTGAAACCATGTGAAACTATGTGAAACTATGTGAAACAGCGCGATGCCCCATCATAGGTTAGTAGCTCTTATTTGCTTTAGAAGGGCACTGGCACGCCTTGGGGAGGGAAATGAAAAGCCCTGCTCCGGGTAACTGTTTTCGGAGTTTCTGTCACTGTTAGCATCAATGCTGCGTACACATAAGCACATAGCACCGATTCGCACATTTTAACATGGTAAATACGGTTGAATCGAATAGTTGTATGAATAATAGAGCTACATATATATATTATGTAAGAATAAATAAGGATATTGGAGGGGGAGGGGGACGGTTAGGGAATGTAGGTACATTTGTTTTTTTATGTGCAGTGCAAATGAACTGCCACTAGAATGCTCTGGGGGCATTTCATTAATAAATAAGTGTGTTTGGTTTTCTTGTAGTTCAGTTCTTAGTCGAAGGCCAATTGCTTCTTGATTTCCGCGATTGAGCGGCCAGGGTTTAGACCCTTAGGACATGTTCTGGTACAGTTCATGATGGTGTGGCATCTGTACAGGGACATTGAGTTCTGCAGCATTGTTCTTCTGGCCTTGGTGGCCTGGTCTCTGGAGTCGATCAACCACCTGTATGCCTGCATCAAGACGGCAGGACCCAGGTATTCTTCTTGGTTCCACCAGTAGGAAGGACACGAGGTGGAACAGCATGCACATAATATACACTCGTACAGACCGTCCAGCTTCTTACGGTCGTCGATGGACTGCAGCACTTCCTTACCGTCTGCAGGGTAATCTGTTCTTTGCAAGTAAGGCTGGATGGACTTGTACTGCTGGTAGAAACCTGTTAAGTCTGGGACCAGGTCCTTGACGATGAACATGTGAGGCAGTGGGTATATCTTCGTGGTCTTGCTCTCGTCCTGGTCGATTTTGCACAGACAGGCCAGCGTGTTGGCACCGCCGATGTTCATGGCACAGGAACCACAGATACCTTCTCTGCAGGATCTTCTGAAGGTCAAAGTGGCATCCTGCTCATTCTTAATCTTCAGCAAAGCGTCCAGCACCATGGGACCACAGTCTTCCAGGTCGACTTTGTACTCTTGCAGATGTGGTTTCTCAGTGGGTTTATCAGGGTTCCATCTATAAATCTTGAACGTCTTTAACCGAGGCACACTAGTGGCAGTAGCCAACCCTCTCCTGGAGACTCTTAGCATAAACATTTGTATCCTTTATTTAAATATTGGGAGTTGACTTATGTTATTTTGGCAAGGTTACAACAAATAAGAGAGCTTACGCTTTGCCAAAAGTAAATAACAAGAATAATGATGGTAGTTCCGGAGCTTTCCTTAAATACTAACTTCCAAATAGGCAAGAAACCCAAATCCGAGTGGTCAAGAACTGGTAGCACTGGTAGCACTATTACGCAGGAACCAATGAGAAGTTATAAAACAGCCTTTTAGCAGCTCTACCCAATCAAATACAACACAGAAGGGAGAGCTCATCGCTTGCCATACTGAAAAAAATAAAATATGGCCATTTTGGCAGTGAACCACTGTGAACCACTGTGAAGCAGAGTGAACCACTATGAACCACTGTGATTGTATAGGTGGCCCCCCCCAGCTCCCTAATTTCGACCAATCAGACGCGAGTTAGTCTACCCCAGGGAAATACCGGAGAAGTACTGCTCCTTTGGTCCGATGAGGGGGGCCCTCTGAAATTTGCCAAAAATCCCGGAAATCCCGCTCCTCCCGAAAAACGTCGCGAAAACCTCGCTATTCTCGCTATTCTCGCAGTTGTGAGCTTGCAGTTCGCAGTTCTCGGAAAATTTCTCGGAGAACGATAAGGAGGGAGGAGGGGGAGGGGAGGAGGGGGATATGGAACACGTGAAATTATAGTACAGTACGATATGCTATATAGGAGTTATAATACGACTTCGCAGTACTGGTTGTACTTCTTCACTGCGATGGCGATGTTCTTGTATATATATCTTCTCTCGTGTGGGTCTGCGATGGGGATGAAGTACTCTGCCTGGGACTTGAGCTTGACGTGGATGCCGCCGCGCTCGAGGACGATGCCCTGGATCGAGTCGTACTCGACCCCCCACATGACTTCGAGCTCCTTGATGTTCAGCTCGCATATCCTCTGCATGGATACGATGACCACCAGCTCGTTGCCCGGCAGGATGACGTGCGCCAAGTACTCGTCGTCGACAAACTGCCCACCGTTCACGGTCTTCAGCCAGTACTGGCCCAAGGAGTGGGACTCGTCGTAGGGCTTGATGATCTGGTCGTTGCCGATATATCTGGGCAGCCTGATCCGCGCCTGGTACGCCATAATATCATTTGTGGAGACCCGGAGGCCCTGACTTAGATTACTCGTCAAGTCCAGGAACCCAATGGCAGTCTTGGCAGGCAAGCCCAGTAGACCTTTGCCCAATCCTTTGATCAGCCCGGCTGCACCATCCTTTTGCGCGCCTTTGTATGGATCAAGCGCAATGCCGGAAAACCCACTGCCTATCGTAGCTGCAAAGGACTGCGCAGAGTTGGCGAAGACGTTCTTGCCACTTCTATTCAATCTTTGCTGAAGCCTTCGGGACTCCTGGAAACTGCTGTCCTGTGTAACAGATAAACCCTTCGCCAGAGAACCTGTCAACCTTGCCATACTGTCAGACAAACCATATACCGTCTTCTTAGCAAAGCTTACACCACCACGAGCTATTTGAGCTCCGATTTCCTGTGGACTATCGTTCATCATATAGCCCAGATATGGTTCATAAAATAGATCTACTACACCAGAACTTATGGTATTGAACAACCCCACTGGGTTACCGAAACAATCAGCAGACCCGAGAATTTTGTGGACTTGGTAGAAAACTTGTTGGCCATAGTACATCTTCATCGAGTTCATAAGCATTGGTAAAGGTACTCTAACATTATCCATTAAGAGCGAGTTGAGTTTAATTGGAGCATCATTGACATTTCCTAGCGTCAAGGACAGCATATGAACGTAATACATCGGCGAAACACTATTTTTGTTCGTATCAGAAATTATAACATCCTTCGTCTCTTCAATACGATCTGATCTGGAAAAGGAGAAATGCAGCATAGTAGGTTGAATATGTAGAACTTCAAAGTATAAATCATCTTCTGAAGTTATATCTTCAAATTCAGGAAGTCTTACATGATCCATATCTGGAATCTTAGGTTCAGTAATCCATGGTGCACCCGGAAACCTGCTGAATTCAAGAATTGCATACATGAAATCTTCATCTAATTGTATTGATAACTCTTGCATCAATAAAGTGACGTGTTTGTAGTACGGTATACCATGAGAATCATCTTTGACCTTAGAAATCGATCCTGATAAAACTGGATGTTCTTTTAATTCCTCTTCTGTTTTCTTCACGGTAGTAGGATAAATTATATTTTGAGAGTTTGATGTAAACAGTTGATTATCTGCTTGGAGCCACTTAATATTCCAACTGAAAGTTTTGTATAAATCAGATTCATTGTAACGCATCTCAATGCCTTGCATATTTAAATACAAAATTTCGCGCAGGTTTGCGTCAATAAGTGAGACACCGATACCATTGAATGAAAATACCAGCCGAGTTTGAAATTCTTCATCATTTTCATCAGCAACAAAAACTTCACCTGATTCATTTAGAGATAATGAAGATGCCTTCTTCTTGTTTCTTAGCTTGTATAAACTAACTTCAGGGTTATAGTTAGTAATCAGCAAAGCCTGGGTAGGTCCATCAGCAACGACATGTAAATCAACTAGATGCATTTTCTCACCTTCATCTACTCCAGGCAACCTCATTGGCTTCAAATTACCAATTGCTCCTAAATCAATCTCTCTATTTCTATTCTTGGAAGTTATTATCAGTTTCTTTTGTTTAGCTGACGGGTAATCCCAAGCGTAAGGCATTACACTCATAGGTGGAATACGGTAATATAATGGCTTATACGTCAATGCTTCATAATCTTCATTCTTCTCATCATACAAATCATCTATTAATGAAGGATCTCTTTGGTAAAAGATGAACTCATAATCACTAAAGTTTCTGATGGAATAAGGCCAGTGGTTCTTGCCATCTTTAACAACAATAAAAAGCGTTGCATTTTCTAATAGAATATCAATTTTAAGTAGTTTGTGGCTAGAGCCTTTTCTCAAGACCTTCAAAAACGTAGAGCCTACCTCATTCAAGTGAAATGGTGCTGACCATTCGGAATCCATTCCTAAAAATTTTAATATTAGCTGTTTCTCAACCATGGAACTCAACTTATATAATGGTTTGGAATCATTCTTGGGAATTTGAATTGAATCTATGGACCCAACTTCACATACTTCAATCTCATAATCAAGTTCATTCCTGATGATATACCTTGGTGCTACTTCTACTATTTTTGATAGCATATAAGGTCCAACACCATCACTAATATATATTCCAACATCAAACTCCTGTTCCTTGTTTGGAACAGGTACTGATGTATCAAATGCTTGCCCTATTGCATCAATGGAAAATGGCAAACACCAATCACTCTCTCTAAACTTTATCTGTGCTTTATTGTTCTTTTCACTTGGCTTTTCAAATGAAAACAACAACGGCTTGCTAAAGCGTCCATTATCACTATCATATACAGTCGATTTAGCAACATTCATCATATCAGATTTTGCAAATAACTCACGATCTGTCTTGTTGAATAGTATATATGGTGAGTAGATTTTCAGTATTTTGGTGGGTGTCCCGTCTAAATTTTGATAATGAATCAACAAGCGTAACTTTTGACCGCTAGCCAATGTCAAATGTATACTCTTTTCTGGTTGTAGTGTGTTGTTTGGTGGAGTATGAATTATTGTCGGTTTAGATAAGTTGTCATTTTCAATTAATGGGAGCACCCGCATTAAAACAAAATTTCTTAGAGATACATCATGAATTTCAAGACTGGATTCTCTTTTCAAGTATCTGTAACCACCCCTCATATCTTTTCTTTCATATAGCAAAAAGTTGATATCATAAGGTAATCCATTTTCTATTATGAGTGATGGAGATATGACAATTTTCATTTTAGGATAAACTTTTGATAGAGGCTCATTATTATCGAAAAATCCAGAAACCTCAAAATTATAATCACTACCATCATTATTCTGAGATTGACATGATACTGAGCGCGAGCCATTGATCAATGTCTTCCAGTAAATATTTTCACTCGACCAGTTGAAACCGTTATCATTGCTTATAGCAGCAGGTTTAATTTTTAAATTGGAATCATAACAGTATTCTACAGGTATTGATTTCACCTCATTAGGAAGGATAGAAAACTCTAAGTATTCTCGTTTACTGTTTTGAGGAGGATTTACAGAAACCAGCACTTTTTGCCTCGTTATATTTTCAACAACTAATGTAGATCTAAATGTAATTGTTTTAATATTGTCAGGACCACAATCACATGTTGTTATTATTCTATTATGGTATTTCCCAACACTAGGTTTCAACACATGGATGTTATCACCAATGTCCGTTGCATCAACTTTCAATATGGATTTATAATTGGAATTTGGAATGGATGCACAAATTACTGAGCTGACCTGGTCTGTACTCAGCCGTTCTCTGACAGATTGCCAATCCTCAAACTCCCATGGTATATTGCCTTCATTTTCTAATCTAGTGAGTCCTTTCCTATCCTCTATGTTATCTGTCAGTATCCATACATCAATATCCAACCCTGTTTGATTAACCAATCTGTAAGGCTTTTGATAACCTCTTGGTTTCAAAGCCAATTCCCCAGACAATGCTTTTGGAATACCAGTTAACATTTCTAAGGATCTTGTCGATAAGGTAATATCAGTTAAGACATCACTATTGACATTCAACTCATAAACTGAGGATGTATTAGACTTCTTCAAGAAAGAAATGATAAAGTTTGTGTTTTCAATAAAAGGTTCCCAACATGATCTTGAATAGTTAAATATATTCACATAGGTAGTTACAGATGTCTCAATTTTCAGATTAGAGGACCAATTTTTACCACTAACAAAAAGAGAAGTTGCACTCATATCCAAAACTGGCATTTCATGCACATCACCAATTAATATTAATCTCAATCCCCCAAAATCAGCACTTAAGCTTTCTTTTATTTGCATTCTAATTGGAGAAGCGCTTCTTCTACTAGTGGCTCTTTTCAAAGATTGTGTATCAGACAGTGTACTTAATATACTTGGAACATATTTTGATAGCTTTTTCTCAAATTCCTTAGAAAATGCTTCAATTTTATCTCCAGATTCTTCATTTTGGACCTCAATATCATTTTTACTATTATTCGCTAACGCTATTGTTCTCTCAAATATCATCATTGCTAATCTAATATCTCTTAAAGAGATTCGCATCAACAGTGGTTGAATAGATATCTGGATATCAGTGACTTGTAAATTTTTGGTAGACTCACGCTTATCAATTGTGAGAGTAGTCGAAAAGTCATCCAATAACCGAACTTTATCAGAACTATTGGTATTCATCTGTGTCAAGAAAACATTGACATTATTTGTTGCAAAGGATATGATGTTCTGATCTGTCAGTAGAATTTGCCCAATATTAAATACTACGGCTTCAGTATTCTCATTCGAAGGGTCAGCTAATAATATAAATGCAGTGTCCACTATATTCAACGAATATTGAATAACATTTTTGGTTTCCGGGGAGGGTTCATTTGACTCACTGATGATATCTGAATTAATAGATGAATCATCTGTTTCTAATTGAACAGTAGGCTCTTCAAAGTTTAACCCCCCTACAAAATTTTTCAAAGCAAATAAGAAGTCCATAGCCAAAATAACGTGTGGGCTATTTATATTTGTTGAAACATTTGTGACGGTATGATCACTCAGTTTTCTTGTAGAGTATTTAGCAACAAATTGATAATCATTTTCATTGGATTTTGGTACTAGTTCAGCAAATTTATTTTGTTTATCAGATCTCTTATCTTTAACAGTAAATGCAGATATATGTGCCTCACCATCCAATGTACCATCATAGCCAAGCTTGAAGGAAGTTCCCATATCTTGCAAGCCAAATTCAGCAATTAAGCCATTCGATGTTTTCTCCCTTGAAGATGAGTCACTCAATACAAGAGATAAGGATGGACTGTTAAAAACAAAATCGAAGTTGATCTTATCTCCTAGTTCCTCTCCATCACTATCTTTTAAAGCATTGTCAGCAGTCGATGGAGTAGTGGTTAATACGGATTCTACAGATGGAGTTGAATTAACCATCAAATACAATTGCTCTTCATTATCATTTTCTATCGTAAACGCATTAGAAAAGGTGGACCAGCATTTCAATAGTTCGTTTGCCTGATGTTCAGAAATAGCGATAGTTGTGGGATTGAAGTCACTGATTATTTTGAATGTAGGCTCATCTTTTACTGAAAGTGGTGAATGTATTATACTAAAAAGTAAAGACATTCCATGCAAGATACTAACTTTTTCATTTTGAATATATGATATCAATTCTGTTTGTCTCAAACCCATCTTTACATGATTAACCTTATTTTGAGAAGTTTCTCCTGTAAAACTGTTTTGTATGAAAAATTCACCTAAAAACAACTGTATCCTATCACCCAAACTATCTAAATTAGAAGTATTAGGGAAGTTAATAGTAGGCGACTTAATAAGGATGTCCAGCTTCATGTTATTAACAGTGTCCATAGAAGGTGCTTGATTATAGGCTGCCTCTCTTGCACGGTCAAAGAATGTTTTCATCTTTTGGAATTTATTCAGGTAGTTTGCAATTCTATTGATCGGGGCTTCAACAAAATTAATTACCATAGAACCAGTTGTATATTTTAACAAAGAGTCAAAATTAGCAGAATTAGTTTGAGAATCAAAGGTTTCATATGAAAGCTCAACAAGTTCATCACCCTCCATTTGTATTAGCTTTCTAAGAGGCGAGCATCTATCAAGTGCTTCTGATATTTCCTCAGTCAAATCTAACCCATCCATACGCATATCAAACTTTAGTTTTTCTGGCAACATTACTAGTTTGAGGTTCGCAGCATTAAAGACAAGGGTAGCAATTTTGATAGAATCATCATTGAGAATGACATTAACACCACCCATGTTAATTTTCATCTTTATTTTTTGTGGTGCATCTTCATTATCTGAATTGTTATGTCTCAGAACATCAGCTGGTGCTTCAGGAGCGTTGGGGTCAGAGAATGTTAGCATCATGAAGTTCATTAGAGTTAATATAGACAGTGGTGTCAACACAATTTGTAATTTTTCCATATCAATAAGAACATCTTGATCGTATACTTCAATTAAAGAATTTTCATGGGATACAATTCTTTGTGTTCTCGAATATTGTAAAGAGAACAAATCCGAGTTCTTAACAGAACCTGAAAATTCAGAGGTTATCAAATTACTGAATTCCTTCGAACTTTTGGAAATATGATCTTCCATATTCAGAGAATGTATTTGTAAATTAACTTTCATATCCTTGGTTCTCTTGTAAAAATCAAATTGAAAGTTTTCACCCTTAATGTCAACCAATTTATTGCATGTCATTGTTTCTGAGTTCTCACATTTTGAGATCCCGACCATAACTTGATCAATGTCAAAGTGAACATCCAAGAATTTCTGGTCAAGTTGAGATTCCGATAGAGTAGCAATATAAGCTTTCATATCACGAAGTTGTTTTTGTTCCAAATCTGAAAAGCGAGTAGCATTTTCTTCAGGTGTGTTTTGAGTGCCATCATTATTCTCGATGATAAAGGAAGATGGTAAGCAGTTCTGCAAAATCTCAATAGCTGTTTTGTATTGAAAATCATTAAATGCAAACCTAATTGTAGGTAAATGACCAGTTAACTTGAATTTTGGAAGGCGAAATGCTTTTGGTGCAATTAATGAGTCCAGAACTAGTACCAACTTCATTTTTTCAAGAACACTGAGGTTTTCAAAACTTTCGCTATCTTTTAAACTACTTAGTGTATTGTGAATGTTAGCACCAACTAAGATTTGAGTATCTTGCAATTCTAATTTGTACCTATCAAACATCAATCTGTTCTTATCATTAGGATTTAATTTGTCATAATCTTCTGGGCTCATGCCAATGATTTCCTTAATCTTTTCCTTTGGTATAACATCGCTAGAAACAGATATATGTCCAGCATCAACAATAGCACAGGGTGTATCCCAAGTATAATCGTGAAGTGGAAGTATAATCAAAGGTGCTTGCAAATCAAGAGATAAGTTAATAGTTTTGTGGTCCTCAAGAATAGTTTCTATGCCCATTCGTGAATAAGTGGTCCACCCCTCAACAGTAGCCTCTGCTGCTGAAATAATTGCGTCAATGGTATCTTTATGTTCATCGGGCATATTGAAAAATTGGAGGATTTCAGATACAAAAAGGACATTGTAGAATATAGTCATACCATTCAATTTGATGTCTAGCTTCGAATCTGAGATGCCATCTAGAGGATTGCTTTCATATATCAGATTCAATAAATTCTCCTTTATATCGCCTGTGTCAGTAATGCTTGATTTATGTAAATCCCTACCACTGACAATATGCTTATAAATACTTGTTTCTGATCCATCTTCAACCCTAAAGTCAGCCAACGAAAATTTACCTATATAAGAATCAGACCTTTGAGAGAATTGAAGTTCACAATCTTCAAATATAACTTCGGATAATATTACATTATTTTTCTTCTTTAAGACAAAGGAACCTTTTTTTAAAATACTGCTGATATTCAAAGTCACTCGTTCTCTAGGAACAGAAATCTCCTCAGTTTCTTCCTCATTTTCATCAAACTCAATAGCATCATAAAATTCTTTTCTCTGTTCGTCAGTGAGTTCCAAGGCGTCAGAAGTAGTATCTTTGGAGCCCCACCATGATGATAGCCACCCTCCATTGTTATTTTTACTGTTTTCTATAGCTTTATTTGAGGCTTTTGAAACAGCTCTGCTTTCAGTAAACTGCCTTTTAGCCACTGTTCTAAATAGAATTAACTCTTCATAAGATAAAGACTCGGTGAGCTCGTTCAATTTAGCTTCTTCTTCAATTGGTAGGTCAGACTCTAATGATGGCAAATTAAGTTTCTTTTCCCACAGTTCAATATATTTTCTCCTGTCTTGACATTTCTTTTGAATAGCATCCCAGGTCCACATTTCGTTTTTCTTCCGCATTCTCTCTTTAACTCTGGATACCACATATTTGAACCATTCTTGTGGATTTTCCTGCACTGATACAGATGGCCTCTCCACTTGAGATATAGATTTATTTGCCTTTGCAGTCAGATTTGACAATGTAAATAAAAAATCATTATACTCAGCATCATCGATACCGACAGTGAACTCTTCAAATATCAATTGCATGTCAACATGGGGTTGAGAGTCACTGGAACCTTTTTTATTTAAAGTCAAGTGACCTTCTCCACTAATAGGTCTTATAATATATTGATGCTGAGGAGTTTCCACACTTTCTGCACTAGCGATAGTTCTTTGGAATTGCAGAATCAATTTCTCATGAGTTGGGTCATATAGATCAGACTCTGGATCTAGATAATCAAGTAGGAAAGTCGAGTTTGTATTCCAATAGCAGCACAGGGAGTCCATCTTGAACAGTTTATGGGACAGCGCCTGAGCTGTTTCAATGAATTTTGGTACCCATTGATCATCGGTTGACACAGCCGAGAATTCTTTTAATGCAACACCTAACGCACATGGGTATTTCGAGAATAGACAACTTTTATCCTCGTATCTCAAATGTATATTTTTGATCGTGATCTGTAAGTTTTCTATGATCTTAGTTGTTAAGGATTGCATAAAAGTGGAATTCTTGCCATCATCAGCATTGTCCGCACTGAGCGATTGCTTTGCCTGATTAGTCAGTTCCCATTCGGCCAGTTTATTGAGTTTGTGTCTCAGCTCTCTGGCTATATCCTCATCAGGAGTAGTAGTTTTGAAGTCTCTTGGCGTACACAACAAGAAACAGTCCTCGATAATAATCTTAACGGGGTTATTTTTCAAAGAGGACCAAGGCACCACTAGGGAAAGGTCATTCAACACACCGAACTTCACGTCAATTGGCAAGTTGAGACTATCCAAACAATCCTGCCTCAACTTCAAGTTTTTAAGCTTCACGTCACCGCTCCATATCCCCACATTTAACTGCGCTGGGTCAAAGTTCTGAACATAGGAGCCCAGCACCCTGTTCAGTACAGACGCAGCTAACGATTCCAACATCTTATTACCTGGCTCTCAATTCTCAAAGATCCGGATCTACTATGTTCTGCGATCCAAATTAAAATCTCTAAAAAGTTTCTTAGGGCAATTGCAGATGGTAGACTCCTTATCAATAAATATCAACTTTTTGTTCAACGTTTGCTTGCGATATCCAAATTAAAGTACCTAAACGAGTTCAGATCTGTCCTTTAAGTTCGCTGTTTTGTAGTTTAAATTGAGCTTTTTAGGGAGAATTCGATTTAAGCGAGAGGTGATGAGGACAATTTTGCTCGTTATTATGAATAGTGGAGGTTGCAAGAGCATACATGAAATACAAATAGACAAGATATGCCAGGGCAAGCATATATATTAAGTGTATTCTATCTACAAATATGTTCAAGTGTGTAGCAATTTATATGATACTGCCAGTTAGTTGCGTGCTAATTTAACTCTTTCAAAGTATGCTAAATAGATACCTCTTGGGATGTGAGCTGTCCTCCCTACAAAACATAGTTAATGACGCTTGCCCATACTAGTGGTTAGAAGGGAGTAGGAGACTTGTTCTGACCAAGTAGCACACTACTTTATACATATAATTGAATTAGAATATATGCTTGCATATGTATCACGTGATCCATCTTGACAAGAAGGCTTTCAATTGCAGCCAATTTCCTCCCAACAAGCGAAGGATCAGACACTGCGCTGGAGGAGGGCAGTTATATTAAGCCAAGGGCTTTTAATGTAGGTCGGTTACATTGTGGTTGCTGTGTGAGTAAGCAGTACGTGGAGTTGAGATTGATAGAGATATGATTAAGTCTACTGTGGTATACAGGGATGACGGGTTACCGCTGTGCAGTTCTGTTGACGACGATATCAGCGACCTTTCGCTGAATGAGCAGAAGAAGCGGATCAAAATGGTCGTGTCACGTATGACACCCCAGAGTGCCAATGAGGCTACACTAGAGTCCAAGGACTCGGAGATACACTACATTAGACAGCAAGGTGTGATATACTTTGTCATTTGCGAGGCAGGCTACCCTCGGAACTTGGCGTTTTCTTACTTAAACGATGTCGCTGTGGAATTCCAGCACTCATACTCCAATGAGTTGAGCAAACCCACTATCAGACCATATGCATTTGCTAGCTTTGACACTTTCTTACAGAGAACTAAGAAGGCCTACAGTGACAAGAAAGTGCAGGACAACTTAGATCAATTGAACCAAGAGTTAGTGGGCGTCAAGCAGATCATGTCCAAGAACATAGAAGACCTGTTGTACAGAGGTGACTCCCTGGAGAAAATGGATGACATGAGTAACTCTTTGAAGATATCAAGTAAAAAATACAGGAAGTCCGCACAGAAGATCAACTTCGATCTGTTGATCTCTCAGTATGCACCAATCGTCATGGTTGCATTCTTCTTCGTATTCCTATTCTGGTGGGTTTTCTTAAGATAGTGATTAATAGTTGAATTTTTTTTTATTTTTGGAAGGAAGAGGAAAATTCTATACCAATAACCAGAAGCATTATTTGTAAACCAATATCTAACTTTTATATTAATTAATTAGCATTAGCGCAGATTTTACGACAAGTGGGCATTTGTTGTTCGCATATTTACCTTATTTACTCCTAACGTTCATTCATCACAACTTTATAAATAATCTTGGTAAATAGTTGAGAGGTATGTTAAATTTTATGCAGTTTGTAAAAGCTGGAAAAATTAAACTTATATTAAGGCTACTAATTTATTTTCGTATACTCAACAATTTAATATGGTTTCGTGGTCTAGTCGGTTATGGCATCTGCTTAACACGCAGAACGTCCCCAGTTCGATCCTGGGCGAAATCATTTAATTTTTTGGATTTTTTTTTTGCAATCGCATTTTCTTTGTTTACATGAAGATCAGAAAATTGTAACTCGCAGGTCCGATTACACTGTGTACTTTCATTCCAGCTTTGATGCTCATCTCATGATATTGTATAACTGACTTCTTGTACATTTTCAGTGCATTTGTGTTTTTTATTATCTGTTGCAAACATTTATAGCCTCGACATTTCTGAGCGCCAGCACGTATGCGATTCTGATGTCTGATTTTAACTTAGCTGAATATACTACAAGATTTCAAACTTCGGATAAGGAATCCTATACCGAGGTTAATAATGCGAACAATGAATTGAACATAGTTACAGATAGATTGGCGGTTTCATCTGAGCAGATTGATGCTGATCCAGAAACATTAGAATCATTTATCGACCTGTGTCATGGTTTCCAATACTTGTCATCGAAGCTTCAAAAGCAGCTTACATACCTTATTAGTTCTTCATTAAACCATTTGGTGAGGGATGTTAACGCACAACTGTCTTCAAACTCCGATTATAATGAGGTCAACTCACTCATACCACAATGGAAAAGACATCTGGAAGAGTACGGTTACTTAACCCATGTGGTATTGACATTTCTACAAATCACTGTCCATGACGCCGCTTCGAAATCATCAAATGCGTCAAAGAAGAAATCTGCCAATAGCGAAACAGTACAAAAGTTTAAAAACTGCTGTAATCAAATTGAATGCCTTTTGGAGCCAGTTATTATGCTATTAGAAATAAACTTGTCACGTATATTTCAGACTACACCAGAAAGGGATCTTTTCATTAGCCTTTTTGTCAGACCTTTAAATGTTCTTATAGAAGCAGAGGCCGTCATAAAACTTCCATCACTCAAGATGTTTATACAAAGAGTAATTGCCCTATCTGTCAAGAACCATGGACAGGTCAGAATTGCACAAAACACAATAATGACAAACCTGACCTACTTTATCCACTTATCCAATTTTAACGCTGAGCTGCTGCAGTTGCTCGATGACGAATACGATTTTCCACAATTAACTGAAGATCTATTGAAAGAAATAAGTACTAGGGTATTTAGCGCGAAAGATACAAACGGTCCAAAAGCAATCTCGAACTTCTTAATAAAGCTTTCAGAATTATCTCCGAATATTATGCTACGACAAATGTCTTTGGTTGTTCAACTTCTCAACAATAGTTCAATCACTTTAAGATGTTCAGTGGTAGAAGCATGTGGTAACATTGTGGTTAGGCTTGCGAAGGAGCCATCAACATTGGAACATTACCATCAACAAATTGCCATCCTATTAGAGCTCTTACAAGAACGTTTTCAAGACTCTAATCCTTATGTAAGGACGAAAGCCATCCAAGGCTGTGTAAAAGTATGTGAGTTGAAGTCTAAGTTTAGAAAAGAAAGGTACGAGATTACCAAATTAGCAGTACGTTCTTTGGAAGATAGATCATCGTTAGTTAGAAGAAATTCCCTGAAATTATTATCTAAACTACTATTAACACATCCATTTGTCGCTGTTCATGGAACACAATTAAAATTGAGCAATTGGAAAAAGTATCAAGCATTAGCACTGGCCAGTTTGGAAAAATATGAGAAAGAAACAGATAATAACGAAATTGAAAACGAAGACGATGATGGCAACATGGAAATAGATAGAGAACTCAGTTCGAACGGATATGTCCCTACTGGTAATGAATTAGCCGATATAGAAAATGAAGCAGAGCAATCAGAAACACCAGCCGCAGAGACTGTTATGAAACTGAAGCTGATTGCATTATACTACAAAGAGGCTATAGCTTTTATCAATTTGATACACAAAGCGATTTATTCTGCTTCTGGCTTATTATTCTCAAGAAATAGAAATGAAGTTCTAGAATGTATGGATTTCATAGTTTTATCAGATGCCTATGGAATAGAGTGTAGTAATGTTGGTATAAAGAAGATGTTACATCTGGTTTGGATGAAAGGCAACTCTGATGAGGGAACAAGTGTTAGCTCTCATTTGATTGCATGTTATCAACAATTGTTTTTAACAACTCCAGAAAATATTACTGCAAAAGAGAAAGCACTTTACATTGCCAAAAATCTCATACAATTGACCGTTGATGCGACAGTTTCAGATCTAACATCTCTCGAACAATTACTAGGTATGATGTATGAACACAAACTGATTAATGAAATAGTTATAAACACACTTTGGGCAATTTACAACACAGCTTCCAATGCAGATAATGGCACCGAGAAATCATTTGTTAAAAATCAAATTCATGGTGCAATCATTGTGCTAGGAATGCTAGCCAATGTTAACAGCGATATAATATTGAAGGGTATTGATTCTATTTTAAACATTGGCCTGGGAAGTGCTGGTTTTGATGACCTTATCCTTTGTAGATATTCGTGTATTGCACTGGGACGTGTAGTACCCAAGAAAAGTTTATTCCTAGACAGTATATTATCCGAAGATCAAGAAATGCAGGCAGTGCAGAAGCTAGGACAACACATAATATTTGCAACAACCAACCCAAATTATTTTGCAATGGCTGAAAACGCAATAAACGCACTTTTCAATATCTCCTCTAAGCCAGATATAGTAATCGCGGACCTTATAAAAGAAAAGACAATGATGACATTTGGAAAACCTGAAAATGACAGTTCTATCACGTCAACTGATATATCAAGGACGGATTCATTAAGCCAATTGTTATTTATAGTAGGCCAAGCTGCGATTAAGACACTAGTATACTTGGAAAAATGTGAAGCAGAATTTAAGAAAAGAAAAATAGAGGCTGAATCTAAAATCGGTCAAGAAAAGTCAAAGAATGAAGGACCAACAGATCCAAATGCAACCGCTAACGAGACTAAAGATAATGAACTAGAAATGATTGGAGGTACAAATGAAGATGACTTTGCAGATGCTATCAATTATGTGAAAGAAACTGAGCTTTTATTTGGGCCTGAGTCACTCTTTGGTAAATTTTGCCCAATTGTCGAAGAAATTGTTTCTAATAGTACTAGATTCCAAGACGTTGTGTTACAAAGAAGTGCTGCCCTTTGTTTGGAGAAGCTAATGTGTATATCTTCCAAATACTGTGAGAAGAGTCTACCTTTATTGATTACAGTGATGGAAAAATCGAAAGATCCTGTGATAAGATCAAACGCAGTTTTAGGTCTTGGTGATATGGCAGTATGTTTCAATAATCTGATCGATGAGAATACAGGTTTCCTATATCGCCGTTTACATGATAAGAACTTGATGGTCGAAAGGACATGTTTAATGACAGTTACCTTTTTGATTTTGGCAGGGCAAGTGAAAGTAAAGGGCCAATTGAGTGAGATGGCTAAATGTCTAATTAATCCTGACCAAAATATTAGCGATATGAGTCGGTTATTCTTCTCAGAACTTGCTACAAAAGATAATGCTGTTTATAACAGTTTTATTGATATTTTTAGTAATTTGTCTGCTGATACAGATATTACTCAGGAATCATTCAAAAAGATCATGAAGTTCTTAACCTCATTCATAGAAAAGGAAAGACACCAGAAACAACTTGTGGACAAACTGATTGGGAGACTAGCGAATTGTGATGACCAGAAGCAATGGGATGATATTGCGTATGTGTTGAACACTTTACCATATAAAGATGACAGAGTTGCCCCACTCTTAGAAGCTGGCTTTAAGATGGTGGAGGCCAAAGAATGATGATATACGTCTAGAAAAGATCTAATGGATGCTAATAAGTAAAAAGAAATTGTCTCTATGTCGTTATATTATTTGAGAATAAAGTTATTTAGAGTAAGAAAAGAGAAGAATATAGAACAAATATTATTTATTTAATTTGTTGAATAAATCACATTTTATCGTTAACTTCGTCTAGAAGCCTTCTACAATATTAGGCAATTTTGGGATACCATCCGCCTCTAGCTGTTTGGATACTTCTTCCTCCAGACCACGCTTCCACAGGTCGTGGTTCTCACCAATGACGTATGTTATGGTTTTGCGCATATAGCCTTCTGGGCCCAAGTATTGTAGCATATCAATGATTTCATCTAGTAGGATAGCTTTACCAGTAGAGATACCATTACCTAGACCAGGGTGTTTGATGTTCACAATGTGAATGTGGAAATGGTAGTAGGATGGCTGGTAGTGGATGAAGACTCTAAGTTCGTCAGGATGAACCGCGTAGTTGTAGCATGCAGGGATGATAGATCTGATCTTGTTGTATATATTTTTTAACCAGTCTCTGTCTTCCATCTTTAAGTCCCTTAGCGACCTGATATCGTCTCTGTAGGATATAGCTACTAAGTACAAGGACTCTAAGTTGTTACCATCCCATTTCATGTCTGGCAACACTATGAAGCTGTCCTTCTTATTGTCTTCCTGGTAGTCCTTGTAAACAACACGGTCTGCCTCCGCCTCACCATAAAGGATGTTGTTCACCCACGCCAATCTGCCCTTGTTGTGCATTTCTTCGATGTATGGCTCCACAATCCTCTTGTACGCTTCTGGGGTCTCCTTGATCAAGTGGAAGTTCTGTTGTTCATACTTCTTGACATGCACCGGTGTGGCAGGCCAGATCAAGTTCAGCTTTGCCGTAGGATTGTAGTCCATACTCTGTCTCAACACGGACAGACCCCAGTAATAAATGTCGTTGTTCGTAATCTGCTTCAACTCCTCGATACCGTTAACGCACGAGTACTCGTTCTCACAGTGGTAAAATATAGGAGTGGCATTCTCATCGCTAGCAGTCTTGTGTACAGTCTCATCAAACACAAAATGCGTCTTCTCCGCAGTGATAATAGCGTCCTTCCCGTCAATGGTCCCCAGCAGAGAGATAACTTTTGTCTGCGGGTTAGAGTCCAGCACCTTCACAAACTGGAACCGCTCAATCAGCGTGCTAAAATCCTCACTCTCAGCCATTGTACTCACTTTATCTTGTGCTTTGGATGCCATCTTCGAAGTTACAACTGCTATTCTTTAAATACATAACAGTTCTGTAGGTCCTGGCAATTTATAGCTCATCCCTGAGGAGTTGGGCTTTAAGGGGAGTAGTAGTGAAATTAATTATGTCGTTTATGGTGATCTGTACATGCCACTACAGAATATAAAATTCAGCGTTGACGCCTGCAAGGAGCAGCTATATATCTTGGCATACCTCTAGGTCAATTATAAACGCTTTTGATGTAATTTGGTGTGGTTCGTAGTGTAGATGCTGTTCTGCCCGCTAGCACTATATGTATAGAAGATACTAAGGTCTCATAATATATATGTCACTATTCACGTGTCCTGTATATGGTATAGGCACTGGACTCCAGTTATTTTACTATCCGTTTAACATGCCATTTTAGTATAGTGGTTAGTACACATCGTTGTGGCCGATGAAACCCTGGTTCGATTCTAGGAAATGGCATTTATTTTTTTTATAATAGTCTCTGTGCTTGGCACAACTAATATTACTGATGTATAGCACATAGCCGAGCGTAATGTCATGTCCTTGTGCAATATTTTTTTATGATCACATAACTAGTATAAACAGTAGCCATTTTATTTTTTTGATTTACACAAGGATTTCATTAGAAATTAGAATAGAAAATGTTACACAAACATAAATAACATTAGATAATGCAGTATAAAAAGAATTAGACAGGTAATTATGGGGTGGAAGTTGGCTGGGGATCATGGCTTAGGGATCTTCAAGCTCTTGGAGATCATACCGCATCCGTGCAAGAAGAAGATGAAGATGATAGGGTGGAACTCAAAAGCTAGGCCCTCTCGGACGATACCCAGTGGGATATTGTCGAAGATACGGTTCTGTCTCACCAGACAGGCCATACCCAGCACCAGCAACAGAGTAGTAGGCATTGGCAGGCCCTCAAAGAACTTAGACTTGCCCTTGACGTCCTTGGGTAGTTGACCCACGGTGACGTTGAATCTGGCCAATCTTGCTAACGCGCAAAGCACGAAGAAAGACAGCACGAACACATCCAAGGTGGTCTGGAAGCCGATGGCAAACGCTATAGCTGCAGGAGCCACGCCAAAGGAGACCAGGTCGGCTAGAGAGTCTAGCTCCTGGCCCATAAGGGAGGATCTATTTCTCAGCCTAGCGACACGGCCGTCAAAGAAATCAAAACACATACCTAAGAATATGAAGAAGTGTGCACGCTGAACATAGTGTGGCTTACCAGTAAGCGTGAATCTCAGGCAACTCACAATCGAGTAAAACCCACAGAACCCGTTCAGCATCGTGATGTAGTCTGCAAGATGCAGGTTTCTGATCATGCTGAAGTGGTACGCATCGCTGGTGAACATCTCGATATCCGTCTTGTTCGGAGGTGCCAGCGGCGTAGTGTCTATCGAGAAGATACTCGAGGCCCTCCTGCTCAACGTGGGTCTCTCCTCATCGTTATCCATGTAGTCCTCCCCGTTCTCACCGTTCTCTTCAATAACCGGAAACTCCTCCCTGCCTTCAGACATCTCTTCAAAAGCTGGCTTACCTCTCCTAGTAGATACCATTTAGCTCACTAAACTATTTCTCGTCACTGCAACAATAAGGAGTGAAGAAGAACGAACATGAACCACAGGATCACACTTTATATATTAGGCAAGGATTGCCAAAACTGAAAATTCACATGGCTTCTCCCCGGGCGATGGGCCGAGACAAATGCCGTGCGTGAGGCATGACTTTTATTAGAGTTTTGCGATGATATTCGGGATGTTATATTAATATATAAAGAGTCATAGGTGTGTAGTTATACAATTTGGCTGGGGCAGCTGGAGGAGGGGTGGGGGGTTAGTCTCTTAGGCCGGCGGTACGGTCTGCCTTTGCGGCTTTCTTTTCCAGCTCGTCCCAGTCTTCTCCTTCTTCCTCCTCACTGTCAGCACCGCTGTAGCTGCCGTCACTTATATCTTCAGAGTAGTCGTCTTCGTCGGAGTATGCGCTCTCGTCCTCTGGCTCTTCTTCGGAGGCTTCATACTCACTGATTTCTTCTTCACTCTCGTCAGAGCCCTCTTCGTCAGAGTTTGCGTTCAAGAAAGACCAACCACCGTCCAGGAAGAACTGGTGTGGGTCTTCCTGCAGCGACTGCATAATGGTGCTCCACTTCAGGTTAATTGTGGAGATGGCGTATGGGATGTCCATGTCTGTGAGCCACTGCTTCAGGAAGTCTAGGGATTCGATTGGGATCGTGTTTATATGTGTGACGGGTTTCTTGAAGTCCTTGTATACAAAGACAAGATCGAAGTTCTTCAGACCGAACTGCACTCTTTCGAGGATCGCCACTTCAATCTCCTCTAGGTTCACTACCAGGAATGGTGGTTCGATCAGTTGGACCAGGCAGTCGGTGGTTGGCATACAGAAGACTGCAGATCTGTTTGGCACACCTTGGAAACCTAAATCTCTGAAAGTGCTCTCGACGGAAACCAGACCGTTGGAGGCCTCTGCAATAGCATCGGCGAAGTACTTGAATTCCTTATCCAGCATAGCTCTCTTCCTTCTTTCTTCTTGCTCTTGCTCGAGTTCGTCCTCGTCACCATACTTTCTGAACTTGTTCTGGTTACGTCTGCCTGTACCAGTTTCATCGACAGATACATCGGATGCTTCACGATAGAATTGAACATCTTGTATCTTTTTCTTACCCATCATGATAGGATTCTTCAAATGGATATGAATGATGACAATCAGTTCACCTTTACAGGATTGAAAGATCAAGTTCTTGATATTGGAGAATAAGATATCAATTCTACTGTCAGTCCTCAAAGGTGATTGGTATCTGATACCATTCTCGTGAATGAACACGGTACTTGGAACTCTCTTAGTGTCAGGACTTGGTCTAACAAATATTTGATCCAGTCTCTTTGTTCTACCAGTCTTATTCTCTATCAACTTATCTTGTTGAACAACATCTGCAAGTGCTTTACGTTCTTGCTCTCTCTTTGTAGATTCCTTCTTCAAATCAGTAATCTGCTTGAAGGTTTCACTCATACGGTCACCATCCTTGGATCTTAGGGTGATAGAACGCATGAATTGGTTATCTGGTGAATCGTCATATGGCAGTTCAACAACATTTTTAGAGATACCACCAGCTGAACCAGGAGAGTGAAAGTTCAAACGTAAGTATGTGTATTCTCCTTCTTCATTCTTTGAACCATTCTTGTATGAGTTAATATGGAATGGAACTGGTCTACCATAAATAGGAACGATAATTGTTTGACTTCTCCAATCAACATGGATTCTCAAGTCACGAACATTATTAGGAATTTGGCTTTCTCTGACATAAGATTCGTATTTCTTGAAATATTGGCGAGTTTCGGAGCCCTCAGTAGTGGCGTCTTCAGCTGTAAATCTTAAAAGACCTTCCTTTTGTAGTTTCTCATGTAGCTTTCTTTGATTCTCTTTTCTAATCTGTTCCTTTTGGGCGTCTTGAGATTCACCACGAGCATCACCACGAAGCTTACTTCTCAAAATCTTAGAGTTACCATCAAGGTTTGTTGGGATCTTTGTGGATGCAGCTGGTTTCTTCTCCTTTTCGACTTCGTCATTGTTGAAGTAGAAAGACACTTGAGATTTTGACTTTGTGTATTCAGTCAGAATCTTTGGACCATCTTCATTCAAAATAACGGTGTCAGCTAATTGAAGAGCATAATTGGTATTAGTCTTCATATCCTTTAATGCATTGAAACCAAAGGAGATGTTAAAACAATCACCAACTTGGATTTTACGCTTATCATTCTTGCTGTTCAAAACAAAGAATGAATCTCTGAACTCTAAACCGATCAAAGAACCAATGTTCTTTGTGAAGTTTCCAGCAAGCTCAGGTCTAACTTTCTTAATGAACTCGACAACAGATTCGTAAACCTCCTTACCGGTTCTTCCTGCTTTTAGCTCATTTTCGATGATATGTTTTTGCAAATCTAGCAAAAATACATAGTTGTTAACCATTTCTTCGGAAGGATCGATCAAGAAAGTTCTAGTTGTGTTAGAGCAGTAATTATTGTAACGGATACCACATGATGCCAAGATACAACCGTTGCCGTGCAGCTGATCGTTATTAGAATGTGCAGATACTCTCAGATCGAATTTGTTACCGGATTGAATGATGGGAGAGTAAGTCCAATCCAATAGATCAAGAGTAAACTTGTGGTTTGGAGGACACATGGCACTTAGGTCATTGGTGATTTTCTTCAAGAATTTCAAGTCATCTATCTTGTTTTCAATCTTGTCTGATAATTTCGAGTTGGTAATCTTTAGTTCATCATCAACAGCGCGAACCATTTCGTCCGATAACAAATTCATGAATCTATCAGAACACTTACTAGCAATAGAAATATAAGCTTTCTCCTTATCGTCCTTGACCTCCCAAGTACTAGACAAACCTGCAGAGATGTCAACTAATTTGAATTCATGTTCTTTGATGGCAGCATCCCAAATTGGTTTCCACTCTTTCATGAACTTACCTTCGTAAACATCTTTTTCTGGGATACCGACAGTCTTACCTGCGGTGTTGATTAGTTCAATTATATCTTTGAACAATTTCTGGCTATGCTCTACATCCTTGTTATTTCTTTGCCATATCTCTAGTTCGACACCGTTGTTGTTATTCTTGAACAGTTCCACCACTTTCTCCAAGTGCTTGGCCTTTGGGCCACTGGTAATGATGACCACTTTACCAGGAGTGAAAACAATCAAAGTCGCAGGGAATTCATAACCCATCAACCAGTAATGCAAAGCTGTAGTCTTCTGGTAAGGGTTCTCAGGGTTAGAGGAACCCAAGGCAAACACCATAGAGTTTGGCTCATTCTCAAACTCCCTGTATTTGCCATGTAGCAGCTCCACTCTGGCTTTGAATGCCTCGGCGTCAATATTCAACTCGGACATGCTGCACTACAGTGAAATAATCGAAAATACAATTCGAACTATACTCTGCGCTTTGGAAATCAAATATAACTGCTAGCTGTTACAGCAAAATAACTATTCTTCAAAAACCTGTTCTGCTTACTATTGTGCTAACTATTCACCAATTGCAAAACAACAAATTCGCCAATAATAACCGTCGGAGCTTCGTTCAAGGACTCAATCAGAATTGATAACAGAGTTGTGTCCAATTGCAAATCAAAATTAGAGCTGGTTTGGCTGTAAACAATGGTATATCCTTCACTAAACCTCACTGAAATGAGCTTATAAGCGTTGCTCGTGAAAGATTTTTGTTCGGCAAACTTTGAAATTTCATTGCCACGCGTAACGACAGAGCCGGGTAAAGCTGGAAGTCGATATAGAAGTGATAGTATATGGAATAGTCTGTATTGCTTGAGTTGTATAATCTATGTATCGAGGCAAGTATGTGGTCTGCAAATATATTGTTACATCGGTATTGATCTATAACCGTGAGTTGGCTATGTATGTAGCTAGGTTCTCGAAGAGGAGAGCTTCGTTTTCCTTGTAGAAGTCTGAAAGTCTTACCGAGTCCTCTGTGAATTGCAAGTCACTGGCAAGTACTTCTGTGGCGTTCTTTGATATTAGTGCGTACTCCTTCAGTACCGCCAGTGGGTTCTTTTCGGTTTCTTTGAAGAACTGATGTTTTGTCGCTAGGGCGTTCAGTTGCAACTGTAGCATATTTATTTGCTCATCAATGTCTTCTACTTCCTGGTCAGTTGTCTTGGCTAACTCTCTGAATCTGGACAGTGGAGTCTCTTTGACTTCTGGCGATTCATTGCCTATCTCAATATCAAATACGGTTTGGCCATATGTTGTTTCCACATCGGTCCTTATGGTGTAATTGATTTTCTTGGCGGGAAGAGGTTGGAAATGATCGTTCACTAAGGACATGGCTTCTTTTAAGCCTACTTTTAGTTCCTCTGTGTTAGCCATAGCTTGTTCCGTGATATCTCTCTTTGGTAAAAGCTTATGTAGTGCTGAGTCTAATGTCACCTTTGTAGATTCGCTATTATTAGAAGACATGTGCTGATTATCATTAGTTTTGCCTTCGTTGTTTAAAAGATTGTTATTCAGAATGTACTTGTATAGGCCATAGACAGCTCCTTGCACAGAACCAACATTTATACCCAGAATTTGCGATAGTTCTGGACTGTACTCCACTTCTTCACCAGTACAACCCCTGGGTTGAATTGTTATTGTGCAGTTTATATTCTGAGTGCCTGGTCTTTTGACATCGATGCCGTCAAACTCGCTGCCAGCTACAGAATCATAATGCCATTCAACAGCGTCAATAATCTCACTGTCATCCTCCGCATCCTCATCCTCGTCATCGTCGTCGTCATTATCATTTGTCGCCATATTAGTGCTGTTGGCGTTCTCTGCAAGCTGCTGTGTAGTATTGTCACCATCTGTCATGGTTATATCCCCATTTGAGACAATCTCTGGTCTATTATCCTGCCTTCTAGGTTTAAACTTTTTGAAATCAACGGCAACTGCCTGGAGATATGAGCTAAAGGGACGGGATTCGCCTTGAACTTCTGAACCATCACGATTTAGCAATTTGCCTTCCACCCTCAGAAGCCAATGTGGTTTATCGTCCGTTTTCTCATCTTGCCATGGTTGATGATGTGCTGTGTTGTACACGTAGACGCGTAAAAGTCTCCCACTATCACTAGTATTCTGAGGGTAAAGTCCACCAGACGTAGCGTCTAAAGACAACTGATTCTCTTTCTCTCTCACTGATATATCCAATTGCTTCTCCTTCTCGACCAGCTTCTGCAAGAGTGCCAGCTCAGGTACATCTTCTTTCAACTCGAACGGAATGTAAGTATACGTAGGCGCAGACGTTGGGATAGGCGCCGTCTTCACAGCATCTGAGTTCTCGGGCATCGCTTTTCTATTGTAGTCCCTGTTTATACCGGTTTGTAGCATAAGTCCTCTACTAATCATGATAACTACTCTTCTTTAATCGACGTCTTACTTGTTGACTTTAGCACTTGAAGCAATTTTTAAGTATGGCGTGTAGCGTGATATTAATAGGCTATGTTGGCTATATAGTAATATCTGATGTTATGGTATATATGCTGGTATCTGCCCAGCGGGATCTTGAGTAATTACTGTGTAGTATTTAGGAACCGGTCCCGCGCTTTCGTTATCTAATCGGTTAGCATAACAGCTTACTTACGACGTTTGGAAGGTTCCTGGTCCTGGTCCTGGTTCATCATTTGCGAGCGGACCATTTCTCTGATATATGCCTCCAACTCTTGCTCTGGGTTCTCGCCCATGACAATCTTTTCAAGCCTCTTTCTGCGCTCAATAGACTCTGGGTCTGTGAGTTCGTCTGGTTCTTGCTCTAGAGTGTATCTGACGCTGTCCTTGAATTGTGCGAGCTGATCCTGGTCGATCCCCAGGCTGTCCTCGTCCTTGTTCAGGCCAGACTTCACACGCATATACTGTATCAGCTCTGGAAACTCTGCGTCCTCTTCAAACACTTGCAGCGCGGTCTTCCCTTCGTCGTTGGTCAAGGTATAGTCTCCGCCGAGCTCCTCGACGATCAGTTGCGCCACTCTGACATCCTCACAGTGGTGCAGAGGTGTATCCCCATCGCTGTCCCTCACATTGATGTCCCCTCCGTGCTCCTGGCATAGCTTGCGCAGCAGATCAAGGTGACCGTACGCGGCAGCTGCATGCACCGGAGTGTACCCGTTGGGGTCCTTGCTGTTCGCACTCAGCCCGTCAGCCAGAAACTTCTCGACAATATCCCCACGGCCATCGCTAGCTGCTATCCAAATATTCATCCTGTATACGTGATTACCTCGGTCTTCATCTCCACTTCCCCAACTCAAACCTTCAACTATAGCTCTCTTCTATATGCAAAGCTCATCGCAAATTTTTATTTTCAGCGACTTTCTATCTTCCACAGAAGACTCCGCACAAACCTAATAACTCATTATACTGTATACAGTATCATTGCATTGTATATTATATATTGCTTATTCTATATTGTATTTTAAATACTGTCTATCATATCTATTAAAACACAACATATAGTAGTAGGATGACACTTGGCCCTGTGCACATCTCGAACCAGAACAGAGCGTTGGAGAGCACTGGTCTCTTGCGCAGGTATGGGATGTTGCTGATGCCCGCGAAGAAGAACTGGCCCAGTTGGAATGCGAACAGGAACCCACGCCAGCGCTTGACGATGGCGTACATTGCCAGCTCGTGGAACACAGCGCTGAGTAGGAACGTGAACAAGGTGGCCTGCAGCTTGGAGAGCCTGAACCTGTTGATGACGCTGTGGTAGATGTGTCTTAAAATGAACTTGTGTACTGGTACGTTCCATATTCTGCTGAACTCTATAAATGAAACGCAGTTCCACCAGTCACCGTAGAAGTATCTGTCTGCGAACATGGTCAGCTCCGCAAAGAAGTTCAGGATGGCGTCCCAGATTAAGTAGAAGGCCAGCATGTACAGCACGGTCATCGGTGGGATAAGCTCAGCCCAGATCAGGAAGAACTTGGCTGTGAACTCCAGACCGATAGGCAGCTCTTTTAGCTTGATAGCCTTCTCCGTAATGGGCAGCATAAATATCTGGGCGTCCACCACCATCAGGTAGATGCAGCCGAATGTGGCGCAGGTCTTCTCAATCAGGTAACCAATTCTGATCTTGTTTGTTCTAGGGTAGTTTATCTGGTAGATCAATGTGGGGAACAACGTGTACATGAAGTAGTTCTTGATGCTGATATTGTTAGGGAAGTTTTCGCCTTGACATTGGTAATTCAATTCGAAGCTGCAGAAGTCAATGCTTCTATGCAATGTGGCCATGACTTCTGAGTCTATATCCTTACGGTCTTTTAACTTGGCGACAGCTCTCTTCGAGAAGTTCAACTCATTGAGGATATTCCATAGATACCCGTTGTAGAATGAGAACGAGTGCATTTTCATAATCTGCACCACTGAGTGTAGGAATATGTATATCCTTGCAATCCAATTGAAGTTCAGGACATGGGCTGGGATGTACAGCGCAGCAGTAACGTAGAGGATTTCATAAGTGACGATGACCGGGACACCGGTCTTGTTCCAATTGATGACGTTGTAGCAGCACAGGTATTGGATAAACAGCACAAAGTATGTTGCGCAATACAACAGCGCATCAAAAGCGAACACCCTATGCAGGTCAGTCAACATGAACTTGAACAAGATGGCATCCTTGAACGAGTTGCCGTGGTCAATGTAGTAATTGATGCAAGACTGGATCGAAGCGAACCCAAAGATCATCCACATAAGCACGTAGACACCGGAGAAAGTCGGAGCCTCGTTCTCCTTGCCCTTTGAGCTGGTCTTGATGTTGATATCGAAGTCCGGTTTGTAACTTGGGTTACTTCTATAAGCGATGATCTTCTTCAACTTCTCCTTCTCCTTGATCTCTTTCTCTAGTATAGGGCCCTTGAACTGAGTCCTGTAAGGCTCACTCACTGCGAAGTCCAGGATTGTGGGTCTCTTGTCGAAGTCCACATCCCCGAAGTAGGAGATGTACTCCTGGGACTTCTTGTTGAAACGGCCGACCTCCTTCTGGTGCATGTGCTTCATGTACCTCTTGATAGTAGCGTCTACGTCCTTGGTGTGTTTAACGGAAGCGCCAGCATTGGCAGCGACATCGCCAGTGGCATCTGCATCGCCATCGCGATCGCCATCTGCAGGCGTATCGCTCTCCTGCGCAACTGTGAACGCCACGGAACCATCTTGCTTGTCCACCATCACATGCGAGTCCAGGACATCCTTATCGTTGCTGTCGTAGTCGTAATCGGTACGTGAGTCCCCGCCTTTACCATTGGTCGCAGGATCCACACTCAGCACATCCACACCAGACACATTGTCGTTGTCGCTGTCGCTCTGGCTCTGGCTCTGGCTCTGACGGCCTTCCTTCACCACCACAGTGGAGTCGAACACAATGCTGTGCCTCCGCTCCCCGTCCACCGAGTTCAGCTTCTGTATCTTGATGAAATCCTCATCATTGAGCAAGTCGTCAGCCATCCTTGGGGTTCTTTTTCTGTAGATATCGATAGCACCAAACAATTACATATGCAGTTATTAAATAATAAATAAAGACATTGAAACACCTGGGGTTCTGGCAAACAGTTCCACGGATCCCTTTTAGCCATGCCACTTAAACGAGATGAAGGAAACAATGGGATGCAGTAATTCAAATTAAAAAACAACGCAGTTTCCAGTAAGCAATATCCAAAGGCCACAGAGGTTTGACAATGGGGGAGGGCATCGCCATCGCAAAATTTAAATTTTTTTTTTTCAGAATTTTTGTCTTGAAAAACATGTGATATTTACGTGAATAGAGATATTTATTTGTATTTATATACGTATATCATATGACTTACGTATTTAATAACTAATAATGTGACTTGATGCGTCTATCGTGATAAACCCTTAATTGCCAAAAATTTCTACGATTTTTTGGATTTCTTGCCTTGAAGGGGAATCTTGGAAGTATAAATAAGGCTCAAGTTCCTGTTTGTGGGTTTCTCTGTCTTCTCGGCGGCAGTTAGCGAAAGTGCGAAGTTAAACATAGATAGCATGGTTCGGAGCGAAGAGGAGGCGATTTTCCGGTCGGCGGAGATGTCGCTGGTGCAGTTCTACATCCCGCAGGAGATCGCGCGGGACACTGCGTACACTTTGGGGCAGCTGGGGCTGGTGCAGTTTCGAGACCTGAACGCCAAGAAGCAGGCGTTCCAGAGGGCGTACGTGGACGATATCAGGCGGTTGGACAACGTGGAGCGTGTGTACAGGTATCTGTACAGTCTTCTGCAGAAGCATCGCATCCAGCTGTTTGAGAACGGGGAACTCCGTGATGGGAGTGTAGGTGGTGACGCTGTCGCTGAACCACCCAGCGGGTCTGCCATTGACGACCATGTGCAGAACGCTACGTTCTTGGAAGAGCGTTTGATGGAGATGGAGGACGGCTGCGATCAGATCAAGAGACAGCGCACGGACTTGGAGCAGTACCGGTTCTTGTTGAGGACCGCGGACGAGTTCTTCTCCCAGGACATGGACGCACCACAATCCCAGGCCAACGATACACCACAACCTACAGACGAGGAAATGGGTAACGCAGAGACAACTAGGTACGGCGGTGCAAACAGCTCCGTGAACTATGTGTCCGGTGTCATACCAAGTGAAAAGACACACATCCTGGAACAAATCCTATGGAGAACCTTGAGAGGTAACTTACTGTTCAAACATGTAGCAATTGAAAAGCCACTCTACGATGAGAAGACTGGGAAATATGTAAAGAAGGACGCATTCATTGTGTTCTCGCATGGTGACTTGATTATTAAGCGTATTAGAAAGATAGCTGAGTCACTAGATGCCAAGCTGTATTTTGTGGACTCGAGATCTGACCTGAGATCTGAAAAGTTGTTGGAAATAAACAGAAACTTGCAGGACTTAAACACCGTGCTACAGACGGCAATGGTTACTTTGGAAAGTGAATTATACGCTATTTCAAAAGAACTGAACTTGTGGTTCCATGAAGTCTCAAAGGAGAAGGCAGTATTCGAAACATTGAATAAATTCAACAACGATGAAAATAGAAAGACCTTGATCGCAGAAGGTTGGATCCCAATGGATCAAATAGATATACTGAGAGCAAAACTGGAGGAGATGGTAAACAGATTAGGAATTGATTTCCCTTCGACACTGCAAGTTCTAGAGACTACAAGCACACCACCAACATACCACAGAACAAATAAATTCACAGAAGCCTTCCAAGCTATCTGTGACTGTTACGGTATCGCCCAATACAGAGAAGTCAACCCAGGTCTACCAACAGTGGTTACTTTCCCTTTCATGTTTGCAATCATGTTTGGTGACTTGGGGCATGGATGCATCATGTTCTTAGCTGCTTTAACGCTAGTTCTAAATGAGAAAGCTCTGGGTAAGATGAAGAGAGACGAAATTTTTGATATGGCCTACTCTGGTAGATACATTCTATTATTAATGGGTCTCTTCTCCATGTACACGGGTTTCCTTTATAATGATATCTTCTCTAAATCAATGACATTTTTCAAGTCTGGTTGGGAATGGCCAGAAAGTTGGCACAAGGGGGAAGCCATTTTTGCTAAACAAGTTGGTACTTATCCTATAGGTTTGGATTGGGCTTGGCACGGTGCTGAAAATAATTTGCTATTCACTAACTCATACAAGATGAAATTATCTATTTTAATGGGTTTCATTCATATGACTTATTCGTATATGTTCTCCCTTGTTAATCACCTTCACTTCAACTCTTTCATTGACATTGTCGGTAACTTTATTCCTGGTCTATTATTCATGCAAGGTATCTTTGGTTATCTATCCATTTGTATTGTTTACAAGTGGACCAAGGACTGGATCAAGGATGGAAAGGCTGCGCCAAGTCTATTGAATATGCTGATCAATATGTTCCTGTCTCCTGGTAACATCGATGAGCCGCTTTATCCACATCAAGCCAAAGTTCAGATGGTTTTGTTAGTTACTGCCCTAATATGTGTTCCATGGCTACTATTTGTGAAGCCATTACATTTCAAATTTACTCACAGCGATAACTCAGGAAAGGCCTCATCGAATGATGGTGAATATCACGAAGAAACAGAAAATTTATTACCAGATGTTAACGATGCATTAGATTTGATAGAAGAAGAAGAGATTGCAGAAGGTGAGGAATCGCATGAAGAGCATAGTGAAGAGTTCGGTGACGTCATGATTCATCAAGTTATCCATACAATTGAATTCTGCTTGAACTGTGTATCACACACTGCGTCATATTTGCGTTTATGGGCTTTATCTCTTGCCCATGCCCAATTATCTAGTGTGTTGTGGTCGATGACCATCGGCTTGTCATTTGGAATGAGCGGATTCATGGGTGTTTTTGCTGTTGTTTTCTTATTTGCCTTGTGGTTTATCTTGACAGTATGTGTGTTGGTCGTAATGGAAGGTACTTCTGCTATGTTACATTCATTGCGTCTACATTGGGTTGAATCGATGTCTAAATTCTTTGTTGGTGACGGTACGCTATACGAACCTTTCAAATTGATTGATAGGGACTTGATTGAGGAGTCGATCGAGGCAGGTGTAGTTAGTACAATAGATGTTGATACTGAAGAAAGTGTAGAGGATTTTTCAAATCTTGATGAAGATGGTAGTCCAAGAGACGAGCCGGGTTTTATAAGACGTTTTTCTGGTATTTTTACTAGATCTTCTGATTAGAAAAATTAGTACTCAAAAATACACCTATAATTAGAGACATTTCATACTTGCAAGTAATGCTATTAATTTATAAGTAATAAATAAAAACTATCGAATTATCTTAACCTTATTATCCATATCTCCAGAAACTAATATCTCTCTTTGTAAAGATGGTGAAAATTGCTCAATGGTGGCCTCTCTATCTATGTCAATACAATTGATGAAGTTATTATGAATAGAAGACCACGTTTTAACGCAATTGCCCGTATTTAAGTCCCAACACTTAATAGTCTCATCATCACTGCATGAAAATAGGTGGTCACCTCTCAACTTTAAATCTTTTACCCAAGATGTATGTCCTCTTAGAGTCATTACGCATTTAAACGTAGTATTTGTAGTTGATGGTACTGGTGCGCTGTTGGGTTTAAGTTGGGGTAGCGGCACTTCCCATATTTTGATTGTGTTATCCCTAGCAGCAGAAGCACAGTATTTAAATCTAAGAGGAGCAAAAGCTGAGTGCTCGTTCTGATCTCTATAAGGCGATGTGCAGATCTTAGAGTCAGAGAAAGGAATTATCAGCACCCTTTCAATGGGGAACTCGTGGCCTGTCCCTACCGATAAACCATTTCCTGATGGCCAGTGGGTCAGTCGCAGTGTAGAGTCAAGGGACCCCGATAGAATATACTCGTCCAGTACATCAATTGATTTAACCCATTCACTATGGGGACTGAAGGACTGAAGACATCTTGAATCGTTAACTCTCCATACTTTTACAGTGGCATCTCTTGAACTTGAGGCAAGCAAAACATCGTTATCCTTTTGCCATGTCTTCTGAGAAGAGACTGTGCTGTCGTGTGCATTGAATGATCGTATTAGCTTTAGCTCACCCGTGTTTGAAGAGTGATCATATACATTTATCTGTGCATCCTTGGATGTAGTAGACACAAGTGTGGTGGAATCAATAAACTCTTCGAAGTTGTGTGCCTCTATCACTTCAATGGAGGTTATAGCCTTTGAATGTGCAGTTGTCACCGCTAGTGGTATTGTGTAGTTTAGTATATCGTACGCTATTAGTCTGCCAGTATCCGTACCAACATAGACTATTGCCAAGGATGGGTGGAGTTTGATGGCTGTCACAGGGGACTCGTTCTGTATTGATGCGTAGATGTGATCGGGTGGCAGCCAATTAACATCAGTGGTCGTCGCAATCTGTGTATCCTTCGGTACAATTGTTTCGAGTTGTTTTGTCTTGTCGTCAAGTTCCTGCTGCAAAGCGTCGCATTTTTGTTCCAGTTTTGTGATAGCTCTCTGAAGCCTTATGATGGACCCCCACTTCTTCGGAAGCAGCATTTGGTCCCCGTCGTCAAGTGACAGTTGTAACTCATCTATATCGAGCACTGATTGCAACTTGTTGAGCAAATCGGAAGACCCATTATTCTGTGATACCCATTGCACATACCTATAGATGGAGCAATGGAGATCGTTCACCTGGGAGTCTGTTAGCGAAGACATCAGTTCCTCTTTAGCAAGTACTTCTTTTGTCTATATCAATGGCACGCTGTATAATAAATGGAACTCCCGTTCTGTCAATATCAAGATGGTATTCACTGCTAAATTATAGTTTTGAAGAACTAATGATGAACCAAAAATAGTAAACAAAGCAGTGCCTGTTCCTTGGCAGTGGATCAAAAAAAAGCTTTGGTACGGTTCTTTCTAAGAGGAAAAGCGAAAAAACTTGCTATTCCTAAAAAGTTATAATCACCAGGACAAAATGGACGCACAGAGAAAATAGCAACTACATAAACACCGATCTAATTACATTTATAACACCGATGCCTAATTGGGAAATAAGGTTTATAAGAGATGCATTTGCCTCGAGACTTTTGAAAAATCCTCCAGTCTGTTCCACACGATGTGACTACGAGGGAAAACAGAAGTTCTGGCAGGGGTTCTGTGTGGGTCGTGGGTTGTGGGTTCCACGGGAAAGGGTTTTGGCTACGGCATGTGCCTTGCGGCTGGTACTACAAAACGAAAATGATCCTGGCAATCCAAACAGCCATACATGCTGTACGTACCTGCACGTGAGTCAGGGAAGTAATCGCTTAGCGTAGAGATGACACCTGACACGTTACACGTTACACGTAACACGCAACACGTAACACGTAACACGTCAGCACACTCACACACTCACACACTCACACGGTAATATAATTGCACACGGCTTGTGTGGACATGGATTCCTAAAGCTCCTCGGAACTAGCCAATTTGTTCCGTCCCGCGCGGAATATAATGCAAGGGAGAATTCATAGTGGGGGAGGGGGGGCGTACGGAGATACTTTCGTGGCAAAAAAAAAAGAGGAAGACAAAGGGAGAATAAAAAAGGGACTTTTACTAAAATTACGTAGTGTTCAGCTTTTTTTTTCCCGGAATAATTTGTGCCACTTACTACAATTCTTCCGCTGAGAAACGTCCTTACAAGTGTACCCAGGCAATAACAATGATACCTGATTTTCCGTTTTCATCCTATGAATTTTCCGCTACACCTTGAGAGAACAAGTTGCGATGTGCGGGATAATTAGGGGGGGCCAGTGAGGAATAAAAAGAAGAGATTTTTCCGTCCCTTGCCAACCGAATACATAGATAGGGCATGAAAAGTGGGAAGGGAAGTTATTCCTCAGTGTTATGCCCGTACGCTTCAAGGATTTAGTCAGTAAAAATATTCGTAATTTTCCGGTTTGTGTGGGACTCCCAGAGAAAAGTAAGTGGAAAGGGGATCTCGGAGGGGACGCTTTCGAGTTCGACTCGCAGGATCTAGTACATCTACGGGATTGTACTAGGATAAAAATTGTGCCCACTACTGTTCTTGCTGTGTGTACAAGCTGCAAAGTTTCTTTTTTTTTGTATGTAGATGGTTTGGGTCCCAGAAGGGTCCCAGAAGGGTCCAAAATCCACTGACAATGACAATGACAATGACAATGACAATGGGTGAGGCTAGTGATAGTTCATTGTGTGATATAGCATGCGATGGTGAGATATAGCTTTATAATGGTAACTAGGATTTGCGTGGGATATAGCGTTATCCCCTTTCTTTTGATCCGGGAAAAGCATGAAAACGAGAAAAAATTTGAGATATTTTTTGGTAACAGGTTTCCAGAAAACCAAGCTTGATAGCGTAAGTGGTAAATGAATCATTGGGCCCTAACATCGAAAGGGAGTGAAAGAAAGGAGGGTACAGAAACAAAAAAAAAATTACCTAGCTCTGAAAAAGGTAGGCACCGAATTGTCAACGGGCCAAACGAACAGAAGTGAAAAACACTTGAAATCAAATAGAATATAATAAAATAAAACAAGAAATACAATAAAACAAGACAAGATTGAACAAAATTTCAACTCGGAGAGGTTTTTTTTCATTGATCTGGATAACTACCAAACACTTTAATTCCCAATAGTTATAGCTAAAGCAAGTGTTAAAGAAGGATTTGAGCCCCTCCATAAAGGAAAATATTTGCTAGGGAGGATTATACCTGGAGTTTTTTTGGTTTATAAATTTTTCTATTTAGACTCATTTCAGTGCTTTCTTTTCTTTATAAAGAGGAGAGTAGATCAGAAGTTCAGTGCTAATAGGAAATTAACTTTTTTTTGGTTTTGAAAGCAACTCAGAAACAAATCAATGATTGTAATATACACGTATTACTTCCTTATAGATAAATATCATTGATTTCCCTTTGCAGTTCGAAACAGACAGTTTTTGTTAATTTTGTTTTGCTGATACTACAACAGTCGTTTGATTTAAACAGCTTTTTCACCTAGGCACAATAGACATAGATAGAAAGTATGCCGTTGCTATCGAGAAAACCGTTCCATCACGAGCACCACTCGTCACATTCGCCGCCACCCTCCATAAAGAGCTCGAAGTCCTTTTTAGGATTTATGAGTAGGAAACCTAGCAGTGATTCATTAAAGAGTGAACGATCGCAGGATTCATTGAAGTCGTTGAATACATCGAATAATCACAATAATGCGAGCTATACTCATCTGAACGACTCCATGACCGCGTCGCCGAAACAGAGTCACTCGATGGCTGAATTGAAGAGATTTTTCAGATCTTCCACAAAGAAGAACTTATCTATGGCGCAGCTACGTTCAAAGAATGCATCTCCTACTAGTTCTGCATCTTCATCAACAGTGAATTTGGCGTCACATTTCAATTTGGCTATGACGTCAAAGTCACACACAAATCTACATGACACTCATAAAGGTGAACATGCTGGAGAGCATCACCATCATCAACATAAAGGTTACTCGAGTACGGCCTCTCTATCGGCTATGATGCATGGGAAACATCACCATCCCCATGGATCTACGGATCACCACGTACATACACAGTCTGCTATCCCACCAACTTCTGATTCTATTTTATCATTATCCAATAACATCAATATCTATCATGATGATTCGATCCTTGCCCAAAAGTATGGTAAACTAGGTAAGCTATTGGGTTCTGGTGCTGGGGGATCGGTTAAGATTTTGACTAGACCGACTGATGGAGCTACATTTGCTGTTAAGGAATTTAGACCTAGGAAACCGAATGAATCGGTGAAAGAGTATGCCAAGAAATGTACTGCAGAGTTCTGTATTGGTTCTTCTTTGCATCATCCTAATGTCATTGAGACTGTCGATGTCTTTTCGGACTCTAAACAGAACAAATACTATGAAGTCATGCAATATTGCCCGATAGATTTCTTTGCTGTTGTAATGACTGGTAAGATGTCCCGTGGTGAAATTAACTGTTGTTTGAAGCAATTGACAGAAGGTGTCCGCTATTTGCACTCTATGGGTTTAGCTCATAGAGATTTGAAGCTGGATAACTGTGTGATGACCGCTGATGGTATTATTAAGCTGATTGATTTTGGTAGTGCAGTTGTATTTAGGTATCCATTTGAAGATGATGTTACTATGGCTCATGGTATAGTCGGTAGTGACCCATATCTAGCTCCAGAAGTTATAACTTCAACAAAATCTTATGATCCTCAATGTGTTGATATCTGGTCCATCGGTATTATATACTGTTGTATGATGTTAAAGAGGTTCCCTTGGAAAGCCCCTCGTGAAAGTGATGAGAATTTCAGGTTGTACTGTATGCCAGATGAAGTTCCGCATGATTACGTAGAGTCTGCCAGACACCATGATCAGCTATTGAAGGAAAGAAGAGAAAGAAAGCATAAGCATTTGGAACCCGAACAGAACCCACATATAATAGATAATGCTAGCGAGACAAAGGTACCATCTCATCTGAATATAGTACAAGGTATTGCTGATAATAAGTCTAGCGAAGGTAATGGAACCCAAGTACAGGACAACAGCCAGAAGAACAATCTTCCAACACCTAAAGTTTCAGGAGAAGATGGCGAGAATGAGCAAAAGGCTAAAGAAAATCTTCAAGATCAAGATGGAGTGGTAAATAAGCCACATACCATTGAGCACACAGAGTCACATGATTTGAAATCCATTCCTTCACATAAGCCTGCACATCATAGGAAAACTATTAGAGGACCTTATAGACTTCTACGTTTGCTACCTCATGCTTCTAGACCATTGCTGTCTAAAATGCTTCAAGTTGACCCCAAACAAAGGGCTACTTTCGAAGATATTTATGCAGATGAGTGGTTTCATAATATACCATTTTGTACAATGGATGAAAAGAAGAATGTTGTCAGAGCACCTGGCCATCATCATACCATAGTTAAAGAGGTTGACTCGCATATGGAAACATATAAAATTTAGAACTCCATGATTGGATGGTTAACCCACACAATGAACTTGCGTCGATGGTGAAGCCCTACAGATGAAAATATGACTAAAAGATAATATAGTTCTGCCAAGGCCAGAACTAGAACTATCTAAAAATGCAATTATGAGATAACGATTTTAAGATTAAAAGAAAATGAAATGTGATAGGACATTACAGAGACGATGAATAATATATGTTGCATACTTACATTGTAAGATACTTCTCAGAATGATAGAACTAGTAACTTTTACTGTAAGCCTTTTTATGTTACTTAATTTAAAGACGACCATTATCCACTGAAATATAATAATATTTTTTTTATCAATTACATTACTACCTAATATAACTATATCCGAACAAAATTTAAGTTCTTAGTATGCTTAATATATAATATGAATTTTACGATTAAATTTTATTTACATGTATGTGAGATGATTTTATCGACCTATTGTTAACGTATTCTCAGGGAGCATGGACTTTAAGTTTGTAATTCCCCACTTTTCATTAAAGGTGAGTTTTCCATCGATAATGATTGTGTTACCAAACCTATATGACCAGTAATCTATTAATCTGCGAACCAGGGTATCAGTACCTTCTTTCGATAGCATCATTTCGTTTAAATTTTCACCTTTTTGGTACAGTTTACGTTCATAAATGCAATTTACAAGCTCTGATCTATCTAAACGTAGTTCCTTCCCTTTCAGTAGAGTTGTTACTAGATACCAATCATCAATATAAATGTATTGATACCATATAGTTAAGTCCTGTATCAATTTATCCTTTATATTAAACATATTGCGTAAATACAACTTTCCTCTTGAAATAGGCATTTCCGAGTTTTTAATGATACCATAAATCTGGGAATTTGAAAGTGCATAGGGCGGTAAATATTGTTCGCTATCCGTAATTACTTCTCTGGTAAGTTTCTTGAATTGCTCGATTTTTTTGTTAGATATTTTGAAGTATCCACCAGGTGTCATACAATTTCTTGGAGCAACTTGAGGAAAGAAATAGCATAGCACAGCTGTCAATTCTTCAAAAACCAGACATATAATGAAGAAGTTTGGTAGCTTATATATCTCATTTCTTCTCATCATTTCCACTAAATCAGCTCTCTTAAATGCTAAATCATTGGTGTTATTTGTTAATACATTTCTTTTTAGTTGCAGCTCTTGAGATTCGATTATTCTGAGCATGGAGGGTATTGCATCTTTATAGTTTTGGGAGCCAAAACCCTTGAGGAAGCGACGGCTATCGCGATAAACTGCATATGTATTTTGAATCCCATCTCTGTAAAATTTTAGAAGCGAAATACCAAGTCGATAGTACTTGGTAATAGGTTTCCTCCAGTTGCCTACTTTTGTATCGTTCTCAACCTCTGTGAATATCCGGTTTTTGGGGAACTCTACCATAGGTAACGATCTAGTTGAATTGAAATCATCTTGTATCTTGGTATGGGAGGTTACTACCTGCAGTTTCCCATTTTTGTACAGTTCAAATAATCGGTTGGCTTGAACAGTATTACTACTATGCCTTGTTGCAATCCAAAGTAGGTTGTTTCGAGCTGCAATTTGCATACTTCTAGTTTATGGTACCTGAAAGGGAGCGATTGTTTTTAATTGGATCTATTAAATATGTACAATTATTCATCTTATATCCAGAGGTCCTTAAGTGTTACTAATGTCTCAATTAATCGATTTTAGACTTGGAACATATTAGTTTTCTTGGTGGTGAAGTGATTCCAAAACATAAAAACATCTTACCACAGGGCTTACCTTATATTAAAAATACACCTTTTAAATATGAACTAGATAGATATAGAACTTGGACAATTAGCAATCCATTTCAGTGCTTAGAGAGAAGTTTCTTCGAAGTTTCAATTGCTTCCTTAGCTTCTTTTGTATCCTCGTTACCATTGTATGTGTTCAGATATTCTTCCAAGTTATCCTGGAACTCCTTTATTTTAACGTATAATGTGGGTAGCAATCTTTCAGTGTCAGCCAATACTTCTTCCTGCTTTTTCAGGTCATACTTGTCAACTGAACTGTCAGCCTTCAGCTCATCAACATGCTTCTTCTGATCCTTCAGCTCTTGCAAGTAGTACTTTTCTTCCTTGACCAATCTCTGCAAGGCTTTCACTTTTATCTCTAATTGTGTTGGGGACATGGGTAGCTCGTTACTTGGTTACGATTTAGTACTTCAAGTATTTGATAATAGCTGACAAGATAACCACCCGGTTCTTAAACCACATAGCCTTATACAATTGCTTCAAATCCATTAGCAAGCATTACTCGGTCTGTTTACACGTTTCATGCGTGTTTGTCTTGAAAATCTGAAGAAATGCCTTTGTTTCAACAATTCGATGGATAATACACTATAGATGATTGTGCGAGATAAGAGTGGGAATGCTCTATATTAGGTATTTAATAGTGGTATTTATGCTAATAGATTAGTAAAACTAAACATGAGTAATTTGTGGAGGAACATGGCTTGGTGCTAGGTTGCAAAGTGGTCACTGTACACACTGCTACTGCCACTGTAAACACTTGCAATTTCGATATTATCGACCTGTCTGCTCAAGGCATCGATTGGATCATCCTCTTCTTCAGATTCCCAATCGAGAAATAGCTGGGGTTTGATAACAATTTTTGTTACGTGCATTGTCTCAACAGTGTTTTGAGGAACTGGCTTTACTGTAATTATTTCATTTGAAACCGTGGGTGATAGGATATCCTTTTGATCCAGGATGTCCAAGTTGTCTACAGATCCAGCCAATGATGGTATCGACCCGAGCGCAGTTGTGTATGAGCCATCATGGCTTATTGCATGTGAGTTAGGGTTGCTACTGGCAACATCTGAGAATTCATCACCGGAGCTCCATCTGTCTGACACACTCGCAGCTGTACTGTATTCTGGACTGGAGAGATTTTCGCAGAAACGTGAGTTCCTAGTCGATTCGGGTGTTCTACCCGAGCTAGCAATAGAGTTGATGGAGAGTCGTTTATTTTCCTCAATCGCCTCTGCTGATATCACTTTTGGAGCCATCAAATTCCAGTTCTTCTTTGGCGCATTTGAGACACGATCTAGAACGGATAAAATTTCACTGTTTAGCACGTTACTAACATCTCCTGTAGTCTCCATGTGTGGTTCATATGCTGATATAATTTCATCAAACAGTATTTCACTGTCACTCTTCCCATATTTCTGCAACTCCTCCATGGGTATAGACATCTGGTTTACTGGCTCTGAAACTTGTACTGGAAATATAAGTGGTTCTAGGTACACATTTTCTACCTTCTCGATCAACGGTTTATCCAAGGGACGCATCTCCTTGTGATTCGTTTCAACTACATGCTCCTTGGGATCCTTCTTTTCCACATAGTATAAATCGTCTTCGTTTTGTTCAATGCTATTATTGTAAGATGTGACTGGTGGTAACACTTCAGTGATTGTGCGGAGAGGTTTACGTGCCGGTAAACCGTTGGGTCTCCGCAGACCACTCAAATGTGGTGGTAACTTGGCCCTTGATATTTGTTCGTCATTATTCCTCTCTTGAAGTTTCTGTCCTCTTCTCTTTCTGAAATCATGCAAGAAAAGCTCAGGAACAGACTCCAGCCGTTGTTTGAGCCTCATGGTGCCTCCAAACTTCCTTGATAACCTTTTGCCTGTTTTGTTACCGCTCAGCACAGCATCATCATCATCACATTTAAAATCAGGGATCACTTTCAAGTCATCAGCGGTCAGCGTAAGCGACGAGGGCCGCAGGAAATCAGTATTCCTATCTATCTTCTCACCTAAAAACTTTCTAGGCATCGTATCAGTACTCTTTCAATATGAGTTTATTTTTGCTAAATGCCAGTGGCCGAACCTCTCCTCTAAAAAACATTACAGCATCCAAATCTAATCAACACTCTTGTCAGGTATTTATAAGAAACTCGAACCCATATACCCAGCCACTTACAAAAGTGCTGGTCAATAATACAGACAGCTTCAACTTCAGGGCATCACAGCTATTCCGCTATATTTAGTGTGAACTAAATTTAAATTACAGTAATTATTACGTTGCCTAATAGAGTAAGGGATTTACAGTTCATGGAAAAATCCCGAAAATGCACACAGAAATCACCGCTCCAGAGGAACCGGAGCAAGTTACCTGCAATTAACTTGCCGCGCTACAGTCTCTGCCCGGCAATCGTGCCCAGCAAGGATCCCCGGCAAGGGTGCCCGGCAAGGGTGCCCAGCAACCCCTCTCCACTTGTGTTTCTGACTTCCCGATCGAATCTTCCCGGAATACGCTATTTATCCCTAAATTCCTATTTACTCCCATCTGGCACAGAACCTATCGCAGAAGCACTGCAAAATTGGACGATTAGCCAGCACTCTTTCCTGCAGATTCGCTGGTCTCATTGTTTTCACTTCCACTACTCCCCTTGTGCAAGGCCCGTGGTGGGTACCGGCATGCGTGTGTTTCTGTGGAGTAAAATAGGCGGGGTTGTGTGTGTGGGGGGAGGTGCACGGCTTCCTGCGGGCTGTCTGAGCCCTGCCTATGAATAGTGCGTACAAAAAACTGAGAGAAACACTAAAGTTGGAAAAAAGTGCTGGTATATTATTCGTATATAGGTATGTCACACTACATGTGGGTAATAGTATAAACGGCACTCTGGTCTCAGCTGCGCCATGGAAGTCATATATTTGTACAGTGTAGTGCGTTTGTTGTGGATACGGGCTTGATTCACATGTACACTTTTTTTCCGACTCGGATTGCTGCTTGCTATACTACACGCTTTCCCAAATTCTGCAGTGATAGTGTGATCCTAACTTGGGGTCACAATAAGATCAAGGAAGAGAAGCATGTCACCTCACCTCACGTAGTCTGTGTTCTGTTTCTCCTCCCATTCTCTTAGCGCCGCTTCCCACTCGTCCTCGTTGTCCACGTCCACTTCTTTCTCTTGCATCTCTCTGTCGCGCAGAATCTCAGCTCTCCTCTCTTGCTCCATCTTGTCGTACATCTCTTTGTTGTCAATCCATCTATCCTGTATATCATAATTTGCTATTAGAGCACCCTCTCTCGTGGCCTCAGCCCACACAGTGTCTCCACCTACTTCGGAGGAACCAAATATGTACCCGTTGGCTTTGTCCACTATGCTTTGTAAGTTGATCATGCTCTCCTTGTCGTCCACTGCAAGCACTTCAAAGGAAACCAGGTTGAAATCGCTGACTAGCTCACTGATGGTCTCAGTCAGCTTGCTGTACCGTTTGGCCATCAATGTGTTATTCTCTTTCTCAATATGAGGCATCAGGTAGTCCAAGTCCTGAACCTCTGTGTAGTAGTCTAGACGGAACGGCAGCTCTCCATAGGACTTGATCATATCTATCTTTGAAAAAACGTTTATCTGGGGTAAATCCATCATTAGCATGGATCGTAGTGCCAGCAGCAGAATTGAGATGTACTGAGTAGGCGAGGTCAAGTAGTGACAATCAATCAAATTGACAACACAGAGCCTGATCTTAAGGTCTCTCTCCAGTCTCTTGAAAACATGGAACAAGGCAGAATGATGTGTAAAGAGCTCCACTTGGCCGGGACAATCAAACACAACATAGGCCTTCTCCTGTTCCACTAAGGATTTGATCTGTAGAATAAACATGTCGATGGACTTATCCAGAGATTCGATAGCGTACATAAGTCCACCATTGGGGCCAAGTTGCTGTTCACTCATAATTTCTTCCAGCGTAATGAAATCTCTAATATCGACTGCGCACGGATACGGCAACTTGTCGTTGGCTGGGTCCATGTTAACTATTTGTGCATGCCTTCCGATGGCATTGAAGAACTGACTGCAACCATTACAGTAAGTTGACTTACCAGAACCTGGTGGTCCAATGACTATCTGTCCAAATGGCATCTTGTGTTTATTTGTCGTAACTATACGGTTTGAGCACCACACCAATAAATAAATTTGCCATCCATTATATTTGTGTTTCTAGCTCATCGCTGTCTTCGTTTTTCTTCACTTTCGCAGTCAAAATCAAAAATTTGAAAATGCTATAGCAAACAGTATATGAAATCAGAGTTTAATGATTAATAATTTTGAATCAGATAAGCATATCTTCAACTAGATCCATCGCTACTTATTATCCAACAGTACTGTGTACCCCGCTAGAAGTTTTCCCAGACTTTGTTTCGATTTGCGTTACTGAAAGTACTCGCTTTCTCTCTTGACATAATCCCTGTTCATCAGCAAGGTATAATCTCTACTTTGAATCATTCTTACCATTCTATACCAGAACATCCTTTACATAATATGTCATGTAAAACTTCATCCACTTCACAAACTTGCCAGCGGTTGTTACAACACTAAAGAGACAAAAAAATATTTTGAAAAGTATCAAACAATGTGCTTCATTTGAGCCAACATCGAACATAAAAACGCTTCCAGTAGTGTGAGCTAGATATATCTAAAATGAACTTTACTCTTGCTGATATATACGACTCTGCTGATATATCAGAGCTACGTGCTAGACTTACCGCCGATAAAAGAGCAGTCTTCTTTAGCCCAGTGGTTGATGACAACGCCGACAAGTCACAGCAAATACACAATAAGATCCAGGATATACTGACTTTATGTAAGAATTCAGTGGGACAACAACAACAAGGCTTTCAGTTACATGGACTGTTCAAGAAACCCATCGAGTTCCCTTTATCGGGGAGGTTGAAAGGCAAGCTGCTGCAAAACAAAATCCAGAAACTGTCCATCACATTTACGCTACTCAAGGAAATACAAAGAAATATTGAGAAATGTACTGCATTTACCTCGAGGGATATTTTTTATAGAAACGTTGAATTGTTCAAAAGCCAACGGCTTGTGGTAGACACTGTGGATCATATACAGAAAGCGCTAGGCTTGACGATTAGAGAAGATCTCAATATTACTGCTACTCAGAAAGGCCTCATATTTACGGCTGTTGATATTATAATAAACTCGTCGGACACCAAAAAAATAAAGATTACAAAAGGCAAGTCTCAATTGATACCACAATTCGACAGTAATGCCTTCATAATGGTCTGTAAAGATGATCCCCAAATGATCTTGAAAGTATTGGTGATTGAAAAAGATGCGGTATACAACACAATAATACAAAAACCTACAGAAGGCTACATAGTAGTCACTGGCAAAGGGTACCCTGACATGCTGACAAGAAAGTTCCTACATAGACTAGAGCAATGCAATAGTAATTTACAGTTTGTCATTTTAACTGACCCTGACCCACACGGAATTAACATTGCCATGAAATATCAGGGTTTTACAACAGATTCTATTTATCCCTGTGCGTCATTAATTCGAAAGGGAATCTCGATACTAGAATTGATCGATGGTCATTCATCGACAATAGCACAGGTGCTACCATTGTCTACACGAGATATCAAACTAGCTCAAAATATTCTGTTTAGCGGACATTCAGATTTATACGCTAATATGAGAACTGAACTACAAAGGCAATTATTCTTAACTAAGAAAGGTGAAATGAATACTACCATTATCGAGCACTTACTCTCTAATGATAGAATAACGAATTACTGATGGCCCTCAACAATATCTTCAAACTGAATAAACAAATTGTGACTAGTGATTAAAAATCACCAAAAGATCGATTTTTAGATTACCTGTCAGTATCTTCTCGTGTGAAGAACTTCGAGATAGTGAGCACCACCAAACAAAGAACATAATGGATTGACGGTTCACTACATTCGCTTGAGAAGATATTAGTGCATATTTAGTCACTATTATTGTATGCAATATAAAGTGACTCGAGCATTTCAATAACATCGAAAGGAACAACAAGAAACTGGTAGTAAATTGACAATGCATAGCTTCAACCTAGCAGCTTTTTGCTCACTTATAGCACTATTTCTATCCTTGCCTGTACATGCCATCTCGGGTGTACATGCTCCAGTTGCAATTTCATTGCCCGCATTTTCCAAAGAATGTTTATACTACGATATGGAGGATCTAAGTGACACTTTATTAGTCGGTTACCAAGTGTTAACTGGTGGTAACTTCGAGATTGATTTGCAAATTGTTGGTCCAGATGGTGATGTTTTAGCCGAGGAAAAGGCCAAGAAATATGGTGATTTCCTACTGAAGTCTTTTGGTGTTGGTCAATACAGCTTCTGCTTCTCCAATTCCTATGGTACAGCTTTGAAAAAGGTTGAAATTACCATGGAGAAGGAAGACAACAGTATCCTAGACGATCCAAATGCCAGCGAAGAGGATGCCATCGCTAACCATGCCATCGAGGAAATTGACAGGAACTTAAACAAGATGACTAAAATCATGAACTACTTGAGAGCAAGAGAGTGGAGAAACATGTCTACTGTCGAATCAACTGAATCAAGATTGACCTGGTTATCCCTTCTTATTATGGGTGTCATGGTAGCAATCAGTGTGCTGCAAGCCTTGCTGATCCAATTTTTGTTCAGTAGTCGTCAAAAGAATTTTGTCTAAATGCATTGTATAGCATTATTAAATTGATGTACATAAAATCATAAATACATAATAATACCGCGTTAAAAACCATCAAACAATCGCGCAACAGTGCCCATAAGAACCGGCAACTTCTATTGAATGGAATTAGTTTATTTTTTTTTTTTCACCATTGATATAAAGAATAGATATATTTAAATTATTTAAACCCTGAATTGACGATATGTGACCTTTTAAGCAAAGACATACTAGTCTATTGTTTTTTCTCGGTCACCATCACTGTGTATTAACTGCAGCTAGCAGGAAAGTTAACAAGAAAGACAACTTGAAGCACAAGTTTTCGCTGTTCACAAATCTCGCATTGCCTTCTTCATCCACAAATCCTACCTTAGCCACGCGGTAAAGACCACGCAACTGGCTACTATTCTTATCAATCAATCCTCTATTCTTCATCCATTGTAACACCAGGAAGGCAAAAACAGTGAAGTAAGCCAGAACACCAGATATTTTCCCGATGATAACACCAGCACCAACACCCAGGATAGAACCCAGACACAGGCCTCTGTAATCCAACCTCACTTTACGTTCACCTTTTACCACTTCTACTTCTGCTTGACTCAACCCCGTCTGCTTGAGAACATTGGCACCGATGTCAACGGCAGTGTCGTTGTATATCGTTCTCGATGGAGTCAGCATAGAGACACTAAATGGCGCAGCAAATGCAAGCCCCATAAAGGCTGTCTTGAGACCAACATTTCCACTACGTCTCCACGCCATAGGCATGGCAGACCGCAAAGGTCTCATTGCATTCATTGAAAACAACCGTCTGGCTCCAACACCAGTGAATCTCCCTAGCAACAACATCGTCCAATATACTTTTCTTTTATTTGAATACTACTTCTACAACTTCTCAAGTATACTCAATATACAAATAGGACTCCGTCTTGGCAGAATTAGCCAAATATATATACTCCCAATGAATTCAATTAATGCTTATTACTTAGCAATAATTTTTCAAATTAACTGGTAAGTTTTTTAGGGGTGGCCCTTCTGCGGAGGTTTCTGTTTCATTAATTAATGGCGTAATGTCATTTGTACGGGTTCTTCTGAGAAAACGATGCACGATTCAGGGTCCTCAATAATACGACGAGCTTTATAATAATAAGTAATATTAACAGCAAGTAGTACTATCCTCGATATTTCCACCTCTGGCATTGTGGGAAATACGCATAATTTGACCATGGATGCGCCCTTATGGTATCTGTGTGCTGTCCTGGAGGAAACAAAACGAAGATTTCGAAGAGTTGAAAAAAAAAAAAAAAATGCATGCTGATTTCATGTTGAATTGTTTGATTTGCGTCTCCTCGCACCTTCTCTTGCCCAAAACTCGTCTCTGTATATCTCCCATCCTTCACGTATCTCTGCGTTGAAGGCCCTTGGGTTTAGTATAAGTTTTACATCTACAGCACCAATCCTGGGCTGCGATCGTATAGCCACGCCTACCCAAAACTGTACCACAGCGTTGGTCTCCCCCAACATCAGTATTTTCTGCAGAAACCACTGGTTTAAGTATGCAATCTTGCGCGTGATAAACCGCACCAAATCAGTGAACTTCTCGTCGATTGTAGAATGGACTTTCACCAATTTCAAGTTGAATGGCCTAATACCTTTGTTAGTAGACATGAAAAACCGCCTAGGAATGATTATAGTCCTCTTATACTGCCCACTAAGATGGAACAACACCACTGTGATCATGATGAATAGTAACGAAAATTGTAGTATAAACCTGTATACTCCCTGCGCAGGTTCATCGCTGAAATATAGTAAATAAAAAGAGAAAGCAGCTATACCAGCTAGTGTAGATAAAAATGCTGTGAATTGTAGTCTAAGGACCCTTAGTCTCCGGGATTGGGATCGTAGATCATCCTCTAGTATCAACAAATTTCTGAACACCATCGATGCCGGCGATATACTGCTCGAATTGCGTGACCGCCTGCCACTTGAAGTCCTGCTCCCAGACCGTTTCCTCAATCCACCTGTACCTGCATCATTCGAAGAACTCCCTCGCCTGCTATGCGCTTCATCTTGCTTGGGTTCCAGCCAGGGTGTTCTAGGTAATTCATCTCTACCTGTTTTTGTCGGCGTCTCTTCAAATACAGTAGCATCCTCATCCAGCTTCACCACTGGTATTTCCACACTCATTATTATCAATAATATCCTATTATCATGCGCTTGATTAACTTAATCCCACTTATACAATTGGCTTGTTTTTATCCAACCTTTATATATTATGATTTCAAGCCAAGAATTTGAAAAAATCGATGAGCTGAGCTTATTTCACCGGAAGTGACAAAAACGTTGATGAGTTCTTGTTAGTAAAAGAGTAACGTAGTATAGCTAACGATATAATAACAGGACAATTAATAATAACACGCAGTATTGACCATGCTCGATTATATGGATTATGTTCAGCAGTGCTTTGACTCTGCTGGACGATGGAAACGTCAAAACAGCTACGGTGAAGTGACTCAAACTCCAAGGAACTTGATCGACTTCAAAATTCCTGATGCTGTCAACTTGCAAGTGTCTAATAGGTCCACAAAATACAGTTACAATTCATTGCAATTATCAACACGACAAAGTATAAATGGATCACTTACATACCTATACACCAATTTGGATGCTGTTGAAGGGCTAGTGAAGAATACCGAGGAATTACCACTGCATGATATAGTACAAACTTATGAACTCCCCGCTGTAACACATCACAGAAAAGAGAAGACGAATTTTCACAAATGCTCTCTGTTTTATGGTAAAATTTTTTATCCCAGTTCAGATGTTGAAGCAATGATGATCAAGAGGTTCAGTCCCATGAATCAGGTAATAGTGAAATGCCTGAGCAGCTTGAAAGAAAATGTCAATATCTTTACAGCCTACTTCCAACGCAATTCAGAGAAGAATTTCCAAGAGCTTATAGTATCAAGCAATGATTTACTATGTGGGTATCGGATTTCTCACCATTTCTTAAGGACACCTTCCAAATTGAATAGCTCTTTATACAATAACTCATCATTATTCTTTGGTGCAGAGTTTTGGCTTGGTATGATTAGTTTAAACCCTGGTTGTTCAACTAGTTTAAAGTATTGCACTCACTCTGCAAATACAGGTAGACCTTTAACATTAACATTGTCATGGAATCCATTATTTGGTCACATATCAACAACATACTCTGCAATGACAAGCTCTAGCTCAACATTTTGTGCGAAGTATGACTTCAACATTTACTCTATTGAATCAAATTTGAGCTTTGGGATAGAACTGTGGAGGAAGACTGGAGCACTCTTCAAATCTGAAGATTCTGTAGAAGCCAATAGAAAAGAGTATGAACAAAACTTCTACATCTCACATGATCACAACCTACTACCTTCCAAGTATGGATATGATCATGAATATAATATATCTGATGGAAAATTATCAAAAGAACACAAAAGGAATAAAATCATCAAGGACTTGAATCATGCATTCTCAACGTCTTTACAAAAGATAGATAAAGAGAAAACTAGAATTGAAAACTTTGGCAATATAATAAGAAACTCACACTTTACTAGTGTGTTTAAAGCAAGCACATCGCTTCGAGAGCGAAACCTTAAATTCCTTTGGGAGGGCGAATATAAAAACTTTCTACTTTCAGCTGGTACTGAACTAAGAGTTCTTAAAGCTGAAGAATCAGAACTGCGAAGAACATCAGGGCAAAGTAGCAATAGCTTATTAAATGAATTCTCTCTTCAACCTCTAAAATTTGGTGTACAAATCCAATTCTCTTCCTGATAGATATTAAAATATTTCCAGCTTGATAAACCAGAAAGTACATAATGACCCTTGCAACCAATTATCACATACTTAAAGGTAGTAGAATATATTCTTGAACATAATATGTTTATATGTTATGTATATTATTTATGCAATTACATTAGTTATTAGAGTTCTCTAGTGAAGTATTATTTAAACATGATCGTCATAGCTTGGTGGTTCAACGTAACGTGGAAGCGCTTCGTTTACAGGTGGTGGCCTTTTATGAGCAAATACTTGTACTGGAATAATGGTCTCTGTTTGTCTTGTTTGTCCATTAATATTCCAATCAATTAGCAATTGATAGCTAAACAATCTAGTGATGACACAAGTTTTGAAACTATAGAGCCTGTTACCACGATGCTTATAATCCTCTTCATTGAATTGTAAACGTTTCAGGATAGGATTGTCTTTTAGCTTGATTTCACATTCCATTATTTCATGATTTTTCGAACTAATAAACTTAAGTTCATTTGTATCAAATAGAGGTCTATCAGATTTCGACAAGTTATCAATCTCCATCAATTTAAGCGAAGAAAAGTTCTCATTTCCAATTCCCTGCGATAAATATGATACAGTCTCAAGTAGGTTCAGTTGTAGTCTAGTAGGTTTTACAGATATGTTTGAAAAGTCTGAGAACGATAAATTACCTTTGACAATTAAATAGACATTATCAAAGTTCCCAGAACCTTGTCTGAACAAGAAGTCCTGTCTGTATATGGTATCAATATCTCTACTTCTAACCTCTACCCACATCATGCTAGCACCATCTGGCAATCCCAATGGATATCTACATTTATATCTTTTCATTGGATTTTCTTCTGTCTCTTCAATTTCATATTCCAAGTCATTATTAATGTCAAGTTGGTCTAAGTTCCTTGCTAGAAATTTTTCATCTGGACCATTTGGTGCTATTGCCGTGACACCATCTTCAGATTCCTGCATAGCAGAAAGTGATTTTGAAGAATTATTCTTAGAAATGTAATCAATTACTCCATGATTATTGCGCCCTGATCTTGTTACAGTTTCATTACTTGCAAATTTCTTCGGTTCTGGGATAAATTCAATGATCTTTGGTTCTCTTAACATTTTATCAAATGGTTTAAACCAAGTTCTTGGCCTCCCCATTTCTATTTCAACTTCAACCACGTATATAATTTTTCCGAACGAATAGAAGTACAAATCCAAATTATCGATTTTATTCAGCTCTCTCCATTGAGTATTAAAACTCGGTGGCATAGTTGATTGGCTTTTGGACACAAAGCAAATTGTTTTCTTGGTATGATTTTTCAAGCACATTGGCTTCGATGGTAATTTGTTGAATTGAAACATGTACTCATAATGACCTGGCTTAACTTTAAACGGTTTTGAAGACCCTTCCAGTGCATCCCAGACATTATCGGGAGGAAATACTCTTCTCTCCTCTCGCACTAAATTATGGTAGGACTTATTTTCGGTGGCGGGACCTAACATACCATTCTGAGGAAAAACATATTCAGAGTCCATTTTTGTAGTTGTCTCGGTGAAACCTTTCAAGCCCACTTTAATTTGTTTAATTGACAATGATTTGGTCAAATCCAATACAATTGTTCCAGATATCAGATCATCGGAGCTATAAAATTCACCGTTCTCTGGTGGATGTAATATTATATCTAGTTTCGGAGCCATAATATATACTGCGTTTGTTCTTTCTTTCTGTTCCTTAATGTATAGTTACGTTTAATCTTCCTAACTTTTGTTAAATCCAAAATAATGCTTTGGGTGTGTGCGAACTTATCAAATTAACTGAGGAAGAACCAAACCTAATTTTAGTGATCAATGGGTTTTATATTAAAGTCTCCTATTGTCACAGTAGTATGAATGCCAATTCTGCTTTCGACTTTATATTCAAAGTCCTGTGAGATGTCGAAAGAATTACACCTGAACATTTGGCCATAGCTATTACAAAGTGAAAAATCGATAGTTTTTTGTTAGCGATGGCCATTAAGCTTTTTTCCCTGCACGGATCGGTAACTATCAATCACTGACATGATTAATCAGAGGCTTTAATGCTGAGAAAAAAAAGAAAGAACCGGACTGTATCACAGTAACAAAGTTCATTTGCATTAGACCCTTTCTCTTGAACTTACTCGTAATTGATAGTCTATCTTCCGTGGCGATAGATAAATATCATATCAAACTTTAAGGTAGGCTGAGGAAAGATAACTTTAAATTAAGTGGCTCTGGTCATAAGTACACGATTGATCAACAACTAATAGCATAAAGCCTGAACCAAACTACTTTGAGTTAAATATGAGAGTCGTTTTCCAGCAATGTACTAAGTTCAGTACATCATGCAATCGGGCATTTCTTGCTAGATTTCTAAAACCTGTAATGAACGCAAGTCCGAAAGAGCATGTAGTAAAGCAATTGCTGAAGCCCGTAGGTTTGAATGTACCACCTAGACCCAATATCAAGTACTCTGAGGGTAATTCATGGTTAGACCTGTTTGATGGAGCCAAAACAGAAGAAAGAATAAAAGAACTGGAGATAGAGTTTGCGAAATCGGGCATGTATGAAATGGCAACTTTCCGCAAGACCAACGGTAAATTGTTTCTATCTCCTGAATCATACTGGAAAGCAGACAAAGCCTTGTATTTCCCACACCTCTCTGGTCGTACTCTAAGCAGTGAAGATCATGGCAACGTTGAGGATGTGTTGCGAGGTAAGACCAGCGTGATCCGTGTGTTTTCCACTCAGGTTGGCGATAAAATAAGTCGGGAGTATATCAAAAATACAGAACTCGGCATTGACAATTATGAGAACCAAAGTTGCCAAGTGATCGATATAAACTTCCTCGAGAACAAACTGAAATCATGGCTGTTTAAGTTGTCCCTTAACAATTTGAAGTCAACTGTTCCAGTGCAGCGCCATGACAATTACTGGCTCTGCCACAGAGAACAGATACCGTTCCTCATGCGTGAAAGGCTGCTGATCAACAATGTATACTCTGGATACATCTTTGTCGTTGACCCCAATCTTAAGATCAGGTTCATGGCCTGTGGACCCGCATCAGCTGACGAATTCAACAAACTATGGAAGGTTGTAGGTCAGTTATCCAAAGAGAAAAAGTAACCACTCTGTAGATAGATCAAAATCGCATGTATATACGACATAATGCAAAATATATATTCACCACTTTAGCCCGCATCCATCATATTCCGTTCAAGCTGGTATGATTATGGTAGCTAAAACATAATAGCTTTTGCATGGCATCATGATCATTAAGCCACTGGAAATAGCACCAAAATGTCATCAGTACTATAATAGACAGCCTGAGCATCGAAAATATAACAGGAACTACCAAATCTCTATTATATTCTCACTTTAATATCCGCCATTAGACAAATTACTGATAATTATTACTATTTTTTCAGCAAAAGGCTTGCCGCCGAGTTTGAAAACGGTAGTCTATAGTGTAACGGTCCCTAACGGTCCCAAACGGACCTAGTCATCCGCTACAATACTTACACAAATATATTTGCATTGCATTATTGGATACTGCTGCTACCAATTTCTTTTGTTGGTGCTTTACAACTCAAGTACGGGCTTAATTGGCATATTTTATTTGAAGCTAGTGATTTCAAATGCCTGAGAATCAATTTAGCCAGCCTTTTGTTCACTATGGGGTATGCCACCGAAGACACTCAGTGGAGGATCCACTCTGGTTGACGTCGTGTGCCCATTTACTATGTCAGGCTCATTTGACGCCCACGAAAGTGTGTGGTGTCTGCGGTACACGAGATATATCTTGTCTTCGGTTGACCAATGACAAACCACTACCTAATGAAGTGGATGCATACTTCCAACCTATTTCTGGTTTAGTTGAGAACATGTACAATGTATGCCAATTTCAATATGTAGGTCTTCTCGATCAGTGTAACTATTACCAGAAGATCAGTATTACTCTGAAGGAGAAATGCAACAGGCAACAGCAATTGCTTTACAAAGCTAAACAAGAGTTGGATAATATTCCGAGATTAAAAAGAAGAATAGACGAATTGGAATCACTTCTGAAGGAAGGCAATTATGGTATCAAGAAATCTAAGGATAACTGGACTCATACCAAGAGATCTCTCCCACAGACAGTCGACTTGACTATCGAAAATACTGATCAGGAAGAAGATCAGAATTTTATTCAAAAATTGAAGAATAATACAGGGTTGAGGAAAATTACCCCAAAAGTTGCGCCAAATAATATTTCTGCTGAAAGCAGTTCACATAAAATGTCAATTACACCGGGCATATTTGCCATGGCAGAGTCGACACAATTAATTTCAAATCAAACAACAACCTCTTCAGTAAACAACAACCAATTAAAATTCAAAACCAACATACATAGAAGCCCAAGCTCTAATATCATGACTAAAGATTCACAACCTAGCAATCAAATTATGCCACAAGTACTCAATAAATTAACTATGTTGAAAAGAAATAACACGGTTTCAACATCAAATTTAGAAAAATCTAATACTCAGATGGCGACTCATAGATCATACTTAGGAACCTACAATCACCCTAATTCTACAATGCTATTGAACAGGCGCCGAGCAAATTCACAGCAACAACCGAAATCAAGTAAACAAAGTAACTTCGAAATGTTACGGCGAGTTCCATCAAGCAATAAAAACGGAAGATAAAAAGAAGTAATAATGTATTTTCGAAGTTTATTAAATATGAATATAGAAAGAATTGGTGAAATTATATATCATCACTAAGAATGAAGGGCTTGCTTTGACATCAGAATACATGAAAAATCGTCGGTATATAAATAGACTTTCCCCTCGCAAAAACAAAAAGGATTATAACACGTTGAAGAAAAAAGATACTCTCTTGATTAGCTACTAGCTTAAATGTTACCAGCTTTCTTCATTTGGACGTAACATGCAATAAATGGAACAGCGAAACCGACACCGAAGAAACCGAAATGCACTAGAGCGAATGGGATCTTTCTGTTGTGAATCTTAAATGGTAGATTGCTGTATACACCTTCCTTAAAGTGTACACGAGCTATGGAAGAAGCAGAAAAGGCTCTTCTTGTGGACAATCTCATTACCTGTTGGCTGAACATGACTGTGGCTATTATGTATTGTTTGCTTTTGATGTGATGTGGTTAGTGTTTTGAACTAAAGGGTTGACAATCAAATATTCTTTTCTGGAGTTCTATTAATCACAACTGAATGAATAATGGATGATGAACTTGAAAGTTGTATTATCTAACTACACTATGGGGCTGCTATCTTATATAGCCCTTCCGAAAAATTCAATGTTTTTTCCTAACAGGAAATGACAACACTTTGATATTATTCGTTGTTGCAATAAAAGCTGCGAGAATCCTGTTTTGCTTGCTCACACAGGTTTAGAGAGAACCCATTGTAAAGCTGCCAGAAGAAAGGGAGACCAAATAGACAAAACCGATTGTTCCGTTCTTCTAATGATTCTTCGAATAGTCAGGTCGAGGTTCACTCCACAAGAGATGCAACAGAGTTACTATGCTAGACCAGTTCAATAGCTAAGAAACTCGAGATGAGGCCTCGAGAGAAATGCAAGACACCATCCTCATAGTTGATTGGATCGTCTATAATGCAAAAATTTCCTTTAAGCATGTGATTATTCGTAATATATGCCTCGTAAATGCCTTGGTTATCTATATACTCTATTGGTATGTGTTACAGAGTAATGCTACATAGTCTTTGCTCAAATATCGGGGCTAGTTTCCACTAGTTTCCACTAGTTTCCACTAGTTTTACTATCTATTTCTTTAAAATGCCGTCTGTAATAATGAGAAAGCGCTTCTTGATTCCCTTATCTCTTAATTTACCCTTTAAGTGTTTTAGTGTTGCCAATTCGCCAATTGTTACTCCTCCCAAGAATACAATTATAGCTATATCTGGGTGGTCGTCATTATCTTTCTTACCCGTCGTATTTGGTAGTTTGTTGACCTTAGGTTCGGGAACCCACCGCTCAGAACTGATATGCTTTGAGTTACAATAGACTTGGGAGAATAGAGTTTCTAGTTTTGTCACTTTCGGTTCCTTAGATATTATATATGGTTGCTGTGCATTATATGTTTTTGACAATATCGAGCGATCATAAAATGCTTGTATTATTCTCATACTCAAGGGCACAACACCGCAAAATGCAAAATCAGGTTCTTTAGGATTTGATATATCTTGGGCATCATCATTTGAACCTACTGGAAGCGTTGCAAACCATTTTGCAATGCTCCTGTATTCCTTAATAATAGTATTGGACACATTCCTACCATAGGGTGCTCTTAGATCCTCTGTTGTACCAGCTTTTTTGTTTTTCGTAATTGTATTTTTAGTAACAAGAATACCTGCTTCTGTTAACCTCTCGATGTCAAATAATATATTTATGCCAAATCTATCTACCATGGATTTCTTAATCGATAAAAAGTCCTTTTCTCGTAGACCACATTTGCATATAGACACCAAACTAATTAAGCGAATAATTAAATCCGACGCAACATCTCCCTCAAAGATTAGATCCTGTATGAAATCATTACAAGCTTTGTGGTCAAGATTATCGGATAATACGTCTTGTTCAAATTCAATAATTCGGTTGAATTGCAAGGCTTCGTTGTTTTCAACTTCATTCAAAATTTTTGTAGAAGTAATGGTGTGTTGCTTCAAATATCTCTGAGTCTCCTGCAGATGACCTAATGAGTCCACAAAGTTCTTTATTTCCCCTAAACTCTCAGCATTATGCCTGTCGTCGTATTTCTTTTGTAACTGTTTTGCACTCTGATTCAATCGGGGCCCAATTGACCCAAAATTCATAAATTTCATTTCATCCCAAAAGTCGTCTTTCTGATAATCAAAATGAACCTTTTCTTCATCAATTTCAATATCTAGATATCCGTCAAATAATGTGTTAACCATACCTGCATAAGTGAGCTCTGTCAGAAGAGGAGTAATTGGATCCATTGATCTATCAAACACAATCAAATCAGTTTCCAGTCCACTAGGAAATTTATCCCCAAATAACCCTTCTCTTATGAAAGCTTGCTTTTCATCAATATCTCTATCAATTCTACTTTTCAGCAGTTGACCTAGTAGTTGTGCTTCGTTTCCTACTCCAACAAAATTGGTAACTATTGACTTATGTTCCTTGAGAAGAGACAAGATGCAATTTGATATGTTATCTATCATGACATCTCTGGATGCATTTTCAATAGATTGCAGGTATGGAACATATCTATTTTCATTGTCTGCTGAATATAATATATCTAAGGACAAAACATCATCATCAAGTGTGGGGAATGGATATAACGTACATTTCTTAAGTTTTATTTTCCTATCAGTAATTGCTAACTGATGATTAATGAGATGTCTTACATTGTTCAATTGATATGACTCCAAAAACACCGTATCTTTCTTTTCTATCAATGCATCCGTTATTTCAGTTTGCCAAGAGCAATAAACAATGGTAACAGGCAGGTCTTTGAATTCTTTCAGGAAATTTCTTATCTCAAAAGGAATTTTTAAAGATGCTCTAATATCTATCAATAAAATAATTTCGATATGGGGCATTGACCCTAATATGCTCCTTAAATCATTTGTTGTATTATTATCGACTCGTAAAATTTTCCTAACCGGCGTGTCCTTAATCAAATCAGAAAATGTTATTACATGATTTATGTAATTGAACAATTCAGACTGGATGAGCAGTACAGTGTCATTATCGGTGACTTCTTTGAATGCTTGACATATATTACTTGCACTTATTCTTTTCAATTTCCAAGTATTCCAATTGGTAGACATGTTCTATAAACCTAATTCAAATTCTCATACTTCAATCAAATACCTGTTGCTAACCACGGATGCTAACCACTAATGACAATACAAAGTGATACTTATTCTGGATAGAAAATGTATTCGCACAATCAGGACCTATTTGATGGGTTGGTTATTTATAATAGTTATATGTCAAATTCAAAAATCACTATGCGTATTCCCTTTATCTATTTCGTGATATAGTACAAATACATAATACTAGTCAATACTATATATGTTAATCAACCTACATGTTATGAGGCTATTCCGCTTCTTGATGCAAATTCTTGATAATATTCTAGCATTTCTGGGGTAATGCATTTAGATATCCCTTGTAAAGCTACTTCAAAATGATTTGCGTCTACCTTCTTAGTGTGAATATCATCCATGATGGCTGCTAAACCAGCTTCTTGACATAATAACACTACTTCAGCACCAGAACATCCTTCTGTTCTTGTAGCTAGATCATTGAGCAACTCATCAGTATTGTCTAAATCAAAATTTTTGGTACATTTCTTTAGTATTTGTAATCTAGCATTGAAATCCGGAGGAGAGACATAAACGTGTCTATCCAAACGCCCAGGTCTAAGTAATGCTGAGTCTATCTCATCTGGTCTATTCGTAGCAGCAACAATCACAACACCATTGAGTTCCTCTACACCATCTATTTCATTCAAAAGGGATGTTAATACATGATTGGCAGCACTTGTGGATGATCCATCTCTATCAGGGGATAAGGCATCTATTTCATCAAAAAATATGATACTCGGAGAAGCAGCTCTAGCTTTTCTAAAAATTTCTCTTATGGCTCTTTCAGATTCACCAACATATTTATTGAATATTTCTGGTCCTTTAACAGCTAAAAAGTTGACACCAGACTCTGTCGCAAGTGCTTTGGCAGTCAACGTTTTCGAACAACCAGGAGGACCATACAACAAGATACCCTTAGGCGCCTTGATGCCAAGGGCAGCAAATGTATCTGCTGCCTCCAGTGGTAGCTGGATCATTTCTTTCATTTTTCTCTTTAGATCTTCCTGACCACCGATATCAGACCAATACACCTTAGGCATCTCCAAAAAGATTTCTCTCATTGCACTTGGCCGTATCTCCAACATTGCTGATTCTACATCAGTGATACCAACTTTCAATTCTGTCATATCCGTAGTAGAGTTTTCTGTTAAAGCCTTTTGAATAGTTTTCATTACCGATTCTCTACACAGAGCAGTTAAATCTGCACCGACGTAACCATGAGTTTTCGAAGCTATCGATTTGATGTCACCTTCAGAAAGAGTATGTTTATCCGTGGATATTTTCTCAAATTGTTTCTTTAATATATCAAATCTAGCATCAACGTCAGGAATACCAATTTCAATCTCTTGGTCAAATCTACCTGGTCTTCTTAATGCTGGATCAACAGCATTGGGTCTATTTGTTGCTGCAATTACAGCTATTCTCCCTGAAGATGAGGTTCCATCCATTAATGTTAGTAAAGTTGCAACAACTCTACTTTCAACTTCACCTGAATCATCGTTTGCTCTATTTGGTGCAATGGAATCAATCTCATCGATGAAAATAATAGCAGGTTGATATTTTTTAGCCTCATTAAAAATTTCACGTAGTTTGGATTCAGTTTCACCCAAATATTTTGAAACAATTGAAGGGCCATCTATGGATAAAACATGGGCATTAGATGCGTTTGCGACACAGCGCAATAACATTGTTTTACCTGTACCCGGCGGGCCATGCATTAATATACCTTTAGGCGGGGAAATTCCAAAATCAGCAAATATTTCTGGTCTATGTAAAGGAAGGTCGATGGCTTTTTTTAACAGGTCAATCTCACATTTTAGACCACCTACAGCATCATAAGATAATGATTGAGGTAGAGAATATTTCTTTGATACATTTTTATCAGCGGTAAACTTTAGTTTTGTCAATCCCTTCTTGAAGAGCACTGGCTTTGACATAAACTCTAGTGTTTCGGATTCATCAGCATTTAATGATAGTTTTCCAATGTCTGGTAGGTCGTCATCATCAACATCGGTCACAACAAAATGTAACTTCTCATTATTATCTGTAGCAATCTCATTGAATCTCATTCCTGGCATAATTAATCCACAGTCATCAAGTAACTTTTCAACCAGCTTAACTTTCTCATTGGCCAACCCTTCTTCAAATGGGCCTACTGTTATTGATTTGGCATAAGCAGGTTGTTGGGTAAGTTTTTGAATTTCAACTCTATCACCCAAAATGATGTTGGATACCGAACGCAGAGTATCAGATACTAGAATGACATTTGCGGGGTGGTTCTCGTTCTTGCTAGGATTAGCAATTGCAGCAATACCGTTTTCACCGAATTTTGAGATGATACAAAAAGACCCTGATGAAATCTCTAACGCACTTAATACCTTCGAATTTACTGTAATAGTACCACTTTCTTTAGAATTAGAGTTGGCTGGAAGTGGTCTGATAATATATTCTGTCGGTAGTTTGAATTTGGGCTGCTTGATTTCATCTGAAGTTGCCGATGACTTCTTTTTAGATCCAGAAGATGCTGATTTGGGAGCCATCTTTCTCAGTTACGTTAGTTCTTCACGTCTCTAGCGGTACAACTGTGTTTCGAAATTATGGTGAATCTAAAATATAGGGATTATGGTGATTATTTTGTATGAATGTACTACTAACATTCAAACCTGATCTACACAGCTCATCGCAAAATATTTTTTGCAATTTGATTATGAGATAACAATCATCACGTGATTAAAAACGGTTCTTATGTAGGAGTCCATAATCAGGAATAGAATAAATGGTTAACTGATTACGATCAATAATATTATGTAAAATAACAGTCGACAGAAGTTTATTGTTGGTGCTTCATAAATATAAACTTGCTGCAAAAACGATATCTCTTTTAATAAGCTCTTGGGCCCTAGTCATCTTTAAGTGAAGGTTAGTGTTACCAATGATGACAGAAGCCGTTTTAACTTCCCTGCAGATTTCATCTAGCCAAGTGATTACTCTGACAACGGTACCTTCAGCTTCCGGACTTATTTCCATGATCTCTTTAAATGACATACCTCTTGCCCACTCATATACGACATTAACTAGTGCGAAACGTTTTCTTTCCAGAAATTCTGCCTCGTCCTTAGTTAGTGGTATCTGCTCTTCTTCAAATACTGACAGCATGTTCTTATAAATTTCTTCGATTCTATCTTTACCTTTTGTCAACCTTGGAGTTATTACAGGCATTTCTTCTTCTCTCGTTCTTCCCTCATATACAAATACAGAAAGAAGGGCCACTATTTCTTCCGGTTCAAAATTACCCAAAAAGTTGTCTAGAATCAACTCCGTTAACACTAGCTCGTATCCGGAATTGATTTCACAAGCAACACGTCCCTTTAATAATACATTGTGGTTTTTATCAATGAATCCAGTCTTGTATAAAACAGTTAGTCTCTTTTCATAGTCGGGTAATAGATTCAAGTTTTGATCTGACATCAAGTGGTAAAGGTTTTTTATTTCTTTGCCCAAATTATACTTCTCATAGATAGGCAAGAAATGCTCCGCCAGATTTGGACATTTGATGGACGATAGCTTAATCAATTCAGTACTGATATTCTTTCTCTCTATTGCATTTTGATGAACTTTTATATTTGCTTTCTTTTCTGCTTCAGATTCCTTCAAATTCTTGGATATTTTCAAAAGTGTAGAAACTTCCTTATTAAATTGCTCTTGGGCTGCCTTGTCCCCTTTAGTTAGATCATTCAATGACGTTCTTAAAGTGAAGGCTGTTACAAGCTCAATTTCTTCTAAAGGTACATTTTCTGCAACATAACTACAAGATTTGAAACTTTGGAAGTTCTTCTGAATATATCTTGGATTGGAAGCAAGATAAGGCAAATAGTTAGGTTTACCATTTGGAAGCCCATTAGGTTTTGAGACGCATAGCACAATTGCCATAGTTTCGCGAATGTTTAGTCTGAAAATAAAGCCAAGCTTATGGAATCCTTCATTGTCTCTGTAAACAACTAATCTTCCTACTTTTAATGTTTTTAAGATCACATCAGTCTTTGCTAATTCTGTCATCATAGTAGATGTAACATCTTGATAACGAACAATTAAATCCAAAAGTTGTTCTGAATCTTTTGAACAATACGCACAATCTTCATTTAACTTTATTTTATCCATTTTTTCTTTTAGTTCATTGATTTTTCTTTCGTGTTCAGGCTGTAATGTTTGCTTGCTATTCTCACTGAAAGAGTATTTAATCATTTCCTCAACCTTTAATGCTTCGATCCTTAAAAGATTCAGAATCATATTATAGGTCAATCTAAACTGCGATTCTAGTTTAGTTGGTACACCAAGTGTTACTTCTTTAAATGATGTAACGGGTAAAGGATCGGTATAAGCCATAACAATAACAGTACCAATTGTATCAAGACCTCTACGACCAGCTCTCCCTGCCATTTGAGTAAACTCACCAGGAGTTAGGTCCCTTAAGCCATTACCATCATGCTTTTGAATTTCGCTAAAAACAACTGTTCTGGTAGGCAAGTTTAGACCCATAGCAAACGTTTCAGTAGCAAAAAGGACTTTAATAAATCCTTTAGAGAACAATATTTCAATCAATTCTTTTACAATCGGTAATAGACCACCATGATGTACAGCAATACCACGCTCTAGTAAGGATCTGATTTTTTGAATTTGGGGTAAATCTCTATCTTCCTTTTTCAATCTAGTTATAGATTTTTCGATAAACATATGAATTTGAGATCTTTCTTTTGCATCACAGAAATTAATACCATCTAGCCAATCAGCATATTCTTCACATCTCTTTTTACTGAATACAAATACAACCATAGGAAGCAGTTCCTTTTTCCTCAAATAATCGACCAGATTTGGCCATGTTTTTTTGTTTGGACCACCCTTTCTGAAAAATTGACTCTTATTAGAACCTATAGCACCAGCACCACGGGATCCTCCTCTTCCACCTCTCCCTCCTCTCGCAGAATTACCTCTTGATGAGCCACCTCTTCCTCTTGTAGCTGCTCCACCACGAGAATTTGTCGCTGTGCTATTCTTACTTGTCAGCTCTTTTGCCGATTTACCATCTATCAAGGATTTGTGTTTTTTGAAATTTGCATCAGAAAATTCCCTCTTCTCGTTAATTACAGGTTTCAGTTCGTTTTTAGCCCAGATATTAATCTCCAACGGAACAGGTCTCTTTGGAGTTGAGATAACATATATATTTTTCTGTTTTGTTCTTCCAATCCAATTAGCAAATTCGTAAGTGTTTGGGACAGTGGCTGATAACAGAATAAACTTGACATGTTGAGGTAGCATGATAATAACTTCTTCCCAAACCACACCTCTATCTTGGTCGTTAACATAATGGACTTCATCAAAAATAACAAATTCAACATCTCTGATTAAGTCTGCACCTCTATAAAGCATTGACCTTAAAATTTCAGTCGTCATGATTAAGCAGTTAGCTTCCGGGTTTATTTGGACATCACCTGTTATTAAACCAATATCAACATCTTCAAATGTTTCTTTGAAATCTCTGAATTTCTGGTTTGAAAGCGCTTTAATTGGTGAAGTATAGATTGTTTTTGTCATATTTCTTTTCGACATCGCAATGGCATACTCTGCAACCACTGTTTTACCCGCAGATGTGTGAGCAGCGACAAATACAGAGTCACTCTGTTCCAAATGATAGATGGCTTCCTTCTGAAAAGTATCGAGCTCAAAAGGCCAAGTTCTAGCTGGATTTGGAATCAACTCAGAAAAGTTTTCAATTTTATGATTCAGATCAACAACATGAGCCCATTCTTTCATTTTCGTATCTTTATTGGATTTCATTATAGTACGGCCAAAATCTATCCCCATTGGTAACAGGTCATCTATGTCATTTAGTGATGGATCTGCTTTCTTGCTAGTGGCATTTATTAAATCTAGAGTGTTCTTCTCCACTGCTTCTTCTGTTCTCAGTATTTCTTTGTTATAATCTTCTTCGATTTTAGATTCGTTATCAACCTCATTAAGTGTTTCCATATCTTGAATATCATACTCTTGATAACTGGATTCAGATACATTAGGAATAATACCTCTTTTAAAGCCCTCTGGAATATCAAATAGTCCCTGTTCATCCTTGTGTAATAACTTCAATGCAGTACTAGTTGAAGAGCTATTGTTCTTGCCATCAGGCTTGAAGGCATCCATGACTACACCACCAGGTGTAAAGGGTAACTGTGCAGTGGATCCCCGAACGGTATTACCATGAAAGTTAATTGAACGATTTAAAGACAGTGAGTTTGATGCATTTGCATTAGCTATATCCTTTAGTGATACCTGTTCCTTGTAGTCTGTGATTTTCCCCTCTATCCCTCTTCTCTTAAAGAAATAGGAAGTTTTGCACTGTGGTTGAGGCAAGCTAATAAACTTTTTGTAATCATAACTATCTTCAGCGATATTACTTACATCTAGGGACTTGTTGCCCATAAAATTCATGGGAGGTAACTCCTGTACCAGGTCTAGTAATTCCCAAGATAAAGCATTAGTTGGCTTAATGAACCGATTGTATATATCCTGGTTCTCTTCCTCGACAGATTTTTCTATATCTTTTGGCTCCGGTGCTTTTAAGTTCAAGAACTCTTCATCAAAGTCATTGGATACAATTACCTCCTTGAGAGAGGTGTATGCTTCTTCGATATCTGTGAAAGCCATTTGTTATATATGTTCTTCACAGTAAAAGTACAAAATCTATCAGATTTCAATGCTTAAACTTGAAAATTTCTAGCAATTCAATCTGTACTATCTAATTGACAGTATATGTTTGAGAGGTCTAACGTGAATACTGCAACAATTGTTTGATCACATCAACTACTATTTTAATTCAACTCAGAAGTAGAGCGTTCTTCTATAAAATTTGGTCTGACGAACTTAGGTTCATTGAAACGAAGCAATTTTGATTTCGAATATACAGAATTACAACAATCAATGGGCAGTTTTTAAAAACATATTTAATTTACTTTCTTGCTATGGCAATTCGATAGCATTTGATAAAATAATGTGTGAAGAGCTATATAAAGTGGAGAGTATGAAGGGACTTAAATATATATCCTCTGTCTATACCAGTGCTAATGATGCAGATTTCTATTATGATTATAATTTACGTGTTATTCCTAGTTAATCTATCTCCTTGCAATGCAAAGTTGGTTCAGTGAATCGGCAGAAAAACGTATCGTACACATATGTGATGTACAATTTTTTTTGCTGATTCATTACACCATGCATTGGAATAAAAACAACATTTAAAATAGTTTAGTATGATAAGTAAATGAGGAAATATGATTCCGTTACCTGATAGACAGACAAAATCTTCCATAAAATGATAAAAATCTCAAATTTTTTTATTAATGTTACAACATGTTTTACATTATATTCAACCTTTAGTGGTTGGATAGATGATCATTAGATTAGATGCGTATTTTATAATTCCTTTTTTTTTTTCGCCACGTTTGTTTTCATACCGATCATTTTATTGATGAATTGTAAAACAAGTGAGCAAATCGAAAAAGCTAGTTCTAGTTAAGCCTAATCCTTCAAACTGCAATTATAGTTTAGTACCCTGTAAAACAAGAAACTGAAAAATATAAAAAAAAAAACTCCCGAAAAAAATTTATAGTAGAAAAGGTCTCCCTCTATTCATTTAATTCCATTTAAAAAATTAGTAGGGCAAACTCAAAAAAACAATATTCCCAAAAATAATTAGAATGAAAAAAAACAAAATCAGAAATTACTCCACTGAATTTTGATTTGAATTAACTGAAAGACAAAGTTATTATGGACATGAAAAATCGAACTGAAAAGATGTGGAAATGAAAAGGCATTAAAAGTAGGAATAAAAAGTCGACTAATAGATGTACTTGTGTGAAAAAAGTAGCCAACGTAAATATGTTAACACCTAAAGTGAAGTCACAGGCAGTGATTCTAGTAGAGTTACTGGTTGAAGGTGACACGTTAAGTGAAGGTGGTGGTAGTATGGCATACAGGATAATGTCGCACAATTGCATTCAACGACCGCTCTATTCTTCTTCACTTTCGCTGCTATCATCATCTGATGATGATGAGCTGTATCCATTCTGAATATTTGAAGCAAAAGAGGCTGGTGTGACTGGAGAGCCATTTTGACTTAATGGGGATGCACCATCTAGTAAAGCTAGCTTGTTCCTAATTTTTTCAATCTGTTTACTTTGTTCTTCTCTGCTTAAATTCTTGGATCTCTTACGTCTTCCAAGCCCATTAGTTGGAGAGACAGATTGGTTGTCATTGCCACTGTCATTGGCAGGAGCTTCGAATTGCCTAAAGAAAGTATTGTAAAGAGTTAAAATGGTGTTGTTATCCAAAGTATCTAAATCCAGTTCAACTTCCTCATCGTCGCCGATATTTGGCATAGATTTCTTAATGATTTCAATAACTTTTTCAAGCTTAGCAGTTGGCAAGTCGTTAATGTTTTCGGTGATGATCTTCTTCATATCGTAAGTGACCACACTCTTTAACTTCTTCTTGCCTCTACCTGTTTTAGCCTTTGTGGAGCCCTTCTTTCTACCACGACGGCCACGGGTCTTCTTTGGTCCACGAGCCAATCTTCTTTCTTTTCTAATCTTTTCCAATTCTTGTTTCTTCAGTTGTTGTAATTCGACTTTCATTCTCTCCAGCTGGTCTTCCAAGTACTGGATAGCTGGGTTAGTGATGGAGGTCTCATCGATCTCTACGTCTGATTCGTCAGACTCCTCGTCGTCGTAAGCGGACTCGGCCTCTTCGGATTCGACGTCTGAGTACAATGGTCTGTCGGCCCATTTTGTGTTGAAGATATCCTCTAATCTGTGACCCATCATGTTGACGATGGTTCCATCAGGGTTGAATGCGTAGCAGTTTTGGAAGATCAGCCGTATGTCATGTTCAGCCTGGTCTAAGTTCTCATACTCCCAGTTGCTCAACTTCTTGGAGACGGTACCCAGGTCCATAGGTTCTTTGACGTAGTCGAAGTATGTTGGGCAGTTCAATGCGACAGGGTCAACTGGCTCCAAGAATGGGTAGTTGAACGAGGCGTACTTCTTGCTCATCAACTCTCTGACCACGCCTTGGCAGAACTTCATAGCGCGTTGCAAGGACTTCGACTTTGGCTTACTGTTCATCTCGTAAGGGTATATGTCCTTAGACTTTGGAGGGTGAATTTCTCTCTTTGGCCTGCCGTTGTGTGTTTGTGCTCTTCTGATGACCACTGGGGTGTCGCTGTCGGTGGTTTTCTTCTTGCCACGGCCTGTGGTAGCTTTAGTACCTGGCAGAGGGTCTCTCTGTGGCAGATCCTTTGCAGGCATGTTAAGCATGTGCTTCTCGAAAGCGGCCTGGATGTTTCTACCCATCTGTGTTATGACTGCTGTGGGCCCGTTGAACTTTGCACTGTTCTCTACCATCAGGTTGAAATCCTCGGTGATCTGCTCGGGTGTTTCGTAAGCGTTGGCGTTCAGCTTGCGTTCTATGGTCTGCAGGTCCATTGGTCTCTTGATGAAGTTGAAGTATAAGGGGATGTTCAGGGCAACAGGGTCGACTGGCTGCAGGAACGGTCTTGCGTCTTTCAACCTCTTGACAGCCTTGATAGCCATCAGAGCGTGCTTCTGCTGGTGCTGTGGTATAGGGTTAGCTGGCAAGTTGTCCATATCGGGCTCCTGTGGAGGAGCAGGTGCAGGAGTCATGTTAGAAGTGTCGACAACATTCTTGGTTTCAGCGGCATCCTCTGATTTATCTTCTGATTTATCTTCTGCTGCTTCTGCTTCTTTACTTTCCTCTTTACCTTCCTCTTTACCTTCTTTATCTTCTGATACTTTACTTTCGGACTTCTCCTCTTCTATAACTTTATCTGTGTGAGCGTGTTCCTCGGTCTGGGAAGTCGGGGTGGCGGACTCCTCCACCTTGAGCTTCTTGTCCTCGTGTGTATCCACTGCGTCTTCAACCATGTCGAAGCTCCTCTTCAACTCCTCTTGTGCAGGAGGACTGGGTGGCAGTTCAACGTTCATTAGTTATGTATTCTCAGACTTTTTCAAAATTCCTTGCTGGTTCACCAAAAACCAAAAACCAAAAACCAAAAACCAAAAACCAAATAATAAAAGTAATACCCAGAAACCAAATAAGAAGTCCTTCAGTACAAACCGTCAAATATGATAGTATAATATGACCAGCGTATATAACGACCAAAGACAGTTTTAACGGAGAAGAGAAAAGGCCTTGATCTTCTTTTGTGGTGTGGTGTGTTGGTGTACAAACAAATTAAAAAGGGCCAAACCTGAAAAAACAGTGGAAGAAATCCCAGTAGAAAGAGAGAGCGAAAAAAAGAAAAGGAAGACTAAGAAGTAAGAGTAGCTGAAAAAAGAGAAAAACCCAAACACCAGACACGAGAAAGAGAAAGTTGAAAATTGCAAAAAAGGGCGGGTGAACTTGCTCGCTATTTATACCATCGCTGAAAAAGGGCTTTCAACGAATGAACAACAGAAAAAAGTTTTTTCTGTTGTTCATTCGTTATAGTATGGGCATCCCCCCTACACAGGTTTCTAAAGTACAACTAATTAAGAAGGGACTGCTAAAGGATAGAGAAGGGAGAACAAAAAAAAAAGGGAGTTGTTCTAACAACGGTACGTACGGAACTGGAGTGGGAGGGGCAGGCATGAAAGAAACGCTGGGTAGTGCTGGGTAGTGCTGGGTACAGCATCTTCTATCAAACAGCCGTAGAAAAGCCCCTCCCGGTGGCGAAAATGAAAAACAAAAGTAACAATTCAGTTTCTTAAAAAAGAGAGAGATCCCCCCAAGCACACAGAGAAACCTGCGCGAAGATGGGAAGTTACCCAAAGTTAAAAAGAAAAAAAAGAAACAAAAAAATCTTGGGAGACGGAACCTACACACCTGTGAAGACACGGCCGCAGCAGTGGGTCTCAGACCAGCTCTCCCCGTCGCAGTGCAGTGTCTGGGTGTTTCTCTCTCTCTTTCTGGGAGCATTGTTAACGAGCTAGAACTAAACGTAGACTGCACCATCACACTAACACACCCACACACCAAAAAAAAGAAAGGAAAGACAGAGATACCAATTTTCTTAGAACTCTGTGGAACAGTTCTAGGATTTAGGATATCTCAGCGCCCAGAGTTGGCTGCACTGAAAAAACCGCTGGTGTGCTGAGACTGACGGAGACCGCTATTTGGCTGTTCCACGTCGCATCTTCAACAGAACCTGAATCTTGACGCGTCATTGAAAGTGACGCGTTCTGAGGTCATATGATCTGTCGTCGCTAGTGTCAGCGGCATCCCCGCCGAGGGGGTGAATCATGGAGGGCCAAAGGGCTGGTATCCAAATATGACTGACATCAGCGGATGTTGCAGTGCTTTAAGCTCCCATAAACATAAATGGCACACACACACACACACTGACATCCTTATAACTATCTTGAAAACCTCAGCTCACACTCTATTCTCGCATCCTATGATTGAGGGATTGGGGACTGGTGATTGGGGATTGAAGGAGTGGGCATTGGAATTAGTTCTTTTTATAAGACTATTTGGAATCTTAACTGCCATTATGTCTTTTTGGATGTAATGTTTAGACATATATTGGATATAATAAGCATTAAGAAAATTTTTCTCCCTGCAACCCCAAAGCCAGAAGGAAAATCAAAAAAAAATTTGGGAGAACCGGGATCAATTACCGGATGCGGTAATATCGTCATTGCGGATATCTTCTGTCATGAATCACGTGTATTTTGCTATATCAGATTATATATAATACTACTTGTATGCCATCACATCCTTCAGTATATCCCGTACCGGTGGGAGTGTTACTCTGTCTTCTGTCTTGTGTGAGATGCCCTGTGGGTGCTCCAAGTAGTCGTTTCTGTCCTTGAGCGAGGCCATGGACACCACGCTGCTGGATGCAGACAGCGGCTTGGAGTCGCACATGCTGAAGACAGGCGTGGTTGACCCCATCGACACTGATCCGTCCTCCTGGAACGGTGTCAGTCTATGTAGCGCTGACATCAGCGACCGCGAGTGTCTCTTGTCAAAATACGGCGATACTGGTGACGTGCTGCTGTTGATCAACGACGGCGTAGTGGCACCCATGCCGTACCCGAGTAAATTACTCCCACTTGTGCTTCTGTCCAGCGAGCCATAGGTGGACGGGTTGGTGCTCATCGCGAGCGTGGTTAGGCTCACCGCTGAGTGCGACCGGCTGCTTACCTCCGACGATAGCCCCGATAGCGGCGGTAAAATGTACATCCGTGCTGGGTCGCGTATACTGGTCCCCGAACCAAAGCTGCCTGTGCTCTCAGTCGGTACCACCGGAATCCCTCTATCGCTGATCTGAGACCTCGTTTGTATGGTTGTTGGAATCGCTGGTGTCGTTACCGGGTTCATTACTTTCCCCTCTATCACCCTGAACTGGGGCTCGCTTCCTTCTTTCTTTGATGTGTCGTTGGCATTGTTCTTCTTGTTCTTCTTCTTACCCTTCGCTTTATTGTTCACTGACATGTGTGTCCTGCTGTGCCTCTTAAGCTCATCGGCGCGACTGAAACTCTTCGGGCATGAAGGAAACTTACACTTGTGCGGCTTCTCCCCGGTATGCGTCCTGAAATGGCGCTTCTTGTGTTCTAGTCTGTGGAACCCTCGCGAGCATATCTCGCATCTGAAGGGCCTCTTGAAATTATCCGGAGGGTACGAGTCCTGGTTCTTTATCTTGCCAAACATTATTTAGTTTGTTATCTTATGTGTCGATGGATAGCAGATTGTTTTGTAGATGTTCTTTGACTCAATTACTTTTGCAGTTTTTATCTTTTGTCGACTGACGTGTTAATGACTCTCTAGTTTACTTTACTGGTCTTGGTTATATAGTTGGCGTTGCATGCAAGAGTTAAGAAAAGAATTTACCATTTAATTAAGATCAATAATAATTGATTTTAGAAAAATATACTACCGACTAGATCAGGGGGGTTAATGGGTTACAATTACTCTGTGTGTCTTATTGGAAAACTTGGCTATAGATATACGATTTCAATTAGGACTGCAATTACACAACCTTTACTCTTTCCTTTTTTCCCACAATAAATTGCAGCTTATAATAAAAATTTGAAAGGACTGTCATTGGAAGCGATGACACTCACACTCTCTCATACAAAACGCATTCTAATTTATTCACTGGGACCTGACTGTAAAAGCATTCCCCTGACATTTTATTCTAATATCTTGACAAATCCAGTTTTTTTGGCTTTAACGATGCAATATTGTCTAATCCACAGTGCAAGAGATGGAGATAAAACCATTAAGAGTGGCAGTGCGTACGCTCAAGCACTAATTTCTTCTACAATCCCCACCCCAAATGTCTACAATATAGTTTGTTGTTTACCCTCTTTGCTTTTTTGAGAGCCCCAGAAGACGCCCAGTCAACAGCCGAAAACTATATTATATGTTCCTGTTACTCACATAGCACTCTCCCGCGATACCTGCAGTATAAGAGTCGGATATCGCTGGTAAAAAGAAATGAAACATAACCCCTCAGACAAATATATTCCATATCAAGCAAAAACTTACAGAATAAACAGATATCTGTAAAGGGATTATAGACTCACTACAGTAGTTTCACTAGCAAAATTACATAAGCTGATGGCAGTTCACTTTTGAAATCACCCAAAAACAGCTCCATGGCTAGTCAAAATATCAAAACAAACCCAACAAAAAATTAATGTAGCGAAGTAACTCTCCTCGAACCGGTAGTACAAACCGTATCCCGCTCCTTCTGCCTCCAGAACCTTAGCAGAATGTCTCCCGCATTATAGCTATTTGACACACTGTCAAAAAAAAAGGAAAACTAGATGAGTTAACTCTAGTGGGGGGGACAATGACAAAAGCTACCCCAGGCAACGACTTCAAAGCAAAGAGCATAGTGGGGGTGACAAAATATTGTAGGGACAAGGTATGCGTCTTTTGCAAATAAAAAATCAGTTATGCGTAAATATCCTGGTGATGGTGGTGGGGGCAAGAACCGGACGCACAGATGCATATAAATAAAGGGAGAAGATAGGAGATACACGGGAAAATCTCTAAGAATAGTTTTTCCGTAGATTTCCCTGTGAAGCAATTGTTGCAACCATTGTCTTATTCTTTAATTACATTTGGGAAGAAAGCACGTCTAGGGTTTACAGTAAACTGCACTATTCTCCGCATAAAAAAGTTTTTCCATGCCTGTTCTATTTGACCGTTGCAAAAAGAAAAATTATAACGCGTAAGAAAATAGCGGCCATCCAAGTCCTTTGCTAATATTACGTACTTAAATTTCACTCGAATACTTTATACTATTCTAATTTCAGCTTACCCAGAATTCGCTCTTGGAGAATGGTTTCTCGGTGTGCTCAATTCTGTTAGCATTTGTATTATATCTCTCTCGAGGAAATCATTGCTTCCCCGAATGCCGTACTTGTCGGAAAAACTATTTTATTTTTGTCGCTGGCAGGAATAGTTTTTCCGCTGCAAGATCCCACAATAAGCTACAGATTCGAGTTGTACAGAATAATAATATATGGTGGTTGGGTTGTAGGGCTGAGGAGTTTTTAGAAATTATAGTTTACTGTTTTCAGTGTTCTCGAAAAAACAAAAAAAATGAGGTATTTTTTCCTTTCAACTTTGGTTTTGATTGGATGATTTAGGTTTTTATTATTGCTCGACTACCAGTAGTGGACGACGTTGCTGGAAGCGTTCTTTCATGTAGGGACTATGCTCTCAAGACGATCAATTGCTACAATTCATTGGAATTCTTTTTGTGGGACGTAGCTTTGCTGGCTCACCGAGCAGAAATCAAGTAACTCGGAAAAACCGTTGTTCTACAAATGTTATTCTTGATTCTTAGTACTTACTGTACCCTTTGATGTATTCAGTTGGTCGCCGCGGTACTCGGAAAGGCAATATTGTCGATTCACTGTAACTTGCTTTTAAAGTATCTATCCAAGTGAGATACTAAAAGCAGAGCAAACTTTATGTGTATATGGTTTGAGGGTTGTCAATGCTCGTTTATCAATTTCTATCCTTCTGAAGTGGGGGTTTTGTCATACGCGTAATTGTTCCATCGCTCTCTTTCTAAAATAAGTGATCAGCTTTTCACCCTCAAAAGCATTCAAAAGAATTGTTCTTCCATCTTTACGTCATTTGCTAGATACATTTTTGAAGTAAATAGGAGAGTTCTTAGTGGACGGACTTTTAATAAATGACATAACTTAAGTAATAAACGCGGGAATAGACATATCGAGAGGTCTCGCAAAAGCTTTGGACTAATGGATCTCTTAGGTACAGTACTATAACTGTAGGGACATTGGTATTTCGTGGCGACCCTCTTAACACAATGGCGCCAGTATTCTATAACACCGATCGTCAGTTCAATTTACGTAATTCAATGTCCGACCAACAAGGAAACAAAGTAAGGAGCAAAATCAAATATTGCTTTTCTCTTTGATATACGATAAAAGTTCGGATAAATAAGTCAAATTGTTTGGCAATGGCATTTCTCCTGTGGTCTGTCCTCATTGTTTCCTTTGAAATACGGCCAAGTCCGGGCAATATGTCCTAATGATGCGTAATTTACTCGCTGGTTATAGTAGATGAACAATTGTAGTGGGTACTAGCACTAAAACAAAGCATTATTGCCTCTCCAGTTACGTCACCATGACTCTCAAAATGATGGTTGGTGGTAATGCATTACCTAATACGCTAGCAACATGGAATATCAAGTTTGTAATACTCGTTTTATGATCTGGAACCAATAGCGGCAACTATGACAAGTTGGGGAGTATACTGGATATCAATACAATATAGTCAGTTATATGACAACTGTAGTTCAATAAGTAGAAAAGATATATACTAAGTATTATCTAAAATAATCTGTTCAGTGTCTAAAATGTAAAGATGCTTCACTTTTGATGTATAGCAAGTAATAGATGAAGGTATCCACTAAGTGCCAAATATGTGCTCAAAACATGAATTTTCTGAAAACCTGTAAATGTTCGATCTATATAATATTGTATTCATTGTATTGGTAATAACCATGCTAGTGAATCAGGTTTCATCATATACATATGTTATTCCTCTATTATATACTATTACAATTACTATTACTTTCTCTTAAATCCTGGTGGTGGTTGGAATTTCCTTACCGGTTGTTGTATTGTTCTCTCATTTGGCTTCACATCCTTGCTGTTTGACTTGGCCACTTTCCCGCCATTTGTAGTGGTATTTTTCTTCCTCTTATTGCGCTCCTTTGCTAGCTGTTTCTGCTGTTTTGAGTCGACAACCAATCTTTCTGCTTTTGAAAGTAGCGGCTTGTCCTCTACAACTGTCGATAGTATCTGCTCGCCTCGGAGAATGACAAGTCCCAGCACTCTCTTCTCAACTTTCAGGTTGTCTCGATCAACCGAGCCTTTATTCTTTATGTCATCGATCTGCTTCTTGAGAACTCTCTCCTCCACACAATCACTCAGTACTACATTCATATGCTTATCAAACGCCAGCAATATACCAATATACACCCTACCATCTTGTGTTATGACACGTAACTTGTAGTTTATCAGGTCAGCTAATCGACTGTTGTGCTTTACTTGAACTCCTACCATCTGCTATAATGAGTTGTCCTGTTGTGCTCTATGGTTCCTGTTTCTTGGATATCTTTATGAAATGTGGATTCTCGTATTATGGCTTCAATGGTGAAGACGTGCTATAGTTTCTGCTAAACCTTGACCTATTCAAATACTGCTTTCTTTTACACTTATTGCTTGCTTCCTTACAATTTTTGAAAAATTTCAGTTGGTAAAGCGATGAGACAATTGAAAAGGGAAAAAGGTTAAAAGACAGGTACAAGCTGGCTAGTGATTGTTGGCACAATTGGTCACAACCAGAGCAACGCTACAAGAAAACAATGTCTGAGGAGAAGGAGGTCAAACCCGTTGTTGCTGAGAACGCTGAAGTTCCAGCCAAAGTTGAGAAGAAGAAGAGAAGAAGAAGAAACTACGATGATTACGATGCCGAGGTGACTGAGTCTGAGAAGAAGAAGAGCAAACCTAGCGAAGCCAGTGGTAAAGCTGGTGCGGCTGCAGCTGGCGATAGCGACTCTGAGAGTGACATTGATGACGCCAAGCTTGACAGACTGGAGAGCAACGAGGACGAAGAAGAGGACGACCTCGCGGAAATCGACACATCCAACATCATAACCACAGGCAGAAGAACGCGGGGCAAGATCATTGATTACAAGAAAACTGCCAAAGAGCTTGATGCGAGTGAGCAGAAAACTGATTCTGCCGCTACCGAGGCTGCTCCGGGAGCCGCTGATGATGAGGAAGATGACGACGCCGACTTCAAGGAATGATTGAACAGCTGTGAGACATTGAGCTTACCGCAAACTTTCTGTAACTTTAAAATGTTATACGTGCACCAATTGTGATTAAGGAACTGCCGTTATGTATATAGCTATATATATTTGCTATTGTTTAAACTTTTTTTTATTGTTTTCTCATATTTTTATATGAATCAAATATTTATCAGAACAGTTACGGGCTTTTACATAAAGTATATAGAAAGATAGATAGTGGAAAATGCATGACAAGGGAATTTGCTTAGCAGCAGTTGTTGGAGCTGCTCTTCTTCTTCTCATTTGGAGCTGGGGTCAGGCTGATGGTAGGTCCGTTTGGCCCGGCGCCCGGCTTGTTGGCGTTGCTCAGCTCTACTTGGTGTTTGCTGACCTTCTGGTGGATTGCTGTGATCAGTTCCTTGAACGCGAGGTCGACGTTGTCGCTATTCAGGGCACTTGTCTCTGTGAACAGCAGCTGGTTCTCAGAAGCGAACTGCTTGGCCTCCTCGGTGGGGACGGCACGCAAGTGAGCCAGATCGGACTTGTTCCCGATCAGGCCCACAGCGACGTTGTCGTCGGCGTTCTCCCTCAGCTCCGACAGCCAGTGGTGGCAGTTCTCGTAACTGCTGGACTTGCTGATGTCGTACACGATCAGCGCACCCACGGCACCACGGTAGTATGCGGAGGTGATCGCACGGTACCTTTCCTGGCCCGCGGTGTCCCATATCTGCGCCTTAATCTTCTTGCCGTCCACGTCGATGGTCCGCGTGGCAAACTCGACACCGATAGTGGACTTCGAGTCGATGTTGAACTCATTCGTGGTGAACCTCGACAGCAGGTTCGACTTACCAACACCGGAGTCACCAATCAACACTATCTTGAACAGATAGTCGTAGTCATAACCATAATCCTCGTTGCTCATCTTGGTATATAAGTCCTCTGGTAGAGCCAGAAAGCAATTCGATAATACCTTATACCTGGCTTAAAACCATCCTATCCATACTTATAACACTGAAATTCCAATTTCTGGTTTTTTTTTGGATTCAAAATCCGCGAACACGTCTGAGAAGCAGCTGTGCGCAGTGCAACAGCTCTACACAGTGGGATCCATAGAGACCCCCCCGTATAGCTTCCTGGGGTGCTGATGTACGTATAATGTCGCGTGATACATATGTGCCAAGTGATATACCAATACCAATATACAACTATACGGTTTATCATATGACATGCATCTTGGAAAGTGATATGGGACATACCCAAACACGAGTTCACATCATATGATACTAGTATAGAGTGATGCGCAGCATCACTCTATACTAAGTAATGTGTGTACAACACGTCCAACATGATAACCCTTCCACTTAAAACCAAAAAAAAAGAAAGAAAATGAAAATTGCAAGTTCATAATGTTTACTAATTCCCCGATTAGGGATACATGTAAACAAATCACTGAACAGAGTGATGAAAAAAAGCTTTTGCAAATGTATCGCAGACTCATTGGTGAAGTTGTTGTGTTGACTTGATCCTGGTCCTGGACCTTGGTCCTTGAACCTGGTCCTGGTCCTTGGACCTGGTCCTTGGACCTTGGTCCTGGATCGACAATGGGACCAGTGGTGCTTAACTACAGATACTGTAGCTGAGAATGCTGTGCTTGATGAACCCGGGTAAAGTCCCTGGTCTTGTTTACCAGATCATTCGCACTACCTCAGACTTGAAGCCACTACTTTGTACTTGAGTATTTGCATGTGCACTGCAGATACTAAACTATTTTTTTTGTAGCCGCTGTGAATATAGCCAAAGACCCCAACGAGAAGACACAGTACGGATTCTACGATGCCGGCTCGGTCGACAGACAGTGATGTGTATAGAGCACGGGTGCATAGAGAACCGCAGGTGCGGTTCTCTATACCCGACCCGGACGACACAGACAGAATAGTGTTCCCAAACACTTCGACGGGTGATAGCGACGAGAGCCAGGTGCAGGAGCAGGAGCAGGATACTACTCGTCAGGGCCAGCGACAACGACAGCGACAGAGCAAGCAGGTGGACAACCGCGGGCACCTGGTGGATATGCACTCCAAGATCATGATAGATGTGCCCGAGGATATATGGAAGTTCCACCGCAGTCACAGGAAGTCAAAGTCCCTCGACGGCGACAGCAGCAGCGACTCGATTGTGCTCGGACACAAGAAGTCGAAGTCCCTGCAGTCCATCATCCTGGAGACCGTCAGCTCCTACCAGGACTACTCCCGGGACACTTCCACAGGCGACATTTCTTCGAGCACTAACAACAGCAGCCTGAGCCAGGTATCGCCGCTGCACTTGGGACCACAGACAATGATGACCCCCACTAAAAATGCAAGCTCAAACAGCCTGTACCTGTCTTCGGAGTCTCCCTTAAATAAGTACAAAGTGCCAGTTCCAGCAATGATCTCGCTGCCGCCATTCCTGTCGCCAGAAAATAAACACAAAAAGTCCAACAGCGTGGTGTACAACGGCTCCGGATACAGTGCATATAACTACGACGGCGACACTTCCTCAGAGTACACAGGTGATCACACCCAGACTTCCACAGACGACTCCATTCCATCAGCAAAATTCGATATATCATTCGACCCAGGTGCACAGAGTGCGCAAGAGACCGATCACATATTAGGCATAGATGAGGATGCAAACGTTAATCTAAAAGTACAAAATAGAAACTTACGCATGAAGAGCTTGCATAACCAGATCCCGACAATGATCCATGAGAAATCATCCCCATCAAGACAATCATCACCAGTTGCGCCAATTTTGAAAACTAATGATCAACTACCAATTCCAAACCAACAATCTGCAACAGTACCAATACTCAAAAATAATGAAAAATCACCAATGTCAAATCAACCTTCTCCAGTGGTCCCAATACTCAAGCACAAACATAAGCGCGAATTGAGCATGCCTTCCCCTCAAAATTACCAGTTCCCTACATCACATTCTAATTCAGAGCAGCAAACAATACTTAATAAAGACATTGCAAAAGAAAGTAAATCACTGCAAATATTATCTACTCCATCCAAGACTATTGATATTCCAGATTTATCAAAAATGACTACACCAGCTAGTGCATCATCTCGTGGTTCTTTACATTTCTTCGATAGATTTGATGACTCAAAAGATGACGAAAACTTTGTACCCGCTAATATTAACAGAGTAGACCAATTAGATCTAAGTTTCAAATTTCCAGCATCCAACACCCAACATGCTGAGATAGCACCAGTACTAAACCCCATTGAAGATAGCGACTTTTTGAAAGTGGATACTTCGCCTACTAATCCCCAATTCGAAAAAAGGCGACAAATGCTCATGGATCAAAACCGTAATAGTGCAATGTCTCATCAGCATAGAAGAAGCAGAAGTGTTCATAACACTGAGGATATACAGGACTTATTTGAAGCAACTTCGACACCTCCAAAGACCTCCAAAGAACAAAGTGTACCTACTAGATCTCCTCTGCGACCAAAGTCACCTACATTGACGGACAATCTCCCTTCATATGACCCTAATCCAGATGTGATCCCAGATATCAAAGTTACAGAAAGTCCAGAGGACGATTCAGTTAATTCTATACAAGATAGTATTACCAAGGTCACTGATCCACACTATATTGAAGATACTCAAGACAGTTATCAATATGTTGGAGTTCATGATATATCAACTTCCAGTACAATAGAAAACTCAAGTGAATATGATAGTACTCCAACGGAAATTACAATTGAAGGGACAGAAAACATCTTAAGACAACCATTAACCACATTTGCCTCATTCAGTGCTCCATTAAATTTGGATGGAATAAATCAAACCATGAACGAAAATGGGAAATTAGGAAGCCTTCCAAGTAATGGAATAATGCTGGATCAAAATATCATGTCTAACACCGGAAGCGTATCATCAAGAACTTCGATTTTTTCCAAGAACTCCGGAGAAACTGCTCTTACCTCTAACCCATCAACATATGACCAGGAACATAATAATATAAACCCTACAAGTGCAAGTATCATGATAAAAGCTAAGAAAAATTCGCATAGGAGCCCGATATTTGAAAAGCCACAAACCCAAAAACATATTAATAACAAAGACGATGCGGAACTAAAGACTGTTTTTGAGAAGATTAATGGAAAAATTGTTGAAGTAATAACAATAGATGACGATGTCGATGAAACTTCAAAAATTTCTGTAAAAGTTCCTCTTCAATCAAATGGACATAAATTAGACAATATGATTGATGATTATAATGATCAGGTCAGGATGAGAAGAAATAAATCTAATGATTGCACAAAAAAACATAGACAATCGTTTCACGAAGCCCAAAAAAAATACGAAACTATATTAAGTCTTTGTGATGAAACAGCTGAAACAGCTAAAACAGTTATTTATGAACTTAATAAGAAACAGCATTCGGAGACTAAAGGTCTCGCAATACGTGCATACAACAGTGCTAATACCGCAAACAATATCACTAGTAATATTAGTAATATGTCAGCTAACGAATTAGATCCTCGGAAAATCAAGTACCTATCAACTTTCAACAAGAAACTAAGAGTAAATTCTTACACTAGAAAGGAGAAGCCTACTACTGGCTAGATGCCAATAGGTCTTTTGATTTTTATTAGCTGTACTTTGCTTCCTTGTTATATAATCTGAAGTATTAGATAGTTGTGATTAATGAATATTCATTTAAAAATGCTAATGTGTGTATTTATATAAAATATAGTACACGATCTATAAACCATTGATAAGATTGTTACTAATAATCATCTTTTAGGAGAATTTGTAACAGATGATGACGCCTCTTGAATTGGACTCAAAGAGTAATTTGGAATAAAGGCCGGTGAAGGTGCCATGTACGTGGTGGGTGGAGTACGACTTTCTAGAATTTCATCCGTAGATGCTATTCGATCCTCTTCGATCGAGTAATTTGGTTCGTGAGAAGGTGTTATAGGAAATTGTTTAGAGCCTTGACCAAAAGGACGGTAGCCAGAAGAAGGTTTAACTGGTGACTTAGATCTTTGCATTCCTATCTCAGATCCAGGAGATTTAGACCATCCTGGGCTGCTAAAGAAAGTAACAGTTTTGTTATTAACCTCCAATTTATTCTTGATAGGACTAGATTCCGTAGTTACACCTTGAGGTTTATCAGTAAAACTGTAAGTAGATCTGAAACTGCCTTTATTCGATCTTCTGAGCATTCTCTTTGCCGCATTGTTATCATTTTCTGTATCCGAAAAATTAAAATCCTCTGGGACTGTGTTAATCTCATCAAGATATTCATCCTCATCCCTTGTTACATCATTTAATTCATTATAAGCATCCTCCTCAGTTTCATCAATGAAATAAAGGTTGCTCATTAGCGCTGGTAATTCCGAGTCTAGTTCTGAGTTTAAATCATGAAATTTCAAAGCTTGAGATCTTGCAGGAGGAGGAAGCGGGTGATTCAGTCCGTATTCCTTGAAATTTGAGGCTGTATGAGACTTATTATTTTCAATTGTTTTCTCTTGCGGGGAAGAAGGCTCACATTTGATGGTAGGAATAATTTGTTTATTAATTATATTTGGTTTCCCAGGTGTGCATATTACAGGTGATACTAATCCTTCAGCCAACGATTGGGACTCGAAGGGGCTTTGTAATATCGGGCTAGAGACAGCATCATCTTCGTCTAGACCCACGTCCGATAACCCTGTCAACCCATCTTCATTATTAATATCTTCTTCCGAGTCACTTTCTAGATTAAAAATATCAGCAAATGATGCAACTGGTTTCTTTTGAAATTGCTTGTTTTTAACTTCTGTCAACAGTGTAGGTTTTTGATATGTAACATCTCCTTTTTCTAGCTTTTCATTAATACGTAAGTTGGAATCTTCATCCACATAGTTTACTACATCTTCACTTGTCTTAGATTGTACGGGTTCAGCGTCCTTTTGATACCTCAAAGCTTCTGCTTTGTCCAAAACCACTTCTTCTTCAATAATATGTTTTGCCATATTAAAATCTGTAATAGCATCGTCAAATTCTTCATCAGAAATATATTGCTGCTCCTTATTAATGTGATGTTTCTGGACATCATTCTGCAAGTTTAAGTCTCCTCCAAAATCATTATAGTACTCGACACCATAATCGCTATGGATATCATCAGATTGGAGTTCAATACTCTGCCCACATTCGTCGGAAACTTTTTGATCGTACTCTTCATCTATCTCATCTTCTTCATCATTGTCATCTCCACCTTCCTCTTCATCCTCATCGAATTCGTCATCATCATTAAAGCTCGGATCGTCCTCATCAGATAATGCAAACAAATCATTATATCGATGAACCTTGGGCTTGTTTACTCTCATTTGAATAGTCGGTTTGTATATTGGTTTCTCATTAGAATGATCATTGATCGAAGGAGACGATAAATCTTTCAGAACAGATGTATCAGTATTTATATTATTCTTATTACTGGCCATCTCTTCTTGTAAAAATTCAGAAACCTCATTTTCATCATAGTAATTCATATCCTCATCAAAGTCCTCATCATCATAAAGGTCATCAATATAGACCATTTGTTTTGGTTCAGGTTTCGAATAGTATTTCACAGAGGGAGTGCGGCCACTTAAGTTGCTGTATTCGAAAGAAAATTGCGATGCCTCATCATCATCGTCAGCGTCATCGTCATCTTCTTCATCAATAGCGTTGGAGTAGTCACTATCATCACTATCTCTTAATTTATTTTGGTTATGATTCGAGTTTACCATCAAATGATTAGACCATCGAGATTCCTCCGATTGTGTCATTGATACGACTGACGTTCTGTTTGACCTTACGTTTTTACTCCTAGAGAGTTCTTTAGCGTCACTTAAACTGGAGTTATACTTTTCAAGAGTGATTACTGGTGGCGGAGATTCAGGAATCTCTAAAATTGGAGTACTATCTCCAGGTAATTTATCACTCGCAAAAAATTCTGCAGTTTGCGGGAGAGTGTCTGAGCTATTCTTGCGCATCGCAATCAGGTCATCATTAGAATGTATTCTTGCTTGTCTATTTTCCATCTTCTTCTTGTTTATCAGCGTGTTCTTACTCCTCGTCGCCATATCCTCGGGTATGTCTATGTCTTGATTTATTGAAGTTAATGGCGGTGACATGGAGTGATCTCTGGTGCTCCATGATCTCTCAGAAGATACAGAGCTTCTTGTTGTTTTGCTAGTTAACCTGGGTGGTGGTTCTAAATCGCTAGATCGTAGCGTCTCAAAACTGGTCTTTGGGTCATTCAGCACTATAACATGAGGATCGTTATGTTTCGAGTGGTTACCCCAAGTGTGTGTTATAACACCTTTTATAACTGGCAGTTCTGAGTCCTGTGACGCAGGGTTTGACGATGTCTTCAACACATGAAACGATGGAGCTAGAGGGTCTTGGTCCTTTGAGGATCTACGGGACTGACTATCAGTGTTAGCTAAGTACGAGTTCAAGCTTGAGTTAGATGCTTTCTTGAAGAGCTTATTGTTGAACAGCCTATGCAATGATTCAAACCCAGGCGAGTGTTTCTGCGGGAGCGAATCGCTGGTGGTATGTGAATGGGTTGGCGTCTTCGGAGATGATGTCACAGGGTCGTAGTAATCTGTGTTGTATCTAGGCGGCGAGAGTTGTGACGTGGATGCATTTTTCCGTTTTAGTTGTTTGAAGTCTATATCGGAGTCACTCTCCAGCGAGTTAGACTTCCTATGAGACTTAATGAATGATCGCATTTATTTCAAAGATCAGTATATATGACAACGTATGCTTTTTTGTGAAAAATAAAACATCTAATGCAAAATCGAAAAAAGATCCACTATGAACAATGAGAATAAAGCGGCTAGTGCGTGTTCAAAGCAGAGATAGACTTCCTATGCTCAAAATTTGTCTTATCCGTCCGAGCAAAAGCCTCTATAATCAGAAGGTACCAAAAAAAAAAAGGTCCACCCAACAGCAACTCAGCGTCTAGTAATGACCTCTAGTCTATATAGTTTTGGCAGTAAATCTATGGTGGTTTTATGAAGTTACAAATGCTACACATATGCTAAATGAGATGAGTTCATGATGTTTAGCTTTTAGTGTTTGGGTGCTGGCTTCGGGTTTTATGAAAAACTGTCCCTTGCAGGCACAGAAAGTCTCGTACAGATGACCAATCTTGATGACGTATTGCACAATTAAGTACTTTTTTCAGCCAAAAGACTTCGAAGATTGTAAAATTGTTGTGTTTGTAATGAGTGTGTCAAACGAGTCTCTACACATTCTCTTGAATGAATGGGGGAGCCAAGAGAATAGCCGAGGATGGATCAGAAGAGTGAGAACAGACGGCGGTTCCAGGACAAGCAGCGGTTGAAGCGGGCCCACCAGACACCCAGTGACCGCAAGTACAGGAAACCTGTGGAGCAAGTACGAGAGGAGAAAGTACTGCCATCCAATCACGAGCGGTATGTGGATATCCCGATCGACCAAGGTGAGGATATCACCAAGTATACAGAGCTGACTAAAAAAGTACGCGCCACCACAGAACCCCACACTGCGGGACCGGAACACCAGCAATACACTTCCAGACAGATTCAGAGTATGGGCACCGATGAGCTTAATGCCCTTCTACGGAACAACGTGGTACATAACGTAGAGAATGATGATAATTCACACGTACCAGCTGAGCATAAACGTGAGAGACCAGGTACTCCGCAAGCAAAAGAAACGGTCAGTGTCAGTGTCAATAAGCCGTCGTTAGTACCAGAGGAACTAGCTGGAGATGAGTACTTCCTGGACTCTATTCTATAAACAGTAATACAATACCATCCTCTTGAAGTAGACCCATTGTGGTTCGAAGGTGACGTATTTAAGCCTCCTCCCCTAACATCCCACCTTCAGAACCCTAGAGAGCCCCTCCTTCGGGTTGCCCCCCCCCACTTTTCTTCTGTCATATGGTGCGGGTTACGGGTGCCTGTTTAGGGTTTTTGGGAACTGGGGCTTTCCAGAAAAAAAGAGGGTTTCAGAGGGTTTCAGAGGGTTCGATGAGGGCCCGATGAGGGTTTTTGTAATTAAAGGGACCTAATACAGTCCTATACTTAATAATGCATGGGGGATTTACTGTTATTATTTAAAATACTCTCTAATATATAAACAGCGAGATTTATTTAATTTCGACTTCGAAGCATTTGCAGTTTACAGATAAACCAAATAAGAAAAATACAATAAAATACAACTACCATAAAAACAAAAGAAAGCAATATTCACAATAGCACAATATATAATGACCACACCTAACGCTAGAAGGAGTCGCACGCAGAAAATATCGAACGAGAGCAAGCGTTGTTCCAAGAGCAAACCCAAGGCTAAGGCCAAGACACAGTCCAAGGCCAAGTCCAGAGCATATGCAGGTCCAACTTTTGTGGCTCCCGATGTGAGCGACCTTCCTAGGCCTACTCTCATATAAGAAACACTCATTGCATTATTATATATTCGATATGTAACATTAATGAAAGCATTTTTTTTTTTTGAAAAGAGTTTTGAACTTTTTTTAGTTGTTATATCTTCTTGATTAAACGAAAGAAACCTAAAATAAATATACAAAATATATTCTTCAATATTGCAGCTATGATGTGTTACAATATTTCAAAAAATATACAAAAAAATTTGGGGGAAATAGGGAAAAAATGAAATTGAAAGAAAAGAGAGGTGGAGTTGTATATTGAAGTAGCCATTACAAAACAACGTTCTTGGCCAGCTTCTTCTTGTAATCCAAGATAGAACCGTCCCATCTGGTGGCGGTCTTGTCTTCAACAACAAAAATGTCCTTGGCGATCTTGTCCAACAGTCTGAAATCGTGCGAAACCACGACGACACCACCGTTAAACTCGTTGATGGCATCGGCCAAGGAGTCAATGGTTGGGATATCTAGACCGTTAGTAGGTTCGTCCAGTAGTAGGACGTTAGGGTTCTCTAGAGCTAGCAAAGCGAAGACGACACGGGAACGTTGACCTTCGGATAGAGTACCCATTTGAACCTTTTGAGCGTCACCGGTCAAACCGTAACGACCTAGTTGACCTCTCCAGTACTGGAAGTCTTGGGAGATGTTAGAGTACTTGTCACGGACGAATTCCAGAGCGGATTTGGTCAAGTCCAATTGATCTTGGGAGTGTTGGGAGTAAACACCCAACTTAACGTGTGTATGACGGGAAACACGACCGGATTGAGGCATTAGCTCACCGGTCATGATCTTCAATAGTGTAGATTTACCGACACCATTTGGACCGACCAAAGCGGTACGGGAGTCCATATCAACACCGAAGTTCAAATGCTCATATAGGTTGTTTTCTGGGTTACCGTCGTAGGCGAAAGAAATGTCATCGAAGGCCAAGACTGGAGGTGGCAATCTTTCCACAGGAGGGAATCTGAAGGAGAAGACTCTGTCTGGAACCACAGGTTGAATCAAACCGTCAGCTTCCATCTTGTCCAGGATCTTTTGTCTAGATTTAGCTTGCTTGACCAAGTTGGCATAAGTACCAGCAGATGCGATGAATTTCTTGATGTGGGCAATTTCTTCTTGTTGCTTGTTGTATTGTTTCATTTGGTTGGTTTCCAATTCGGTACGGGTCTTGATGTAAGAGTCGTAGTTACCACCATATTGCATCAATTTTTGCATTCTCATGTCGATCATGTTTGTACAAACACCGTTCAAGAAATCTTGGGAGTGGGAGACCAATACCAAAGTTCTATCAAATCTCTTCAAGTATTCTTCTAACCAAACACAGGCTTCCAAATCCAAATGCGCGGTTGGGTCATCCAACAATAGCAGAGTTGGCTTAACGAACAAGGCCTTGGCCAAAGCGACACGCATTTTCCAACCACCGGACATGTCCTTGGTCTTCTTTAGGATAGTTTGCGAGTTGAAACCCAGACCGATCAGGATGACGGCTGCTCTGGACTCGAAAGTGGATGGGTCCATACCGTCCATTCTTTCGTACAGTGGGTCTAGAAGTTCAGATTCAGGACCATCCTCCAGGATAATCTTCTCGACCAAATCTTCGACTCTCTTCAGTTCGTTTTGGGCTTCTCTGACAACGTACTCTAGGGCGGAGTATTCAGTTGGAGCAGCTGGCTCGTCCAACAAGTATACGTCGATGTGGTCTGGGATTGGGTATTCTCTGGTGGCCAGGGCTTTTAGGAAAGTGGACTTACCACAACCGTTCTCACCCAGCAGACCGTAACGTCTACCGTAGTTCAATTCCAAGTTGGAGTCCTGGATCAGCACTTTACCGTGGAAAAGCAAGGACACAGAGGACATCTTGATATCACGAGAGGTCTCTAGAGAGTCCAGCACACCGGTGGTGACACGGTCGGACAGACCGTCCTTGTCGGTTTGCAACTTCAATTGCTCGATCTCTCTAGCGGCAGCCTCGGCAGCATCCTCTTCGGTACCGGCCTCCTTCTTCTTACCTAGCTTTCTGATAGTCTTACCTTCAGACTTCTTCTTAGCTTCTCTTTCAGCTTTCTTGGCGTCTCTCTTAGCCTTGGATGCAGATACTGGTGGCATTGTGTTTCTGGTTGGTGTTGGGCTTCTCTTCCAACTCAGTTGACCATAATCTAGTTAATTCCTGCTCTGTTGATATTATATAGGTGAAAAATTTCAAGAGACAAGAGCTCATCGCATTTTGTGAAGAAAAAAATTTGAAGATTTTTTTTTTTCAACCCATGTATACCACAGAAGAATACGCAGGGGAGTGCAAAGTATATAGTACTTGAAGAACACAAAAGAAATCCTTAACAAAAAGAAAGAGAGTTCCATACATCAAAGGACCAGTACCATCACCAACACCATTACCAACACCGATACCATTACTGTCTGGTACTTGTACAGTATTGTACGGCCTAGCACAGCACAGCACAGCACAGCACAGCATTGCACAGCATTGCTCTCGCAGTCCCAATAGCAAAGAAAAAAGAAAGAAGCAACACCGTATACGGTTAAACACATGACATACGTATTAATATATAAAACATGTGATCATAACGTACACCAATACAAAAGTACGTCATGGTAGCACTATTGGATTGGAGGGGGGAGAGGAGAAGAAGCAGAGAAGCAGAGAAGCAGAGAAGTGCTGGTATCCGGAATAATGGGATAATCCGGGATCGGGGGGAGGGGGGGGGAAGTTGAAGGTGGCGTAGATGAGCAAGGGGAGGGAGTGGACTGCTACAGGATTGTCTGTTGAAAATAGAGCGAGGGGTAGTTTTTCCGAAAATGACGTCATATATTTTCATACAGGGAAAAGCTTCGTGAAATCTCTAGAAACTGTAGCTGCTGGGGTTCAGAAATTAAAAAATATCTCCGACGGGGAATTTGGAATCTCCACGATATCGGAAGAGACACAATAAAAGATTCTCAGGAGGGTTTTTACAAAGGAGGGTTTCCAAAGGAGGGATTTCAAAGGAGAGAATCCCATTTGGGGAAGTTGGCCATCCATCGGATATATCTATCATTTGAGTCATTTATGCAGATCTATGACACATAAGCCCACATGTTAGAAGCCCCCCCCTCTCCTGTAACAACTGATATATAAAGTAAGCTTGTGAAACACACTTGAAACTTTTGTTTATGTAACACAAGTACATACTGAATAAGAAAGAACACAGAAAAAAAATGACTAACTACAAGACTGTATACAGAGACGCTATCAAGAGACAACTCGAGTTGAACAGGGAACACTTGGAGTCCCTTGACTACGAGGGTTCTCAGCTATCTCCTAATTTTCAAATTGATAACTACACTTACTCAAAGACCAATGTGATCACCACCAATGATCTGTTGGGTTCCAGCACTTCTTTGAAGACCTTGAACAACCCTGTACCTGTTGAGGAAGAAGAAGGTATCACTGTCTTCTTCGACATTGACAACACTCTGTACTCTAAGTACACAGGTGTGCAGAGGATGATGCAGGAGTCCATCCAGAGATACTGTGTGCATGAGCTCGACTTGGAGCCTGAGTACGCACACGCCCTGATGGAACAATACTACCAGGAGTACGGGTTGTCCATCAGAGGTATCATGCAGGACTTCCCAGACACTGACCCATTGATGTTCAACGCCATGGTGGACGACTCTTTGCCATTGCAAGACGCCATCAAGGGACCCGACTTGAAGTTGAGGAGGATTCTGCTCAACTTGAAACAGAACAAGAATGTCACTAAGTTGTGGCTGTTCACTAACGCTTACAAGACACACGCTATTAGATGCATCCGCATCCTCGGAATCGCAGACTTGTTCGACGGAATCACCTACTGCTATTACTCTGCTCCACCGGACTCCATCATCTGTAAGCCAGACCCAAGATCTTTCGAGATGGCTAAGCTACAGAGTGGAATCTCAAGCTTCGAAAAAGCTTGGTTTATAGACGACAGTTTCCCCAACATCCAAACCGCTTTGAATGTTGGGTTGAATCACTGCATCTTTATTGATTATGAGGCTAAACATATCAACAAGTATGAAGATACTTCGGAAAACTTGAATGCAAAATCAACCGTGATGGCCACGTACTCCATCCCAAACATCCACGAATTGCAATCAGTGGAACTAACTACATTGTGAATAGGTCCGGTCACCTATTCTTTCACTCTTTTAAAATTAATATTCCCGCCTATTTTTTTTTTTGTTCCTCGAGTTGATCTCGATATTGTATTTTGCATTTATTGTTGTTGATCAACTGTCTCAAATTAACTGTACTTTTTTTTGCTCTTATGCATTCCCGCCATTTGTCTTTTATTTTTAAATTTGTTTGCTCAGCATCTCTACCATTATGTTCAGAGTATAATCGCACTCTGATTTAGAGTCCTGACATTGCATCTTATACAAAAAATGTTACAAGAAGTTAATTACTTGTTTAATTCTATCATATACCAAAAAAATATTTATATACTAATATATAAATACCACAAATAAAAAAAAAAATTACTAGAAATCCAGCACTTGCAATACTAACAAATAGTTCTTGATTATCGATATCTCCGGGTTGCTCTGAGAGTCATCGTAAACATCCGTAACACAGGAAATGAAATATTTAATAGTCTCGTTCTTACCTCTTGGTACATATCGTGTCCCCAGTACCAACAACAAAAAATACAATAATTCCTTATACCTCTTGTCGTCCAGTAATGTGTTGAATTCATTAACAATGGTAACTGTATCCACGGTGCCGAACAGTTTTGCTAAAATATACGACTTCATCCTCGGTATGAGCTTGGTGACACGGTAGTGCATATAATAATCATTCAATTCCACTACTTTTAAATAAACATCAAAAATCTCCTCTTGTCGAAACCTCTGCGTTAATATATCCAGCACTTCCTCGCACCAGGATGTATCACACTCATGGGAATCATATATTTTGATGTCAAGAACAAACAAAAAGAATGCATGACAGTATTCAAGGGGTGTTTCGGCTCTTGGTAGTGTTCTTCTGTAATAATCAACAAGCTCCTCTAGCATATATCCAACAGGGTATATGGTAGAGAGACTGTCATATTTCTTCGTGTATTCGCTTGCAATAATCTTTAGATTGAGCAAGTCTGCCGAGTTGCCGACACCAAACGCATCAAGCATAGATGAAAGTGTGGTGTTGTCAATATCTCGACATTCCTGTGTTATAAAATGCCAATCCCTAAACTTATCACTCAGCACTTCTGATGATATATGGTCAATGAGTCTATCAGGTACAGATGTGAAAGTGCCCGCACTTTTCAACTGCTTCACCAATTCCTCATGTTGCAACTCAACAATGGACTTATCACGCTTAATGTCCCGTTTTTCCCCAACTTCCCCAGCCTGAATCTTGTTCAGCTTCTGCAAGAAGTCCATATAAGGATGCACATCGGTCTCTTGCAACACCACTTCACCTTCACTGTCACTGCTGCTCTCCGGCTTCACATCTAGCTTCATTTTCTTTAGGATAGGGTCGTCCCCATCTTCAAACTCAAAGTCATCAACATCGCTCAACTCCACTAGCGGCTCATCGTTCTCGCTGTCAAACACCGTCTCCATCACCGGTACCTTTGTTTTGACTTGACGTAAACCTTAAAAGAGTCAGAGCTCATCGCAAATTTTTTTTTTTTTCACTTTTCATTATCCATCGGAATTTTTCAAGAACCAAAAAGGAAAATGAGTCTGGAAAGCCTACAAAGCAGGAAACTTTGACTTCAAAGAGGACTACAACTCACTACATTGCACACTACCAAGCTCAATAACGTCGGCTGAACATACCAACTAGTTATAAGAGAGAATACCAGAGCTTTGAAATTGAAGGGCAGCAATAAGACTACTATTTTTTTTGGAGACGAGTGAAACTAATTTGACTTTGGGCGAGACATTCCATTACAGAAAGCAACACACATACATATACTAAAAGCGAGACTATGGAGGGGTTTCAGGATGATCTCGATGGGATGGGTGTTCTGAACTCATTCCTGAAGGATGGCTCGGGTGAGAGCAAAAGTGGTGCAGAGAAGAGCTCGACTACGAAACCACAGGCCGAGAATGTGGTGCCGTTTGTCAACGATAATTACGATAGTATGCTGGAAGCGCTTCCGGATGAGCTTAACCTTGACTTCACATCCCTGTTGTCGCCGTTTCCAGCGCCTGGCCAGGGTAATGATGATGACATAACTGTGAATGTTAACCCATACATAGGACAATCTAATAACGACTTTTATAAGATAGATGAAGTACCCGAGGAAGATTTACAGCAAGGTTCTGAGATAATTAACAGCACAACACAATTACAACCCATTACAATCAATAATTCTAAGCAACAAAACTATAACCAGATAAATGTTGACTCATCCAACCAGCAGAATGGTGAAATCGCACAGTTTTGGGATTTCAATGTGGATACACTTAACATAACCCCGAGTAATTCCAGTGGCTCTGCAACTATAAGTGCCCCAAATAGTTATAATTCAGAAATTCCCTTAGGTGTGACTACAGGATTTAATAACAATAACAATAATCATCTATTTGCTCATGGTGTACTTGGAGGAGGTTCAAGTATAGGCAACTCTAATATTATCAATAACACAAGCCTGACTTATTCTAACCAACAAAATAGCTTTCCTGGTTCTAGTTTACACTCAAAGCCAACTACTGCAACGACGGTAACATACACTAATACCCCACCGATCAAAGAAAATCAATCTATCATTGCAAATTCATCCCTCAAAGCCAGCCAATTTACGGGGAAAAGGCCAATATCTGTTGTTGGGAGTAATAATAGTTACTCCGAGAATCCATATATACTAAGTGCAGCCAATACTTCTAACTCAGTAAGAAAAAACTCACTGCCGAGACAGTTATCGTCGACTTCACTGAATAACTATAGGAAATCTGTCTCATCTTCTGAACGACCTCCAGATCCAGATGCAGTGCATTGTGATAATTGTAAGACGTACAAGACACCACTATGGAGAAGAAGTCCCGAAGGTAAAGTTCTTTGTAACGCCTGTGGTTTGTTTCAAAAACTTCACGGTACTATGAGGCCTCTATCATTAAAGACAGATGTTATTAGAAAACGTAATTCAAAAAAGAGAACAAAAATACAAATGAATCCACAACAAACCCAATCCCAACAAAGGCAACACATTCAATACCAAACACAACAAAATAGCATGCAAAAACTGCTAAGCAATCACTCCAGTCCTACGGATACTTTTTCTTCTGGTAAGAGTAGGAGAAAGTTATCTAGTACTAGATTAAATCAAGACATGACAACTATTAGATATTCCAGAGAAGGTGGTAGTTTAACGAAGCAAGGTTTCACCACAACCCCAACATATAATTCACGATCACCAAATTATAGTAATTCTGCTGCGGCAAGTAATACGAGGAAATCTAAGTCCAGAAGAAGCAGTACATCATCTGTCAATTCTAACTCAAGCAGGTCATCTTCGAGATCAAATGTTCCTATTTTGCCTAAGATATCAGGACACTCTAGTTCTGGCAATTCTCCAATGAATATTCAAAGCACTACCCCAGGAGGTGGTCCACAGACCTCAAATTCTGTTGGAAACTTCTTGGCAATGGGCGCTTATTCAAACAGTTTGACATCCTCTCCCAGAAATGCTTCTATATATGGTACAAATGCACCATCGAGAAACTTATCATCATCCGCAAGCAAGTATGGTGTATCGATGCCAGGTAGAAAACTTTCAAGAAATGCTTCCTATTCTTCTAGTTTCATAAACACGAACCCACAACAAACTCAAGACATAGGCAATTTTAACGATGACCAGAGTATTCAAGGTAATGGAACGGGAGTAAATAGTCAGAACATAAGGAGAATTAACAGTAATTACGATTCTCCACAACCCAACTTTGATCTGTTCAGGCTTGACAGCAACAAAGATTCTCCTGAGAATATTCCTGATGTTCTAAGATCAGATTCTAGACTCTCTCAAAAATCACAGGTTTCTCATACTTCATTATTATCTCAACAGATACAGAATCAACAAAGAATGAGAGGTGAAAAATCAATTTCTCAGGAAAACTTACAATTTAAACAAACTCCAACCATGCAGGGACAAACGGAAAGAAATATTCCTAGTAGGACAACCAGCAGTGCTAGTTACTCCGAATCAGTATTTCAACAGAGAGGAATGCAACCAAATAACAGCAATTCACAATTTTTCGAAAACCAACACCAAGCCAACTCTAATACAGATCAGCGACAATTTTTAGAAGGTATGTCTTACGATTTACACAATGGAGATAATACTATCAAAACAGTTATCCTGGGCCAGGAACAGAATTTCGCAAACCCAGAAGCAAATGGCAACGAAGCAAAGAAAAGCGCGTTAGAACAGGATTTAGACTGGTTAAAATTTGGTATTTGAACTATCCTTTCTTCAATGGTATTATCTGCCATTACAGATACCAAAAATGTGAATATTTTTTTTAATTCAATGGCTTTTAGCTTTCCCAATAATACAATTAACAATGACACCTGAAATTGAATTCAATGTAATATTAATTGCTGCACTAGATGCTTAACACACTCAAATGAATCAGTCTCATAAAGAAGTAATCTATTGTCCAATGTCAGGCAGTTTTTATTTAAATCATTCTAGTACAAGCATACCTTTCCATCTAATACATTCCCATAATTTAATATATAATAAAATCAAATTCATAGAGCATAAATAGACACATAATACATCTGTGAATATTAGTTTTGAACAACTTATTATAGACTATGTTCCCATTGTTCGAAGTTTATTTTAAAATTCCTGGTTTTGCCGGAAAAGGAAAGCTATGATCAAGTTCATTTACTTATTCAATAATCAAAGTATGGGTAAACATTATAATAAAGGCATAAATCATAAGTATAACAGCATATTATAAGCATTGGCTGTTGTTTCTTTGGACATGTAGCCATGGGTGTTCCAGCTATTTGGGAGTTTCTAAAGCCTTACATAAAGGATCGAAGGAAGACATTGAAAGGATTTGTATGCCAGTTCAGAAAGGAAAATGGTAGAAGTCCAAGAATAGCAATTGATGGGCATAATTGGTTATTTGAGTGTGGGTTTTATCATAACGATGCTAGAGCGGAACCGTTCAGCTTCACAAAGGATAGCCATGATGATGATACCTTATATGCCAAACCCTATATGAATATGATACATAAATTGAAAGAACTATCATTGCTGGATGTATCTTTTGTGATAGTATTTGATGGACCATTAAAGCCTAAATTTAAAAGGCAGAAAGAGACTCTGAGATCTATTACTGGAACGGCTGATGTAGATACGTACTTGACTTCTTATGTAGACAGTTATCGCTCGTTCCAAACAGAGAGACCTGAAGGTATGATGAAGAAGTACATGAGCCAGTACACGCTAAAGAAAGTTCAGGAGCTGCTTAATTTACTAAAAGTTAATTACACCTTTGCATATGGAGAAGGTGAATCCCATTGCGCGTGGTTGCAAATATCCGACCATGTCGACTATGTTATGAGCAATGATTCTGATACACTAATGTTTGGTGCAACTAGAGTATTAAGAAACTTATCAAAAAACTTGGAAGACAAGAGCCCATCTTCTCGTCAAGGGAATAACAGCACATCATCTGAGGCTGAATATTACATAACAGAAGTCAATTTACAAGAGATAAACCAGAAATACGGTCTTCAATTGTCATCTGCATCATTATTGTTCTTTAGTTTGATTATTGGTGGTGATTATAATTCAGGATTGAGTGGATTAGGTAAAACAAAGGCATTAACTTTGATGAATTTACAAAGCCCCAACTTTGTAAAGCGCCTAATGGAGATTTTCCATGATATTGAACTAGATGTGGCTTTGATAAACAGCGAATATGAAAAATTTCAGAAAGAAGTGTACGAGTACTGCCAAGATAATGGTCGTGAGCTATTTGGTAGAAACTACAGGATATTACTAAGTAAAGAAAACTTCCGTGGATGGCCTGAACCCTATATTGTATTCCACTATATCTATCCCATAATCGATAAAAATGTTCCATCAAACTTCTTGACTCCAGATTTTTTTACCAGTGTGGAAGGTAGCTCATTATTCAGATCTCTAGATTTTGTTGAATTGATGTCATACTTGGAGAGACATGGACTACCCAGCTTCTGTAATTTCACCACTTGGTATCACAAGACAATACATGAGTACTTCCTACTGAAGCAGCTAAAGCTATTTCCTGATGAGAGTGTGAACAGCGATTTAATTAAGATAACTGAAATCAAGTCTGACTTAGATAGATCTTGCATGATGGACATCAAAAAATACAAAGTCCGATATAGAACTTTCATCAAGACTATCAACGAGCCTGTTGCACTTGAGAGCAATGAGCTAATTAATGAAAATACTGGGGGCCTTTCACCGAAAAAGTTAAGTCAGAGACAAGTAGATGTGCGCCATTATCCATACTACTTGTGGGTGCCTTGCGATCTTGTTGAAGAACACAATCCACTGATAATACGCTACAATCAACTGCAGAGACAATTAGAAGAAAAGTCACCTACCAAGAGATCGAAATCTGAATCACCAAGAAAGCGTAAATCAGTCTACAAGCAGAACAACACACTGGATGGTTTCTTATCAAAACATGCATCTCCAGTCAAACCAACACAACACACAATAGAGCCACCCGTACTGCTTCAGAAAGACACAGAGGTGAAAAGGAGGCTTTTTGTAGGCGATGATAGTTCCAATGAAGAGAATCAAACAGACCCCGACACAGAGGACTCATTAATTATAGTGGAGGAAAGGGACGTGAGCCCCCGCAGAACTATCGAGTACTTGCTATCTACCTCCCCATTAAAGAGAAATTACACCAGTTTCAGTGAAAAGGACTAAAATTCTATATACATTTCCTACCACTTGATAAAGCTGAAAAAAATCCAGAACTTTGCATTTGGCAAAGTCTGGTTGTACACAATGTGCACTATCTTCCAACTTTGATTACAGGTACATTTCCGCCCCTTCCCCCAAATATCCCACCCCTACCAGTTACTCCCCTATGGCAAGCCAAAACGAACGATCAACACAATGGATGCTATTTGATTTCACACACAACACAGCCATTGATTTCACAAAGCTTATTTCGATGTAACTTTATTATCTAATAGACACTTTTGATGAGCTATGTGAAATCAATTTTTTTTTTCGGTTCTCGAATGCATTTGTGCGCGTTTTCTCTGTGAAAACCGGAAATGACGTAATTTCGGATCTCACTTTTTTTTTCATAAATTTTTCATCAAAGCAGTATACACACTAATAGCTAAGTGCTCCCATACTATGTGCTAGGGCAGGTAGTGTATACACAGTTTTTTTTTTTTGGGATGTGGTATTGTTATGGGAAGGGAACGGTGTGATAGTTTCCAGGGCATCGGGGTGACATATATAAGCCAGAGGTTGGAGTTGGGATATTTGTTGGGGTTGCTGTCTGTTATTTGGAAAAGGCCATATTATTATAAAGTTATATTTGAATTGATAATATTCAGCATGCTAGATTTTTTGAAAAAGAGTAACCACGGAAATATGAGTAAAGTTATTGCCAAGAGCATTAAGTACAATCCCGAGACTGAGAAGTTGATCACATTGGGTGCCGGTTGTTTCTGGGGTACCGAGCACATATATCGTAAGCACCTAGGTGACAAGATACATGACAGCAAAGTTGGTTATGCCAACGGTGACGAGAGCTCCAAGGACCTTTTGAACAGGGTCTCCTACAAGAGGGTCTGCAAAGGTGACACTAACTTCTGCGAAGTTCTACAGATTTCTTACGACCCTAAGAAGGTCTCCTTGAAGGAATTGATCGATTTCTTCTTCAGAATCCACGACCCAACCACGGTCAACGCACAAGGTCCAGATGTTGGTACTCAGTACAGAAGTGCCATCTTCACACACTCTCCAGAAGATTTGAAAGAAGTTCAGAAGTTGAAGGAGGAGTGGCAACCAAAGTGGAACAACAAGATTGTTACCGAGGTCGGCCCTATCGAGACTTTCTATGAAGCCGAGGAGTACCACCAAATCTACCTGGACAGAAATCCAAACGGTTATGCTTGTCCTACACATTTCGTTAGAAACTTGAAATGATAGACATCGCACAAATTAAAATATATAAAAGCTCTTCTACTATTTTATATAAACTACATTCTTCATTTGTAATATAAAAAAAAATTATGTTTATTTCATCTATTGCTGATGCTGCACCATCCAACTAAGGTTTTTAGACCAAGCTTTTTGTTTTTTCTATTTATGATGTGCTGATAAAATAGTATAATTAATATTAAATGTGTATTGGTATGTTATGAATGTAAATATAGTACAAATTGTAAAGAAAAAGATTATATGCAAAGAACTAAAATGAAAATGAAAATTTGAATGCTTAAGATGTCATAGTTTTTAAGCTAACAAAGCAGTTAGTATAGCAACAATGATAGCACACAGACCATTCAATTTTGTAATGGCACCCGTGTTGCTATCTTTTTGATTTCTAATAGTACTGGTTGAGGTAGAGCTAGACTGAGAAGACTTGGTAGTTGTTTGAAGGGTAGATGGGTCAGTCTTGCTAGCAGTAGACTTACGCTCACTAGTCTTAGAAGTAGTAGATGCATGCTTGGTAGAAGACTGACTGGTTGAATTTGAGAACTTAGATGTAATAGAAGTTAAAGTAGAGTTGTGGTGCATGGTGGATGAAGTAGAGTTGTGGAAAGAGGTAGAAGAAGCAGAGGAAGTGGAATTGTGGCTAGAAGAAAGCTTTGATGAAGCCTTAGCTTCAGATGGTTTGGCCTTGGCTCCTTCGGTTAAATTTAAACCAGTCCAAGCACTGTTTTCCAAGACAAAATCTTTATCAGAGATCATGATACTGTCTTGGGTAAAGTCCTTGTTACTAGTGTAGATGTATGACTTAGTACCATTCTTCTTGACATTGGCAGGTGGGTCATAACAAGTAATGTTAGCCTCTTGAACCATCATATAGTAGTAACCAGGGTCTTGAATATCTGGAGCATCCCAGTTAATAGCACCACCAGCCCATGCAATAGTACCTGGAGCACTGGTAGCATTACCACCTGGCCAAATGGAAATTTGAATTCTAGATGGAGTTTGAGGAAATTCATAAATACCAGTAGTTTCATTGTAAGTCTGGTTCTTGTACAGAGTTCTGCCAACAACACCGTCAATAGACCAAGTGATGTAATCCTCATGCCAGTCGATTTCGTAGTCGTGGTAGTTTTCAAAAGTGTTGGAAGTAGTCATGTTAGCACTGTTGGTGTAGTTCAAAGTACCTTCCCAGTAGAAGTTAGTTTGGACAGTGTTCAAATCGGCACCAATAAATTCGATATCGATTTCATCTTGAACGTTAGAGAACAAAATCATGGAACTGACAACACCACCCAAGTGAGAAGACTTTAATCTAGCAGAGACTTTACCGTACCACATATATCTAGTAGTAGACAAAACAGAACCACCAGAGTTCTTTGGCATAGCCAAAATCATACTGTCTTCGTCTGGGTAGTCGACCAAGTAACCACTATAAGTCCAGTCAGCAGCAGAAGCATTGTTCAAGTAAGTGTCGGCGTTCAATACTTTAGAGCTGTAGTCGTCAAACTTGGTGGAACTGTCCTTACAGACAGGCATTGGAACACAGGAATCGATGCTGAAGGAGAACTTTGGGTTACAGTTGTTGATACAGTATTGACCTGTACCACATTGACCGAATTGAGAACAACATGGAAACTCCTCAGGACATTGAGAAGTAGCGTTACAGTATATTGGTGCTGTTAGTTCAGCAGCCTCAACCGATAATATGTTAGCGAATAATGATAGCAAAGATATTAGAAACAACATTGCTGTTTTTATATGTTTGATGGGTTGTTTATATTTTGTATTTTACAATTACAATGGCAGAATAAAAATAGATACATTTATCCAGAAACAGGGTCTATTTATATATATTTTCAAGTACTCATCGATTAAGATTATTTCAGCTTTGCCATGGCTATACCATTTCCTATAAACACCAAAAATAGTATGCGTATTGTTGCGTATTACTGTTGACAGTTTATTGGTGACTCCCTAAGTATTACCATAGAACCAGCCATCCACGCCAATCGCCAAAATTTCATTTTTTTCTGCAATTTAAACCCAGCTTCATTAATTTTCCTAATCGGGTATAGGAGCGAAATTTCATTAAATTTTCGGGTTAGGCGGTATATCGAGAGAAAGTGACGTACAGATGCGAAATTGCTCGAGACCCTTTGATTTACTAAAATGGTGTATAAGGTAATAGATGTAGAATTCCTAATTGGGACATTAATTAAACTTCAATTTAATTAACGAGCATAGCAATGGGGTTGCTTGATCAATTCGTGATTGTGAGGCGAAAGCAGTAGTCGTATGGTTACCAGTAACCATATCTAAACATGGGTTGGTGACTTCTATAGTGCATATTATGTAAAATCGTTTGTTGTTGCGAGCGGGTATACGCGAATGGGGATATGTAATTGCCATTTAGAATTCCCAATGTGGTAAAAAACGTTGTTTGGATGTTTATCAGTTAGTGCCGCTCTGAATTTCGAATAGAGGTCCGACATAGCATTTATCCCTTTCTGGTAAAATTACATTTATGTATGTTGAAGAATGTATTTTATTTTATTTTTTTTGATAGTTGAATATCTTATTAGAAGTATTTTTTATAAAAACAAGTATTTACCTTTTGGTATTAACCAAAAGAAAATAAAAAATAATAAAAATAGTTATGAAGTAATGAGCCCCTGTCCCAAATTATTCTTATAAGAAAATGGTAAAATAAATTGAAAAAATGTTATGCAACAACGAGACTTTTTTTGGATTTTAGTATTAACCGAGAATATGTCCTGTAATGAATGTTGAAATCTCTATACCTTTTCTAGCTTACAAAGAAGAAGAAAAGATTGATGTCAATCATTGGAAATGACTTCCTTGATTCGACAAAAGGTAAAAGAACAAAATTAGTAGTAAAATTGTGAAGTAAAGGGTGTAAAAAAAAAGGAAAAATAAATAGGTAAAATGATTAATACCTGTAGATCAGCTTAAAACTATAAGACACACGATTAGTATCTGTAGTGGTCAGCCTTGAATGGACCTTGTTGAGGAATACCCAAGTATTCGGATTGGACATCGCTCAAAGTGGTTAGCTTAACACCCAACTTTTCCAAGTGGAACTTAGCGACAGCTTCATCCAAGATCTTTGGTAGAACGTGAACACCGACTTCGAATGGACCAGTCTTTTCGAATTCAACAAACTTGGTTCTGAAAGCCTTGTCATCAGACTTGAACAAAGCAATTTGAGCCAAGACTTGGTTGGAGAAAGAACAAGACATGACGAAAGAGGAGTGACCAGTGGCACAACCCAAGTTAACCAATCTACCGTTAGCCAACAAAATAACGTGTCTGCCAGAGGATAGCAAGTAACGGTCAACTTGTGGCTTGATGTTAATACATTCCTTGGCGTTTTCCTTCAACCAAGCGACATCGATTTCAATGTCGAAGTGACCAATGTTACAGACAATGGCATCTTCTGGCATCTTTTCGAAGTGTTCACCCTTGATGATGTCTCTGCAACCAGTGGTAGTAACGAAGACTTGACCAACGGAGGCAGCGTCTTCCATGGTGGTGACTTCGTAACCTTCCATAGCGGCTTGCAAAGCGTTGATTGGGTCGATTTCAGTGACCAAGACACGGGCACCCATACCTCTCAAAGAGGCGGCACAACCCTTACCGACATCACCGAAACCAGCAACGACAGCAACCTTACCGGCCAACATGACGTCGGTGGCTCTCTTGATACCGTCGACCAAGGATTCTCTGCAACCGTACAAGTTGTCGAACTTGGACTTGGTGACAGCGTCGTTGACGTTAATGGCTGGGACCTTCAACTTACCTTCTCTCATCATTCTGTACAAGTGGTGGACACCAGTGGTGGTTTCCTCGGATAGACCGAAACAGTCAGTCAACATCTCTGGGTACTTCTCGTGGACAAAAGAGGTCAAGTCACCACCATCGTCCAAGATCAAGTTCAACTTCTTGTTGTCCTTGAAGGCAAACAATTGTTGTTCAATACACCACATGTATTCTTCCTCGGTCTCGCCCTTCCAAGCGAAGACTGGGACACCAGAAGCAGCAATGGCAGCAGCAGCGTGGTCCTGAGTAGAGTAGATGTTACAGGAGGTCCAGGTAACTTCAGCACCCAAGGCAACCAAAGTCTCAATCAAGACAGCGGTTTGGATAGTCATGTGCAAACAACCAGCAATTCTAGCACCCTTCAATGGCTGGGCCTCGGCGTAGGCCTTTCTGATAGCCATCAAACCTGGCATTTCATTCTCAGCCAATTCAATTTCCTTTCTACCAAAGGCAGCTAGGGAGATATCAGCAATCTTGTAGTTTTGAGCTGGAGCAGACATTGTTAGTGTGTATTATTGAAGTTTCTATAGGGGTCTTACCAATCATAGCAAGAATCAAGAACCAGTACTGAATTTTAACAGGGCCCTTTATATACTTTACTCGAGAAAATGGTGATGAGCTGAAAAATTTTATGGATTTTGTTCAGCTTGTGAAATATTTTTCCCAGTTTTCCACAGAAACACCCGCACAAATACAGAGTTCAAGGAAAAAAAAGCAATGGGTACTGTATGGGGGGGGTGGCCGTGGACACGGCCAGTGCTAAACGAAGCTTATAACGGATATTAGCTGTGTGAGTGCTATCCCAAAACAATTGTATTACTATTATATATATATGCTATGTAGTTGTAATAATGCTTCATTGCTTGAACATCTGTGCTTCTTTGTGGTCACGGTCCTTTAGGAGTCTGTCTGCCTGGGACCGCAGCGACTGGATTTGTGCTGTGTATGTCTTCTCCAGCGAGTCAAGCTGCGAGTCCAGGCTCGTTTCAAATTGTTTCAGTTTCTTGGTGTCCAGCTGCTTGTGCAGCAGCTGATCCCTGAACTGGATGATGTCCTTCTTGTGTAGAGTGAATTCGAACCAATCCTCATATATCTTAGCGACTTCGTCATCGCCTTGGTCTTCTCCCTTACCCTTGCCATCGATGGCCAGTGGCCTGGGCTCCTCGCCGTCCTCGTCATATATGTCTCTATAGGCCATGTACTTCGACCACTCCGTGTAGAATGTGTCCCCCCATTCTTCGTATGCTTCTATAGTTTCGTTTCGTACTGCCTCCAGGGCTATATGTGATTGCTCAACCATGTTTTCCACTTGTAACTTCACTGCTTCGACTAGTTGCTCTAGTCTAGTCTCTGTTGACTTCAGATGGTGCATGATTAGTGGTCTTGTCACATATGTGTCCAGCAGTTTTTGCCCCGTATGGTCATAGTAAAATACACTGTCGGTGTTTTCGTCGTATATCATGGTGCAGTTGATGTTCTGCACTGTGTCCTTCAAAATTGAAATCTGCGCGTCCATGTCGGATCGCAGTTCCTCGATATCCTTCTGGAAGTTCTCAACACCAGATACAACAGTGCTCGAGATAGTGTTGTCGACCTCTTGCGATAATTCATTCTCGATCGCCTTGAATTTACGGGATATACTCTTCACCCAAATGTTGAACCCACCTTCCTGTAGGAGCACTTCAGTGTTTATTAGTTCGCTTAGTTGTGGGAACTGTACTGCGCTATCATCTGTATCTTTGTGTAACGTTACGTCTGTAGGATCGTTCAGTACAGCATCCACAATGGCGTCCACGTTGCTAGACTCCGCTTGTTCTTTATTCTTGCTCTGTTTCTTATTCTTGGTGCTCTTCTCGTCCCCGTCTTCTTCGTCCTCATCTTCCTCATCGCTCTCGATCACATTCCTACCGTTGTTTATCAGCGAAAGCATAGAGTAACCCTCGTCTATCCTCGAGAAGTCCAGGTTCCCACGCAGTATCGCAAACCCATCGTTGAACGAGCTCGACGCCTGTTGTGCAAACGGCTTCAAGTAGTACAGCACTATCCTCAGGTGCTGCAAAAGCGGGCCCAGCTTCCTATGCAGCGTACAGCACAGCCTATTTCGGTGCACAAACTCCACTACTTTCCCCCACATGTCCAACAAAAGCTCTATCAGCACCGCCAAGTACGGAACAGATGTGCTCTGGTAACCGGTGTACTTGATCATGTCCATACACCCAGGTGTCATCGGATCCCTATACAGCACTCCCAGCAGCACACTCGCCGCCACCAGCACCACCAAAAACAACCCTCTAGCCATCGTTGAGTGTCTTGTATTTTGTACTGATTGTAATGTGTTTCTGTATCCCTGTCCTGCCTTTAAAATAACATATCCTAATGACTGTAACTATGTTGAACTAAAAAGGTACATCGAAGGCTTGTGAGTTGTTTATGTGATGGGCTGATTTATATCATAGTATACGTGTATAATCATTTACGTACCAATCACGCTTATAATACATATATACGATTTCTACTGTGGGTGCCCTCTGAGTCCCAAAACTGCGACGATGACGACCATAATAGGCTCTGGTTTGCCAGTTTTGGTTTTAGCTTTATCAGTTTTAAAGTACAGAACAGTCTTTTGGTATTAGCAGCATTGGTGAATTAGCTAGTCTAGGTTACAGTTCTATAGTGCCGTCGATCTTTCCCTTACAAATTTGATAATATCACTTGCCTAGGAACCTGGGCATATGACAAATCCCCCGTTGCGTACTACAAGAATCCCTACACTCTGTACTTTTGTCTCTTGCTCTTCCCCTCTGTCCCAAGGCTTTTGGAAGTAGTTGAAGAGCAAATATAAATCGAGCATAACCTTTTCCACTATTTGTGCAAAAGTGTATCCTAATCCTGGGAAGCGATTGTTGTTTGTTATAGCAGTAATTTAGGCTTTTTGGAATAGGGAGAAAACGAAATAAAGTGAAGACGATTGGAAACGTCTGTGCTTAGCTTTTAATTGAGAGTCATTTGTAAATACAGTCCCCAAACTCCAGACTCCAAAGGTTGTTATTATTTTTTGATTTGAGTACCTATCTTTCCTCTCCCCTGCTACAAGTTATAAGGCCAATTAGAATCACAAAAGACAAACACATCAGCTATGTCGTTTTGGCCATTCGGTCAGACTCCGTCTCACTCGGATATCGATAAGATACTCGACGAGTACCTCACCGTTTTGCATAGACTAGAGAAAGATATTGTCATTCCAAGCGTGTTCAGAACCGAGGCGTCTTTGGAAGGTAAGCGGACCCGTGAGGACAAGAACAGCAGAAGTGCGTTTGGCATCGATGATTCCAAGAGGAAAAGAAGGAAAGAAGAAGACGAGGATGAAGAAGAAGAAGAAGAAGAAGACGGCGATGACGAATGTGATGGCGACGTCAACAACAAGGAGAATAACGTTGATGACAAGCGTAGAGATGATGATGATAATGATAAAATTAATGATGACAGCGGCATCGACGTTGGCCTAACTAGTGGTAAGTACTTGAAATCTGATAGCAAGTACATCGAAGATAATGAGGATGTAGACGATGATACCATTGATGTAAATCCAAATGAGCCAGGCTTCACTACCACTACGCATACAGCAAGCTCAAGCAGTTCTAATAGTTTCTTGTCCTCCAGGTCCCAGTCAGCAACATCGATGACAATAAACGGGTCTGAGTTGGCAGAATTGACAGTTCCATTAACAGGTGAAGAAACTGAACAAAGGCTAGATAGCTCTTTTATTGATCGCATGTTGAAGGAAGGTGAACTTCTGAATGAATTAGCAGCTCAAAACAAGGGTCTAATCGATTTTATATGCTTTGGATTTTTCTTCAAAGAGAATGAAAAGGAGAGAGTAGAAAATATAGATTACTTACTTGACCAATTGTTGTTTTGTGTTGATCAATTTAAAATGGTTGAAGCAGACACGGTGAACGTGACGAGAGAAAACTCACCAGCAGACGAAGGTATCGAGATGGATTTCAACAAAGTCATTGAAGATAATGCAGAAGACGAAGATGAATATCTGTCAAGAGCTAATCTAATCGCTGAGATATTTTCCTTAGATATTTGGTTAATCACAGAATCGCTGGTCAAAAATAAGGAACATTTATCAAAAATATGGAATTTATTGCATAATCCAAACTTTAAGTTTGAAAGGTCGCCCTTAATTCCGATTTTTTTGAAGATGAATCAGAACTTATTGATAACCAGACAAGATCAATACTTAAACTTTATTAGATCTCAGAGTTCTCTTGTGGATGATATGTTAATGCACATAGATATTGCCTTGCTGATGGATTTTTTCCTAAAATTGATTTCAACAGATAAAATTGAATCTCCTACAGGTGTTATTGAATTGGTATCAGATCAAAAACTCATAGATAAACTTCTCAAGTTTTTGAACAATAACCTCTACAGCGCTGACATTCAGGCATGTGTGTGCGATTTTCTTAAAGCTCTGATTGTGATTTCCGCAAATGCTCCGTTGGATGAATTATCCATCGGTCCAAATTCTCTAACTAGACGATTAGCCTCGCCAAAGTCTATCGATAAGATGATAAAGATAGTTTTAAATGAAAGAGGGGCTGCTCTTAATAGTACAATATCGATTGTCATTGAACTGATTCGTAAAAATAACTCGGACTACGATCAAGTTAATTTATTAGATACGACGTTAGAAACACATCCTCCATCAGATAGAGATCCCATTTTCTTGGGTTATTTACTGAGAAGGTTCGCTGCAAATCTTCCAAAGTTGTTTGAAATTATTGATGATATTTATGATAATAATGATACAAATGACGATATGTTATTAACAAACCAAATGAATGAAAAATTTATACCGATAGGTTTCGAAAGATTCAAAATAGTAGAGCTGATTGCTGAATTATTGCATTGTTCTAATATGGGTCTTCTAAATACTAAAAGAGCTGAAAGAATTGCAAGAGTACGTGACAAGGTTAGAAAACAAGTATCATTTCAGTTACAAGATGCATTGAATGATTTAACTATTAACCCTTCTGTTGATAATAAAAGGAAATCAGATACTGCGCAGCAAAATGACAAGCATGACGCCTTTGATGGCATTCAGTCTGAAAATGAAAGTCATGATGAATTTGAGCATATAAACCAGGATGAAAATGATGAAATTGATGAGACATTTGAGATACCATACATTAATGAAAACCAGAACTCCAAACTGCGAACCAACCCTACTATTGGTGACTTATTCAAAATCAAGTTATATGACTGTCAAATAATTCCTAAGATTATGAAACTATTTTTGAATCACCCGTGGAATAACTTTTGGCATAATGTTATATTTGATATTATTCAACAGATATTTAACGGTAGAATGGACTTCTCTTACAACTCATTTTTGGTCTTCTCATTATTTAATCTGGAAGGATCGTTTCAATATATGGATAGTGAAGCTGCTAAGGATGCAAAGCTAAAGGACTTCAGTATTACCAAGGACTTTATTTTGGAAGGCTATCATAAATCATATAAGTTTTATGAGGAAAAGAATACTAACTTGGGTTTTATGGGACACTTGGTTTTGATCGCTGAGGAAGTAGTTAAGTTTTCAAAGCTATACAAAGTGGAGCTAATATCTACTGATATTCAAGATTCCCTTCAGGAAGATGATTGGCAATATTATTCAGAGGAAGTTTTGAACCGTACAAGATTGATGTATTCTAAAATTTTGGGTGGCGGTAATTTTGTGGAAGATGCTAATGGAAATATTGTTCCTCAAATGAATGACGGTAACTATCTTGACTATGATGATGAAAATGATGTATCGGGTGGAAAGTTAATTAATGTCGAAAATCTTGAGGAGCAGCTTTCATTGTCTACTGAATCTGACCTCCATCTCAAGCTTCGCGATATGTTAGTAGTAAAAGCACAGCAAGAAGTTGATGCTAAAAATGCTGCAAATGGTGTTATTATTCTTGGTGGTCCAGAAGAGATTCCAGATAATCAGTAATGCCATATGACTTACCATCTGCGATTGTCAATTTATGAATATGCATATTCCGTATTCTTCCTTATTTCAAAACTTAGATTAACTAAATCTATTAAAGGGTTCCTTGATATTATTCCTAATTTTCTTGTTGTTTTTCATGCTTAGCCTAGAGCCTGCATATTTTATTATTGCATTTGTTTTGATGATTTTAATTAGATTTTATTTTTATTTTTATTCACTTCTCCTAATGACTAAGCTCTAGACTTGGAATCATGATATATGATCTTGTGTAAATACAAAACCGTGCTAACGTAAGTAAGCTCTAATACATTTATTTATTATTCAATTACATTATAAGTTTGACTTATATAGGAGATTAGTTATTTAGTACTCACTGTCTATAGTAATTGTAGTTTCATTAATCATTAGGTGTGTCAACACAGTTATGATTCGCAAAACCAAAATAGTTCAGTCCGATTTACGAGAATAAATTACCTTTCCATTTGGCAATGTCATTTTCTTTTGACCAGGCTTAATTTTCATTTCAGCCTTTGGTTTCTTATCGTCATTTGAATTGTCTTCTGCCACATCAATCTTCTCGGTAGTTTCCTCGTGTAGTTTCTTAGTGGTACTCTTGAAAAGTTTACCAACAGTTCTATTCTTGACGGCATTTAAAAACTTGAATAATAGAGCATCGGTGAGTTTAGGTTCCTCAATGGTGTCCTCAGAGATCAGAGATTCAGAACCATCTTCTTCTATGACAAATACATCACCGAATCTTAGTACAAGTTCTTTACCTGGGTCATCCTCATGTTGCTTAAAGAACAGAGATTTCTCTCCCAGACCATCAGTGGTATCTTGTTCTTTACAACTTTGAATGAATCTAGCTATTCTTCTTCTGTTTGAATTATATTGCAACTTCAAGATGATGTAGTGGAAAGCTGTAGCAACTAATAAGACGAAACCAATGATAAACCACGTCTTTGGCTGAGCTCTTTGGAAAAAGAAACCACCTTTGCTAAAATCGTAGTCTGGGAATCCATTCTTAAGATAATAGTCGTAAGTCTTACGAGAAGAATGGTTCGTTAGAATCTTGGTGGCCAAGTTCAAACGGGCATAGAGCTTCTTGTGCTTGGGATTCTTATCCGGATGGTACTTTCTAGCCAACTTCCTCAAATTCTTATTAATTTGCTTCTCAGTAGATGACTTCCCATTAGGCAGCTTCAAAAACTTGTAGAAATCGCCATACTTCTTAGCTATCTCCTTTTGTAGTTGGAATATTTCAACTTCTTCTGCGGTGAAACAGTACGCCACCGCAAGCAGGCATACCAGCACGACCAACTGACGACTAATACCAACCATTTCTATACAAACTTCTTGCTATTGCCGCCTGACACTAGTTCAATTCTGTCACGGTAACCTATAATTGTCTAGGACAGTAGTTTTTATAAGTACCCAGTGCAGCTCAATTCTCAGTTTCCTTGATGCTACGCTGGCAAGAACCCGATGAGCTTGTAAAATGAAAAAAGTGCCAAATAAGTGTCAATAATTTTACAGAAGGTTGATTGCCACTGGATAGACTTGACAAATCGATAACAGCAGTAATTGTTAGTATAAGTGATGTTTACGCATAAGCTGTTTCAATTGTATCAATTGCAGACCACGCTACTGTACCTGGCACTCTTTGGCAGGTGGCTGGTGTTGATGCCCCTGGTGGGCTCTCGTTATCTCCCTGGTGGAATACACGAATACCTCTGTTACTTGTTGGTGATTGTGTCTGTGTTTGAAGTGCTGTGGTCTCTATACTTCCATGGATTACGCGGTTTTATTTCCCAGAGAGTGCTCAAGTCATTGAACTACCTGTACTTAGTGCTGAATTTGCACTTCTACGATGACTATGAGCATGCTCCTTTATTGAAGACTAGTGCTTACTCTACATTTATAATAGGTGTCAGTCTGGTGGAGTCGTACCAGCACTGGTGCAGGCTATTCAAGAGAGGGCCAAACTACAAACGTGAGACTCGTTACTGGAAATTTATCAGCTATGTGATGTTGCCATGCTTATACTTGAGCGAATTCGTTCTGCTATTGCTGAATAGACAACTACCAAATCACCACACTACTGAGCAACTGGAATTGGTTAATACTGTGGTGCTGATATTGTATTTCCCAATGGCGTTAACTGTATATAAGAGACACCTACAGGTGAATTGAATACTACGCAAGCAAATGATAGTAGGTTTGTTAACTAAACGGAAGAAAGAATGCATATAGAGTTCAAGATATATCATATTATTTATAAGTTGTTTGCAATATCGGTGGCCATTTGCAAAGCGAACTGCTCGGCTTCCTCACTAAAACCATCGGAACCATTGGATAACTTTTGGTAATGAATCTTTGCCTTCTTCAGTGTGTCGATCAGGTATTCCAGATCAGGTTTATTCACTTTATCAGAAGTACTCTCTTTATTTTTGAGTACTACCTTGCAGTCAGTCCACGGATGTGTGTCTATAATCTCTTTTAAGCGAGCCATACCTTTGCATTCATTGGTTTCTTTCTCGACCCTATCGTCATGATAGTTTATAAATTCTATACTTGAAGCATCTAACTCCAGAAACTCATCATAAGTATCTTTTACTTGTCTAGCAGAGTTAGTGTTGACACTAATAACGCTAACTGAATTTCCTTGAATGAAATCATAAAGAACAGAATTGTATTCCTTTGTATCCTGAGTAGAGTCAAATGATCGTACTATTATGATCATGGTCAGTAAATCTCTAAGCTCTTCATAGTCATCGGAGTTGACTTCATTAAGCCAACCATGAATGTCAACACACTCATCAACATATAGATCATATTCAACTGCATAGTACTTGGTATCCCATGACAACTGCTTCACAATGTTCCCCTGATCTTGTACGCCAAACACTGTGTCCAATAACTGGTCCCTAAACAAAGTACTCTCACCTTCAAAGACTACAAGTACCTTATTGGGCAAAACTTTTGCGTCTGTTACCTCTTCGCATTCATCCTCCGAACTCACAGGTAACTCAGTTGCTCTAGACTCATCAGAACTGGATGATTCATCCAACATAGTTTATAGCTGGTCGATATTGCTATGCTTAGTTTGACCCTGATTCTTGCTAGAGCTCATTTCTTGATGACCTTTTCAAGTTGTCAAGGCTATTTTAGCAAGCGATGCCCATCGCGATTACTAGCAATATTAGCTTTGCTAAAAGAATAGCAATTCAATTATAAAAATATATATATATATAAATGGCTCCCAATCCCCCAGTATTTTAATTTCCATTTATATTATCCAGTTATTTTGTTTCTTGAAATGGATTCATTCTATATGATACAAATAACAGCGCAGAAGTACTTATATGATCTGGTATTATAAAGATATTGAGAAAGTTGCTGGTACTCAGCCTGTCTTTCAACCTCAGGAGATTCCGGAATACCAACCTCAAGCACCAAGACCGGTTGGTGAGCCTGTTGAGCAATGGATTAATAGTGATGCCTATGCCGTTGAGCTTCCAATCAGAAACTACTCTATGATAATTCATCCCCAATGGCAACCACCAATTGAGAAGCAAGATGAAGAAAAGAATCAGAAATTGAGTATCCTCCATAAGATTGGGAAAGTTATCTGGAGACCAGCGGTTCTGGATGGAATTTTTGTCACAATATGCGCTATTGGAATTATATATATAATATTCATGTTATTCAAATACGACATTTAAGCTTGTGGACCCTAATGATTTTACAAATAACAACTATAATATTATAGTGATTGGCTATAAATATTTGTAAAATGAAAAATTGGATGCATTAGACGCTAATATATAAATAATCTACTGCGAAATGTAAATAAAATAGTTTTGTGTAATTGGAAAAAATAGGTCTTTAACATGATAGATAATCATCAAATAGGAGCTGTTCATTAGATAAAAAATTGAGTTGATTATTTCTCTGGAGATTCAGCGTAATAATGCAAGTAAGCAGCCATTAGCTTCATACCATTGACGAAGTTGGAGATGTCCAACTTCTCATTGATGGAGTGGGCACCGTCATCACCTCTACCCATTGGTAACAATAGAACACTAGTCTTTAGTTGTTCCTCAAAGGTCAAAGTGATTGGGATGGAACCACCTTCTCTGGTGTAGTCAGGTTCGACACCGTAAACGTCCTTAGTGGCCTTAGCGGCAGCTTGGAACTGAGCATTGAATGGATCTGAGACCCAGTAGTTACCATCGTGGATCAATTCAGCCTTGCAACGGTTTGGAGAGTTCAACTTCTTGAAAGCAGCGTGACAGTGGTCAACGACGATTTGAGTCAATTTCTCAGAGTCGATGTCTGGGACAGTTCTGATGGAGAACTTACCAATGACCTTAGCTGGGATAACAGTCTTTGCACCTTGAGAGTAGAAAGCACCTTCGACACCGTGAATGGACAAGGATGGGTATCTCCATCTGTGCTTCAAGATGTCCTCCTTCTTGGTGTAAAGGGCGGTTTCGGAGCCAGAAGCAGCGTTCAATTCTTCAACACTGAAGTCAATGGTCTTGTACAATTCCTGTTCCTTTTCGGTTTCCTTGGCAACCATGGCATCGACACCTTCGATGAGGATCTTACCTTGGGAGTCGACCAAAGTGGACATGACTTGAACCAAGTCGATCATTGGCTCGGCGATGATACCTCCGAACATACCAGAGTGCAAGTCTGCGCCTGGACCTTCAATGGTGACTTGGTAGTAGTTACAACCTCTTAGACCGTAGGTCAACACAGGCTTTCTGGTACCCAACCAGTAGTTGTCGGAGATACAGACGGCGTCAACACCCTTGAAGTACTTGTCCTTCTCGGCGCCGATCAACTCCTCCAAACCTAGAGAACCAGACTCTTCCATACCTTCGAAACAAGTGATCAAGTTAACTGGCAACTCGACACCGGCAGCTTGGTGTGCTTGCACAACGTGCAACCAACCGGTCAAGGGACCAGTGTCATCGGAGGAGCCCCTGGCTCTTAGAACCTGCTTCTTCTCGTCGACAACCAACTCAAAGGGTTCAGAGTCCCAGCCGTCTTCTAACTTGGCTGGCTGCACATCGTAATGACCATAGACCAAGACGTTCTTCTTAGCAGGGTCGTTACCGTAACGGGCCAGCACAATAGGTGGCAATTGCAAGTTAGGGTCAGAGACTGGAGGTGGCTGCGTACCCAGCTCCTTCAATTGAATGTCAGCAAAGCCCAGCTTCTTCAAGTGGTCAGCCAAGAAGTGAGCCTTCTCAACAACACGGGGTCTCAAACTCTCATCAGAGGAAACAGCCGGAATGGCAATAGCCTTGCTTAGCATGCCAATGAACTCAGGCTTAAGCTCATCGATCTTCGTGAATACTTTGTCAAACGCTCTAGTAGAAGACATCCTGATACTTCTGTGGATTGCCCTCCTGAGAAACATTCCTGCAATAACTAACTTCTTTATTAGTTTGCCAGCCTGAAAAGTTTTGACACATTTTTTTTCACCGGCCGATGCCCTCTGCCTACAGGCCGATGGGCAGGCGATGAGCTCAGAGCAGCTGCCAACGCATACCATCTTTGACACATTTCTAATCTGCAAGCTATAACAGCACAGTGAAGTCTAGGCAAGCCATCGATGAGCCACTGCATGGTCGTCCTCGTCCTCTAGGTTGCCAAATGTAGTAGTACAGTTGTGTAGTTTCTGTGTCGGGGTCTGCCTTGTACATGAGGAGTGCTCGGGTCATCGCAGTTATAAGCAGCACAATGCATTTCGAATAATGTTTCAATTGCAAATTAAACTAAGGTATTGCTACTTGCATTGCCAGCGGTGGGAATGAGTCTCACTGGCGGCTTGCGTGTATCGTGGTTGGGACTCCTCGTGATTCTTGTTGCTGGTGACATCCCCATGCAGCTGTATAAATGAATTGAACTGCTTGAAACATCAGTGATACATTGTACCCATTGATCAGAGCTCGCAGAGCAGTGCCCATCATGACTCAAAACAAGGTGAATGACAATGTGACGCTGATTACCGCCGGCAGCGTCTCGGGGCTCTTCAGTGCGACGATTACGTACCCGTTCGAGTTCTTGAAGACAGGCCTGCAACTGCACAGGAATGTTGTTGCTGCCAAACCGTTTGAAGTCCTGGGGTACCAGGTCCGGACGTACTTTGCTGGGTGTTCTGCAGTCAACATCGGTGTGGTTATGAAGACCTCGCTGCGGTTCCTGGCCTTTGACAAGGCCTCTGAGTGGCTGAGACCACCCGCTCTCGCTAAGGATGCTCCCTTGTCCGGTGTGCAGTTGCTCATGGCCGGTGCTCTGACGGGGACCATGGAGTCCCTGTGTATAATACCGTTTGAGAACGTGAAAGTGGCCATGATCCAGAACTCCCTGCTGAGCCATGAAAGGTTGAACACGACCACGAGCAATGTCCAGGGACAAGTCGCCAACGAGGTCAAGAAGACATTTCATAAAAAACCCACACTGCGAAGCTCCTATGAAGCACTGTTCCCTGAGAAACTGCCAACCAATGTGCTCACTACCGCTGCAGAACTGTACAGGCAGCACGGCCTAAGGGCTTATTTCAAAGGTACCATGCCCACACTGATGAGACAAGTCGGTAACTCAGTGGTGAGGTTTACTACGTTCACGATGTTGAAGCAGTTTGCTCCTAAGGAATATCAGAATAACGAATACTTTGCTACATTGCTCGGACTGATCTCGTCTTGTGCAGTGGTAGGTGCCACGCAACCGCTAGATGTGATTAAGACACGGATGCAGGCCAAGGACTCGGTGCTGCTTTATAGAAACTCAATAAACTGTGCTTACAGGATATTTGTTGAAGAAGGGTTTGCCATGCTGTGGAAAGGTTGGCTGCCAAGACTGATGAAAGTGGGGCTGTCAGGAAGTGTGTCCTTCGGTATATACCAGTACACTGAAAACATGATTGCACTTATGAGACAGGAAAGATACCTCGAATGAGCTTCTATTGGTATGCGTCTGTAAATAAAAAGTTATATATATTATAGTTACATATTCGTCGTTATCGTCATCGGGAGATAGTATACTGATATTTCATGTTGTCAGTTTGTGGTCCCTTGTTGATTATTGTAGAAATTCAGAAAACATTTCTAGCTCTAGAAGGTTACATTGCTCCAAGGTGAGATAATTGCACGCAGTTTCAAAGACCTGCTCCTTTGTGCAATCGCTGCGGCACAAGTTGTATCTAACTAGCATGTCCTTCACATTTGCATAGTTGACATTAAGTGTTCTCATGTCTTGTTCATTTTGACTTTCATAGCATTGCACGCTGTTGGCTATTAACTGAGGGATGATACTACCTAAGGCTTTCCAGGACCGTCTTGGCATGTCTATGTTTTGTAAACCAGGAATGCTTTCCACAATTTTTCGGAGTTCAGGTACTTGTAGCAAGCTCTCTTTGTAACTTTCTTCTATCTCTTGTTCTTCGTTGATGGATTCTTCATCTGTACTGTAGTTATGGAATACATCTCTTTCATCATATTTGCCCGTGGGACTGTGCACTCTTGGAATATAGTGAAGGCTCGAGTCCGCTACGATCCGTTCCGGGGATTCAATGGTGGTTTCTATCTGAGCTGGCGAAGAAGGTATCTGTACATCGTTATAGTCATCGTTATGGTCATCAAGACCGCCAATATCGTTGAAATTAGGCTCGTTATCCTGTATAACAAACGACTCATCCTGTAAATTGACGTGTTTCCGGGCCTTTGTGTCTTTAATCTGCGAGAATACCGCCACAGATAGAGACTCTTGCTGTTGATCTTGTATGGAGCTCGGGTCCCGGTAAGCATCTGGCTCATTATCCTCGTGGGTCTCCTCAGCATCTAGTAACTTGTCCTGCAAGTTTGATACGCCGTGCTGTTTCCCATCGCCCCGCGACGCCAATGCAGAATCCAGCTCCTTCAAAAACATTCGGGACTCATTCGGTGAGTTCTTTAAGTTACCAACATCAAATACTCTCCTCTTCTTCAAGCCTGGCGTGCTCTCCAGAAGCATCTGCTCTTTCAACCGTTTGAGCACTTCTGCCCGCCTCTTGAATGGCGTCTCAATCACTGAACTCTCCTCATCCTTCGACTCCATAGCCCTATATCAGTCAAGTACACTGGATTTACCTTCCAATTGGCCTATACCCTTTGAGGTCTCCCAAGGTCAAGATCAACTTCAAAGTCCCAGTGATTCTTATCACTCATCGCTAATTTCTTGGATCAAAATTGCATAAAAAGCTGAAATAAATAGTAGGTGGAAAGGTCAAGCAAGGTCAACTTGTCGAGGACATACACTAGCCACACGAGTACCTGGAACATCACTACACTGATTGAGGAGTTTGCCCTGTGTGTTTGCATGGCACAGGTTGCGGAATTATGAGTTATAGAGACACTGGGATGGATAAGAAAGGTACAGGGACGATGTCGAAGAGGTCGCCCTCTATCCTGGTGACAGATGCCAGGACCAGCAAGAACAGGCGAAGTGCGCCGTTTGCTGGGCATGCCGCTGGTGTGCGGAGTGCGTCTTCCTCTACTGGTAGTGGGAGTAGCGCCTCTGCTGAGCGTGGTGCTGAGTTGATGAAATATGTTAATGGTAACCTGCGTGGGAGCCGTGGCCAGTATGCAGCCACTGGTGGGCGCAGCAGTAGTAACCACGGTACCGGTGACCTCAGTAATAGAGGTACTAGTTCTCCTCCGAGACGCAGGGCGTCTGGTAGGTTCAGTGAAATATCCATAGATAATATACTATCAGACCGCTCTGATGTGCCGTCTGGTAGAAGAGAAGAAAGAGGCTCTAATTCTAGCTTTGATAGGAGTATGATATATGACCGTTTGCACCCACAACCGATAAGGAAAATGATTAACACATTGCCTATAAGAACGTCGAAAACGTCACAAAAACTGGTCCTCATACCTGAGGATGGTTCTGTCCCGCCGACTAGAGGTGCATTAGAGAGAAGAGAACAGCCAACATTTGTCAAGCGAAACCCAACTGAGAGGATACCAAAGAGCAGCAGAGATCACAGGTTGTCCCGGATAACCGCATATAACCTAGCAGAAGGGTTTAACCTGAAATTGCTGTCAAAGTTTCTCAAGTCTACACACGAAGTCAAGCCTAGACTTTACGATGAATGTTTATACATCGCTTATACATTGCCATTGTTGCCAGGGAAGGATGGATTCAGACTAAAATCCAACGTATCCAAGAAGGTTGTTGGTGGTAAAACCTTGATTGAAAAATTAATTGATACTAGTGAGCAAAGAGATCACCATTATGAGTACTATTCTGGTGTAGAGACATTAGAGGATGCGAATAACAATTACGAGCTTGATCCAACTAGTGTTGACAACGAAAATAATAACAATAGTAATAATAATCCAGCAGATTCGTTTGATCCAAGTGAGCCACAATATTTTGCAGAAGAGACACCAAAGGAACAGCTAGAAAGGGAACGCTCTGAAAGCTTACATATTAATCCGGGAAGTAAGCCGATAGCGGTAAATGCCGATGAAGATCAACATGCTGAAATTTTTGTATTTCACTATGGTGTTATTGTGTTTTGGAATTTTACTGAGGAGGAAGAAAAGAATTTATTAGGTGATATCGCGTTCTCTGACTACAAGAATCTAGTGATAAGGCCCTTAGATGAACAAGATATTGAGATAGAGCAATTTCATTTTGAATATGACAAGGATACGGAGAGACCCAGAATTTTCAACGATATCATTACATTGAGATCAGGGGATCACATTATAGAATTAACTTTGTCCCATGCAATTGCTCAATCTTCGAAACTTTCTAGATTTGAATCAAGAATTTCTCCCATTCTAACCACTGTTACTAGACTTCCAAAAAGATTGGCACTGTATGGTACATTGGGTCTGAAAAGAGAACAGTTAATTAAAAAATCGGGAAAACTGTTCAAGTTGAGAGTTGATGTCAACTTGTCGTCAAGTGTTTTAGATACTCCAGAGTTCTTTTGGTCATTTGAGCCAAGTTTGCATCCGCTGTATGTTGCCATGCGGGAATATCTTGAAATCGACCAAAGGGTTCAAGTACTAAATGATAGGTGTATGGTCTTTCTCGAATTTTTTGATATATGTGTCGATTCTATAGCTGAGAGAAACATTGTGCGCGTTACGTGGTGGTTCTTTGTCGCTATAGTAATTACGGTGATATTTTCATTGATTGAAGTTTTCATCAGATATCTCATTATTAATCGACTCAAACACTAGATGTCTAGAAATCATTGATCAACATTAATGAATACTAGCCTATTCAATATTTCATAAAAAGTTATATACTCAAAATTTAAACTGTAACATATATTTGTGTCGGTAAATAACTATCTAAGTAGATTATTTCTTGGCACCGTATTTGTTAACAGACTTACCATCTGGGATAGTGAAGAAGACGTAAGGTTTACCATCCTTGGCTTCGGCATCTAGTCTGTAGTAACCCTTTCTCTCAAATTGAATAATGTCACCGACGATCATGTCCTTGACGTTTAGATCAGCAATAGCCTCAGTGTGGAATTCAGTTTGAGGAGTTAGGAAGTCTTCAAAACTTTCATCTTCTTCAAGTTTGTCCTTGCTGATCAAGTGATCGAAGTCAACTAAATCGACCTTGACAGAATCGTCAGTGTCGGCCAACCAGGTAAGTTTGTGCTTGGTTTTCTTGAAGTCACCTTCCAGATGAAGCTTAGCTTCCATGGAACCGTCAGCATTCTTCTTTGTGATGATGATGTTACCCCAGTCCATAAGAGTGACTTCTTCGTTGTCTTCAATAGAATCAGCATCCTCCTTGTCAATGACAACGTTCTGGTAGTAGATGACCTTCTTTTCACCAACAGCAGGATTCTTCTTGTGCTTTGGTTTCATTTCAGTCTTTGGAGATTCTGGAGCGCCTTCGATGTGGATCTTGACTGGGTTAACGATAGCAGTGTGTCTTGGGGCAACTGGGTCAATAACCTTTTTGTTAAAAGCCCAAATTAAGTTCCATTCTAGGTTAATAACATTTCTGGAAGGACCTTGAGAAAGAACAAAGTTTCTCAAACCTTCAACAGTCATACCTCTTCTTCTGACACCTCTGACAGTTGGGAATCTTGGGTCGTCCCAGTTGGAAACTAGGTTCTTGTCAACCATCCATTGTAGCTTTCTCTTGGATAGCAAAGTTCTAACGAAGTTGACTCTGGCAAAATCCCAGATGTGGACCTTTCTCAAGTTCAAGTTATCCAAGAACCAATCGTATTGAGCATTACGGTCTCTGTATTCGATGGTACGTAGAGCGTGGGTAACGCCTTCGATGGAGTCAACAATTGGAACACAGAAATCATAAGTTGGGTACATCTTCCATTCGGAACCGGTTCTGTGGTGTGGAGTTAAGTTACATCTGTAAATGACAGGATCTCTTAGAGTCTTGTTCAAAGCAGCGTAGTCGATCTTAGCACGAACACAGTTCTTCAAACCTTCTTCAGTACCATTCTTCATATCTTCGGTGAAGATCTTCAAGTTTTCTTCAACGGAGCGCTCTCTTCTAGCAGATGCAATACCATCCATACGTTCTTCTCTCATCTTTTCAGTTGGAGTGTCGTCACAGTAAGCCTTACCCTCCTTGATCAACTTAACACACAATTCATACATCTCTTGGAAGTAGTCTGAGGAGTAAGTAATTCTGTCACCCTTGATACCCAATAGTTCCAAATCCTCTAGAATAGAGTCTTGGAACTCGGTCTTCTCCTTAGATGGGTTAGTGTCATCAAATCTGATGATCAACTTACCCTTGTAGGCTTGAGCAAAATATTGGTTCAATAAAGCGGCCTTAGCGTGACCAATATGCAAGTATCCAGAAGGTTCAGGTGGGAAACGGGTGACAACTTCGCCGATCTTGGCATCTGGAAGATCAATTTCAAAGTTAGCCTTGTGGGACTCCTTCTTCTTACCGGCATTAGCAGCCTTCTTCAATTCTTGTAGAGACTTGGTCAAGAACTCGTGAGATTGACCAAAGGAAGGGTTGGACTCTAGGAGCAAGTACCAACGGGAAACGTTGACGTAGACCTTGTTCTTGATGATGGAACCAACCATACCGTTGGATCTCAAAGCACCCCAACAGGCAATGTCAGCGGAGTCAAACTTCAAGCCACCGTTGATGTATGTTCTAAAGTTCAATTGAGCGTCTAGCTTTTCTAGAGATTGAGCAAGCTTTTGGAAGTTCTTGATAACCAATTCTTCAGCAGCCAACTTGATCCAAGGCTTGGACTCCTCATTAGCACCCAAGATTTCAGGGAACTTGGCAACAATAGCCTCTAGAGCATTGTCAGACTTGCCATCGAAAGTAGCAGCAGCACTCTTCTTGTCGTCGACAAATTCAACAGTGACAGAGGCATCACTCTTGGAGTCGTTGACAAGACGAGCAGCGATCAATTCGGCATAGGCAACCACAGGGGCTTTACCGTTGATAACCAAAGTAGAACTCATAATTCTTACTGTATTGTGGAGAGGAACAGTAATGCAATCAACCGACACTAACACACAACTTTTTAAATTGAAGGAGTTACTTTATTCACTGGGCATCACCTTGAAATTTTTCACTGAGATTTTGAAATTTTTCAGCAGCCGTAAAGCTGAAAAATGTTGCGATGAGCTCAGGACCATAATAGATAGCCTCGATAAAGCAGTTGTCAATTGGGTGGTTTAGTTCAGAGATCAGCACGGCATTGAGGTTATTGTAGTAGTTCCGGAACCAGTGATAGTAATCTTTGAGATATGGGGATCAGTGCGAATTTGTTTGTCAATCAGAAAGGTACCACTACGGCGTTGAAACAGCCAAAGGAGATAGGCTACTACTCCAGAAATCAAACTGAGGAGTACTTAGTTAGCGACGATATTAACCTGAGATATTACTACCTACCTGATCAAGAGATTGAGCATGGTATTGATCTTTCCGCGGGTGCAAGTAAGTTTAGGGATGTCGCAAAAGATTTCAAAGACCGGTGTAGTTTGAAAGGCCTGCTAGATACTCTTATGGAGTATGAGAAGAAGAAGAATAAGAAATCCAATGTAGATATTATAACATTTAGAGGTATTATGTCAAAGCTGATCAGAGCCTCAATGGAGCCACCAAACTTCAATAAGGTTGATTTGCGGATAGTTTCCTATGATGGGCAATTATTCATTAAGGATGTTTCAGATTACAATGCCGCAACTAATGAGAGCAATAGCAGTGGCGTAAATAGCAGACAGCAAGCGGGGACTTCAAGGCAGCAGATAGATACTTACACGGGTTACAAATTTGAAGGTATAGCTACCTTGGATAAGCCATTGCCATATGTTGAGAGAGAAGTCATTGAGAAAAGACCTCGTAAAATATTGAATAATGGTGATGAATACATAACGGTGGTGAGGACAGGTGTTGGGGAGTGTAAAGTTGTATTGGGTGCTGAGATCGACTGTATATTCGACTTCAAGGAAGAGGGCAAAGATAACTTGAAACATTACACCGAACTGAAGTGTAGTTCACAAATATCAACAACCAATGATGTAAGAAGATTTGAAAAGAAGATGTTCAGAGCATGGTTACAATGCTTTCTGGTGGGTGTGCCCAGAGTGATTTACGGTTTCAGAGATGATCAGTACATGCTCAAGACAGTTGAAGAATTCAGCACAGAAGAGATCCCAGTGATTATCAAGGCTAACAATCCAACGTTGGGGCAATCCTGTCTAGATGCCATCAAATGGTATGGACTGTTCACTGACTGGCTTTTAAAGATTATACCAAGAGAACAGAGCGGTAATATAAGAGCATACCGTCTGGTGTACGAAAACAACCACTTGAGGTTGTCAGAGATAGAGGAACAAGATGGTGAATACTCCAGGTATGTGCTAGAAGATGGCATTTTGACACCTGAATTTAAAGAATGGAGGGAGTCACTAAGAGTCCCATCTGAGGAAACCCCAAAAGCTGATTAACATTAGCATTAATCAAACATGAAACAAGGTCCATATATTTTTTTTTCATGTAGCATTTTTTCATAATTATCTAGCTTGTAATAGAGGGTCCAACATGGTTAATGATCTAAAACTTACTTATTACACCTCAAATATCTAACTCTAGTCGACAATCGTATTGAAGACCTTGTAATTTACCCGATTGGGTAAATTACAAGACTATATCTATCGGAAGTATTATAGTTTCAGGAATATAGTGTTTCAACACAAAATGAAAGTCATTTCTTAATATTGAACTAGATCTGTAGAAAGGTATAAATACCAGTATTTTTAATCTTCTTGTAGAGTTTCCGTCTTGGAATGTAGGTTATAATTCATTTTCAAATGGTGATCACATAACAATAAAACATCTACAAAACATTAAATTACAATCATCAATTTCATAATAAGCAATGCAACCAACTATTGAAGCCACTCAAAAGGATAACACTCAAGAAAAGAGGGACAATTATATTGTCAAAGGGTTTTTCTGGAGTCCAGATTGTGTAATCGCTTAGAAGAAATACGCTGACGATAATTATCTCTAAAAAATTGCTAAAAATACCCTTTTAAGATACTTTTATAATATCAATCTAAATCTTAGACAGTTTCTCTAACCCCAGTTCTTTAGGTTTTGAACTTCTAGGAATTTTATGTCTTTTACATAAATATGTATTGTTCTTTTCTTTAATAAATATGTGTTCTGCCATAAAATTTGATTATTTTGATCAGGAAGAAAGCAAATAGATCTGCCAAAACTGTTATCCTCTAACTCACAAATGAACATTTGACTGTGAAATTACCTTTAGCAACTTTTATATGTTCGTTATTCCAATTCTTTGACTTTATTTTGTGTCCATTGCGGTCTCTCCGCATTCCATCGCATCGCATCGCATTGTTTGAACAAAATTGACAAAAAACCGGTTACAACACAAATAAAGAGGGCAATCATTAAAATATCAATTCTGTAAAAGAGACTTCCTGACTTTATAATTCCTAGATCAAAGTGTTTTTATTTGAATCCTACTGACGTTATATTAGCCATTTATTTCTCTGATTCTTAAATCCACATTGCTATATAAATACAGCAAGTTGTAAACACAGAATGGTTGATTCGAATGGGAAGTCCGTGCCGGAATCTGAAGAGGATAGCAATAGCCTAGAACGTATACAACAGTTGCAGGATGTGATCAGAAGCTGTTTAGAAGACCTAAGCTACGACTCTGCTGAATTTTACGGTGAAATCATGCATGCAGAATGCTCAATACTGGATAAATCACATTTCTACCTACCGTACTATGAGTATTATTACTGCTTAGCGTTATACTTGAATGGGAAACACCTTGTTGCAATGAAGGCTGCTGAGCCATATATAGAAAGAAACCTGGCAACATGCTTTGTGTTTGCCAAATCTGCGCTGGCATTGTCAAAACATATGGACAAGGCAATTACATCGCTACTCCGATTCCTGAAGTCCAGTAATGAAATAGAAATGGAAAGTTCTGAGAGAAGTCTTTTAAAATTTGATATTATCGAAGGAAATGAGAAAGAAAACCGGAATGAGCGGATGCCATTACCACATGGTCCCACTGAGGCGACTGTACACTGTCTGTTGGGTAACTTGTATTATAAAATATCTAAAATGGATGATAGTAAGGGACACTATCAAAAGGCGTTGTCCTATAACCCTTATTTATGGGAGGCCATGGCACAACTGAATAAAATGGGTACTAGTGTTGATCTTCCTAACCACTACAGAACTTTAGAAAAAAGAAATAGAGAATGGACAGAATATTATAGAACCCCCCTCTTAGTATACAATACAGAATCCGCTATTAATAACCCCCTATCATTAGGAATTCCACCTGATACTATTACTTCTCACCAACAATCAAATTCAAAGCATAGAGCCAAATCAAGTTTTCAAAGTACTTCACGAGTAAAGAAAGCACGACCATTCTCATCAGGTTCATCACTGTTGTTTACCCCTTTCAAAAGTACTAATTCCCCTCCTGTGGTGAGAACTACAAACACTACCACATCTGCATTTATTTCAACGACTTCTCCTAGTTCTAATTCTGGTCCAGCCTCCCAAAATTCTTTTAGTAGTGCTCATAAGACACCATCATATGCTGTTAAAGGAGTCAGCAGCGGGGGACCACTCTTTGCCAACTCGAACAACAAGATCACGTATAAAAGTAACCACTCTTCAGTCAATTCGCAGGCGAAATCAAAGACTAAAGGCAAATTATTTTCAACACCTCCATCAAAACTTTTCTCAACTAATGAAAACCATAGAGATACATTAACTAAAACACCTCAAACAATAAAAAGCTCTAACGAATTTCAAGATCTAACTTTTAGAGAGGAAGATGAAATTGATGAATCTCAATTGGCCATGAAATTGTTATCAAACAACGGCAAAGAAATGAAGCTTTCCGATCTGTCATATATATTTGGGTTGATCGCAAAATGCTGTTCGACGTATGATGCATATAAAGCAATCCGTTTGTTCCACAATTGTATCCCTGACCACATAGTAAAAAATATGCCCTGGTGTCTAGCCCAACTTGGTAAACTTCATTACGAGATTGTTAATTATGAAATGGCATCAATATACTTTATGCAGCTTTTTGAACTACAACCTTATAGGATATCGGACACTGAAATATTTTCTACGTTACTGTGGCATTTACAAGATTATAAAAGGTTAGCTAGCCTTGTTGACTATTTGCTAACTTACTATCCTAATAAACCCGAAACTTGGTGTTGTGTAGGTAATTATCTTTCTTTAAAGAAAGATCATGAAGATGCAATTGAAGCGTTTGAGAAAGCTACTAAGATTGACCCAAAGTTTGCTTATGCATACACTTTACAAGGCCATGAATGCTCTTCCAACGACTCGTTTGATGCCGCTAAAAAGTGCTTTAGGAAAGCAATTGCGTGTGATCCAAGACATTACAATGCATATTACGGTATGGGTATATATTCGATGAAGCTAGGACATTATGATGAAGCATTATTGTATTTTGAAAAAGCCCGACAGATATACCCCATAAATGCTGTTTTAATTTGCTGTTGTGGTGTTGCACTCGAAAAACTCGAATACCAAGACAAGGCCCTTGAATACTATGAACTGGCATGCACTCTTCAACCAAATTCTAACCTTGCAAGGTTTAAGAGAGCCAATCTGTTGTATGCTATGGGCCGCTATAACTTAGCTCTCCAGAGCTTTGAAGAATTGAGTAAATTAACACCGGAGGAACCAACAGTGCACTTTGTGCTGGGACAGTTGTATCAGATAATGGGTCGCAAAAATGAAGCAATACGAGAATTCACCGTTGCGATGAATTTAGATCCAAAGGGAAACCAGTTAATTTTGGATGCACTTGAAAAATGCCATAGGCAAGAATGACTTGCCTTAGGAGCTATATAGGACTTATTATTTACGTATCAATCACTTAGGCATCGATAGTATTGACAGACAACTAAACAATATTGTAATATTACATTAGAAACCTTTTAAATTATGCATTATACTCATGAACTCAACTCATTCATGCTAACCAATTAAACAACAGATGAATAGTAAATATTAAATTTTTAAAAATACTCCTGACCAAATTGGTCCAGCTTTTTCGAATCAGCCAACGAACTTGAACTGTTCTGCTGTAATTGTTCTTCCCAGTAAAGCTTATCTTCATCGGTCTCATCGAATCTCCTTTCGTTGTCTCTTTCTTGTGTCAACTTTCTAGCCTCAGACAACATTTCTTTGGCCTTTGACAAAGAGACAGTAGGAGTTGCATATGAACTTATGACAGGAACAGATGTATCAAAATCTATAGTAGCTTTTATCAATGCTGAAAGCCATGCTCTCATTTCATCCTTAGTTTCAACAGCCAAATAGTGTATCTTTGGCTGTGTGAATGTCAAACCCTTTTTGGAACCTGGTTGTGGAGGTAATAATTTGATACAGAATCTACCCTTTCCTACACTTGCGGCATAGAGTGCAACTAACTTATCATCTTCATTAGCCGGAACAACACGGTGTGCTGTGATATCAATCAAACCACGTTCTTTCGTATCATTTACACTAGCAAAATATGACAACCTTGTCCCATGTAACACAAAAAATCTTTCTTTCCATGTACCCATAGGCCCACTACCTTTTTTACTCATCCAACCAGAACAATCTGCAGTTTTCATAGCCTCCTGAACAGTGATTGATCTAAGACCTTCCTGGAATGCTGATGTTTGCTGTTTATTATTTGCTGGTCTTATTGGCCTTGCTAGTCTTGAAGATTTATCTTTAACGGCCGTTTCACTTACCGACCTTTTCTTTTCTTCCTCATCCTTCAGGATGTTATCAATTCTATTTTTATGAACAAGTGGTTTCTCACCAGTTTTCTTGTCGTCATGTTTTGTAGTGTTAGGTGTTGACTTAAGTGGGGACGTGAATTTTTGAGGAGATTTGGCCTTGCTGGGAGATAATATACCATTGCTATTTGCAGTCGGTGACTCCAAATTTGTCACGGCGTCTGTAAATTGTTGCTTGAAAGGACTTGTAATATAAGAGCCTTTACGACTATGACTTTGACTTGTCAGTACATTAGGAGACAATGTTTGTAGTAAGTTATCACCTTTACCTCCAAAGAATGACAACCTTGAAGAGTTCCTTCTATGTCTGGCTCCATCCATTGAGGGCTGTCTCATATGAGCTAAATTTTGCGAGGAGTTTCTTCTGTGTCTCTGTTCATCTATTGATGGCTGCCTCATATGATTCAAGTTTTGAGATGAGTTTCTAGAATGATGTTGGATTGTAGCGTTGCTGGCTGATCTTCTATGCGTATGACTTTGATACGTAGCAGAGCTTGAAGATCTTTTATGTCCGTTAATCGGATCTTCATCTTTCCCTGGAGAAAGCATGGATATCCTGTTGAAGAGTTCAACGAAGGAACCACCGGATTCACTTTTCTTATGCGTCTTGTATACGACAGAGTTTCTCTTCAGACCACTTGATTTCCTCGAATGATTAGGTAGATTGATTGGTGTGTCAGAATCACCCAGAGCAACATCTCTTGTTCCCGAAGAGCTTGTTCTCCCGCTTAGGCCATCCATTTCCAAGCTGGGGGAGATCTCTTTGCTGGGTGCTAGTAATCCCGAGACCTTGTCGTTCTGGTTAGCAGGAAATTTAAACTTAGATGAATTATTCCCCAGGTCCGAGGAGCTCGTAAGGATTGAATTGCTGGAATTGACCAACGATGCACTGGATGCCAATGATGGGGTTCTACTCTCAAACTTAGGAGGTGCGACCATGTAAGGGCTGTTACCTTTGTTTGGCTTTGCCATTGGCGATTGAGGTGGTTGTACTGGGCTTGGATAAGAAGGTGGTTTTGGTGCTCTTCCGGGGGACTCAAATATTGTGCCGTCCTTCAGTATTTCATCCACTGGCACAGCATACAATGCTGGGTTAAAGTTTGGGTTAGAGCTATTATTTGAGCCTGGGACGGAGAGTCCGCCCGTTGGAACTCTGGAGGATAGACTATGAATTTCACTAGGTCTTCTGTTATAGGACTCCGACGAGATGATGGTCGATGCAGGCCTGTTTGAAGTAGAAGATTTCCGTATCCTTGCTGGATTTTGCAAATTGTCCAACGAGCGGTACGGTTTCTCAGTCTGCGATGACACCATCTGGCTCGGAGGCGAGATGAGCACGCTGTCTCTATTAGTGTTCTGCGACGCTGACCTGGAGCCATCCCAGTTGTTGCTATGCAACCGCGGCGTGCTATTGTTGTAAACTACGGAACGCAAGTGGTTGATCTCCTTCTCCAGCTCGAAGCGTATCCCGAACGAGCTGATCTCTATCTCCTTCAGCATGTTGGTCTGCATCTCAAGCAAGATGATACCCGTAATCTGGTGTTTCTGGAACTTCGAAGCGGTGGTGAAGTCAAACCCCCGGGAAAGCATATACTCTGCGACATCCTTCGGCGCCCAGGCGATGATCCTATCCCTGGACAGCGGAACACTATAGCTAGCATGGCCAGTATGGCTGGCATGGCCATGGCTGACGGGGTTGCCTGCCGCGAACCCAGCACCGCTGTCTCGAGACATGGGAGTGGGCGGCAGCGACTCGCCTGACACCTGCGGAGGCTGGCTCAGCGTCACCGAGTCCTTCCTCAGCTCCGCCAGCGCAAGGTCTATGTCGTTCAGCGTCGAGTGCACGGCGCTAGTGGCCACACTGCTAGCGCTGAGCGGCGGTGTCTCCGCACCCACAGCGCTAGCAGCACCCACAGCGCCCACAGCGCCCACAGCGTGGCCACCCGCTCCCGACATTCTGGTATCTACGAAGTTCCCGTGGTCTAGCTTGGGCGTGGGCACACGTCTATCTGACTTCGCGGTGGTTCTAGTCGTATGGCCGATGGGCTGTGTGAACACCGCCGGGTACAGCCCGACCTGCGCGGTGCGCAGATTCTTCCCTTGGTACCACCCGTCCTTGTACTCCCCGTCATCCATCAGCACCTCGATCTTGTCCCCGGGCTTCATGTCTATCTCATCCTCCATCCGTCGCCTGTACTCATTCACACACACATACACAGGAACCATCTTTATTTTTATGGCTATTTCTTTCCTCCGTGCTTGTCTGTGTCTTCTTTCTCCCCCCTACGATATAATTAACCGCCGACTGCTCAGATCTCTCTCTCCCAGATCTCCAGATCTCCAGATCTCAGAATCTTATGGAGACGCCTTGCCCCCCAGAAAGGAGGTTGCACCACATGGTCTTTTCAAGATTACCGCCCAAAACCCGCCTAGACACAGCCCAGCTAACAAAGCAAAAAGCTCGTTCCATCGTACAAAGAAAGGCACAGAGACACAAACACAAAAACACAAAACACAAAACACACACCCTTAGAACCATGCGCACAAGACCACTTGTAAGTACAGGTTGAATACTGAAAGGCAGTTTACAGAAGAATGGAAACACCCATACATTACATTCTACACCCTTTGCCCTAAGTAGAAGGACCAACTCGGAATAAATCGGGTAATCGGGTCGCGGAGACTCCGGGGAGAGCGGAACGTAACAGAATACACTTGAGAGATCACTGAGGGGCTGTGAGAACACAGAGAAGGTGTAGAATTCGGTGGTGGAAGCAGCTGAAACACGCAGAGAGACAGAGAGAACCCCGCACAAGAGAAGCGGAAACGAAAAAATTTTTTCTGAATTTTTCGTGTTTGAACAGCACGTGTAATGGTTTTTTGAACGAGTAACTTCTATTCTCCTTTTAGTACTAAGTGATGCATTAGTAGATTTCTATTTTTAGAATATCAAGTCCTAAGTAGCAGAAACACCCAGACACCTTAGAGCTACTATATACGAAAAGTCATATGGTACCGTTCTATGTTACACAAAGACCTCTATAACACCGGAGCTAACACCGTGCCATAACGTACACATGGCACCAATTACACATACGCTAGCAACAAGTAACACCTAGTGATAATAACAAAATAGATGTACTTGAAACGATAGAATCAAAACCAGATGAGAAGCACTAGATTTCGTATCGCCAGGTGAGAAGTATGCGCACCTGAAATGGAAGCGATATAGTGAAATTAGGACACAGTGTACTGACTGGGCATAATACCACGAACTGAAATAGACCATGGGACGTGAAACTTATTCATAGAGAAAGAGGTTGATGTTATTTTTTGATAGCAGAACTTGATATGAGATGCTGTTGGCAGAATTATGATATGAAAGATTCTGTCTGACTAGAATGTGCAGAATTGACAACAACAAATGCAGGAACTAACACTACAATACAAGCCCAACATATTCCGTTAAATACTTATAAACTGGTACCTCGTGAGGAGCTTCAGTAAGTGCATGCAGATTTGGTGGAGTATAATCACTGAATCGGAGTATACGCACTGAATCATATAATCACCATGTACGCTATAGTGTTAGGCATGCCTATAAACTTCACAAACCTCCATTCTCTTGGGCAATGCTGGAGTTACTTCTGAGTACTGCACTTGTAAGCCAGACTATTCTGTAGTATAAGTTTAAATATGGCGGTTTCAGATCAGCCGAGTACTGAAGGGATGGCGGATTGGCTGTACACTGGAGGATTACAAGATTGAACCTGATGAAATGTTGTCTTCGAAGCCAGACGCTACACTTGACCACAATGACCACAAGTATAAAAAATTATACCGATTATGCTTGGCCAAGAGTACAGCATATACCAAATTGAGATGGGTGGTAGAGCTAAGCTTGGTAGTGCTGTTTTTAAGCCGTTTTAAGCCTTTGCCGGATTGTTACGTTTATGATGGTAAATGGTTTGACGACCTATATTGTTTTTTATCGGGGTGCACATATGGATTTGTAAATGATAAGGTTTTACAACAATATAATGAATATTTGGACGTCGGCGAGAAGCCTGATGTTTTCCATCCAATTTTGAGTAGGCCATCTGAGTTCAAATTCTGGCACTATTGTATCAGAACCACTGTATATTACATACTCTGGGAATTACTCGTATCTCAATGTAGGCCATTATTCTGGCCTCTCGCGTTTGTTTTACACAGCACATATTGCTTGGCTTATGTGTTTAAGGTATTTTTGCGGAGTGAAAACCCAACACACCAATTTTACTTGGACGTATGCAAGCGACATACCATGGCGAGGTGGATATCAGGGATAGGCTTGTTGTCCTTTGTTTTATTTCTTTATAGGTGTCATTACGCATGGGAACTGTGTTACTATGCACTTGGAATCTCCATTTTGGATGCGTTCATTATGTGTCTGACAAGAATGCACGATATATATTCACAACAACCCAAAGACAACAGTCAGGAAGCGAATGAAGCGTCCATGGAATTCCGTCCATATCTAAGGAATTCACCCGAGTTTATACTGTGGTGCATTTGCATCAAGCACACTGTGTGGTTTCTAGTTCTATCATTGTTTGAAGTCAGGTATGATCAAGAAGATATCGTTGTTTTCATATTCTTTTACGACGTATATTGGACTGTAATATGTGTGATAAAAGCTGTCCTGCTTATGAACAGCTACGGTACATACCAGCATCGGTATGTGAATGAGATGCGATGGTTACAAGATACAATGGCCTTGGATGGCGTTTTGAAGTGCCCTCCTTGCATGTAGTTGAATTCTATAGTTATGAAAGTACTGTTACTGTACTGTTGTTGATATAGTCTAAAACGATCTTGTGGATTAGTTAGTTCTTGTGTCCAGTGATACTTAGAAGACATAATGATAAGATATTAATTCAAAACTCTAAAGGGTATATTATACAAATTATACTGGTTATCCATTTTCATTATACAGATAAGATACTAGAACTTAGGTTTAATTTCATAGACTAATGGAGATAAGGACTCCTTTTATACCTTTTATCTTTAATAGACAAAGTTGTTCTAATAAGCCCTAACTCGATTTCTTTTCTGATCAGTAGTGTTTCAGGTGAACATTCTTTTCACCTGTAATATGATCATAGTCAGTTATCAGCCTAGTTATATTTTATCTTATTTATCTTGTCTTTGATAGGCTATCCTCATTACCAGTATGAGCGGTATGCTACAGCCTTGTGCCATATTCGTGGCACAGTATGATCATATGACCATCTTCGTTTAGAATAATAAGTAGTTTCGAGTTTATCTCAACAGACGCCTTAGAGCTACTATCTACGAAAAGTCATATGGTACCGTTCTATGTTACACAAAGACCTCTATAACACCGGAGCTAACACCGTGCCATAACGTACACATGGCACCAATTACACATACGCTAGCAACAAGTAACACCTAGTGATAATAACAAAATAGATGTACTTGAAACGATAGAATCAAAACCAGATGAGAAGCACTAGATTTCGTATCGCCAGGTGAGAAGTATGCGCACCTGAAATAGAAGCGATATAGTGAAATTAGGACACAGTGTACTGACTGGGCATAATACCACGAACTGAAATAGACCATGGGACGTGAAACTTATTCATAGAGAAAGAGGTTGATGTTATTTTTTGATAGCAGAACTTGATATGAGATGCTGTTGGCAGAATTATGATACGAAAGATTCTGTCTGACTAGAATGTGCAGAATTGACAACAACAAATGCAGGAACTAACACTACAATACAAGCCCAACATATTCCGTTAAATACTTATAAACTGGTACCTCGTGAGGAGCTTCAGTAAGTGCATGCAGATTTGGTGGAGTATAATCACTGAATCGGAGTATACGCACTGAATCATAAAATCACCATGTACGCTATAGTGTTAGGCATGCCTATAAACTTCACAAACCTCCATTCTCTTGGGCAATGCTGGAGTTACTTCTGAGTACTGCACTTGTAAGCCAGACTATTCTGTAGTATAAGTTTAAATATGGCGGTTTCAGATCAGCCGAGTACTGAAGGGATGGCGGATTGGCTGTACACTGGAGGATTACAAGATTGAACCTGCTGAAATGTTGTCTTTGAAGCCGGGCGCTACACTTGTCCAAAAGTATAAAAATTTATACCAATTATGCTTGGACAAGTGTACAGCATATACCAAATTGAGATGGGTGGCAGAGCTAAGCTTGGTGTTGTTGTTTATAAAATTTATTAATCGTGTCGTGAATGTTTCATTTGACTTCGATGTTTATGCCGCATTTTCTATGTATGTGCTGTTTCCTTCATCCCGATTTGTTGCACATAAACTTGATGTTTACTTACAACAAGATGAAGGGAAGCTGGACGTCGGCGATAAACCTGATGATCTCCATTCATTCACGAAGAGGCCAGCTGAGTTCAGATTATGGTACTATTGTATCAGAACCACTGCATTTTACATATTTTGGGGGTTACTCATATATCCAATTGTACCATTGCTCCCGACTTTTGATTTATACTTTCATGGCATGTCTTGCTTTGCGTATATGTTCAAGGTATTTGTGCAAAGTTATACCAATACATACCATAATTACCTGCACATATGCAAGCGACATACAATAGTAAGGTGGATAGCGGAGGCAGCCTTGATGGTTTTGGTTACATTTTGCTATGCTTTTGAGATGTCCAAGGTCGATGTATTCTTTATTTACTACACTCTTGGAATATCAATGATAAATTCGTTCAATAACTACTTAAGAGATGTACGCGTCATGTCTTTACAACAAGCCAAAGACAACAGTGACTTGGAAGCTAATGATTCGAATGCGGAGTTCCGTCCATACTTAAAGCGTCCACCTGAGTTAGTACTGTGGTGTAAATGTGTAAAGTACACTGTTATTACTGCGCTTACACGATTGCTTATATTCTTGGAATTGTTCAACCCTGACGTAACCGTCCTATTTCTTTACAACCTCTACTGGACTGCGATATGTGTGATAGAAATTATCCTGATTATGATCCGTCAAGCAAAATACTAGTGACATTCGAACGAGATCAGATACTTGATGCAATGCAGATAAGAAATAGCTAACCAGCGGAGTATCTTTGCTACTTGGCGTTGACAAATCATTCATACATGTATTAGAATAGTATAAATAAGAACTGTAGTGCCAAGCATGGAGGGTAGACAGGGGCTGCCATGATATGCATTAAAGGTACTTGTATGGGACCAAATTGACAGTAGTCCTTGAATTGAAGTCTATCAAATTATAGTCTGTAAAAAAGAGTACGTTAACTTGAACAGTAACTCAAGTATGTCTATGCCTTCATGAAGGCCAGCTTCCCACTAGACATGAAAACACTATATCACATATCACATGATGAAATACGTTCAATCTGACATCCCCTATTGGCCCACTCTTTGCCTAAAACTTGAAAAAGCCTGCCCATACATGGATGAGCTATAATTACAACTCATTAAGCTTTCTTACTACACCAAGTTAAAACAACTACAAACCAGCGTAAGGATGGCGATTGGGAAGAGCGGGAAGGATAAGAGGCCCAAGTTTTTGCTGGAGTTTCAGATCAAAGAGCTGGTCAACGTGCCGCAGTCAGGAGGTGTGTGCTATGTTAAATGGAACTTGAAAGACGGCACGGGCACTTCGGATACCACTGTCACTGGTGCCTCCGGTGAGTCTGTTAGTGTTTCGAATGTGCACCGCGGTATCACTAACAAAGTCTCCGTGAAAAGACACAGAGCTCAGTGGAATTATAAGCTTGAGAAGCCAATGCATGTAAAGCTACACCTCGACAAGTACAGGAAGTTCGTGCCCAAGTTACTCTACCTGGAGGTGTACTTTGAGTTTACCGACAACAAGCCAGGTGCCATGTCGTCGGTTAAAAGAGACGATAACGGAAGAAGAAGCCGGAGCGGGAGCGGCAACACAGACTCTGGTAGGGACAGTCCCATTGCTGGTGTGAAGAACGCCATAGACAACCAGGCCAATAATGTCGCTAATGCTTTTGACTTGAAACGGTTTAGTTTAGATACCAACATTCATACACTGAGGATGCATCCAAGCTTTTCCTCTGTCACTAATGGCGCTAACTGCAATAGCAATTACACGCAGAGGACTTCTGGTAAAGTTCTGCTCGGTACAGTAAAGATAAATATAACCGAGTACATCAAGGAGGACGAGTCACCTATCTCCAACAGGTTCCTACTGAATGACTCCAAGGTTAACTCGATTCTAAATATGACACTGAAGATGAAATTGACTAGAGGCAGCTACCAAGACTTCATTGTCCCCAACGCCTTCACATCGGGCCAACTTTCAACAAGCTTCAGAGGTGAACTCACAGGTATACTGGACGGCGGTTCGGAGAGGGGATCTCCGACATCGTCTCCTATCCCAAGCACGCTGTTTTCCAATTCGGGCACTGGGACGAGTGGTGTAGGCACAAGCATGTCATCCTCCACACAACGCACGCGTTTTACGAACACGATCTCAGCAGCAATGAGCCCACTAGTGGATACTCTTTACCAGAAGACCTTCCAGCTGCCTTGGGACCCCAGACCTGGCGAGTTTACTCCTCGTGAATGTGTGGACGATATACTGAACGGCGGTTCCGGGTGGGCAAGAAACGAGAAGGGTGTAAACCTGATAGACATCGAGGCCCTGAAGATCAACGAGATGGAAGAGGAGTACTACGCCAAGCGCAACGTCTCTAGGCCAGAGAGCAGCACGAAGACTGCATACCACAGTAAAGACGGGCGGACATGCGAGAAAATGTCGGAGAAGGACTTAAAGGGCTTCAACAACATGGACACGCGGGAGTTCATGGAGAAGAAACGCGAGTGGAGCAAGCTATCACAGGCACAGAGGGAAAGACTGCGCAACGATGACACAGAAGATGAGAAAGGTGGCTCTCCAGAGAACTATATCATCGAAGGCATGAAGGAAGCAAGAAGCTGGACCATAAAACAGCCGGTGTTCTAATGTACCACAATTTAAATATTCTAGATAAGTATAAGATATAAACCATAGAAAGGCAACATCTGAAAGAGTACCCATCGGATGCCAAAATACCAGGTAGTTCATCCCATTGTCTCTATTAGCACCAGGATGGAACAGAAATCCGGGTAAAAGCACTTTTTATTTAGGGGAGTCAAAGTGACCCTTCCAAAGTCCCTTCTTTGTCCTTTCAGGACACCATCTGGGATTGGACCGGAAGGGATCATCGCTGTGGTCCAGCATTATGCAAATTGAAATCGGGGGAACTAACGTCATCTCTGATTGGATGGGGGGAGACCACCACTGGCACCGATTGTTGCCCATCAATGTATAAATATGCAGCAATGTAATTCATTTTGAGGTCTCCTTGCGATGGGCCCCGCTCTCCAAACGCTCTAGTTTTTGATACTCTAGCACCTACAGAACTTAAACTACAATGTCTGAACATAACGAAGAGAAGAAGTGTTCCTGTCTATCCTTCGAACAACTGAAATCTTGTGCGGTTGAAAAGACCAACTACGTCATTGCCAGGGCTCAGACGCTTGCTGTCAAGTTGTATCGTGAGTTGCAGAACCCTGTCGTTCTGGTGAACGTTATCCTTGGTTCATCGGTGGTGGTGACTTTGTTGCAGAGTTACGCCAAGTATGAGCACAGGTTCTTGCAGGGCAAGTCCGACGGACAGATCCTGGCTACTGCTGGTGCCGCTGCTGCTATCCTGACCTTGGATGGCTTCTTGTCCCAGAAGTACTACAAGAAGTTTGACAAGCAATAATCTGTCGATCTGGGATCGATCAGGTTACAAACTATTACATCTATCTAATAGAAAAAAACAAAAGCACTTCTCTGTGGAAACTGAAATACAAGGTATAATTCAGCAAAATTGTTATATTAGTTTTCTACTATGTCATAATTATAGGATATATTTTATATAATATCTCATTCTCTAATACTAATAATTCACAATGGAAAAAAAAAAATAAGAAATGGAAACTAGGTCCTTAATACCCTCTCCATACGTCCGAGTAGCTGGTCTTGTTCTTAGTCTCCGGAACTCTGTACTTGATGTAGATCACGAAGCCAATTGCAACTATAGAAAAGATGCAATACACAGCTCCGCCCATTACCTCATGGAATGAAGGGAACAAGAAGCCAACAAGGAACGTAGCAAGCCAGTTGCAAATTGTCCCAAAACTTTGCGCCTTCGCGGCGGCCTCATGCGTTGTCAGTTCACTAATGATCATCAGTGGAATAGGTCCTACACCAATAGCAAAGGATGCAATATATGCAAATACCGCAATCACTAACAGTATTGGAACGTCCTTGGATATACCAATACTGATCAAGAATGAAGTTCCTGCCATCAACGCTGATGAACTTAGCAACAGCGGTTTACGACCTAGCGAGTCGATAATAACCGATGCCACAAATGTCATCAATACATTCAGTACCGAAATACCAAAATTGACAAGAACTGCACTATTCGGTAGTGAGTTACTTATGACTTTAACCCCATAGAAAATAATGGAGTTGATACCACAGAACTGCTGTGCACACAGTATCATGAATATGACATTGCGCGGCTTCTTGTACTCTTCTCTGGTTACAAACTCCCATAATGTTGGTTCTCTTCCAGCAAAGTCAGCGTGTTCGTGGTGACTGTTCATATCAGTCTGCCACGTCTGTATTTGATCCTTCGCGTCTTGGTAAGTACCACCATGTAACTTATAAACAACCATTTCTGCCTCCGAGGTGAGTCCCCTTTTCAGAAGCCATTTGGGTGATTCATCAATTGTAGACCATGCTACAAAATTCACAAGTGCAATTGCAGTACCTATCAGCAAAATCCATCTCCAATAATAAGAATTAGTAAATACCAACGCTATAGTCTGCGTGAAAAGAATACCAATGTTGATAGAAAGTTGGTTCATTGTACCCATAGCGCCCTTATATTCAGCAGGTGTGATCTCATTTATGTAGACAGGGATGACGACAATAGATATTCCGGAGGCCATACCTACAAGTAAACGACCAAAAATCATGGTCCAGTAGCCATTTGCCATAGTTAGCATCAAAGAGCCAATAAAATAGACGAATGCGGTTCCTTGACTAATCTTCTTCTTACCATACTTGGCTGCTAATTGACCAGCAATATATGAACCAATCAGTCCACCAACGCTAAGCACAGATGTAACAACACCAAATTGTTCGGTTGTCATTGGGATGCATTGCACCAGGCCGTGCCTCCCAAATAGGGTCTCATCATATGGGATATCAGGGTCACCGTGTGGGTATTTGACCTCACTACAAGTGAGAAACTGCTGAGGTGCATTAAGTTCTGCAATGTGGTAACCAAATTGGATAGTTCCCAGGCAGCTCACTAACACTGCCAGTATCAAGGAGGAAGTCAGTTCGATTTTCCTCCTTGTATTACCCATTAAGCTCTCAGTTGCTGTCATGGTGCCAGGATATCTCAGGCTACTTTGTGATATTATTCCTTTTAAACGGAGGTAGATGTATATACTACGTGCTGTATATCTTGATATGACCCTTCATTGGTTAAAGGGCACCCATTATCTCATGTTGCTCGGAATCAATTGCTGCTCATCGCAAGACACCCTTTACAAGGCCACCCGCGTGGTCAATAGCTTGCTACGGATACAAGATAATCATAATGACTCCCCTAGCTGCATAAATCCCGGATTTAAACTACATTTGGTACCGGCTGATTCAGTTGCCCAGATTGCCAAATACCATCCTAGCCCCGAATTGGCATATGCATTTCAAGGATCCTTTCTCCCCACCCAAATGGCATTTGTATCGGATCAGAGAACGCTGGTTCCAAGTATGACACATTTTCCCATCTCTCTCAAGGGATCAGAATTAACTGCTCAAATGTAAGCTAACCCTCCAGGATGATCTTCTGAACTATTACTAATAGTTTCTGTGTTTCTATGTGTCTCTGCCAAATTATTTCTTCAATATTTTGGTTTTTATTTCGGATTTTAAAGATTTTTCCTAAAGCGGTAATGTGACAACAAACAATTTGCAGAAAATTACCATAATAGCCAAGGATTAGCTCATCGCGTAGCAGTATTGGCCAGTGTTTCGGGTTTTGAGCCAGATATCTTAGTGGCACTGGGGGGTAAAGATATAGAAACGTTTGTAGGCCTTCAGGGAGTTGGATACTGTGAGGTATTAAATGGTGCAAGAAGCATAAAGAATAAAATTTGTGCAACTACGAAGTACTGAGCAAGTGCTCGGTGGTTTGGGTAGATATATAAGTATAAGAGTTTCTGTATCTGTGCTCTTGAGTTTCGTAGTGTAAATGGGTAAAGGTGTTGGAAGGATCCAATCAGAAATATATGCGTCAAATGTCTAATACCAGAACTGTGTCCCAGGAAGTTGTTAACGGTGATATCAAGTTGAGCACCAAGATATGGGCACCAGAGGACTATATTCCACAGGATGTTAAGAACATGCTAGCGGAAGACACTCCTAACTATATGTTGTCCTTCATGAAAGTGCTGGAGCAATTGAAAGTCCAGAGAAGAACAGGATGGCTCGATCACGGTATGACCAAGTGTGAAAGCATTGCTGACCATATGTACCGTATGGGGATTATCTCCATGTTGATTAAGAACAAAGAGGTTAGCAAGGACCAATGTGTTAAGATTGCATTAATTCATGACATGGCTGAATCTCTAGTAGGCGATATTACTCCTGTTGATCCAATTGGTAAAGAAGAGAAACATCGTAGAGAAATGGAGACCATAAATTATATCTCTGAGACATTGATCAAGCCATTTAATGAAGAAGCAGCAGAGGAAATTAAGAGCCTGTGGTACTCATACGAGAACATTACTTCTCTAGAGGCTCGCTATGTGAAGGATATCGATAAATATGAGCTACTAGTGCAATGTTTTGAATACGAAAAGCAGCACAAGGCTAAGTTAAACTTCCAATCCTTTTTCCAAGCAGCAGAGTGGGTCAAGACAGATGAAGTTAAGGAATGGGTTAACGATTTAATTGCAAGAAGAAATAGGTTCTTTGCTTCCCTTGAAAAATCTTGATTATTCGTGATAAGGATGCCCAAATGATGGGAACAAAACGTTAAATTCTATAATATTCCAAACTCAAATATTCTCAGGCATCTTGATGCATGGCAGTGAGGAGGTGATGTACAAAGTAACTCAAAGTAACTTGACAATCTTCTTCTAAGTAGAACGTCATCCGATGCAACCCAATGTGGCATGATAGTCAATTGGTTTCGAATCTTGATTATTTCAATGGTTTACGGTTTTAACGATGAGATGATGATTGGCACCTATGTACTTTTAATTCTATAATATATTAATACTGCATTATAAGGTGAAAAAGGATCAATGAATATGTCTATTTAATAAATCTCAATCTAGTGATTTTATTGTAAACGAATGCTGGATAAGTTGTCATTGCCGAACAGCAGTGTTCCAACAGCATGCCTGGCCGTTAATGCACATAGTCCGAACATGAATTGGATAATAAGAATTCTGTTACAAAGTTTATCTTCTCTTAGTGGGCCAAACCAAACTAGTAACAAATTAATCATCGTCATATTTGAGCAACTAACGATATTGTTGTCCTTGTCAAATTCCAAATCTATGAGATGTAGGACATGTAATAACCTCAGCACTGGAACGAAAAAACCCTTTGGTGGGTTTTCTTTCAAGTCCGCTCTTGATGGGTATAGTAGGCCATCACTTTCGTTGAATCTGGGTAGTCTATGTCTTGGACAGAAAACTATGTTGAACAACTGTGGACATGAGTATAGGAAATTAACGATCTGTGGTAGGAACAACAGCAACATGGTCTTTGAGAAGTGCCCTAGTATACCGACCACTGCAAATACCATACCTGCGAAATAGCAGTAAGTGTCACCCACAAATACTTTAGCAGGCCACTTGTTCCATCTATATAGTGCTAGTGATACACCTAAGAACGGCAAAATTAGTACTGTAGAAAATCTGTGAGCTTCCTTAGATGCCTCTGCTCCTACAGTTAGGTAAATTGCATCGTTCAATAGTGTCAGTATGGCCAGCACAATACATTGGCCCACTTCCAACCCGTTAATACCCGCCAGGATGTTTATTGAGTTTGGACAGAAGATGCCCATCGCGCTCATGTAGATATAATACAGGGCTCCCAGGTCTATGCTGGTGAAATGCACGTATTTCTGTAAGAACTGTGGTACTAGAACGTAAGTGACGCCAAAATCGACGTAGTAAACAATCAGCAAAGGGATAGCTGCCACTGCAGGGAGGAAAAACTTATGTCTCCAACGCAAGTCAAAGAGGTCATCAGCCACACCCAGCATAACTTGGGACTCGAGGCACAATATCGCACTCAAGTACTCTGACAACTTGTTATGTGGGAAGAAGGACTCCCGTGCGGTCTCTTCCCTTGCCACGTCTCTGTGACCACCACCGGATGTGCCAATAACCATGTAACGGTAGAAAATGAACGGAATAAAGAACATCATCACAAACAGGTACACGACAGCTGCCACTGAACCAATGGTCTCCGGTATCACAGGCTTACCGGGCTTGCTCATATCCTTACCGAACAGACCAATCTTGATAAACGAGTCCCCGACCCGCGGAATAAGCGCATTTGTGCACACGAACCCTATAATTGCAAAAGCCACAGCGGATAGAATGGGGGAGTATTGGCTCGACAGGTACAGCAACCCTAGTGCCGCAACGAACAGCACCTTCTGCGAACCCATATTCTGTTGTGCTTGTGCTTGTGCTAGTGCTTAAGCTTTGTATACAGTTGATCAATCAATTTGAGCAAGAATATGGTATAAGATACAGTTCAACCGCCAGCATACCCTTTGTATAGTGTATACTGCAGTGGACCGCCCAGCACTTGCGAGATGAGACTCCAGGTACGCGAAAACCTGGCCCTCCCTCCCCCGAACCATACAGAAACTTGAAGAAGCCGGGTAAAACTCACAATTATAACAAACAACGAAAGAAATCATATGATGAAACGTACTACAAGATAAAAATCGGAGGCTGCTTTATTAACTCCGAAACCACGAATCATCGAATTTTGAAAAAAAAAAATATTTTTGTTCGACCAAAGAGCAGAGCACTAGTAGAGAGTGTTGGTAGGTATCTGCAATTGCAAAGTTGCAACACTTGTAAGTAACTGCAATTGCACTAAACAAATGAAGAGACGGTAGTTATTAGGTAATGCACGAATGCGTTACTACTAACGCCTAACTCCATTGCTTCCTTGGAAAGTGAGCAAAATTGCTGATCATCGAAAATGCAAGATGATCTGGCTGGAACACATGACATTTTACATAATGCTACATTCTTGGTTAAATAGCCTATATGGGCGTAGATTGCCTCCACGTCGGGCGCAGACACGGGAGGCTTAATTAGAGTTATAACACTGGGTATTACAATTTGCAAAATGGATCCGTTTTGACTGTTACAAGTTACAATGATGCAACAACGATCCCTGCCCCCCCACAATGGCAAACGTAGTATGTTATTTTAAGGGTTCCGATGACTTTGTACATCGACAATTATTTTGTATAAATACGAAGGACCATAGCTTTCTCTTGTACTCTTGTTTCGTTACAATTCATTCATATCAACAAAACACACAAAGATACATAGAACAAAACATATACAATGGCTGCTAAGAGTTTTTACGAGTTGGAATGCAAGGACAAGAAAGGTGAGACTTTCAAGTTCGATACCTTGAAGGGCAAGGTTGTCCTGATTGTCAACGTTGCCTCCAAGTGTGGTTTCACCCCACAATACAAGGATTTGGAGAGCTTGTACCAGAAGCACAAGGACGAGGGCTTGGTCATCCTTGGTTTCCCATGCAACCAGTTCGGTGGCCAAGAACCTGGCTCTCAAGAGGAGATCGGTAACTTCTGCCAATTGAACTACGGTGTCACTTTCCCAATTATGCACAAGATTGAGGTTAACGGTGACAACACTGACCCTGTATATGACTTCTTGAAGTCTCAAAAGAGTGGCCTGCTGGGTCTAAATAGAGTCAAGTGGAACTTTGAGAAATTCTTGGTCGACAAGCACGGTAAGGTTCACCAGAGATACTCTTCTTTGACCAAGCCAATGTCCATCGAAGACGACATTAAGCAATTGCTTGCTCAAAAATAATGACATCGATTCTGATGCTTTACACACCGCGATTTTAAATTCCAAAAAAAATAAATATTGTTTACTATCATAACTTATACCTGTAAAATCATATAAATATGTATCAAAACTGAAATTAACTTTGATAAAATATGACCCACGTCTTTGAATAATGAATGTCCATCAACTAGAATTACAAAAATCCAGAGTTTGGTAAGGACAAAAACTATATTCTTGTTCTACCATACCTGCAAATATATTATACAATTATTTATATCATTTATTAAGCTTCAACTGTTTCTTCTTTTAATTCTTCTTTGACTTCTGCATCATCAGTAGCAATATCGGAAACTGGTTCTTCGCTAGTTATCTTGGCTTCATCGTCGTTTTCAATTTTAGGCATTTTTGTTTCTGAGTCGTTGTCATCTTGCTCTTTATCCTTCTCAAACTCTTCTCTGGCTCTCTTGCCTTGCTTGTCTTCTTCCTCCATTCTTTCTTTTACTTCAGGTGTAAGCTCAATACCTGCGTTGAACTCTTTCTCAATACATCCAAGTAAAGTGTTACCTCTTCTAGCCAGTTCCATAGGCGTCCTACTTCTAAAGTAGAAATCAAGTTCAAATAATGGACAGTCTCTAATCTCATCTCTGATCATTTCATAAACGTTTTCTCTATCGAGACCGTACTTGAACAACATTATCAGTATGTACCTGTCTTCCTCATCTGAAAATGTTCTCTTGTTGTTAGTGGAAGGTGGGTGTTTTAGTTTCAAGTCGAAGAACGGATTCTTATACTGAGACAATTTCCTACGCAAAGCTTCCTGCTGGAGTTTGACACGCTTTACTTTCTCCTCCTCATTTTCAATCATCTTCAGGTACTTTTCATAATCATCAATACGTTCAAGATTGCTCCAAAATGCAGTGGCATATCTGCGAACTTCTTCTTCTGTCTTACCAGGCGCTAGCTCCATTGTGATCGCTTGTATGGAATTACGGCCATACTTACCGCAAGCGGTGATAAACTTTCTAAAGTCAGTCTTAGTCCAATTGGTAAAACCTTCGTTTTCCCATTGTGATTTTAATTGCTCTTCTTCTTCAGTCAAAGGTTCTGCATTGCTTATTGATACTTTCAATAGTTCTAACTTTTGCTTTTTCTCTTCCTCATCCGCTATCTCTCCATAAGTGGCTCTTACATCCTCTAACGTTGGTGTATAATTAGTTCTCTTTGCTGTCCACATTCTTTCTTTTTCGTATATGACCTTTAGTTGTGGAGGTTGCAATTGATGAGAGTAAAAAACCTTAGGTTTTGGCATTCTTGGTTGCAATGGAGTAGAATGCTTACCAGTGTTTAGCACATCCTTATAGTAGCCATCAATAGAGTAATTCTCCTTTCTTTCACGTTTGGTAGGTTCAATCCACAAAGGACTAATGATATCTTTCTGAACCTTCTTTTTGAAATCAGTACCATTCCATTCATATGCAGAATCTTGGTTGAATTTTTGTAAATCATCTAAACCTAGGGATTCATATTTAGCGTTAAGTGATTGAGTCTTACTCTCAGACTGGGCCAATAACTCATCCAAATCAACATCTTCACCTTTATCGTCATCTGGTTGTGGTGTTCCTCTTTCACTAGTTGTATTACTCTTGAATACATCAGCAGCACCATGTTGGATCATAGACAACAAGGCATCCTTAGAGTCATTCTTGTTTTCTTTCTTCTTGTTAGTTGGTCTGTTTTGCTGAATAACTAGCTGGTCTAGCCTTAGTTTTTGAGTAGCACGCTCAAGAATCTTTTCTTCAACAGAGTTATCAGTAACAAATCTAAACACCCTCACCTGCTTCTTTTGACCGATACGGTGAGCTCTATCCATAGCTTGCAAATCAGCTTGTGGATTCCAATCAGAATCAAATAGGACAACAACATCGGCAGTCGTTAAGTTAATACCTAGACCACCTGCACGAGTAGTCAATAAAAACAAGAACTTCTTTGAGTCAGGGGCGTTATATTCATCGATGGCTTCAATTCTATCTTCATGTGCAGTGGAACCATCAATACGGCAGTATTCATATTCTCTGAAATAACAGTAATCTTCAAGGATATCCAAAACACGGGACATTTGACTGAAAATCAGAACACGAGAACCTGCTTCTTTCAACTTACGTAACAACTTATCAAGAACCTTTAGTTTCTCAGAATTATACACCAAGTGCTCGTCAGTTGTATATGGTGGACCAGGTTCAGCACCATCGAAGAGATATGGATGGTTACAACATTTACGCAATTGCATAACAATGTTCAACAATCTAGTCTTTGATTCTTTGCTGCCGCTGTCTGCATTAACGGCATCTATATCCTTCTCCAAAATTTGTCTGTACCACTTCTTCTGCATTGGCGACATACCAACATAAACATTTAGTTCTTTCTTAGGTAGAAGAGATGTTTCAACGTCACTTTTAATACGACGCAACAAGAACGGTTGCAAAACTGTATGTAGTTGCTTGACAATCTTCTCTTGATCCTCCTCGTCAGTCTCCTTCGAGAACCATTCGTCGAAGTCCTGAGAATCAGAGAAAATATCGGGTAGCAGGAAATTTAGAAGTGCCCACAGTTCATGTAAATTATTTTGCAATGGAGTACCGGTTATCAACAAACGATTCTTTGAATGGAATTCCCTCAATACTTGTGACAGCATTGATTCTTCGTTTTTGATTCTGTGCGCTTCATCGATCATGATATACTCCCAGTTCATTTTACGGAACGCTGCCTTCTCTCTGATGATGATTTCATAGGATGCGATCACGACGTCGAAGTCGCAAGCCATAAACTTGTCCTGGATCAGGCGGGCTCTTTCTTCTTTGTCACCTTGTAGAATGAATGCGTTCACCTCTGGTGTCCATTTGTTAATTTCTCTTAGCCAATTGTTCAAAGTGGATTTTGGTGCAATGACTAGAAATGGGCCTGGAATCTTCTTTATGTAACGTAAGTACCCCAAGAATGAGATAGTTTGAAGAGTCTTACCCAGACCCATTTCATCTGCTAGAATACCCGCAATCCTATTCTTGTCCAGGGATACAAGCCAGTTCAAACCTTGAACTTGGTAATCTCTCAGCTGACCATTGATATAAGCTGGCGATTCCCTGAACAGGTACTCTATGTCATCCGCGTCGTCCTCAACATCCTCCTCCTCTTTCAACAGCTCAGCGTCCTCCTCTCTCTCGGTCTTACGCCTTCTGGCATCCTCGTGGCCTCCTTTCTTCTGGCCCTTCTTACCAGGCTTGTCGAGGATGTCCAAGACCTGCTTGAACTTGGGATCCTTCGCAGCTTTACCCTCAATGAAATGCCTAAACAACCCACTCAGCGACAATAAATGCTCAAACCGTTTGGTAGTGGCCTCAACATCGAACTTGGGCTTGCCAGCATCCTTCACCAAGTACCGCTCTTTCTTCGATTCCAAATCAGCGGACGGCATGTCCTCTTGCAAGGGCTTCAACCGCGCCCAGTACTCCGTCAAATCACTCATCGTACCTCTCGCCAATTCCTTGATGCTTATCGAATAGTACTTCCTAGACACACATAACAGCTTTCTCCAATTATATGGCCCGTCAAGACCACTAGTCCCAGAGTTTCCCATCCAACGCCTGGCAAAGTGAAAAATTGTGCGTTTAGGGCTGCCTGATCCCACCCTAGCACGCACAAGGCCACTTCACTCACTTCGCGACGCGTTTCAACACACAAAACCACCAATCTGATGAAAATTAGGGTTTAGGGTTTAGGGTTCTGTCTGTCCAATCGATGGGCTATAAGATTGCGATGAGATGGCCCAGGCTATGACCAGTGGGCGGGGGGAATGTATAGTCGCTGTTGGTGGAGTTACTCCCCAGGTGCAGAGTTAGCTATCTGAAGTGCTATTGGAGATGGAGGCGAAGATATTGAGTGCTGTTAAGACGGAGTTCCCGCCCTGCTGCTTGCAGATATACGACGAGGAGTATATCATAGTTGGTACGTATGAGTTGGACAAGGACACCGGGTACAGGTTTGGTTCTGTCGATGTATTTGACTCTGAATTGAAGCTCTTGCACAGCTATAGGACTTACGGAGCAGTGCTGGACTTGAAGCTGAGTCCCTTTGATGATACGCTGGTCGCAACTGCGCACTCCACTGGTAATGTGGAGTTGTGGAGAATAGTTAGGGATGACGGGGTCTCGCTGGAGCGTGTGTCTAATTTGCAAGTGTTTGATCCCGAGACTCTAATTGCGTCTTTGCACTTCTCCCCATTGAGTCCCGCTACGTTGCTGCTCACCGCTACCACTGGTGAAACCAGCACCATCGATATTGAGTATGGGGACATAGGTTTCTCCACTGATAATGTGTATAAAGCATACCAAAAACAGGAAAAGATCGAAATTAAAGTTCAAGGTGAACCACAGTGGGCGCTGGAATGCGAAAGTCAGGTATTCGATGAGCAACACAGCCTGCAGTGCTGGACTGCCGAGTTTGGCAAAATCCATCCGTTGGAGAACGTGGTCTTCACCGGTGGTGACGATGCCACTATCATGGCCCATGATCTAAGATCAAAGGAATTGATCTGGTCCAACAGTAGGATACATGACGCAGGCGTGGTGGCCATCAAGACTAGCTCTCCGACTTTCAGATATGACCAGCCCACCTCACTTATCACAGGTGCGTACGATGACCACATTAGAACTTTTGATCTGCGTATGCTCGAAGATGACATATACCCTGGTCGCAACATCCCGGTGCAAAACACCCGTCAGTTGAACCTTGGTGGTGGGGTATGGAGATTTAGCGAAAAGCCTAGAGAGGACAACTTACCAACAAATGAACAGCTTGTTTGCTGCATGTACGATGGTGCAAAGATTGTCAAGATTGATGACTCTACTGAAGATTATTTCTCGGTGACTAACTATTTGAAGAAAGGCCACGAATCGATGTGTTACGGTGGTCAATGGGGCAAGAAATTTATTGCTACTTGCTCCTTTTATGATAAATCATTGCAGACATGGGTAAAAGACACCAATTGATGACTATATTCTTGGAGAGTTTCAAATCTCTATTAATGATGACTATCTAATGTACAAATACTTTCTATTAGTTTTTTGATTTAAATATGACTATGTATGAGCGCCTAAATATTGCTGATTTTTAACGCACGTCAACCATGATATCATCTTTAGGAGGTTGTTCTGAGTCAAATTCTCTACTAGAGCCAGCTAGAAGTTCACGTCTAATTTCTGGACCTATGTCTCTATGCCCTCTTTGACGCACAGTCTCTATCAAGAAGTCTCTTTGGTCTTGTGTTATATCGTTCTTGTATCTTTGAGCAAATACAAGGAATGCCTTGTGCCATATCACTGGTAGAGTTCTGGTTGCATCGTCACCATTACTACCGTCATCCAAAATTCTAAATCTCATGAAGTAGTAAACACAGTCATCGACAGTTTGGTATGGCAAGGCATATTTCTTGTCTAATAATATCTTGATGAATACAGTGGTAGCTGGAGTGAATGGCAGTCTTAGTAAATAACTTAAAGCTGCTGAAGAGTGTAATACAGGAACAGACACCTTAGCCAACACACTACCGGCAATAGTTGCCTCACGTATATTACAACCAGATTCAACTAGAGGAAATAAGAAACCTTTGAAGAATGCACTTGGTTTGTATAACGATTTCTTGATAGCACGGTAAATGTGGTAGTTTAATGAATGGTCTGGGGTAGTTTCGATATTCTCTCTGAATCGGTCGAGCAACACCATGTTAATGAATTTTTGAGCTTCCTTGGCTTGCAAGTTAGAGACAAACAGCTTTGTAGCCTCATAGACAATGTGTGGTGACCATTCTTCAGGATTGGTAACATACAAGACATCCTGCCAGTTCTTTAGAGAAGGAATAACCTTGAATAACTTTGGAAGTTTACCATGTGTCCAAGTTTTCAAGATTGAACCGACGGTGGTGTATGCTCTGATAACCTTCTCTGGTAGTTCAACACCTTCTTGTACCCTAGGAGCAGGCTCTGCGAATCCGCCTTCATTATCATCTTCATCCATGCCTTTGTTCGACAATTCCATTTCTTTCTCTCTGATGGATGCCATGATCTTATCAGCCAGGTTGTAACTACCATTTACAGAGTTAAAATCATCAGCTTTCTTGAAATATTGTTCAAACATTGCTGCATCTTCCTCGTCTATTTCAACAACCTCTTCTTCTTCAACATATTCACCTTCTTCAGGCTCAAAATCAGATATATTCTCTCCAAAGTCTTCCTCTTCCTCTTCCTCCTCTTCATCGTCATTATCATATGTGATAACTTTGAATCTAGCATTTTGGAACTTAGCGTCCTGACTTTCCTTTTCATTCTCTTCTTCAATTTCTTCTTGTTGGGCCTTGGCTAATTGAAGAATCTTTCTAGAGGCCTTGTCGTCAATAAATTCCTCGCCATTGGTATTATCATCTCCTTCATCTTTCCTAACCTTCTTTAGCCTACCTTCAGCTTCTTTCAGATCTTTCACAAGAGGATCATGTCTCTGTTTCTTAGCTCTTGAAGTTGTTACTTTACCCATGATTTTTTGTACTCTTTCCTGGTATTCACCCAAATAACAGAATATCTAACTATATTCCTGTTCCAAAGTTTAAACCAGCAAAATTGAGGTTATATATCTCTATTTATCGTTGATTTATGCTATAACACTAGTAGCTCATCGCATAATTTTTCAAATTTTTTTTTTTCAAAAATTTTCAAGTCGATGCTCATCGCCTTTTTCATCACAAAGAGCCACTATTTTATCCGTAGCATATAAAGGAATAACAAACTGTAAATACTTATAAAATATTTATTGTAATGGAGCTATGTTAAATATTAGTTACAACCAATAACGATATAAATGGGTATTATATAATTAAATATTTTCCTCTTCTTTATATGATACTTGAAAAATTAGTGTATTTATTTTTTGGGGCCTTTTACTACTGCTTTCACTTGCAGAGAACAAAATACTTCACCACATTCATCAACCACACACCGGCAACTGTACCTGCAGCTGATAGGGCAAAGACGCATAATGGTTCAAACCCACCCATGCATGTGTCAACTGTACTATTGAGTAATGCTAGGACAATCATGCCGTCTGTTAGGAGTGCGATGAGTTTTGGTGCGCTACTCTCTACCGCCAAAGGTGGTGGGCACTCTGGGAAATCGTCTGCCATAGCCTTAACAACGTCCTGATTCTTGTTAAAAATCTGTGAAGAAGTAGCAATCAACCAATCTCTATTTCTTGTTAGAATACCCTGCATCTCTGCAATGGTATGCATTGGCATTCTGTCTTTTGTGTCCAGTGCGTACTTCAAAGTATTCTTGATACGGAATAATCTATCCTCCATGTAATCAATGGTAACTTCATCCTTTTCAGTGAGCCTCAAACGAAACAATGTAGCTATAGCTTTAGTTGCCAATTCATTCTGTGGGTACTGAAAGGAAGAGTAAAGGGTGGAGAATAGCTCGTTGATTTCGTAAATATCCTCATAAAATGTAGTAATTTTTGAAGAGTCACTTCCATTGAGTTTCAAAGTCTCAGTATTTTTTTCTAACCTATCAATAATAATACCAATGGCTTTATTCTTTGGCTCATTGGTAATGGCGGAAATAAAAGAGGCCAAGTAAACCAAAACAATAAGAATATTTCTAAAGTGCATTTTATAGTTATAAAGCAGCAGTGAACAGATGTTAGTTTTTTGGTGTCTATGATTAAATACTCAAATAATACAAATAGTTTAATAATGGAGAGAATGGGAAGAAAGTGAAAAGTTTTGTTACATATTTCATATTTTGTTGGCCTTATATACCTTTTTTTTTTTTAAATCCTCATCCACAACCCAACATTTTATTTATTAGTGTTTCCAATTTTAATAGCAATCAGAATTCAATGTATTCACTTAAATTTTGTAGCTGTAGAGTTATGACACTCCCTTATTTGTTTATCTAATAATATATGTCTTTTGCTTATTATTTCACTTGCTAAACCGCTGATATCAAAGCTTTTCGAAAACCTCGGAGTTTTAGGGAAAATAAAGAAAACCAGTACTTCAACGAAGGAAACTCAAAAATAGCAACACTATATTACTGTGATAATAAATGAACATTAAACATCATACGGAGTTGGCCACTTCACTATAAAATATAGACAATCACTGTTAATTTTATATGATATCATGCAAAAGATTGAAACCTGTTAAAATGTAAATGGCTTTCTTCTATATCTATTTAACCTAGTTTTAGTTTTTATCTACTCTAACTTTCAACCCTTTTTTCAATAAGTATTCCTTTACATCATTTACAGTGTATTCTTCTCTGTGGAACATACCTGCACCCAGACAAGCATCTGCAGCAGATTGCTTGAAACCTTCTTCAAAATGTGCAGGGTTTCCCGCACCCGAAGACGCAATAACGGGAATTTTCACAGCTTCCTTAGCATGGTTGATGAGTTCAAGATCATAGCCTGAGTTAGAACCATCTTTATCAATACAATTTAGAAGAATTTCACCAGCACCCAATGCTTCACACGCTCTAGCTAGTTCCCAAACACCAATATCTCTACTCTCTCTACCACCTTTAATTGTGCATTGGTACCAGCATACATCTTGTCCCTTCTCATTAGGGAATTTTGTTTTTATTGTTTTGTTTTTAGTTTCACTTGGATCGTTAACATAAACTCTCTTGGGATCAACAGAAATTACAACTGCTTGAGCACCGTAAGCTTTTGAGATAGTTTCAATTGGCGATGTACCATCCCCTTTTCCTTCATTCGCATAGTATTTCTCTGCAGCATAAACAGAATCGGTCCCGATAGAGACTTTATCAGCACCTGATCTGAAGTACAGACTTGCTACTTCAAGAGCGCTAACATGGGTTCCATCCGGATCGACGATATCCTTGATACCACCACCAACGGTTAATGGGACAAAAACCTTTTTCGCAGTCTGTCTCAACACTTCAAGCATTGGGGTATCTTTCACCGGACTGTCTCTGAATGATGTAATATTTAAAAATGTCACTTCATCGGCACCTTGTTCATAATATTTTTGAGCCAATTGAACTGGCTTACCAAGATTTCTTACGTCGTTGTCACCACTTTTCTCTCTGACATCATATTGGTCTCCCTTTGTAACAACGAGATCTCCTTGATCATTAGTACGTACGTCCAAACACGCTATAATTCTTCTCGTTAATCCATAGTTTGAGTAATCATTGCCAAGCAAGGACTTTTCATCCTCTGAGTAAGCTGGTAACCCTGGATGTGCCTGTTTTAGAAAGTTTTCAATTATATGCAAACCTGCCAAACCTGATTTCTCAGGGTGGAACTGAGTAGCAAATATATTGTCCTTGTAAACTGCAGCAATAAATTCCTCAGAACCATATTTAGCCTTCGCAATCCTCCAGCCGTCAGCTTTCAAGCTTGATTCTGTTGCTGCATCTAGTATACCAGCATATGAGTGAACGAAATAATATCTCTTGTAAGGATCTAAGCCAAAGAACAAGTCCTTTTCTGGGATGACGCTGTTCCAGCCAATTTCAGGAACTGGCTTTTCATCATCATTGAAGCGAGATAGTCTATGGTTCACATAGCCAAACCCGCCGCTGGAGGGACTTTCGGTAGAGCTATTAAACAAAACTTGTAGACCAACACAAATACCCATGATCGGTTTGCCAGAAGCTATGTATTCCCTGATGGGCTTCTCAAACCCTCTGGATAATATATTCTCATACACATGCCCATAGTTACCAACACCTGGCAGTATCAACTTTTCTGCTTTCAGCAGTTCAGGATCTTGGGAGTCCTTGATCAATTGGACTCTAAACCCTAGATATTCAATTGCATTGGTCAGAGACTGCAAGTTACCACTCTCAACATCAATAACATGTACCGTAGACATTGTACACCAAAAGCTCTATCGCACCTTTATATTTAAGGGAACCCAAATATTCTTTAACGTCTAGTATTCGACCAGTGCCTCGACTAGTTGGTAATTGCTACAGAGGAAAGAACTGCCAACATCAAAACGATGCATTTATATGTGTTGCTCAGGGAATATGTGAGCTTGCCAGTCCAGTTAGTATTTGCTAATGCTGTTCGTGACTTCTCTGGTGAATTACCGTTATTACGAATGACTCACTATTTGCTTTACCCGGCACCCACACTGTGTAACACTCATAACGTTCAGAGTTTGACGATATAGCAATAGTGTGAAAGATGTCGAGGCAATATATTATTATATTACATGCTGCTTAGTTTCATTGTAGTTAGTTTGAAAGTTGAGTATTTATGCGATTATTAAATATTTATCAGTTAGATGTGGTGGGAGGTGAAACCCTCACAAATAACTAGTGTGCGAATACCTGGGCGTTGGCAGCCGTGGTATTTTGAAGTTTGTTTAATACAGTAGTCGTCATCAAATAAAAATTAAATAGTAGAAAAAAACTTGAAATGAAGTGTGAGTGAGGTCAAAAAAATATTTGTAGGGTCATTTTTTTTGTTCAAGTTGAGAGATTTATTTGTAGTGTTCTCTTCTTTGTCTGACGGCGGCAGCCAACTTTCTCAAGACGTCTTCGGTGGTTTCCCAGGAGATACAGGCATCCGTGATGGAGACACCGTACTTTAGGCCGGCCTTACCTTCTGGTGGGATGCACTGGTTGCCCTCGTTGATGTTGGACTCGATCATGACACCGACGATGGCCTTTTCACCGTTGGCGATTTGCTCGCAGACGGCGTCGTTGACCTTTGGCTGGTTTCTGAAGTCCTTGTTGGAGTTACCGTGGGAGTAGTCGATCATCAGGCCGTTTGCGCCCTCCGGTAGCTGTTTCTTGGCCTCGGCGACGGACTTGGCGTCGTAGTTGGTACCTTTCTTACCACCTCTCAGGATGACGAAGCAGTGCTCGTTACCCTTGGTGGTGGTGATGGCGGCGACACCATGCTTGGTGACACCCATGAAGTGGTGGGAGTGGGATGCGGCCTGGCAGGCGTCTACGGCGACGCCCAAGGTACCGTCGGTCCCGTTCTTGAAGCCGATAGGGAAGGACAGACCTGATGCCAGTTCTCTGTGCAGTTGGGACTCGGTGGTTCTTGCGCCGATGGCACCGAAGGAGAGCAGGTCTGCGAGGTACTGTGGGGAGATGGTATCCAGCATCTCAGAGCCGATAGGGACACCGGTGTTGGTCAAGTTCACGAACAGCTGTCTGGCGCTCTGCAGGCCCTTGTTGATGTTGAAGGTGTTGTTGACGTCAGGGTCGTTGATCAACCCTTTCCAGCCGACCGTGGTTCTTGGTTTCTCCAGGTACGCTCTCATCACGATGCACAGGTCCTTCTGCAGCTCGTCGGACAGCTTCTTCAGCCTCTGCGCGTACTCCTGCGCGGCGTCGAGGTCGTGAACCGAGCAAGGTCCGACGATCACGAGCACACGGTCGTCACGGCCGGTGATGATCTCGATGGACTCTTTCCTCCCGCGCCTAGCGGTCTGGATAGACACCTCTGTGGCTGGCACTTGCACCTGCAGCAGCGCAGGCGACACCAGCGGGTCGTAGCCCAGGATTCTCACGTCTTCGTTAGCATTCGCATCAGACATTGTTATTGTGGTTGTGGTTGTGGTTGTGCTTGTAGTAGTAATTGCAATTGTACTTGCAATTGTACTTGCACTTGCACTTATACCTGTGCTTATGTATAAAATTTTTCAGATCAAGGGTCCACAGCTGAAAAATTTTATTGCACCACCAGCAGACAACGCAGAGAGTTGCAGAGAGCAGTGATGAGTCACATCTAACGCTGGACGTGCATGTCACGGTGAGGTAAGTGTGTACGGCCCACAAGCCGGTTTCGGCCCCCCCACGAGGTACCCGCAGTGGTGTCTGTGCAGTGGTGTGTCTGCAGTTGTGTCTGTGCAGTGGTGTCTGTAACTGTGCCCCTCCCAACTGGTAAATCACTCTCGCCGTGTGGTGGTGTAGTATGTGGTGAGTGTACTGCAGTGTGTACTGTAGTGTAGTGCAATGTGGTAATGCAGAGTATCACAGAGTAAAGTGTGTGGTGTGCAAGTCCTGCAGTGCAAGTCCTGCAGTGCAAGTGTGTATTGCACCTCTACACCACAGCATTTTTATTTTGCCTTTCTCCGACATCCAGTGCTCTGCTTTGCTGTGTGCTTCGCTGCTCTGTGCTTCGCTGCTCTGTGCTTCGCTCTGCTCTGGGGGTTGTCACAATTCCCAGAGCTGTGACTCCGCCGGGCCCACGGAACCGTCTGTGGTGGGCCCACGTCCCAGCCGGCTCAAGAGACACATTTCCACATCCCACTCACCCAATATATAAGAGCAGTTGTAATTGTAATTGAAGTTGTTGTAATTCAAGTTGAACCAGAACTCAGCAACACAAGCATGGGCGAGAACGTCAGGTTACCGTCTATTAGGTCGTTGCTCAACGACGACGCGCCATACCCCCGTAGCAATGCAATGGATATAAGTAACATTACTAGTGGAAATACTAATACTAGTACAACTACAACTAATACTACTGGCACTAGTGCCAGTAGTATTAGTACTACAAGTACTACAAGTACTACAAGTACCACGACCACACCCCCAATAAATATGATGAAGAAAAGCAAGAGAAGGTCGAACTTGCCCAAGGATACCATACAGATACTCAACCAGTGGCTCCTGGACCACATCCACAACCCGTACCCGACGCAGCAGGAGAAACGAGACCTGCTGATCAAGACGGGGCTCACGAAAATCCAGCTCTCAAACTGGTTCATAAACGTCAGAAGACGCAAGATCTTCAACGACTACTACGCACTGACTAGCAACCTGCCCCCAGAGCTGTTGCAATCCATGTCCTCCCAGAACACCCCGCCAACTCCGACCACCACAACACACACCCCGCCTGTCCAGGACGACGGAAACCCGCCAGTAACCATCATGTCCGAGGACGAATTCTCAAAGCGGTTCGTACAGGCACCGCTGACCAGGAGAAAGAAACTGATCGACAGACTGGAAGAGTTGAAGAAATTGACTAACATGGCCAACAACAACAACAACTGACCGCGCATATAACAGAACAACAACAATAACCGAACTGCGCCAATTACAATCACACACAGTGAACCCCTGCATACTTTGCTAGTTTCCCTCATAACTACCAACTTCAACCAATAAATTATTACTAATGACATTTATGATCCAATGCAAAACCAAAATCAACTGCTACATCAACTGCTTGTGCATCAAAGTTGTGCATCAAAGTTGTGCTCGATTTTATTTTCCTAAAAAGACATTTTAAAACTATTCTAATGCAAGTCATTAACATAAAAACTATACAAGATTCACTGGAATGATCACCATACCCTTTTGCATATCCCACTTACTTCCACACCATTTCGTTTATTCCTTCATGCTTATTTTTTTATTCCACCACAATCCGATTATACTAACATTATCTTATGGCTTTATAATTTATTCCCACTCTTCTACAATCCATTCTTTTATTTCCATTTATCCACTTTTTGGGACCGTTTATTTTTTTATTGTTTATTATCCTTCCCTTACACTCTCTTAATTGAACACTATACCAACACTTATATCTGTTCAAAACTTTTATCTATATGTGTAACATGTCTACCATTTCTATATTTTATCATATATTATCTGTTTCTGTCTATTCGTTCAGCACATGAATAAGTCACTCGCATCCCGCACTACATATTTATTTTACTCCAAACAAAAGAAAGTTGCTATAATTATTACTTATATATCTATTTACTTCACTCCGGTACATAGTTATCCTCTTCGTCCTCTTCCATACCTTGTTCCTGTGGTGGATACTGAGGCTCAAAGGAGTGCACTTCACCGAAATTGCTAGTGATCTGGTGAGGCATGCTTGGCACTTCGTTCTGCGGTTGGAATTGCACTGGGTGACGCTCGTAGTCGTTGTGCTGGTTGAACCGCTGGCCGTGGAACCCTCTGCCGGCACCCGACGTGGTCCCTACACGATCGGCAAACGGAACACCGTAGCCACCTCTGGAGGCATCAAACTCGAATCTCAACTCGTCACTCACTTGACCACCACTCTTACCTCTACCAAACTGTCTGCCGTCCTCGAACCCGGGATCCAAGTCAATAGTTATGCTCTTGTCGTCCAGCTTCGTGTCCCCGAGATACTTCACCGCATTCAACGCTTCCTGCGGCGTGTTATATATGATGAAGCAGAACCCACACGGAGTGAACTTGAACCTGTCCAGCCCCATAATAATCCGCTTTATAAACCCACACTTGCTGAACAGCTCATATATCTGCTCCTCAGAAGTGTAGAATGATAGATTACCAACATAAATGGTCGACGACTTTAGAGACTGCCTTAGATCGTTCAACCCATTGGGGTTCCTGCGCGCTTTCCTCAGCAAATACTTCGATGGCGAGTCCAGCCTCTTCACCGAGTGGTCATACTTGATCTCATCAAACTCCGCTAACGACATCCTGCTGCTTTACCAATGCGTGTTCACTTAATGCTGTAGTAAACTGGCAATCACTACAACTGTTGTCACCAACTATTGCTTGAAATATCCTTTGATGCATTGCTGCCCGCTGAGTTTCTTCAAAAAGTCACAAAATTCTTAACCGTCCATGGTGATGCCATTTTCCATTAGTATAAGCTCTTTCAATGAAGGGCCAAAACGTTTATGAAAATAGGTGGCGTACTCTTGTCGCATACGTGTCGATTAATATACTTTATGTTATTTTCTTGAACATTTTGAAACAATATATCATATGTGTATACATAAACAGGTTATGAGAAAATTTTGAATAAGAGAAATAAAAATAATGTGAAGGGAATTTAATTGGAAAAATGAGCTATGCAAAATAAAAGTAGCTTCCGAAAAAGTATAGAGTAAAAGAGAAATATTGTCGACATACAAAAAAAGTGAAAAGTAAATGGTATTTCGACTTGAAAATAGCATGAAAAGAAAATATAATCTTTAGTAAAATAAAAAAAATGAAAGGATAATAATGAAACTCTGAAATGGATATCAAAAGAGAAAATAAAATCGTAATGAAATTGTTAAAAAAGTAAGAGTAAAACGCTTAAAAAAATTGAAAATTGAATTTTTACTCATGATGAAAAAAGAATTGAATTTCTTGACGTAAAAATAGAGTAAATGGCGTTAACATAGGTGCCTTTTTTACACATTGCATAACATTCGTTGAAATATCGTTTCTCTCAAAGAATCGGAATACGTTCAATGAAATAGCAAGAATGTGTCTAGGAACACTTTAGTAAACAACCCAACTTCAACCAGACAGAAACGCTCATCTTTTTATCTATGCCTATCATCCTCATATGCTTTCATCGCCTTGTCTTTCTAGTCTTCTTGTTCTTTAGTGAATGTGGCTTCAAAAGCTCGAAGCTACACATCAGACCTGTTGTGACACTCATGACAGCTCCCCAGTTTTGGAACTCACCACAGTAGTTAGGTGCGGAGAAAACAGTTACCAGTTTCTTCTTGGCAAAGAACTCGTAGCCGTCCTCTACAACCATGTGTCCACGGATGATCAAATCAAACTTGAACCTCGAACAGATATCGTAGACATTACGTTTAGAGAATGTGTAAGAGACACCTCGATCGTTTAGGGACCAGTCCTGAATCTGTGGATCGGGGTCACTCCATAACAAGTCTGTCAGGAGCCCTTGGTCTGGGATATCTGTTGGTCTCATAATCTGGTTGATCTGGTTCAATTCCTTAAGCTCGGGCGATACACCACCATGGACACAGAAGATCCTGTCCTGAATGGTAGCTGCGATGGGCAAAGTGTTGAACACATCCACGAAGAATCTCCAGGACTTGGAGCCCATACGTCTCTTACATTCGTCGTAAAACCCGTAAATCTTTGTAACGTTTGCGGACTCGTGGTTACCTCTAAGCATGAAGAAGTTGTTTCTGTACTTCAACTTATAACAAAGCAACAGGAGGATGGTTTCAAGGGATTGTTTACCACGATCGACGTAGTCACCTAGGAACAAGTAATTGGTGTCAGGTGGTGCACCACTCAGCTTCAAGATTCTCAGCAGGTCGTTGAATTGACCGTGCACGTCGCCGACCACCTTGATTGGTGCTTGCAACCGCAAAAGACTGGGTTCTTCCAGGAAGATCTCTCGAGCGTGCGAGCAGATCAATTGGATCTCCCATGATCTGAAGGGGAAGTCTCGCTTGGACTTTGTGGTGGTCGGTGCGGTGCCGTTGGGCTGGGTACCCATCTTGAGCAACTTCTCGATAACGAGGTCTACGTCCAGGATATCGGAGGAGGAGTTGTCGCTAGGGTAGCGCTTCAAGAGCAGGTGAGGTGGAGGTGTGTTCAGCAAAGTGCTTCTGGTGGCGGGGTTCTCTGTGGCCAGGCTGGAGGACAGTCTAGACTTGGAGACAGTTTTCGCGTAGTGGGTGGTGCCTGTTGCGGTGGTCTGGGAGACGTTGTAGCTGGCACTGGTGTGCTTACGCATCAAGGACGACATGGACAGCACACCGCAAGGCGCGCTGGAGGGTTTCAAGTACTGCGGAGTGGCGCCGGTGGACGGTTGCACATTGGCAGTGGTCACTGAGCTCGAGGGCGACAAGTAAGACAGCGGGGACGACGAAGAGAAAGACGGCGTGGACGAGGACGAGGACGAGGAGGACGAGGAGAAAGAGCTGTTGCTGTTCTGGGCGGGCCTTCCAGAGGTTCTCGGGAACGGAGTTGCTGCGAAGGCTCTAGCGACCGAGATATCGATGTCTAGTTTCGCAGCCTTGTCCGCATCTTTGTCATAGTACGTGGCTGTGGTTCTAGTTGTTCTGGTGGTTCTAGTGGTACTAGTGGTACTAGTTGTGCTATTTCTGATGGATATATTCGGAGGCAGTTTGCTACTATCATCGGGATCGACGGGCTCTGCAGTTTCATCTGATTGTGATTGTTCACCATTGATTGTGTTTGCATCTGCTCCGAGTTTCGGTACTTCGAAGTTCTGGTTGTGATTGTTGTTGGACGGGCTTCTCTTTCTTCTTCCCATAAGTTATATAAGTTTCTGTTGTGAGAGTATGAGCGTGAGCGTGTATATGAAGTGTGAAGTTTGAAGTTTGGAGTATGTATTCGTTTCTGGATGTCTTAGAAGTGTTACTCCTATTGTATATAAAATCGGGATGTGTTCTACATATAGATTATGCAATGAGAGGATACGTCTACGAGGGAAAGTGAAGTTCGAGTTTCGTAGAGGAAAAAAGCCAGAAAAGCTGGATTCTCCGTACTGTGAGAGAGAAGAAGAGAGATATAACTGCAGACGAGACACCTCTCAAAGCTCTGCAAAAGTCATGTACTTCCGAACGGCCAATTGTATATTATACCATGTGATATACACGTATAGAGGTATAACAAATTTTATTTCCATTCGTCCGGTATCGTGTAGTACGTTTACATCACATGAATGACGTATATGTGTATTTAAAATGTGACTACTGATACCCGTAACATACGATAATTGTAGGCCTCTCTCTCTCTTACTTTCTGTCTTTCTGTCTTTCACAGGCAAACTGGAAAAAAATATAGTTGCTATATAAGACAATAGGTTCTGACATAGTACCCAGACTATTCGATACAACAAGTGCCAAAAACCCCGCTATACTGACCAGTAACAAAGACAATGCGAAGGGAGATTGTGGAAGAAGAGGTTGAGGACGAAGGAGAGACGCGGTGTATCTGTGGGGAGCTGGAACCGCCTGACGATTCGGGGTTCTTCATCCAGTGTGAGACCTGTAACGTGTGGCAGCACGGTGTGTGTGTTGGCATCTCGAACTCTAATGGCGACAAGCCGCCAGACAAGTACTGGTGTGAGCAGTGCAGGCCGGAGCTGCACCGGCTGTACTACACAAACGACACAGGGGAGCTGAGGAGCGCTTACAAGCTCGTGCAACCGACCAAGCGCAAGAACCGGAGACATCCTTCGGGGAGCAGGGCTCGCAGGAACAACAAGCGGGACTCTACGGAGTACGACACTTCCACGGATAACTTGGCAGAGGAAGAGTCCAAGCTGGACCCCGAGGAGGACTCCGAGTCTACAGCAGCATCTGCCACCTCTAACACTGGAACTGGCCAACGGAAGAGGAGAAAGACCAGCAACACAAGCGACACTACAGATGATCTGAAGAACAACGGAGCGATAGAGGAAGAGGATACCCTGCAGGCAGGATCACCAGCTAACGAAACTGAAGACACTACAAACCAGGATCACCCACAAGCCCAGGACGACGACGACCAATCCCGTGAAACTCAGCAGGAAGAAAATGACGCTGTTAAGCAGGAGCCTGACCTCGGCGATGAAGAAGATGAAACGGGCCTCACAAACGACACAACGATCAACGAAACTGCAGATGATTCGACTACCACTATCGCTGCTGAAGCAACTACAGAAGCTGTCAAAGAAGAAGCCGAGGCTGAAACTAACGCTGATGATACCACAGATGACCATGTAACCAATGCCACGAAAGCAGAAACCGATAATAACGAAGGAGCAGATGTATCTAAGATAATATCAGATAGGAAACGTGCCACACTCGTGGCAAGAGAAGAGAAACACTATCAATGGATGTTGGAGAAAGCACTACAGGAAAGCAGAAAGACCTCAAACCAGGAAGAAGGGAACAAACAGGAATCGAGGCCCGTACCAACATCAAAGGAAAACTCTCCAACACCTGACTCTAACACTTCCAGATCGTCTTCAAGAAATAAAGACGAAGCTGCAAAGGAACTATCAAACGAAAAGGAAACACAAGACAAAGTTTCGGATGACTTACAACCCAATGAAACTAACACCGTGTCTTCTGAGGATGACAACAAGGCTAAAAATCTAAGGAGGTCTCAAAGGAGTGGGAACACACCCAGGAACTCTGGCAAAGGTAGAAACTCCAGAAAACAGAATAGCAAGGCTTCATCTGCTAATGGGAGTGATAATGATAAAAACAAAACCGCAGATATTGGCATCAACAAACCTGTTAAACCACGTTTACCGCCACCAAGGACCACATTAAACGAGATGAGAAGACGTGTAACAGCAATCATGGAGTTTCTATCCAGAACTCAATGGGAACTGGAGGCAGAGATTAGAAACAAAGAAGACCTGACAAAGTTTGTAGAGAACGAGCAATTTGTTAAAGAAACTGAGGTGATCTTTGACAATACCAACAAAAACTTGAGTTTAATGAATGACTTAACCAAAAAACTAATCAATTGGGAAACAAAGTATTCAGTAAACGAAGCATTAGAGTAATACAGACACACATCAATACTTTTTCTAGTTCAATTTAGATACATTTTCTCTTCACTTGACGATAATGATCTCAACCCTGCATATATAGTTAGAATGGATAACAAAAACTATACTTTATAGCATTTGTAAATACACAAACAACAGACCATCATGATTTGCAACAACAACCTTACCACATATATGCTTCATCTTAACTATATGCTATTTGACATTATTTTGGCCATATTTTGTCAACTTCGGAAGCTGCAATAAAATTTCAAGAAAAGAGCGCAACTTTGACTAGCTAGAAGTGTACAACATTTGATCAACATTTATACAGGACCCTTTCTAAGACAGACAGGAATCAATAACTTAGCAAAAGCTTTTATTCTATTGTTATATACATAATTGCCATTGGATTTATAATATTTCATTGAATTGAACAAACTTTGATTTGCAGGGAACAAGCATCGCATAGGATTTGTAGCATATAATCCAGTATCAATACCAATGGGAAGCAAAAATAAGCCATGCAAAGGTGAATATGATATGCCTAATTTAACATCCCCTACACAAGTTCATGGGAAGTCTCATATGAGACAATTTAGTACTAAATCAAAGGCTAAAGGATCCGCCAGTTTTAAGGGCCTACGAAGAGTCTTAACACATGATGGTACATTTGAAGGTGATGGTCTACTCAATAGGCATGGTTCATTCAAGAAGAGTAAAAGCTCTGACGCTTTATATCGAAGACGTGCGATAAGTGGACTTAATATGACTGCACTTGTTGGTGAGAAGCCAACAAACCGGGTATCCCGAAGCCAAGGAAATTCGAGACTAAGCAGTCCAATACAAAGCCTCTCAAAAAGTCACAGTAGCAGTAATGTTGCCCATTCTTTGGCAAGTGCCATTGGTGGTAGCGGACTCAGACCACGTAGAACAAGAAGCACACACTCAGTTTTAACATTACGACAAGGACAGGAGTTCTATGATAATGAATCAACTACGGATGAAGAAGTGGAGCATTTTACTGACGAGGAAGCACAAAACTCGGACAGCAGTGATAATATTCATCATACAAGGCCGAAAAGCTCCAGGATGTTCAGTGATGATAGAGTTAGAGATCAGCAACTTTCCGTAATTCAGTCAAGTCCTGAAGATATAATTACTCTTAATGGGAATCCTAATCAGGGTAAAGGGGATTCATATTCAACTTTACGTGCACATAACTCAATTGACCATTCAAAAAACACAAATAAAGATTTTGATGGAAATAGCTCAGATGATAAGATTGAAGCTATGCTTGATGATGTACATTTATCGAAAGCTTCGAATAAAAGTATTGATCACTTAAATGTAAAGGACGATCACGAAGATCATATAGGAGAGGTGGATCCAAATTCATTATCATTTGATTCACACTCATTAGTACGACAGGAACGTAAACCTAGAACTTTAGCTAAAGTAACTGAAGGCGAAGAATCAATAGCCGACGACATGAATAAAAATAGATCCCCGATTGAAGAGTTTACGAAAAAAGATAGAGAATATCAATCGAAAAGTGATGAACCTTATATTCCAGATATGATTTTATCACAATCTACAGGTGTTGAGCGTAAATTCGAGAATCCTTCTTCTATCCAAAATTCGCTGGCGAAAGAGATACAGAATACTAAATATCTTGAAGACTCTGATAATACCACTGATGCACCCTCTAAACCCATAAAAAATATCTCAGGCTTTGATAAGGATGAAATAGAAAATGCGAGGCTGAATGATACTAAACATAGTATGCTAAATCAACAAGTCAATGCTAAATCTGAACTGACAAACAATCTTCAGAAAGTCAATCCAGATAATAATCCTCCCAGGAGCTCTTTGACAAATACAATTTTTCAAAAGAGTAGAAATCAATATGCATCAAGGACAGATACTACAGAAAAAGGACCTACATCATTATTAAAAACAGACAGAGACAGCAACTCCACAACCAAAATTAATAACTTTTCACAATTTTTAAAGTCCGAAAACATAGATGGTAATTCCCGTACTCAACGGAAAATGCTCCTTCAAAGAGAGAGTTCCATATTAGATCTTAATTCTCAAACAGATAGTGCTGAGGCTATTTTTATGACTGGTCATATCGAACAGAAGCGGGAATACGAAAAAATTACTCACGAATATACCACTTTGAGGAGATATACCAATCCATTAGATAAATCGCTTCTAAGACTAAAAAATAGCAAAAATTCTGGAAAGACAAATTCAACTTACGGAAATAGTGGTCTGGAAGGCTCTTCTATTAGTACATATAGTAACCAGGTGAAAGAATTAGACGATTTCCTGCCCAAGGCTCAGCAATCAAAACTAAACTCAATTTTGGCATCAATATGGAGATCTGAAAGCCAATCATTCAATAAGGACGTCAATCCACTAAACAGAAACAAGTCGTCTATGGAGGAACAAAGCAACCATTATTCGTCCTTAAAAAACTCATTGAAGAGCAACATACCAGGTTCTGGAACAGGGTTGCACCAACAGAGAGTACCAAAAATGCAGCCTACAACAAGAGCCGTACACAGAAGGATGGAGAATAGCAATACCAACTTGGCAGCTCACTTTAGATAACTATTGTCCAAATATTCTACGCATGTTAATATCAATAAATAGAGAGAGAAGTTCCTACTATGATGTGCATGAGTTGTCATTCAGTAATTTATTAAATAGCTAATGTTTAATAAGAAAATCGAATAAATTCTTACTTCTACTGTTAAGATCAATATGAACTGGAGTAAAGTTTAAGCTTCAAAATATCGTTTGTTCCTCATCTCCATTTTAATATAATATTTCTCACATAGTTTGTACTTTATTTCTACTCAGTGGCACCATTATATTAATTTTTGAAAATGACGTGAAAAAAAAAAAAAGTGAAAAATCAATGGCCGATGCGATGAGCTCGAATTGGGCGTTTTAACTAACAATTCAAATAATTGAACAATAATAATAATAACATTTTGTAAGTTTGAATTTTCACTCATATAATCAAGCAACAATATTCTCAAAGATGGATGAGTATACACATATTGGTCCGGCTCTTTGTGTTAAATTCCATAAGGATAGTCTTTTGACCTGTTATGGCCCATATTTACAAGAATATGATTACAAGCACAATGAATTGATGAACAAATGTAAGCTTTTCAACAGGAACAAAATACATGGAATCTGTATTTCAAGTGAGGGTAAAATTTGTGCCTATGGTGGGTCTTCTATTTCCATTCTAAAACTAGAAGATATCAATCAAAGGCGTGAATACCTATCCAATGAGTTGGTACTTGATGAAAATATAACTGCAATTGAATTCAGCAAGGATGGTTCTAAGTTGTACATTTTAACTAATTACAATAAAGTTTTGATCACAGACTTAACAGGCAAAGTTGTCGAGGAAAAGAAGTTGGTAGGTGAGAGATCAATTCTTTATTCTGGATCCATTAAGGTTATATCTGAATCTGAGGTGCAAATAAATGCTGGTACTGTAATGGGTGGTGCCATTGTATGGGATCTTTACAAGGAGGAATTAATTCATAACTTGACAGGACATGAAGGCTCAATATTTTACATCCAATCAAGCGAGCATAACAAATTGATAGCTTCTTGCTCTGATGATAGATCAATTAGACTATGGGACAGAGAAACTGGCAAGGAATTATCAATTGGCTGGAGTCATACTGCTAGGATCTGGAACTTGAAATTTTTCAATAATGATGAAAATCTTGTCAGCGTATCCGAAGATTGTACTTGCAGAGTGTGGAATATTATACCAAATGACATTTCTGGCTATGAACTCCAGATAAGTAATATTTTTGAAGGGCATTTACTTAAGAATGTCTGGGGTGTTGATGTTAATGATGAGAAGAGAATCATCGCTACATCAGGCAATGATGGTAGAATAAACGTCATTGACTTGAACACCGACACAAATTCAGGAGATGAAGTAATTGGATATGAAATTGCTGATATTGAAAAAGCGGCTGGCATAAGTTTTGAAAAGGATGAGATTATAAAGGGCTTTTATTGGTTCAAATTTGGGCTCGTTTGTATTACATCACAAGGACGAGTCTTGGCTTTCCAAACTGAAACTAAACAATGGAGGCAATGCCTGTTGGATAGTAGATTTGCGTCCTACTCTATCACTAACGGGATATACGAATCAAATATTGTATTCTTTACTAACAATAAATGTGATATTTTAGCCATGAAGTTCTCAATTGATGGTTCTGAAGTAAAAGTTACTAAACAATACAAGGAAGATTCTCTCTCCAAGCTCAGTAACTCCCTTGCTATTAGTGCTGGCTACCACATATTGTTATTAGAGTCACCAAACCCAACCGATAAGTTATGCTTCTGGAGCTTTGATGATAATCTTGAGATCAAGAAAAGAGAAGCTTTTGAAAAACCTGCCAACATCGTGTCCTCTTGCTTTGAAATATACGATAGTTACTACTTAGTTGGGTCTCGTTTTAGTTCAATTGCTGTTTTTGATACTAAGAAAGAGAATAATAACTCAACTGTCCTAAAGAATTTGACAAATGGTGATACTATAACATCAATTCAATTATCTGATTTAGGACCAATGTTTGAGCCTATTTTTGCAATTACAAATAGAGATGGCTATTATAAGTTCATCAAGTGTGATTTCAAAAATTTAGGTAATGATGGGTTTTATGAAGTATTGCACTCAAACAAAATCACAAAAGGCTTTCTTGAGGGATCATATTTGGATTCAAGACTGAATTTTATTACATATGGCTTCAAGTCATCTTTGTTTTATATATATGATGAAACAGAATGTTTGGAAATAGCCAGCGAAGTTTGCGGTGGAGCCCATAGGCAATGGCATTTCTGCAAAGAGAATGTAGAAGATCTTGTGTTGACATATATCAAGGCTTCTAAACTTTTTATTAGACACTTTAAGAAATCGATTTACCCTCATGTTTTGGAACCAGGTTTGCATGGTAGAGAAATTCGCGATGTCACTATAATGCCTGACAATAAAGACTTCAAGGGTTATTTCTTCTGTACAGGTTCTGAGGATACAACTATCAAGCTTTCTTATTATGATCCAAATTCGAGAAAAATCAAGACTTACTGGACAGAAAGAAGACATGTTTCTGGCTTGCAAAAATGTAGAGCAATCAGTAACAGCATGGTTATCTCTTCAAGTGCTAGAGAGGAGCTTTTCTTATGGAAGGTAAATTATAACAGAATTCGTCCATACATGATGTGTAAGCAAGTCCTTCCAACATCAAATGATAATCCTGACTTACGTATTATGGATTTCTCTGTGTCATTTGTCAACAGCAATGAACAAGACTTCTTGTTATCCACAGTTTACTCTGATTCAATGATTAAATTATGGTATTACTCTTCAGAGGCCAATACATTCACTTTACTAGTCAGTGGTTTATACAAAACATGTTGTTTGTTGGGTACAGAACTTTTAACTGTCAAAGATAATTTATTGCTTTTAGCTTCGGCTACTGATGGTCATCTATTTGGTTACAATGTCACTGATCAGGTCTTAAAAGCAGGCTTCTCAATAGAAAACAACAAGATTTACATGAAATCCTCACTAAATACAGACTCCTCTGTTAGCCTATCAAATGAGCGTATATTTGATGTCATTGCTCATCAATCTGGTATCAAGACGATGACTTTACTACAAGAGTCTGATAAGAAGTTTAGAATTTTCACTGGCGGTGATGATAACGCCCTTGCCCTAACCTCTGTTCAATGCAACCCGGACATGTCATTTGTTGCAGCAGTTAAATCCACCATTGCTAAGGCTGCTGCCTCTACTATTACTGGTACCGCCTTGTGTTCAATTGACAATCACGAAAGACTAGTGTCCTGTTCAGTTGACCAGATTGTCAGAGTTTGGTCATTTGAGTGTGATGAACTGAAGTTGGAATCAGAAAAGTACACCACCATAGCTGACACTGGTTGTATAGATACAATCGAGGACAAAGAGGGTAAAGCGAACATTGTAATCGGTGGTGTTGGTTTGTCCATTTGGGCAATTTAAATGAAGCGATGACAAGCATTGATGTTGTTTTTGTTTTAATTTTTGTATAGTACTTGAAAAGATAGCATTTATAAAGCCATAGTCTTTATTACTTCATATAAATTATTTATAGAATGCTTTTTAAATTACATGATAAAATTTGTCATATACCAATACTCTATTGTCCAGTGCCGATGATGAATGTTATTTGACTAGATACAATGGGAAAAGGAAGTTGAACTAGTATTGTCGGCTTTTGCAATTATTTACAGGCTATTTGCTTAGTGTGGATATTCTATTCCCATTACCTATCGATGTAGACTTTTGTGCCATTATCCTTGGCGTTGTTTATGCTTCTTGTTGGACTTACAGTAGACATACACTCTACCTTTTCTTCTTACAATATAACAATCACTGCACATCTTCTTCACAGATGTTCTGACTTTAAACCCACGGTTGAATAGTAATAGCATCCTTGGGGCCATCAATGGCTTAGTGGCTGCCATCATAGGTAGGGGTCTCAGCACGCTATTGCGTACTACACTTGATATTGATCTATTGAGGAGCTGGAATGGGAACATAATCCGACGGGTCTATGATTTTATCCTTGCTTGGTACATCCAATACACATATACATACTATTGCTATGGCTCTTTTTTTGCAGTTTAGAGTCGCGCTTTTAGTCCTCCATCGGCTATGATCCCATCGTGATTACTGCTATAAAAAGGCACATAAATCAGTTGAAGTGCATTGATGAGTTACATCTACAAATGATGCTAACCGTTTATTTCATAGTGTACATAATATTGTTATATCAATATAATATCTACTGCATTATTATTTCTAGGACACAAAATTTTGTTGATTATCAGTGTGTATAACAGGGTAGAAGTGTGCTTTTAAGACGCTCAAAACAACACACATTGCAAAAGAAACAGTCTAAGAAGAACTTTAACTTGAGAAATACTTGAAAAGTACGTACTTCTAACAATAGAGAACTGATTGAGTAGAGCAATGTAACGTTTATATATCTTCACTCTAGACTCATCACATATAACGTAGTAGTTAAAATTTTTCTTCCAGAAGGAAACTTCATAATTGTGACAAAAAAAAATCTCCAGATAATACAAGATGCGATGAGGTCTACTTTTGTGTTTGCATCCGTTGGCAAGGTGGGAAACACTATTGACCACAAGTATTAGTAACCGTCACTGCAAGAAATTGTGTATTTGAATCTGTTCAAGTGCTTTCAAAGGAGAATCCTTAATTACAGCTATCAATTAGAAAACAAGAGCAGATCGAAAGGCATCGAACAGAGGAAAAATAGTTTTAGGAACTTTGAGTAAGAAATCTCAGGTGTCCGTTCTTTAGGTTTCTGTTTCAAGGCGTCATAAATTTTCAAAACAACAAGAGTAACTGATTAATCATTATCCTAGCAAGTTTTATCAGAGCTACAAGAATAAAAGATTATTTTGATAACCTTTTATTGAATAAACTTTTTACTCTTATACAGACTCAGAAAGAAAAAAAAAATACAAAATTTGAAGATAACAAAGAAGTTAGTGTAAGTTCGACAAAATTCAGATCATATTTTCTCTCAACTTTTTTTTTGTTCCTAGAATTTCAACATTTTTTTAACATTCAATTCTTTATTTCATTTTTTGTGTTTTATTTTAATTCACTTCTTTTCCATTTGTTAATAATTTCATTTTTATTCATTTCATTTCATTCATTTGACTTTGATTCCCTTCCACAGGATCCATATTATTTGCAAGAATTTCATTTCCCCAAAAAGAGATACAAACAAACCATATAATTCATAACATTTGGTAAACCAGGATTATATTATTATATTTCATCGAAGAAAAATAAACTAAAGAAAGAAAAAAAAATTATCAATTTATTTTCTAATATCATTAAAGATTTTACCACAAAAAGCAAATCTACTCAACTAAAATCTATCACAGTATGTCTTCTTTTCCGGATCACACTCAAGCATACACTGCTAAAAGCATATTCTTAGATGAACCCAACTTGAATTCTCATTTGTATTATGACAACAACAAGATACCTGTTTCTAATGGAGGATTATTTAGTAATTCAAATACCATACCAGCTAATGGCATGATGATGGGTAATGGTATGCTGCAAATGCCTCGTGAAAATGTCATGCCCCATGAGGCCCAACTATTGGCTAACCAGAATATGGCAGCTCAGAATTGGCCAAGAGATTTGAACTCCAAATTTATCCAGCCAGTTCAGAGACCAATGTTTAACAATGAAAATATTTTGAATCAGCAAAATATCACTAACTCAAGAATGACTGGTATCTCACCATTGCAACAAAGTAAACATCAGATTACCAGCTTGGGATTGAACGGCACTCTAACTGCAGACTCAGATGATTATTCCTTAAGTCAAGTTTCTTCCTTGTCATCTTTATCTGCACCCACCGATCATATGTTTCATAACCAACAAAGCACTAATGGTACAATTTCGAGTGTGGCTAACCTGGGTATGACTCAGAACAACACCTTGGCAGCTGCTTCTGCTTTTACACAAGCTAATGCGCCAGCTTCAATCATGATTAACAATCAAAAGAACAATAATCCTTTGGATTTCACAAGCGCCCCAAGCAGAACCGTCTATTTAGGTAACATTCCTCCATCATTAACCATCAAAGAACTTTTAGATCATGTTCGTAGTGGTGTGGTTGAAGAAGCCAAGATTTTACCTGAAAAGATGTGTGCCTTCATTTCATTCGTTGAAGAAAGCTCTGCACTTTTGTTTCATTCTGATGCAATTCTAAAGAGATTAAATATCGATAACAGAGATATTAAAGTTGGTTGGGGTAAACCAACCGTATTGGATCCTTCTATTGCATCTCGTATCATTAACGATGGTGCGACAAGAAATGTGTACATCGGTCAAGGTAACAACGACAGAAGTTCCAAGGAGAACAAAGAGCCTTTGACTGAAGAAAAATTACGCGAAGACTTAAAGGAGTATGGTGAAATAGATTCCATTAAAATAATTCCTGAAAAAGATATTGCATTTGTACATTTCTCTTCAATTGCCACTGCAATCAAAGTTGTTTCAACCTTGGCTCAAAAGAACCCATTTTACCAAGAGAAGAAGATTTTCTATGGTAAAGATAGATGTGCATTTATTACTAAAACTCAACAACACAATGCCGCCCAATTCTTAGGTGTTCAACCAGAAATGGAACATCTAATGAGATACACTGATCGTGAGTTTATTTCTAATGCTCTTTTGCAACAATCTGCCGCTGCTGCTGCTATTGCAACCTCAGCAGGTGGTCCAAACAACCTTGGTAACAGAACAGTTTATTTAGGTAATTTACCAAAAGGAGTGAAGATCGAAGAAATTTGTAATGCTGTTCGTGGAGGTCTATTACAATCTATTAAACTGCTTGATGACAGGCATGTTTGTTTTGTAACATTTATTGATCCAACCGCAGCAGCCCAATTTTATGCAATGAGTTCCCTATATGGCTTCACAATCCAAAGACAGCGTTGTAAAGTTGGTTGGGGTAAACATTCTGGTCCATTACCAAATGCATTAGCTCTTGCTGTTAGCAACGGTGCTTCAAGAAATGTGTACCTAGGAAACATTGATTTTGAAGCTGACTCGAAGAAAGAACAGCCTATTTTCAACGAAACTGCCCTTCGTGCCATTTTCCAAGAATACGGAGAAGTTGAACAAATTAACTTTTTGGTTGAGAAGAAATGTTGCTTTATTAATTTCACCAATATCAATAACGCCATATTTGCCATGGACAAGATTAAATCGAATCCTCATTTTAAGAGTTTGAAAATTAATTTCGGTAAGGATAGATGCGGTAACGTTCCTCACCAAATTCGTTAGACTCAAACAGGATTCGCTACTGTATCATAGTCCTCATCGATTTCAAATTGCAATACATTAACATTATTCACTTGCTGGTAATCCTAGAACCATGCCGCTAAGTTTTTTTGCATTTCCATGCCATTCAAAAGGCGCTATTAAACTAAGTGTGTCTGACCACATATTTCTTAACTTTTTTGCACAAGTTCATTAAATTTTTTGTTTTTATTTTGTCTCTCCATTCATTTTCAAGTATTTCTTTTGAACACTTGTAATTTGCAGCGATATCATTTCCGATTTGTTTTATTTTCAATTTTATTTTTTTTCCTTTACCCACCCCCAACAGTTTTATGGTTTTGCATTATTTTATTACTATTATTATTACTATTAAAAAATTTATTTTTTTTTCTTCTATTCTAAAGAAGCGCAAAAGAAGAAGTCAACTATCGTTTGGTGTACATTACAAGTGAAAATGCATTAACATTTCCTTTTTTTTTCCTCTCTCTCTTTGATATAACTTCATTTTACTTCATTTCAATTTGTTAAAAGAGAAACCCCTTCCTTTCACACAATGTCTGTGCAATTAAGGAAAAGAGAATAGAAAGAAAGTGTTATTGAGTTGCATAATTCTGTCATTTATTTTACTCATTAAATTTTGACATATCCACAATTACACTACTATATTATTTTCCCTTCTCTTTGTTGTGCTTTACTCCTATGTTATAATTCATATATATTTTCTAATTCAGTCATACTATATTATTACCGCACAATTATATGCTTTTAACAATTTGTAAAAGCGTAGCCTTGTTGTTACTCAGCTCAGTGCCATGCCTCGACCTAGCATACAGCGCTAGGCAAGCAATGGCAAACTAAATCATGTGACACATCACTAATTACATTTACTTTACTCATTAATAAAGGCAATATGAACTTAGATAATGCCGCACACACTCATGTCTCTTGCAAAAGTGGCACTTTATATCTGTGCGCAATTCCTCTCGAGATCAAATTATTGGTTTTTCAATTTTTTTCTTCTGCGGCTTTTTCCGTGCTCTTCTAAAGATACCCGTGGAGGATCTGCTCTCAGTTACACACTGTGCCCTAATCAGTGCGGGGTAATGAATAAAACTCCCACACAAACAACCGTAGACCGTAACAGTTTTTCCGTACCTGGAAGAGTTTTATTAGTTATAAAGTCTCTTCCCCCAATTGGAAGGCAGTGCTACGGCTGGCTGTTAGCCCCGCTTTCACCTTAAACGCTCACGAGAGAAAGCTCAGAATAGCAAGCACAGAACAGCAAGCACAGAACAGCAAGCACAGAATAGCAGGACTCTCCAACGGAAAAAAAATGTTCTGGACAGCCTTCTGCGTGCGAGATTGCAGTGGGTTTCTTTTCCAGCGTCTGTGCCTAGTTTTCTGTGCATTATATTAACGAGCCAGATCTTTGTCCCCGTCATTTTGGTGTCAAACCTGTCTCTCCTGCGCAGGTTGTCAGTAACACTACTTCATTCCTCTGGGATGTGGATGACCTGTACACGTTGCAAAGAGATATGGCAGTACAGATTTACTAGATCACACTACGTAATTACAGTGGGATATTCCGTTTGGGGGGGTAATACACTAATCCTCTCTGTCAGATTATCCTATGTGGCACTACGAGTGTTTCAGTGGAGATTCTTGCACTTTGGTAGGGATGATCGACCCCTAATGCTGAGCAAAACCCCTCCCCCGCTATTCCGTATAACAGTATCATATTCTTCCAGTCACACACACACAAAACCTGACTCATATAAATAGTCAGTGATGTTTCTTCCCGTCTGGGGGAGGGTTCCTCGCCTAGCTTTCTTCTCTAGCGGTGGCAAAGTACAGTGTGACACTAGTACAGCAGAAAAAAACGCTAGGAATGTTCAAGTCTGTGGACTATACGGATCCTGTGGGAGCGCCGAGTGACTCAGATGTGGAGCCGACTGAGCGGAAGAACGAGAAGCATGTGAGCATACACCAGGAGGCCGTGGCGGAGTCGCTGAAGCGGGAGGCGCTTCCGAAGTTTGAGCGGCGGCCGCTGAGCGATACGCCGATCACCAGTGCGTGGAACTCTCCCGGATTGTCTGAGGAGAACACGCCTACTGACTCGCCTGAGAACAGAAGTGCGCTGGACCTGACCAAGTTTAGCCAGCTGAATATTGCGCACGATGATGATGAGGAGCAGGGTGCCGGTGACAATGATACTGGGAAGTCAAGCGATCACAACAGCGACAGCGAGACGGTGAAGCTGTCTACGAAGAGCAAAGGCTCGTTCAGGGACCTGCTGGCGGCAAACTCCCTTGAGTACTCCTCGAAGAAAGTGTCTACGATAGATGTGCCGGGACTGACTAGGTCTAAGGACTCTCCCGATGGCATGATCTCTAGCAAAGATGCGGGCTCCAAGCTTATAATCGTGATGGTCGGCTTGCCTGCTACAGGTAAGTCCTTCATCACCAATAAACTCTCTCGATACTTGAACTACTTGATGTACTACTGCAAAGTGTTCAATGTCGGTAATACCAGAAGACAATACTCCAAAGAGCACTCGTTGCATGAACAAGACTCTAAATTCTTTGACCCATCTAACGAGGAGTACAAGAAACTTAGAGACAAATGGGCCTTGGACACTTTGGATGAGTTACTAGACTACTTACTGAACGGAATGGGATCTGTGGGAATATTTGACGCTACTAACTCCACAGTGGCAAGAAGAAAAGCCATTTTGGATAAGATAAGAAAGAGGAACCCGAACCTCAAGGTGTTGTTTCTGGAATCCATCTGTACAAACAGAGAGCTTGTGGAAAGAAACGTGCGATTGAAAGTGTTTGGTCCTGACTATAAGGGTAAAGATCCCGAGAAATCGTTGAGGGACTTCAAAGAACGGTTGGCAAATTATTTAACAGCCTATGAACCAATTGACGACTCGGAAGATATCTGCTATATTAAAATGGTCGATGTGGGTAAGAAAGTGATAGCCTACAATATCGAGGGTTTCTTAGCATCGCAGACCGTATATTATTTATTGAACTTTAACCTTCGTGAAAGACAAATATGGATCACAAGAAGTGGCGAAAGTGAAGACAATGTCAGCGGTAAGATAGGTGGAGATTCACATCTAACAGAGCGTGGTAAGCGCTATGCTAAGGCTCTATCAAACTTTATAAACGAGCAGAGAATAGCATTTTACAACCGTGAAATAGAAAACGCTAAAAGACAAAGAGATCAATATGAGAAGGATAAGCGTAGGAGAGAAGCTGCACTAAAGAATAATCTCACAAATGGTGAACAATCCACAATGGGCACAGGTACTCCAGAACCCCAACCTTACCAATGCAATGATTTCTTTGTATGGACGAGTATGAGGTCAAGAACAATTGAAACTGCACACTGGTTTGCTGATGAAGACTATCCTAAGAAAGAGATGCGTATGTTAGACGAATTAGGGGTAGGTGACTTTAATGGCATGACTTACCCAATGATTCAAGAAAACTTTCCAGTGGAGTTCGAAAAGAGAAAGATTGATAAACTGCGGTATAGATATCCTGGTATAGGTGGTGAATCATACATGGATGTTATTAATAGAGTAAGGCCAGTGATTACAGAACTGGAAAGAATTGAGGATAATGTCCTTATCATTACACATAGAGTAGTGGCACGTGTCTTACTAGGCTACTATATGAACTTGCGCACTGATATTATTGCTAACTTGGATGTTCCACTACATTGTGTTTACTGTTTGGAACCGAAGCCATATGGTATGGAGTGGTCACTCTGGGAGTACGACGAAGACAAAGATCTATTCTTTAAAGTTCCTGAGTCTGACTTGAACACAACTAAGGTAAGAGAAATTGGCTTAGTACACAAGGAGAGAAGATATTCTGAAGTTCCTACTGCACCTCCTAGTGCCAATTCTAACCCAAATGATTTCCTTCTTCGTAGAAATTCTGTAGATGTTGCCTCACCTCCATCCGAAACATCTAAAGACCATGAAAATATAAGTGGTAGCCAACAAGCTATGGGTAGTAGCAGGCCAATCAAAAATGATTTTAACCAGCCCACATTAATGAATTCGATGAACACAGTTGGGCCCTCTGGTAGATATGACCCAAGAATTCAAGATAAAGTAATTAATAAACCAAAAAAATCAATTTTAATGAATGATGACTAAATTTTTTACTTCTTTTATGATTAATTGTGATCAAAACTATCATAGATGATGATATTGTTTTGCTTCTTTAATTATGATGGATTACTGGGGTGTTTTTTTCATTTATTTTTTTGTTTTGTTTTTTTTTTTTTCTTTTCTACCTTTACTGGTAATAAGTCGAAATGAGTGCAATAACTTATATTTTACCCCTTCCATCAAGCTGATTTACTTTTATGCTAAACTTATACTTTTAATTCTTTTAATATTCCCTATTTTATAGAATGTTTTCAACTAATATAATATTCAAATCTCAGTAATAAAAGATAATTCAATATTCACATTAATTGGAATAATTATCCAAAAATAAACTATATATTACTTTATTTATTATATAGCTCCGTATACAATACCAAATGCGTCAACCCAGCCTCCAACTGATCCATAAATACCAAGGATTCTTTGACCAGCTGGCGGTTGAACTTCAGATAGCCCACCACCTGAATTACCTAACATAGGTGACATACGACCAGTATTTGTTACAATTTGGATAGCATCGATCCACCAGCCACATCTTAAGTTGAATCCTACGATTTCTTCGTTTGGTTGTAAAACGAAATCCAATTTATTGCCCTCTTGTTTACCGAATACAACATTTTTTGATTTCTTGTTAGATGTGGTCATAGGCGCTTGTTTTTGCCCTTCATAGGTTCTTGGTGGTATGGCAGGAATTGCAACTGGGTCACTACAAGTAAAAACTAGCCCCATTAGAGCATGTGCGTAGTAGACGGTGACTTTAGTAACGGTCCTCATATCAACAGGTATAATCCCTGTTTCTTGACTATTCTCAAGTCTACCAGATACTGCAGACTTGTGGCCTACCACAGAAGAAGGATAACCATATTTGCTCATATTAATATCACCTCCACTCAACGATTTTGGGAAATTTTCAATGAAGAGGTCAGAAGTGTTTACAGCTAGGACACGGAGTGCAAAAGAGTTGCTATGTTCCGGCACATCATTCGGAGGTATCCTACTTCTCAGCTCATCCAATGACAAAGTTACCTCTTTTTGAGGTCCAGTACCACCCAAGGACAAAGGTAAATATTCTATGTGTGCTTTAGCCAGATCTCCACAAATAATTTCAATCAAATAAATACCCGTCTTAGAAGTCAATGTAAAGATGTTGTTACCTTGATTATATACAGAGGGCTTAGGATAATCAAAGTTACCAAGACGGCCCGGCCTCATGAAAGAAGCATCATAATAGTCTTGAGGAACAGTGAAAGTTGGATGATATAGATACCTTAAAAGATCCAATCTATTCCAAGTACATTCTTCTTTCGGGAAGATAGGTGGTTTGGCTCCATTAGAATTTGTGCGTAAAGAATACGATTCCTTGGTTAAGAACGATCTGTTGAACCTTACATAATCTCTCAGCATAACACCATTGACTTGATGTGGCGAACCAAGCAAATGTCCAATTTCGTGCATAAAGGCACCAAGAGTGATGTTCAAGCATTCCCAATGGGTACCACATTCGTTACAATCGTTAGCGACCTCCTTTGTTGAGGCTCTAGTTTCATCAGTGAAATACGGAATCAGTTGTTCCATACAAGTAGGCCATGAGTACATACCATGAGAACCAAATATAGCCAGCTTAATATCGGCATCTCCTCCGCCTAAAGCAGCGTGGCCTCTAATCAGTTTACCGTCCCAATGTGTGTCAAGAAATACACAAGCAGCCTGAACTGGTTTTTCATTTTGGGTAAATGGTCCACCATACTTCTTCAAAGCATCCATGGCAATGCCAAATAGTCCGCCTTGGTCTTTTGCTTTGTCGTTTTGCTGAGCAACATCAGGGTCCCTGATTTCTTTTGTAGTTTTGTCAGAGCGAACAATGTGGATTTTAACAGTATTTCTCATAGCGATTCTTTGGGCAAATTGGGTATCCCAGGTATATTCTTCAACAAACCGAATAGTTCTGTGTCCAAAACCGTTTCTTAACATTTGCTCGTTAGTGAAAGCCTGCATCAGTCTTGCACCGACTCTCATTTTCTTAATGGCTAAATCTAGACCGTTACCACCTTCCTTAGCTTTCTGTGAAGCCGGCGAATCAAACTCCAATGGAGAGTCCTTAGCAACAATCAGACATAAGTGTACGGGGACATTCTGGTCCAGGGGACTATAGAAGCAGTCTACAACTTTGGAGACATTAGTGTCAGTAATGAAAGTTAATCGATTTGCACCAGGAGTGAGAATAATCGTAGCCTTGAAATGGCTGTCATGGACAGGGAAAGTTAACGGAGGTAATTGAGGATGCTGCACCTGTATATTTGAAGCCGTTTGACCTTTACCAATGGAACCATGGATGATTACGCATGGAGAGAACAATTCCTCATTAGGCCTTAAGTTGAAAAGTTCAATGCTTTCCTTAGACATTGGGACTGATTCTTAACTTGTGTTTGCTACTTCGATTGACCTGGAAGAAATACAAGTACTACAAGTGCACCTACCAAGGCAACTCAATTGTCTTGTGTAGTTCATATTTATACTGAGCGGTATCCCCTTAGGAACAGGCTGAGCATTGCTGCATACAAGTGATCGACACATTTTTCGATCAGAATTCAGTGTTAGTATGAAATGACGTCATATTTTGCTCAAATGATCAAATTGCGCTTAAATGGTTGAATGCGTTAAAAGAAGAAGAAAAGCCGCGGAGCTCAAATCACTTTTCAACTTTCTACGTTTTCTTACGTAATTAGGTTCCTGCATTGTGTATTTCACCTTTTTTTTTGATTTTCTAGCATATAATCCTAGCAGTTCATCCTGTTGCGCGGTATATTCACTGCATGAAAGAGATGTACTCTAGATCTGGATTTACGCGTTCTTGTCAATTACATAATATAATTGTTTTTAAACGTATTAAATATAGCAAATGTTATTTTAGAAGAGTTATATGGTATTGGGTTAGACTATGGAGTTCATGATGTGGCCTACTAACTTTCTTGATTGAAAAATCCATGTTTATATTAGTCCGAGAAATCCAGATATCTAGCTTTGCAAGTACTTGTTCAAGAAAGAGACTAGAATAATTAAGAGCAGTTGTACTACAACAGAGAGTTGGAACAAGCCCTAGGTGACATTTTGGTCATATCTACTGTGGAAAAAAGTACTCTTTAATGTTGTCATGATTACTTGTTGTGAAGAATCTGATTGCTGGAAATTATGGTGCTGCCTATTGTTAATAAAATCCAGCAGGATACTGTGTACAATAATTAAATCTTTATACTATATCATTTTATCGGGTAGCTTGTCATTGAAGTTGGGCTTATGTTCATAAACGTGAAACAATGGGACCCACATTCAAATCAGCTGTCAATTAATGCAGTGATGATCTTACCTTATACGGGAGTCCAAATTCCGGTCAATATGATTTACCGTCGAAATCCTCGAGGGCTTGGCACCGAGCACTTTCATCGTTTTTTCCCTAAGTCACCGTACATTCCATTAACGAAGCATTCACATGAGGACACTGAATTTGACAGGTGGTATTTGAGAATATAAGTGAAAAGGTTTAAAAGCAACTACACTGGGCAATTGACAAAACCCTCCAAATTGCTGAAGAAAAGTCAATTACACTTATGTCACATCACAAAAGGCGTGTATATCCACAAGCTCAATTCGGCTTGGCTCAGGCCGGTCAAACTGGCTACCAGGATGTCCAGCAGCCAGGTGTTTTGCCTTCACAAGCTAATTATCAAGAGCCAGTTCCATTAGTGACGCCTATTCAAGAGGTATTGAATAACCAAATTGATCAGACTGCCGATTCACTACATAATATGCAGTTGCATAATGTTCCCGATTTCAATCAGCCTTTACAAGGCCAATTGAATGGTCCTCAAAGCCCAGCATTGTATCAAAATTATAATGAAAATGGTATGAATAATTACAATGCTGCGTTTGGTAATGGAGGTACTTCAGTAAAACAAGTCAATCAACTGTACCCAATTGATTTGCTATCTGATTTGCCGCCACCTATCAAGGATCTTGGATTACCACCTCCTCCTATTAATTTATCGCCTGATATCATGTCAGTGCCATCAGATAAGAGTAATGCATCTCCAGATTATATTAGAAGTACACTAAATGCAGTGCCCAAGACTAACTCTCTGCTGAAGAAAACCAAGCTTCCATTTGCGTTGGTAATCAAGCCTTATCAGCATTTGAATGATGATGTTAATGCGCCTCCATTAAATGAAGAATGTCTAATTGTCAGATGTCGTCGTTGTCGTTCTTATATCAACCCATTTGCAAAGTTTATTGAGCAAGGAAGACGTTGGAGATGTAATTTCTGTAGATTGGCTAACGATTTACCAATGCAATTCGATCAATCTTCAATAGATACCAACATTGTAAACAGATTGGATAGGACCGAGATTAAAAATGCTGTCATGGAATATGTTGCACCAAAGGAATACACAGTCAGACCCCCTCCTCCTTCGATCTACACATTCATAATAGATGTCTCTCAAAATGCCATAAAAAATGGTTTATTTGTCAGTACAATTGAAACACTTAAACAACAACTAGAATATTTGCCTAATAGGGATAATAGAACCAAGATTTCAATTATTCTTGTGGACCATGCCTTGCATATTTTATCAATTCCTGCTGATGATGTTTCCAATAAATTCAGAATTCTAGACGTGGCTGATATTGATGAACCATACATTCCTTTACCAAATTCGCTTGTTGTTTCACTATCACGGTGTAAACAAAATGTACAATTGGCATTAGAAAAGATAAAGCAATTGTTTGAGATTAATGTTTCTACTAAGTTTGCTTTAGGTCCAGCTCTTAGAACAGCACAGAAATTAATTGGTGGGGTTGGTGGAAAGTTAATAGTCATATCAGCATCTTTACCAAATGCAGGTATTGGATCACTGCAAAGAAGAAATGAAAGTGGTGTATCAGGGACAACAAAAGAATCGAGTCAATTGCTATCGTGTCAAGATTCATTTTACAAGACATTTACAGTTGAATGTAGTAAAACTCAAATCACAATCGATTTATTTTTGGCATCCGATGACTATGTTGATGTTGCCACGTTATCGAACCTGCCTCGATACACAGCAGGTCAAACACACTTTTATCCAGGATATAATGCTTCCAATATATCTGATTTTAACAAATTTACGACTGAGTTTTCAAAGCATATTACAATGGACATTTCTTTTGAAACGGTCATGAGAGCTCGTGGGTCTACTGGGTTGAAAACAAGTGCATTTTATGGTCATTTCTTTAATAGGTCTTCTGATCTATGCGCTTTTTCGACAATGCCAAGAGATCAATCGTATGTGTTCGATATTTCTATTGAAGACACGATCACAACAGATTATTGTTATTTTCAAGTTGCCGTTCTACTTTCGTTAAATAATGGACAAAGAAGAATTAGGGTGATCACACTGGCTTTACCGACAACACAATCTATCTCAGAGGTGTTCGCTTGCGTAGATCAACAAGCTGTTGCAGCACAAATCACACAAAGAGCAGTCCAAAAGGCTAACTCATCAAGTATTGACGATGCTAGGGATCTAATTCAGAAAACTACACTGGATATTTTGAGCACATACAAAAAGGAGCTAGTAGTAACAAACACTGGGGGTGTTGTACCCCTTAAGTTGTCTACAAATTTAAGAATCCTCCCATTGTTAATGCACGCATTGATGAAGCACATGGCCTTCAGGGCTGGTGTTGTTCCTAGTGATCATAGAGCCTACTCCTTGAATGTTTTGGAGTCTGTTCCGATCAAAAGTCTAATAACTAGCATATACCCATCGATATATTCCATGCATGACATGGGAGATGACTGTGGGTATACAGATGAAACTGGAAATGTTATATTGCCGGAATGCATTAATGATACTGCAATATTGATGGAAAAGTATGGTCTATATTTGATTGACAATGGCTCCGAGCTTTTCCTTTGGGTTGGTGGTGAAGCTGTGCCTGAATTACTAAGCGATGTGTTTGGGGTTCCTGAAATGTCTCAAGTTCCAGTTGGAAAACACGATTTATTCAGAGTTGAAGGATCGCAATTTAATGAGAGAGTCTGCAACATCATTGATCAGTTAAGAACTAGTGATGATACGACAGTATATAAGACGCTTTACATTGTTAGTGGTCCAACTATAAATGACTCCTTTAGTCAAGGTACAAGAGAACTAGCATCTTTGAGAATGTGGGCTGCAACTGCTTTTGTTGAGGACAATATAATGAAGACATTAAGTTACAGAGAGTTTCTTGAAAAGATGAAGAAAGAAGTAAGTAAGTAAGGAAGGAAGTAAGACCTCAGTATTAACTTATTGTAATGACTAAGTATAAAAATTTAGTTAAAATGGAATTATATAATCAAATAGTTTTTAATGCAAATAGAGAATGAATTGAGAATAAAGTAAAGATAAGATAATTGTACATGAATTCTTTTATTTCGATACTATTCAATAATGATTAGGTCGATTGCAAAGCAACAATCGATCTTTTTAAGTTTGAATTCACCTTGAATGTGTCAAAAGTTATGGGTAGATTTGATTCGGTCAAGCGTTTTCTCAAATACGATTCAAATTCAATTACGCTTCCACCAACACCAAAATATATATCTTTTGCAGCAACTAAAGCCTTTGTACTTGTCCGATTATCACCTTGGTATAAATCTAATAACGTTTCCGCAACAACAGGCAAGTTTTCTGGTTGGTATATGGTCTCTGATGAAAATACTAGTAGAGGACGGGTAGGGGTTACATGATGTCTCACAAGATTTGAGAAGACTCTTCCCCATGATCCAGATATTAAATTGATTTTGATTTTTCTAGCACTCAAGTCATCCATGAAGGCCTGTAATAGAATTGTTGTCAGTAGAAGCTCATCTCCGACAATTGCTACGTTTTCATCTGAACTTCTCTGTAAAGAGATCCATTCATCTTCTGTTAATACAGTTTTCGCCCAAGTAATTATTAAGTTTGGTAAAGTTACCAGTTCCAGCACGCTTTTGTTGTAATCAGCTAATATCAGGTTAAGTCCTGAGTCTAGTTTAGATTGTAGGTATTTGCCAAATACGAATGTCGAAGGCAATGCCGTACCACAGCCCATATCAAATATCTGTTCGGTGGAAAAATCTTTACCATGGTTATTTAGTAGTTCGATAATGTCTATGGAACACTCCCAGGATTTTAATCCACCTTCGTAGACATTCTTTCTCACATCCTCTGCTGTATCACCGAGTAGAATCTCAAGTATGGGGTCACCATTTTCATTTGTCGTAGTTTGTTCAACATTAGACTCTGACATCAATTGATGCTTAACATCAAAAAGCTCTCTTCTATACAGTTGAATTTGCCCGTCAAATAGTGACAGCGTTTCAAAAGTCAATCTCACATCTTTTAATGACCTCACCACACTGCTGAAATCCAAAACCTCGGGCTGAATTACCTCTGGAGAAACTAAACGTGGATCATCCAATGGGTTAATAGCCAAGCTATTTTGAGCATCGGACTGGCTCTGTTGCACATTTACAATGTCATCATTCAGCTCGTCATCACTGAATGATTCTGAAGTGAAACCAAAGGAAAAGGACATCCTAATAATCACAAGCTTACTCCACTGTGTTCAATAGTTTTTGTGAGAACTTGTAATCTGCAATTCACCAGTGTTTTATCAGCTTACACCTAGCGATGAGCTTGCCTAGTGTTGTGCATTGATCAATGCCCAGCTCATCGCATCGCTTTTCACTTTTTTCATGAGGGTTGCTCGGTATTCACGTGACTGATAATATTCCTGTTCAAGCAGTATGAGTAAGCAAGCAGTAATAAATGGGACGATTGTTCACTGGCTCCAATGAATGGCTAGTGCTTCTTAACTTGGATGTTGATACCAAGTGGTGAGTTCAGGAACAAGTACGTGTTTCGGTGAGGGTGGAGTAGCTTTCAAACTAAAAAAATTCTTCTATTTTTTGTAGAATATATGATAAATAAGTTGATCATTCTTATATAAAAAGGTAAGCTCGATGTGGGAGTGAAAGCCACTGGCAATCGAGCATTAATGTGAACAAAATGGAATTGATCAATGTTTAGGAAATAAAAAAAAAGAAGTATTAGATGTAGATGAAGGAGCCGGTTGGCATAGTTACGCAACTGGACCTTTCAGTAATGTCTTCATAACTAAGATTAAAACACAATAGAAGGCAATGGTAGAGGAGGTAGCACAACATCTAGTACCAGTCACGCTCTTATTTCATAATAATTAAGATATTGTTCGTTGTTGTTTTCTTTCTTGGTAGTTGTTCTGCTGTTTTAGTGAATCAGTAATATAGATTAAACAAAATATACCGCTCTGAACATTGCTTTACTTGGATTGCACTTGAGAGTAACCACCCCATGGGTTTGCATTCTTGGACTTCAAGTACTCGTCGGACTTCAACTGCCATTCCTTGTTCATGGACTTTGGATAGTCGCCTGCAAATTGCCTTATGAAAGCAAACAGGCCGATGGAGATACCCAGACCGAGGATAACACCCTTTGTGATGTAGGCAACATCACCTTTACCGTGCACAGGTCGTCTAGGACCCCACTCACCATATGAGATATACCACGCAGCCTGCTTCTCGGTCTCTGTTAGCTGGTTCCATGGCAGCTTCTGACGCTCAGCAAGCTTGCTCACAATGTTCTGTTGCTCGGTGGATGGCATGCTCTCCCATCTGGAAGGCAGGTCCATGATAGAGGCCTTGGAAATAGCAGCACTTTGTGCAAACCTGACAGGAGTGACACGACAAACTTTAGGAAGAGTACGCAACATTATTTCGTTCTTTTTGTTTCTTGGTATTGTAGTCTAAAGAAAACACGACGCAAGCAAGGAACCAGTTTCACAACTGTTTTATATATTTGTTGCATGAATGGTCCCATTGCTCACGCAATAGACAGCCAATTAGAAGAAGTTTGCACAGAATGGAAAATTATGACTCTCGAGGGAAAAGCTTATAGAAACAAAGGATGCTGTGCGGGCTGTTCTACGCAAAACCAACTTATCCCCGTTGTCTCCTTTGTCTCCCCTGCCGAAGGAAGCTGGCAGCGATTTCCTTTTGTTTTTTCAGTAGTTCGCTGGCCAATCAGATCGGAGGAAGCGTTGACTTCGTAGATGTGTACGTGGGTAGAGGGGAGGAAGGGACGGATCGCGTGGACTTCGTGTATATGTACTTTTCTGTTATTTCCGGGTAATACTACACTATAGCTCTATACCTTATATATTAGGACTATTACCACATGCGCTGAGGTCTTGGTATCTGTCTGAACCGCAGGGGTCTCGGTGGCTGAGACTGGGACTGAGGCTGAGGCTGTGGCTGAGGCTGAGGCTGAGGCTGTGGTTGGCCTGGTGTGGTGGCAGAGTTGTCGCCGAGACGGGTGCGCGGGGACAGGTCGATCTGGACCATGTTGTTTTGCAAAGTGTCTCTTATGTGGGAGTCCATCTGGATGGCATCCAGGGGGATCCAGTGCATCGGCAGGTTCGCGAACTTCGTGTACTCTAGCGTCTCGAACCCGAGACGGGTTTCGATGTCCACACCGTCAAAGTTCACCACGTACCTCTGCCTGTCGTCGCTGGTGAAGTTGCCTCCATACAAGTATATGAACTTCAGCAGGTTCCACAGCTGCCGCGTCTCTTGCTTGCCGACTTTGTGTTTCCGATCGTACTCTCGGTTCGTTAGCTCGTCGTCCTTTAATATCACAGACATCTGGATATCCAGCACATATCGGGTCCCATCTGCATCGTCAACATAATAATACAACGGCAAATACCGGTGGTAGTCGTCCTTGTTCGTATAACTAATCAGCTTCAACCCTAGCGGGTATAGTGCCCTGATGGCTTTACGTCTGTCTAACTCCTCAGCCTCTTTCCGTTTGGCAAGCTCGATCTCTTGTTGCTTCAATAGCTCTTCTTGCCTCTTCTCTTCCTCTATCCTTTGCTTCTCTTTCTCCTTCTCACGTTTCTGCTGTACTATCTCCATCTTATGTAGCAACTCCATCTCCTTCTTCTTCTTCTGTTGCAACCTCTTCTGGATATATTCTTCCTCGGCCTTTAACCGCTTCTCTCTCTCTTCAGGAGTCTCCTTGATCATCTCTTCCTCTTTGTGAACTTGTGATTCGCTCAGATGAGTTTGAAACTTGGGTCTCCTGTGCTCATCGGCTCTATCGCCAGCCATGTGGCCTTGTTCTTGATTCAAAGCTGTAGAAATGTCTGTGTTACTGGAAGATTTGAACTTCAACGTCTTACGGTTGTCATTATCATGAAGAGAGTCTGATATAGATGAAGATCTCCCTTTCAAGTCATCACCATGAGTATGCTTGTGAAGCCCTGCTTCACTGTTATGGCGTGTGCTTGAAGCAGACGACCTTTGTGTAGTTTGGTGTCTCTTCTTTGGAACATTAAACTCTTCTTCTTCCTCTTCGCTCAAATCATCTTCAGAAGACTCCTCACTTTCAAACTTCGCGCGCCTTCTATTCCGTGACCGTTTTTTGGATATGCGTTGCTCGGTGTCCGAATGAGAATCATAAGTATTGTTCACCTGTTCGCCATTATCTTTCTCATGCCATTTGGTTACGGCAGTTTCCAACAGCTTTATTTCTTCATCATTTATGGAATTGAAGATGTTATGCTTTGAGTGATAGATCGCAGTTTGACCCTTATTGTCCTTCAACGTGGGGTTAGCACCAGCTTCCAGAAGTAGTTTCACTGTTCCTAAGTGGTTTCTACCTACAGCAATCATTAATGGCGTCATACCTTCTTTATTGAATTTATTGATCTTGGCACCAAATGCCAAAAATAAACTCGCTATATCCTCATGTCCAAATTTCACAGCTTCAAGAAATGCATTGAAATCTGGAACACCTCCGTTTTCAAGATAAGATCCAACATAAGGCAAATATCCTTCTTTCGAAGCTCTAAATAGTTTTTTCTTACCTCCCGAAGATGAAATGTCTGTCCAATAAAACTCGTCACTGAAAGCTGTTGTCGATTCTTCTATATGCTTGTTCATAGGTGATGACTGACCACTATTATCAGAAGTGTTGATAGATTCATGAATACCATGTTTCGTGTTCCACTTCCTTGTCGCTTCGGTAAGACTTTTCTTTATATCTTGTACCACCTTTATTTCATTTTCATCTAAATCTGAATCCTCTTCTATTGATTCGTATGCAGTTAATCCTTTAGCATTTGGAATTGTAGGATCTGCACCATGTCTTAGAAGATACCTCACAATATCCAGGTGACCGTTTGCAGACGCATCAACTAAGGGGGTGTCCTTGAACATTTCATATGATTGAATATTTACATTTGCTCCATGAGAAATTAATAATTTTACAATCGACAAATGCCCATTTAGAGCAGCTTCGTGTAAAGCTGAGTTGCCGGCATTGTCCTGGTCATTAACGTCGTAATCCTCTTCTTCAATAAGTCTCTTTGCAACATCGTACTTACCTTTATCACATGCAATTTGAAGTCTAGTTCTACCACCAGAATCTCTATAAATACCTTTCTTTTGTTTTGAAATTTTCGAGTTAGAATGACGAGGTTTTTGGTTGTCATTCGATTTCATTTTGTTTGAGTATGTGCTTTCCTCCCCAGACTCTTCTTCGAAATCTTCATCATCTTCATCACTACTTACATGTTTGTTTTGGTTGGTTTTCCCCTCGGATTGATTAGCTATAGGCGAAGAAGGTAGTAAATTCTCTTTCCGTTTGGGTGCTTTCCTATCTGGAGATAAACCTCCTTCAAGGAAGACGCTACTCGATAGTGGGACACTTTTTATATCATCAATATCTGATAGTTCTGAATCGGATGATCCTGCAAAGCTTGATGCGCCATCCTTATGTAAACTGCTACTTCTCTCAATTTGGTCACCTCTAACTAGCCTTCCCCTTCTCGGTTTAGGTGGTGATGCAGGCTCCGTTGGTGTATCACTCAATTCATCATCCTTAACCTCATCATAATTTCGTGGATTCTTAGTTTTCAACATATCCTTAAGTTTCTCCCTTGATAAAGACTCTCCGAGGTTAAGTTTGGGATTATTATCTGTGCTATCTAATTTTTTGTGTTCGGCGTCCTCAGTTTTCATGTTTGATGGTGTTGTGGACTGTTGAGGAAGATGTTTTTTGGGGGAAGGTGCTTTAAATATTGTGTTATCATCGGACTTTTTAAGTGGTACGGGTTCTGGTTTTATAATACCAGTAGAGCTAAATGATGATGCAGTATTCGTAAGTTCATCCTTGTTTGTAGCTTCTTTTAAAGCCTTCTCTTCTTCATACTTCTTAAGTTGTTCCTCGTGTTGTTTTTTTAGAGCTTCAATTTCTTGTTGTTTCCTAATTTTCTCCTCTTCGACTTTCCTCCGTTCATCTTCTAGTTTTCGTTGTTCTTCTTGCTGCCTTTTAAGCTTCTCCTCTTCCTCTCGTTTCAACTTTTCTGCTTGTTCCCGTTTCAGTCGTTCTTCTTCTTCTGCTTTCTTCTTGGCTATCCTCTCCAGTTCTTCTCTTCTAGAATTGACGTTTGAGAGGTAGCTGCTCAATGACCTCTTCTTGACTTGCTTCTCAGACATGCCTTGTAAATGTTTCTATACGCTGGTTCTATCACAAATAAAATCTGATGTAGGCAAGCCTCCTAATATGCTATAATTGATCTTCACTAGTCTTTTTCCCTATTACCTTCGTCTTAGTTATCGATTGTCTTTTTGTGTTCCTAAGCCAGAAAACACAAAGAAATACTGGACTTTAAGTGCAGTAATAAATGTGTTATGCCACTATTGATAACGGAACTGTTTATATGGCTGTTTATGCTGAGACACAATGCACTTCCTCTTTCACTAACAGCATTCATTCCAAATGTTTTAGAGGAAACTTGCTCGTACTTTTCGAAGTTGCGATTGTAAGACGAAAAAAGTGAAAAATCGAAATTTTTGTTTTGCGATGAGCTTTAGCTATAAAGAATGGACAAGTGGAAAAGACCTCAGAATAAATGGCACTCTCTAAGCATTGGTCTCTCACTGAATCACCAGCTTAATAATATTTTAATAGATGATTCCAGTTGAATTTGGGGAAATCTCCAGGAATGCGCAAGGTGTGTTGAACCGAGACTTCTTCCATGGTACTGGGGGAGTCATTCAAGTGTCTACCAGCTCTGATGATTTCAGGTTTAACAGTAGAGGAAAATTTTCAGATGGCAATTTTGGTGCAAACTTATCTGGTAGGCATGCTATTAAAGGTACTGGAATCGCAGTAAGCCAGAGTTTAGATAACAAGAACCAGTTTTCCACTAAGTTTGAGTACAATAACTCACAGTTGAGAAGTGATGTCACTACTAATTGGGTGCCAGGTACCGTTAATATCAAGAGCAGTCGTCTTGGATTCAACTATTTCAATGCATTGATGAATTCAAAGATGTCCGTTGATCTATTTAACCCAACAAAAGTTGTAGGATCAATGACTATGGGCTACGGGAAAATGGTTGGTGGATCTGAGGTAACATGTGATATAGCGCAGAATAAGTTTACAAGATATGCCTTATCGATGGGCATCTATGCTGGTAAGCGTAATTTGACGTTCTTGATAAATGATGCACACGTAATGACATTGACGCTCTACCAAAAGCTGTCGCCACAGTTTGAAGCAGCAGCCAAAACCACTACCCGGTTCAACGAATCCAATAAAACCTCTGTTGAAGTCGCCACCGCATACCGCCATAATAGTGCTCAATATAAACTGAAGTTAAACGACGCGGGATTGGCGTGTCTATCCTACAAAGTTCCCTTCCAAAAGAACATTTCCCTCGGACTAGGTATTTCGATGGATGTTTGCAACCCCACTGTGAAGAAGTTCGGATGGTCATTAAATTTCCAATAATAATAAAGAATCTGTGAGGTAATACTCTCGTAAAGCATTTTACTGGAATTAGTCTACAAACACTAATTTCCCTTTGTTTGCATTTTTCTTTCCCTGTTTCCTTAGCATGTTAAATGGCATATAGGATCGTAATAACCACACTTAACTGATACTGATACCATATATCCTAACGACCATATACTAATGTTCATAGACCTTATAGACCAATGATATATATGTATACTATCTTGAATTAGAGTGAAATACTATGCGGTATACTTCCTGAATGTCAACATCATTACAGACGACTAAGTATTTTTGTGGATCAAAAATTTCTGTCAATTTGGCACTTAACGATGAGGTTGAAGACAAGAATAGCAATTGTTTTGGAGAATGTTCAACAGTTTAGTTGGCAGAGCAGCTGTAATCAGGTTTGTATAGTGGTTTTACTTGAAGATTGGGCAGTATATTGAGCAATTAGCATAAATACGGCGCTGGTTCATCAGATTTGCGTTTCCAGAAAGCCTGATATAATTGAGGGTTATACACTTTTCGTTTGTTATCTATTCTGCAGGTCTAGTTACAGAGTTAAGCATCAGATATGTCTTCTTTAGGGGAAGAATTAGAGACTAAAATCTCTGAAGAGGTTGGGTTCAAGCCTCTGGGAATTAAGAGAATATTACCTGCAGCAAGTACTAAGCTTCCATTTGCATCGCTGGACAATTTTGCAATTGATAATCATAACAACAAGTATGCTGCAGCTTCAGGCGAGCTACTAATATGTGGCGACTTACAGAAATTACGAGAATATGTTACCAATGATAACGAGGAAGATAATTACGAGCCAGAATACAAGCATGAGATATCTAATATCATTGCACTGAAGTTCATGAATGGGAAGTTGATACTTGTGACTAAAAGTGGCAGAATATGTGAATATAGTACTGAAAATTTGAATCAAGAGCTCATGAACCATGAATTGAAGTTGGATCTAGTCTCAGTTAAAACATTACCCTCAAAAATTATCATGCTAGATAGCAGTAATGTATTAAAAGGACTATCACTCAGTAATCTTAACCTTGAGAATATTGCTGAAAATATTTCATCATTTGATGTGTTATATGACAAATTGGTATACATAAGCGTGCTGAAAGATATTTACGTCTCTGATACGATATCAAATGGGGTAAACAAAGAAATAATACTTCCGGAGTCGTTATCAGAGGAACTTGATGATGGTTATGAAGCTTTGGATATAAAAATCTTGTCTGAAAATGAGTACTTTGTGGTATTTGGTAATAATGTCTCACCTGATGAAAGTGATCCATCTTATGATCATAAAACCTACGTGGTATCACAAAAGGAAGAATCAGTAGTATATCAGGAAACATTCGATATTGCGCCAGCATTTGCATCCGTCTTGCGATACCCTTGTTATTATAATGTTATACTACCGGGAATATTTGAAGAAGATAAAAACGTGAATATAATAGGGTCAGCAACATCGAGTGAAATTTCTGTATGGGACTCAGTTAATGTAGTACAACCTGATCAAGACAGCGAGAGAGCAGTTTTTCCTATCAGTAAAGAAACAGATGAAGATACAACCCCAATTGGTATGTGTCTGGACTTTAGTACAGTTGGTGAAATACCAGAACCTTGCCCAGGTGTCGATAACACTGACTCTTTACCTCTAGTATACTCTTTAACCAATGAAGGTTTCCTGCAAATCAATGGCTTTTATCATACAGGGTTAATTAAAGCTGGTAAATATGACATAAAGTTGCTTGGAGAGAGAATTTACTCCATATATGAACAAGATGGAGGTGAAGTAGAAGAAGGAAAAAATGATGAGCCAATAGGAGATTTCCAACCCACCATTTCTGAAGATAAAGAAGAAGAATTGAAAAACTCTAACAACTTTGAGTTATCAAAGAAATCACCATTTAGTGGTCTTGATAAATTGTCAAAAAAACCTTCCTTTAGTTCAATGACATTACAGATAGATGATGAAGTCAAAAAAAATGACACAAATAAGACTTTCGAGTTCGGGAAGACATCTTTTGGAAAGCCAGGATTTGGAACCAATTCTTCGAATAATTTCGGCTCTGTTTCACTTGATTCTGCTGACAACAAGTCCATCTTTTCAAAAACATCTACTGAAACCAACTCCACAGAACCAGCATTTGGAAAACCAGCATTTGGAAAACCAGCATTTGGTGCTTTGTCTGATATCAAGTTGTCGCCAAGTAATGAACCTGTAATAAATGACAACACTACACCTCCTTCTAATATTTCAAAAAATGATGCAGGAAGTTCGGCATTTGCGAAGCCTACTTTTGGTAACACGGCATTTGGATCATTGTCTTCTTCAGCAAATTCGGAAAATAACAACATTAATAACTCACCATTTGGAAAGCCAGCATTTGGTAGTACAGGTTTTGGATCTTCCAGTTCTATTGATAAACCAACATTTGGAAGTACCGCATTTGCTAGTACAAATACTAATAGTACCTCTTTTGGAAATCCTTCATTTGCCAACATAGGAAGTGATAATAATTCTTTTGGGAAACCAGCATTTGGAAGCACAGCGTTTGGTACACCGGCATTTTCAATCAAAACTGAGAAGAATGATACTGATAGTTCACCATTTGGAAAGCCAGCATTTGGTAGTACAGGTTTTGGATCTTCCAGTTCTATTGATAAACCAACATTTGGAAGTACCACGTTTGGTAGCTCAAATACTAATAGTACCTCTTTTGGAAACCCTTCATTTGGTAGCACTGCATTTGCTGCTACCACAAATGCCACATCTCCATTTGCCAAACTAGCTTCTAATTCTTTCAGGTCAGAAACGCCAAAACTTGATAGTCTGAATTTATCTTCAGATAATGAAAAACCATCTTCTGATGATGAAAATTCTGAATCTGTATCTGATCGCGAGAAGTCTATTGAAGAAGAACACGATTCTGAATTTCATAAAGTTACTGACTCAAAACCTGATCTCGAAAAGCCTGTCGAAGTCGTAGACAAAAACTTAAAATCTGATACAGCCTCACCAATTGTGGATAATATTGAAGCAGCACAGTCTAATTCATCAAATATCTTAAATTTAAGTAATTCACCATTTGCGAAATCTGCTTTTGAAAAGTCTACAGGACAATCTCCTTTTTCTAACTCATTTTCAAATTTAAATTGTGATAGCAAGCGCGAATCTCAAGTCGATAACGCATCATCATCCCCATTTGCAAAGTTATCTACAAACACACATGAAAAAAGTAAAGTTGATAATGGCTCAGAAAAAGAAGGTGTACACGAGGTACAGAACTCTGACGAAGCTGAATTTTCTGATTCGACTGTCGAGCAAACCCCACTAGCAGACCTCGATGAGTCCAAGGGTCAAGTGGCATCCCCATCCATTTCATCTCTGACGGAAAGAATAAAACAAAAAGCTCAGATTAGTGCTGAAGATTTGAAATCGCCAACTTTAACCTCCTTCAATTCTAGCAATGCCAATGCAGGCTCACCATTTTCATCATATGCCAGTAAACTAGGACAAGTTCCAGCTAGCACACCGATATTTAAATTTACTAATAATACAGCTCACAAAGATTCTAGAGAGGTGACCACTGAAGATGGCGTTTCAGATGATAATAATAATAATAATAATAATAATAATAATAAGAGAAATAGTGAAATTGCTGATTGTGTTACAACTTCGTCAAGTAGTCAGGATACTAAAGAAAGTTCTGCTGAGAGAAAAGCATCCGGTGAAGGCGACAATGAACCACTTGATGACAAGGATATTGGTATATCCGAAAGTGAAAAAAGCCAAACATCAGAAGAGGAGCAGTGGGAGGTAGTATCAACTGATAGTGACGCCCATAAATCAGTAAACGATACTAAAAAGAATAATAATGATGAAGCAGACACTGAGTGTGACAATTTGAGAAAGGAGGATGATATCCAAAAGGACAAAGAATTGGATCAACAGGTTAAGGTTCAAGATTTCACAAGCTCTGATATAGTATCTGCGACCGAAGATGTTTCTGTGTCCGCACAACCAAAGAATGATGGTTCTGGACAGCTACTTTCTTGCCCTCAAAATGTCATTGAAGCTGATAATAAATCTGAATATAATGATTTTGACAATGAGAAAGGTAATACAGGGCTATTATCAACTACAGCTATGGATAAAACGTCTGAGACCTCAACTTCAACACAAACTGCTAATATTCTACACTGTGATTTTGAAGTTGAATCATTTGAGGATGATGAGTTGTATTTATCAATCCAAAACAAACCCAATTTTGATACGAGATATTATGTAGGGGCCAATACCAAAGGTATGTCAATTACTTCAGAAGATAAGACAGTCCAACTAATGGAAAAAACTGTACAATTAATTGATGCAGAATTATCGGTTTTATTTGATAATATTGATATTTTAGATAGAAATTTCAAAGATCAATCTACGAACGTTATGCATAAAACTTCTCGGTCATTGGAATTGTCAAATATTTGGAGAATGTCAGAATATCAGACATTCATGACCATATTGGATGATCTTGTCGAGAAGCAGCAAATATACAGCGCTGATCGACTTGGAGAAAGCGATGAAATCAATGCATTTAAACTGCGTGATGAAAATGTTATAAAAGAAAGGTGTGATGCTGTTGTCTCCAAGCTAGCAAGGTATAGCATTTTAATGACATCTCAATCAGCGGCTTTACCTTTATCAAGAAGCCAAGAAGCGCTAAGAAACACTATTAGACAAAAAATGCAATCAGCTGTCAATAAACTTGAAAGACTACAAACTATTCTCGATACAATGAAAATCTCAATTAGTAGAGCTCAAGGCAACTCTGTAAAGCCTATGATTGCGAATATTGAAGAAAAGTATCTCTCTCACATTGAGTTATTGGACACAATAAATCGTGTTGAAAAGAAAATCCAAAGCTTACAACTGGGTGAATTGAGATCGAAAAAAACAGCAGTCGACACAAATGCCGAGGTTGATACAAATATTGGCAAAATAGACATAACATCTTTGAGCATGAAGGTTGATACGAGAAAGCAAATTGGAGATTATTTTAAGCACTCTTGAGTCCTTAATTGTCTGTTTAGCATGTTTTTATTCTGTTATATCTCATTATTACGATAAATAAGACCATTATATATTAATTGGATGATATTTTTAGAAATTTCTTTTATGGATTGTAGGAAGAAAGACATTTCTTGAACTCTGAAATTAATGTCGTGTTTTCTTCAACAGTCCCCACCGTTATTCTTAAACAACCTTTGCATCCTATTTCATTTCCTCTAAATCTGACAACAACACCGGATTGCGTGGCTAATTTATAATATACTTCTTTAGCCATGTCATTATCACCTCCATGAATTCTCACCATTATAAAGTTAGCATCCAGTCCACCAACATGATGTTTATCAATTAATGGTAGTGCGGTTAATTCTTTCAATAATCTGACCTTCTCTTTATTGATTTCTCTGGAGGTTTTCTCCATCAAAGTAATGTTTTCCTTCGTTAGAGCTTTTGTTGCAAATTCTGATGTTATTGAGGAGATATTATATGGTGCTTTCATTGCATTTAAGATTGCTGCAAAATCAGCAGTGGCAAATGTCATTCCTAATCTAATACCAGCTAGGCCAAAAGATTTGGACAGTGTTTGTAATGTGATCAAGTTTGGGTATTTTGTAACTAAGGGAGCGGTCGAACCACCGCAAAAGTCAATATAAGCTTCATCAACAACTACAAACCCTCCATCCCAGCTTTCTAGTATCTTAATAATAATATTGGAATCTATCTTGGCACCAGTTGGATTACCTGGAGATGTTAAGAACACTAGTTTGATCAATGGATCGCTCGATAAAATGCTGATAACTTTCTGAGAATCAGGTTGGAATGAATTATCTTCGTAAATCAAAGGGCATTCAAGGACTTCAACGTCATTGATATTTGCGCAAACTGAGTACATCGAATATGTTGGTGGTAAAGTCAGTATTTTCTCTTTGCCCGGCACACAGCAGGCTCTTATAACTGCATCTATGCTTTCATCAGAACCCACGCCTAAACACAAGTTGTCCTCGGTGAGGGGTGGTAGAGATAAATCCTTGAAGGATGAGCTGTTGTTTCTATAAGTAGCCATTTGCCTCTTAAATTCCAATTGGTGGGGATCAGGATACCTATGTAAATTAGTGTCCTGGTGGCCGACAAGTCGTGGGCCATGTGGGTTTTCATTAGCATCTAATAAAATACCCTCTGTGAAATCATCACGAGCACAACGGTACGGCTCAAGGTTAAATATCTTAGGTCTTACTATCTTCTGTAAATCGAATGTCATCGGTATAACGGTACTCAATTGAGTCGGTGGTTTATTTTTATCTCTGCATGAACTAATATTACATCAAACAGCAAATTGAAGGTATGGAAGAGATATCTTCTAATGGGAATAAATATGTACTTTTTATACATTTATGTCGCATTGTTGCCTGAAGCAATGACCAACTATGACTAATTTGCATTAGGGATTTGGTTTGACTTCTTCTCGGAACCCTTTTAGAGTCATATAATACGTGTTCTATGGTATCACCAAATATCGAATAGCAATAGCCATGCTAAATTATCTAGAAATCATTTGGCATCTAATACATCAGCTGGTAGTATACCCAGCGCAGAGACACTTTGGCTGTTGCTCGTGTTACAAATGTTACAAAATCCCGGACAAAACGCCATATAACGCAATGCAACTAGTCAGATTAACAAAGACAAAGGCATCTTATGAGGAAAAACTTCTACTTGTTGTAGTGGCCTAGTGTCATATGCCATATGCACTGCCTTATCTTGTAGCATCTGTGGCATTTACCAACTCTTGGCTCCTAAATACTGCATGTTCCATTATTCAGTAATTTTTTTCAGTTTTTCATTTTTTCATGCGCAAGATGGAGGGCATCGCAAACTGCAAAAACCAAATTTTTTTCACTGGAAAGGCAAACTATATCAGCATAAGCTGGTATATCTTGGTAACCTTTACACTGATTCCAGCCAAAAGATCAGGCGTAACACATACTAAGCAATGGCAGGTAAGAAAGGGAAAGGTGTTCCCCCCAAAAAGAACGATGACATGGATGTCGAAGACCGTTTGCAGGCTGTTGTCCTTACGGATTCCTACGAGACCAGATTCATGCCATTGACTGCATCTAAACCTCGTTGTCTGATGCCATTGGCGAATGTCCCACTGATCGAGTATACACTAGAATTTCTAGCCAAGGCAGGCGCTGATGAGGTCTTCCTAGCTTGTAGTGCGCACGCCAAGCAAGTCGACGAGTATATTGAGCAATCCAAGTGGAACTTGCCCTGGTCTCCTTTCAAAGTTACCACTTTGATGAACCCGGAAGCCAGGTCTATTGGTGATGTGATGAGAGACCTGGATAACAGAGGTATCATAACAGGCGACTTCATTCTTGTCAGTGGTGATGTCGTCACTAACATTGACTTTTCGAAGATGTTGAGTTTCCACAAGGAAATGCATGCGAAGGACAAAGACCATATTGCTACAATGTGTCTGAACAAGGCCAGCCAGTATTATATGACAAGAACCATAGAACCAGCTTGTTTCGTCTTGGAGAAATCGACGAACAGATGTCTATATTACCAGGATATGCCATCACCAAATTCAAGATCTAGGAAAGTCTTAGATGTTGATCCCGAACTTTTGGAAAATGTGGATTCTTTCTCAATGAGAAACGACTTGATTGATTGTAGAATTGATATATGCACACCTCACGTTCCGCCTATTTTCCAAGACAACTTCGATTATCAATCCTTGAGATCTGACTTTTTAAAAGGTGTTATTTCCAGTGATCTGTTAGGCAAACACATTTATGCTTACATAACTGATGAATATGCAGTTAGAGCCGAAAGCTGGCACTCATTTGATACCATATCACAGGATTTCTTAGGTAGACTTTGTTATCCGTTAGTCCTGGAGTCCAACATCCAGGAAGACCAAACATACTCTTACGAATCAGGTCACATTTACAAAGAAAAGGATGTTGTCCTTGCACAGTCATGTAAGATAGGAAAATGCACAGCCATTGGAGCTGGTACCAAGATTGGAGAGAGAACAGTGGTTGAAAACTGTGTCATTGGTAGAAACTGTATAATTGGCGAAAACATCAATATCAAGAACAGTTATATTTGGGATAATACGGTCATTGGCAATGGTTGTAATATCTCTCATTGTATTGTCGCCTCAAACACAAAGATGGGAGCAAACGTTATCTTGAATGATGGATGTATCATTGGCTTCGATGTTGTTATTGAGGATAACAAAGAAATACCGGCAGGCAGTAAAATATCTAGTGTTCCAGTTGCAAGCAGCCGTTCAAGACTTCCTGCATCTGATGGTTATGATGATGAAGATGACGATGAGGAATACTCTGAGACCTTTGATGACACCACGCAGCAAGCTTTGGCTTCTGAACTAGTTGGGGAACATGGTGTAGGTTACGTCTACGAGAGTGATGCTTCTGATATAGAAGAGTATGATGAAGACGAGTGTTTCAAGATAGTGAATAGCTTGAGGCAGCAAGTCGAAGATATATACCTGAGTGATAACTCCATATCATCGACTAAGAGGAGAACTAAGAAGAAGAGAACCATGTCTACGAACAGTGTATACACTGATCGCGAAGACTACTTGTCAGATGAGGAGGAAGGAGAAGATTTCTTGGTCGAGGGTATTGCCACTGTAGAGAGAGCCATCGAGAACGATCACGATCTAGATACAGCCCTATTGGAGTTAAACACATTAAGAATGAGTATGAACGTCACATACCATGAGGTTAGATTAGCCACAGCCACAGCACTGGTGAGAAGAGTGTATCACTTCATAGAGACACAGACCTTGGGGCCTAAAGAAGCCGTCCCCAAAGTGTTCGGCCAATGGGGTGCACTTTTCAACAGACAAGTGTTCGAGCCCGAGGAGTACCTGGATTTGATGAACATCCTGATGGAGATTATCGCCGAGCAGAAATTCGAGAAACCGGAGTTCATCCTGTTCAGTGCTCTGAATACCTTGTATGACAACGATATCTTGGAGGAAGACTCCATATATGAGTGGTGGGACAACGTCTCGCAGGACAGCAAATACGACCAAGTCAAGACCCTCACAGCCAAGTGGGTCGATTGGCTCAGGAACGCAGAAGAAGAGTCCGACGACGAGTGATCGTACCTCTATGTCTCGTATATACTTTTAATAGTTTTTTTATTTTTTTGCTACTTCAATAATTTACAGTAAAGGGACATCTCCCGTTAAAACTCTAACATGATCGTCGTATCCCCAACCTCGGCGATCAGTTGCTAGCCAGCATACGATCAACTGTCCCGCTGTAACCCAGTGCAAAACCGTCAATCACCCAGCGTTTCCATGCGTCAAGGAACGGATGTGGTAATCCGCCCCACACAAATAGCCGAAGAAACCAAGAGTTCCCTTCCAAGAGCAGATCTCTGAGGAAATTCTTTTGGCACCTTGTTGCACAGAAACACCCGTATCCCACCTTCACCCCCCATTGTTCGCTCATCATTTTCTTTCTTTTTTTTCTATCTTGCTTTAACCCAAAACGGAGCACTCCTCTCTGCGGGTGTTCCTCAGCGAATACCGACAAGCAGCTGAATATGGGTTTTGGCTCATCAGAATACGAACTGCTCACTTGCCAGTGATCGTATCAATCCTGAGTTGGCCCTGGGTTGCTGGACTTGCATTGTGACATGTAGAGGGTTTAGGAAGCCCAGTGGTGGTGGTGGTACCTAGTGGTGGTACCTTGATCTGTCTTTGACAGAGTGATAAATTGGCACTGGAGCGAAAAGTTTTTCTGTTCGATCTCTGAGCTCATCGATTCCAGGAAAACGCAAAAAGTCTCTGGTTCTTGTTTATACGAGCTTTCGATTGTTCAGGAGGGGAGTCTTTATGGGTTTTGACGTTTGCGACGCAAGTTTATATGCAATTGAGCCATACTGTGAAGGTGCTTTTGGGATCTTAGAGAGTGTGTCAGTGAATTGGGGAGAGGTAGGAGAGTAATAGCACATCGTATAGCGCTTTTCGACCAAATTTTTAGCGATAGTGAGACTGCATAGGGCATCAGACACAGCATATGGCAGACCTTAGTAATTTGCCGAGTACTGATTGAGCAAAGATAGCATTAAGTCTTAGTTGTTTATCATCAAAACCACTGTTGGGTTTATTTTGGGTGTGATCAATGACAGCTGACATAGAGGATACTAAAGCCAAAGCTATTGGAAAGCGGAGCAAAGAGATAGAGCTCATTGAAGTCAATGGTAAGCGGGTAAGCAAGACCAGCACTGGGAAGCGGAAGTTCCACAAGAAGTCCAAGACTGGATGCGACAACTGTAAGAGAAGAAGGGTGAAATGTGACGAGGGTAAACCTGGTTGCAAAAAATGTAGCAACCTAAACTTGGTGTGTGTGTACTCTACAGTTGTGGATAATAAAGTGGCGAAAAAGACAACGAGCAGGAAGGGTAAGTCCCCTGGTGCAAATAGCTTAGAAAACTCGGACGATAATACGAGGCGATCGGTTTCACCACAATTGTCACAATCTACTCCCGATACTAAAGTAAATACAGAACTGTCAGGTGTATCAGATAAAAACTCATTGGTCCAGAGTCCAGTGCTCCCAAATATTTCTAATACTCCTTTATCTGCAGAAGCGTTATTGAATGGTAAATTGGGTAATATCGCGTTACAATTACAAGAGCATGCAAACATTGCTGCATCAGAAACAGCATATCCAACGACTGTCAATAATACTCATGGTCAGGCTAACTCCACAGCCAAAATAGTACAGGAGCAACGGAGACTACTAGAACAACTGTCGCCTTCTCTGAATCTGCTTACACCCGAGCGAAATTCGGTTTCATCTCCAGGTGCAACCACAGGAACAGAAAGCAACTTGCTATCTCAGATATTAGCTGGTTTGTTTGGACAACAACAAACTGCTGCTGGTGTATCATCGAATACACAGCAGCAGCAGCAGCAGCAGCCGTTACAACAGCTTTTGCAGCACTTACAGCCACCTGTGATGCAACAAAATGGGCTTCAGCAGCCTTCCAATTATAGAGAACGTCTACCATCAATTTCTATGGATTTGAATGGGAGTCCTGGTTTGCAATACAATACACCTTCTACTACAAATAATGCAACTACAAATACATTGCTGAATAGTATACTAGCGTCAACACTGAATCCGATTTCGTTGGGGAAGGGCAGCACTTCTGCTGTGCAAGCAAATAGCTCCGATGGTTTGATGGGAGCAACAAGTACACGAAACGAAGACAGTATCGGCAATGCTTTGCCCTTTTCAACTGACGCTATATCACAATTAACAAAATTAAATCTCAATTCATTTCCTACAGCTGGTATAGGTGGTATTTCCTATGATTTTCACGAATTATTTGGTATAAAATATAATCATACAAATAACAGAGCTATAAAAGTCAGTTCTGCTGAAGAAGCATTGGCTAATATGCAAGAACATCGAGAAAGGGAGCAAGCCTCAAAAATCAGTGAGAAGCAAAAACAAGCAGCGGAACAAGAAACTAGAAATTCTGAAAATGGAGTTATCAACAAGCAGAACTCGATAGGCATAAATGCAAGTAGCGAAAACTCCGTTTCTGCTTCTAGCGTCTCAGAGAACTTTCTAAATTCGACATCTACTGCTGAACAGCAATATACTAATCTCGGTAATGATGTCTCAAATCTCATCAACCTGAAAGATGTAGCTCCATTAAACGGAAATGACAATATGAATATGATGTCCCCACTCATTAAAAGTTCTTTGGACAAATCTGCAGTTCCAGAAAATCCTGGAAATGATTTATTGAATACCAAAAGTCCATCAACATTTGACGGTATATCTATGGATATGGTTCAGAATCAAACCACTGAAAGAAAGAATGAAAACAATAATGGATCGATTGGAAGAAATAATTCCTCTAATAATATTAGTATGACACCGTTAAACACAAATACTACTAGTTCAGGTATTTCAGACTTTGCAGGTAAAACTGCTAGTCCTTCTATCCCACATCTGATTGAATTGTCATCCAAGACAAGTTTGGGATTAGTCGACTTGAAGCTATTTCATCATTACTGTACTGAGGTTTGGCCTACTATAATTGCAGTTGGAATTTCGAGTCCGGAAGTGTGGGGGACTTACTTACCCGATTTAGCTTTCAAATATCCATTTTTGATGCACTCTATGTTGGCCTTCAGTGCTACACATTTGTCAAGAACACAACCGGGACTGGATGATTATGTGGCATCGCATAGATTATCTGCATTAAAGTTATTAAGAGAGGCTGTATTAGAAATTTCAGATGATAACACAGATGCATTGGTGGCCAGTTCTTTAATTCTAATCATGGATTCTTTAGCCAATGCTTCAAATTCAAACCCTACTGCTTGGATTTTCCATGTTAAAGGGGCTGTCACTATATTAACTGCAGTGTGGCCACTGCCTGAGACATCTAAATTTTACAACCTTATTTCAGTTGATTTAAGTGATTTAGGTGAAATTGTTGATAAAGATACTGGCACCATTACTGAGCTGGTCTGTTGTGATGATGATATTGCAGATTTATATCCAGTTGACTTAGATTCCCCATATTTAATCACATTGGCTTATTTGGACAAACTTTATAGGGAGAAGAACCAATTAGATTATATCCTTCGTGTTTTCGCATTCCCAGCATTGTTGGATAGAACGTTTTTGACCTTGCTGATGACGGGTGATTTAGGAGCTATGAGAATAATGAGGAGTTACTACAAACTTTTGAGAAATTATACTACCGAAATTATGGATCGTGCTTGGTTTCTTGAAGGTGTTTCTCAAGTGTTGCCTAGAGATGTTGATGATTATAGTGGTGGTGGTGGAATGCATATGATGTTGGATTTCTTGGGTGGTGGATTACCGTCTATGACCACGACCAATTTGTCGGATTTTATGTAATGAGTTTATTGTTCTTTTGTAGTTCTTTCAAAGATACATTTATGGTATACTGTACGTTGATATTACTATTATTTGAGAATTTAATGTTTTGATGATATATCAAGCCATTTTTGTAACAGTCTTGAAGCGTATAAATGGCCTAGGTCAGTTTGAAATCAACTTGTCTAACGGAAAGATACTGAATACCAAATGAAAATGTTGTCTTATTATTGTATATATACTATTTAGACAACTAAAAATTGATAATATGCATGATTATTAACTAGACCTTCGTTTTGTATTTCTCGTACATTGCGTCTACTTTTGATTGAATGTGTTCCATAAATTCCTTACTGACGTTACCTTCTCTAATATGTTCATAATCAAACAATTCTTCATTGCTATGGCAGAAATCGTTGTCTTCGTCCGTTATATTCCTTATCATTTCCTCTGAAATATGCAATTTACTTCCTTTATTACTCTTTAGATCAAAAAAATTATCTTCCAAAATGCGATAATCCATAAATGTTTCCACAAGTTCTTGTGTATTGAATTTCAGTGAAGGGAGAAGAACTCGAGAGAAAAAATTTTTTGGGTACCTGAAGTTTTTATCTACAAGTCTTTTGTATTCTAGTCCACAATATATAAGACTCATCACAACAAACTTGTAGCCATCACAGAGCAGAGTCACTGGCTGAGTCATTCCCTGTACAATAAACATTCTGGACTCCTGCAGAATTTTAGGGAAAGCAGTTTTTTTGAATTCATCTGGAAGAATATCATCTCTATTAAATCGATAAAAGCCGCTAAATATTTCTTCAATTAGCTCACGTGCATTTCCAACACCATCATTGAAATCAAACCCAAATTGACAGAGTAGTTTCTTCTCATTCTTCACCAATCTATCTCTGAACTCCCACTTCAGTTTATCCATGTTTGGCCTTGGTCCGGCATTTCCAACTGGTATCTTATGTATTGTTACAAACTCACACGTTGACTTAACGTAAGCATCGATGGGTCTATTATTCTCCATTGTTTTACAAGCTGTAACCAAAATAGCCTGGGAGATATGTATACTGTCTAATAAGTTATATGACAGTCCATAGTAATACCAATATCTAAAAAATAATATTGAGGCTTCGACATATGTGTAGTCAAATAAGTTCAACGATTTCTTCATGAAGTAAAGATACATGAGACATTTTTCCATCAACTTCTTCATTTCAGCGGTTTTATGCACATCTGTCCCAAGTCTATCAATAATCTCTTTGCAGGTAAAAATCCATCTATTTTGCGGTAACCTTATTACATCTGGCCAAAGTACTCGCGGATTAAAGGTTCCTGTCTGTTCATCCATTATTTATACAGAAATGTTAGTGTGCTAGATCAAAACCAGCCATTGACAGAGTAGTCAAGTCCTGGTAATATGTCCTCGATTTGCTTATTCAAAAAAATGAAATACGGGCTCCAGTTTTCCACAGTAAAGATGTTGAAAGTCTTTCTTCTTGAAACAGAGCAACCTGCAGCACAAATAGATGATATGGCAATTTTATAGATATTCCTTTAGCTAGTTCTGCCAATTCATGAACTTATCCACATTACTACCATCGTTTCTATAGTTAATTGAATATTCCAATTCACCGGTCAGTCTGCTCTTCCAGAAATCTGTGCTGCAGAGTATCAGCTAGTATAGAGTGATGATAATAAGCACTCTCTATTGAACCAACCGTTAGCTAATTCACCATCGTTTCATCTGAAATGTAGCTCAATGAAACATAAAAAAATAGATTTAAGTCGGTAGTTATGGTTGTTCAATAGCTTCGCTATCAGACCCACCTCTATAAAAGTATGTATGTAATTGGACAATGAATGAAGAAGTTATGTGCTTCTTCCATTTGTTTCTCTACAATAAATGATTCAAAATTTATAACTCATAGACCTCCTGCTTTTGTATTCCATACTTTGATTAGCCGGATAATACATCAAGAGTGCCCCATTCTGTTTTTCATTCTAATCCAAATCTTTTGTAGGTCTCCGTTCAGTAAAACTAATGCCATACACCCCACAGCGCAGCCTTTTTCTTAATACAGAAAGTACTTCCTTATTATATTCATAGGATATGTGATCTCTATGTGACTCGTTTTGTAACCTTTTTCTCATTAAAGATAAGCAGTATATTTGTTCCCAGTAATTAAAAGGGATCATTTCTTCTGACAAGCATACTTTCCTTGCTAGTAAACCAGATCCATGCTTGAATAAACAGAGCTTGTATCCTAGTATCTCGATCTCCTTGTTTTCTAGAATCTTGTTCTGAAGATGGGTATCTTCGAAATATGACTCAAGTATTATCGCAGGTGTATCAAGCTCACTCACTTTATGCTGGCCTAGTCTGACAAGGAATATGCCATTAACTTCATCTCCATAATCAGAATATATCAGTTCATGAATATTAATAGGTGCTGAAAGTGTATGGTTTTTATCAATTGCAGTACAAACTTTTGGGATATATCTTAATGAGGTTCTTTGCCGTATTTTGAAATAGGCATAAACTGTATAACTCCCGGGTAGTATTGCGGCCACAGACAATGAAAGTTTATGTGAAAGAGGACTGATTAATTGTATTGATCCCGAACTAGCAATGCAATAGTTGACTGGCTTTACAATACCACATATCAGGATATTGTATATGATGAACCAAGAGTCATTGAGATATTCATGATTGCCAAGTGGAAGGCGGTCAGTGGCTAGAAGCTTTCTACTCTCCTTCCTCCAGCTATCCATACTTCTCACATATGATATTAATGCATTTTTAGTTTCATAAGACAATCGAACTAGATAGGGCTCACATTTGGAATAGTAAATATCATTGACTAGCCTATGGTAATATGTGTTAAGAGTTCTTATTTGGCAGGGATATTGATCTATAATTCGCAGTGTAATTTCTATTGGGAGATTCATGCCAAGCGCACATCAGGAAATGGACAATGCAATACGATATATCTGGTTAGCTTTCTGTCTACCAGCACCGGATAGTTGGTAACTGTATTTTATAACTGAGTTTGTCATTGTTGCCTTACAATAGATGATCTCTCCGCGAGGCTCTCGCGCTGGGATCCGGTGAAGGTTCTTTAATATTAGATATAAGAGCCTATAAAATCTAAAATCAATGAAATAAATCAACAGTCAATATCAGTGTAGTTGAGGAATAGCAACTATACAGTAGTGACATTATAATGGTACTACAGTATTGCAAAATTGGCGTTTAATCAGAATCATTTAGATAACAGCCGTGTAAATAACTCCTTACTTTATAATGTGAGCTATATCAGATATGTCCGTTGTGCATGTTTTAGCATGACCCCATGAACCTACTGCTAAGGGATATAGATTTACTGGCCAGTGTATGACATTGTTTTATAGCTCAGTCTGTATCGGTGCATGTGCTGCGTAATTCACCCACATTGTTGTTGCTTTTCAGTTCTACTATCGTAGATTCTTGATCCAACGTTCAATCCAAACTAATAGCCAAGAAATATAATATAGGCAAGATGATGTTGATATGCAAATAATTACAATTGGAAATAAAACTATACACCCGATACTTTTCGGTTCTTTATATAGCCAGGTTAAGTTTGTATTGAGTGGATCTAGCCAACCCTTAACGCTAAGACAACATATACGTTACAAGCTGCTAAACTACTACCATAACCGATAGAGTCATAACAGGGAGCTTCGATTGTCAGTCAAGAAAAGGACCTGTAAGTATGGATTGCATTAAATGGCAGTGTTTCTGTTATACGATTAGAAATCAAACTTTGTACTAAATCATTGAGTAGTGTAATTGACGAGGCACATAAATGAAGCATAAATCATTATGTGCTTCAGTACAAAAAAAGACTAGCAACATTTCAGAGATCTTAAATTAATTTAATATACATTCTTCAACAGAGGATAGGGCTAATCCTACCCACTAAGGATAAAAAGTCTAAATATAACGAACAAAAACTAAGCTTTGCAGGAAAGCATGTCTGCATACAACTGTCGCATGCTTAGAACAGCGCCATGACCAGTCCTGCAATAGCAAAGGAAACAAAGTTGGCACCGCTCTGTGCAGCTTCACCATGGAACACAGACCCAATGTATGAAGAACTGACTGAAACAGTGGCTGCTCCGCTACCCGAACCACCTCTGACAGCAGACGCAGAGTTGGAGCCAGAGTTGGAGCCAGAGTTAGAGCCAGAGTTGGAGCCAGAGTTGGAGCCAGCATTGGAACCAGAGTTAGTACCTGAATTGGTACCACTGTTAGAGCCAGAGTTGGAGCCAGCATTAGAGCCAGCATTGGAGCCAGAGTTAGTACCTGAATTGGTACCACTGTTAGAGCCAGAGTTGGAGCCAGCATTAGAGCCAGCATTGGAGCCAGAGTTGGAACCAGAGTTGGAACCAGAGTTAGTACCTGAATTGGTACCACTGTTAGAGCCAGAGTTGGAGCCAGCATTAGAGCCAGAGTTAGAACCTGAATTAGAACCAGGCTTGGTACCACTGTTAGAGCCAGCATTGGAGCCAGCATTGGAGCCAGCATTGGAGCCAGCATTGGAGCCAGCATTGGAGCCAGCATTGGAACCAGAGTTGGAACCAGAGTTGGAACCAGAGTTGGAACCAGGCTTGGTACCACTGTTAGAGCCAGAGTTGGAAGCTGAGTTGGAGCCAGAGTTGGAGCCAGAGTTAGTACCAGAGTTAGAACCAGAGTTAGAACCACCATTGGTATTACCGTTAGAACCACCAGGATTAGAGCTAGGCTTCGAACTAGAATTGGAGCCGGTAGGATTGGAACTAGGTCTCGAGTTGGAGCTAGAAATGGAGCTAGAAATAGATCTAGGAGCAGAGCTAGGAGCAGAGCTAGGACCAGAGCTAGGACCAGAGCTAACACCAGAACCACCAGTAGGCACCATAGAGGTGTCTACTGAACGAGAAACGTTAGACGACACAGACACACTAGGAGAGTAGAACACCGCACCGTCGTCCACACGGTCGTAAGTCAGGTACGTAGAGGATAGCACAACTGTGTGGCCAAGGGAGTCCGTGGTGGTCACATGCGTAACAATCTTAGTAATGGTGTGTCCATCAGAGACAAACACAGAGGTGTAGTCCGCCTCCCCGCCATCACTTGGCTTCAATGGGATCGTGGTGACGATGGTGGTAGGCTTGCCGTTGGAGTCCTTCGTGGTGATGTGGGAGACGAGGTCTGTCTCGAAGTCACCGTTGTCCTTGTCGATCGTCGTGGTGTAGTCTGGTTCCTCTGGAATGATCGTCGACACCGTCGTCGTCCCAGTACGTGTCACTCCGTCCTCACCCTCAGATGGGAAGTACGAGATCACAACCGTCTTCGAGCTTCCGTCATCATCAGTAACTGTGCTCGTCACAACAGGTAGCTGCGAGTATGGCTCAGGCGACGTGAACACTCCCTCGTCCACCTGCGCGAACGACGCCATCGTCGTCGTGATCGTCACCGTCTTCCCGTCAGAATCAGTAGTGGTGATGTGCGACACAACCTCAGTGATCGTGTGCCCATCGGAGGTGATGGTGGTGGTGTAGTCTTGCTCAGCAGGTGTGATGGTGGAGATGGTGGTGGTGCCAGTGCGGGTCACTCCGTCCTCACCCTCAGATGGGAAGTACGAGATCACAACCGTCTTAGAGCTTCCGTCATCCTCAGTAACTGTGCTCGTCACAACAGGTGGCTGCGAGTATGGCTCAGGCGACGTGAACACTCCCTCGTCCACCTGGTCGAACGACGCCATCGTGGTGGTGATCGTTACCGTCTTCCCGTCAGAATCAGTAGTGGTGATGTGCGACACTACCTCGGTGATCGTGTGCCCATCAGACGTGTAAGTCGTCGTGTAGTCTGGCTCTTCCACCTTGACCGTGACAGTTTTAGTAGCAATGTGTTGCCCAGTATCATCTGACGCAATGTAGTACGTAATAATATCAACCTCCACTAGACGGTCTTTCGAGACAGTGGTGGTGAAAAATGGGCACGAGGTTGAGTTACCTAAGTTTGTATGATGAAGAGAATGCTCAAAGTTAGAATAAATGATCTCGTATGTTTCATAAACAGAACAAGGTTCGAGGCTGGTTCTCGTAATCACTTTATCTGAACGAATTGGACAATTCCGTCTTATAGCCCATTCGAAGTAGACACTATCTAAGTCCACCATGGTGCCATTCTTGTTTACCGTTCTTTTCTGTTGTATGAAGTTTACCTGGCCAATACATCTAGTGTCACAGAAGTCAAGATCGTCATTTGTGATTAAGTAAAAGGTATGTGTATTCTTGTTTGTCTGGATAGTTAATGGCAGATAGCACCCAATATCCTTGTCTGGTACTATAGCACCCAATTTGTATGACTGTATCGTTGTGTCGAACGACATATAAAATGGATATTCATACAGGGAACGTATTTTGACATTAAATGGTTTGGTGGCGACACTGTCTTTCACATTTATAGCATTAAAAGTATTTCTGTCACCCTGTCCCATCCAAACAGCACCATCAAATTTGGTTTCATCAGGGCTATCGAACCATAAAGTTGAGCCATCAGACGCAATTATAGTATCATCAGAATCGATTTGAACAGCTCCTTCAAAAAACATGTCAGAGTTGTGTAATGTAAATTCACCTAACTTATGTTTTGTACGTGGCGACAATTGCAAAGATTGGAAGTCATAAATCTTACTTTCTTCAACATCTATACTGCCAAAGTCCAGATATGCAGTACTTCCTTGTTTAACTGGCGTGGAAAAGACAAAACCACGGCCAGTAAAAGAATCACCAGTCATTACAATAGTCGAAGGTCCCGTAGCTTGATTGTTTGAAATCTCCATACCATTACCTGGCACAGATATTGAACCTCCATGATAAGTGAAAAAGTATCCTGGTCCTCCTGTGTGACCAGCTGATACCACAGAGAAATAAGTAGCAACGTTGATATTACCATTGACAGTAATTTCTTTAGCAATACCTCCAGTGTTCAGGATGTATCCGGCATCAGGCACATTAATATCACCATTGTATACATAGGTTGGGTCGCTAATAACAAAACTACCATCAGTAGCAGAGAGCACTCTTGATATCAGAGATATCAAAAGAACATAAATAGACCACATATTGGCTTGGTCTGAACTTGCTTATGAGATAGGTTTTAGCTTGTTCTCTGTTTCAGATGGTAAAGGAAAATGCTATTCCCAGAATGACATGATCAGAAAATGCACGAATTAGTGCCCTTTTTATATGTTTTCCTTTGACTTGTTTCATGGCGTTGGTCAATGAGCAAACTCTTTTTATCTGCCATGTACACTTCCAGTTCAGTACACACCTAAACACATAACTATTAACTTTAAAATAACAGTTAGGAATGAAAAAAATAGACAATAATTCTCGAGTACATGAATGTCATGCTCCCTTCTCCTATATCATGCCCAACCGTCTTATCGGCGATAATAGCAGCATTATATCATCACGGATTCACCGCAAAATAGCTGATTCCCAGCATGGCTTTCAGAGTAACCTAAAGATGGCAGTATTCTCTCTTTGGTATTTTGCGAACCTTATGCGGTGTGTTCTGTTCTATCATACACCATTATGTTATGATACTTTTGTTTACATTTGGAGGTCTGGCATTATCAAAAGTTAGCAACCGATTACGGCAATACTTACTAATGGCCTAAACGTCTAATCGGATTGAGTGGTGTCTCTTTCTGCATAGAGGAAGCTGTTTGATAGCAGCAATTGCATCACATTTCCTTTTCCAAATCCTTTCCCATTTGGCTTACATTTGTTGTTTGTTTGCTATCCCTGTCGAATGCAATTTCAGAATTTAAAAACACCAAATGTAGTAAATATCCATCCAGGGCATTCGTCAGATCCAGAGGACATTTCTGTTTCTAAATCATCAGTGTCCTGAGGAATAGCACAGAAATGGTAGACTTCCTTCCAGTGTCCCCTTGACTAACTATCGAAGAGGATTTACCATGAACGTTCAATAAAACCCAAATTAGTAAGTACTTCCATACTCTATAAGCCAATTATGGAATCTCGATTCTGAGAGGGTTAGCAAGAAGAAAAAAGGGAAAAAAAGAAAAACATCCAAGAGAGTTCCACTCGTGCATTTGTGCCCTTATTGCTTTATTAGGCTTCATTATATTATTTGCAGACCAGTGTCTCGATGACGTCAGTTGTTTGTAACTGGCACAACACATAGTACATAGGTTTCCCATGAGAATGAATACTTTGATCATCCTAATCTAAAAAGTTTGGGGTATGGCACTCTCGAAAAGCAACCTTCTGGTAGCAAAACAAACGAAAAAACATTATATTGTGGACAGAATTACTACAAGTTGATTTACTGTAGCAATACAAAAAAGCAACGACAAATATCAACATTGGCCGGTGTGGGATAGCCACCGGTAACAGTCTACCTCCTCTCAGACACACAAACCACCGCACACACTTGCAAACTCTAGCAGCTTTCTAATCATCCTAACAAGTCGCAATGTATAGAAACATACACCACCAAACAGACTCCATCATGTGCAGGAAACATGGCAGGCTGTATAGAGCCCAGAAAAAGAAATAAGCACATCAGAAAAGCAATAATAACTGGACGGCTACGGGGTCGTCTGTGTTTGTTTCACGGGTTCCTTACACCTTCCAAGTTAGTATCCGGATCTGGGATCCCCATAATTAAGGGGCTCACACCAATTTGTAATTCCATTTGTAATTCCATTTGTGATTTCATTTGTAATTCAACTGTAATTCAACTGTAATTCAGGAATAATTAATTACCATCCCTGGCCAGGCTGACTTGCCCGTCCCGGTAGATCAGTAGACAGTTTGGGAGACCCTGCTTGGTCTCTGGCCACTCCAGTGGTCATGGAATCAAACTACTTCCCTCACCAGCTTTTCTTTTTCCACACCGTACGGCAGCAGGGACAAATCACTGTCCCCCCATTTGTCCCACTGACAATCCCCCGACACCTTTTCTTTTTTGTCACTACACTCATATGTCCAGCAATACGACCCCTCCCCCACTCTTGTCCTCACATGTCCGTCCAGGACAAACACACTTTCCGCTCCACTGCTGATTCCCCGACATATCACTCTATCACTCTATCACTCTATCACTCCAGCTCCCAACATCCTCCTCGAACAATCCCTTCATCGCTACACCACTGCAAACCACACGATGGCACGCGATCAGCATAACATAACATAAACTCTACTATCCCACATCTCAAGCCTGCTCGCAAGCAGCCTCACTGGCATGACGATCTTACATATATGCCCTCGTCTTGTGCATCTTTGAGGATAAACCCCATATGCACCGACCTTGCCAGACTCTCTTGACAGATACCCTCATGGACACAACCTTGTTCATCATGCTCCAAAGTAATCTGATCCTAACTACTCCGAAACCACTCAGTAGCAATGTACATGCATAGTCATAGCCATGCTGTCTTTGCAGCTGGGTCTTACATATAAGCAACTACAATTGTCCAATTGACTAGACAACCGGCACTTGCTAACCCATGTCAATTGCCCATGTCTAGTCCTATCATTGTGGTCATGAGCCAAGTTCTCTGTTCAACTGTCTCCCCACTAGCTAGATGGAGACACCATAAACACCATTTGATCGGAAGACGAGCAGATCAATCTCATCACACCGGCTGCATGCCAGTGCCCTCCGCCAATGTGTCGTGTCTAGGTATGTGTATACCCATGGCTTGCTTTCAAACTGAAGGGAGGACTGGCCTCAAACTCCTCTTCTATAATAGATAGCATTATAAATACTATTACTGTTCTGTTCGAACAGTTATCTCGAGACTGTAGTGTGTATCCAGTATATGTATCATGTCGAGACTTCGGCAAGGAGAACGGTCACTTCTATTCTGGAAGTGGACAGATGACGCACACTCACACACGTACGTGTAAGCATACCGAACCCCATGACACAGGCAGGCCTTTTTAAAATTACACTTCGGTATGCAGTTCTTTTGGCAATCGACTGCAAAATATCCATATGAGGTTCAGAGCCCATTCAATGTAACGGAAACTGAGGTACCAGCTAGCAGCGCTGATTTGCACTGTAATTGCAAAAGCATATCGTTCTAACGGGTGCACAGCCATAATCACCGCCTGATGGAAAGAGACCAGAGACGTTATAGAACTTCTGTCCGTTCTAATTGGGGACATTCTGTTGGTGCATCTTCACCAGGCATACATGGACGAGTTCATATCCCTATGGCCAAATCAAATCCAGCACTATATCCCCTGTCACTGGTGCAACTTGTAAACGGTTGCACAGTCTAACAATTGCAGAACTTGGCCTTTTCCACCGAAGGTATCCAGAGGTCGTCATAATAACTACAAAACTGCAAGCTATTGGTAATAATGAAAGCACAGAGTAGGCTCAGAGGCGACCGACAACGGGGTCATACATAGAGTATTGGCAGATGAGGGAAAAGGGTACGGGAATAACGCCCATTTTTACGGCAATGAAGAGGAAGAGGACACCAAAGAGACACGGAATCAAACGTCCGAACATCTGGCAGAACGAGAGAGTTAACAGCATACTGGTGTAGTTCCTGTATCGTGGTTTGCGGCTCCCGTATCTCTGCCAGCCCGATCTGCTCACTCCCTCGTCCAAACCACTACGGTAGGCAGATTCTGTTCTGTCCGATAACATATTACCACACTCACATACTCAAGATCTTCCGTTGTGCTTCACACATTATCTGTTATTCTAACATTATTGTTTTTATTTATCATCAACCTGCAGCTACTCATCCCCGATGCCCAAGTCACATCCTATAATATATCCAAATGTGTAATGTCTCCAATCCAGTGGTACAATTCCGGTTGCTGGAGTCTGTGATTTGACCCTTTGTCTCAAGGTTAAAACTGACCTTCTAATCTTCTAAATGAACTCGAATTGTATTCTGCTGTGAGGATTATCATCTACAGGAATTACTTCCAAGAGAAGTCACCAATTCCCTCCCACCGGTCGTCTCACATACGTTCACCACAACTGCAACTCATATTGAGTGCACTCTATGTCCTTTAGCTCTGGTTCAATGCCAGCAAGTCTCACTCTATTCTTATCACAGTTACCTGATCTCCCCTTCCAGTATGTAACAACACCACCTCCAGCATGACCAATACACACAGTCCATTATACGAGTACAACTTCCGCACCATTCAAAGCTGTCATGCACCAACTTGATATAGGATTTGATGTTTCCAATCCCACAACATATGAATGTCAAATTGTGGGTATAAAAGCAGTGGCATTGGCCCGCTTCCTCAAAGCATCCTTGTACCATTTACAGCATCAACTTTCAATACCACAACAAATTTACTTCTAGAGATGGCGCTCGTTCAAATAACTCATTCAGGAAGAACAACCTGGGTGCTTCATTGTCCATACTAGTATGTCAAGGAAATATGACGTTGGTACCTCATAGTAACCTGTAACCTGAGTTCGGGAGCTGTCGCGATTACGTCATGAAGCTAACGGTCATACGCATAATGACTCTGGCAGGCAACACTTCCATTGATCCCGATGCTTAACAACATGTCAGTTCGATACTGATACGTCTCACATAGTTATTTGAAACAGCTACAGGGCATGTCAGATATACAGTCTGAGCCCAGTGTCTTGGCTTCTGAACCTACAGCCACTGAATAAATCATCCATTGCTTTTCTATACTGAAAGCTGTTCAGTTCCTTTTATTAGATGCATGATGCGATTAACAACCATACATTCGAATATGGTGGATATAGTTATGTTGCAATTGTAATTATGAACCAGTACATTCCCAGGTCTTAATAACCTAAAGGCCACGCACCTGTTTCCTCCTATTTGGTTGCTACTCCCACTTGGTAGTAGAGTCTTTCTCTGACGTAGTTTATTCTTTGTTGATTGTTCTTCATTCTTTGTTCTTCGTTCTTCAGCAATCACTAATGCATCTCTTCCGAGAGCACAGTTACCATCACAAATGCCATGATCCAAAGGTGCGCATTGCTGCCCACATTGAACATACTATCCTGTTATATTCTGCTGGGGCGTAGCTCAAAACACTCATTCATTTGTCAATGGTTTCTGCG